GGGGTGTTTCTTTTCTTTTTAGCTGTACCCTTATAGATAGATTAGATGTTAATGACAAGCTCAAAAGTTCTGATGGACCCTGAGAGGCAAACGGGGCCAGCCCTGGAGAGGTGCTTCGTAGTTGGTCTGTGCAGATCGGAAACTCCTCCAACCACCAGGCAGAAGAAAAGCAGGAGACTCAGCGGCTGAAACACGCCAGATGATCACGATGCTAATGATAGCAAGGATACGAGTTGATGCTATATAAATGTCTACGCTGTTGATCTTAGCCTCTTGGCAAGGGTTCTCAGCTTTGCCTACTGATTTCTACTAACTAATGCCTCCTCTTGCTTGTTGACTGTTTCCGGCACACCACGACCACGATGCTACTCTGAGTGTTTCCGTGGAGTTTGATGCAAAAGCTTCTGAAGAAGCCATTATTAGTAAATTTCTGACGCTATCTATTGATTATCTAGACTCCTGTTTTCCGAGATCCAGCCGTGGCGTGGTCTAGCAACAGTGGCTGGTTAGGCAGCATTGTTTGGCTTGTCTTTTCTTGCTCTTAATATCCACAACTCTCGCCTGTTTCTATTATTCGTTTCCTCTGTCTTTATATCCTTATACTTGAAAAAAAAAAAGGGGCATATTTCATCATGGAACTTCCCATCCCTCCCAAGCTGGACCTGATGGACTTACCGACAGAAATGCATATCTACATCGCGGAGTTCCTGCCATACCCCGATGCTCTGGCTCTGAAGCATACGTGTCGACATTTCTACCGCCTGGTTTGTACCGATGTGCATCTCAAGGTCGACTGGCTTGTGCAGCGGTTTGAACTCAAGCTGGAGTGTCCGCTCGAGCAGTGCTCTTTCCGGACGGATGAGTCCTTCTGCAACTGGCGGATCCGGCGCATCATGGAACGCCGCCGGTGGCATCTCGAGTGTCCACGCGTTAGGGGAGGTTGCCTCGTAGTGACGGGCAGTACTTGTCAGGCCGATCTGGTGCCGACATGGCTGAAACGGAGGAGCCGGGCCAAGATCCTGAAGACGCTGGCATTTTGGGGGAACGAAGGTTCGTTTGTCCTTTCAACTGAATCGACAGTAGCCCTTTTTTTTAATGGCCATGTGCTGAGTTGGTTCGTAGCCTTGATAATCGGGATGTTCGCCCTGGCATTGCATTTGCTCTGGGCTCTTTTAGTAAGGTAGGGCAGTCAATTCTGCGTATTGATTTCCTGGATGCCCTTCTGACGAGTTTTAGATATGTCTCCAGGCACATTCGCCCTCAGATCCACCCCATACCTGAAGATTTGTGACTCTGTTCCTCACTTTTTTCTTCTTGCGATCGCGGGTCAGCGGCCATGTACGATGGAAGTTTTTCGTTCATACCAGGCATCCTGCTGGCCAGGGTGTTCTGAAATCGAATCAAGAATGGCTGGATTGTATGATTTGATATCAGATGGTTGGATCTACACTAGCGATACCAGCATTGGAGTACATGTTTGAAGTATCTAGTTAAAGCTTATATTCTTTAATTCACAGGATGATCTTGTTTGATCTTATTCAACGATTTATCAGTGTATGATAAAATGACAGGGTTCTAGACTGTCATACAAGCCGTGCGTTTGACGTCACTGCTACGCCAGCTTGGCTTCAGAGGCCAACTCTTTTCTGACCCTCGATATTGATCTCAAGGTCATTCCATTTATTTTACGTTGTGGAGTAGATAAAGAATCCATGACGTAGCGAGTCGAATCAAGGTATATAAAAACAGAGAATACAAAGCGTCGACACAACTCAACCTATCTGACCGTCACACGAAGACTACGATATTCTTCCAAAATGTCCACCAGCACAGGATCCATCAGCACAAGCGCCGGAACCAAACCGGTCGATCCGTACAAGAGCAGGAACTTTGAAGACCCCCCGTTGAAGCAGAAGATTGAGGACCTGGTCGACTTCATCTCCGAGATGAAATTCGGTATGTTGACCACCAAGGCGTCAACCGACTCGGATCTTCTTGCATCGCGATGCATGGCATTAGCAGGAAAGGTAAACACATACTAAAACAACGGAAATGAGGATTTCTCTTGTTTCAATTTTAATTGGGTTATTTTCAGGAGAACGGCGGCATCGACCTCATCTTCCATACAAACCTCTTCTCCGGTAAAACTATGGATCTCACCCTCCACCCAAAGGAAACCAATATGTCGTTCCTCGACCCCATCAGCGGCGCCTGGGCATCTATTTCCGGAACTGCGACCGTCATCGCCGACCCGGCTGTCGTTGCCAAATATTACAGCCCAACGCTGAAGGCGTGGCTCGGAGACCTGGGCGACGGCGTGCACGATGGCGGGCCCTCGGATCCGCGCATCGGGGTCATCAAGCTCGAGTCCAAATTGGCCACGTATGTACTGGCTCGGCAGGGTATGTTTGGGCGTGCTATTGAGACTGTCAAGAGTGCGGCCAGGGGGGATGTCCCGGCTATCAATAGTATCAGAGAGTTGAGCCTGGAGGAGTTGGCGGAATGTAAGGCTCTCCCTTTCCTTGCCCCGTTTTGTGAACCTGAGAGAGAGGTGACTTTTTGCTGACAATTCAGGGCGTCGGACACACTTGCAATCGTAACACACTTGTGAATGTTAGATAGTACCTAGTAGACTTATTGAATTGATTCGTCATGAGTAATAAGTGTATCATTTGAATTGTGTAGTGTACACAAGAAGTTGTCACTACCTAGGTTTTCAAGTAACGTCATTTGGGTATCAATACAACATAACACCATAGCACCTTTAAATCAATTCCAAGATCTCCCGGCCAAAGGCGTCCAAACTTAGATCTGAACCTGTCAGTCATGCATCTGCAAATATGAACAGGCAAGACGAGGGAACTTACCAGTCTCACCGGGGTGCGGACCGGCATCCGTCCGTTGTGCAACAGCATGGCGACGGACTTGTTGGGCGTGGCCTGCAGTTTGCGGTATGCCTCGCGGATATGTCTGGGCTCGACGGGGGTGCGTCCTTCCTCGGGAGGGTCGAAAAGGCCCGTCTCGCGTTTGCGTTTCTTGCTGTTTTCGCCGCCGCCGTTCTCACCACCGCCGCGGCCTTTCTTCTCACGATCCTCCCGTTCTTTCACCTTGAGGGCCTCTTCGGTCAAGGTCTGGACGATTTCAAAGGTCAAAAAGCCCAGGATGTCGACAATGTCGTCGTTGGGCTTGGACTCGGTGACGATGCCGAACCCAGCCCACTCACGGAATCGCTTGCTCTTACGGTATGTGAAAGATGCCTGGCGACACTCGGACCAGAAAACATACTCTTCTCGGGTCATGTTCTTGGTGCGCTCGTCTGCGGTGGCCAAGCGCTGGAGTGTCGCATAGTTCTGCTCCTCCTCTTCCTCGTCTTCCTCATCGTCGCGCTCAGGAACTTGAATCGAGTAGAAACTATTGACGTCCCACGCCAGACCAACCTTCGCTCTCTTGTTCTTGGGTTTGGACGCGACATCTTGGGGTCCTGCAACCACGCCGCCGGCGATGGGGTCATCAGCGCCGGCAAAATCAGCAGCATCGGCGCCACCTTTATCGTCAGAGTCCTTGACGTTCTTTCGAACATCTTTCCACGAAAGGAAAGTCTTTAGGCGTGACACTTTAGCCTTGTCATGGCGAATAAGAAAAATCAGGTCATCGGTGGATATAGAGCGAACCCCTCGGCGGGTCGCTAATGTAGTGCTCCGAGAAAGCTATACCGCAAGTTAGTTTTTTTTTCTTTAAAGAGAAATAGAGAACTACACAAATATCTGAGGGTGCGCTCACAATTTCGATCACTTGTTGACGGACAATCTCTTCAATCAAGGTTGTTGTTTCAGCAGAGGGCTCGGCAGTCTCACCAGAGACGAACATCATCTGAAGAATCTCATGAGTATATGTCTTTTGGAACCAGCTATGTTTCCAACTTCTTTCCCCATGACAATTTGCAGTTTGCTTTTTATAACGCTTTATTGCGGCCATCATCTTGTCTTCAGGCGCACTTGGACAAGAGAGAGCACAGGCTGATATCGACAGAATAATCCAGATAGTCGCTCAATAGGGGGCGAAGATATGACAGGAGTGGAGATAAAGACAGCAATGTAATGAGTAGAGAGAAGCAGTAGCAATGTAGGTAGGTTGAATAGAAGTTGTGTTGCTATCATCCATATATATGGACGAATTGATGCCTGGTTTAAAATCCAGGCATCAACATGCATCTCTTCTAGACAAAAATAGGAAAGAAAGAAAGAAAGACATTTCCAGTAATACACATGATGGGTATTGACTGGAGTCATACAGCAAACAAGATGAATAAGAGTGAAACAGCTATTGTGACCTTGACTGCCCACTCATTGAGCAATCAAGATAATGACAGGCTACAAAACTGAAAGGCACCCTCACAGACAGCCATAATGTGATGTAAATAGAGTATGAATAGAAAACAGTCATAACTTGAGGAAGCATATAAGGCATAGTATAGTCAATAGACTTACCTGCTGGATCTCTTGCCGATACTTGGGCTGGCGGTCAGTCGTCATGATGAAGGTAAATGCGGGCGATTCCGCATCGCCTTCAGGATCGAAATGGCCAACCCAAATAAATGTATATATATATATGGAGGCCTAATGACTGGAACTAAAGCCCCAGACCTCTATTCAATGACCACGAGTTCGTAGACGTTGTTCGCGCATCGCGACTGAAGGGAGACGGTTGATTGATAGCGATATCGGCGGCAATATTTCTCCGCTCCGATATATCCGCCCGCATTTGGCGGGGAAGTCTAACTTTTACGAAGAAACCAATTCAGGGAAACGGTCGGTCTTATAATTTTCTGAAGATGCTGTATCTCGTGGGTCTCGGCTTAGCCGACGAGACTGACATTACGGTCCGAGGCCTTGAGGTTGTCAAGAAGGCCGAGAGAGTGTACCTGGAAGCATATACCAGCATCCTTCTAGTAGAGAAGGAAAAGCTAGTGAGTATCTGGAGATGAAATGGGTCTGACAATCGTGTGAAAGAGGTTGACTAATGATTGAATTGCTCCATCAGTAGGAAGCTTTCTACGGCCGACCTGTTATTGTAGCAGACAGAGAGTTGGTGGAGAGCGGCAGCGATGACATCCTGGCAGGCGCCGACAAGGCAGATGTCGCTTTTCTCGTTGTTGGTGACCCATTCGGGTAAGCTTTGCTCCCAAGATTCACTTATCATTCTCATGGAGATGGAAGCTCAATATTTGAAAATTAGTGCCACGACACACACAGACCTTGTCTTGCGGGCCCGCGAACTCGGAATTGAGACCAAAAACATCCCCAATGCCTCGATCATGTCCGGAATCGGCTGCACAGGCTTGCAACTTTACAACTTTGGCCAGACAGTGAGCATGGTGTTCTTCACGGAGACCTGGAAGCCCTCTTCGTTCTACGATCGCATCAAGGAAAACGCTCAGATCGGTCTTCACACCCTCGTCCTGTTAGATATCAAGGTTAAGGAGCAATCGCTGGAGAACATGGCTCGAGGCCGTAAGATTTACGAGCCCCCGAGGTACATGACTGTCGCTCAGTGCGCCAGTCAGATGCTGGAGATAGAGGAGGAGCGTCAAGAGGGTGTTTATACTCCGGACAGCCTCGCTGTGGGCGCCGCCCGAGTGGGCGCACCCGATCAGAAGCTGGTTGCTGGTACCCTGAAGGAATTGAGCGAGGTCGAAATGGGAAAACCTCTCCACAGTTTGGTCTTGTTGGGCAAACGAGTTCATGACTTGGAAAGAGATTATATCCGGGAATTCGCTTTGGATAAGGCGGCCTTTGATGCCAACTGGGCCAAGTCCTATGCCTCTTCCTAAATTATAATAAAATTGATAGATCAAATTTCTGAAATCAAAAGCATCCCTCTAATTTTAACGGTATATTACAGATGACCAGTCACCAAATAATACTGAGATTCTCAAGTAAATACCAGATAGTGTGATTTGGTTGATTATATAGTTATAATGTAACTATATTTCTAGAATGATGGACACTTCACGGTGCAAAAGTACCGAGTACGGGAGTGGGCACTAAAATTATTTGCATGCGACATCGATGCTGAGCGTCACAGCTGGTAAAATATTGCTACTGTCTATGAGAGGTTGCTCATGTCAACTTCTCTCAGTTACGGTCGAAATTTTTACTAAGGGAGGCTATCTTTGAAGCTATTTAGACCGCTCTTTGCCCCCTGAGCATCAGCCTTCCTCTGAGCGTTTCTATCAGCTTACAAACCTCTCTGTCCCGACGAGTCTTCGAGCTTCGGGTGTCTTGAAAAGCGTCTTCTGCCTAGAAAGCCTTCCAGCAAGCCTTTGCAAGCCCCTCAACCCACCTCCAGGATGCCGAGGACCCAGCATTCTATTGAGCTTCGCGTTCAAGCTCTTGCTTTGGTGGCTTACGGAGTACATATTGAGGCCGTCGTGGCTTTCACCGGCATACCCAGGAGCACGATTCTCTGTATAGTTAAGAAAGTAAAGGCTCGAGGCTACAATCCGGAGATTGATCCCCGTATCAAGAGGGAGTATGTTGAAGATGGTAAGCGTTCTGGCCGTCCAGGGAAAGGCACTTGAGTCATGGAGGAGCCCGTGGAGAAACCGACAGAGCAATCGACAGACAATCCCATAGAAAACCCCACAGATGAAACAGAGCTTAGTGGAGTTGAAAAGGGTAGTCTAAGATGTGATGACGTCTGAAGGATAATAGCTGTTGGAAAAGATCACGACTCAAAGACCAATTGTCGCAAAGCACAAGCTGCTAAGTATCTCACTACTAGATCAAGACAATCCTCGGGGTTTTATATATCATGTAAATAGCTTTAAAATTGACTCTGTAGATAAATAATAAGAACATTCATATAGCATTAATTCAAGTGTAAATGTCTGACAAAGACTTAGATTACCTCTTGGTATGTCCCCTGTTCTTGCGGGTACATTAATCCAAGTACGACAGGCCTAGCGCTGTTCGCCAAAACAAAAAGCAATATAGGCAGATCGCGCTCCCATAACCCTGGACCATTGTGGCCGCTCCTCCCAAAAAAAAACTATTAATTGGGCAGCCAAATTACAATCGTTTACTAGTGGATATATGCAATTTGACAAGAGCTTGCAGCACCCTCCAGTTTTTTGATCTGCGCGCAACAGGATGCCGGTGTATTTGCTTCATGGCTTCCGGTGGCCACGCGGTGGCTTCACAGGCATCCGGGTCTACATTGTGCTCAATAACCTGGAGGAAGCCGCTGCTGAATATGTTCAACAGCCACTCACGTCTCGCCTGGTTCTTGAGTCGTTGAAAAAGACGCAATCGGCGATCATGCGCCGCCTGCCGGACCTGCAGCTGATTGAGCAGTACGACCCGGAGGATACGACCAGCGAGACTGCTGTCAGTCAGCCATTTGCCTATGTCGCCGACAAGGTCATCACGCTTAGCGAGACGGCGACTGGACCGCAGAGTCTGCTCAGTGCGAGCATGGAAGAGTTCGTCACCGCGGGGAGCGGATACTCCGAGGACGCCATCGCCGCATTCGCCGAGTTGCGCGATAACATCGCCGCGGGCGAGAATATAGGCTGGTATGTCGTCTACAATGGTGATCCGGAGCGAGGATATCCCGAGATTGAAGAGGACAGCATGGATTACCAGCCTGAAGAGGAGGATGAGGAGGAGGAGAATGAGAAGGAGGAGGAAGAAACATCGGCTCCTCCCGCGGTGCAACCACCAGTAAAATCGCCGGTGAGTTCTGAGCTACACTATCTCCCTTATAAAGCAAATGGCTAAGACAGTCTCCACTACTACGTATAGACGAGCCGCTTCCCTGAGAGACTCAAAGGATTCTTCGGCAAGAAGAGCAGTACGGCCACTGCTGTCTGAACCAATGACCATGTTTATTGATGATATAATGATTTGATCGCCTTGACATGTACCTTAAATAGCTCCTCCAAAACGTTTTTAGCTAGAAAATAATCTCTTTTAAGCTTATAAAGCTTTGTACGTTTGTATACTCATGCCATATCAAGGTAGCCTATAAGGCGGTAAAACCCGGCACAATGATCATATCGTGTTGTTTGCGGCGGAGTAGTGAGTTGCTGAGCTCCAACGTTGTCCTCAGGGTTTCCTCACCGTGTTACTCCGTGTACATCAGCCAGCAGGTCTCTGGCTACTCAGACAAAATGGTGCTTTCATTTATCTTGGTGCAAAACCGGCAGTAAGGCTACCCATACCCCAGCGCTGGGAATTGAATGATCTCCGTACTGATTGAATCCACAAACAGGGGCAAGACGCGGCTTGCCAAATGGTATGCACCGTACACTGTATGCATATGAATATACAAATATTTCTTACTGCTGCTATTGTGCTAACTGTTGCTCTCAGGATGAAGAGAAGATAAAGCTCAAAGGAGAGGTAGATTGTCGGATCAAGAAACTTCCCAACGGTTATCACCAGACGCTGATGTCCGGAAACCTAGGTCCACCGCCTTGTTGCGCCGCGAGACCAGAAATACCAATCCAACTTCGTCGAGTTCAAGCGCAGCACTAAGATCGTGTACCGACGATATGCAGGGTTATTTTTTTGCGTGTGTGTCGATGCGAACGATAATGAGCTGGCGTACCTTGAGGCCATACACTTCTTCGTTGAGGTTCTGGACCAGTTCTTCGGGAATGTGTGCGAGCTGGATCTGGTGTTCAACTTCTACAAGGTTTGTTATTGCTGTTGAATAATCTATGCTATCCTTGTTGTCTTTTCGAGCTGGAACCATTGCTCACTGGACTTGGGACGGATAGGTATATGCGATTCTAGACGAGGTCTTCCTCGCCGGTGAAATCGAGGAGACCAGCAAGCAGGTCGTGTTGACCAGACTGGAGCACTTGGATAAACTGGAATGAACATAAAGCAAAGAAAAAAAAAACGAAAACGAAAACAAATCGTTTTGGAGGCTCTCGAGTTTTTGTCATGGATTATTGCATGGAGTTGGGGGTTCTTTTATCATTGCATACTCATAATGCGTCGATGCGAGTCGGCGCTGTTCACGTCATCTAACAGACGAGTGTTGTTCAGGCATGCCAACATATGTCTCTTTCTTACCTTCGTCTCTGCGTTTTTTTCAAATTGTACTCTGTACAAGCCATTCTGCTGATATCGTGTACTTCTGGCGGTGTACGATTGCACAAAAATAGCCCCAGATCACGGCAACCAGCCCCTGGGCAAACTCAACTGCCGAAACGAGTACCGATGGTTTGCTCAAAGCACGGGTAAAGTTGACAGGGCAGCTTCATTGGCGAGATTACATGCGCAATCTGCCTTAAGGATGGGGTGAGTGGGTTGGAAGGAGCATAGTGGAAAGTGATGCGATCGTGGAGGGCAATTGCGAAGGTGCACATTGACGCTTGGCGGCCAGCATTTAAAGCGATGTAGACCACCCACACACAACGTCTGTCCCAAGACCCTTTTTTCATCACCCACAGGCTGCAATCAAAAGGACCTTGCACCAGGAACCAGACATGGCCACAGCATTACTCCGGAGCGCGTCGACCAGGTTGGCCAGTGCACGATGATGTCTTCTTGCACGACTCGAAACCAGTGAACCACTCATGCATGCCTCGGTTTGCAGCAGACGCGGAAATGACCAAATACTACTTCTACGCAGTAGTCACTACCTCTAGCGAATTGACAGTAACGCCCGTCCTTGCCTCGGCCTTTCCGTTGGGGTAACCGCCGACACCCCCGAGCGAGAGGGGAACCGCGGGAATAATGATGGATAGGCGAACGACACCATGTTGACTATCCATCTTGGCGACGGCGAAAGGACCATTAAGACGATGGATTAGAGTGAGGAATCACAGGTCAACTGTCTCGGTTTGATTGCTCCAGCGTGGCTCCTGGGCCCCCGGCAAATACTGCTACATTTTGATTGACAGGATTCTGGCATCTAACTATCCTGGGCCTCCTGGCTAGTACGAAATAAAACAGGGAGCACGCACACCGGACTCCGTGGGGGTTTCACTAGCGGGCAGCCACAGGAACGGGCTGTGTGTGTGAATCGTGATTTCGAAAACCTCGCAGCTCGTGTCTTTTTTGCGAAACAGCCCCTGGAAATTCTGTCTAGACCTGAGCTCAGCCTCTACGTACGGATCGAAACGCGTTCCCAGTGTTCTACAGTGCAGTTGCGACAGCGAAGTGCCCACGGTCTGCCAGTGTCTTCCAGTCTGGCCAGGTCATGACGTCTGGGTGAGCACGAGGCTCCACCAGCCTGGTTTCGAATTGACTCTACTCAGAAGAGCGTGGGAATCACTTCACTGAATCAGATTACATTTTGCGGGGAGGGGGTGCGCAATCAGCTTGCGGCTCCTTTGACGTGGACGAAGACGACGAGTACTTCCATATCGATGTGTATTCGTATTACCGGTGGTGTGCCTGAGTCGTATGGGATTATTACCTGTACGTGGTACCGTATACGGGTGTAACGATACTCGGTACCAAACCCTCTTACTACTGAGTCCAGTGGTGTGGTTTCGCCTCTTGTCGCACTCTGATGACGACGTCCACCTACGCAGCCGGTATAAGGAATATGGACCCGGTTTGTCACAGAACGAGCTTTTCTGGCGGGACCTGCCAGCAGGGATCGGACCCTGACACCCTGAAATTGCAAAAACACTGGGTCAACCTCTCTCTGCCACATATGGAATAGCCTCTGTCCCAGCGTTCCCGAAAAGTACGAAAATCTAGAAAACCTAAGGCCAAAATGGTCCATGGCTACGCGTCGTCCCCTACCCCCGCAGCCAATCAGCAGCCATAGAAGCACGGTTCGCCCGGTGCACCGCCTCAGATGCACGAATCAGAACCGCCGTGGCTTACGCGTTCGATCGCTGGTGCGGTTCTTGGCAAGCCTTGTGGGAAACTGCCATGGCGCGGCGTCTGCATCTGGGCGTCTCTGGCCGAGCGTCTCTGCCAGTTGTGTCGAAGCGCTCCTCCTCCCTCCCCCTTCCCCCTCCCCTGACAATCATTCTATCGGGGTGCGTCAGCTTCTGACGTTTCGTTATCGGGATTTCCTCCCATCCCCCCCCCCCTGGTGGTGGGGCTCGCCACCAGTATCAGACATGCTCCTCACTGGATGGCCGTTTTGGAGATGTCACTTGTTTAAGCCGTCTCAAGATTCTCCTTAAAGGAGCTCGCGTGGATTCTCCTGACTCCTGGATCGTTCTATTTGGAAGTGTTCTTCTCTCCGGTCTTTTTTAATCGATTGTTGTTTCCCCTCAAGCACGAATCTTGAACTCAATTCTCCTCCCCTTTTCGCATTGCCTTGTCAGATCAAAACTGCCGGTGCCGTTCTTTCTAGAAGAGGAAGAACAAAACAAGAAGACTTCACACACACACACACTCTCTCTCTCTCTGTCTTCGATTCTATCAGCTCGCCTTCGTTCTCTTCTATAGACCAGATCACTTTTTATTTTAATACAAAACAATGTCTCTTATTCACTCGGACAACCTGGCTCCCCAGCCATGGACGGACGTCTTCACCGATGACACCTGCATCGATCGCCGCAAGTGCCACCGCACCGTGCCCATGAAGGTTCTGGCGCTGGGCGTCGGCCGCACGGGAACTGCCTGTATGTCTTTTTTTTTGGGGGGGGGGTTAATTCTGGAGATAATCTAATGTTAATTTCTTTAGCTCTCCGTCAGGCTCTGCAGCGACTCGGCTACGTTAAGACCTACCACATGATGTGCGCGAGCGTTGAGAACCCTCCCGACTGCCTGATGTGGCACGATGCTCTGTGTGCCAAGTACGATGGTGTTGGCGAGTTTGGCCGCAAGGAATGGGACCAGCTCTTGGGTGACTGCCAGGTACATCACTTTGTAGTTACCTTGCGAGATATGGGAGATATGCTAATGATCAAATTGTCTTAGGCTGTCTGTGACTGGCCTGCCTGTGCTTTCGCAAAGGAGCTGATTGAGGCGTACCCTAACGCCAAGGTCATTCTGACGACCCGCGAGGTCGACTCGTGGCATGCGTCTGTGATGAAGACTGTCTTCTGGCGCGTGTCGGACCCGGAGCACCGCCTGGTGTCGCACTTCAGTTGGGCGGCCAGCATGTACTACCCCATGTTGAACAAGTTCTTCGAGACCTTCTTCCGCGGCGACTTCCCCAACAAGGGCAAGCAGGTCTACCTCGACCACGTGGAGGAGGTTCGCAGCCTGGTGCCGCCCGAGCGTCTGCTCGAGTACAAGATCAGCGACGGCTGGGCTCCCCTCTGCGAGTTCCTGGGCGAGGAGATGCCCGACACGGCCTTCCCCCGCGGCAACGACATGGCCGACTTCTACAACCGCTGCAGCACGCGCAACCGCCGCCAAATGCTGAACAGTGCTCTGCAGGCGGTGACCATGGGTGGTGCTCTCCTTGCTACCGGGCTGGCGGCCACCATGGTCTTCAAGCGCTTCGTTCGCTGAATTCTTTTTCTATTCTTCTCATTTTGGTTACTGGTAACTTTTTGATTCCCCTTTCTTTATTTTTACCCTTCCTTGCCTTGCCATCTTTCGGTGAGCGCAGGCGCCGCCGGGGAAGGATGTGAAAATCTTAATGCCACCTTATTCTCCCATCTTTTCCTTCCGCCATGTTTCATTTCATTTTATCTTTTTCATACTTATAAATATTCAGTTTGGATATTTTGGTTGATTTCCCTTTTCCTTTTACTTCATTTTCTCGTTTATTTATTTATTATTTCCTTTTTTTGGGATTGGGGCTGGAGAATTAGACGAGGGAAAAGCACGCGCCCTCGCCCATGGCGCATCTCAACTGTTGTATATAACCGTAATGAATGGTATTATTATTCACCCAGAAATTTTCTTGGTCTGAAGTCTTGTGTCCAACTTGGGGACATTATTCCTCCGTACCACGGGCTGGATCAGACGCCACAGCGATAAATCTGCGAACTAATGTCTTGGCGCATCTTATCTAAAGTTCTATGGAGAATGGAATACGGAGTTACGAAGCACTAAACTAGAGGTACGGAGTAGTTCACTAGCAAATAACTACGAAATACTCCTGAGAGATTCCCAGAGAACTCGGGTGGTCTACTGCTTACTACTAGATTCGAACCCTTGATGCTGACAGCCCCTACTGTAAAAAGAAATATACCTATTACCTAGTATACTCTAATCTATCTGCTACTGCTAGGATATGTGAAGTGGCGGATGTTAGAGGTTTGGACGGTCGGCAGGGCACTTCCGAACGCACCAAACCTGAGGCAATGCCAAGGAAAGTTTCATTCTTCTTCCTTGCGGGAAATTGCTCAGGTATTGGCTATATCATTACGGTATGGTATGGTACCAGATGTTGTACGGTACAAAACTTACAAGTACCTACCAGGGTATTCCGTACCTTACCTTAGGTACTAGGTCTTCTAACTATCTATCTACTCCGTACGAGTAGAGTACACTATCTACTAGGTACTATCTATCCTATCGCCATCGTCTTACATAGATAGTGCTTGAGATATGTACAGAGTAGTATCTCGCCTATTTATTATTACAAGCTAGGTAGGTAATTCTAGTTCCGTATCCTGTACTCCGTACCCAGTTAATCCGTACTCCGTAGACTGGAGGAATAGAATGATTTTGGACTGTCTTCCAATCTTCTTGAGAGTAGTACGCACCAGCTTACGCAACCTGGCCAGTGCAGCATAGGAGGGATCATCTAGTAGCTACCTAGGTGGTAACTAGTAGTTAGTTATGTAGTAGATACGGAGTATTACCGAGCATTAGCATAATTATAATAATAACACTATCAATTGGTACTATCATATGGTACAGCTGTCTGTTCCAGTGTTCCTTTAGGGTGTCTGTAGTCTATAGACAAGGGTTAGAAGCTAATAAGTCATATTCTAACTACCTCTCTGTAGTTCTTTTCTATCAATAATATTTAAAACCCTTTTCCGATTTCTACCCATTAGAAAATCCCCTGTCTGAAGAAAAAAAAAAAATCAAAAAAATCCTTAGTGGCCCTTGAAAGGCCTCACATAACTACGGAGTACCTACCACCTACCATCATCAAGACTCCGTATACCAGTGACGTGCCCACTCCACCAGCGGGTCCGGAACGGGACCGGCGACCACGCAAGGGTTCAATCTTCATACTACGAACCAGATGGCCATCATCAGTTAATAAACAAGAAGGATCCGATGAATCAATCCTACCGTCCCTAGTGATGTATTCTCGATGTTCGCGCTGCCTTTCTTCAAGACGCCCGCCTTTTGGCTGCTGGCCGTCTTTCTCGGCGTCCATGGTGTGATTGGGGAGGTTGTTCTTTCCTCCTTTAAATCAGTGAGTACCTTCCTTCCTTACTAAGTAACTACTACCTACTGGCGGTTCTCTTCTCTCTCCCCTTCCCCCTCCCCCTTGAATCTCCTCCCTACTACATAATCTCACCTGTCATATTTCTCGTCTGCAATATGTAATGGAGTATACTAATTTTGGTTCTTTTTTTTTCTTTTTTTAGCGACCTGATCTGTACCCCCCCAAGTTCACTGTTGAAACGAAGGTCAAGGACAAGGTCGCTCCGGGATACTTCTTTGTCACACCCTACGAGGCAGATAACCCGGGTCCTTACATTTATGATAATGACGGTGTATGTCTTCTTCTCCTTCTCTCCTTACCGCTGGAACCATTTCTGATGTTTTCTCTTAGGAGCTCGTTTGGACTGGATGGGGAAGCTCTGGCCCCGGCAACGCGCACGGGATGCATGTGTGCCGGTACAAGGGGGCGGACCATATCTGTTTTTTCCAGGGCAACCAGCAGAAGGGCTACTGCCGTGGCCACGGTGTGATTCTAGACAACTCATACCGGATTGTGCGGTCGGTGCAGCCTGGCGGTGGCATGGCGTCGAGCGACATGCACGAGTTCATGCCGCTGGGTGACGATGGGGCGACAGCGCTGATGACCGTCTACCAACAGCGGCAGTTCGATATGAGCACCTGGAACGTCAAGACGGGCATGGGCTGGCTGATGGAGAGCATCTTCCAGGAGGTCGATGTCGAGACGAGCCAGGTGCTTTTCGAATGGCGGGCCATCGACCACGTCGATCCCTCGGCCAGCTACACCTGGCCCGACCACACCGACACCTCGGGCAACGGGCTGGACCCGCACTCTCCCTGGGACTTTTTCCATATCAACTCGATCGACAAGAACGACGATGGCGACTATCTCATTTCCTCGCGGCACACCTGCGCCGTCTACAAGGTCTCCGGGCGCAACGGCTCGGTCCTGTGGCGCCTACATGGGGCCAACCCCTCCTTCAAGAACATCAACTTTAGCTTCTCACAGCAGCATGACGCCCGCTGGCTCTCCGATAACGCCACCCATACCGTTCTCTCCCTCTACAACAACGGCTACAACGGTTTCAACCGCACCCACCAATTCTCCTCCGGCATGATCATCGAGATCGACCATGAGAAGCGGACCGCCACCAAGATCCGCGAATATTACCCGCCGGGAAAGAGGATGCTCAGCTCCAGCCAGGGCAACGTACAGGTGCTGGCCAACAAGAACGTCGTCATGGGCTGGGGCAACAACCCTTACATCTCCGAGCATACCGAGGACGGCGAGCTGGTCTTTTGGGGGTACATCGCCAAGGACCATATCATGAACTACCGCGCGCAGAAGTTCGAGTGGGAAGGCAACCCCACCGACGTGCCTGCCCTGTGGGCGTATGCCAAGGCCGACGATGCATCCGCCTCGATGACCCTGTACGTGAGCTGGAATGGCGCGACCCGCGTGCGCAGCTGGCGCTTCTTCGGCGCCCCCGAACAACATGCCGAGTACCTTCTCCTCGGCGAGGCGACCAAGACTGGCTTCGAGACCAAATACACCCACTCGACCTTTTATCCATGGACCTACGTCCAGGCAATCGACGCCGACGGCCAGGTCCTTAGCTCCTCGGAGCTCAAGTACACCTTTGTTCCTGGACCCGAGCTGCGTGATTTTTGCGGCGACGAGTCCTGCGACAACACTAAGCGCTATGGCTTGCCGGGCGATGACAATGCTAAGGTTATTGTGCCCCCCGCGGGCATCAAAACGGTGCCCTGGGTAGGCGAAACGGGCGAACTGGACGAGAGCACGGTGCCGGGACCCCTCAACTCTTCTTCTTCCCCTTCTTCCTCTTCCTCCTCTTCCTCCTCCTCTTCGTCGTCTTTTACCGCTGTTCGGTTGAATATTCTGAGTGGTGAGTACTACAACTAGCTATAATCTCCCTTACAAAGGAGGTGAACCGCCATGCTGACTCTCTAAGTAGACCATCTAGCCTGGTTTATCGCATTGTTACTAGTCATCCTTTCCGTCGCCATGATCTTCACCATCCTCCGCTACTGCCGCCCCCAGCGACACTTGCCTTTCACGCGCCTGACAGTCTGGCAGACCGCCCAGACCGAGGAATTGACAGGCAAGCGCAAGTGGACATCGGCCGTTCGGGTTCCCTGGTGGCAATGGCGAACATGGAAATGGAGGCAACGGCAGGAGCCGGAGCATTCATATTTTGCCCTGTCGGAGCAGGCTGATAGTTGAAACCTGGAACAGTTCATAGATTATAGAATTTACATACATACCTAGTACCCTACCTAGGTACTAATAATAATAATATCCTGGTGAGGTACAAGTACCTGTTTCATAACACGTATAGTACATGTATACAATACAATATACAGGTAATTCTAATACATATATACAAAGATGGGTATTAGACGTATTATCAGATACCCCTCGTAATATTGCCTTTTTTTTCCCTCCTGTTCTATTATTATTCTATTTTACAGAGTACTTCATACCTAGGTAACTCGTCTAGTATTTTTCTTACTATTATCTTCTCCTCGTGTTTTTCTTTTCATATACTAATTATATTAATCTTACTATCCTATTCGTATTCCCTGTCTACTTCTTCTGCAAGAACTCCAGAATAGCACGCCAAGCAAAGAGTCGTCGTAATGCCGCGCAATGCTGATCCTCAAGAAGACTGAAGCCCCATTTCGCTATTATTTCCTCCGGATTTATTTTTGTTTTATTTTTTGTTTTATTCTTATTTAATTTTTTTTTTACCTTGAGCTTGAGGCAGAGGCACAGCTGCTGAAACGTTCCACGCCTCGTGCGTATTATTGATTGACAACCCCCCCCCCCCCACACCCCGAACTCCCTAAATCGTAGAGAATTTGCTAGACACTACGACGAAGGAACTAGTTAGATAACTCTACTACTACTATCGGTGTCAACTGTTTTCCTTTAGCTTCTCTGGGTCCCATTGTTCAATAATTTGCTCTCGAGTTGATCTTGTTTTTCCCTCCTCATCCTTGGACTCTTTCGGTTACCAATGAACTGAAGAGGTTTTTAACCTACTCCGTACGTGGTAGTACTAAGCCTCGGTCCCGGTTTTTTTCTTTGTCTCACTTCCTATTACTGGGCCATGTCCAGTGCAACCACCCCAAGCAATAGTAATAGTGGTGCTGCAGCAGCTGCAAGTACGACGACGGCTCAGCCTCTTACTCATCTAATGACGCCAGCTGGTCAATCCTCCTCCTCCTCTTCTGTCTCCCATCGCGATCGCTCGCATGGCCATGCCCGTACAACTTCCTGGTCAACCGCCCGCGAGCTCGCTGAACAGCAGCAACAGCAACAGCAACAACACCGCCGGCGTCTATCAACGGTCTCGCTCGTCGATCAGCAGGATAACACCTCCGTCGACGACCTGGCTGCTGAGATAAGCGACAAGGACGACCACCACCGGTCCTCCATGGAATGGCGACAGCAGCACCAGCAGCAGCAACAAGCGCTGCCGCCGGCCCTCGCTGCCTCTGCCTCGTCGACGACGATGTCGACGTCAAAATCATCAGCGGTGACATGGATGTCGTTACCGCGCAAGAAACAACTGACCCTGCTGGGTCTGTGCCGCGTCTTTGATTTCCTCCAGATCGCTTCGCTGCAGGCCTACATGTTCTACCAGCTCAAGTCGTTCGATCCCGCCTTGTCCGACTCCGATGTAGCCACCCAGGCCGGCATCCTACAAGGCGCCTTCACGGCCGCCCAATTCGCGACCGCGATTCCCTGGGGCCGTGCTGCCGACGCACAATGGGGCGGCCGCAAGTTCGTCCTCCTCGTCGGCCTCTGGGGAACCGCCGCCTCCTGTCTCGGCGTCGCCTTTGCGACCACCTTTGCCCAGGCCGTCTTCTGGCGTTCCTTTGGTGGTGCCATCAATGGTACCGTCGGTATCATCCGGACCATGATCGCAGAGAACGTCAAGGAGAAGAAGTATCACTCGCGCGCGTTTTTGATCTTGCCTATCGGTTTCAACATTGCTGCCTTGTTCGGTCCAGGTACTTCCTCTCTCTCTTCAACTCCCACTAGCCAGTGATACTAATCAGTATAGTCATGGGTGGCATGCTCTCCGACCCTGTCCACAGTTTCCCCCGGCTGTTCGGTCCCAACTCGTCCTTTGGCGGCGAGAACGGTGTTCAGTGGCTGCTCCGGTATCCGTATGCGCTGCCCATGCTGGCCAACGCGTTTTTCCTGGCCTTTTGCGCCGTTCTCGTAGCTATTGGATTGGAAGAGGTACTTTCTACCCACCCTTCCCGGGATATATCTAATGGTATATGGTGCAGTCGGCTGATCATATCTTAATTATTAGACCCTCGATACGTGCAAAGGGAAGCCCGGTCTCGGGACCTTCCTCCTGCGAATCTTCTCGCGCGGCCTTCGCACCATCGTCCCCCGTTCCTCCTCGCTGTACTCGCGCCTCCCCCTGCAGGATTACGACGAAGAACCCTTACTCAACCGGGACGTGGATACCGAGAGCTACGAGTTGGAGGAAAAGGCCAAGCCGAAACGCCTGGTGCGCGTTCTACCCTTCCGCCGCATCTGGACGAAAAATGTCCTCTGCACGCTGCTCGCCCAGGCTTTCTTTGACTTTCAAATGGGGTATGTCTTGTTTTTCTTTGTTTCTTGTTGAAAAAGAGGAAAAGCTAATGGTCAGTGCCTTCAATAATCTTTGGCTGCTCTTCCTATCCACCCCCCGCTTCGACAGCAACGACCCCGCCGCCCCCGCGCAGCACCTCCCCTTCATCTTCACAGGCGGACTGGGCATGCCGCCGCAGACCGTGGGTTTCGCGACGGCGATCCTGGGTGTTATCGGCATGATCCTACAGTTCACCATCTATCCATCCATAAACAGCCGGCTGGGCACGGCCAAGAGCTACCAGTACTTCCTGGCTCTGTTCCCGCTCGCGTACGCGTTCGCGCCGTACATCGCCGTCGCGCCCTCGTCGACTGCGCCCCCGACCCAGGCGTCCGGAACCTGGGTCTGGTTCTCCATCATCCTCGTCCTCTTCCTGCAGGTCACCGCGCGAACCTTCACGCTACCGACTTCCATCATCCTGCTGAACAACTGCTCGCCTCACCCGTCCGTGTTGGGCACGATCCACGGCATCGGCCAGTCTGTTTCCTCTGCCTTCCGCACCATCGGCCCCATCTTCTCGGGCTCCTGGTACGGCTTTGGTCTGGATATCGGCGTGGTCGGATACGCGTGGTGGCTCATCGCACTGGTCTCCGTATTTGGCTATTTAGCTGCCATCTTCGTCTATGAAGGGTCCGGCCATGAGATTCTCCTCCCGGGAGAAGAAGAGGAGATGGAATACACACGGTAAATTATCGTGTTCCCTTGCATTTTTTTGCATTGTTTTAGCGTTCTTGTATATATATATATATATATTCATATGTTTATATAATTCGGATGAATTGATAGATTGATAAATTACTTGTATAATGATATTATAATCCCATACTTGCTAGTAGTTGTTTTCAAGTAGTATGAAAGGTTATATTCAATGCTAATGATGTAACTATCTCCTCAACTGTGCAAACCGTCTCGTCAACTCATCCACCTCCGGGATGCCCGCACTGCTCCGTCTTGCGCGCGGTCCCACCGTGTCCTCAGGCGTAGACCCAGGCAACTTGACGCGCGGGCTGGGATTATCCGACCGCGGGCCGGGAGGAGCCACGCTGACGGGGCTGCGGCCTGGCTCGATCGTGCGCGGGGGGGTTGCTTTGCTGAGCTCGTCTGCTTCAGAGGCACGGCGCATCTCAGTGATACTGGGGCGGGAGCGGGAGGGTGTAGAAGGCGGAAGCAACTCATCTCCTCCTCTGTTGTTATCATGGTCATCATGGTCATCATCAATGTCTAGACTCTTGAGAATCCCCTCTGCCTCCCTTTTTGCTTTCTCCGCATCCCACTCCTCCTTCGGCCACGCAACACCATACGCCTTTGCAATTTCCCGCAGGTATAGTTCCACGAGCTCCGGGGCGGGCGGCTGGATCCGTAGCCCCTTGACCAGTCGTTCCGGGACGCGGATGTCCGCTTTATTCTCCTGCGCGAGGAGGAGAAACTCCTTGCCGTACCGTTCTGCCAGCTGCGTGCGGAGCATGGTGAGTTCGCGCACGTCATGCGGGAACCGAGACCAGGCATACATCACTGAAAGCGCGGCTTCGTCCAGAGCGGTATCCATGTACTCTTCTACTGCATCACTATCATCCCCACCATCCCCACCGATGCCGGGTGAAGACGATGCCGGCGGTGATACAGGTGGCGGGGCTACAGGCTCGGCCTGTTTCTGTCCAAACAAGGAAAACCCCAACCTTGAGGTTGTCGATGGCGGTTTCGGTGATCCCCCCGTGGTTGCGTGATGTAACCGTGCGCCGGCTTCCTCTCTTGCGCGGGTGCGTGCCCGGGCTCCCTTCTCGCCGAACGCAATCTGGTCGAGAACGTTCGCCCGTGCCAGGAGTAGCTCGCAGTATAACTCAACCATTTCCATGACCTCGACGGCGATGTCGGTGGCGATCACATTCTCGACGCGGATGCGCGCCGAGGCGTCGCGGCCTTCTTCGAGGAGGGCGGACAGCTCGCGCCGTTGTACGACAGAGGACGCGGTGTCTTTCTTCTGAAGCAGGCGGAGGCGAGGGATCAATAGCCGGAGAGTGGAGATGAGTTTTGTCTGGAGAAAAGATGGGTACCGATCAGTTTAGAGAACGTCTTTAAATACTGAGGAAGTCATCATAACACCCTTGGCCCGGTGCGGGGTATATCTATCTTGCACCCACGTCGCTGGCTCCAGATAGTCCTGGGCAACGATATATGAGGAAACAATATTTCATACTTACAGTTTGCGGTGAGGGAGGCATCTTGACGTAGTCAGTGGCAGACAGATGGGGGAATTGTTTGGGAGTTAGTATGGTTGCAGTGAACGTGGTGGATGAGGTCTAAGTGGGGGACAGCCGGTACCTCCTGTAGTTTACTCCGTAGTTAAATCGGATGATCGAACAGTACTACATAACTACTAGCTGTTGGCTATACACACGTCAATTTTGGTCTGAACTTCTCTCCAACGTTGTTAGTATGATATCTTCTACTATTGTTATTATTAAGTTGCAAAACTGACAGCAGCAAGATCCGTGGAAGAGGCAAGGGATGCTATTACACAGCCAAGCACTATTACGCAATATTAATGCAGCTGCAGCATACAGGCAATAAAATTATGGACGTTACTATATATCTAGAAAAGTTGAACTGATAACATACTTGTAAGAATATTCAGATAACCTGCCTATTATTTAATTGAGAATTCCGCGCGTCTATCTTGGCCCCAGTCTTTGAAAACGAACGTGGCTCTGAGCCTTTAGAGAAAGGAGAGAATACAAATCAAAAAGCAGCTCAACAGTGCATTTCTTAGGACTGGTATCCTTTGCACCATCTGACTGGGCTTCAGAGGCAATTGTATAGAGAAAAGGATCTTGGGTGACCATGCTTTCCTCTTAACAGAGAACTTACCTCGCTACTTGGAGCAAGGACAACACCTGAAATGGAGCAACTGAGGAATAATGGCTTCTAAAAAAAAGCATGGAAGTATATGTATCGCCAAAGACCTACTCTGTGGGGTTCAAGACTACCACCTCATTGACTGGGGACGAGACAGTCCTCCACTTCATGGATAATGCGTCCTATTGTGAAATGAAGTATATATGGTGAATCCGGGCATCATGCCCGAAAGCCAAGCCTGACTCGAAAAGGAATATTGAAGTGTTCATGTTAATTACACTGAATAGTATAAAAGTCACAGGCCCGGAGGGTGGCGGATGTTCAAAACATGGCCTCCGAAGATGAAATATAGAGCTGCGGCCGCCGTACCAAACCCAGTCGGAGAGGGTGTTCGGGCCGTCAGAGAGTGAAGAAAAGGTAGATATGAAAATATCAAGGGATATCTCAGACATGAAAAGACAATCGTGTGCCAGCAGCACGTAAATATATAAAAAAAAAAAGAAAAGAAAAGCCAAAACTGGCGGACTTGAGAGTCCGTCCAGGCAAATTTGCACAACATCAATCATGAAGGGAAACACAATGCCACGGATCAGGTGGCATTGGGAGGAAGATTGGCAAAATAAGTGCCAGGCCATAGACGGTAAAGTTGGTCGGAAAGGATGAGATTGTGGAATGACATGGAACCGAGGTCGACCCACCGACTTGTGCTATGTATGTACGAGAAGTTATTGATCTTCTTGTTGGTTTACCAAAAAAGCATGACAACGCTCACAACGCTGAGGGTGACGCTCAACGCGGAAACGGTCACAGATGAGGCTGCGCTCTTCTTCAGGCCCAAAACCGATGCGGAAACAGCAGGGGGTGTGATTCCGGTCGATGCAGAATTAGACAGTGTATTCCCAGTGACCTGTGCAAAAACGTGTGGTTGGTAGTTATAGCTGACCGATGAGCTCTGGGGCCGCCTAATAATGGTGTTACTGGAGGTAGAGCTGGTGCTTGACGCCGCGGAAGAGAGGGGGCTTTGGTCAGCAAATGCTGTTGATGACTCGGTTGACTGTGGCGTCGAGGTGGCAGTTGAAATACTAGAGCTCATGCTCGAGCTGAGACTGGTCGAAGATCTGAAAGCATCAGTGGATGAAGTGGAGCTCGAGACGCTCCACGGGGCGGTAGAAGTGGAGGTCCGGCTGTTGCTTGAGCTGTAGCTTGAACTGGAACTGGAGGTGGAACTGGAGGTGGAACTGGAGGTGGAACTGGAGCTAGAGCTGGAGCCGGACGTGATGGAAATTGTTGATATGGAGGCCGAAGAGTGAGAATGCGATGCAGAATCTCCGGATTTTTCAAAGACAATAATGTTGGCCTTTGCATTCTGAGGAACAGTGACAACACAAAACGCAGCGCCGCCAGCACCATCGGTGCTGCTGCCCACCATTTCATTCACCCCATTGACAGATGGATCAATCTTACAGGGAAGCCCGTTGCAGCCTTCACCTTCACAGACAATCTCAACACCAAAATCAGGCATGAGATTGCGAAAGGGAGTTGTAGGTTCGAGGTATATAGGGTTCCAGCCGATCTTCACGAAGGTATTGCCGGTGCCATCGGTGTTTGCACCCGCAACATAGGGCGCCCAGTTGCCGTAGGGATTGGCCGAAGTGCCCCAAACACAGGCTGTCTCCGTGTCGATGCCAGGAGGGTTGATGTAGTAACTAAGATGACGTTTAGCGATAGGTCTTCCGTCTGATTTTGTGTAGATACTTACTGGGCAGCAGTCTCGCACCAGTAGTCGATACCAGGGACGGCAATCATCTCCAGCTCCTGGACCATAGTCGGGATCAACATGGCCTCATTACCAGGCAAGACCGTCTGGCAGAACGCGACATTGCCACTGCACTTGTTCTTGGCAGACACAACACCTGTACCATCCTGGCAATAGGGTTTGTCCGGGAAGGGCTTGCTAATAGAGCCGTTCTCATCACAGTACAAGCCTCCATTCTTTTCTTGATGTCAGCGATTCTGAGTTCACTCAAAAGTACATCAACCACGCAACGTACCATAGACAATGGGTATGTGTACGAGGTCGCCTTGGGATCCCACTGCATCGATACCTGCCCCGGAGGGCAGGCATAGGGACAGTAGTTCCCGGGCTTACAAGGTTGATCGGGACTCATGGCCCAGCCGCCATTCTGCTCGTTTGGTGTCACCGCCACCAAGCCGGCGTCTGCCGGGAATTGACAATGTCCCCCTCTTTTCTCGACCTGGGCACCAACCCTCGCCTCGGAATGGTGATGCTTCTCCCGATGAACGTGGCCGTGTCGAGAGGCCTCTGCGGTTGCCAGTAGCGAGACCGCCACTGCCGCCCTAGCAGACACGATTTCCAGTCTCATTTTGTTTTTCCCGTGGTATGAATGTGTTTCTTTCTCTCCCCTCTTCTGTCGAGCCACTTCCTTCCGTGCTCGACTTACAATAGTCTCCTTCGAAAGGGTCTGGAAGTTCAAAAAAAGGAACGACTAGGAAACGAGTGACTGCGGTCAGGAACGATGCAAGCAGGGCATCAATGGCAACGAAAGAACGAAAGGAATGTAGGGCCACTCGAAGGGAAGACAGGGAGGGGGACGAAGGAAGGCAGGGACAAACAGGATGAGGGGGCGGTCACTTTTAAAAAGGGCAGGAACGATGGCCATCCCAAACAGGAAGGCATATCGGACTGCCCAAAATGGAATGGATTGTACGCTAGCCCCAATACAGCTACGCCCGTCAGCACTCAGCCAATATAAGTGCATCAAGTGGGTCCGGGAGTCGACACGATTGGCTACAGTCCAAGACCCTGGGTCGATCATCCTCCCAAACAGTCCATATCACATCCGCCAGGGGCAGCCAAAACAAAACAACTCCCAGGGTAGGATCAACTGGCTGCGTGTCAATAGTGCCGGGTATTGTGTGGCCCTCCCCTTACTTTTTTCTCTCTGTATTTTCTCGCTCCTCTGCAGTCTGTAACTGCATTGTGCTTGTTTGATGTTGTCTCGCTTTCAGAGTCAACCTCCTCCTTTACGACCCACCGTTCTCTGTAAGGTACCTACTCCATACGTCCTGGAGTGGAGTTCTTCTGGCAGTATCACGGCAGGTACCGAGTCACTCACAGCACGAGCAGACTCTGAGCTGTCAGGACAGAGTACCTCTAACGGAGAGGTACTCCATAACGCCTAGTGTTACTATCCAGCTCCACTTGGAGAGAGATGGCTGGGTACCGTCCACTGCCGGAGCGGAGAAGGAAGCAACGAGTCTCGTACTACATCGTCGTAAGTGACGTTCATTGATTTGAAATCTCGCTGGGCTTGATTCTAAGCTGACCATAATTCTCTTTAGTAATTACATACTATCATCTCCCTATGCCGATTCCCCCTCCCGGTACCGTCTTAGACAGTGTTTTAGAAGCACCCGCTTCCCACGTAGTAGTCAGTATCAATTGACCGAATCCCTTCCTTCAGATCCACTCTGTTTTTCTCCCATCTCTTTGGTCTGGATCCAGTTTTCTCGCTGTCCTTCCTTCTCTGGGATGACTACTGGAGCCTAAAACAAAACATATCAGCTGTCAGATAGTCTAGGACTCATCTCCTACGGTGTGATCGACTCTTGCATGGACTTTAAAACGACACCATTGATCACTGGCGCGATAATCTGGGTTCAGCTATTCCTTAGCTCGCGACTCAATATGGAGTACATATCATATAGAGTCTTGCTGGATCCACTTGACTTAGAAATCCCTTTCTCACAAGATTGTCCAGAGACGGGTTTAAGTTTTATTGACGCTTCTATTGGAACTACTCATATTACTGTTCGGATAGCTGATATTCCAGCAGGATATGCAGTTAAAGATAAATAAGCTCTTGGCCTCCAGGTGTCAATAAGCATGTTGGTGTCCTCGATACTATATAGTTACATACTAGGCCTATTGGGTAGTTTGCTGGCAAAGCTGGCAAAGCGATATAAGAACTTTCATAACCACAATTACTATCAATTTCTCAGCTCACCTCTTCCTGTTCCGTGAGGGCAGATAGCTACTATAGGAGATGGTCAGGCTCTGCAATTCACCAACAGGGTCTAAAGGATACAAGACATCAATATATTTCACCTTAATGTCCGAGGTATATGATCACATCAGCAGAACAATGTATAGCACTTGAGTTTCAACTTTATAGCTCATAGCTAGCCACTGACTACCTGGTATGTCGAGTCGACTCCTGGTCAACTTATACTTTACAGCCATGAATCAGATATAAGTCTTTAAGACAACTGTATGATAATTATATAATACATAATCACCTTCAAAGACGTCTTATTCTATATGTTGGTTAAACTTAGTCACGGGCTAGCTAATAAGTGCAGTAAACACCAGCCAATATAGTAGAAAGTGTTCATCTCTATAGCAGCACCAAAAAGCCTTGGTATAGATATAGAAAAATATCATAGTATAGTTCTACTTAGATATATTTGGTATACTGTAGCTTATATTTATTTTAATCTAAATAGTCCACCGTTACTTGATCAGCCAGTGAGTATATAGTATATATACCCTTAGTAGGTATAGATATATGTATATAAGCACTATGGTAATTACCTCTTTTAGGAATAATTATAAGATTCTATCTATGGAGCTTGAGAGTATCTATTTCTTTTCAACCCGGAGTAAAATCGGGAGACTTTGTAATAGAATCATAGATGTATGTCCTCAGGAGCTATATATTCTCTGGCAGCAATGGCCGGTATTGAGGTAAAATTGTATATAGTAACATCACGGCTAAGCTAAGATATATATATAGGTACATATTCTTTGTTCATAAATATACTCATATAAGTTAATGATAACCATATACATTCTGAGATTATATGTAATATATTGAAGGCAGCTGTTCTGAAGAGATTTAGGTACCAGATTGTCTAATCATAGAGCTGGTAATCAACAGTCTGGGAAACTATAAACCATAATATCATTAAATCATAAGATAGTATTATGAAGCGACCATCTAAGCAACTCATTACTCCTTTTGTCCTTCAATCTGCCTCCATCCGTCAAAAATCCGGGTATCAATTCCCTCTCTCCACCCCCATGCAATACAGTAGTGCCTGGAGAGCAAACGCCACTCCTCCATCTCATCCAGCATTTCCAGTCCCGCGACGCGGTCCTTTTCTTCCTCGCTCACCCATTTCTCCCAAATGAAGTCTATATCCGCCGCAGCCTGCCCGCTCGCAAACCCCTGCTCCCGCAGCCGCGTCTGCTGGGCCCCAAGCGACGCATACCGATGCAGCGTCTGCAGGTGGATGCCGCGGGCAGCCAGGTTCGCGACCATCGTCCGCCCAAACGCGTCGTCCGGCCGGATGGGCTCATACAGCACAACGCCCAGCGGCGTCGAACGAGCTGCCGTGGCGGGAAACAGCGTGTCCGTAAAGTATCCAAGCACGCCAACCGCTTCGCTAGGCGACAGATACACCAGGCAACATTCCGAGATCAGCAATGTAGGCAGTTGTGGGTCAACACCCTGCAGCCTGACGTCTGGACGTCCCTGATTGTGTTCCTGTCCCTGTGCACCAGCAGTAAACGTGGGGGGTCCCTGCGTCTGGGCCAGGGCCCGCAAATCAAGGGGGTGGATATGATATGAGGGAGAGTGCAGCGCATCCCCTGCGTCGGAAACTGACACGCCCTTCCCTCCTCCGTCTCCAAGCCCCAGTATCTCCTGCAGAAGTGGTGATGAGCGGATCGCCTTGATCTTGGAAGCCGTGTTGACAGCAAAGTCAATCTCATGGTACACAATGTCCGGGCTGTCTGATCCTGGTCCTGCCTGTTGCTGTTTCTTTGCATGGGACAGCAGTCGGAACACCCGCGTATCGGACCCGGCTCCTAGCGAGACGATCTGTTTTTTCTTCGTCTCCGTTCCATCGTTTCTTTCTTCTTCCAAGAAGCGAGCAACAAGATGATCAATCGCAGTGGTTCGGACGTAGGTTCCTAGAAAAAAAAAAAAGAAGCCACGACATATTAGTTAATCTAGCACCCTTTATAGAGCAAGCGATGCATACGTACCTCGATTGATGATCGGCAGCCTTCTCATTTCTTCTCCAGGACATAGTATCCTTGCAAATGGATCTTCTAGGTATCCCAGTGCAACAGCACTCAGACGGGACACACTGGCATCGTTATCTGTGCTCTGCACAACACGGTCCTTGCCCGCTGCAGAGCCACGAGTCCCTCCGCCTCCTCCATGGCTGTCTTCACCGAATCGAGCGCCTCCGCTGCCGCCGCCACGACCTCTAAGGCGGCCTCTACCACCGCCCCGACGAAGGGTGTTGAGGTTTGGGATTTGAGGCGCGGACATGTCGAAGCGGGGAGAAGTTTCAAGGGGAGGGGGAGCTCTGACGGCAGCTTATTCAAGTGGGGGGGGACTCTCTGTTCCCCGCAGCACTGATGCGATGACAAGATACTGAAGTATTAATTATTAAGAGAAAATATATACATATATATATATCTCTCTCTCTATATATATATTCCGTCGTATCATACGTGCTTCAATAACAATTATCGAAAAAATATTGCTTCAAGCAGAAATCCGACCTTGGTATACTAAATAAACTGATTCAAGATTATTACACGTAGACGAAGTTGTTGCGGCATAGAGGACAGGTGCTCTGGTTGCTGCTCTTGAACCACCGGAACAGACAGACGGAGTGGAAGGTGTTCTTGCAGGTGGCGCATCGCTTGTTTGGCGTCTGCATGTCGGTTGAGATCACCGAGTAGCAGATTGCACATTCGCTCTGTCCCTTGAGAGCGCCCTGGACGTTTCGGCGGAAGGCAAGCAGCCCATCCACCAAGTTACCATTTGCGAACATGATCACACCCTGGATTGCCAGTAGCCAGCCCTTCCAGTTCCGTTCGTCTACCAGGACCCGGCTCCGGCCTACAACCAACGCAGGCTGCAGAGGGTACGCTGGCGGGAGGGAGATGGAGATCGCCACGGGCGGCGAATCTTCGTCAACAAAGATGCTCGCTATGATCTCCGCCGTTTTCGAGGAGATCTTCAGGCTCAGAGCTCTTTCTTCGTTGGCGTCTTGAGTCGATATCCATTCTGATACTCCCTGAAGGGCATCTCCTATAACCAGAGGCGATATCTAGGGTAGGCAATCAGTATGATGTTTTCAACAGGCACCGCAAGACAGTTGGACGTACAAATTTCCGAGACCAAGATTCTACTGGGCCCCTGATGCGATTTGTGGTGTCGAGCCACCAACTCTTGGTCATGTTGGCCAGATACTTCAATGCCAAATAGTATAGATTCACCAGCAGCCACTGGGTCTCTTTCTCGGCTGTCTCGGACTGATCGGGTTCAAATGATCTGATGTCTAATTTCGACGGATCAATGAACTTCCCTGGAGCGCTCTGGAGGAAGTCGAACGTGAAATCCAAGAGAGGGGCGAGGCTGTCGTTTTCTTTGATATTGGAGACATAGTGTTCTTGCACAGGAAGAGACTGCTTGATATCAGCATGCATGTTATACCAACCGAAATTCAAGGCAGAGAATACATACAGCATTCGAAAAATGGTCAAATACCACCTTCCAACTCAGTAAGTACGATCGTACTTGAGTCCACGCCTTGTCTTCACTGGCAACAGAAGCAATCATGTCTATCGTCGGAGGTTCAAGAAGCAAAGACAGGAGCTCATCAGGGAGTCTGACAGCTGTCTTCGACAAGGCAACATCAAAAGACACCTGCTCTTGGACACTGGGGATGTACCGGTGTAGGAGTTCATACGCTGCGCGCTGGATGACCCGGCTGTTCGCTGTCAACAGAGGGAAGACCTCGCTCACATCGGCTAGGTTCTTGACCGGGATACTGCTGATAACTCGACACAACAGCTCTACGGTCAGATCGCGAGGCTGGTGGAACGTGATAGAAGAATCTAAGAAGAAGTGAGTAGAGGCCCTATATGAGGTTTCCAAAACATCAAACTTACCAAACGTGGTCAGGGTAGAGGTCAAGTTCTTCTGGAGGGTTGCCCTCTGTTCAGACCACGCGTCCTGCACGTCGTCATTGCCATCGCCTTCCGCTAGTCTCTCTAGACATATATAAAGTCGGAAAGAGGACGCTAGCACAGGCAAGGCTGCGTCTCCGCCACCAATTTCCGTCCAAATCGCGTTCATAATGTCCATGCTCTCTTCCCAATGTGACCCATAGATTTCACTAAGGCTAGATAAAACCAAAGTTAAGGTCTTAAGGATCTCAGCCTTGAGCCCCAGAGACAAAGCCTCCCATTGTAAGCATTGAACGAGGTTCTTGACAAGGAAAACTAATCGTTGTGTGGGAATAGAGGCCACCGTCTCTTTATCACCGGACAATAAAAGATTGGCAAGTGCCAATTTCCGCAGGCCTGTGAAGTCATATCTGTGAGTGAAAGATTATCAAAGTCATGGTCTTTGGCCTACCTTCGTTCTTTTCATCCTGGGGCTTCATGCCTGTAGAATCGGCAATAAGTTCGTTACAAAGTCTTGTGCCAGCCGGCAGAGAAACGATCTTGTCTTGTAGAAGAGAGAACCAAGCTGCTGAACGTATAGCATTGGCGCTACGAGTTTCCCGACAAATCTTTGTCAGGTCATCGGAAGTTTTGTGCATTTCCAGAGATTCCGAAGCCGTCATGATCTTGACAAAGGCTTCTCCAATACGGTATGCGAGTGGCGAGAAATTGGCAAGTCTTTCTAGCTTGTCTTCCCATAGCGTGGCCAAAATTGAAGAGACGGACTGGCTACCCCTGTGAGGCACAGTCGAATCAATCCAGGTGTTGATGAGCTTCCAGCCATCGGCAACAACTTCCATGTACTCCACCCGCTGCTCCGCCAGCTCCAATCCTGTGATGCCATTGCAATACTCAATGCTCAAGTCATCATCAACGAGCTGGACAGCCAAAGGAACGTAATAGAGTAATGTCTGTAGATCCTCTTCACCTAGTAGCTCAACAACCTCAGATGATGAGGCGATTCTGGTAGTGTAAGAGAATAGTCGGAAAGCCGAAGAGCAGTTGCTCGAATCTCGTGGGACTGCATTCCACTTCTGTTGGAAGTCTTCCGAGACTTGGCTGTTGATCAGATGAACGACACCTCCTAGAGGGCTTGTCAAAGCCATTGAAGGCCGAGGTGGGAGATTCAAAAATGGACTCAATGCCTTCTCCCATGATATGGCAGGAGGCAGAATGCCCTTTACTGTGTGTTCCTTATCTTCGGTCTTGCAGGTTCGGAGGAGTTCTTCCGCAATTCCAAGCAGAGATTCAATTCTGTTGAACGATTAGAATATTTGATGCTACCATCAGATCGTGCCCACTTACGAAAGTGACTCATAATTGACTTCATCGAAGCTGTGTTGTAGAATTGCCAGGTTAGAGGTTGTGCTCGCATCGCCAGCAACTAATCCTCTCAGTTTAGCTACCAAGGTATCTGCAAGACCTGCAGATTCTTCTGCGAGGGACTCAGAAAGGTACAGCAATTTGCTAGTAAGCTTCGCGCCATTGGGTCCACTTTGAAAGTCTCGAATGGCAGATGGAACCGTATCCGCGATTTGAGACAAGCCGAACAAGCTATCGAGAACCATGCCATCCACAGATAAAGACTCGATGATTTTCAGGAAGAGAGAATCAGTAAGTTCGCCACGGAACGTGATATTTCCCAGGACAGCAACGATAATTGTCCATTGTTGTTGGCTCCCTTTCAAGGCTCGGTCAAGAGCTTGCATAATGACCGAGTTAAGCTTAGCCTTGTCAACAACCTCGTTGAATTGAAGCGTGGAAAGGAGTTTCTGGAGAATAGGAGCACTTGGTTGTTCGGGTCCTAGTTCTATTACACGTTCAACCACATTTTCGTAACTTGAACCGAATCCTTCCCAACTTCGACAGGCAAGGATCATTGCAAAGAGGCGGTCTCCGGAAGGTGAGAATAGGAGTTCAGGTGCCTCGTCTGTCACAAAAGCTAGCAACTTTTGAGAACGCCGGGCGATTTGAGGGACATAGCAGATCGATTCTTCGGCGACTGCTGCCGCTCCATAGGGTTTGCCATTCCGAGACCCCAGGACCTGTAGACAGCTCTCAATTAGTGGTAAACCGGTCTTCTGAAACAGATCCAGCGCTTGTGATTCAAACTCAGTGCCGGAAAGTCGTGTGAGGATGGTGCTTTCCAGAGCGAAGAGCCGTTTGCCTTGGCTGCAGATTGCATCCTGAGAAGGTTTGAAATCTTTGGACTGTTCGGGTGAGGATAATTTCACTGCTTCAAGCAACTTATCCGATGATTCAGCCCATAGTGGTTGTAGTTCATTTGTATACCCGTCCTTGGCGAGCGTCGCAAAGATATCAGAACAAATGGCTTCGGCAAATTGTGATGGGAGCGCTCGAGAAGGTTCGTCTACCTTCGATATCAAGTATCGTCTTAATATCGGCGATGCACTACCTTCAATGAACGCTTTCTTATCATTTTCAGCAAGCAAGGATAAAAGCCACACGCAGGTCTCAGTATATGACTTCCACCCGATCACTAGATTTTGGCGCGGCTCCTCCCTTGAGTAAAGGCCTTCCTGGAAAGCTTCCAATAGGGAACTTGCGTTAGAAAGGCTGATTTTATGGGTTGCCTCTGTTTCTGAATCATTCTTAGCTAAGACTTGTAACGGAACTGTGCGTAGTAACTGAGTCAGATTAGTCCAGAACGAGCCCAAGCCGCCCTGTGACCCCTTCTGGATATACTGTATTAGTCGCTTGGATGGCGAAGACTTTCCGATGTAATCTGTTGTCCATAACTGTGGTCTTGAGGATGTTACTTCCAGCAAGCATCCCGATAGCTCTGTTGATGAGCCCAGTTGAGACAGTGCCAAGGACTTTCCAATGAGTGATGCGCTGACGATTCTCCAATCGAGCTCCCCGGGTTTCTTTGATACAGTAGATCGAAGTAACGCGTAAAGGCATCGACGGACGAAAGGGTCTTCATGAAAGCCAAACGCCCATAGCGATTTACTTCCAAGCAAATTCTGAATAGTCGATTCATCCTTTTGCAGATCCTCTTCTGCCGAGCTTCCTACATGGATGGTGAGCCACAGCTGTTGCCGGATTTCTCCGTATAATTATGTTGAGACTAACCTAGAACGCGATTAAACAGAGATAGGGCAGTCCCAACGACACGTGCGTATTTCGCTTCGGCGTCGTCAGGTTTCACCGTCCTCTCATCGCTTAGAGTCAAAGCGGTCTGCTGAAGGAGGACATCATCTACAAAGTCCAGGATCGAACTCTGATAGATTTTCCACACACTGCTGCGCTTCTCTTCTGTAGAGAAAACGCGCGTGAATGACTCCAGAGCAGCTCGGACAACAGGCCTATCGGTATCATAAAGCCCTGCGAGCCAGGCACCGATCACTTTTGGTAAATGGCGTGCAATCCGTTTACCCACCAGAGAGGCAACAGATCCCTGGATGGAATGGGCAGTCTGTCTGACTCTCCGAGAGAGATCTATTGAAGTTCGAGGGTATATTTTGATCTATAGTATCTTGTTAATAAGAAGTGTCCTGAGAAGCACTTGCAGTTACATACCCAAGCTTCCAAAAACCCATCATCAAGTGTACCCCCCCGACTCTCGATGGCGCCAATATGCTCTTGTAAGTCATCGACAGCCTTTGTTCTGGTGATCTCATCTTTCTTCAAAATGTTCTTAAATGCAATCACCAATTGAGGCTCGGAAATGCGGGAGAGGTCCGGAGGTTCAGCCACATAGGTAAGGGAGGATGGCTCTTTCCCTTGGCTGGAAAACGCACTCTGGAATCCCCCAAACGAGCCCCCAAAGGCGTTAAACCCGCCCGCAGCAGCTCGGCTGCTTGAGGCTTGAGACTTGAATTTTTTACTCATAAGGCGGGGGTGACGTGAGATGGAAGATGGGATGGTGAAACAAGTTAAACGGGCGAGAATCAACGAGCCGCGTCTCAACTTGGCTGTGCGCTATATAGATCTCAGGACAAGCCTCAGCCTAGACCGTCTTTCCCAGCTTTTCTCGCCCAAGGCGCTTGACACTTGAATCGCTGTCAATGAGGGGATTCACCTGTTGGAGGAGCAGTGTGTTATCTCCTGCTTAGTCATGCTCCGATAAAGTCACATGATCTGGTGTCATTTGCGGAAAAGTCGACGCGGTCTGGGCGCGATTATTATTCAATGAGGCAGAGCCAATCTTGCTGCTTGCTTATCGACGCCTGAGCTGGGGGAGGCTCTTGCAAACCACAGCCCGCCATGAAGTTCTTTATCGAGTAAGTGACATGTCAGGCAGTGCTTGGTTTGATGGAAATCTTCAAAGCTAATGACTATGGGATAAAATAGCGACCTCCCCGTGCTGTTCCCGTACCCTCGTATATACCCCGAGCAATATGCATACATGTGCGATCTCAAGAAGACCCTCGACGCCGGGGGTCACTGCGTCTTGGAGATGCCGTCCGGTACTGGGAAGACCGTCTCTTTGTTGTCTCTGATCGTTGCCTATCAGCAACATTACCCAGAGCATCGGAAGCTTATCTACTGCTCGCGGACAATGTCTGAGATCGAGAAAGCTTTAACGGAGTTGAAGGCGTTAATGAAATATCGAGAAGGCCAGCTAGGCCACACAGAAGACTTCCGGGCACTAGGGTTGACAAGTCGAAAGAACTTGTGTCTACATCCGTCCGTCAAGCGAGAGAAAAGTGGCACCGTGGTAGATGCAAGATGCAGGAGCCTGACAGCAGGCTTCGTCAAAGAGAAGAAGGAAAGAGGCGAAGATGTAGACCTTTGCATATACCATGAGGTTTGTGGAACATCTCTTCGTACTGGCTGCGATAAGAGGGAAGCCTTTTACTGAGGAAGCCCTAGAATCTCGACTTGCTGGAACCGCATAACCTCGTCCCTACTGGCGTCTTCACGCTCGACGGGCTAATAAAGTACGGAGAGCAACATAAGCAATGCCCATATTTTTCAGCAAGACGCATGGTAAGTCCTTGTCCTAGTCTTCAGCTGTCTTGGAGTCTAATCCAAATAGATGCCCTTTTGCAACGTTATCATCTACTCTTACCATTACCTCCTTGACCCGAAGATTGCCGAACGAGTATCGAGAGAGCTCTCGAAAGACTGCATCGTAGTATTTGACGAAGCCCACAACATCGATAACGTCTGCATCGAATCTTTGAGCATTGATATCACCGAAGACTCGTTACGAAAGGCTACACGAGGAGCAAGCAACTTGGAACGAAAAATTGAAGAACTGAAGAGCTCCGATGCGGAGAAACTTCAAAATGAATATACAAAGCTGGTCGAAGGTCTTCGAGAGGCAGAGCAAGCTAGAGAAGAGGACCAATTCATATCGAATCCGGTCCTTCCGGACGACCTACTGAAGGAAGCAGTGCCCGGTAATATTCGCAGAGCGGAACACTTCGTTTCTTTTTTGAAGCGATTCATCGAGTATCTCAAAACGCGTATGAAAGTCACACATACCATATCCGAGACTCCACCATCTTTCTTGACCCACCTAAAAGATTTGACTTATATCGAAAGGAAGCCGTTGCGGTTCTGTGCCGAACGTCTGACTTCCCTGGTGAGAACTCTTGAGCTAGTGAACATCGAAGATTATCAGCCTCTTCAAGAAGTTGCCACGTTCGCGACCCTGGTTGCAACTTACGACAAAGGTTTCTGTTTGATTCTGGAGCCGTTTGAGTCCGAAACAGCCACCGTGCCCAACCCAGTTCTGCATTTCACCTGTCTGGACGCTGCCATTGCTATCAAACCAGTATTCGACCGATTTAGCTCCGTCATCATTACCTCTGGGACATTGTCCCCCCTTGAGATGTACCCGAAAATGCTAGGGTTCACGACCGTGCTTCAAGAGTCATACAGCATGACCTTAGCACGCCGCTCTTTCCTACCAATGATCGTGACTCGTGGGTCCGATCAGGCTCAAGTTTCTTCCGGATTCCAGATTCGAAATGATCCTGGCGTTGTACGCAACTACGGTAATCTTGTCCTCGAATTTGCACGAATCACCCCAGACGGGATCGTTGTCTTCTTCCCGTCATACCTCTATATGGAGTCGATTATCAGCATGTGGCAGGGGATGGGCATTCTAGACTCGATCTGGAACTATAAGCTGATCCTTGTCGAAACGCCGGATGCTCAAGAATCGTCTCTCGCATTGGAAACATACCGCACAGCGTGCTGTAACGGACGAGGAGCGGTCCTATTTTGTGTCGCACGGGGAAAGGTATCAGAAGGTATCGATTTCGACCATCACTATGGCCGTGCCGTGCTCTGTATTGGTGTGCCATTCCAGTATACCGAATCTCGCATCCTTAAAGCCCGTCTTGAATTCCTTCGGGAAAACTATCGCATCAGAGAGAACGACTTTTTATCTTTCGACGCCATGAGACACGCCGCACAGTGCCTGGGCCGTGTCCTACGAGGGAAAGATGACTACGGAGTCATGGTGCTGGCTGACCGTCGGTTCCAAAAGAAACGGACCCAGTTACCCAAGTGGATCAGTCAAGCCATGCTGGAGAGCGAGACGAATCTAAGCACAGACATGGCCGTGGCAACAGCCAAGAGCTTCCTTCGAACCATGGCCCAGCCGTTCAAGGCCAAGGATCAAGAGGGAATCTCAACGTGGAGTCTGGCCGATCTCGAGCGACATCTCGCTAAACAAAGACAAGAGGAGGATAGAATGAAGCGCGAAACACTCGCAGACGCTCAAGCAAATAATGGTTTTCATCGCAATGGAGCCGGCATTGCAGACCATGACGAATTTGACGACGGCATTGATGAAGACTTGGTCATGCTAGACGCCCAGTAAACAACAAGGCAAGACTAGGGTCTGTCTATGCATGCATATTAACCATTAAATATCTGATTTTGACTATCTGTCGCAAGCGTTCTTTTCCTCACCTGCTTCATTTGAATTGGAAAAACTACGATCATGATACCATAGCACTTAGGTTGGAGTTTTGAGGTAGAATTGGATATGAAAATTTTTAATCATCTCAGTATCAACAGATCAATAGCATCTTTAGTAGTTCTATATATCCATTAACAGCAGAAAGGAGCTTGCTAATTTGAACAGAGGAAGTACTTTTGGTTCCGCTGACATGAAACTCCAAATCAATCATAGGGCACATGAAGAGATTGCACTAAATAGGAGTACGAAATTTCAAAATCAACAAAAAGAAAGGAAAATGTACATAGTTTCTTCCATATTAAGAAACCCTATTTTGCCCAAGGCTAGGCCACAGGGGCAAGGACATCAAACCCGCCAGTTCCGGTGTTCCCAACACGACCAACGACAATCCTGGCACTTGGGTTTTTGAGATTATCGAAATCTCTCTCGAGGACTGCATCCTTGAGGAAGCCAACGGTCGTTTCGAAACTCATCTTGGCCAAGGGCGACGAGCTATCCTTGACAAGACCCATGCGGTTGAAGGCACGGAAACCGCCGCTCTGGGTCATCACATCGCCGATGAGGTTCAGATGGCGGTTGTCGACGGAGATGCTGTGACCACTGAACACATCACCCATTTCCTTGACGATGGACGCCCGTGCAGCTTCAACACCGTAGTATTTCAGCATGTCGTGGATGGAGTTGGTGTAAAGGGAGTGAGGCTTGATGATGTCTTGGTAATCACGCATGGCGAGCAGGTTGACACCGTCCGTGACAACATGGGCAGGCTGACTCTTGATAGGATCGGCTTCCACATAAGTACAGTCCCCGAGACCAGGGATAGACTGGATGATGGCGCTGCGTGCGGCGGACTCGACCAAAGGCAAAATCAGCAGCTTGGGGGTGTTGATGTCGTACTGTAACTGGATCAAACATGAAATGCCCTTCTTGGGATTGAACTTGAATTGTGTCACTTCATGGAACTTGTTCCTGATGTCTTCCTCGCGCAGCCTGGTGTCTTTGGTCTCTTCATCAGAGTCGACATCGTCCGAAGCACCAGCCATCTCAATGTCTTGTGTGCCACGAGACTTGACTTCGCCCGAATCCTCATCATCAGACATTTCTTCCGCATTGTCTTGTTGACGAATAATGTCGGCTTCATCATCGTCAGGTCCCTCATACGAAACCTGGTTCGATCTGTTCTGACCGCCCCTGGCCCTCTTGGCATCGTCCTCGTCATCTTCGTCGTCATCATCGCCAGACCCTCTCTCAGTATCAGCGCCTCTGGGAGCGTCTTGAACAACGCCAACAGAGACACCTATCTCAGGCTGAGCCGTGGAGAAATTCTTCAAGGATTTCTCATCATTTCGCTTCTTGAGCTCAGTTCTGGTGAGCTTCACGAGCTTAGGAATGAACTTATTTTGGAAGGTGTTCTGGACATCCTTGACATGAATAGCATACTCTTCAGTATACTCCTCAGGAGGGAAGAGTGTCACTTCAATGTCGTAAACCTTTGCTCGCGATCCACCTGAAATAATGCGCTCCTTGACCTGAACATTGTCGACGAGTTCGGCGATGCTCAGTTTGCTGATACCCTTGGCGAACTTCTCAGAATCCGAGTTGGTCAGTTCCTCATTCAGCATCAAGGTCATCGTCGGGGTCATGATATTGGCACTGGCTGTCATGACGATTTCTCTTAGTCGAGGAATACCCAGGGTGACGTTCTTGGCAGAGTGGCCAGCCAAATGGAAGGTATTCAGCGTCATCTGGGTGGACGGTTCACCAATAGATTGACTAGCAACCAGTCCTACAGCCTCGCCAGGATCCACCACGGACTTGAGGTACTTCATGTTCATCAAGGTGTTGAACCCCTTCTTGCTGATAACACCCTCGATGTCCTTCTTCTTATCTTTCAGGAGTTTATCTGGGTTCCCATCCTCATACTGTTTGTGGAGAAAAAAGGAAGTTAGCGTTTAGTTCGGGAGAGATAGATAAGGTGTGAAGTTCTTACCTTCTTAAGCGCCTGAGAGAATGACTCGGAAGTACTTCCCAGGTTGCCACCAGGATGATAGTGGGCTAGGACAGGATCCATAGCATCGACCTTTCCAGTCTTTCGGACCTTCTTCATGGCATCCTTGTGCCAGTTTGTTACCTCCTCCTTTGCAAGAGTATGGAAGTCGCTGGTCAGGTTGACTTGAGACATGATTGAAATATAATTGGAAGCCAAGAAATCGAAGTCCCGAAGATGCACTTGCTTGGTGATATCAAGACCGTCCTCTCCGTACAGGAATTGCACGACTGAACCGTCCGATGACTCTCTGACAGAGGTATCATATTCAGCCTTGAGGCCCTCCATACCCTTAATCAAGCAGCGCTGCAAGTAGCCGGATCGAGATGTTTTAACGGCAGTATCAATAAGACCTTCACGACCAGCCATAGCGTGGAAGTAGTATTCTTGTGGTTTGATACCAGTCAAGAAACGACCACTAACGTAGCCGCCTGCCATGGGATTGGTGTCAAAGGCCCTGAATGACGGCAACGTTTTGCCGCTAATCATCACAGGCACACGACGACCCTCCAAAACTTGCTGACCCAGATTGCAAGAAATCAGATTAGCATTGACACTGGAACCCTTGGCTCCGGAGATGGTCATCGACTGCATCTGATTCCATGGGAAAGGCTTAGCCAAGCCACGAGGAAGGCAGGCGGCGGTGACTTCAGATGACAACTCGGCAGTTCGAGCGTTCGTGACGCTATCCAACCCGCTTTGCTTGTCGTCGTCGCGAAGGACATCTTCTAACCGCCGACGCAGCTCGGCATCCTCATCGGGCACAGTAGTCTGATCGAGAGTGACGTACTTCAGCGCAACTTTACGGCCGATGTTAGAAGCCTGGCTGAGCTTCTCCTTGCGCATCCGGTCACCCTCCTTGGTCAGTCGAAGGTCATCAATACCGCAAGTGAATGCACGCATGTTCAAAAATCTCGTGAGTAATCGTCCAAGGATGCCAATAAGACGACCGGCAATGGTATGTCCGTAAATTTCGTGAATGGCATCGATCAGACCGCCTGCAGTAGGACCGATCTGTTTCTTATCGAGGATACCGCACAACATCTCACCGTCCTTGAAAATCACGTTGCCTTCTTCGTTCCCTTCTCCCCATCGGTCTCCGGGTGTCGAAGATTTGCTCTTGAGATTGAGTCCAGCTCGTCCAGGAGGCATAATATTCTTCAAGATAGTAGTGATTATCTGTTTACCCGTCCAGAGACGCTGAGGCCGGATCATGGCAGGCTCAACAAGCTGGATACGATCAGAGATTGTATGCGAGTTCTCCGGTCTCAAGCAGCTGTACAATAATTCTTGATAATCTTCAATATTGAAGAAGCTGTCTCGGCAAGTGAACCATGTACCCATGGAGATGTGATCTTGAATCAAACCTCTCAACGGCTTACCAGCAGTTGAGACGAGGTACTGGTGATCAGCATCTGCAAGCATCATTGCCTCTGCCCTTGCCAACTCGTTCTGAGGGAAGTGCATATTCATCTCGTCACCGTCGAAGTCGGCATTGTAAGTATTACAGTTAGCATAATGCATTCGGATTGTTCGTTCGTTGGGAAGGACTCGAGCTTTGTGACCCATAATGGAAGGTTTGTGAAGAGTAGGCTGGCGGTTCATCAAAACGACGTCGCCGGTCGTGAGATGGCGGTAGACCTTCTTATTTCTGGACCCCTTCACCCGCCAATTAGAAGGCGCGAGCAGTTGGTTGGCAAGAGCAGTGCGCTCGTCCAGGCTTTTGAACTTCAGATTGATCACCTGGCCAGCCTCATTTTCAATTGCAGCAGCGCCCGGATACTTATCAGGACCATTGATGACCGCCTGCTTCATCTCCCAGAAGTTATGGTTGGTCACAGGTTCTGGGTAGGTAAGCTTTTTAGCGAACACAAGAGGCACACCAATCTCGTTGGTTTCGATATTCGGATCAGGGGAAATGACACTTCGAGCAGCAAAGTTCACTCGTTTGCCCATCATGTTCTTTCTGAACAGACCCTCCTTCTTTTCCAAGATTTGCTTGATCCCGTTCGGCGCTCCTGGTGTTGTAGTTCCGGCCAGAGAGCTCCTGTCGCGATCGATCAAAATGTTGACGGTGTCCTGAAGCTGAACAATAGCGTGGAGTAAATCCCGATAATCGCGCACTCGCGTAGCCGAGTCGGCACCCGCACTCTGCCTTTCTTTGCTGATCTGGTTGATGATATCGCAGTTCTTCAAAATCTGCGTGAATGGCGTGTTCTGCTGAGCCTCGGTAACTTCGTTGGCACCTGAAGCAGCAACAGGGCGGTATTTGTTCGGCGGCACGAGGATGTTCTTGACAAAGAACATATCCGCAGTGACTTTGGATGCCTTCTTGGAAGATGGCCGAGAGTTGTAAATGAGTTCAAGGATTTCACTCTCCTTTTCACAAAGAAGGGTCATTGCGGCGTAGATTTCAGGCGACGGCATATATTGGCCTTCAGCAACAGCCTGCTCTTTATCCGATCGTCTCTCCTCAACTTGCGCAACGACAGCATTGCCCCGGGCGACTTCTTCTTCGGCGCCATGTAGTTCCGTGACAACGCTGTCGCCATCGGAGACACCGTTTGCAAGGGACTCTTTCTGTTTGGAGTTCAACTTTTTGGCCTGTTGAAGGAGAACCAAGGAGTTCGGCGCCTGGAACCCGCCTTGTAACATGGCCAGTCTCGCCTTTTCTCCGAGAGACTTCCTGAATATCTTCGAATATCTGTCCTTTCGATAGCCTGGAGAGATTCTTCACAATCCAATCAGCTACTGCCAACACAAAAAGAGGGAGAAGGGTTTTCTCGGGGATTCTCAGCACATACCCGCTACAGCTGGTACACTTCTTCGCGGCGCCAATATCCTTGAAGAATTGTTTAATCAATTCACGTCTCTGCTCTGCAGCGATAGGATTTTTCGCGCCAGCCATAAGGCCTTTCAATTTGCCTTCCATCTGCGCCTGACGAATGGAGCGCTTAACAAAGGCATTCCGCTTGCGCATGATGTCCTCATCATCGTCCTCTTCCTCGCTGCTATGGTCATCGGTGTGTTTCTTCCCATCCTTTGAAGCTTTTTTCATATCCATCTCATCAATTACCACAATCTCATCCACCAAACCGTACTGCAGGAGTCGCAATTTGCAGCTGTACGCATTGATCTGAGTCCGAGACAGCTGCAAGCGGTGGCAGTAGATACATTGCGCGCGGAGAAGACGATAGAGCTGGTCGAAGAAGGTGACATTGTAGACATGAACCGGCAGCTCAATGTGTCCCGGATGACCGGTGCAAGACCACGAATTCAAGCGGCAAGTGGTACACCTGCAACGCGATTAATTTACAACAAGAAAATTTTTTCCAATTGACCAGAGCACCAAACTTACACATGGTCACCCCATGCCCCCAACGCAGGGTCATACAGACCCCCGGGAACAGGGTTATTGAAGGAATCTAACGTCGGGGTATTGTGAATTCGCTTCACAGAGATAGCTTTGATATCTTCATTGGAGTAGACGCCGAACTCAAGGCCTCCAATATTCGAGGCCACCGGCCGTGCAAAGTTCGCCATCGTTCCTTCGGCACCTCCTGGAATCACAGACCCGACTCCTGTCGCGTTTGCAATGCGATTTGCCCTAGAGAGGGAGCAGCGACGGTCTTCGACCAGAGCTTGCGGGAGAAACTTTTTTGGTGGAACTTTTTCTGCCTGTAGACACCGCTTTTTCTGCAGATCCACTTCCTGAGTCGCTTTCGGCCCAGCGACAGCCAGCAAGCACCGTCATCGTCTTCTTCTCACGTCGACGGTCGTTTACAGGCAGGCTTGCAGCTATCGATCGCGTCTGCTGGCTTGCTGTAGCTGCGGTTTTGGGTTTTTGTCTTGTGAGTTGCCACAACTCGTCTTTATTGACGCCATGGCGGACGTGTCGGGCAGCGTGCTGAAGCGGCCTCACCCTGAGGACGAAGGCAACAATACACAGAAGAGGACACGGTCAAACGATGGCTCCCCGATGCCTAGTCAGGGGGGCTCTGCCGCCGGGAAGCCCGATATTGAAAGAATGGTTGCGGAGGCAAGAGCCAAGGCAGAGGCTGTTCGCGCCAGACTCCAGGCGGCACGAGGCGCAACACCTACTCTTACACCAGCCGCATCAAGTCCGAGCGCTACTCCGCCTACAACTGGTGCCAGTGCTGCTATGTCGAGACTCGAACAGATGAGGGCAAGAGTCGCCGCGGCTACGGGGAAAGCCAACCAGGGGGCTCCGCAACGGCCGGCTGCTCCGGCGCCGACTTATCAACCTCCGGCGTTTGACGATGAAGGAATATCAAAGGCTCGAGGTGGGCTGGATGTTGGACTCCATCCAGCGTTGCTTGGGGATGCGATGCCGGATTTTCGAGGTGCCAAAGGACGACAGATATCGCAGCAAAAGTTCGGCGGTGCGATGGGCAATCGTCGAACCGAATCGCCTATTCCGGGGAAAGAGAAGGCACGGCTCGATATATCTGGGCCTTCTATTGAAGAGATCAAAAGCAACCCATATTTTGACCCCAGCCTTGGTCCTAAGGCTACGATTGCGAAGCCACGGCAAGCACGTCAGCTTGAGTTCAACCCTAAAGGGAAATATATTCAACAGGCAGCTGCTCTGCGGCGTCAGGCACAGCTGGAGGCGATGAAAAAGCGCATTGCCGAAAGAGCACGTCAGGCTGGTATCGATGAGGATTTGGACGTGGAAAAGTCGTTTCTTGTGCCTGCTCCTCCAGCAATCGAGTGGTGGGACGAAGGCCTCGTCAAGGGGTCTGACTACGCCGCTATTGATGACGAGAACAACCTAAAAATCGATACTCCCGATTCCATCGTGACGGTCTACATCCAGCACCCTGTGCTGCTTGAACCTCCTCAGGAGAAGCACATGCCTGAGCAGAAACCAATGTACCTGACTCCCAAAGAGCAGGCAAAGATCCGTCGCCAGCGTCGCATGGCCGATCTGAAAGAACAGCAAGCGAAGATCAGACTGGGCCTCGAGCCGGCACCTCCACCAAAGGTGAAAAAGTCTAATCTGATGAGAGTCTTGGGCGAACAAGCTGTCAAGGATCCAACGGCGGTAGAAGCTCGGGTGAACAGAGAGATTGCCGAGCGTCGCACAAAGCATGAGGATATGAATGAGGAGCGCAAACTGACCAAGGAAGAACGACGAGAAAAGCTAGCCAACCAGCAACAAAAAGATGCTGACAAGGGAATCTTCGTCTCCGTCTACCGGATTGAGAGCCTGGCGAACGGGCGGCACCGCTTTAAGGTCAGCAAAAACGCTGAACAAAATGCGCTGACCGGCGTCTGCGTCATGAACCCTCGATTCAACTTGGTGATTGTGGAAGGGGGAATCCATTCGATCAACAATTACCGGAAGCTCTTGCTGAATCGCATCGACTGGACGGAAAACGATGGCCCAGGCGCCGTCCGCGAAGGCAATCGTGAGGCACAGATAGCCTGGTTGTCTGCAGAAGATGAGAAGACGGGCGAGCTCAAAGATCTCAGTTCCAACGCCTGCACCCTACTATGGGAAGGCCAGACGAAGGCCCGCGTCTTCAGGAAGTGGCTTGGTGCACGGATCTGCGAGACTGATGCGGCAGCAAAGGATACACTATCGCGGTCCAAAATGGAGAATTTCTGGACGCTAGCTAAGAGCTCGAAACCTGCCGAGTACTGAGTCCTTCGAAAGACGAAGAGGATACAATCGAGCTTCAGCATAGTACCTCGATAGACCATCCCGAACGGAAAATTGTGTATTTCTATAATAACTACAACTTCCTGTACATCTTGATAGTGATATGAATTTGCAACTCCCTGAGTACTTTTTCTCTAGCCTAATGCCGAACAGCCATGTTAATACAAAAAACAAGTAAATGCAATGAAATCGTTATAGAAGTGATTGCGTCACATCATCAATTCTGACGGGGGGCCTGGTTTGCATTGCTCAACTGACGCAGAAGATCCAGCTGCGCCTTCACTTGTTCGAATGAAAGGGTGTTCTGTGTCTGAGGCGGCGGGGGTGGCTGCTGTGGTTGATGTTGCTGCTGCTGTTGCTGTTGCTGTTGCTGTTGCTGTTGCTGGAGAACAGCCAAGAAGGCCGGATTGATCTGCGCAGCCGATGCTAAATTTTGGTATGGGTTCTGCATTTGCTGGAAATGTTGCTGTTGGTAAGGCATCTGGAAGTTGAACTGGGCCGGAACTTGAGCCTGGGCATATGGTTGGGGCGGTTGCTGCTGGTGTTGCGGATAACCCGTAAACTGAGGGAACTGCTGAGGAAGGGCGTATGGGGTCTGTTGTCCTTGGTAATATGCAGGTTGACTGTAATTCGAGGATGGTGTTGACTGGGGCTCTGCAGCTGGCGGTTGAGGCTGATGATGATAAGTCGAATGATGTTGGTGCTGGTGCTGGTGCTGGTACTGGGGCTGTGGCTGGGGCTGGGGCTGCTGATATTGTTGCTGGGGGTGGTAGGAGGAAGTGGTGCGTTGATGATGAGATTGACGATCGTGCTGAGAGTTAGGTGCGTTTCCTCCTCTGCCACGATTTCCCCGGCCACGGTCGCTGCCTTTGCCACGACCTCTACCGCCTCGCGAATTGCCTCCTCGAGCTCCGTGGTCATTTCCTTCCACAGGAGCTTCCTGACGACCCATGATTTCGTGGAGATTCTTGGGGCGTGCAAGCGGAGTATAGCCATCCTCGCCTCCCTCGTCGTCGTAGTTAAGCTCGGTTTGACCGAGCTTCGAAGGACCGGGGTGTCCCTTCCTAGTCTTTGAGGCACCACCAGACTCGTTCCTTGCGTCCTTCTTCTCCTGGCGCTTCTTACGCCTGTACTCTGCCTCAGCTTCATCGTCGGAAAACTCGATTTCGTCCTCAGCGATCTCCTCATCATGGAAGTTAGAGGCATCGCTGCCCTTTATTCCCTTCAACGGCTGAGTGAAGACAAACGTGGAGTGCTGCTCAACATAGTACACAGCCTTCTCTTTCGTCAGGCCGTATTGTTCAATGTCGGCCGTAGTCGCATAACGAAGGGCGTAGAGTGGTTGTTCAACTCTACCCAAAGTCTCGGATACCACACCAATCACCTTCCGGTCTTCGGAGCAGAGGAGTGATCCCGTTTCTAGGACCTGGTATTCTCCCGAAGTACTGCCCATCACGAGTACTGCATTATCGACTATCGCTTCAACATGGCCCAACAGCACCACCTTCATTTCGGCAGTAATCTCCATATCTGGAATGGGCAGCACTTCTTCCGGCATTTCGTTCGCAGTCTTTAGGTGTGCGCCGGACTTGCCCTTCCCGTCTCCCTCATCATCCGATCCCATCTCCGCTTGCATGAGTATCCGGGCTTGTTCCTCGGGGCTTAGGATTGGATAATCTTCATCATCGTCGTCACTATCGTCATCCGATGAGTCGGTTGAAGAATCGTCCGATGAGGACTCGTAGGGCGATGAGTCGACTTCCCACTCCGGGTGTTCATCCTCTTCCTCTTCCCCCTCTTGTTCTTCCCTCAACCCAGTGGTCTGTTCGGCTGTTACAGAGGCCACACCATTAACGTCCTCGGCATGGCCATTGACAGCTTCGATCGAATTCCCTTCTCCTGCAGCTGGAGCCACGGAGTTATCAACCTCCATGGCGTCTAGCCCCGTAGAATCCGGTTCATTGCTCTGCTGCTGTGCATCTTCCGGTTGACCAACCACCGGTACATCAGTAGATTCCGCCTGCAACTCTACGGTCTGGGCTGTGTGATCACTGGTATCGGTCACCATAGCCTCCTTTCCCTCCTCGGACTGCAGATTCTTCAGGCCATCGTTGACGAGGTTCAACCCGGGAATCACCGAAGCAGGCTGCGAGGTAACGCTTTGGCGGGCAGTCTGTGTCTCCGCCACCATATCAGACGGCTCGTTGTTTGAGGGTGTCCCAGCCGGCCAGGGAGTATTGTAGAAATCGCTGCCGCTGTCCGCAGGCGTCGCAGAGATCGGTGGCGTATCAATTGCACAGGGACGCTTCATGGGAGGCTCAGTGAGCTCGTCTGGCGTCCCGTGGGAGTGGCCAGAAACCTGCTGGTCGCTCATCTTTGATTTAGACTGAGCTGGTTGATAAACTAAAACCCAGAAAAAGAGAAAGAGGCTTTAAAAGAGTCGGTCGCAGAAGCAGAAGATTTATCGCTTCTTATCGCAACTTTTTTTTTGTTTAGCAGATCAGCACAAGTGGCTCTTCCGTCCCGCCGTAGAAGCTTCCAGGGTGTTATCAGTCTAGAGACAAACTGCTCTTCTCATCAAGCAATTCGAGGAGGAAGTGCTCTTTCAGGATGTCGACGACAGAGAGAAAGCCGAAGGAGGCACCAGAGCAGTCTGGCCGCAAAGGCAAGCCCCGGTATTACCTGATTGTCCTGCGTGGATGAGAGACGCCTGGTGGGCTAACAGCATATCCACGGAGACAGACCACCACCGTCGCCCTTTTATATCCCTCTGAATATCACTCTGTATCTGTTTCTGGTATCTAATGGCCTGGCGGCGCTATATGCTCCTATCCAGGACTGCGATGAAACGTTCAATTTTTGGGAACCAACGCACTACCTCAGCCATGGGTACGGTCTGCAGACATGGGAGTACTCGCCAGAATATCGCATTAGAAGCTGGCTCTACGTGACGCTACATACAATCATCGGGAAAGCTGGATCCCTGTTCTCCAGGAGCAAGAGCGCCGAGTTCTACATCATCCGGCTTTTCCTCGCCCTCGTCTGTGCGGCTTCTCAGACCAGATTATACTCCGCAATCTGTCGGACTCTCAGCCCTCGGATCGGGTTGATGTTTCTTGTGATCGCTGCGTTCAGCCCGGGGATGTTCCATGCATCTTCGGCGTATATCCCGTCGAGTTTCACCATGTACACGTCAATGCTGGGGCTTGCATCATTTCTTGACCGGAGGGGCGGGCAGAAGACGGCGCAAGGCATTATGTGGTTCGGAATCGGCGCTGTAGTTGGCTGGCCGTTTTCCGGGGCTTTGATAGGGCCTTTGCTGCTTGAGGAAATTATTGTTGGCTGGACATCGGGCAGTATGGGCTCTGTTATCCGAAGCATCATCGATGGGACTCTGAGGTGCCTGTTGGTTGCAGTAAGTTACTCTTAGTCGAAATTGTGATCTTTCCTAGAGTCCTCATACCATCCAGGCAACGGAAACGGCAGTTACCTCCGCTTTCTTCCAAAGATTTGCGTTCGTGCCTTGGAATATCGTCGCATACAACGTCTTCGGCGGCCAGGACAGGGGTCCGGATATCTTTGGAACGGAGCCTTGGACATTCTATATCCGGAATCTGCTCTTGAACTTCAACGTCTGGTTTATCATGGCCATGCTGGCTGCGCCTTTCTTGGTTCTTCAAGCGCTGTTTCGGTCCAAGGCTACTTCTCAGCGGACGCCGCTGCGCTCTCTCACTCTCGTGGCTCCTTTCTACTTGTGGCTGGGCATCTTCACTGTTCAGCCTCATAAAGAAGAAAGGTTTATGTATCCGGCATATCCATTTTTGGCCCTCAATGCGGCCATCACCATGCACTTGATACTCATCTTCCTCAGTTCCACCAATCCCAAGGAGATTGTTGGCCGGGTCCCCGTAGAAATCAGGCTTGCCCTGGTTTCTGCGCTCGCTATTTTCGCTGTCAATGTTGGCATCCTCCGTATTATTGGCATGGTAACAGCCTACAATGCGCCGCTCAAGGTCATCGAAGCCCTAGGAAAGCAGGAGGTCTCTAATGTCGCCCAGACGGTATGCTTTGGCAAGGAATGGTACCGATTCCCTTCGTCGTATCTCCTACCTGAAAACATGAGGGCCAAATTCATCCGCAGCGAATTCGATGGGTTGCTGCCTGGGGAATTTCCGGAGGCTAAGGGTTATTTGGATCGCGTCAAGGGCGCCTCCCTAATCCCCACGGGGATGAATGATTTAAATCAGGAAGACCCGGAGAAATACGTAAGTCGCCAATTAAACCCCAACCCCATACCCTTAGCCTAGATTTTTGGCTGACAGCTCAACAGGTCGATATCTCCCAATGCTCTTTCCTTGTCGACTCGTATTTCCCGAGCAGCATGGCCACGGAGCTAGAGCCTCATTACATCCTCAACGAGGCCCATTGGAAAAAGGTCTCATGCCAGAAATTTCTTGATGTCTCGCAGACAAATCTTCTTGGTCGATTAATCTGGATTCCGAAATTGCCTTTTCTCCCGGATCGCTTCCAGCGCAAATGGGGGGAGTACTGCCTTTTTGAACGACGTGACGAAGAGACCATCAACATCTAGTGATCGTCTAGATGTCATCCTTTATCGACTTACTTGAATGCATAGCCTGCAGTCTCGACCCTGTCGCATTGCCTTCCTCTATTCTTATGAGGATTGCGAGACAGGCAGGCAGGCACTGTACAGAACCTTTTCCGAATCCGGATAAAAAATCCCTTTGCCCAATCAAGGATATCGGGGCTCAACGCAACAACGAGGGAGAGATAAGTAAGGTGAAATGGGGTTCTCCACTACTAACAGCCATGGTGATTCGATGACGCTTATCAGTGTTCTTGGAAGGAAACATGAAAGTCCCCCTCTGCTGGTTGTACATATACGATCATTCGGATCAACATGTCGAATCGGGCAGATGTGAATTAACAGCAGAATATCTACACAGATACTAATCAGAGATATATGCATTCTTATATATATTAAATCTATAATATGGGGGTAAACACTGTTACATAAATAAAACAATAAGAAAGCCTCTTCCTGAACTTACTGCCCTCGGATCCCAATATCTCCACTCTATAGTTTAATGATGGATACCACACATCTAGTGACCTTTTTCACGAGGAGTCTCGACCAACTTTCACCCAAGAGCCTAGCAGGTCTGGCCTTCCTAGCGGGTATCTGTGTGTACGCACTGGTCTCTCTCTACAGCAAAAAGAAGACACCACCAGTCGCGGGAAGACGACGATCGCCCGATCCGGAGAAACAGAAGGTAGTCCGGAAGCCAGGAGGTATGATTGATTCTATCGATGATTGTACGAGGTAAAGAGAGGCATCTGCTGATAATAGATACCTCTGTAGAATGGATCCCGTCTGATTTCAAGAGGCCAGCGGCAGCAGCGTTTCCAGATTGGAATGTGCATACCACGAAGCCTATTCCGTATCGTCCTTTCCGATATGGCCCGTAAGCTTTATACTCCAAGGTCTTGTCCTGATTGCATCTGACTCCTTGCCAGGAAATATTTCGTGACCATGGGGTTGAGAAGTTTGAAGTGGGATGAATGGATAGGTAAGGGATCAACCTTTCACCTGATTGAAAAAGAAAAGGAACGAGACACTCAACCCCATACACAGAACTCGATAATCACTATCTCAAGTATCATGCCGACAAAGCTCGTCGAATTGAGGAACGCGGTTCGAAATGCAGCAACACGGCTCCGGAAGCGATGGAGGGTGCCATCGAGCTGCTCGAAGAGCTGTAGGTCGCCTTACTACCCATTGATTAGATTAATCAACGGATCTGTACAGTACCGAATGCTCATATGAGAAAAAAACAGGAGTGCCTATCTGCCAGAAAGATATCCCAGCATGTTCACCAAGACGGCCGTTGGTATGGACAATACCGTCACAGGCGAATCCTTCAACATTGTACAACGCCCGCTTGCCGAAGACCCGATGCAGATGGCTGGCCGGATGGTCCAGGACGATCTGGCTCTGATGTTCGAAAAGTCCGATGGGGAATACTACCTCCTCGCCGGGTCGGTCCTGTTGGCGGGCTTCTGGCGTCTCGAAGACAAGTACGGCATGCGACTTTCCGAGATCCATACCTCGGGCGACGTGCCGCAGTACAAGGAGAAACTCGAGAAGGGGATGATGAACTTTTTCCGTCGGTTGAAACCCGATGATCCCATGCTGCGCAACAACTATTTCATCCAGGTAGACGAGTCTCTGCCCTGGTCGTACAGCATCGGGTCCGAGGACGCGGCCGAAGTGAGCTGGAGCACCGCGGAGAAGAACAAAGCGATCGAACATCACTATTTTCGGTCGGAGAGGCAGTCGCTGCGCAGACTGCCACGGTCAGGCGCAGTCCTGTTCACCATCCGCACCTACTTTGAGCCCATTACAGAGATCGTAAAGGAGCCTTATGTGCCGGGGAGGCTGGCGAGTGCGGTTCGCAGCTGGGGCGATGACGTCTCACGGTACAAGGGAAAAGAGAAGTATGAAGAGGTCTTGCTGGAGTATCTGGATAAAAAGCATCAAGAGCAGGTGGCTGCAGGTTTGAAGCTGGAAGAAGAGGATGAAGTTCGAAAATATCCTTTATAGGACATATATTGTTTCAGTACCCCCACGTCGTTTATATGAGATATGTCAATAAGAACATTAACGGGCTATCCCGGAAGTGAACTCCTAGCCTCAATCCTTGATCTGATGTGCCCGGCAAATTCGAAATCCCATAATGATTTCGCTATTGTGTGGCCCAGGATGAATCATAATTGAGAGAAATATGAGAGTCATCTGTGGTGCCAGACCAGCGGTAGTCTATATGTCCATAGCTGAGACCTTATTCCTCCTTCGACTCGCCATGGCCCACTCTCGTTCTTGTCGCCATGTACATTCATCTCGAAATTCACAGATCCGGCATTTCCATGCATCCATAATCTCAACTCCACGGGGGTCGCGTCCTCCGCGCCACCATTCCATCTGGTCAGAGAGATATGACGTGAGGTTAGTAGGATCAAAGAAGAAGGATCGACTGCCCAAAAGGCGGGTTTCAACCTCTTCTGTTGGAGCAGATGACAAGAATCGTGCAGTAAGAAGCGGAGAAAGGACTGTTGGATACGCTTCTAGCGTACTCGGCTGCGACATGGCCGGGATCGAAGAAGAGATAGAGTGGGCTGCTGCAGGAGTCAAGAAGGTGAGACGAAGCTGATCTTTCATTAAAGCCCAGAGAGAGGCCAAGTTATTGTGAGCCAGAAGAATGCTCGTGGAGTCTTGGCTTGCAGGCTGAATATTAGAAGTGGAGGAGCGGCTAGGGGACTGAAGGGCATCCTCTGGAGTCGGGACATAGTCTGGATCGAATCCTTGGGAAGACAATGCATCGAAAAATCGCTCATTGAGACCACCAACTTCGGAGACAAATGCGTCCGAGAACGGCTGCTCAGGGTCAAAGTCATAGCGATTCGCAAGCAACTCGATCGTGACATCGTCGCTTATAGCGAGACGGTTGAGCAGGTGATAATATAACGATAGCTGGAGCACTGTCGGTCTAAAAGAAGTGCTCTTCACCGTCGGAATTGAGCCGCGGCCCTTTGTCTTGACGTCTGTGAGATAGACTCTAGGGACGTCGTAGACCTCCGATGGTAAGTCGGGTACTGAGATATCTTCAGGAGCCGGTTCTTGGGTTTGCGCCAAGTCAGATAGTTTTTTGCCACCATATTCCGGTGATAAAAGGTAGTCGGTCAAGGACATTTGATATTCAGGCATTGCAACCCGACTCGATTCCAATCCCTCGTAGTAATATGCAGCTGTTGCTTCGAAATCGGGGTCGGGGGATTCGTAGGACAACTGATCGATTATTCCATTAACGACTTCGCCGTCGACCACGCCCCATACCTCCAGTTCTCTTGTGATTCCGAATTCCCGCAACGTGCGTAGCCCCTGGATGACATTCCAGACCCTTAAACCCCAGGCGTCCTCCTTTGTCGTGATCTCGACGGGGACAGTTGTATAGATTTCGTCCTCGAGAGTCTTGTGCACCACACTGCCTCGCGCCATTGCAGGCGTGCTCTTCTTCCTTCCGTACTTGGTCAGTGTGTACCAGTACTGCAATTCGCACCACGCCGGCGAGATGAAATCTGTGACGGAGAACGCCTTGTTCGGCGGTCGTCGAAACCGCTCGACGGGAGGCCGAGCATCCTCGACACCGCCCTGTCCATTTAACTGCCGTTTTCCTGCTTTTATCCACTGTTGTTCTCGAGCAGCGTCTCTCTCCCGCTCTCTGGGTCTGCCCTCGGTGGAGCTGGGATGCTCAACTAAACGCTTCGACAAGACAAGTTATCAGCACACATTTACCTATACGCAAAATTTTTTAGAGCAAGAAAACTTGAAAATCCGTACCAATCGTGGTCCCAGTAATGTCGCGCGAGCTCGGACTTGTAGGTCCCACGCGCTGCGAGGGAAGCCACCGCGACCTCCGTTTCCAGGGCAAACCGGGCTTCTCCTTGCCAAGTACCTTGGGTACCCGAGCACACGGAGCCTCTGCATAATCCTCGATGTCTCTCACCGCAGTTGGGGGTTGCAAATCGCCCAACTTCTCCGTTGCGCGCTGAACCGTCGCGTCGGGGGTGGCAACTTGGGCGAGCAGCTCGTTCAACAGCTCCTCTTCGTCCGGAGTAAAGTCTGAACCATAGTCGCTGCTGTCTGTGAAGTCCTCTGGCATCAGTAACACTTGCGGAAGGGAGGAGCAGGGCATGCCTGCACGGAGCAAACAATCATGGATCAAGTTCGTCCTGTCGGTGGAGAGAAACGCAAGGGAATGTCGCGTGGGGAGAACGTCACGAAGCGGGTCTTCCTCCCTCCCTATCAGCAACGCGGTATTATTACTCGCTCCATGTCTTCCACCAGCGCATACTCTGTCAAAATCTAGATCATGATCTCTGTCTTCGATCTTTTTAGGGACTATGGCTACCTTTTTTTGATTTGTCGCTAGGTTAAGCCGATTCTGTCATATGTTGGGGTGGTAAGGGCAACATCCAGCGGCGGTTTCAGCTGAAATGACAGGGGGACTAGAGGTAGATGAATCATGAAACCATCTTCATCTATCTGATTTAAGGGTCCCACTGACGTTGAGATAATAATAGTCATAATAATAGAACCCTATATCTCTTCTCTGTCACCGTGTCATGTCTCCACCAAACGAGCTTCCCGATCTGCGGTCTGCCAACGACCCTTGATGGCTGTCTGGAGTACTGCGCATAAAAAATGAATCCAGCAGGATAAAACAGTATAATTATATTCTAGAGATCATCATTTGCCATTTCCCTTTTACAGCAATGTCGGGGTTTTCCCATGGCTTCGTTTTTGAAACGGCGAACCCCTCCGCGGTTCTTCACAGGGGTTGTGGAAGAACCAGGGACGGTGCAATTGTATGTGTCAGAGACTATATCAACGTCAGATATAGTGGGAAACTCCGTGTCTGTTTGGTTAAACGCGTTTGGAAAAGTTAGCCCAGTGCTTTTGCATCTGGGCGCGGATATAAATTGACCTTTCTTTCTCGAGACCGGATGCCTCCATTTTCGTTGAATCAGTCGGGTCATTCGCTCAGTCATTCATTCTTTTTTTATTTCTCTTTTCTTTCTTTATTAAAAGCATACTCTGGAGTATTGCAATGTCTCTCTCTAAAGGTTTTATGGCGCTCGCAGCCCTGGTGGCTGCTGCCAATGCGTCACCTGTATCCACGACTCTCAAGGCTCGCCAGGATATCTCAGCTCCGTATCTCAATTCTGAAGCTCAGGCCAAGGGGAAGCTTTGGTTCGGTACCGCAGTCGACACTACCAGTGCCGAGGTTGACAACAGCGATTACATGACTATCTTCAACGACACCAACATCTTCGGTCAGACCACACCGGGCAACACCATGAAATGGATGTACACCGAGCCCGAGCAAAATGTCTTTACCTTCGCCGAGGGCGAAGAAACCATCGCTCTCGCGGAGGCGACAGGCAAGAAGGTCCGCTGCCACAATCTCGTCTGGTCGGAGGAGCTGCCAAGCTGGGTGACGGATGGAAGCTGGACAAACGAAACTCTGCTGGCAGCGATGAAAACCCATATCACCAGAGAGATCGAGTATTACGGCGAGGGGTGTTATTCCTGGGACGTCGTGAACGAGGCACTGGATAGCAACGGCAGCTTTACCGAGAATGGTATGTTCTCCCCCCCTCTCTCTCTGTCTCTCTCTCTTTTGTGAGAATTTCAACTGACAGTTTAGTCTTCCTGGAGCATATCGGTGAAGCCTACGTCCCTCTCGCATTCCAGTACGCCTATGAAGCAGTAGAGTCGTTTTGCGGGGACATCAAGCTCTTCTACAACGACTACAGCATCGAATACGCAGGAGATAAGCACACCGCCGCGGTGGCGCTGGTCCAGACGATCCAGAACTGGGACGGGGCCCAGATCGATGGCGTGGGCTTCGAGTCGCACTTCAGCACCTCCTTCGCGCCGACGCAGGCCGAGATCGAGGCCGCCATGGCCGACTTCACCGCGTTAGGCGTGGACGTGCAGATCACCGAGCTTGATGTGCCGTGCACGAGTGTGCCGTGCTCCGCCGACGCGCTCGCAACCCAGGCACAGGTCTACTACGATGTCGTCGCGGCGTGCATGGCGACCGACGACTGCACGGGGATGACCGTTTGGGACTTTGACGACGAGTACAGCTGGATCCAGCCTGCCGAGTACGACGGCGAGGGAGATGGCGATCTCTTCTATTCCAATCTGACTAGGCACCCCGCTTACACTGCTGTCTCGGAGGCAATCGAGGGTTCTGATTGCAGTGTTTGCTGAATACATTGCCATCTTGTCTCCTAGCTGGTCTTGAAGCAGGTGTTTCAATTCATCGGTCTGGAAGTTTTCCATGGTAGAAATATTCCCTTTATTCTCGCCTCTAGTCCAAATCTATAGTCATGTAGGCAGGATTCGAAATCGGTATTTGAGAGATAGTGCGCAGTGGGTCCTGGGCTATATACCACTTAAGTGGCCGTCTTTCCATCGAAGCATGTTAGCTCAGCGGAAGAGCATTGGGCTCATAACCCAAGGGACCCTCGATCGAAACGAGGACATGCTATCTTTTTTTTTCTTTTTTCGTCACCTACATTATCTTGCCTATATTGAATCCGGATATTACTACTTGTTCTACTATTCTACTATTCTTTCTACTTTACTATTCATTTTTTCAACACTATATCTAGTTGAGTATCACTATCGCTGGATAGCATACTACGTATATATAATCTACCTATGGAATAAACATATTTTAAACAGTATAAATATACTATTGTCAGACCGAAATCTATATACAAGGTATCAACTCTAATATATACATCAAAAGCACAGTCTATGAATAAACACCATGAAGTAAACCAGGTACGCATTAACCCATCAAAACTATGCAGCCGCAGCCGCAGCCGCAGCAAGCTCCATCGCGAGAACCTCCTGGGCCGCCTTCTGATTCAACCACGACAAATAAGTCTGCCAGCCGACCGCGACGATCCCCGAAAACACACTCCGGAACTCTGGCGGGACGTACATGAAGCTGAACGCCGTAACGATAGGCCACAGCTTGACGCTATTCGAGATGCTAACGGGGAGAGCCTTTTTCAGCCGTTCGATAGTTTCAGGTATGGTGCCCCCCGCGAGCAGAGACTGCATGCCGAAAAAGTACGTGTTGAAGACCGGGGTGAAGACGGCTTGTTGGACGGCCACTTTTGTAAGAATGGAGCGGAACTTGGAGGTATAGTTGAAATTGCGGTGAAGAAACATGAACCTATCTTCATTAGTATACTTAATCATCCATCACTTGTTCTTAATAAAGTAGGAGAGTACCATTTGTATTGTGGAATACTCGATACCACACCGATAACCAAATGTCTCCCCGTCCGCCAGGGATCGTAGGGCGCAAACTCTCCCTCCTCACTGTTGCTGTCCGCCGGCTGAGGGAAAAAGAGCTGCGCACTCAGATCGCCAAAGAGGAAGATGACGAACGAACTGGACAGCTGCGTCGTGTATGGTCTCCGGCGTTGGACGTTGGCGAAGGAGCGGCCTAGCCGGCCGAGCGGACTGGAGTCGATGATCTGGAGGAGGGAGCGTTTCGCCGGGTTGGACACGGTTTTCACGGGGTGTGTCGGCGATGGCGCATTATTCTGGGACGGTGTTTTCTTATCGGAGTAGAATCGGCGTGGGCGGAGGAATCGTAGGGAGGGTCGTTTGGCGAATGACATTTCACTGGCTCGCAATAGAAAGCGTCAAATAGAAACAATAGAAATAAGAGAGGAAAAGAGAGGAGAGTAGAGAGCGAGAGAATGAGTGAAAGAGTGAGGGTGAGGGTGAGATTACTGAGGATAAAGATTGATAAGCGAGATCGGTTGTTCGTTGGGTCCGTGGCCGAAGTTCCGAGGAATTATCGCATACATATGTATAACGTAGTACAAATTTAGAACCGAGTACGGAGGATAGAATATGTAGTACAGTGAGTGCAGAGTAGATATTGATTATATACCGAATTCTATTAGTATATCCCAAACGCCATCTATAATGCAATGCATCTCAACGTGACACATGGTATCTCAATGCATAACAATAACAGCCCAACCCAGAAAAAAAAAGATTATAAATAGAGAATAAAAACAAGAAAATTAGTTTTTGAAGGACTCTCTCGTGTTGACCCGGTCAAAGTCGTACGGGTTGCCCTCGTACATGACCGAAGCCACTGTGCGGGTCGAGGCAACAGACTGCGCGCGACTGCGCGGGCGATGCATGCGCAGCTCTTCGTCGTGAAGCATGTCGCTTTCGCTGACGTCGGAGGGGAGATGCGCGGGGGCCTCGGTGCGGTCATAGACGACCTCTTCTTCTTTGACTTCTTGGTCGGTGACTCCCTCTTGTTCCTGCTCTTGTTGTTCTTCTTCCTCCGTGACGGCGTCGGCGGCGGGGGCAGCGGCGAGGGTCTGTTCCATGATTTTGCGCATGAAGGCTTCGGATTGGCCGGCGAATTTGCAGCGGCTGCGGATGGCAGGGCCGTACTTGTAGAACAGGAAGGGGAAGGGGACACAGGCGAGGGCGAGGAAGGCCGGGATGGACGAGGCCCAGTGGATGCCTAGGTTATCGTACATGTAGGTGGTGAACAGGGGGAAGACGGCACCGAACAAGGAACGCAAGACGGAGTTGGCGGCCAGGACGGAGGCGGCGAAGATGGTGTACGAGTCGATGAGGTAGTTCATGATACTGAGGAAGACCAGCACCAGGCCAAACCCGAAGGGCACGCCCGCGGCGACGCTGGCCATGAAGTGGACGGAGGTGTAGTTGGTCCAGGCGAACCAGAACAGGCCGATGGGGATGAAGATCGAGGCGATCATGCAGGGCGGGAGACGGGTCTCGGCGGGGGCAAAGCCCTGGTTGGCAATCTGGGCCTTGATGTAGCGCTTGTTATCGGGGAAAGTGTAGGAGACGGCGAAGATCATGCCGACCATGATGGCCAGGAAGGGCAAGCTGCCGACGCCCTGGTTCCAGCCACGGTGTTCCTCGTAGACGATCGGGTAGGCGGCAAACATCATGTACAGGGTGCCGTAGATGATGGCCATGTAGAGGGAGAGCAGGAAGACGATGGGCTCCTTGAACAGCAGGATCCAGGGCCGCGACAGGGCGATGCCAAACGCCTCCTTGAGCTGGATCTTGCCCTGGTCGACGTCGAGTTTGCTGCGGTAGACCTGTCCGGACAGCTTGGACAGCTTCTCGGCGCGGCGACGCAGCAGCACGGGGGCATATGTTTCCGGGAGCACCAGCGAGCCGACAATCCACACGACACCGCAGAAGATGCCCAGGAAACCCATCACCCAGCGCCAGCCCTCGGTCATTCCCAGAAAGCCACCGATGATGGGGCCCAGCACGGGGCCGAGGAAGGGCGCCGTGGCGAACAAACTCATGGCGATACCACGGTCCTTGGCAGAGAACATATCAGCAATCACACCACCGGCGTTGGTCAGCGGCGACGATCCGAAGGAACCGGCGAAAAAGCGCAAGATGATGAGGGTTCTGGCATTTTGGGAGCCTGCGCTGCCGGCCGTAAAGGCCGTCAGCGCGGCGTACGTCGCAATGAAGAGGATCTGCCGACCAAACAGCTCAGACAACGGCGCCCAGAACAGAGGGCCTATTTTGTTAGCCACATATACATATTATAATACAATATATATATATATATATAACATACCAATTGCAAAGCCCAGAACGAACAACGAGACACCCAGCGTAGCCACCTCGGTACCGATACCGAACTGAATCATAATCTCCTCGATACCTCCCGTGTACGCGGAAGACACCATTGCGACGGCGAGAGTGGCGATGGCGTTGACCATTGTAATGAACCACTTCTTGGTCTTGCCGAAAAGCATCGGGTTGCGCGGGTCGTTGGGGATCCATGTCACTTGGAAGGGGTCCTCGTCCGTCCCGGAGCCGGCGTAGGGGAAGTCGATGATTTCCTGGGTCACCACGCCCTGGTCGAACACCAGGCGCCAGAAGGGAATTTTATGGGGAGCCGAGGGCTCAATTTTTTCGCCCATTGTAAGCAAAAAAAAAAAGAAAAGAAAAAACCTATTTATACAAGGCAAGGAGGGAATAGGAGAGACAGGGGTTGTATAGAAGCCCGAATGCGGCAAGTTGGCAGGTATGTAGTAGGTATGTAGTAGGTAGGTAGTAGGTATGTAGTAGGTAGGTAGCTAAAGAAGACGATAGTTAGATAGGAAGAAGGATTAATGCCAGTAAAACCCTGTCGAGGGAAAAGAATGTACCCTAAACAGGAAACGCACTCAGCCGGGCGTGGCCCGAGACAATATATAGCAGGATTGGAAGCTTTTCCGTTCTCAGCTCTGGGCCGACGTGGATCCTGCCTGGAAGGGAAGAAAAAGAGCCAAGTGGGGCAGATCGAGAGGTAGAAGTGGTAGAAGTAGAAATAGTAGAGGTAGTAATAGTAGTAGTGTAGTTAGTTATGGAGTACTATGTACTATGTGGAAAAGAGGAGATGTTATAGATATAATTTATCACCGATCTTCTTCTAAAATCTGACATACCGACGAATTTATGGATGTCGGAGTACTCCGTAAGTAGTATTGACTTCGATCCTTCTACTGCAGTTCTATCGTGGCCGGCGTGGCGTTGCGTCATACCAGAGATTTTGCACCATACTTATGCAGCACGTGACTGCATAGCCCGGGAGTTGTGTGCACAGATGGTCTCGGCTGCATGGAAGGGCTCGTCTATCCTTGCCACGCTCGTATTAACTGGTCGACTAGTAAACCCGAGCCTGACTCGATGCCGAACCCAGATCCTGCATCTGCTGTTTATGCGATGCATAACTACGGAGTCCCCGTACTTCAAATCTTTGATTTGTTATTCAGTACGGAGTTAGTTATCACTGTGGACTTAACAATTGATTATTCAGCCCAAATAGCTGGAGATAGGACTTAGCGGTTAGAACTATTTAACTACACTATCTAGTTAACAGGTGGTAATAGGTGATTAAATAATCAACTATCTATGCAGTGCAAGATAGGCTTGGCCTATGTCCTAAAGGTACTCGGCTGGCCATATTCCGGGGTGTAGAGATCTCATGACACAATTCCAGCACACTAAGACTAGACCATTGCTACAGAGTGGCCCCTAGTGAAAAGGAGTCAATTATTACTTGATGCCAATGATCCAAAGTAAATATTCTAAATAGTAAGCTCTATTGTAGTAGTTAGCATTTACCGAGATGCTCTCTATCCCTGCAACAATACTACGGATGAGCCCGCCGACCGGTGAATTACGCGGGCGAGAAATAGATACTGTGGACTCCGTACAGCTGATTGTATATATACAAAGGTTACAAAAATACTAATATCAATGGTTTCTTGAAGACTCATTGGTCTATGTCATGGTGCGCCCGAAGACTGCATCATTGCATTGGTTAATGTACATGTGTGAACCGCTTCCATGACCGATCCCACTCGGCCATACTTTGTCGAAAAGATGGCAGCTTACTCAAGTGAAGGACCGGCGCGGCGGCAGAGAGAAAACCTTAAGAGACAACCCAGTTCCGAAACCCATTGATATTCGAATAGCAAAACCCATCATGTGTCGCCAGTAGTCATGAAAAAAGAAAAGAGAAAGAAAGAAACAGAAACCCCTTTATCGCCTTCCCAGAAAGAAGCCAACCAAACCAGTCATTGACCCCTTAGATTAGGAAAAGAATCTAAGAGCGCTCGCCACGGAGACGACGGGCCAGCTGGATATCCTTGGACTGGATAGTGACACGCTTGGCGTGGATGGCGCACAGGTTGGTGTCCTCGAAGAGGGAGACCAGGTAGGCCTCGACGGACTCCTGGAGAGCACCGATGGCCGAGGACTGGAAGCGCAGGTCGGACTTGAAATCCTGGGCGATTTCACGAACCAGACGCTGGAAGGGGAGCTTGCGGATCAGAAGCTCGGTGGACTTCTGGTAACGACGGATCTCACGGAGAGCGACGGTACCTTGTGTGTTGTTAGTCAAGTGTAACATGATCGACAGTGTTGTTATTGATGATAACATACCAGGCTTATAACGGTGAGGCTTCTTGACACCGCCGGTGGAGGGAGCAGCCTTACGGGCGGCCTTGGAGGCGAGCTGCTTACGAGGGGCCTTGCCACCAGTGGACTTACCTATAGGATTATATTAGTAACGAGTCATGTGATGGTCATGTGAGAGTAACGTGACGTGTATGCCACAGGCATCCACCACCACCACAGACGCGACGCGACCGTGGGCAGTGAGATGGATACCCCCCAAGGGCAACGACGGCAAGGGAAAGACTTACGGGCTGTCTGCTTAGTACGGGCCATTGTGAAGATGATTATTTGATGGAATTAACACGACTTGATGATGGAAAAGGTCGTTGGGTGGATAAAATCGCGATGGCGATGCGATAAGTGGTCGACAGAAGAGTGAGTTGTAAGAAGGATGGAGGGTGTGGGTGGGGGGCAGTATTTGTAGGAAGCAAGAGGCGGGCGGGTGATCTGGGTTGGCTGCCAAACCAAGTTTTGGGATTAGCGCGGGTAATTTTTCGATCACCAAAAGCGCTCGGAAAGCAGCGTGCCATAAGCCGTGATTTCGGGCGCGCATTTTGGCTGGCAGAATCAAAGCCAAAGGGTTGCGCTGCGGGTGACGGGGACGACTAAGCGAGTGCCGGGCGTCAGCCAATGGGGCGGCAGGATCAATGATCTCAGCAATGCCCGGCCCTGATCTGATCCCAACCACAACTCCGGCATGGCAGGCGATCAGAACGATCAGAATGCTGGATACTCCCTGACGGATCAAGGCTGTCGCGGTGCCCTCGCTTATCTGCGTGCTTGGGTACATTCCGGTCAGGATCACGTCTGGCCCAGCGGGATCAGTCCATCACCGCCTCGGCCTGCGAAGCCGAACAGATCACGCCCGCCGCGCGCTGATTGGTGGATCCGCCTTCTACGTGTGATTTCCTGTGCTCTCCCCGCGCTCGGGCTTGGACGATACAAATAACACACTCGCCCCGTCACTACTGTTAGCTCTTCCATCACACAAATTCGACAATAATAGCTTCAAGTGCTACTCCACGTTTACCATCTATCTTCCTCAACTTTAATCAACTTTAATTCACATCCTTCATCATGACTGGACGTAAGTTTAACTCTTTCACACGCTCTTCTCTCTTTCGCGTCCCCAAGACGCGTCTTCCTTCCAGTAACAACATTGTCTAACTGTCCATGAATATAGGCGGCAAAGGTGGCAAGGGTCTCGGCAAGGGTGGTGCTAAGCGTCACCGTAAGATCTTGCGTGACAACATCCAGGGTATCACCAAGCCCGCTATTCGTCGTCTGGCCCGCCGTGGTGGTGTCAAGCGTATCTCCGCCATGATCTACGAGGAGACCCGTGGTGTCCTCAAGACCTTCCTCGAGGGTGTCATCCGTGATGCCGTCACCTACACTGAGCACGCCAAGCGCAAGACCGTCACCTCTCTTGACGTTGTCTATGCCCTGAAGCGCCAGGGCCGCACCCTCTACGGTTTCGGTGGTTAAACGACCTTTTCTTACGCTTTCGTTTTTCTCGCATGACCGGCTCTTCCACCGCGGGGACGCGACGGGTTGCTTTCTCGGGTCGGTTTACGGTATGACTGGGACGTTGGGGTGTTTTTTCTGAATCTTTTTTCCTTTTCTTTTTTTTTTTATTACTACCAAGTGTCATGGGTCTCAAATGGGTTTGCTTTTTGTCGTACTTTACTTACTACCAACTCCGTTGCCACTATGGTCTGCTAGTGGTTGCGTCTGAATTTCCTGTATCATAGCGGCCTCTTCATGCATACGGCTGGTGCCATAGGCCTGAGTATCGATCAGCACAAGTGCGATCAATGAATACGATGATTAAACAAGCCGTTGACCACTTGACTGTACTGGTTATTACTGTATTACTACTGAGTAGTTCGTAGCGTTTCTATATGTGATCCTCGCTGTATGTTGTCCGTATCGTCATGTTTGGGTTCAAGTGTCGACTGTTGACTGCCATGTCTTGTCTACCGTCTGTTCTCTTTCTGTCTGTCGTCGTAGCTGTGTTCTCTTTTCTGCTGGTAGGGTGATGCATTGATCTTGTCTATGGACTATGCATACTTGATACCTACCAGTGATTCACGAGTATGAGTGTTCAGAACGCGTGATATATCTCCCCCATCAATCTACATTCCTTTGAAAATCAGGTCCAATTTTCATATTGTATACGTCAGTCTTATTTTCGTGGTTTTTTACGTGTAATGTGTATTTTCGTATTTTGTGGTGTTTTGTGGTTAAGTCTGCTATATGTAGTCCTAGAGTGTATGCAGTGATAAATATATAAAACGAGTACGACAGTCACCTTCGACATTGCCACACCACCACGCCATCAATATACCCCATATACATATAAATCAGATGCTATCACCGACATTATTGCCCATAAAACAGACAGATTATCAATAAAAGCCATACGTGGACCAAAATCGAGATATTCTATCCGGCATCTTTCGGTGCAGTTGAACCCAATGCCTCAGGCACAAACAACGACGCGTCGACGCGTTCAACCGTGATCTCGCAGGCAGGGCCTCACCTTTTCACCCTGGTATACCATGCGAAACGGCCATCAAGCACCAGTACGTGTTAAGGCCCAAGCCGAGCCATTTACTACGCGAAAGACAAATAGACAGGTGCGTACCCCGTCAAGGTCGGCTCAAAGCCTACTACAGTCACTTTTTGCGACCGTGAAAGAAGTCCCATGTCGACAGCATCATTGCCCATGGAGAAAGGATATCGGAACAACGGAAAAAGACCTGTCTCCGTATACTACAGACCGCGATAAATCCGAAAGACCAACAGAAGCAGCCAGGGCAATAGTTCGATATCAAACCGATTATATTCCCCTGCCGGAGCGTTACAGCAGTTCCAACCCCCTTATACCCAACGATGACATTATCCCCCCCCGCAAGGTCTTCTCTACACCAGCAACTGCTCGAAAAACGCGCCCATCTGCCTCTCCTTGTCATGCAGATGGATCTCCAGAATCCAGTGGCGCCGCTCGCCATTCTTGTCCACCGTGTCCATGGGCAGATCGTTGCCGCGAGTGATATACAGGGTCGTCTTGTCACGCGGGATACGCTCATGAGGGAACGAACCAACGATATGTCCGGCGAGATAGGCGCCGAACTCAAAGCCGGCATCCACAGCATGCCGACAAGCGATTTCGTACAGCTGTTCACCCGTCATCGCCGGGTTAAGGAGGTACTCATCCCGAACAGCGCGCCAGGTGGGCTCGAGGGCGTCGCGGAGCCGGTGTTTCGCCTCATCACAGCCGAGCACGTACGTGCGGCCGAAATCAGCCTCCCAGTCTTCAAAGACGGGGCCGAGATCGACGTAGACGATCTCGTCGGCGGAGAGGATCCGGTCCGGCGGGTTCTCGGCAAAGGGAAGGAGTGTGTTGGGCCCGCTGCGCACGACGCGCTTGTGCCAGTGTGTGCGGACGTTGTACCGCTGCGTGCCGAGGGCGTGGATCTCGTCGCTGAGCGTTTTCTCGCTAACCCCTGCTCGGAGCAGGGTGGCTTCGATCTCGGCGAAGAGTTTCTCGGCCTTGTCCTGCGCGTCGAGCAGAGAGGCGGTGCGTTCGTCGTATTTCATCCTGTAGTGTGTCGTAGTATAAATGTGTAGATGTGTAGTATTACGAGAAGTGTGTAAGATGTATTCTACAGTCTTCAACTAACATACCTTATCTATCATCTGAGTCACCGAGAGATTCGTATTTGATTGACCCTTGTTTCTATTCGCAGAGACAGCACAACAGGCTATACTTCTTAGGGACAGACTAGTATAGCTCCCGCTGCTATTCTTGTATACTTGATTAGGGCTTAGGGTTTGAAGATACGTAGTACTCCGTATCTTTCAACTGAAGAGGAAATAGGTTTTCACTATCTGTACTACTACGATGTACTATCCTTTCTGCCGTAAATCACGTACAGCTTTCCATATTGATGCACGGTGAGATCTGCCAGCTCGCCTCGCACTTTGGCCGCCATGACGGTAACCTCTTGGGCCGACCATCCGAGGACATTGGAGAGAAGACCCGGCAGATAGGAGTTCAGGCCCTGGCTGTACTGGGCCTGCATGAACCGGCCGATCTGTTTCTGTTTCTCATCCTTTGGCCACGGGCTGGAGGGGACCTTGATCATTTTCACGACGACGTCCACAAACCCAGCCGATTTGAGGGCCCGGGTCCATTCCTGTTCGATGTTCTGCAACGGTTTGCCGAACTTCAGACCCGCCTCGCCGACCAGCTGGCACAGCTGGACTGTGAAGGGGGCTCTTTCCAGCGAGTTGTCGTCGGAGAAGACGTCGATGGTGAGCGACTGTAGCTCGAAGTATCCGTCGGGCTTGAGGTTGGCAAATGCCTGGCGGGCCAGTCGGTCAATGTCTCTGATCGATCCGGCGAGCTCGCGGCCGTGGATATAGTCGAAGGGGTGATGGTATTCCCATTCCGCCTCGAAGTCGTCTACCTCGAAGACACAGTTTGCTGGTACCCAACCTGGTTGGATTGGACTCAGGTCATTTCCAATCACCTCTGCGGAGGGATATTGACTGAGATGGATATTAGCATGGAAAAAGTAGAAGGGTAGAGGGAGTAGAATACTCTGCAAAATCTATGGCCCAAATCCCAGTGCCCGTCCCCAGATCGAGAACACGACCTGGGGGTGTCTTGATGGGAGCAAGGTGCAGTTCCCCCCCCAGTAACATCCCGTAGATATGATGGAGGAAATCCATGCGGTCCTGTTCCTCTTCGTCGTTGGGGAACAAGTATTCGTCCCTGCGGTAGCTTTGGTATCGACGACCATTTTCGTATCTAAGCAGCATGAAGGCCAGTATCAGCAATAGCACTAGCATCAAGACTAGCATTAGAATCAATAAACCAATTGATTGATAATAAACCAAAGAGTAACTAATGAATGGAAGAATGACTTGTAATCCAACACGCTTGACCTAAGCGACGTGTAGTCTGTTCCAGACGAGGTCAAAGAGGCATTGTCAGAGTCACCATGGACCTCATTCTAGTTTATTAGCCGGAGGAGATAGAGAGGGAGAGAGAGAAAGACATTTTGGATAGACTCAGGTCCTATAGAAGCCATAGCAGCAGCAGTAACAGCAGTAGAATAGGAGAAGGAGGAGTAGAGTAGAGTACAGTACAAGGAAGACCGTCTTTGAACAGAGTAGGAGAAGGAAGACGTCTTTAAATCATCGAGGGGCTTCGCGTTAAACAAAGTACTGTCTGTACCCACACAATTATAATGCCTGTCAACATGACCGTTGAAACAGCGCGAGTCATGCCTCTGGAAGTGATTGGAGGAAGGCTCCGGAATGGGTTTACTACAAGCTGATGCCGCGTACGCTTTATGTATGTTTTTCTACTTTAGAATGTCACTCCGTCTACTAGTTAATCTACTCTGCATAGACTACTAGCCAACATCTTGTCTGAAGACTGACAGTAGAGCCTCCAGAATATATACAGAGTGTATGCCTAAGGCATACATAGATGTCTCCAGGGCGATTATATAATCGTCATCAACAGTGCACGGATGTCGGTCAACAGCGGCAGAAAGAAAATAAACTGCCGCTGTTGACCGACATCCGTGCACTGTTGAAATGTCAAATACTGTAGGTAGTCTGTTAGGTAATCAGTATATTTTACACACCAAGGTAATCATTGGGAAATATTGAAGAACATCTAATGTAAAAGCTTCGCAAATAATTCCAAAATGATCATAATATTCTATCAACCATCCTGATAAAGTCTTGTATTTCAATTACTTACCAGCAGTGCACGGACAGCGGGCAACAGTGGCAGAACCTATATTTTTCTGCCACTGTTGCCCGCTGTCCGTGCATAGTCGAGATTGTCATTTTGTGTTGACTGCAAATTGTAGGATTACATAATATATCACAGTATTGCTTTTGGACCCCAATTGTCCATACTGAAGAATCATAGATATAACTAATAGGTGGTCCAATCAATTATGTGATGAATAATTGTCTTACTCTTTACTATTGGACGCCCTGCGGATGATTCCTTGTTCATGAGTCTATGCTAATTTTATATGTAACGTACTGTAGTATAACTTCCCCCCTGTTTCTTTCCTAAACTTGACCTCGCCGACTTTCTCTCTCTCCCCCTCTACCTGAAAAAATGGAAGAGGCACACTCTTCGATCGAAAAAGGGCTGCAAGAGACAGACACTCATCTACCAAATGTCAACGATGCGCAAGAACTCCCGCCCATGGATGGCGGAATGGACGCCTGGCTCTTCCTCGCTGCGTGCTTCGTCATGGAGGCTCTCGTCTGGGGATTTGCCTTTACCTACGGCGTCTTCCAGGCATATTACAGCGAGATAGAAGAATTCAAGAACTCTGGAAATATCGCCGTTGTGGGGACCTGTGCTATGGTACGACCCGCTGATGGTGAACAATTCTTTTAAACTACTTCTCCGAAACTAACAGCGCCGTTTAGGGAATCATGTATCTCGACCTCCCTCTCGTCTTCGCCGCGTACAGACAATGGCCCAAGTATCAACGACTCGGCTGCGGCGTGGGCGTACTGCTCATGTGCTTTGCTCTGGGCCTCAGCTCGCTCTCCACCACTGTCCCGCAACTCATCATCACCCAGGGAATCTTCTACGCCCTGGGCGGCAGCATCGCCTACTCCCCCTGCATCCTGCTGATGGAAGACTGGTTTGACAAACGCAAGGGCCTCGCCTTTGGCGTCATGTGGGCCGGCACAGGGCTCGGCGGCGTCGTCCTCCCCATCGTCATGGAACAGCTGTTAAACCGGTACGGGTTCCGCACCACGTTACGCGCCTTTGCCTTTGCCCTGTTCATCCTTACCGCGCCGCTGGTGTACTTTGTTAAACCGCGCGTGCCGGTCGCCGATCACCTTCTGTCACCACCACCACCGCCGAACCTTCGGTTTCTCTTCACCCGCACCTTCGCCTTGTTCCAGATCTGCAATGTCGTCGAAGCTCTGGGCTTCTTCTTACCTTCGCTTTACCTCCCGACTTACGCCGGAGTAATCGGGGCCTCAAGCAGCCTGCAAGCCCTGACGGTTATCCTCTTCAACTTTGCCTCTGTGGCGGGCTGCGTGCTGATGGGCGCCATCGTCGACAGACTCGACGCGACCACCTGCCTGCTCGTCTCGACCGTCGGCTCGACCGTCGGCGTGTTTCTCATCTGGGGGTTCTCCACCTCTCTTGCCCCGCTGTTTGTGTTTTCCATCGTCTACGGCCTCTTCGCGGGCTCCTACACAAGCACCTGGCCGGGAATCATGCGCGATGTCGTCCGCAAACAACCCTCCGCGGAATCGAGCATGGTGTTTGCCTCTCTGGCTGCCGGGAGGGGGGTCGGGAATATCGTCTCCGGACCACTCAGTGAGGCCCTTGTGAAAGGGTTACCGTGGCAGGGGGAGTTAGGCTATGGATACGGGAGTGGATATGGGACTTTGATTGTTTTTACGGGTGTTACTGGCCTTGTGGGAGGTGGGAGTTATCTTGCGAAACATTTCAAGTGGTTATAACTTTTCATATATAGAAGACATAACGAGTCAAATGAAGGCATAAGTGAGTTGACAAGGCAAAGTAGACGCAGAGACGAGCCACAACACCAAGCGCATCTCTCGTTCCGATGAAGTACCAAAGGTATAAATCACACAGGTGCCCTTAGAACCAGTTGTTTATAGGTGTCACCCTAAATTACTGCTAATCACCGGGCGCCTCAGCAATCAGCTCTTGACTCTTATCCCAGCAACTCTCTTCAAACCGTCTATCTACCACTAATACTCCGCACCACCAGGCTTCAAGATGGCGATGTGCAGAGTCAGTTGATGATATCTTTGAATCGCCAGTCATACTTCACTCCCAGCTTCCTCTCTCTCTTTCAATAAAGATGATGCTGATACCATGCTCATATGCAGTGAATTGCTGGTAGACCTCAAGTCCTCAGTGGCCCGGCTCAATAGCAGCAGCTAGCAACTGCCTTGAAAATAGAGATAGAATTCCCTAACTAAAGAAGGTAAACGATTTCATACTGATATTAACTGTCAGGCAAATAAAATCAGTCGCATACTTAAGACATCTCACGCGAAAGCAGTACTAAGTACAGTATCTTAAATGCCAGGAATCTATACCAAGTACATAATATAATACCCTCTCCACCAACGTTATCCATCCTTGAAAAGTGTCAAGACAATTAGTAGTGCTTTATAAGGTCGTTCACCCCTGAAGAACCATTGTTCACTGTGATTGTGGATATTGGGACAGCAGCAAACAGTCTGCGATTTTGGTATCGTTACTTCTCCATCGTCTGCTTAGACCAGAAAATCTCGAGCAGCCAGCCCACTGGAACTCTCTAAATCCCAATAGAAAGATCGTTTGGTCGTTATCAAGGTACGGGAGCGGTTCAGACGCTCTCCACCCACGGCGAGATATGCAAGGTTGAGAAGACCGAGCCTGTATTGGGTGGATAGGTAGTTCATCACACAGCAACGTATGTCGTGACACGCCCAGCGAGGGTTAAATGCTTGAAGAACGGCGGGAATGGGAGTGCCTATCAGTAGCCAAGAGAGACGATAGGTGGAATGGCCACTGCAGCAGGTGGTCAGGGAAAGGATGCAGCTCTAAGCTGATTTCGCGTAGCTTTTTTAAGACGGTGGTACCAGTGTGGTTATACAGCATTCCGATAACTTGCATCAAGTATCAATCAGTACTGATGATAAGTCTTTAGAGTTGACTGAATGGACATACTAGTAAGACTTACTCCGAGAAGAGAGATATTCTTGGTCTCCCACCTCCTATTCCCATCCTCATTGAGCCGCTGCAAGACCCAGTCTGGATATTATAAATAGGATTGTAGTCTGGGAGAGGCCATATATATATATATACATATATATATGATAATATAAGCTAGTACAGGAGAAGGAAGAGATACAAGGGATATTGCAAAGTTGATGCCTTTTATATGGCTGTCTCTTGGTTGTTGCCTAACCCTTTCATTCACTTGGAGAGACAGATTCACCTAGTAGTACACTATAAAGACCAGGAGCCTGCATAGTCAATAGAAAAAAAATATATATACATGAATGGAAAAGAAAAGGCACAAAGATGTACCGTTGTAGTAGTTACGGTAGATTGGAATCAGAATCTCTTTTCCCATCCCTTCAGATAGGGTTAAACTACTCGAAATTCTCGAATGTCCACGCCGCAGGATCGCCGAAGAAGAATTCAGGGAATGGAAGGTCTGTGTCAAACACCTAAACAGAAAATATTAGTGATTCATATATTAAAACCCAGCAAGTGATGATCGAGGACTCTTACCCCTTCTGTGAGTGGGTGGAAGGATAGGTCGGGAGTGATGTTCATGTCTGTAATGTGTAGATTAATCTAAAGAATAAAATAATAAGTTTGCTATGACCAATCAAGTGAATTAAGATAAGAAAGAAAATGTTTACCTCTTCTCTAGCCCGAGCCATGTCCTCCTGCGAGGCCAGGACCCGAAAGTACTGGCTCGTCACTCTCTCAACGGCCTGGGTCTTCTGCGTGGCCGAGTCGGCGGGGGAGATCACCGAACGAAGAAAACCAGAGGCGGCTGAGATGTACCAGTAGTGCGTGAATCCGGTCCCTAAGCGGGTGATTCTATGTTCTAGCATTGTGAGGACATCATCGACATGCTGGAGGAATACATTTGTGCTTTGACTGAAGAGGTCGTCTGTACAGGTTAGCAGGAATGAGTTTAAACAGAAGAAGAAGAAGAAGAAGAAGAAGAAGAAGAAGACATGCCTGAGCGAAGGGAGGCATATGCAGTATAAGAAGTGACAAGGGCAGCTCGGAAGAAATCCAGTCGAAGGAGAAGAAGCGGGAAATACACTGATTGATCGACTCGTCTGTACTGTTTGAGAATGTCCCTCGAGGCTTGGAAGCAGATCATGCGTGATAGAGAGGACCGCGGACTCACATCTGTCTTGCGGGTAAAAGGTGCGTGCAGTATGAGGAAGAACTGGTGCAGTTGAAGCCGAAGGAGGGATGCTGCCAAGGATGACGGTGGTCGCCGCGATGAGGGGACTGCTTCCCGGGGATCTCTGTTTCTTTCTCTTTCTCTTTCTTCTTCTTCTCCTGTTCCGGCTAGTACCCAGGAAGGAAGCATTCGGAGTTGCTGTGTGATCTGCTCTTCATACTGCGACACTTGGTCATATGTATCGGGAGAGCCCAGGTCGTTGACAAACGAGTTCAGACTGACTCGTAGCGCAAAGCTGGCCCGCGAAGCCCACAGAAATGACGTATCGGTGTATTGGTTGTCTTCCTGACCGTTTATTTGCTGGTTGCTACCGCTGCTGCCCGCGACGGAGAGAGCTTCGTCGTCAATATTGAGCACGCGTCTGCAGTCCGCAAAGATCCCCGCCGAGGCAGACGGCATGCCGCGGTCGATCGAAGCCTGAAGTTCTAGTTCGGTGATGGTGGCCCATAGCCGGCGTCGCATCTCCTGGTCGAAGAAGGAGACTTTCTCACCCAGCAGGCCGGGGTCGCGGTGCAGACCCGCAGCCATGGCTTCGCGGAGGAGGGTGCCGGTCTCCGTCCAGAACCGTTTCTTCTTGAAGACGTTGATTTGTTTAGCGAGTATAAGCAGGCACCGGATCTGCCAGATGGCAAGGTAGACCATCTTCTGGCTCTGGACCTGCAGCCAGCGCTCCGCGACCTCGATCCAGAGCACCGCGCGCTCGCGCGCCACCGAACTGTCGCCGACATACATGACAGTCACATCACTCTCAGTCTCCGGCGCCGCAGGGACACCAATCACGCACGACATCACCAGCAACATCATGACGACGAGGGCCGGCCGTGCGGCAGCAGGGTCGTCCCAGCACGCCTCGTAGTCCGCCAAGAAGCTAGGGCGATGGAGGATGCGGTACGTGGATTCGAATGTATCGCAGTACCGCCGGATCAACTGCCGTGCTATCTCCCGTGGGGGTAACAGATGCCACAGCCCCGAATGCTCGGCGGGAAGACACGCGCCTTTCTCTTTCTTCCATTCCACCTGCAGCGCCTTCAGGTCCCGCTGCACACGAGGCAGAGCCGTATGCTGCATGATGGCCTCTTTCATGAATCGCCGAAGCTCGGGAAACTTTCAAAAGTTAGTATATACTTAAAATATATTATAAGTAAGTGAGAGTGAAGATATATCACCTACCTGCCCGATCAGACTCGTAGCATTGCTTCCCCCGTAGTAATGCGTGCGGAAGTTCTCGCCGCGGAAGATGACTTGTTTCTGCTCTTCACCTCGGATCGCAGCCGAAGATAGACCGACCAGGTCCATCTCTGTACTGATCACCGGGCGTTGAGTCTCCATCGTGAGACCCGTCGTCGTCGACTGCACCCCGAGCAGTTGCCAGGTCCCTTGATTTCGACTGCTTTCCTGATTTGGAGGATGATTTGTCGAAGCGGGACCAGGAATAGACTGGAAGCTTTGCGCGGGACCTTGCACGGCTTCTGAAGAGCCGGCTGCAGCATGGCTGGAGTCATTCGCCTGCTCGTATACGCAGGCGTGCGTTTGTTTCAGCTTGCAGCATCGGCCGCACGCAGGGCGCCCCTGGTCGCATTTGACCTTGCGAATATGACATGGGCGGCAGGAGACAAGCTTGCGTTTGCGTCTACGAGGCGGCCGTCGTGGCAGAGACTCGCTCTCAGTCATCTTTTGCGCCCTGATGTAAACAAACCCATTGGTCTCATCAAGGGAGATCGGAGATGGCGGGGATGGCGGCGTAACGGTGCTTAGTAATAACATCAAAGGGGTAGGGATTCTGTTAGGGTTATGGTTTCTCATCCATAGCATCTCGGAGATGGCGGGGAATTCCTATATAGCCGAAATCTGCGACGACTGTTTTCACTATAAATAGATAGAAAGATGTCTTCGATGATAAGAGACATCATCGCAGAGTTTCATTCACCATAGTCCACCTCCTGAGCCATGGCTGGCGGCCAAAGTACATGTCTCGACCAACTCCAAGCCGAATATGGGGTAAGAAACTCACCCTGTCTTGAAGGAATAGGAAGTAAATCATTTGCAGAGCACATGGGATGGCCCCAGTGACCCGGCCAACCCGTTCAACTGGTCTCCGGTTCGCAAGATCACGACCGGCGTCATTTTTTCCATGTCCCAGCTGGTGACCATCATGTCAGCCAGCATGTTGGCAGCAGCCGAGAACAAGATTGCGCAGGACTTGCAGGTTAGCGCAGCCACCGTCCAGATCATTTTCTCCACCTACTTCCTCGGGCTGGGGCTGGGGTCATTCCTGATCGCCGCCCTGGCGGAGATGAACGGCCGCAAGAGCGTCTGGGTCGCTGCCTGCCTGTGGTATATTCTCTGGAGTTCGGTATCGCCTCTCGGCCGGTCAGCGGCTCTCATGGTTGTCGGTAGGTTTTTCGCTGGTACTGGTGGGAGCGTAGGCATCACGGTATGTAGAAGATGAAGGAGAAGAAAATAATATTTACCCCCGAGTTCTAACTCACTTGGCCAGCTAGTCGGTCCGGTCATGACAGATATGTGTAGGTTTCTGTCCCTCTGAAGCTTTCCGTCATCACCAACTAACAAAAGGCAATAAAGACGGCGCCTCTGATCGGGGGAAATCGTTGGCCGTCGCTAGTGTGTTGACGTATCTGGGGCCTGCCCTGGGCCCGCTGATGGGCGGCGTGGTTACCGACCTGGTAGGCTGGCAATGGCTGTTCTGGGTTACTAGCATTGTTTGCGCCATCATACTGTGCGTCGGGATGGTGTTTATACGCGAGTCGTATGCGCCGGTCTTGCTGCGGCGAGCAGCCGCCAAGCGAGGCGTCACCAACACCAACACGAAGCATATCCGTCTGCTCGATCATTTCCGGCGGCCCATCGCCCTCCTCTTCCGGCGTCCGATCGTTCAGCTTCTCGGACTGGTCGCCGCCGTCAACTTTGGCATCTACGCGCTGATGCTCTCGACGTTTGCTCGCCTGTGGATGACCAGCTACCACGAGTCGGCTATGGTGAGCAGCTTGCACTATTTCGCCTTTGCGATTGGCATGACAATCGCAGCTCAGGGAGGCGGCTACGCCATGGACACAATCTACAGGGTCATGCAGCGTCGGGCGGGTGAGAGGCATGGCGACGATGGAGCGTCACCCTCTCGACCCGAGTACCGAGTCCCTTTCATTGTGCCTGGCATGCTGCTTGTACCCGCAGGTCTGTTCTGGTATGCCTGGACTGCAGAGAGCTCTGCCCCCTGGCCATCGGTGGACATAGGGGCAGCAGTCTTCACGGTAGGCATCACTGTGGTTAACCAGGGCCTGATGGCCTACCAGCTGGATGAGTTTGCCCAGTACGGCGCCTCAGCGAATGCCGCCACGCGACTGTTGTCTTATATCTTTGCTTTTGTCCTCCCAATCTTTGCTCCGCAGCTGTATGCCGTGCTGGGCGACGCTTGGGGCAACAGCCTCCTGGCCTTCATTACCATCCTGCTGGGCTGGCCGATCCCGTGGATCTTGTGGGTATGGGGGGAGAGACTGCGAGCCCTGGGGAGAGCTAGATGATAGAAGAGAGGATTCTGTATATAACAGACATCTTTAGCAGGGAGTAGGAGTTGTTTGAGGTCGAGAATAAGAGCGAAGACAAACCGACGTTGTTTGACATGATGACCATGTGACTAGATATCATGTGACGGCCCATGTGATTGTTGAAAAGCATCAAGAAACCAACTTCGACTCAACAATCAACATAGCAGTAGCAACAGCACGCCCAGATGATGCCTAGGTCGACCAGGAGGGGTGGCGCAGCCCTAATTTCGATTAATGGCTAATTAAGTGCTTATTCTTTTGGTTCTGAAGCACAACCAACACCTCCCTATCCATGACCATAGGCTCAGATCTTTCCACCGGGTCAGGGGCTTTTATGGGCTACAGGGTGCTCTTGAGATTTCCATGAAGATGAATTCTCTTTCTATGAGAGATACTGTGTTTTGTTTGGTAAGCCATTACTACCCTCTTGAAGAGAACTCCTGGATTCACCAAATGGAGAGATTCCAAGAGGATGAACCATCTAGAGATAACAAAAGGCCTTAAATTCAACCTAAATTCGAGCTTGTAGCTAATATTCTAATCTCTAGCATATCATTCTCAACCCAGAGGCAGTGATTTGTATTATTGAGGCCTCCAATAATTTTGAGAAGCAGGTTTCGACTACGCATTCTCGACCTCTACGACCTCAATTCTCTCCTTCTCCTTATTCATCCCTCTAATATCATATCCTGCAGCTTCTCCAGTGCAGACATATGATTTGAATTCCTTGGTGGGAACGGCCTGTACATCATGAGACTATGCACATCTTTCGGTTGGGGGAAGATACTTACGTTCAGGAACATCTCGTCGATTTCTTCAAGGGTGCGGTCTTTTGGTTGAAAGAAAATATGTCAGTACTACCGTTGAAGAATCCAGCAAGGGAAGGGAGAAGAGACAAGGACGAACCCTTGGTTTCAGGAACGATGATCCAAGTTATGATCAACAGAACGACATTCATCGCTCCGAACAGGTATCCAAGCTTGGTGCCCAGATTGGCATATTCCGCGCTCAAGAGGTATGGAACCGAGGTGATAATGGCGAGACACCACAGCCAATTGATCGTCAGGGACAAGGAGATGGTCTTGGACCGGAGTCGGTTGGATGGGATTTCACCCATGACCACTGGACCAAAAGCACCCCACGACAGACCGTACGAATATGAGTAGATACAAGTGAAAGCAACCAAGCAGTTGCCCGCTGCGGTACTATTTGGTGCCGCCTGCGACACGATGGACAACGCGAACATTGAGAAGCCGCAGATGAATGTACCCAGCAGTAAGATAGGGCGACGGCCCACAAACCGGCAGAGGATGAGGGCTGAGACAGGCCCTGCAATGGTGCATGCGTCCACAATAACTGTGTCCAGGAAACTGTTGGAGATACCTACCTCCTCGAAGAAGTAGGTCGAGTATCCGGACACAAAGGCAATCCCAGTGAGCTGCTGGCCGGACATCGCCAGGCAGGCAATGAGCGTACGGCGGAGGTCCGTGCCTTTGAGGCACTCGAGATACGAGGTGGACTCTTCCAGCTCCCTTTCAAGCGCCGTGAACGCGATGGCTTCGTCCAGTTCGCGGTCCAACTCTGCCTGGGGGATCGTCTTGCCGCGAATCTTGCGCAAGGATTTTCTCGCTTCCTCCACCCGGTCCTTGGTAATAAGCCAGCCTGTCAGAATTGGTATTAGCGATGCATCTTATCTTCTTCTGACCCTCTCTCTCTAACAATATAGATTGCAATCACATACGTGGGGATTCTGGCACAATCCACACCAATGACAACAGCAGCAATGGACTGATCATTGTTGTGAGCAGGGGAATGCGATACGACCACCGGTTCGGCATCTCATAGGTGGCTTGATCGACGCACGCGCCGATGAAATTGGGAATGTTGGTGAAGAGCTGGTAGAAGATGCAGACGATACCGCGGATCCCTGCCGGGGCGGCTTCACTCCAGTATGGGATGGTAAAGTTGCCGCACAGGCCGATGGAAGCTCCCATGAAGATACGCCCAACCAGTTGGGCGGGCCAGCTGGCAACCATCTGCAGCGCTGCGCCGATCAGGCCGGTGATTGCGCAGAGGACGAGTCCCAGCTTACGACCCCATCGAGAGCCGATGAAACCGGACGCAAACGCTGCGAGGGCCATGGCGCCAATCTCCAGCCCATACATACAAGTGATGGACCCGGCTGTGAGTCCGTACGAGTCCGTGCTTGCGTCATACACGCCAAAGTCTTTAGCAAATCTACTGGAGTGAGCAAGATTTCTTCGCAACGCAACCCTTAGCTAAACGGGGGGGGGAGGTGACTCACTGCTCCATGGCAAAGAAGCCACCGGTTTCGCCCTGATCGAAACCAAAGTTGGTCGCAGCAAAGGCCACGATCAAACAATATCCAATGACCTTCAGGTTGCTGCGCCATGTTTCCGACGCTGCTGCAGAGCTTCGAGCCATATTTAACCAACTAGTTAACAATACTACCACTATAAGATGGATAAAAGCTGTGACAGGGAAAGAACTGAGATACGCATTACTCCTTTAAATACTAATTATTTGATAGTGCCAGAGGCCTGCAAAAGTCAGTTTGAACTTGGGAATCCTGGTGAACTACGCTAATTGTACTCCGGACAGATTCCGAGCTTGCTATGGGATCCTGATCCTGCGTCCCAGGACCCCAGATACTCCGCATTTCGAGCAGGCCCCGCAGTCGGGGTTCATTGCGAACTTGCGAAGTCGTCAGGAGAGGAAATCGGCAGACCTTTCGGCATAGACACTGGCATTTGAGGTGTCTCTGGATTCCGAAGAATTCGGTTGACCCAATGAACAGCCGATCCTCCAACGCCAGGGCATCCTTTGATCCTGTCTACTGGTTTTTTCTAGCACTATTTACCATCTAGTGTCTCGTATTCGAAATCACGCGGTGATAATGTCGAGCCCCCCCCCGGAGCAAAGCATTTTGACTCCCACGTGGATGATGGTATACTATTACTAGCTATCTACTATCTGTGTCTTTTTCCCTCTTTCTTCCCGTTGATGAATTGACGGAAAACGCCACTTTTACTACTTTCGCAACAATTTTCTTCCTTTACTCTTCATCATCTCATCTATAGGATGGATATGGACGGCCTCGTTGGGAATCCTACATCCGTGACCATAGGATCACTTGATATCCGTGGCTTTATCTCGCCGCACCGGGTCGCGAACTTTCTCGGCATTCCCTATGCCGAGATTCCTGCGCGTTTCCGTCAAGCAAAACCCCTGAAGCCGGAGACCCTCCAGGGAGTGCATGACGGGACCAAGTATGGACCGCGATGCCCTCAGCCGTTGGACCACCCGAAAGTGCTCCGCGCGCATCTATATGAGGGCGTTATCCCGAGCGAGAGTATCCCGTGCTCGGAGTTTCGGTGTCTGAATCTCAACGTCTTTGCTCCCCCGGAAGCAGTGGGCTCGCAGCAAAGGCTGCCTGTTTATGTTTGGATCCATGGGGGTGGGTGGAAAACAGGCGACGGAGGCCTTGAATATGGTGAGCATTTTTGAGTCTTATTATAATAAGCCTGTAGTCTAACCACTATACAAGATGGAAACTTTCTCGTCGAGCATGCGATCAATGCAGAAAAACCCATGGTCTACGTTGGTATCAACTACCGACTAGGCTACTGTGGGTGGCTCACCTCGCAAGAGTTGACAGACGAAGCGTTGAGGGCTGGAGAGAAGCCGTTCCGGAACATGGGGTTGCTGGATCAAAGGCTTGCCTTGCAGTGGGTGAGTCGGACGTTTTGCCCTCTTAATTACTACTATATATACTGATATGGAGCGTTGTAACAGGTACAGGAGAATATTGGTTACTTTGGCGGTGATCCCGATAACGTCACCATTGCCGGAGAGTCAGCTGGCGGATGGTCCGTTCTGGCTCATCTCCGATCAAACATACCTGTCTGCAAGCGTGGAATTATCATGTCATGCCCTTCCCACCGCTTCCCCACTACACAGGATAGCCAGGCGACTTTTGATCGACTGGTGGCTAGCACTGGGGTTGTTGGACCAGATGCCCCTGCCACGGAGAAGCTGGCTGCATTGCGGGATATGGCGTTTGAGCAACTTGACGAGCTTACCGGCGGAAAACCTGTCCTGCCTGCCTGGGACCCGGAATGGTTCGGTGGGGATATCGATACCGACGAACCGACCGAGTGTGTGGGGGAATTTCCTCGGTGGGTTGAAGCCATCGTAACCGGCTTCACACGCGATGAATTCTCCGTGTTTGGCATTGTGAAGAATCTGCATACCTGGAGCAAAGAGAAGGTCAAGGCCACAATTTCCCAAGTTATCCCAGACCCAGACTTTGCGCAGGAAATCTGTGCAGCCTACGGGATCGACCGCGGAACCGACAAGGATGCGATTGCGGGCATGTTTGACTTTGCCTCCGACTCGGTATTCAACATAGCCGCGATCAAGCTCGGCCAGGTTCGAACTATCCCTGCGTCGACATACCGGTTTGACCAGATCGACCATGGCGACTGTCCTTACCAGGGATACGCTTACCACGGGCAAGACAACGCCTGGTCGCCCCGTTTGCCGGCGGTGGCGGGCCCGACTGCTCTTCCAGAGTATAAGGCCACGGCCGACCACCAATCGCAGATGATCCTCGATCTTGTCCATGGCCAACAGCCGTGGGAGACTTTTGCGACGGGCCGCCGGATCATGCGGTTTGATGGAGAGAAGAGCGGCTTGTTCGAGTGGTCGGACGGTCTGGCTCGCATCGACCAGATGACAGCCACGAAGGAGAAGGAGGTCATGTTCCAGAGGGGGGGATGGGCACTGATGAATCTAGGCTGAAGTAGATTGAAGAATAACTGACATCTAGTTCTCGCGATGTATGTTAGACGATTCCAAATCCATTTCAAAAGGTTCCATGCCATAATTTCCGATTCATTCCCCATATTCCACTCAACGTCTTCATATCCAGAACCAAAATCTCCGCGATAGAGCCATCCTATATTGATTCCTGCATCAGTTCCTAGGTAAATCCCTAGATTATTCCTTAAATAACCTTCTAGATTAGTGTGAACAATTGCGAATGTAGGACCATAGGTCCAGTGCAGTTTTAATCTATAGAGCTCTACTCTATAATATTGTAATTAGAATAATAATAATAATAGTTATAGCCCCCTCTTCGAGCCCTCTCGCGTAGCGAGGATATCGGGCTCATATTTCTATATGTTATTTAATAACATGGTTAAAATGGCGGACTATAGGTTGGAATCCGCCAAATCAATTTTGTTATAAAATACTTGTATTAACCACCTCTCTACATTAATTCTGAGGCGAACCCTAGGTGATTCCTAGGTGATTCCTAGGTGATTCCTTAACTAAGTATCTAGATGTGTGTTAATAATTATGAATATAGGGCTGTAGGTCTAGAGTGGCTACTAGTTCTGCAGCCCTACTTATGATTAGAATCAACCCTCAACGCATTTTGAGACCAGCTAACCTTGTTTCAGAGCCCCTGAGCAACAGTCTCCATGTAAAATAGGTCATATTGATCAAATGGTATTGGTCACTGTTGGTAATTCTTGCCTTCAAAACAACGAAAATGAGCAAGGAAAGAAAGAAGGAAAGAACGAAGATGAGGGAGGAAAGAAGGAAGAGTGGCTAGTCCTAAAAAGGAAAGAAGTAATGTGATTCGGAAAAATGATCGTCCTCCTTCCGACGGCGCCTTCCTCTTGTGCTTATTGTGCTTCTTGTGCTCTGTGACATTTCATCTTCAGCTGAATCCTAGAATCCTACACCAAAAACGCCGTGTCTCTGTGGAACCGTGGAGTCGACCAATAATATTATTACAGTAGCGAAAGAGCTTGGTGTGATGTGCTTTGGTGATGGAGGCGGTAGGCCTGGTGGGTTTCCCTTGCTATAGTCTTGTGCTTATTGTTCCTGCATGAGCATGAGCTATCTTCGCCACCCCTGGAAACTACGATAAAATAACCGAGCCGAAATCCCCCAGACTCAGTGTCTCAGCTGAATGGACGGCGTGTGGCGTCAGCTGGGGAAAGCTGCAAAACCCCTTCGCTGCAGAATGGGTGATTTGAAGCGAGATAAAGGGGGGAAGAGCTGAATCCCCCCCAAAATTATAAGACTGGTCTGTCGGTCCGCTGAGAACGGTAAGAACATAGAGGGATACAACTACCTCGGGAACAAAAAGAGTACAGTACAGTTTGCAAAATGTCGCAGGGCGGCTTTCAATCTATGGCCTCGCATCAGCATGTCGACTCCGATTTGGCGTCGGCCCGGAAACGCATCATCCTCTGTTGCGATGGCACGTGGCAGTCGGCCGTGTCGGGAAAGAAGAACTGCCCGTCCAATGTGACGCTGATTTGTCGTTCTCTCAACCCGGTCGGCACCGACAAAGACGGCGAATGGCAGCAGGTTGTCTGGTACGACTCGGGCGTGGGAACGACCTCAGGGGGCCTGGGTCCGCTCATCGAGGGTTCCCTGGGCCGCGGACTCGAGGGAAACGTGCTCGAGGCCTATAACTTCTGTGTGCTTAACTGGACACCCGGCGATCAGATCCTGTGCTTTGGCTTCTCGCGCGGCGCGTACACGGCGCGTAGCATCGCGGGGCTGATCGCCGACCTGGGCATCTGTACTAAGGATAAACTTCATGAGTTCCCCGAATTGTTCCAGCTGTACAAGGACAAGAGCAAGCCCGGGAAGCGCTTCTACGGTAGCTCCGACTATATCCAGTGGATGGAACACCGCGTCCCCGCCGACAATACTACCACCCACGGCGGCTGGGTCCAGTATAACTCACGCCAGGTAGAGGTTGTTGGCGTCTTCGACACGGTCGGGGCCATCGGTGTACCCTCGGTGCATGGCTATGAACTAAAAATAGCCAGCTGGTGGAAGGAGGAGTGGCACAACGTGACCCTCTCGCGCAGTACGTACCAATGACCAACCCCTCTGCCCTCTCCGAGCGACAGAGAGAGCAAAAAAATAAAAAGGGGGAGCGGGAATCACTGACTTTAAGTATCTAGATATTCGGAACGCCTTCCAAGCCCTCGCGATTGACGAACACCGCCGGGCCTTCTCCCCCTCAGTCTTCTACATTCCGCCAGAAGGCAAATCCGTGGAGATAGATGATATCAATTTGCAGAATCAGGTAGTGGCAAAGGCCAAGAACGAATGGCAGGCTCTAGTGACAGATAAGACGGCCACCCCGGATAGCGTCCAGAAGAAGCTCGCGGCGTACATGGACGCCCGGGGTGAATTGGAGAGACTGAAGGAAGCTTTATTGCCCCCTTCGAAACTGATTCAGGTGTGGTTCCCGGGCTACCATATTAACGTGGGTGGCGGATCCAGTGAGACCCTCAAAGGCAAGGGCGACATGGAAGAGATGTCTAGCATCGCCCTGGCGTGGATGCTCGATCAGATCAAGGATTTTGTCTCCATCGACTACAGTGCCTTGCAACGGCACCGGTCCAGCCGAGAGATGGAATTGGAACGGCTCAACAAGGAAGTGAAGGCGTACAACTTCCGGCAGAAGGCGCAAGATGCGCTCGCCAAGGATTCCTGGGGCAGTTGGCTGTACATGAAGGCCAATTCGGCAATGGCTATGGCGGGATACTCGCTCACGGGCGACAAGAAGCCCCCGTTTGAAACCGAGTACAAATGGGGCTGGGGCGGCACCCACAAGATGGACGATAGCTACACGCTCAAGTACCGCTTCAACGGGTCCGAAGCCCGCACGCCACTCAGGTACGCCCTCGACCCGACGGATAAGACTGAGCAGCGCACACTGGGCGACACTTATGAGTTTGTCCATCCGACGGTGGGCTTCCGCGTCAAGCACTTCAAGGGATACCTGCCCATGGGGCTCACTCCCGGTCCGAACCTCGCCCCGGATGCGTACCAGCGACGACTATCCACCTCAGGGAAATGGAAGGGGAAGTATGAGTACGTGCTGAACGGCCGCGTGTTGCCGGAGTGGGAGATGGAGGAGAACAAGTACTCGCACGAACGGGCCGTCATCGCCGGGAAGACGGCATGGGATTATGTCGACAACGAGATCGAGAAGGTCGTCCATCCGGGGTTCCAGACGCCGCGGTATCCGAGGTGGAGCTATCCGTCCGAGCACGATGCCTCTGTCCGGCCTGAGGGCAAGCCTGATCCCTCTGGAGGAGATTCGGACGACGATGAAGACTAGCGTACTGGATTTGAGCCAGGGTGGGTTCGGAAATGGGGGGTTTTACGCAGGCCGGGTTGCAATGAAGAGCATGTCATTTCTTTCACTATGGAGTATCACAAGGTACCTGGGACGAAAATTTAGGATTTGTATTTAGGGTTAGCCAGTTCGGGCTCAATATCAGGCTTAATTATATAAGAATAGGGTTCAGATGTGATGTTGATTTATACTAGACAGGCAGCTATGATCCATGGATGGATGGATGAGGTTGAAATAGGGTACCGCAAATCACATGATGACTCTAAAAATAGACCAACTCGTAACTGGTATATAATAGCACCATTGATAAGGACAATGGTATATTATGCCCAGTTGGCCACTGAGTAACTACCTACCTAGGTAGATACTAGCAGTTCTCCGATCAAAGCCTCGACACGACGCCTGATTTCATCACGAATAGGACGGATAGCGTCCAGATCCTTGCCCGCGGGATCGGCCAGCTGCCAGTCGAGAAAGCGCTTGCCCGGGAAGACAGGACAGACGTCGCCGCAGCCCATGGTGATGACGAGGTCGCTGGCCTGCACGGCGGCGGCGGTGAGGAGCTTCGGTTGCTGGTCGGCCAGGTCGATGCCTTCTTCCAGCATGGCTTGGCGGACCGTCGGGTTGATCGATCCGGCGGGGGCAGACCCGGCGGAACGGACTTGGATGGCGGTTCCGGCGAGACTGGCGAGGTAGGCGGCTGCCATTTGGGAGCGGCCGGCGTTGTGGACGCAGACGAAGAGGACGCTGGGCTTGTTTTCTGCCATTGAACAATCATGAAGAACAAGGTATTACCTAGGTATCTACTAGATTACTTTGCTCAGTACCTTATATATAAGCATAAGATATGTATACTGTAGTATAAATAATGGGTTGTCCAATTATATTCGAGGAATGACATTTAGAACCAGCAGTACTAACCCATCTAGGTAAGGCGCAAGTTAAAATGTTGCTTGTCTGAATAATCTACCAATCAGCATCCACCAGTGACATTCTTCATACTATACTACCTCGTACCTACCTAAAAGGTACCTTACTATAGGTTAGTAGGCAGGTACTAAAGTAGTCTCCGGTACAGGGAAATACCAGGTATCTTAGTACTATCTTCTGTTCACTCGTCTCTCTATCTTACACCTCCAATGGCCTCTGAGGAACCTCCAACATGCGGCGAGGTCGAGAAGAACGCTGCTGGTCTACGACCGGTCCATCAGGAAAAGCAGTCGGCGTTCCACAATCTCGGCATCCTTGATCGGTTTCTAGCGCTCTGGATCTTCCTTGCCATGGCGGTTGGGATCATCCTGGGCAACTTTGTTCCAGGCACAGGGCCTGCCTTGCAAAGAGGGACTTTTGTGGGCGTTTCGGTTCCAATCGGTGCGTAACAAACGAGAATAATACAATCCTGGATTCTCCGATCTAATGGAAAACCCCGTCTTCTCTTCAGCCGTCGGTCTGCTTGTCATGATGTATCCTATCCTCTGCAAAGTCCGGTATGAAGCTCTGCATCATGTCTTCCGGAGCAGACAGATTTGGATCCAGATCGCGTTTAGCATCTTTCTCAACTGGATCATAGCCCCTTTCTTAATGGTACCTTCTTCTTCTCTAACTCTTTCAAGAAATGCTAACCGAGTAGTTGGCGCTGGCCTGGGCTTTCTTACCAGACGAACCGGAACTGCGTCAGGGGCTGATATTAGTTGGACTGGCGCGGTGTATTGCTATGGTATGGATATTTTTTTTTTTTAAAAAGTTTTCTTTCGCTCTTTTGTTGATTGCATGTACTAGGTGTTGATCTGGACTGGGCTTGCTGGAGGAGACGCTGACTACTGCGCCATCCTGGTTGCGCTGAACTCGCTCCTCCAGATGATTCTGTTTGCCCCCCTGGGCGTGTTCTTCATCCATACCATCAGCGGCGACCCCGTCACATTCGAATACACCACTGCTGCCAAGAGCGTCGCTGTGTTCCTGGGGATTCCCCTGGGCTCCGCAATCCTCACCCGCCTGGGCCTTTGTCAGATGGTCTCGAAGACATGGTACGACCGGGTTTTCCTCAAGTGGATCAGCCCATGTTCTCTCATCGGCCTTCTCTTCACCATCCTCGTGTTGTTTGCATCCCAGGGCCACCAGGTCGTCCATCAGATCGTCTCCGTCGTCCGTGTGGCTGCTCCTCTTGTTGTCTATTTTCTTGTCATCTTCTTCGCAACCCTCTTCATCGCCTTCAGGATGGGCTTCGGCTATAAGCTCGCTGCAACCCAGAGCTTCACTGCAGCCAGCAATAACTTCGAGCTCGCCATTGCTGTATCCGTGGCCACCTTTGGCGCAGATAGCAACCAGGCCCTTGCCTCCACCGTCGGCCCGTTGATAGAGGTTCCCGTGCTGCTCGGTCTCGTCTACGCCGTCAAGTTCATCGCCAACAGATTACGCTGGAATGATTAGCCAGAGTAGTTGTTAGGGTACCGAAAGGCAAGTAGGTTGATTAGATAAGGCAAACACCAACTGTAGATATTGTTAAAATTAGACCTAGAATATGACATTAGAAAGCACTCGATTGTCTTGACACTTTGGTCGAATGGGTCAGCGCCCCCTCACCCGGTGGCGAGAACAACCGTCGATAGTATTGGCGGCGCCGTATAGATGAGATAGCGTCTTGTTACAACGTCTTGTTTGGAAACATTGGTAAAACAATACGTACACTCTTATTCTAGAAGCAGAATCTCTGGAAAGGCATGCGGTAGAAATAGCGCCGCGCCACGACAAAGCCCTTTTCAAGCGTATACTTGGAAGGGGGTTATCGATGGACATTGAATCCGTATGAAGTTGTGATTGTTAGTCCTGTAGCTGCTAGGAGTGAGCTTGAAGCTCTCCTTTTTTCGAATTGATAGAAGAAACCCATTCCATCCTCCATCAAGATTGTTTGTCTTCATCAATGTCTGCTATCGATTTTCACTGACTGGGCATTATCAGTCAACTCGCAGAACACTGAGTTCTATCAAAAGAGAATAGGAGAAGCCCTGCAACCATTTACTCGATATCATCAATATTGAGGCCTCCCTCCTAAGAAGCCTCCACGAGTTGTTTAATAATTTGGAGTCTGGTTTCCGAGTCTTGCATTCTCCTTGATACAAGAGCTTCTAGATTATGAATTGTAGCAACCCAAGATCGCCTCCAATAAGCCCTTGCTTGGCCGATGTTCACCTTCCGTAGACCTTCTAGGAAGGCTTCTTAGCATATGTAGGGCACCACCCATGTCCAGATGAGATCGTCCACATCGCCGGCAGCTCGAAGGAGAGTGAATGAAGAGGAAAGCCCGGTCTGTTGATCTCAGAACCACTAAATGGAGATGGAGCCTTTCTATTCTTAGCAGAATTCCTTGATACTCCTCTGTGCGTCTCTCTCTCTCAAAAACGATACTCACCCCTCGGTAGTCTGTAATCTTTTGAATCTCTCTTCAAGCTGGTTCTAAAGATGGAAACAAGTAAGTAGTCCTTCGTGTGGTTGAAGAGGCGTGATGAAATGAGACATGGGAGAGGGAGAGAAGAGAAGGTTTGGCGTGTCTTCTTGATGGAGGTGAAGACGGTTTTGTCCCTGACAACTTCTGCCTAAATTCTAGACTCGTTTACCTTTCAACTATGAAAGTTATTATATTTCAGATAGAGCAGTGATGGTTACTTTCGTATTACAGTGTAAGTAATCACCAGTGAATGAAATAAAGTCCCATGCTAATCATACCCTCGACAGCCCACCCTCTACACTTCAACCTGTACACCTCAGTCTCTACAGCTTCCCTAACTTCCAATGCAATTCCAGTCTCGATCAGGTCAGGGCAAGGACTATGGCATAAAACTAGGGCTCAAATACCTTCTGCTCCTGGAGAACTCCATCTCGCAGTTGTTTTGCCCCTCCATCGACAAGCGGAAGCAGAGGGAGGCACCTTGTCTACCGGATCACACATGTGTCTGCTCAGATCATCAAGCAGCTTCGACATATTGACCCGATTCCAACCATACCTCGCTCGTTTGAATCCCATCACCGATCGATCCGATCCCTGGAATGAGTGATGTAGTTGGACAATCGGAAATCGATATAATAGGAAGAATTTCTCCTACATTCCTATCCAGACCTGTGGGACTTTGACTACTGATTTTTTTTTTTAAAACACACGGGGCGGCAAGCTTCCGAAGCTGTCTAGGTATGCTGGTATCCAGGAATTGGGACCTCGACTGGTACTATCCATCATTTCTCCATGCGCTTTTCTTCACGGATTCCTTCAAGGAAAAGGTACCCACTACGAACCTTGTCAAGACCCTACAGGCCGTGGTTGGTCGTCGAGAGGTTCCGGTTACACAAATGATAACTCTGTTGTTAAATGACATTCTCAAACCAGTGTCATGCGTTTGGACGAGGTCAGCATTGAGCAAATCAGGGATACTCCACCTGAGACCGACTCGATACCTAGGAATGAATGACAGAGACATCGTAGGAGTATCATCATAGCCTGTCCTGTTTGAAAAGGTGAACATGGCTTGTCGAAAATCAACATGGATCCAGGCTTATGAAGGGACTAGAGATTGATGCAGTAGAAAGGACTTTAATGGATAATAATTGCAACTTAATACATCAACTTACGAGATGGACTTCTACCACTCATCATAAAGAGTGCTATGAACACCTGAATTGCTACATATCAAAGTTACAATTGCAATCACAAAGAACCAGGCTAGCGAAGCTGCACTTGACAGCAACGTTGACCCGGCAGATGCCATGTACATTTTTTTTTAAATTTGTTTTGATTTTCATTTTGATTTTTTGTGCCCTTGGCCGGTCTGATACAAATCCATCACCAACAGATCGAGCACGTCTGTTTCAACGTGATGATGGACCCGTCTGTATTACAGGTCTCTCTGTGGTTTCATCTTTCCCTCATAATCGTATCCGTATCCGATATGTATCACGGTGGTGAGACATCAGACGGCGTTCAGCAAATCCCAACAACCCAGTTTTTATCAAATCTAAGCCTCACGGCTGAGGATGTCGGAGTCACCGGCGTCAAGGATGGCCTGAATCGTTAGTATTGTCTTCCTCTTTTTTTTCTTCTTCTTCGATTTCAAGAATTGCTTACCATGACGCTGCAGCGGTAGAGCTTACCGCAAGCGGTACCGAGCTCAATCTATATTGAAAGATAAGTTAACGACGTGCTCTCCAGCTTCTTCTCCGCAGAGGGAGGAGGAGCTTTCTCCGAGCGGATCCACTCTCCGAAGTCACGGTTCACGGGACGCGACCTCTTCTCTGAGCAATGGAGCGGCGCGGGGGTAGGCGACTTACGTTGTTGCCGCTGAAGTGGTGGACGGGGGTCTTGGCAAGCATGGCCATCTGGGAAACGTTAGAATATTGCGCCCAAGAGAATTTTTCTTTTCAAAGGGTTAAGGGTTCGTACGTATTCAAGCTCAGACTTGCGGAGGGGAGGGCAGTTGGCAGCGATGAGGACGAGCTTGGCCTTGCCGGAGCGGATGGTCTTCAGGGTGGTCTTGGTACCCATGGTGACCTTACCCGACTTCATGACGAGCGCCAGACGGGAGGCGAGGCTGGAGACGAGATGTTAGTATTTTTTTTTCCCGTACTGTCGAGCTTCGAGGGAACTTGGGTGTGCGTACGTATCACCGGTCTAGAAGAGCAGGATTAGCAAAAGAAAAAGGTTCACATCAGAGAAATAGACTCAAGTCCTCTCACCTTCTTAGCCTTGGCCATTTTTACTGATTTTATTGAGCTGGGCGCTGAACTGGATTGCTGGGCGTAAAGGGTCGAGGTTGCTGATTCCAGGTGCGAAGAAGATGAAGCGAAAAACCCACACAAAATTGGACTTGGCTCTAGGACTGATGGGGAATAGCGTGGGTTATTTTTTGTGTGCGGAGCGGGGTCACGTGGCATTAGCGAGGTTCGTCATCTGAGGTAAAGTGTGCCTGAGGCGACAATATATGCCTCACTACACTGAGTAGAAGTAGATGAATGATCTCAGTCTTTATCTTTTCTACTGATATTGTTTTATTCATATCTGAGTGCAAGCTAACTATAAAGCAGTTTTATGCGGATTCATAATCTGTGAGTCTCTTATTGATCTTTTACTCAGGTAAAAGGCACATACCACGCTTTCCAGCAAGATAATTCAACCTTGTCGGAACTTTGCCGAGAGACATTCCGTCTCTGATGAATTCAATTGGATTGCGGTGTTCGATATGGCCGATACTGCCCACAGATTTGTCTATGCAAGGGGGATATATCATTATCATCTGTATGAATCGAATCGAGCCTGCCTGTCACACTCACAATATCCCGTCAGCCTGAGAATGTCGTCTGGAAGTTCACAGGCAATTTCGGCAGGGGTCGAAAGGACCTCTTCCTGGTTGCGACGGAGGTAATCTCGTTGACTGGGAGGATTAGAGTCATGAATCACTGTGTCAAGAAAGGGTCTGGAGAGAACAGATAAAAATCACGTACCCAAAAACTGCGAACAGTGCACGAATAGCCTCAGGATCTTCACTTGTACATTTATTCTCACCCCCAGCATGGTAAGTTGCTAGAAGGTAGTACTAGATCCTGGTAAACGTTTTCTTCTTCTCCAATTACTCACTTCCAAGAGTAAAAAGCGCCGAACCAGGCTCCATTTCGGCAATTGCGCATTCTTCAAGCTTAGGAACACGGTCCACAGGCCACTTGTGACTTCCGGGAATAACCAGAGTTGCCTAGATGTGTATCAGATGCATACCGTACATAATTTTGAGGCAGTCTTACCCCGTTCTTGTAAGTACACTTGGATCCAGCAATCAGACACCCAACCATAGGGGTGTCAAGAGGATCTTCCAGGTTGGGTCCAGCTTGCCAGGGAATTCCATCCTGCTCGGTGTAAACCAGCAATGTAAGTAGCAGTTCTGAAAGGAAAAGGCTGTATATGGATTTGAATCGTACCCTGTGCAAAGGCTGCCGCTCAGCTCCGGGGACGAGGCGAAGCATTGCAGAAGTTGACAACGTGTAGCCGCTGAGATTTTCCACAAGTTTCTCTCCCACGTAGAATTTGAAAGGCTTTCTAGGCCAGAAAAAGGAGATTTGAGTATCTCACACCGGCTCAACCAAAGAGGAGGACAACTTACTGGAGAAAATGCTCCATGATTTTCTGCCAAACAGGGAGACGCATGATCTGGACAATTTGGTTTGGCATTTTGCCAAGGAGGCCCTACATACGGATTAACATAGGATCGATATAGAAATAGAAGCAGACTTTGTACATAAACGCGCTCGGATTTCGCAGGGAAAAAGCCCTCGAGTACAGCGTTAAAGACTTTCGGCTTATACATATCTCTAGACCACACCTCGAATTAGTACTTTTTATTGTCATGATTCATGTTCGTTATAGGAACACTGATGATATACTTGCTGATATCCATGCATTCCTTCACCAGCTCAAGGGAAAGGAAGTTGGATACAATGACCGCGCCATCTTGAGCAAGAACCTCACAGATATCCCCGATTGGCTGGGAAGCATCAATAGTACAAATTGTGGGCACCATTTCTTCAAGCAGTATCAAAAATAGTTGAGAAATTGAGTTGAACTTTAAATTTGCGATCTCTCCCTTGATGCTATTTATGACTTTCGTAGATCACAGATGAGAGATATGATGAAGTCATATGAATTCTAGGTTTCTGATCATCATTCCACCTCCTTGCTCGCCTTACTGGCGGTTAAGTATCCTGAAGAACAATTGAGCCTGTGTAACGCTTCATGAGGTTTGACGAAGAATGTCTATTGATACATTCCGTTTTATCAGGAGAAACAGGGCATTTAGGTCTAATCTGATCAAATGCTTACCTGGGTAGCTATATAAGACGTATAGTATCACAGATCTGAAGTCACTTAACACAATATATCGGTTTTTTTTTGACTCCTTTTGAAACCAAAATGGCTCCAGCATCGATTCTTCAGCCGATTGCCATAATCGGCATGGGTTGCCGACTCTCTGGCGACGCGAGAACCCCAGAGGCCTTGTGGCAAGCCTGCGCCGAGGCTGTCAACACCAGTTCAACCGTCCCAGAAGATCGCTTCAACTCGAAGGGATTCTTCCACCCTGACGCCGATCATATAGGCACTGTACTGTCACAGTGTCCATCCTTATTGACGCTCTTCCTCTTCCTTTGAAACTGACAATGGCGGGTCTAGATGAATACACACTCCGGTCACTTCATGAAAGATGACGTTTTCGTCTTTGATGCGGCATTTTTCAACCTTACAGCCGAAGCAGCCAGTGTATGTTTGATAGTAGACATCGAAAGGAAGCCTTCTAACCTGGGTTTCTAGGCAATGGACCCTCAATTGCGGATGCAACTGGAATGTGTCTATGAGACCTTTGAGAGTGGTAAGCAAAGTCTCTCCCAGGAGAAAAGAAAACGAAACCCAGACTGTACACTGAACTAAACCTGTCAGCTGGAATGACAATCGCAGAAATGGCTGGCAGCTTGACTTCTGTCTATTCTGGATACTCTTTCAAAGACTACCAGGAGAGACTGCTCAGGGAGTCCACCAACCTTCCCCGCTCCTTCCTCACCGGGACCGGAGGCGCCATGCTGTCGAACCGCGTCTCTCACTTCTTCGACCTGCGAGCCCCCAGCGTGAACTTGGATACAGGCTGTTCAACCAGCCTGGTGGCCTTGCACTTGGCTTGTCAGAGCTTGCGGGCCGGTGAATCGAAAATGTCCATTGTTGGGGGCTCAAACCTGTTGCTCAACCCGCAGACTTTCATTGCTCTTTCGAACCTCGGGCAAGTTCCCCCCCTTTTTTTTTCTCTTCTTCTTTCCCGGTAGTAGCACTTTTCTCTTGCGAGAGATAGTCTAATTTGGACGATAAGAACAGACTCCTCAGCAACGAAGGAAAGTGTTTCTCCTTTGATCATCGAGCCTCCGGATATGGTCGTGGCGATGGGGTGTGTAGCATTCTGCTTAAGCCTCTCGCTGATGCCTTGCGTGACGGTGATCCAATCCGGGCGGTTATTCGTGAAACTGGAGTCAACCAGGATGGAAGAACATCAACGATTACGACGCCATCCCAGCGAGCTCAGGAACTTCTCATCCGCGACTGTTATGTCCGCGCTGGGCTGGATCCCAAAGATACCACCTACGTCGAAGCTCACGGGACGGGGACTATTGCGGGCGACGGCACTGAACTGAACGCGATTGGAACGGTCTTTGGAGAGAATCGCTCGCCAGAAGAGCCGATGTGCATTGGATCCATCAAGGCCAATTTCGGTCATTTGGAAAGTGCTAGTGGTCTCGCGTCAATCATCAAGGTTGCTATGATGCTCGAGCATGGCCTCATTCCTCCTGCCGCCAATTTCGAATCTCCCAACCCTTCCATTGACTTTCAGGGTCTCAAACTCAAAGTATGATCGGGGAAAGCCACCAGTGACGTTAGTTTGAATCTTGTATTCATTTGTCTGACTTACGTGTTCTTTTCAGGTTCCCACTCAACTGGAGAAATGGCCAACACATAAATTACGAAGAGCATCGATCAGCAACTTTGGATACGGAGGAACCAACGGCCATGTCATTATGGAGAGTGCAGCCTACTACCGAAGAGCAGCTTCTCTTGAGCCGGGAGCCTTTGAAATAGATTACCACGCCGCGTTCAATGTTGCTGCCGAGCAGCCCATTGATCGGTACAGTCCCTGCTACAGCAACAGGCATTACATCTTTGTGCTCAGCGCCAAGGATGAGAAAGGCCTACGTAGGATGGTACAGAACTTCCAGGACTACCTTATGGGCCGAGGAGCGGAGAGAAGGCTATCCGAGTTGTCTTATACCCTCGCCCTTCGACGCTCTGATTTCCAATGGAAATTTGCAGTCTCTGGTCAGACTTTGGGAGGCGTCAGAGATGCCCTTTCAGACCCTCAACGGATATCTCTGGCCCCGGCTGGTCAGGGCCCACGGCTTGGCTTTGTCTTTACTGGACAAGGTGCTCAGTGGTTCGCCATGGGCCGGCAGTTGATGACTGCCTATCCACAATTCATGGAATCGATGCAGGAAGCACATGAGGTGCTCCAGAACTTGGGAGCTGCCTGGAGACTATTAGGTAGGGTTAAATCCATTGCTAGACTCAACACGAGATTTATATTGACGAAAACCACCAAACAGACGAATTTACAAAGGACGAGAAAACAACACGAGTCAACGAGCCGGGTCTCAGCTTCCCCCTCTGTGTTGTACTTCAGATATGCCTTGTCCGTTTGTTGTCTCAGTGGGGAATTCGACCGACTGCTGTTACAGGCCATTCGAGTGGAGAAATCGCCGCAGCCTATGCCTCTGGAGCGTTGAGTTTCAGGGAGGCTGTGGTGACTGCTTTTTACCGAGGCTATCTCTGCGATGAATTGATCAAAGGTTCATCCGTGAGTACTTCCATGCTGGCTCTCGGAAAGGGACGGGAGGAAGCTCTTGAATACACCCAGCGCATCTCCTCCGGCACCATCGTTGTCGCCTGTGTAAATAGCCCTTCGAGCGTGACCTTGTCTGGAGACATCGAAGCACTTGATGAAGTGGAAAAGCTGGCAACTGGAGGGAATGTTTTTGCCCGTCGCCTGAAAGTTGGAGCTGCTTATCATTCACCACATATGCAGCCTATTGCCGAAAAATACGAGTCCTATCTTAATCAGCATTTGGAAAACAATGGAGATTTTGGCAATATTCTCTTTTCCTCATCCGTCACCGGAGGCCTGCTCAACTCAGCCCAACAGTTGAATCCCACTTACTGGACAAAAAACATGCTGCAGCCGGTATTATTCCAGGAATCTTTGTGCAAGATGATCCTTGGAGGAGGAGAAGATAAATCGCAGCCGAAAGTTGACGTGATCATTGAAATCGGCCCGCATGGAGCGTTGGCAGGACCCATCCGTGAAACCATGCGACTTCCAGAATTGAAGAACCACAAGATCCCTTACGCTTCCTGCCTCTCTCGCGGCAAGGATGCCGTCCAGACCATGCAGGATCTTGCATGTCTGCTGAAGATGAGGGGCTGCGAGGTGAACTTGCAGGCTATCAATTTCCCCCTGGGACTGGAGGGTTTGAAACCTATCACTGATCTACCTCATTATCCTTGGAACCATTCAATGAGATATTCGATCGAGTCTCATGCAGAACGAGATGAACGGATGCGTAATCATGGACAACATGAGTTTCTCGGTACACGGATTCCCGGACTCAATCCTGCCGAGCCAACATGGCACCGACGACTTCGAGTTTCCGATATACCGTGGGTCCAAGACCATACGATTCAATCCCAAATCGTCTTTCCCGGATCTGGATTTGTGTGTATGGCTATTGAGGCGTTTGAACAGACTTATTCCGGAAATTTCGAGGCCATTGGCGGGTTTCAACTCAGCGACATAGAGCTTCTGAATGCCCTTGTGATACCAAACACTCCTGATGGAATCGAGGTCCACTTTTCCCTGCGTGAACTCGAAGAAGACGGCCTGAGCCCGGTGTTGCGACGCAGATTCCGCATCCATACGGTGACCTCCAAGGGTGTTTTCCTTGAGCATTGCCGAGGATTCATCTCAGCCGTCCCTGAAAAGACAAAGAGAATCCAGCAACCATCTCTTCTCGCTCGCGAGCAATCGGCTTGTCGACGGCTGGAGAATATTGAGGCAGGGGATTGGTATGATCTGCTGGACGGCCATGCTCCTACATTTGGACCTGCCTTCCGCAATGTTCAGTCCATCAAGGCTGCTGACAGTATGTCCCTCGCTGCCTGTTCGGTGCCAGAGACCGGCCCTATTCTACCAAGCCAAGATAAACCCGGCCTTCGAATCCATGCGACTATTCTTGATACCATCTTTCATTCCAGCTACTCCGCGGTTCCACGGACGGTGATGAAGCAGAGGGGCCTCACACTCCCGTTCTTTGTCAAAAGTGTGTACATCTCGTCCACGGCCCGAGCGAATCCGGGATGGCAATTCATCGTTTCCGCATCCGAGACCTCGGAGAATCGAGAGGGCTATAATCTACAGCTGGACGTTACCGATGCTAGCTTATTTTGGTCTGGCTCCCTGATCCAGGTGACTGGAATGCTCTGCCGATCAGTGGAGCGAAATCGAAAAATTGATGGCACTGGGGATGGAAAGCATTGTTTGAGGACAGATTGGGCTCCTCATCTTTCTCTCTTCTCGCACGAGGATCTCCATAGCCTTCTCATGATGGAAGAAAGTGATCCCCGCGAACAAGAGGCGCTGCATGATCTGGATCAAGCGGTCATCTGTTTGGCGAAGAAGACTTTGAATTCCTTGACCAAGCAAGACGAAGGCCAGCTGGGATGGCATGGAAAAAAGCTGGTAGACTGGATGAAACATATTGTTTCGGCCACCCATTCCAGTGAAGGAGTAGAAGGGAGGGAGGGAGAGGAAGAGTTATATCAGAGAGTCGTGTCGCAGAGCGTGAATGGGAAAATTGTGCTTCAAATAGGAAAGAATCTCCTTTCGATTTTACGAAAGCAGACCGAGCCACTTGATTTAATGAGGAGAGACGGTCTCCTGGATCAATACTATTTGAATGCCCTGAAGATGCCTCAATCATTGTCCCAGGTTGAAAAGCTCGTCGCTCTCTTTGCACATGGGACCTCTCGTGCCAAAATCCTTGAAATCGGCGCAGGGACTGGATCCTGCACAGCCGCTATACTCCGTGGCCTTGGGGCCAAGGATCCGAACAGACCCGCGCCCAGACTCGGACATCTGGACTTCACTGATATTTCCTCGGGTTTCTTCGAGAGAGCTCGGGAAAAGTTCGGGTTCTTGGACGGGAGAATCAACTACGCCAAGCTGGACATCGAAGAAGACCCAGCGAGCCAGTCCTTTGAGAATGGTACCTATGACCTGGTAGTCGCATGTTCAGTCCTTCACGCTACCAGAAACCTGTACCGAACCATGCAAAATGTTCGGAAGCTGTTGAAACCTGGTGGCAAACTAATCATGGTGGAAAGTACCCGCGATGAAATGGACGTTCAATTGGTGTTTGGGACTCTCCCCGGATGGTGGCTGAGTGAGGAGCCCGAGCGAAGTCTCTCACCTATTGCGAGCGTGGAATCATGGAAGGCGATTATGCGACGAGCGGGCTTTGAGAAAGAGATTTTCGAAATTGGAGATTGTGAAAATCGAGACCATTATCTGCTGAGCGTGATGATGGCCACCGCATCTTCCGAGCAACCCCAGCCTAGAAGCCCTGAGCAGATCGCGATCGTGATCCCTCCTGCACCAGCTCTCCCGGACACATGGCTCGAGACACTCTCCCGGTCGATACACACCGCAACTGGCAGTTCTTGCACCATACACTCTGCGAATGAGGAGGGAGTAACTGCCCAAGCAGTCCTGTACCTTGGAGATCTTCCATCCACAACTCTCGGAAACCTGAGCGCGGGTAATTTTGAACTCTGTAAGTCTCGGGTTCAGGCTGCGCGATATATCCTCTGGGTCACAAAAGGGGGGGCTATCAACTGTGAGTTCCCTGAATCCGCATTGGCAGTAGGATTGCTGCGAACATTGCGAGCAGAGAACCCCGGCAAACATTTTCTTAGTCTGGATTTGGATCCGGCGTCGGAGCTAGGAGGGCTCAGCGATATCAATGGCATTGTGGAGGTGCTGAAATCAACACTGTTCCGGGCTGCTAAAGCTGAGGATGATCTGGACTATGAATTTGCCGAACGACAAGGGCGCATTCTTGTTCCCCGCCTTTGCGAGGATCGTGCGCTGAACCAGGCCATCAAGGCCCAGCTTAGTGACGGGAATCCGCAGATTGTGAAGCAGGATTTCAACTTCCCCAAGACATCATATGTCAGACTGCAAGCAACCCACCCCGGAGATCTCAATAGCCTGACCTTTGTGGAAGAACCTGTCGCCAGTCCCGCATTGCCAGATCATATGGTGGAAATCGAGCCCAGAGCATTTGGTCTCAATTTCCGGGATGTCATGGTGGCGATGGGACAAATGAAGGAAGAGTATATGGGCTTCGAATGTGCCGGATACGTGTCACAGGTGGGTTTGAAAGCTCAACGGCAGTTCCGTGTGGGAGACCGCGTGTGCGCGTTTCTACCAACTGGACATTGGGCAAACAAGGTGCATGTCTCTTCAGCATTAGTCGCGTCGATTCCCGAGACCATGGAATTTGAGTATGCGGCCTCAATTCCAGTTATCTACCTGACTGCCTATCACTCCTTGGTCAAAGTTGCACGACTGAAGCAAGAAGAAAGTGTTCTTATCCATGCAGCAGCCGGTGGTGTTGGGCAGGCAGCCATCAATCTCGCGCAACATATCGGTGCTGAGATTTACGCCAGTGTCGGCTCGGAGGCAAAGGGGAAATTCCTACAAGATACCTACAAGATTCCAGCCGATCACATTCTATCCAGCCGAGACACTTCTTTTGAGGAGAGTATCATGGCCATGACAAACGGCAGAGGTGTGGATGTGATCCTCAACTCCTTATCTGGTCCACTTCTGCAGGCGAGCTGGAATTGCATTGCTCCTCTGGGCAGGTTTGTTGAGATCGGAAAGGTAGACATTCAACGAAACCGACACCTGGCAATGGCCAATTTTGAACGCTCGGTATCTTTCAGTGCGGTGGACCTTTTGCCTCTGGCCAAGAACGATGAAAGAGGGGTTTCCAAGATGCTGGAGAACGTCATTGCCATGCACAGGGATGGCGTTTTGAAACCCAGGATCCCGATCAACACCTCTTCGATTTCCGACATCCGGCAGGCATTCCGGACCATGCAGGCAGGAAAGCATGTTGGCAAAATCGTGATCACAGCCAAGCGTGATGACTTGGTACAAGTAAGTTGCTGCAGCAATAACTAGCACCCTGAGGGAGGGTTTGAGTTTTGACGTTGACCGTTTTGTAAAATCTAGGTTCTTCCCCGACCCAATCGGACCCTGTTCTCCCCCGATAGTTCCTACCTTATTGTTGGTGGACTGGGCGGGATTGGAGCATCGGTTGCCAAATGGATGGCTCACCACGGTGCTAGGTACATCATCTTAGCGTCCAGAAACGCGGAAGGAAAAGAGCATCGGGATTTCTTTTCGCATCTTCACCACCGGCTTCGGTCTCAGGGAACAACCCTGGTGGCTAAGAATCTGGACATTACCGATCCGAATGGCTTGCGTCTCCTGGTCCAGCATATGGAGGAACAGCAGGGGCTCCCAATTCGAGGGGTGATCCATGGGGGGATGGTTCTGAGGGACGCCTTGTTTGAGAAAATGAGTCACAGCCAGTGGCAAGAAGTCCTTGAGCCAAAGCTCATCGGTACCTTGAACCTGCACGATCAATTCCAGAGGCCCGACCTTGAGTTCTTCATCACTCTCTCTTCCACAACCGGCGCTCTGGGCAATATCTCGCAGGCTGCGTACACTGCAGGGAATACGTTTCAGGATGCGCTTGCTACGCATCGTGTCCGCCAGGGTCTTCCTGCCACTGCGATAGATCTAGGCATTGTGAAGTCCGTTGGTGCTGTCGCGGATCGGAGAGAACTCACCAGACATTTGGAACGACTTGGGTTTGGGGTGCATGAAGAAGAAGACGTCTTGCACCTCATCGAGGCGGCTATCCAGAGCTCCCGATCTAGAAACACGAGAGCATCCTCCGGCCAGATCTTGACCGGTATTGCTCCATTTAGCCAGCACGGGGAAGCGCCCTGGAGACGAGATGCGCGCTTTGGTGACCTTTTTCTACACGAAAGCCGGGGAGTCACCGAAGATCCTGTCCTGGGCGGCTCCCAACAGGGAAGCAGGAAAGCCCTGCCACTCAAAGAGATCCTGCTCAATGTGAAAGACGAATCCACAGCAGTCCAATCAATTGTCGACAGTTTCGTGAGCAAACTAGCCACGATGTTCATGATCCCGGAGCCAGAGGTCAATATCCACATGCCGTTGATGGACATGGGGGTTGATTCCCTCGTGGCGACAGAGTTACGGAATTGGATCACGCAGACTCTGAGAGCAGATCTCAGCATCTTCGACCTCAAGACAAGCCGGTCGCTCTCCGAACTGGCGAAGACCGTCGTGTCTCGCGCTTGGTCTGATGCGCCACGGCTGTGATCTAGGGGACTGCAGCCCAACTGGATAACTGGATAGCTGAAGTTGCCACTGATCAGCGGATCAAATCAGATAAAAAGGATGTAACTAGCCACACCAACACATCACCACATTCCATGAAGGCATAATCTAGGATTCAGGATCCCTGGTAGATACGAAGAGAACTCCGCTGCTGCTGCTAATCTCTCATCTGAAACTACACGTACCCAATGATGACTATGACAGCGAGCTGACGCGGCAGGCAAATATCCGACTCCTGTTCAACTTCAGCTGGATCAACCCCAGCTAGTAATTGAGTACTGTGTTGTTATTAGCCTGTCAGAGTCCATGTTCAGCTTGAGGATACGAGAACCAGGTTGTTGGGTCAGCCCAAGTAGGTGGATCTGTATACATAAGGTAGTATATAACTAGTACATTGGCTACACCGTGGATCTATTGACAGGGGTAATTAAGGTAGGGATTCAATGTAAGGGACCAGTCAGCATGCATACTACTGAATACTAGGCAGAGACATAAAAATCTGCGACGTGCATAAAGCTATTATTAATTAATAATGTTAGTAGTGTACTATGTAACTAATTACTATGTAGTATGCAGGGTAGTATCCTGATGCCTAAGGCCTCGTACTAAGACAGCCGAACACCCGAACTTGAACTCCAGCTGAGAGTGTAAATAACAGTGATTAATTAAGATTAAATAAAATAAATAATTTCTAACGGTTAATAGGAGATAATAATTCTTGATTTGAATCTGCTACATCGTATTGCCGATAGACGGAGGGAAGCGATTGATAGACGGTGACCGGAGTATGTTCGGCGATAGTGAACCTCGTTGTTGACTTCCTTGTAGGGACTACTATGTAACTAACTAGTAAGTAGTTAGCTGACTACTATGATGTACTCCGTAGTATGTGACACGAAAACCAGAGCTGGCCAAGTCAAAGGAACGTTGACGCAGAAATGTATGCAAGAGTGAAAAGAATTACTCCGGTGTCGACCTCGTGTTGCTTCGTGTTGAAAAATTTTCCATGGGCGACAGGGATTAGTTAAGTATGGAATGCCAGACCAAGCCCTATAGGGAGTTGGGAGAGAAAGGATCCCGGAATAGCAGGCTTCTAGAACGGGAGTCGAACACGAAAAACGGGATGGCCGAAGCGACGAGGCCGAACAATACCTTTTGGTTTTGCGCTAGTATTATATACTTACCTTAGGTACGGAGTACCTTACCTACTAGGTATAGGTACCTAGGTACTAGTTATGTAGGTACCTAAGGTGGTATCCGTACTGACTGTACTGACTGTACTGTACTAGCACTCGCGGCTTCGGAGTTTGCACGGACAACAACCATGCTTGTGGCTGTGCTCCTGTAGGAGGAAAAATTCTTTCTGTCCATTCAGATGTTGCTGATCCCTGCGTCGACGTGGAATAATTTTTTTAGTCTGTTTTAGATAAGTGTATACTAGTGACAGGTGCCGGACTGTCGGGTCTGAAAAAAATTCTGCTACCTGTTGAACTATAGTTAGTACTCGTATACTACATACGTATACATAATACTATTAATAAGTACTAGGTAGATTAGATAGAATCATAAAAATAAAAGAGTACAAGATTAGGCACAGAGTATTACCTAACTGACTACCTATGTGGACGGAGTACGGAGGACTCCGACAGTTCTAGATGCTGAGTATGTAGTAGTTAGTAAAGACAAATACACTATTGATAGATATACCCCGGACTAGACTCGGATCCGTGCATTCTTAGCTACGGAGGACTTGCCGAATAGATGTTGGGAACGGTTAATAATAGACGGAGAAACTGCTGGGCCGGCGGACCGAACTCTGCCGAAGGATCGACCAGACCCCGATCTAGACCTATCTATCTACGGAGTAACTACCTAGCTACCTTCGGTAGGTATGCAGTATGCAGGTAAATCAACGGTTGAATGTAGTACGGAGTCATTAGTATGTACGAAGATGTCTCAGCTGATCATGACTGTTGGCTGCGACGGAGTCACTTTAGATCCACCAATTTTAAATACTGTCTAGTAATGGAGTCGAACTAGTTGTCTAGGTAGAAGGTAGTAACTCCAGAGTACTCCGTATACTCCGTACTTACAGAGTACTCTGATAAGACATGACCAGTCAGGTGACACTCAGATGACACTTGGACAGTCAGACAGACCGGCCGAGTCACTGGACTAGGTCATTCGGATGATTGTGACTGAGGGACTGATTTCCAAGGTTTACTCTCAGGCTAGCAGCATAGTCTCATTCATAGTATGATTCCCCGCAAATCATGCTATCGGTCAGCTGACGGTCGGACGAACCCTTCGGCTTTGACTAAGAATGTGCGAGTATAGAAAACATTAGTAATGATAATAATAATAATAATCACAACAACAACATTCTGATATATTATTAATATTATTTTATAATAATATTTTATTATTAATACAGTTACATCCAGCTATAGTCTCTACATTCACGATCCAACAATTGATCTCTTACTACATATGCAGCTAATTCCTTCGTCCTCATCCCTTGTAGATTACTGGTACATCTTGTTGATCGCCGCGTGTTGAAGAATGAATGCGTGGCTCGGCCGTACCCCGTCTGGTGGTGGGGTTTCGTGGATCGGTAGTTTAGGTAGGTCCGGTGGACCAGGTTGACGGGACTGTGGACTGGCTGGACTGGACATGGACAGCGGGTGGACAGTGGGTGGACAGTGGGTGGACAGTGGTGGACAGTGGAGGACAGTGGGTGGACAGTGGGTGGACACACAACAATAGGACATGGACACTGGATGGACAAGATTCAGACAGTAGAAGGACAGTGAACTAAAGTAGAGTAATTACTTGAATAAAAGATTGAAAATCAAACTCTTCTCTAGCCGACAAGTACGAAGCGAACCTTCTAGAGGACTCGAGTCGAGACCAGCTGCCAACTAACCCGTTAGTCACTCAGTCTCAGTCTTCACGGACAGGCCGATGCATGGAGGCCGAGACATGTGGCTAAAGCGAGCAGGGGTGTGGCTGTGATGGCGCTAAACCCCCCCTGGAACTTCCCCTACCCTAAAACGGGAAGGGCAGATCTTTGAAAATTACGGCACCCTCTCTCATACGGTATTGTTACCCGGCGATCGGGTGCTTTGCGACGTCATCCCAGCTTCTGTGCAGCGTCTGCCAATCCTTATAGTCTTTTGCGTGCCCGCGAGCAATTCTTCCCCTGCTGCACTTTCTCCTCCATGTGTCAATTAAGATCAGACTAACCTACTATATTGGTAGTCCCTTTCCCCATCCGACGATCCCGAATTCCAAATCAGCCCTCTATTACTTTACCCTCCATCCCCAAGGCATCCATCTATCCATCCTGCTTATCGCCTACCACCGTTCCGCCATCTTCCTGACGACCCAAACCCAGCGTCACCACACACACTTCAACCACTTCCGGCCGAGTCAACGTCCAGCGAAAAAAAAAAAAAAAAAGTCAAAATTTGGAAGCTTATCACCCGCATATCCACGGGTTGACTCACACCCAGATTCATTGGTTGTTGCTGTCCGTCTTTTTTTTTGGCTGTTCCCAGCCTGTTGGAAACAAAAGCCCGCGCAATAATCAACTCGAGATCGGATCTTGAGTCGTCAGAGGGGGATCAAGGACCTGCCAACCATATTTAAGCAACTGCCTGCCGCGAGGTGGCAAAAGTCATCCTTCCTTTCCTCTCTCTTCTCTTCTCTCTCTCTCTCTCTCTCTCTCTCTCCCTCCCTCTCTCCCTCCCTCCCTCACACAACGCTTCCCCCCCCCCCCGCCTACTTCTTCTTCCATGATGCTCATGCCCCCATCGACATCACGTAAGGGCTTCATCACCGAACCGACATCTCTTTATTCCATACAAGACGATCAGGTCTTGCTCGATTTCTTCCAAGATTCGTCTGCCACCTCGTCTGCGTGTCTGCAGTCGCCCTTCCAGTACACCACCAACCCTACCACGGCAGCGGCAACCACTCCCACCCTCTACTTCGCCTCGCCTCCTTCTTCCGTCACTTCTTCGCCTACCTTCTCCTCACCGGCCATCTCCTCCGACTACGCCGTCTTTGACGGCAGCTATCATCTTTCTGCTCCTTCGATGACCCCGGCTTCTTCCTATAATCCCTCGATCCACATTCAACAACCGGACTCGCCGCAACAACCGCAGCAGCCGCAGTACTATCTCCACAACCAACAACAACAACAACAATATCTTCCTCAATATCACTTTGATCAGACAACGCCCATGTTGGCACAACACTCGGTGACGAATAACCACGGTTGGGGTAGCAATTCGCTCCTCACTCCGGCCAGGTTCCCCTCCTCCGGACTGGAGGCGCAGCAGCAGAAGAAGTCGACAAAACCGCTGCCTACCCCCGTACAGACCCCCGTTCAGAACTCCTACTTGGCTGCTGCCTTTCAGAACTATGACCCTTCGGCGCCTGAGGCCGAGTTGGCTATGAGACATGCAGTGATGGAACAACAACAGCTTCAACACCAGTCGCAGAACGACTACTCGATGGCGCAATCAGTCTCCAGTGTTAGCCAAAATTCCCCCGTCACTCCTCAGACAAACTATGACGAGGCAGACGACGTATCCAAGGCGATGATCAATGGTGAGGACAGATTTCCCGATGTTGACCGGTGGATGGATGATTACTTACGTCTCGATGCACCTTCAGAATACGGTTCTAGCAACACCAACACCGCCGCCGGCCCTCTCGCCAACATCCCCAAACTCACCCACACCATGTCTGATGTCTATCAAGATGAGCTGTTCATGGTGCCACAGAAGCAACAACAACAACAACAACAACAACAGCAGCAGCAGCAGCAGCAACAACAACAACAACAGCAACAACAACAACAACCTCAATCACAACCTATGCAACAGCAGCAATCACAGCAATCGCAGCAGTCGCAGCAGTCGCAACAAAGCCAACCACAACAATCCCTTTTCACGCCATACCGTAATGTCTTCGCCGATCGGCTGCAGGCCGCCAGTCAAGGCCACCTGTCTGCTCGCTCGCAGTCGCCCGCCATGGGTCTCGTTCGTGAACGCTCCCCCTTCCGTCATGGTTCGCCGCTGGCCGCCGACTTTGACACCACTCCGCTGCCGCCGACGACACACATGGCGACCAGCATGCCCATAGGCCAGAATGGCCTAAACCTGGCGGCGCGTCACCAGCCGACGGGGGAGCCCAAGACCATGTCGCCCAAGGATGCCCTGCTCGACTTCAACGAGGGTGACGAGGCCGCCAACATGCCCAGTCTCTTCCCCTCCAGCGGGCCCGCTGACTTCCAGATCGACCCCTTGGGCCTCCGTCGCCAGAGCTCGTCCTCCTTCCGTCCGGCGCAGAACTTCTCTACCTCCATGACCTCCTTCCCCTCCCATTACCCAGCGGTAACACCGACAACCGTTCCGACTACCGCCGCCGCGCCCACGACCGACATAAACACAATTGTGCGTGGTGGCCCTTACCAGTTCGCTCCCCAGACCACATCACTGGACTTTCCGGCGTCGCTGCCGACGATGGAGTCGACGGGTAGTGGATCCACCACCCTGCAGTCGCCCCCAACAGCCGCCCGCGTGATGATGATGCAGCAGCAGCAGCAGCAGCAGCATCAGCCGATGCCTCAGCGCCCAGAGGACACATCCGCGGACGCCGGCACCTACACCTGCACCTATCACGGTTGTACTCTACGCTTCGAGTCCCCGGCCAAGCTACAGAAGCACAAGCGAGAGGCACATCGATCGACGACTCCCGGCGGCCATCTGGTGACCCGCGATACCAACGCGCGCAACTCCCAGGCCGGGCCGCACCGGTGCGATCGCATCAATCCCTCGACGGGCAAGCCGTGCAATTCCATCTTCTCGCGACCCTACGATCTGACGCGTCATGAGGACACGATCCACAATGCGCGTAAACAGAAAGTGCGCTGCCATCTGTGTACCGAGGAGAAGACCTTCTCGCGCAACGATGCGCTGACCCGTCACATGCGCGTCGTGCACCCGGAGGTCGATTGGCCAGGCAAGCAGCGACGCCGCAGGGGTTAACTTTTTTTTCTTCTTTTTTTTTTCTTTTTCCCCTTCTTCATTCTTCTTCTGGCTGTACAGTGTGTACAGGATACACCACCCCAGTGTACAGTCAGCAACCCCCAAATTTCGGCATGACTCGGTATGACGAGAGGCCGCCATTGACGTCATGAAGATGTCTCTTTAGGAAAGGACTAGCCGGTGGATCCGCGGTCCCCATCTCCGCTTCGGGACTGGCGCTCCTGGACCAACGTCTTCATGACGTCATGACATCAATATCGAAACCCTTCGAATTGACTCTCTCTTTTTTTTTTTTCTTTTCTCTCCCTTCTACAATTGAAATCAACTGACGCAACCATTGTAATTTTCATTCTTGACTGCTCTGATTTTTTTTTTGACTTTGCCTTTTTCATTTTCTTTCTTTTCTTTTCTTTTTTTTTTTTTTTTTGGATAGACAGAAAATGGGTCTCTCTAGCGTGTTATCATGTCCAGTTATGAAACTCTTCCTTTTCGAATGTTGTACCATGTACCAATACTGTCTTCTATGATCATACTGATGTGGATCTGATGTTGATCTGATGTTTGATGTGACGTTTATGAACATTTATGGCTTGCATTGGGCGGAATTATATGTATAGTACCTACTATAGACTGTACTACATACAAACAGTACAATAGAACCTCAAAAAGTACTGAATTCTACAGCGTAGACGAAGTATGTAGACGGAGTCGATCTCGGGACCCTCCCGCTGTCAAGGTTGTATGTATCCAATCAACTCGCGTGGGAATGAAGTCTCGCTCAGTGGCTAGACCTCCTCTGTACCTATCTATTAGTGACTACCAAGGAAATACCAGTGCTGCAATACTTCCCAGAAAATGGATGTTATAAGTAGAAGTGAGTGTAGTGTTTATACTTACGTGGTGTTAGTATCGGGATGCCTCATTCGGCATTCCGAGCGGGGTTGACTGAGTCATAAACTAGACGAAGCAAAGTAACTAATCCTTATCTCCATGTTCTGGATTATTCATTTCCTGTCGATGTAAACGATACACATGGCGGAACCAGCGGAACCACTCGAGCTCGATTTCGACTCGCCTTCAGATGACTTTCCCTCGCCGGTGACGGGCATGCAGACGCCTGATCCGCTGTTGAACCATGAGCGTGTAAATGTACGGCATGAAGCACACGAGCAAGTTGTTGTCGATGGGAGTTTGGGGCCCGAGGCTGTGCATCGTAGATATTCTGTGCGGCCGGACATTTGTGGTGACTCTGATGTTACGGATATACCACTACAGACACTACCACTACAGACCCTACCGCTACCGCTACCGCTACCGCTACAGATACCAACGCCACCACAGCAAGGAAGACATCAAGGCGTACCGCCCGAGATAGGAAGCTTCACGGCCGAGGTGGTGTTGATCCTCGTGTGCTCTGCTGGCCTGATGCTGTTCGCCTTCCTGTTGGGGGACATGACGGTCTCACAGGCCCAGCTGCAGCGCGCGCTAGGCATCCCCTCGACCGAGATTCCCTGGCTGATCGGGGCTTTCAACACGGCCAACGGGGTCTCCGTCGTGGTGTCCGGCTCGCTCGCCGACCTGGTACCCCCCAAGCGACTCATGGTGGGCGCCTTTGCCTGGCTGACCGTGTGGAATGTGGTCGGTGTGTTTGCGCTGACCCCGGCCCGCGCGCCGCTCTTCTTCTTCGTCCGCGCCATGCAGGGCTTGTCCATCGGCGTGCTGGTCTCGGGATGCATGAGTATCTTGGGTCGTGTGTACAAGCCCGGTTTGCGCAAGAACCGCGTCTTCTCTGCCATGTCGGCAACCTCGCCTTTTGGCTTCTTCCTCGGTGGTGTCCAGGGTGGCGCGCTGCAGGGCCGGCTGCCCTGGATCTTCGGTACGAATGCGCTCTTCTCGGGGATTTGTGCTCTGGCGGCATATCTGGTTATTCCTGCCTTGCGGCCCGTCGCGGATATCGCGGGCGCGGAGATTCCCTCGTGGCGCCAGTTCGACTTCCTCGGCGCGGCCATCGCCATCACTGGCTGCGTGTGTCTGCTCTTCGGCCTCACCCAGGGATCGGCCACCTCGTGGGCTCCATACACGCTGGTCCTGGTTGCCGTCGGGGTCGTCGCTCTCGCTAGCATGTACTTTGTCGAGCGCCGGGTTGCCCGCCCGCTGATCCCCAACCGCCTGTGGAAGACACAGGGCTTCACCCCGCTCATGGTCGCCTACTTCCTGGGCTTTGGCTCCTTCTTCGGCGCCTGGCAGTTCTACGCCGTCCAGTTCTGGCTGCATATCCAGCACGCTGCCCCGTTGACGGTCGGCCTGTACCTGCTCCCCAACGCTGTCGTAGGAGTCTTCGCGACCTGGATCGTCAGCCGCACCCTGCACCTGATTCCAGGACATTACATTTACACATTCTCCATGCTAGCTTTTACCATGGGGCCGACCTTCTTCCTGCCGCAGACGCCCCGCTCTAGCTACTGGGCGCTCTCCATGCCGGGCGTCGGGCTCGCCACCTTCGGCCCGGATCTTGCCTTCGCCGCCGCCAGCATCTTCATCACCAGCAGCGTCGCCCGTTCCTACCAGGGCACCGCAGGTAGCCTGCTCGTCACGAACCAGAACCTCTCGTCCGCCATCATGACCAGTATCGCAGATGCGATCGGCTCGCGTGTCGATATGCAGCCGGACGGAAACATCGGATTGAAAGGGTTGCATGCCATCTGGTGGTTTGGCCTTGCGATGCAGTTGCTTTCCGCCTTGATTACAGTCGTCTGGGTGAGGATTCCAAAGGAGGAGGAAAAGGAACATGTTACCTAGTCTCACTGCATATTGTTAGTGGGGTTCGTAATCTAGCATATAAAAGATTCAAAACGGGCTATATATATGCTCTCTCTCGACATTCTAATACAATCCGCATGGACTCAAGATCATGCTCAGTCCGCAGATTCCGTTATGCAATACCATGCAGATCGCAAGGGATACTTACTGTACTACTAGCAGAGATATGACAATCTATTGTCTACTGCACGTCGACGGTGTTTTCGCCAGACCACCACTCCTTTTGCACTTTCTCGAATTTATCCAGACCGCCGATTAGAACCGCATTTTACCTAGATAATTGGACAGAGACTCGATAGTCCCCAGCAGCTATGCATAACACGGCGCCGTGAATGGTCACCCAGCTCGAAGCGGGGTTGGCAGAAACGTACAGGGATTGCGAACCCCCCCCTGGACACCTGGTGTCAGACAGCGAAGCATGCAGGCTAGGGTCAAAGATCCAGCTCAAAGCGGTGTGTTCCAATCATCGGAGATCCGTTAAAAAGCTCCTTCTTGCTGAAAGTCGAAGAGATGGGAAGAAATCGAAGATGATGAAACGTTGTGGGAAGAAGGTGGGAGGGAAGGAAGGAAGGAAGCAGGGGGAACACAAACCCTAACTCTGTGCCCTAATTTCCCTGTTCGGATACCATCACGTGCAGCCCCCCTTTCCCCCCACGAGTGACGGCGATGGCTTCGGGCCGCCGTTTGAAGTCGAGCTCCGTAACCTGGACAGGAATTGGACGACCGGTTCCTTGGCGAGACGCGGAATGAGCATCGAGAGAGAGTCAGAAACCGCCTTCCGCCAATGGAAACGATGCATCACAAAGGACTAGCTGTGGAGTGATGGACTCGTCACACCATGGCGACGCTCAGAGCCCTTGCTCCGTCACGAAGCAGCCTCTCACCCGCTATACGGAGGAGCTTTTACAGCGCCGGCGTCTCCACTCTGCGGCCATGGTCTGCATGAGTGCGCGGGCCTCCAACTCAAAACGACTCCATTGCAAAAGCGATCTTTTCTACTCGAGGGATGCCACGCCGTCTACGCTGAAGAGCGCCTTGCGAGATTGGGCGAACAAGTCGGCGGATGGGAACGGCCTAATGCATCCATGCGGCAATGGACTCGCATGAACTAGTCGTACCGACTCCATGGCGGAAATATTAGAGATCGACCAGGCAAATGGGGGGGTCCAAAAGGTCGCAAGCTCGCTGGTGCTAGAAGAGGAGCGCTCGTATTTCTTCTCTCCGTTGTGTCCTGGGAGAGAGCCCATCTGCTGAGCAGCATCCAAATCTCCATTTCAGACGGTCAAGATGGGGCTGGGAGAGGAGATATTATCAAAGGTTACCTTCACGAATGCCGTGCTGGGTCTCTGCGGCTATGTCGCTCTCAGGTTTCTCTATCAAATCGTATACTACCATTTTTTCCACCCGCTGTCCATCTTCCCGGGTCCCTTCTGGGCGGGCGTGACCCGATTGTGGCTGGCCTGGCACAGTGTGAGAGAGACAGAGGTGGCTGCGCTGATTGAATCGGCGAAAAAATATGGTCGGTCTATAATTATCTACAAGGTGCGCCGGGTGGAAATAGAGAGGCATTCCGCTGACTAGAACATGTAGGCTCGGTTGTTCGAATCACCCCTACACTCCTCCTCGTGAACGACGTCGAACGGCTTCCAGATGTGTACCACCGCAATGCTGACAAGACGGGCCACTATGTCACCGGAAGTTTCGGCGAGGCAGAGAGTCTTTTCAACATGCGATCTCACAAAACCCACGCCGCGTTCCGAAAGCACGTTGCAGGCCCAGTATGTGTCTTTCCAAAAGAGCCTGAGAGCTCGAGTCTGATGGCCTACGCAGTACAATTTTAGCAACGTCAAGAGGATGGAGCCTCTGATGGATGGCATTATCCAGGGCTGGCTGCAGAAGCTTGATGAGAAATTTGCACAGACAAACCAGTGCTTTGATTTTACGTGGTGGGCAGTGTGAGTGACTTCCCACTGCCTGAGACTAGCCATTCTCTAATATCTCGATTTTCGATTACCCATAGATACATGGCATACGATGTGATTAGCGAAGTTGGGTTTGGAGGATCCTTCGGCTTTGTCGAGCAAGGAAAGGATGTAGGCGGTCTTATCCAGGGCTTCCACGACGGCCTGCCTGCCTTTGGGCTGCTCGCTCGTCTCCACCCCTTCACGACATGGATCAAGACGACTTTCCTGAAGAAATATCTTGTCGCGTCGGCAGCCGACGATTCTGGGATCGGCGTGGTGATGCGCTTCCGCGATAAACTCATCGCCCAGCGCCTGCAGGACATGAAAGAAGGCAAAGACACCGGCCGCGTCGACTTACTGCAAACCTTCCTCGAGGCCCGCACCGACCAAGGCAAGCCCCTCGACATGGAATACATCAAAGCCGAGGTCTTGCTGGTTATGCTCGCGGGCGCCGACACCACAGGCACCACCTTCCAGTCGATGGTCCAGTATTTGCTCGACAACCCACTCATCTACAAACGCATGCTGGACGAGATCGACTCCGCCACCGCCAAGGGTCTCATCTCCAACATGCCCCAGTACGAAGAGGTCATGGCCTATCTCCCCTTCTACGTCGCCTGCGTGCGCGAAACCCTCCGTCTCTGCCCGCCCGCCCATAACATCTTCCCTCGTCACGTCGCCGAACCGGGCATCGAGCTAGACGGCAAATTCGCCCCCGGCGGCACAGAGCTCACAGCAACCCCGTACATCATCCATCGCGACCGCTCCCTCTATGGGCCTGATGCGGACGAGTTCCGTCCGGACCGCTGGCTGGACGCCGACCGCGCAAAACTCTACACAAAATATAACTTCTCTTTCGGCTACGGCTCTCGTATTTGTCTGGGTAGGGATATTGCCATGATGGAACTCTTCAAGGCACCGCTTCAGGTAATTTTCTTCTTCTTCTTCTTCTTCTTCTTTTAATTACCGTTCGCTGACGTTTCAGTTCTTCCGCTATTACGAACCCAAGATTGTCCCCGGGAAACCTTCTGCCCGTTTCATCGTCAAGGGTGGCATAGGCTTCTGGAGAGACATTTGGTTGACCATCGTCAAGCGGCCTGTTCAGAAGCAGGCGTAAACAGTGCCTATGCGATATGACTTGCAAGGAGATTGAGTTGACAGGCTACTGCATTTTCCAGATTTATATACATTGCTGGCCGGTGTGAATCATAGAACTAAGGCCTCTAGGATATATACAGTGGATATACTTACGAGAAACTATATAATTAGGTGTTCATGGGGGGTACTTCTACTTGGTAGGAAGAAGGAATGACTAGTTGGCACATATATAAACTTGAAACCATCTTCACATGTCTTCAAGAAAAGGTATATGAAGAAATCAACTAGATGAGGTAAATGAAACGAGGACTTTTAAATCCGAAAAGATAAGCACAGGCATATTCATTCCTCTTTGAAGAACAGGAATAACCGAGCCAGGGCCCGATCCTATCTCACTAAGCAGAACCGTTGGTAGCGGTAGTCCCCATGACAGCGTCCTAGAGGAAATAATCAGCATCTAGATATAGAGGCATATTAGAGCAAGAAAAAATGACTTACCCTAGCGTCCTGGTATATAGGGAAGATCCCAGTCCAATGCTCAAACTGATAATATTAGTTATAGATGAAAAAAAAGGTCTTGTAAAAATAGTGAAGAAGGGAAGCAATTTACCTGGTGCACTCCCTGGCCTACCAGAGCCTCCAAGCCCGGGATGGTTTTCCAGCCGGCGTCAGAAGCAAGCTGCATGAGAGGGGTTACTGAAGGCTTGTACGCCATTTCAAGGAGCACGCGAGGGGAATTCTCAATGCTCTTGAGGGCGTCGACGTCGAGCTCTTGGGCGCGAGTGAACATGTGGCACAACGTCTCACGCATAGCGGGGTCGATTGGCTTATCGCCAGGGATCGTGCCGATCGCGACCGTGGGAACGGTCTCCTCCCACTGCTCGTTATTCTCGACGATGCGGATGTCATAGCTGCTCGGGAAGGTCTCGGCCATGCCCTGCAATTTGGCGGGCGAGCGGCCAACGACGTAGATGGGCGCGTATCCCAGGCTGTGGAGCGAATAGATGGCAGCCCGAGCGGTGCCGCCTCCACCGATGACAACAGCACTCGAGTTCCCGTCGGAGCCGTAGACTGAAGCATTACGGAGAGACCGAACCATCCCCTGCCAGTCGGTGTTGTAGCCGACCAGACGGGTGGCCTTGCCGCCAGTGCCGTCGGTGACCGGCACGATCGTGTTGACGGCGCCGATGATCTCGGCCTCCTGCGCAACTTCGTCCAGCAAGGGCATGATGTCCAGCTTCAACGGAATGGTGACCGAGGCGCCTCCGAAATCGGGGGCATGGATGAACTCCTTCACGTCCTCGACATTGGTGGTCTCCAGTCGGCCGTACTCGTGGGGAAGACCCATCTGCGCGAACAGAGTGTTGTGAAGCGGGGGGGACCGAGAGGCAGAGACCGGCGACCCGAAGATGGCAAACTTCTTGGGTACAATCTCGCCCATCAGCGATAGACCCTTGCGGATTTCGGTAGCCGAAAGCTGACCGGGTGCGGCTTTGAAAGGAAGGCTGGGGTGAGAGACCGGGGTCATGAAGCCGTTTAGAATACGGCTCAGTTGTCCTTTATCGCCCATGTTGATTGCGATCACAGGCACATCGTGAGCCTGCTCAGCCCACGACTTGAAGCCCCTTAACGCCGAATTATCGTCAAGAGATTCCGCAACGCCCACCAGCTTGATCACGTCGCCGTACTCAAGTGCCCGGTTGTAGAACTTCATCCACGACATATTGGACCACGATAGCGTGTGCTGGGGGTCATGGTGCGATGCGATGATTTTGGACTGACCCTTCATTTCCGTCACGGCATGGAGCAAGTCATCGGGGAAAGCGATTTCCAGATCTACAAATTCACAGCCAGTTCTGACGGCCAGCTTGTAGAGGTCGAGCGCAGCCTCATGCGCGTCATCTGGGAAGCGGCCCCCTTGGCTCTTAGTGCGAATGGTGAAGATAAGCGGGAGGGTGACACGACTTCGGAGGAAAGAGATTTGCTCCACCACGTAGTCGACTGATGGAATCTCATCCTCGGAAGAAGGATCTTGTAGTAGATCGACTCGCAGCTCCACAGCATCAGAGCCCACACAAACCTCCTCAAGAATGTTACTAGCCGTCCGCAGATCCGGCAGGGTGAGGGAAACGAAGAAAGAGTGCTTCTTCTTCTTGAGGGTGTGCAGACATTCCCGTTGACCGGTGACAAACTGCAAGAATCGACTGAAATCACGAGATGCCAGAGTAAGTTCGCTGGAGCTGGACCGCTGATTATAGTACTGGATGTTGCTGCAGTCCTGGAACCAGGGTTTGCGGCGGAGCCACACGCCCATCATATCCTCAACATAGGCAGGGCGGGTCTTGTCGATCTTGAGGAAGTCCATCACTTGGTTGATGTCGCGCATCACGAGGAGAACATTGCCCCTGGACTTGTGGTATTCGGTAAGCAGCTTCCTGGCTTCGGGGATCTCAACGATGCCGCCGCCGCAGGCGAAAACGTAGCCCGTGGCACGCTCCTTCATCATGCGCTGCAAGAGTGCAAGCTCGGCGTCTCGGAAACCTTGCCAGCCACGCTGCTTAATTAACTCAGGAATCGTGATTCCCTCGGTTCTTTCAAGCTCATCATCAAGATCGATGAAGGGGCGATCCATGACTTTGCCGACCCAGTTTCCAGTTGTCGTTTTCCCGGCACCACGCATGCCGATGATGAAGATGGAGGCGGACGCTTTCTCGGCACGGCTAAGGACCGGCAAATGCGCTTCCTCGAGCTCCTTTCCTTCCAACTTGACAGAAAAGAGCTGTCTCATGGCATCCCACCAGCCAGGCCACGTCTTACCGACACACTCCTTCTCCAGAATGAGTGTTGGGTGCGGGGCGACAAGGGAGAGGACGCTGAAGCTGAAAGCAACGCGGTGGTCATCATAGCAGAAAACGCCGCCAGCGGGCTGGCGGAGAGTCGAACGATCAATACCATCGATTTCCAGGCCGTCTTCGTGCTCACGGCAGACGACACCGAACTTGGCCAACTCATCCTTCATGGCCTTGATGCGGTTGCACTCCTTGACACGTTGGTTGGCGATGCCATAAATGCGAGTGGTATGGTTTGATCCATGGCCACGAGCAACTGCAGCGAGAACGGAGGCGCCCAAGAAAGCATCGGTCATCGGCTCCATGTCTACGTTGGGGAGGGGTCGCAGAATACCATCTGAAGGGCCGGTGACGGTGGTCGAGGTGTCAGTCTGCTCGACCGTGCATCCCATCGGCTTCAGGACCTCAACAGCAAATCGGGCATCGCCCTGCAGAGACTTGGACCCAATGTTGGGGATGGTGCAGGTCGTGCCGGTGATGGCAGCAATGGCCAGAGGATAGGTAGCAGAACTGGCATCGCTCTCCACGACGTATTCCGCAGGGTTGACGTAGTGACCCTGAGGGATATGGTAGGTGTGCTCTTCCGTAGTGGACTTAACCACGTCGATACCAAAGGACCGCATCATCGCCGTGGTCATATCAATGTATGGCTGAGAAATGGGCTTGCCACCGACAAGCTTGAGGGTGACCGGCTCCTTGGCGTAGGGCGCGCACATCAGCAAAGAAGAGACGTACTGAGAGGAAACCTTGGCGGCCAGGTTGATCTTTCCTCCAGCAAAGCCACCCGAAGCAGCAATTTTCAGAGGGAGACTGCCCTTTCTCTCCATATACTCAACGCTTGCGCCGTTGATGGTCAGAGCATCCACAAGGTCACCAATGGGACGCTGTTTCATGCGGTTGTTGCCCGTGAGCACGCTCGAGTCAACGCTACCGGGAGAAGCAAGGGTTGCGACAGTGGTGAGGAATCGAGAGGCCGTACCGGCGTTGCCGAGGTACAACGGCGTGGGGCTAGCCTGAAGCTTTCCTCCCATGCCGTTGACCACGAGCACTTCACCTTGCTCTTCCCAAGAAAAGGTGGCAGCGCCAAGACTTTCCAGAGCGTTGAGCATAACCTCAGTATCATCGGAGTGCAGGAGATTCTTGATACGGCAAGTACCCGAGCCGAGGGCGGCCAAGACAAGAGCTCTGTTGGAGATACTCTTCGAACCGGGGGGGGCGCAAGTGACGTTAAGAGACTTGGGGACACCCTGAGTGACCTCGATGCTGGGAGCAAGCACGACCTTGATGTCCTCGTTGGACACGACACTGGCCTTTTGCTCATAGGTTTGGCCAATAGCGGAGAGCAGGACGACCTTCTTCTTCGGGCCGTCGTTCTTCTTGTCGAGAGCCATGTTGTACATAAGCTGCTCCAGGGAGCAATGCTTACCGGCCGTCAGCTTCCTGACCCGTGCATCCTTCAACGAGGTGGGCAGGCCGTAGGCAGCGAGGCACTTGACGACGCGCGAGACGGCCACGGGCTTGAGAACACCAAGGTGTCTGGCAAGCTCAGCCTCCTTGACCATGCCAATCGCGACGCACTCGCCGTGCAGGACCTGAGGAGTCAAAACGGCTTCGATGGCGTGGCCGATAGAATGGCCCCAGTTCAAAAGGTTGCGTAAACCTCCTTCGCGCTCATCCGCCGAGACGACCTCGGCTTTGTGGCGCGCTGAAGCCAAGATACGTGCCTTCATGATATCGTGAATGTCTCCGAAGCGACGTTCACCGGGTTGGACCTCACGCTTCACAGCCGAGATGATCGTATCCGCATCTTCTTCGAGTGCGGTGAATTCGGCCTCGCTAGAGATAGCTGCAGTTTTGATGACCTCTGCCATTCCATTGATAAACTCCCGCTTGGGGAGGGTCTCCAGGAACTCAAGGTCAATGTAGATCCGGGTCGGTTGCCAGATCGTGCCGATGAGGTTCTTCCCGAGGGGTGTGTCAATGGCGGTCTTACCTCCAATGGAGGAGTCCACCATGGCAAGGAGAGTGGTGGGGACCTGGACATATCTAACACCACGCATGTAGGTCGACGCAACGAAGCCCATCAAATCCCCAATGACACCTCCGCCCAGCGCAATGATAACTGTGTCTCGTCCACATGGGGGGCTCTGGCTCAGCATCCAATCCTCAATGTCAGCCTTGGTCTGTCTCGACTTGGAGCTTTCTCCGGGCGGAATCTGATAGACAAGAAGACGGGGAGTGGGCGAAAGTCCAGCCGTGGCTTCTTCAAAGGTCTGCTGGAATCCGGGCATGTAAATGGATCCGATGTTGGTATCCGAGATGAGCACGTAGGTCGTGGAGGGACAGACACTGATCAAGTCCTTGGCGACATAGTTGCGCCAAAGACCGAAATCAGCGACGATGCTCTCCCTCCCCAGAATGCTGATCTTGGTTGGTTCGGTCATTTTTGCGAGGGGCTCGGCAGGACGGTAGAGAAGCGGTGACTCGTCAATTCCAATCGTAAAAAAAAACCTGTAAATCGAGCAATCCCAATCAATTCATCATGAGACAGGACTCTAATCCGTCAGGTCAGCAATGAGCCCCATAAACCACCAGCAACTGGGATCCTGGAGGGGGTTGAGACGCACGATTAGATAGAGAACTGCCTGCGGGGGCCTCTCAAGCACTCGCCTATGCTTTCTATCAGAAAAAGAAGCGGTTGTGGAAATTCCTGCAAGTACTGACCGAGATCTCGACCGAGCTCTGGGCACAGTTGAGGGAATGTAGACCCAATTGACAGGAGATTAGCGCTGTCAGGAGAAGAGGGGCAGAGAAATGAGGTTGAGTCACTCTCTTTCCTCACGTCTGGATGACTCGCAATTTTCCCGCCTCCGGTTTCGCTAGGGGCAGTTCTGCCGGTGCACACCGCTTTGAGAACAGAAAAAATAAAAAAAAAAAGGGAAAAAAGAAAGGAAACGATGAATGGCTACGAAAGGATGAAGAGAGAGGGATTTGGTGCTATCAGGGATTCTTACTTGATAGCTTTGGTGGTATTTTCAGCTGCGGCAAGCACTACTAGATAGACAGGAAGCTGGTGGAGTCAAAATAAACAGAATAGGACGCATTTGGGATCCAAAATCTCCCTACACCAACGAACTCCCCCTGCCGACAATTTTGATACAGAGACAAGAGGGAAAGAAAAGAGACAAGTGACTATAGCATTATATTCAATAGCGTCCGTAACCTCCATTGTTTCTGGATGAGTAGCCGCCTCGGTCATGGCGAGGCTGGCCGCGGTATCCGTCTCGGTAGCCGCCGTCTCCTCGGTGTTCATTATGATGATGATGGCTATGCTGCTGTCCGCCGTGATGCTGTTGGGGGTTGTTTTGGTAGGGTGGCTGCTGGTAGTAGCCTTGCTGGCCTGCAGGACCCTGTTGGCCGTAATAACCACCGTGGTTGTAACCCTGCTGGTGGCCGGGGTTCTGGTTATAGGGGGCGGCCCGATAGGGATCGGAGTGACCCCCCCGAGACGACGGCGGCGGGGGCCCTCGAGAGTACCCTCCCGAGCCGGGAGGCGGAGGCGCCCAGCCAGATGGCATGGCTTGGCCACTTGCGCCGGGTGGAGGCACGAAGTTCGGGTCAAGATGCGCGGCAAAGGGGTTCGGCCGATCGCTCGTGTAGTCAATGCGACCACCTCGGCCGTGTCCATTGCGGAGGGGGGCACCGCCGTAGGATCGGCCTGTATGGTGCGATTTGGTCCTGACTGCTTGTATATCTCCATTGTCTAGCACCGGATGCGGGAACTTGACGCCACGCAGAAGCATGGATTTATGTATGTGAGAAGATTTGGGGATCTCATAGTTGACTCTGTAGGGACTGCGTTAGCAGCAAAGAAACCGACAAGCAAACAAAAAAGAAAAAGAGAGAAAAAGAAAACTTACACGAGGGAATGGTCATCATCAAGGGACGGCATGCCGTAGGCCTCCAGTGGTGAGAGCAAAGAGCTGTGAGGGATGTATGCCTCGTTTCGCTCGACCTTTCCGGCCAAACCACCACTTACTCGCTGGTTGAGTTTGTATTTCGGAGGGCCCGGCTTCTTGGAGTAGAAGTTCGCAGCAAGATCGTCATAGAGAGGATGCTTGTCTGACACCAAGAGTACCTCCGTACCTACTGAGTTACGAATCTTTTCGTCTTCCGTGAGCAGAGGATACTTCTTTGCCATCGCAGTCAGAAGGCGGGCCTCGTCAATGAAGGGCAGAATGACGACTCCTTGCCATGCAAACTTCTTGCCATTCAAATCGACAGGGAAATCCTCTGGGTAGAAGTCGATAATCTCGCTCTCTGGATTACTCATGAGATCGTGGAAAACCTCTGGGATGGCATGGTTGGAGGCGGCGGGAAGAACTCCCATCAGCTGCTCAAACGGCCTGAAGGGTTTTCCCTTTTCAAAGTTGAGCTCCATATCGCCAATGTCAACAAAGTCTGCGGCAAAGGGGGCGTAATGATATGGGTAGTACCAGTTCCAAGAAGCGCATCCTTGGAAGTAGTAGAGCAATACCCAGGCCAGCCCTTCAGCATAAGCCCGAGCGACCTTGTGACGGAATTCCATGTCAGAAGGATCGACTCCAAACTTCTGTTCGTAGTACCGGTCCGCATATCCTGTTTCCCAGAGCCGGACGGTATCGGGTGGAAGTTCGTCTCCCTTGGCTGCTGCGTTGGACGTCACGGGAGTTTCTCGACCCGGAGTGCCGTTTTCCGTAGCACTGTCTTCAACAGGGTCAGCCTTTCTCTTGCCAAGGACCGACGGAGATGTCGGTTCAACATTGTCGTCCGTGGTGCTCATCTCATTCGTAGAAGAAGCCGCAGCACCAGGCTCTGTGTCTTGAGACGAGCCCTTCATCAGCTTGCTCTTGAGGATAGCAGCAGCACTCTTGTTGGCCTGGTTAGCCCTATATACCGCGCCACGGTTCATGACCAAGCTGTGTGTGAGCTGTCTCGTTTCCCGGGACAGTTCACCCCGGCCAGGCGTAATGAGTTCCAGGTCGCTGGCAGGAGGTGCCCCCGCAGGGCCTTGAGATCGGTTATTCGTGGGCGAGCCGTAATTTGGTGAACTCCTTCTGCGCTTTCTAGCCCGCTCTTCGGCTTCTTGCTTTCGTCTTTTCTCGTTGGCTTGCTTTCTCTCCTCGGCTTGCCTACGACGACGGAAGATAGCATCCTCTTGCTTTCCGAGTCCCTGTAGAATGAGTTGTGCCCTCTTGAGATCAACACGTCCATCTTCTGTCAGATAACCGCCCATCACCGGGATATTGTCACGCCAGATCGCGATCAGTGTGTCAATCCCATTTTCCCGAATGTCTAGAGATGGCAGATGCGGAAGGAAATCGTTTCCGACGAAGAAACACATGAAAACCCAATCGTCTAAAGCCCGCTCCAAATCAAAGGGGAAGGGCTGATGTGGGACATTCAACTCGACAGCGAGATATTCCCTCAGGATGGAGACGTGCAGCCAGATGAAGGGTTTGAGCGGGCTTGACTTTTGTTTTTCGTCAAACTCTCCATTCTTCTCCTTTGCTTGACCTCTACATTCTTCCGCCTTGTGGCCTGGCTGACCACATAAATGACAAGTTCTAGGTCTTGATTCCTGGAAGAAGACATCTTCGCGAAGAACCCGGAAATATGGTTCATGAGTGCCAAGACCCAACATGATCAAGTCCGCATCCTGCAGTGTCAAATTAGTAATTGGTATGAAAAAGGAGCAGGAAGGGTTCGATTATACTCACCAGTCCATACATGACATGTCGGGTGTTTGGGTCGTGCTCTGGCGATGCACGTTGCGATCGGATAAATTCCATGACCTTGTGCTCTCCTTCTCCGGGAACAGTAGCATCGGAGATGATGATTTTCAACTGCGAATATAACCGTTAGCAGCCAGCATTGATAGGATAGAACAGCGAACGTACCTTGGCCCAAGCCGGGTCAGTATTGAGTTTATAAGCAACCCAGTAGCGCAACGAGGCAGCGAGAATGTCCATGAACGGGGTCCCCGGGGTGATCACGTTGCTATCCCAAGTCTTCTTTATGACATGTTCGGCGATATCCTGTTCCGTCTTGCTGCCCACCTGCTTCGCAAGCAGCTTCTGGAACTCCTCCTTCTTCTCATCCGCCTCTCGCGCCTCTTGAGCCGAACGGAATCGACGTGAACGTTGCTGGTTCATCTTGGCGCGGGGAGCGACACCATCTATCAAAATCATGCCGGTCAGTTCCCGCCTGTTTGACTACTGCGCAGAAACTCTGCTCATTCAGGGGAGAATACCTACCGACGGCAATCATCAACAGTTTCCGAGGACGGACCATGTTCACCACCCTGTCCGTGTACTTGAAAATCTCCAACATCATCTCCTCCTCAGTATCCGGTGCAGATTTCCCCTCCGGATGCGTACACGGGTGCACGATGCCGTTGAAGTCCAGGTACAGATTGTCCTGCTCCTCTCCATTCGGATTCGGCCCGGTAATATCAACAGGTATCTCTTCTCCATTGACCTCCTGCGGCAGCTCCTCGATGACCGACGAAATAATCTTCGGATACTTGGTGGATAACCACCTGAAAAGCGCGGGAACACCCATGATTCCGTAGTTGTTGCCTGGGCGGTCGTTTGAAGCCTTGCAGGTGAACCTACACTGTCGCCGTCCGCCGACAGGTCTTCAAGACACCAGGTGCAATGACCGAAACCTCGCTCTTACTAGCGATACTGCCAAAAAAAAACGAGAATTATGCCCGCTCAGACCGTGCAACACCCATTCACAAGGCAGGGTTGCGCGCAAGGATTAAAACTTCCACCCTCTTTGTCGCTAGCCGTGTCGCCGCGGGCGGTGACGCCGACTGGAGCGGCAGTATTCCGTGCACCGCCACAGAGAGGTCCAGCCACAGCCACGTCTGGGGGAATTGTTGTCGGAACAGCTCATCACTAACGCCAGAGCAGCGAAGCCCACCAAGCGAGGCTTCCCGACAGGCCGATGCACCCCTGGCGGTGATGATGCGAAGTGCAAGCTGACCGTGGCGATGTTTCGAATTTTAGAATCGCAAGCGCCGGCCAAGCAAACGGCCACGGACACGATCAATGTTCTCAGCGGCCGACTGCAGAGTGCGACGCTGCTCGAAGACCGACGGGCGGCGATACAGGGGCTGCGGAGTTTTGCGAAGATCTATCCGGCGTCTGTGGCCTCGGGGGCTCTACGGGGACTGATCAGCAGTCTGCAAAATGACCGGGAGGATGTGGATACGATCAAGGTGGTCTTGGAGACACTGTTGATGCTGTTCTCGCCCGACGAAGCTAGCGTATGTTGGACTCTTTCCATAAGGTGGCAGATCGCTGTGTGCTGACGGATACGTTCTGGATAGCCGGAGGCGTCTGATGAGATAGCTCTTTGGCTCGCAGATGAATTTACTCAAGTAGGTGCCCTGGTTCCGGGAGAAGGAGGACAGTTTGGGTTAACAGTCCGAAGCGGCAAGACAATATCACCGCTCTCCTTGATCTTATTGAAACCCGAGATTTTTATTCCCGGCTATATTCGCTGCAATTGATCTCTCACACCTGCGCTGCCCGCCCTGAGAGGACCCAGGAATGCATCCTCACAGCGCCATTGGGGATCACCCGACTGGTGAGTGTGTTGAGTGATTCCCGTGAACCGATTCGCAATGGTGAGTTCCTTCAAATAGTACTATAGCTGCGATTACATTACTAAACTTGCGTGATACATTAGAGGCTCTCCTCCTTCTCATCGCTTTAACGCCCACCTCCGAAGAGCTTCAAAAACTCGTCGCTTTCGAAAATGCTTTCGATCTCATATTCTCGCTGATTGAGGCAGAGGGCTCTCTGACGCATGGATCCGATGCGGTTGTGGACTGTCTAACGTTGCTTGCAAATCTACTGCGCCTCAATATCTCCAACCAGTCGTACTTTCGTGAAACAGGCGGTATCAAGCGGCTGGCAAAACTCCTGGCTGATAGCAATCAAGAAGAAGAAACGGACCAGCCTCCTCCGTCATGGATGCTGGCGCACCGAGATAAGAATATTTGGGGCTTGTTAGCCATTGTTCAGCTCTTTCTCGTCAGGGGTGGCCTCAGTACCCCAATCAACCAAACGGCATTCTGGCAGAGCGGCGTTCTGAAGCAAGCCTTGCGGACGGCATTCAGCCAGAGATTCACTGTCAACGTCATATCTAAAGCCTTGGAAACATGCGCAGATCTTATTCGGGGGAACTCGCCTCTCCAGGAGAAATTTGGCGATATTGAGGTCTTCTGGGGGTCGGATCATCACGAACATGCGGTGAACGGCGATGCCAAGGTGCATGGGGCCCAGCGAATCAACGTCATCGAGGCGCTACTCAAATTGACCTTGGAGTCTGCTCCGATACAGTTGTTGGATGCTCGTCTTTCAGCGTGCGAGTGCATGAAAGCTTTCTTCGCTAACCACCCAGGAATCAGAGAGCACGTCCTACGCCGGGCTATCAGCGGGCATCTCAGCGGTGAAGATCAGATTCCCAATATCTTATCCGTACTGCTGGTGTCGCCAGACTCGCGGGGAAATGCAGATCCATATCAGACTTGGCTGGCCGCTGTGTTGATGTTCCATTTGGTTTTCGAAGACCCTGCTGCAAAGTCTATTGCTATGCAAGTCACTGAAGGAGACGCAGAGAGTGGGGAGGAGGTCGTCACTTGTGTCCAGACGATCGTTGGAAACTTAATCACAGGCATGCAGCGAGGTGATGATGAGAGGATTTTGATCGGCTACTTGATGCTACTGTGCGGTTGGGTATTCGAGGACCCAGACGTGGTAAATGATCTTCTTGGAGAAGGCAGCAGCATCCAAAGTTTGCTTCAAGAAGTCAAACATCGCAGTGCATCCAAAGTTCTTATGTCGGGTCTATCTACCCTCCTACTGGGGATAATCTATGAATTCTCGACAAAAGACTCTCCCATCCCCCGTGGCACTTTGCATAAATTGTTGATGGAGCAACTGGGAAGAGATATGTTCATTGATAAGATCACAAAGCTCCGGGAGTCACCGTTAGTGCGAGATTTCGAGGTCACCCCCCAGACCACAGCTGCGCAAGTTGATGGAGGGCTTCCGGAAATATTCTTTGACAAGACTTTTATCGACTTCCTCAAGGACAACTTCGGTCGTCTCACTCGCGCGATTGATCGAGAACCAGACCTGGAAATTTCAGTCATCACCAACGGCGTTGAAAAGGGCGTATCACGAGAGCTAGTTGATGCTCTCCGTGGAGAAATCGAGGAGAAAAACCAGCTGGTGCACCGCTTAGAATCCGATTTTCTCCACCTAAAACGCCAGTTCGACCAAGAGCAGGTTGAGCATAAGAAGACGAAAGATACCAGCGCTATGGAACTTTCTAAGATTCAGCAAACTAGCCAGGGACTTCAAAGAAACCACCAGCTGGAGTTTTCAAAGCTGGAGGAGCAGCACAAGACAGTTAAGAATGAATTGTTGAAACAGCATGGCGAGCAGCTCCGAGCCATCGATAAGCAACTCAAACAAGCATCTGCCGACTATGAAAGAAAGACTTCGCGGGTCCGTGAACTCCACGAAGCGGAGGCTTCCAAGTTGAAGAAGACAATTCGCTCATTGGAGGCTCAGGCAGCAAAGACACATGAACAGCACGCGTCCGAAGTTGCTACGCTCAAGGGAGCCGTCTACGAATTAGAAACCCAGCTTCGCAGCGCACAGGAGAAACACGAGGAACAGGTCACTCGGCTTACTAGCGAGACCCAGAGACTGCAGGCTGAACTGGACGCGTTCAAGGCCAAATCAAGCCAAGAACTTGAAGCAGCGCGCGAAGGCTTCCTTGCGGAGAAAACTGCTCTTGAGAAGCGAGCCGATCAGGCGGACGCCCAAGCACGAGAGAAAGAGTTGCAAGTCCACGACGCACGCTCAGAACTGGAGAAGGCAAAGTCGGCGACACAAGAGAAAGAGTTGCAAGTCCACGAAGCACGCTCAGAACTAGAGAAGACAAAGTCAGCGACAAGTGAGAAAGACGAGGCACTCAAGGCCTTGCAAGACGAAGTAGAGAAGCTCAAACTCGAAGCCAAGAAGAACGACGAAGCTACGAGGTCCGCCCTCGCTGATCTCGAAAAGGCCAAGGCGGAGGCTGCCGAGAAGGAAGAAGCTCGAAAGGCCGCCCAATCGGAGCTGGAGGATCTACTGATTGTCTTCGGTGATCTTGAGGCGAAGAGAAACCAAGACAAGGTGAGTTCTTGACTTCCCTTCCTTTTATTTACACTGTTCATTGATAGCTGACCTCCACCTAGGAACGACTCAAGGAGCTTGGAGAAGAGGTCTCGGAAGCTGAAGACGAGGACGATGATGACGAGGAAGAAGAAGAAGAAGATGATGATGATGATGAAGAATGAAGGATACCACGGAGGTCGCTGTCTCTATCAGGCCGATAATGTGCTCATGACGGGCCTGTTGGTTGTGTAGCGCCTTGTGTGCTTCTGGTCTGCTCTTCGCTCCCACACTGCTACAGCCACTATTCATGTACATTCTATATAAATGGCTAGATGAGTTAGTTCATGAATCATCGAATTTTGCAATTTTTTCCCCGGCCTTAATGCCTCGTAACAGTAATACTCAATGGGGTCCCAAAATCTTCATATTTCGAATTCTGATGCCTCAGGCACACACACACGGCCGCACTTTCTGCCTCAACCGGCGGGGTGACTCATCCCGAAACATTTTATTCTGATCTTACCCCGCGGTGCACACGAACGAGTCTCTGCAACGCTGACTGCCAGGACGTGACAACGAGCAACAGCCCACCATGTCCATCGACTTCCCCGCCGAAGAGGAAACCGTCCTCAAGAGGTGGCGGGAGATCAACGCCTTCCAGCGGCAGGTCGAGCTGTCGAAAGGCCGCAAGCCGTACACCTTCTACGACGGCCCTCCGTTCGCAACGGGACTGCCCCATTATGGCCATCTGCTGGCTTCCACTATCAAGGATATCATTCCGCGGTACTGGTCGATGAAGGGGTACTATGTCGAGCGTCGTTTTGGCTGGGACACTCACGGTGTGCCTATCGAGTACGAGATTGACAAGAAGCTGGGCATGTCTGGGCTGCAGGCGGTCGAGAAATTTGGTATCGAAAAGTACAATGAGGAGTGCAGGGCCATTGTCATGAGGTTTGCTTCGGAGTGGCGCCAGACCATTGAGCGGCTTGGACGCTGGATCGATTTCGATAACGACTACAAGGTACGCGGCGGGGGGGAAGATTTCTTGAAGAACCGTCGAAAGGGGTCCATCGGCTAATGTTGTTCGTATCTAGACCATGAACACCGACTTCATGGAGTCTATCTGGTGGGTGTTCAAGCAGCTCTTCGACAAGGGGCTCGTTTACCACGGCTACCGCATCATGCCTTACTCGACGGCGCTCAATACCCCTCTGAGTAACTTCGAGGCTCAACAGAACTACAAGGATGTGCAGGACCCGGCTGTTGTCGTGACTTTCCCTCTACTGGATGACCCGGAGACTTGTCTGTTGGCCTGGACTACTACGCCGTGGACCTTGCCTTCCCATGTCGGCCTGGCGGCGCACCCTGACTTCGAGTACATCAAGATCCATGATGAAGCCTCGGGCAAAAACTACATCTTGCTCGAATCGCTGCTTCGCACACTCTACAAGGACCCCAAGAAGGCCAAGTTCAAGATTGTGGATCGCTTCAAGGGCTCACATATGAAGGACTGGCGCTACGAGCCTCTGTTCGACTACTTTTATGAAGAGTTCAAGGAATATGGGTTCCGCGTGCTGATGGCCGAGTATGTTACTGCCGACGATGGTGTGGGTATTGTCCACCAAGCGCCTGCTTTTGGTGAAGATGATTACAGAGTTGCCATGGACAACGGTGTGATTTCTGAAACCCGTCTGCCTCCCAACCCTGTCGATCCCCAAGGCTGCTTCACCTCCGAGGTCCGCGACTTTGTCGGACTTCACGTCAAGGCGGCCGACAAGCCCATCATCAAGCACCTCAAGGGAACAGGTCGTTTGATCGTCGACAGCCAGATCACTCACAGCTATCCGTTCTGTTGGCGATCCGATACCCCTCTGATCTACCGGGCTGTCCCCTCTTGGTTTGTCAAGATTGGACCCATCATCCCGCAGATGCTCCAGGGCATTGAGGAGTCCCACTGGGTTCCATCTTTTGTCAAAGACCGCCGGTTTGCCAGCTGGATCCAGAATGCCCGTGACTGGAACATTTCGAGAAACCGTTTCTGGGGTACCCCTCTCCCATTGTGGGTTAGCGATGATCTGAAAGAGGTGGTTGCTATTGGCAGCGTTGAGGAGCTCAAGAAATTGAGCGGATATACAGGCGAGCTTACCGACCTCCACCGTGATAAAGTTGATCATATCACCATCCCTAGCAAGCAGGGTAAGGGTGAACTGCGCAGAGTGAGCGAGGTCTTCGATTGCTGGTTTGAGTCCGGAAGCATGCCATATGCTTCCTGCCACTACCCCTTCGAAAACAAGGACTTCTTCGAGAAGAGCTTCCCTGGCGATTTCATCGCGGAGGGTCTGGACCAGACCCGTGGCTGGTTCTACACCCTGACTGTCCTGGGAACACACCTCTTTGGCAAGCTCCCGTTCAAGAACTGCGTCGTGAACGGCATTGTCCTTGCCGAGGATGGCAAGAAGATGTCCAAACGATTGAAGAATTACCCGGACCCGACACTTATCATGGATCGCTATGGTTCGGATGCTCTTCGACTCTACCTCATCAACTCGCCCGTGGTGCGCGCCGAACCGCTCCGGTTCAAGGAATCGGGTGTCAAAGAGATTGTCGCCAAGGTTCTCCTCCCCCTGTGGAACAGTTACAAATTTTTCGAGGGACAGGTCGCTCTCCTGAAGAAAGCCGAGGGCATCGACTACGTTTTCGACCCCAAGGCTGAGGCCACCAACACCAATGTCATGGATCGGTGGATTCTCGCCAGTTGCCAGAGTCTATTGAAGTTTGTTAACCAGGAGATGGCCGGCTACCGCCTCTACACTGTTGTTCCTCGATTGCTCGAGTTGATTGACAACACCACGAACTGGTACATCCGATTCAACCGCAAGCGCTTGAAGGGCGAATACGGTGTTGATGACACCACCCATGCCTTGAACTCGCTCTTCGAAGTCCTGTACACTCTGGTCCGGGGTCTGGCACCGTTCACCCCCTTCATCTCGGACACCATCTACCTGCGACTTCTGCCTCACATCCCCGAGTCGCTGAGAAACGAGGACAGCCGAAGCGTTCACTTCCTCCCCTTCCCTGAGGTGCGCGAGGAGCTCTTTGATGAAGTGGTTGAGAGACGTGTTGCCCGGATGCAAAAGGTCATCGAGCTTGGTCGTATTTCCCGCGAGCGCCGCTCCATCGGTCTCAAGACCCCCCTGAAGAGCCTGGTCGTGATCCACCAGGACCAACAATACCTGGACGACGTCCAATCGCTGGAGAGCTACATCCTCGAGGAACTGAACTTGCAGGAACTTATCCTCTCCTCGGACGAAGCCAAGTACAATGTTCAGTACAGCGTGAGTGCTGACTGGCCCACGCTGGGCAAGAAGTTGAAGAAGGACGCCCAGAAGGTTAAGAAGGCGCTGCCCTCGTTGTCCAGCGATGACGTGAAGCGATTTGTCACCGACAAGAAGATCCTTGTCGACGGCATCGAGCTTGTCGAGGGTGACCTGGTGGTGAAGCGTGGCCTGAAGGAAGACGAGAACGGCTCCCAGGGCCTGGAGACGAATGCCGATAACGATGTGCTCACCATCCTCGACTCCAACCTCTACCCAGAGCTGGCCCACCAAGGCCTGGGCCGAGAGATCATCAACCGCCTGCAGCGCCTGCGCAAGAAGGCCGGGTTGAACGCCACAGACGACGTGAAGATGGAGTATGCGGTGCTGTCCGACCCCGACAGCGTTGGCATTGCCGAGGCCTTCGAGTCGCAGTCCAGCGCCATCGTCAAGGCCGTGCGTCGGCCGCTTGACAAGCGTGAAGCTGTGGAAGGCCAGATCCCCAGCGCGACAGAAGAGGATGTCATCCTCCAGGAGGAGGCCGAGGTCCAAAAGGCGACCTTCCTCCTGAGACTGGTCAAGTTGTAGAAATCTCTCGGGTGAAGAGTAAAATAACGCTTATGATCAGAAAAATATTATCCTTATTTATTTATTGTCTTCGTCTTATGATGACTTGGTATGAACTAAATAATCTATAGAAGTAAATAATAACAAACAATCAGCCAGAACAAAGAAAGCTCAAGCGCCATATAAGCCAAAATTCTGTACCAGCCATTTATATCTTCTTTGATGCCGCCTATAAAGAGTCAACCTTCACCGCAACACTGCTGCCCCCTCTCCTAGTACAACAACATACCAGATAACAATCCTTTAAACGCATAAACTCCTTTGCGCACATATCCTTCTGGACTGCATTGTAATCCGCCACGACGCATTTGCCATACGCCGCCGCCTTACAGCAGCGTCAGCAACGCAGCACACCTACACTCGAGCTGGGGATGGGAGGAGGATATAAGAACCTCTGCAGAGCACTGGGCGGTTGCCTTGGCAAACTTTTCGATGGGTCTCGTTTTATTCGGCATTGAGACGAAGCCACAAAAGAAGAGACAAGAAGAAGACGACGAAGCTTTCTATTCCTCTGTGGCTCTCAGCCTTTCGATAGAGCCGATTCAAGTTCATCGCCGGATCGATGACATAAGCAGTCTCACGTGACTACCCGCCATGGCGACGCATTCTTCTGCTTTGGGCGCGACCAAAACATCCGCGAACAAAGAGAGACGGCGGTGGTTTCCTGGGGCTGTGGGCGCCCTGTATTGTGATCGCAGACATCTGTGGGCCTTTTGGACTGTCCTGCGCTCGATTTCGATGCTCCGCCGGCCATGAATGTGGACGATTCCCCGCCTCTATGTTCTATCTGCGACGGACGCGCCTTAGGTCGCGGTTTTTTCGATGCCTCCGATCTCCCCTCCGCGAGGAGCTGTATCCTACGACAATCCGCAGCTTACAGACCAAGGTGGGCACCCAGGCTACTGCTAGCATAGATTTATGTGCGTGTATAGAAAAGGAATCATTAATTGACGTGGCTTGTGCTAGATGTTGGCGCCCTCTACCAGATCGTTACCCGTGCGGGGGACCACCCGGACGCCGAAAGACTGCCATTCAGAGCTCTGTTTGAGTCATACGATCAGTTTCTGGAAGAACATGGCGCGGCCGTGGATCAGGGTCAGGTCTGCCTGCGGTTCCTCTTCAAGATGGGAAGGAAAGGGTTCGAGGGCAGGACGTTGTTTGAGAAGTTTGAGAGTGCCCTTGGGCAAATGGGGATAGTCCTTGACTTTGATGGAGTTGGTGAAGCGGGCGGTAACGAAACGATGACGACTAGCCGAGAACAGTGGGATCGATGGCACGAGGAGGATGCTACCCAGGAGAATATATCAACGCACAGGACTCCACGGCGACGAGCGTCTTTCAACTCGATGTACGACGTCGGCGAGGACATGACCCAGCGCAGCTTCGTAAACCGTCCCAGCTCACGGTCGTCGATGTCGCGTTTGCAGATGGGAAAACCTCAATTCTCAGACACGAGAGGTTCGCCCCAACAAACGCTCCGTTCCAGACCGCAATCGCCTGACAGGACCCAATTACTTGCACAGTTCTTGGAAGCTGGCCGACGGCTTATGAACAGAATGGGTTCATCGTCTAGTGAGAAGAAGCGTCGATCCCAGGAACAAAAGCTCCCCAATGGACATCCCGCGAAGGCAGATTTCAAAAGGATCCATTCAGACCGAGCCGCCGCCGCTGCCTCATGGCACGAGTCGCGTTCGCGTAGCATCTCCGATGACTCGGGCGAAGACGACACTGATTCATCACAGGCCGTTTCCTCTGCAGAAAGCCATGCTTCAGCATCTTTTGAGAAACAACCGCCACCGCCCGAAATGCTCTATAGACCGTCACCATCGGATCTTCTGCGAGACGCCTCAACCTTCAATATGTATCGCCAACGGGCGATCAACCGGAAGATCCTCACACAATGGATGAAGAAAGCTGTGCAGGCACAGCAGACGCACCGGAACATGGAGGTTGTTGCGATTAATCGGGACCGAGCACACCTTCTTCGCGACGCTTATGAAGTATGGCTTGAAATGATCCAAAAACGCCGTGAAGCTGCCAGGACTGAGCGGTTCTTTCACCACCTGGAGATACGTGCAGCTCGCGCGAGAGACCTGTATCTGATGACGAAAGCATTCACGCACTGGGCACAACTGACGTCTGACGAGGTCGCCAGGACGGATGCTGCAAGACGTCGCGTACTCGGTGTGAAATATTTCAATGCATGGCGAGAGATCACCGCTGTCAACGAACTCAAAGCCCAGCGATTCGCCCTCCGCAGGCCATTCAACGCCTGGAGGAAGAAAACTCATCAGATCAAAGCCCAGGAGGCCAATGCCATAACCCTACGTGAAACGAAGCTTGTCAATGAAAAATACTGGCAATGGTTCTGGCATCTTTGTGACCGGCGTGCCCCTCGGTGGTACGACTATTGCCTCAAAAAGCGTTCTCTTATATCATGGCTGCGCAAGTTCCGGACCAATAGAGAGCGGTTCCAGGAGATGGAAATCAGAGACAAACAGTATCTGCTGGAGTCGGGAATACAGGCCTGGTCGCAGAGGTACCAGGCTGTCACTTCCGCGAACGAACACGCAACATCGATGCGTCGTCAAAAGCTCCTTAGACAGTCTTTAGGTGGTTGGACCACTGAATCTCGTCTTGCCCCCGCTGAATCTCGAGTTGCTGATATGGTTGACGGACGACTTGCGCATTCGGCCTTGCGACAGTGGTCACTGCGGGCCCAGATGCTGGAGCAAGCACAAGAAATAGACCGGGCACGGCTTCTCCGAGACGCGTGGACCACATGGAATGATCTGCTCCGATGCCAGGCCCTCGGCGCTCGCATCCAGGAGCGAATGAAGATGGAGGCCATGTACAAATGGGTTCTCGCTGAGAGGTGTCGGTTAATGCAGCGCATTCGGGACCAGAGGATCACCCGCGAGGTTTTCTCTCGCTTCGTCTCGAACATCCGCGGAACATACTCTCGCCTGTTGCACAATGTAGATCTCCATGAAGACCGCCAAACGGAGGAGTTACTGCGTTCCAAGTTCGCCATCTGGCGGGGGCAGGTTGCGCGACAACGGCAGCGGGAATACGCCGCGTTGGAGTTCTATTCGTCACGCCTGCAGCCCGAATCGTTTGTCATTTGGAAAGCGAAGCACCAGCAGCTCACAGAAATGGAAGAATGGGCTCGTCGCGCGCACTTTTACTTCCTGATGATGCGGGTGACCAAGCGGTGGCACCAGGCGACGCAGGAATCATCCAAGCGCCGCCGTCAAGATGCGTACGCCAAAGTGCGGCGCAGGATCAAGGTCACCATGGCGTCCAACGCTCTTATCTCATGGCAGTCCAAGACCCTTCATGTTTTGGATCTGGAGCAGCAAGCGATTGAGGTGTGTCGGCACACGACTTTAAACACCTCCTCGCGCATACTGCATCGATGGCACCAGAAGACGGCCCAGCGGGTCCACGACGCCCGCGCAGCCGACGGGCATTATGCCCGCCAGGTGGCCTATGAGCAGCTAACACGACTGGCTGAAGTCTTGGTCGAACACCGCGCCCGGACAGACCAGGCAGATGCCCTGTACCGGATGCATGTGCTGAGCGTCTCTGGAGCCCAGCTCCGCAAGCTCAGCCTGCGCGTGTTCCAGGTGAACAGCACGGCGGAGACGGCGGACTCGATGCGAGATCGCACCATGCGCAAGCACGCCCGGAGCATGTTCCGCCTCTGGAGTGAGAAGGCACGGCTACAGATCGAGGCGCGAGACTCGCCGGGCCTGACTCCGACACCCGCGCGTGAGTACGGGATGGAAAGCACTTCGCAGACGGCGTCCGCTTCTGCCGAACCGTCGTCGATCTTTGACCCGTGGTACCAGGTCGAAACGCCCTTCAAGTTCAGCGACCTGGCGAATACGTCACCGGCGAAACCCCCGGCCGGCCTGTTCGCGACGCCCAACTACATGACCTCACCGTCGAAACGGGCAGCGCGGGCCCGCGCCCTCGCGCGCATCTCGACCACCCCGGCCACACCGCTGTACACACCGTTTGCCAGCCGGCTGTTGCAAGCCAACTCCACGGCCGTCTCGTCGCCGCAGATCCCACCCACCACGGCGTCGCACCGGCGAGGGCGAAGCGGTCGGGGCAGCGCGCTGGGGGCCAGCGTACGCTTTGTCGACGTGGAGCCGCAATCGCCTACGGACGGCCGCAAGTCTTCTAGCCGGCGGACATAGTGAAGCGTTGCCTCTCTCTGTACAAACAGAATTTAAAAAAAAGAAAACAAGACGAAAGCCAGGTAGCAGGTAAGGCAGTATCTGCATCTGTCTGGTTGGCTGGCACCCTCTTTCTGGAGCTGGTTCCTTGGGATGTCTGGGGTTGTATTGGACTGTGACTAAGTGATGATTTTGGATATATATTCTTGGATACTTCTGGATGGTTTTCTTTGAGCGTTTTGAGGTCTTATGCCTGTATTTATACCGCTCGTCCTTGATGAATAACAATCGGCTGGGCACGTTGTATAGGTAGTTAGGAGACAACTGAGTTACATTACCTAGCGAGCGACCAGCCAATCCATCATAAATCAAGCCACTGTCGTCGAACCCTGCATATAACTACATGCATCTTTCATCGTCGATCTCCCTCAATTCTGCTGAGCAACGACTGTGGGAGCGTGAACAGTCATCGTCACCCTTCAAAGTCACGGTCGGCAGAAGGTGTTCTTAGAACTTCTTCAGCGTCACTCGGGATCGAAACCACCTACGCAACACCCCCCACTGGACGTAATCACCACGGAGAGCACAGCATCAATCGATCTTTATTTATTTAACTATTTTCTTCTGAAATATCATATTGACGGTGCTTACTCTTGGAATTGCAATGGTTTAACTGTCCCTCGCATCGACAACAACCGCATATATGCGAGCGGTACTCCCGGGGAGACCCCCAGCTAAGCTCCAGTCGTTCAGCGCGGCGCTGTGGGATGGTCTCCGAATCGTCGTATGGTCTCTATTTATTATTATTGATGGTCTATCTATTTGAATTGGGGTTCAGAACTCTGACCTGGCGATTTCCTAGGCCTACATCTCCGGACATGCCCTCGTCATCCTCGGCGGCCCCCAGAAGCTCCTCCAGACCATCTACGTCGACGATACCGAAGCGCTCGAAGCGGTGACAATCGATGAAGCAACGGGCAGGATTGCGGTGTGCGGGGGTCCAGACACGTTCGTGTACCAGCCGTACGGGATCAAGGATGAGACGCTCAAGGTGGGTGGTTTTTTTTTTTTTTTTATATACACGGGGTTTCGCGGGATATCTGTCCTGACTACGGGTCGAGTAGTGGTCCCTGGCGTATACGTTTCGCGCAGACGACGATGACGAACCGATCCGGACCTTGTCATGGGGATCGTCCGATGAGCTGCTGCTGGGCAATTCGCATCTGACTCTCTGGTTCCTGAACGGCGCCCCGCGGCTGATGTGGAAGCGGAAACTGGCCAACCCGGTCAAGTTTGCGCAGTTCTCCCCGGATTCGACGCTGGTGGCGACCACGGGCCAGTACGACCGGATCATAAAGGTGTGGAGGCGGACTGTGTTCGGCGCGGATGATGTCCGGTTCGAAGTCTCGTATCTTGCCCATCCGAGCGTGGTGACGGGCCTGCACTGGCGGAAACCTCTCCATTGCGGTCAGTCGGTGGAGAACGCACTCTACACGTTGTGTGCGGATAACAAGCTGAGGGTTTGGGCCGCGGCTGATCATCACTCGCTTTCTGCATTGCGGCTATGGACGGAGATTGACCTGGATGCGTCTATTCAACCGAGGCAGGAAGATGCCGTCTCACGTCGAGATTCGCGCCGGTACGCCTTCATGTTGGACAGCCGTGAGTTCTGTGCCGCGACGGAACGCGCGGTTCAGAGGAGCGTGGGCAACAGGGATAACCACGCGCTGGAACACATCATCGAGGTCGCCAACAGAACGCCCGAGATCTGCATCGTCATCGACGGCCACGGCTACATGTCCGCCTGGGCGCTGGAAGACATCGGTCCCAAGGCCAAGAGCGATCTGAGCGTCTCAAACCTGCTGCACGTCGAAGGGTTCAACTTTTCCTTCATGCGCGGCCTATCGCCCGAGGAAGACTATGCCCAAGCGTGCATCTTTCAACGGACACCCATGGACGACTCGCTGAGTCTTCTGGTGCACCACTTGGACGGTCGGATCGAGTGGTTTGATTCGCCAGTCGACGTTTTGTTCGATCCCACGCCGCGCAAGAACCGGCTCACCCTGCGCAGCTCCTGGTCGGGCCACAATGGCCCGATCAAGAAGATCGTCCGCAACGCCGTCGGCGACACGCTCATCTCACGGACCGACGACAACAAGGCGATGATCTGGAAGCAAAAGCACGGCATCGGAGGAGCCTCCTCGCTAATCCGCAAGAGCTCCATATACTCCGAGGAACACATCCACAGGACTTGTGTCGTCGAAAACGGCAATTATGTCGTCAATCTCCATCACAACGGCATCTCGCTGTGGGACACCCACTCCTTCCACGCCGAAAAGTTGGTCTTCTCGCCCTTTGAGCTCTCCTCCAAGCCCCTGTGTGTCTTGCACATCCCGGGTCCCGATGTGCGAGAGCAGACCATATACATCGCCGCAATTGGGGCGGACATGTGTGGTATTGCCTGGGAAATAGTCTTACCTCCAAAAACAGGCGGGAAATGCCAACTGCGCAAGTTTTGCGACTTTGACCTGGGCGTAGAGGAAGACGTCGACTACATTCTGCCTGTTGACCCGGCAGGACCGAAAGCGAAGATCTCGGGTTTCTTTGATGTGTTTGCTGCCGACATTGCACTCTCATATACCCAAAGTGGTGTTGTTCGGACGTGGACTGCCAAAGTCAACCAGGAGGACATGAAACTCGATTGGCTACAGACCTCGATCGTGGAGACCGGTATCGCGAATCCTTCCCTAGCCAGCGGTAGCTCCATCCGCAAGGCTGCTCTTGTAGATGAGGACCGGACGCATCTGACGATCTGGGACATGAGCGGCGCGCAGCTGGAATTCGAAGAACATTTTGCCCAGCATGATATCATCCGTGATCTGGACTGGACATCCACGCCAGATAACCAATCCATTCTCGCCGTCGGGTTCCCGAATAAAGTGATCTTGCTGTCCCAGCTTCGCTACGATTACCTGGACTCTCGTCCTTCCTGGACCCAGATCCAGGAGATTCGCATCCGCGATCTGACACCACACCCGATTGGTGATTCCTGCTGGTTGAACAATGGCCATCTGGTTATCGGAGCTGGCAATCAGCTGTTCATTCATGACAAGGATGTCGAGGTTGAGAACCGTCTTGTTTCTGACCTTCGCATCCCAACGCGAGGTCTCCCAACGGTGGACCTGTTCGAGGTTGTCAGTCGATTGAATGGCCCATTGCCGGTCTTCCACCCGCAGTTCCTTGCTCAGTGTATCCTGACCGGGAAGACGAATCTGGTCCATGCGATCCTGCTGAGTCTCCACAAAACGTTGAAATTCTACACGGAAGGAGATCCCATAGATGGCTTTTTGGGAATCCCACTTGAGAACTTTTATGAAGAACACGATGTAACGTTCCCCTTCAAACCCCCCCCCCCCCCCCTTCTTCTTGCAAATATAAATACATCATATACTGAGTGTGTTGAATAGACGCCGCAAAAGGCAGCATCCAAGGCCTTGCATTCTTCATTTGCTGATTTCACCGTTGACGAGGAGTCGTACTTTCTTGATGAGCCTACAGCCATGGCTCTGAATGAAAACCTGGCGCGCATTGCCTTGCCCCAGCTGACGAGCCAGGAACAGTTCCGTCTGGTCGACACGATCGAATGCGTTGCCACGGTGGAGAAGCATCGACGCTCCATGGACGACAACGCCGCACGCTATCTGCTCTTCTTCCGGCAGCACATGCTTCGACGAAGCCAGGGAATGGCGAACAAGGACTCGGTCTCCTGGCGTGAAATCGTCTGGGCCTACCATAGTGGCAGTCAGGATATCTTAGCTGACCTGGTATCCCGACAATTCAACGGGAAAATGCTCTGGAAGTCCGCGAGGGAGAGCGGTTTATTCATGTGGATGTCTGATCTTACAGCATTGGTATGGAGGGCACTGGAAAGGTTTCTAAGCAATTATAGTACTAACCCAGCTTTAGAGATCACAGCTAGAGGCCGTCGCTCGAAATGAGTATACCAAGACCGAAGAAAAGAATCCAATCGACTGCACGCTCTTCTACCTGGCTCTGAAGAAAAAGAATATCTTGCAGGGCCTGTGGCGGATGGCGAGCTGGCATCGCGAACAGGCTGCTACACTTCGCTTACTTTCGAATGACTTCCGGGAAGCCCGATGGAAGACCTCCGCGCTGAAGAACGCGTATGCGCTGCTCGGAAAACGTAGATTTGGTAAAGCTCTCTCCTTGACTCAGTGTCCTTCTCGCGGTCTTGTACTAATTCCCCATCCCGACAGAATATGCTGCGGCGTTTTTCCTCCTGGCAGATCACCTCCGCGATGCCGCCAATGTCTGCATGAACCAGCTGGGCGACATACAACTTGCCATTGCCATTACTCGGGCGTACGAAGGAGACGACGGCCCCGTGCTAAAAGAGATCCTGGAGGAACGGGTCTTGACTGCTGCCGCCACGGACGGGAACAGATGGCTTGCCTCCTGGGCATTCTGGATGCTCAAGCGGCGCGACATGGCAGTGCGCTCATTAATCGTAAGCCTCCCCCCTCCCCCTCCCCCCTTTCTCTATCAGCACCTATATATATATCCATAAATACTCACTATGATAGTCGCCCGTGGAGACTCTTCTCCCTCCCACACCCGCCTCGCCCGGCACCCCCGGGATGATCCGGCTGCAGGCGAAATCGTACCTGTCCAACGACCCGGCCCTGGTAGTCCTGTATAAGCAACTGCGCGACAAGACGCTCCAGACACTCAAGGGGGCCTCGCAGGTCCCCGCCCTAGCCGAATGGACCTTCATCCTCCGCAACGCCCGCCTCTACGACCGCATGGGCTGCGACCTGTTGGCCCTCGATCTCGTCCGTCACTGGGAATTCCTACAGCCGCCGCCGCCGCCACCCTCACGGCCCAAGACGGTCCCCATCCCGTTCGACCTGCGCGAGAACGGCGTCGACTACCGCAAACTCCTCCGCCGGCGCAGCAGCCTCGTCGTCGCTGATATTCCCTTCAAACTGGCCGTTCCCTCTTCCGAAGCATCGAGCCCGACGAGTCCGAAACTGCCGCAGAAGAAACCGCCGCAGCCGCCGCCGACGGTCTTCAACGAGCCGGACGCCAATTCCCTGCTCGACAGTTTTGGTTTCTGATTTCATTCTTTTCGTCGTTAGCTTGGGTGTTGGTGCTAGAGGAGAAACCGGTCTGCTTTCTTTACTACTATGTACTTACTAGTTAGTTACTGTCTGTACGAGTAACGAAACGTGTATAGAGAGTTAATTCGTTGAAGTCGCAGCAAGGAACATCATCGGATATCATTTCTTGACAAAACAAATCAAGTCTATATAACGGTTATATAGAAAAACCGGCTAAAGTGTATATATACAATTCTATGCAAAAGTGCGAAAAATCATGGGCGATTCCGCCGTGTCCTGCGCGTCCTGCGACCCGTTGAGCTGCTTTGGAATTTATGGATTCCCTTCTCTGCAGCGTGGAGGATAGAGACGTCCCCCGCAATAGTATGCTTGATGCCATTGATATACTCCAGCTGCGTCACCTCGGACGAGATTGTTTTGACCCGAGTAGGAGTGCGAGGAGAGGTGGCGGTGGTAGCAGTAGTAGTTCCGTCGGCGCCGCTCTTCGCGGTACTATTGTTATTCTCTGCGTGCGACTCTTCCACTCCTGCCTCTCTACACTCCAGCCGCGCCCATACGGTGTCATACGCTGTGGTGGTGCGGGCCACGCACTCGCTCAGTATGTACTGAGACCGGAACGAGCGGTTGATGAGAGGGGGGTCGACGCAGCCTGGTAGCTCGTGGATGGTGACGTTGCACTGGTCGAAGGGCTCGGACCAGATGAGCTCTGCGTCAAGGGAGATGTACTTGGCTTGGGTTCCATCTTCGTCAAGGGGAAGGGTGGCAATGCTCTCGCAAGTTCCGCGGTGGATATCTGTGGACGGGTTTGCGAGTTCGGCGTTGGCATCGGGTTCTAAAAACGAGGACGATGATGACGACGACGATGATGATGGTGATGGCGATGATGAAGGGAGGACAGGGCCCGGCTCGGCAAAGACGTCGGACGGACAGGTGGAGTAGAAGGTTGTCCAGACGCGAGCAGTGGCGATGGCTGCTGTCAGAGTTGGGGAGAGGAGAATGAAAAGGAGGAAGAAATGCATGGTGTAAGATTCTCAAGTAAATGGACTGCAAATAATCCGAGTGAGGAGGCAGTCTCGAGGCCAGTCGGTATCATCTTTATATCCATGGCGAGAGAAGAGCTTCCGGCACATAGATTGCGATGGCAGGAAATGCTTCAGCCGGCATGCCGAAGATAGCCACGGTTGTGCACCCGGCGTGGTGGCAGGTGGCAGGTCCCCCATTCTCACATTCCAGGTCGTACATTCCACACAGCTTAGTCAGGGCCTTCTGGACGTGTTCTGGGCGCGTGGTTTTAGATTCAGAGAATTGGAGTAGAGGTTCCTTCGTGATCTTTGGATGGCAATCTTGCTGATTCATAGTACAAAAGGACAGATCACCGCTCTTTCTTCCCTTCATCGAACCTCACGGTATACTTCAAGATTGTCTCGCCGGTCGCCAGCTGGCCGTCGTCTTCTGTCTTCTTCCGGCCTCTCTCCTTGAGAATACCCCGGATCTTCTTGTCAACGTCTTGCAGATCTTTGTCTGACTGAACGGAGCTCAGAGCCTTCAGGCGAGCGCCCTGCAATGACACTCCAGGACCACTAGACCGGCTGCGACTCCGATTGCGGCTCTCTGGCTCACTGGGCGGCATGCTTTTCAGACGCGACTGGTACGCTTCCGGATTATAGGAATCGGTCGGGATGCCCTCAGCATCAAAATCAGGCATGAGTCCGAACCCGAGATCATCGATGATGTTCGTGACAGTCACCGAGAGGGCTTCACGATGTGCCCCCAGCTTTACGAGGGACGAAGATGACAGTGGATTCAGGGCGACGAGCAGGGGCGGAAGGGACTTGACAATGTCCATGCCGATTTCACCGAAGCGGAGAGCAGCAAAGGTGATGGAGATCATGAGCGAGAAGAAGCCGACGGTAAACATCCACAGGGGAATACGATCGGGAACGTAGGTGCGAGCGACCATCCACGTAGGAACGAGATGAGAATAATAACCGCTCCGACGGTTGTAGTGAAGCCAGGCAGTGACGATCACCGTGTAGTAAGTGTAGAGGGCCGGCGCCAGAACCATGGCGACGAGTATTTTCCAACTGCTCACCACGTCATGGCCCTGAAGCTTGACAACTGAGGTGGCAAGGGCGCGTCGCCGCTTCTTCTCCGAGATGACTTTCGAGGTAACGAAGACAGGCCAGAACAGAAGCAAGCCGGGCAGAGTGCCGACGGTCAAGACGCAGAGCTTGACCAGGCGGTAGAACAAGATGATCACCGTGAGCCACCACGGCTTGTCTGCCGCATTGCCCCATTCCACCTGGTGGTCTTTGACGCCCAGAGCCTCCAAGCGGTTACTGTAGTCGGTCACAGCCTTCTTCAACTGGACCACTCGCGGATCCGAGTGGTGCGTCGTGAAGCCCTTGAGTAGTCGCCGGTTGAATTCGATGACCAAGGGCAGCGGGAGCTTCTTGCTGATGGGATTGTAAAGCTTTCTGATCGACTGCACCAGCATCAGGGTTTCATGGTCCGGACTGATCTGTGTCACCGCCGCCAAACCCTCGTAGATAGTCTCCAACAGCGAACCCACCGCGTTACGCTTGAGCTTCCCCCCGGCCTTGAACGCCTCGATCTGGTCCGGGTGGACGTGGATAGGAGGGCCGAACTCGATGACGGCCCTGGAACGGAACTTGTGTGCATGGAAATAGTTCATTCCGCACGGAATAATCGACAGGCCACAGTGAGGATCGCGCGCCAGCGCCCCCAGAGCCATCAACGCCGCTCCGGCCTTGAGGGGGAGGAGATTCGACCGATCATGGCTGCCTCCTTCGGGGAAGATGCCGATACACCCTCCCCGCGAGAGTTCCTCAAAGACTGCGTTGAACATCCGGCTCTGGTCGATATGGGAGGCAACCTTGAAGGTCCAGCCAACACCACCACCACCCTCCTCCGAGCGTCGTTCAAGAGGGATCTGGAACGCGTTTCTCACCCGCAGAGCAGTCGGCCCCAAGATCTCCTCGATAGAGCTTGCCTCCTGACCTTTCCCCTTGGCGGAAATAATGACCTGCCCTCCGACCGTGTACTCCGGCTGCGTGAAGTCCGTGTCCACTCCGTGAACCAGAGTCGGGTCGTTCTCCGGGTCTGGCTGGTAGATGGTTCCCTTGCCCGGCTTGGCCAGATCCATTGCCCGAACGACGGGCAGGGCACCCATGCATCTCGCCAGCGCGCCCACATACGGCTCTCTCATCGACTTCTCCGCCGTCAGGAACGAGACGCGCCGTTTCGCCTGCGACTTGAGGATATGCATCAGGATGGCCGAGTCAACGAACTGGTTCGCATGGGGCGCCGCCACAATCAACACAGGGCCCTTCTCAGGGATCCGCCACCCCCCGCGGGGGTAGATCTCCCGGAAGAACACATCCAGACAGAGCGTGAAGATCCAGAGGATGAGGTCGTACAGCCACGTCACCAGTTGGCCGGCCGCGGACGACGCGCGGGGCTCTGTCCCCGCCATGGGATGGATACGAACGTGTCGATCACGGAGTCGAACCGACGCTTTCAAAGCTTGACTTGACCTTGCAGGAATTCAATGGATATACCGCCTGTGTCGACGTGTTGTGCCTCGAGCGGCAGATGGGCTGATCGATGGGAAAAGGGTGGGAGCCTGGGAGGTGAGACGTGGGCGGATTTCATTTCCCAGAAAGTTCTAGACTTTCAACGGCCGTCCCTGACGCGTCGTCACTTTCTTTCGCTCTTCTCTCTCCTTGCAATAATCTCCCAGCAGCAGTTCTGGCAGCAAACATGCCGTGGCGACTCGTTTTTATTGAAAAGAAATCATCGGGAGAATAACTCATACCGTCTTGGGTGACAATACACGGGCTCGAAGGCCGTTGGCCTCGCAGCTGGGCTGGACGCTACAACGCGTTGCTCAAGCCTTGATTGAGCATCAGAGATACAGGCTGTTCTATTGATTTATTCGAAGATAAAGCATGTGTTAACCAACTAGATGTCTTCTGCAGGTTCCTGCATTACGTTACACGACTACTGCGGGCGCATACAGCTCTACCGTCGTCGTTCTCGATCCATAAGTGTCTATGAACTGAATGAGCATTCGAAAGCTCTAGAGCAATCACAATCAATATCTAATGTGTTGAAATCTAATATACCTTGATCGAAACAGCTGTCTATCATCTCCTGTTCAATAACCCGGATTAAACCAGAGCCCAACGCCATTATAATTTCAATAGAACCACCAGGAAAAGAGCCTCCTACAGGCCCAGTGCACCCAAGCCAGGGAGTCCGGCGCCCTGGTCACCACCCTTGTTCAACGCAGCCAGAGGACTGGTACCCTGGTGGACAGTGCCCGACATGTCCTTGGCGCTTTTACACTCAAGCTGGAAGGAGACGTCGCGACTGAAGAGATCGGCCATGTGCATACACACGCCATTTGCGCGGTCCGACCCCTGCTCGAAGGGCAGCACGTACTGCGGCTTGCCGGTGCAGTCCGGAGAGGTGTACAGCGTGACACCGAAGCACTCGTGCTTCGCGTCGTCGGTGATGAGCCACCCGTCGACGGAGTAGCCGTGGACCGTCCACCGCTGCTCGACGTCCATCTTCTGGCACGACCCCTGCGCGACCGACACAGTGCTCGTGTGTTTCGGCTCGTCCTGCGGCACTTCGCCCGCGGCACAGGCATCCCAGTAGTTCAGGTCGACGTTGGCCACCGCGTAACCGTACACGCTGGCGGGGGCGATGGCAGCCACGATAGCAAGAACCTACCATTGTTAGGGCCACCATGAGTATACTTATCTATTGCTAAGCTCACCTTGGAGAAATGCATTTTTTTTTTAAATTAAAAAAAAGTGGGAAATAAAAGAGTGACAATAGACCAAGACTGGGTCTCTTTTTTTTTTGAAGAGGCTGAGCTGAGCGTACGTGGAAGGCTGTCGAACTCACAGTTTACAGTCAAATCAAAGAGAATCAAATGCTCTTAAGTATTCCTCCTCCTTCAAGGGCAGAATGCAAAGATCGCAGATGGATTCTCAGATTCGCCCTGCCATGGTCTGATCGACCTTGTATTTGGCGGAATGAAGGAGGGAACAGGAAGACTGGTGGAATGTCCAGCATGGACATTAACTAAAAGGGATTCCCTTGAGAAGAAGAAGTACCTTTTACCAGCTTCTATCCAGAATACTCCATCCTACTTACTCTCCATACTTCGTCAGGATTACTGTGTGGCGATCATCATGCAAGGCATGCATTCCTCGCTGATCGCTGGGAGGCATACTATGATCTCAGTGGCTGACAGCTTATATCAACTTATCCAAGCGAGTTGAATGAGAGCGTCCAATCAGGCCTCTAATTGATCCTTGGGGTTGACAGGGGGGGAATATCAAGCCCCAGCGACTCCAAATCATAGACATGGGCACCTCGTTCACAACCTTTTCCTCGTCAAGCACATCCTCATTGCAACCTTCCATTTTGCGAAAGTCTAGAGTCAAAGAATACCAAAAAAAAAAGGATAATCAGACACCTAGAAGATGGCCAGTATCATCAATTTAGAAGGCTCACGGTTTGGAGTGACTGGCAGATCAGGTCTTCCCAGCTGGTTAAGATTACGGTACTTTTCGTCAAATTTGAAGTCTCATGGCTTTTTCATATCAAGGCAGTCTGATCTTCTCGGGAGATCCAGGATACTAAGGATTCGGATCATTTACGGTCGATTCAATGCAATCTCAAGGCCAAATCATTAGCACTTACCTGAGTCCCGAAGGATTAAGAGGCTTGTTTGAACCACTTCACATTGGCCAGCTCTTAAGCCACTGGATTGCTGCTCTGGTCGGCTAGGTACAAAGGCATGGAAGGTAGTACCCACGATGCTCCTCAAAGCATGGCTGCTACCTCCTTACAATGGTTTAGTGATTCTCAAGGACAACACGCCGGTCGTTGGCATTGTCGACTATAACCGAGACCTGGTTGTACAAGAAGCCTCTGATACACTGCGACCAAGATTGAACGCGGCTTATTCTTTCACCTCTCCAGATGCTCTCCTCGTGCATTCCACCGCTTGACTGACACTGGGGTTTTGATGGCTATCCTCTCAGCTTAAAGTCTCCTTCCAGTCCATGTTCAGCGCTAGATGTCAAGAAAGTGAAGAGTCTAGCTGCACTCATATTCCATATTACCGAGGAATAGATCTCACCACCTTGGATGTAATGTTTCTGGCAGATAGTTACTATATAAATACTATATCTTTCTATTCTATTCTATTAAAATAAGGACAAAATAATTGTTGTGTACTGAAATACTCCCTGTATATTCTAATATATTCTCCCAAGGAATATCAACATCTACATCTTGCAACTTGATATCCCAATTTCAAACATATTGACCGTTTCCAATCCAATCTTAATGAATTCCTTCATTTATTACTACTGTCAAGAAGCCTAGAGTTATCTATAGTCAACGATATTTTAAAGCAGAGACGAAAGGAAGGCGGTCAGTGAGACACACATGAGGCCCTCAAGATATCGACCTCAACGCTTTCCTCCTGCAGTCGTCCTCGAAGATCCTTTTATCACTGGTTCAAGAGAAAGATAACTAACCAGCAACCTGTTCATGTCATGAATTGGTCCTATCGTCTATCGTGGAGACGCCTTATCTTATCGCAATCGCATCATCGCCGATGACTAAAACACGCTGCTGTTTGGTGAGCTCCAGCCTCATCCCCCTCTTTCTCGCCAGATCCTTCTGCTCACCCTCAGCCATGACTGTCCAGGTCGTCGTGTGAAATATCCCTTGAAGAGAGCGTCTTGGTGCTGGGGAAATCCATTTCTCAAATCCCGATGAACTACCAGACCATCACCATGGCTGGTGATGCCAATCCTCGCCCTGCGGAGAGCCAAGGGCCGTCGACAGATCTCCACAATAACGTCGAGGGGAGGAATGGGGGAGCCGTCGGGCTTGGTGAGGACGCTTTGTTGACACGATCGCCAGATTCTTCACCCCAGAGCTTCACTGTTCGATCGTTGCTTGTTGGTCTTGCCATTGGCACCCTTATCACCTTCTCCAACACCTATTTCGGACTGCAGACCGGATGGATCAGCACGATGGCAATGCCCTCGGCCTTGATCGGATTCTCGGTGTTTAAAGTCCTGTCGAACCATCTCTCGTTTCCTTTCACGCCGATCGAGAATGTCCTGATCCAGACCGTCGCGGGGGCGGTCGGCACGATGCCCCTGGGATGCGGCTTTGTCGGCGTGATTCCTGCCCTGGAATTTCTCCTGAAAGACGGAGAAGATGGCCCGGCTGGAGACGGGGGCGTGGGAGAAGGCGGCCCCTTGAAATTGGATTTCTGGAAGCTGGTTCTTTGGAGTCTGGGCGTCTGTCTTTTTGGCGTCGTCTTTGCAGTCCCGCTGCGAAAAGAGGTGATTGTCAGGGAGAAGCTCAAGTTCCCCAGTGGCACGGCGTCGGCGTTGATGCTCAGGGTTCTGCATGGCTCGGGAGACGAAAAACCAAAGGAAGCCATCTCCCGGCCAGAGACGCTTTCTCCCCTCCTGAACGAGGATCGCGAGTCGCCGCGAGATGTACGGGAGAGTCGACATCTCTTGCAGGAGGTTCATGATCTGAAGATGGAAGCGGATCACCGGAAGGATTGGAAATCAAAGATGCGGCTTTTGATCGGCGCGTTCGTTGTCTCTGGTTTTTATGTACGGACCTGTGCTCAAGATTATTGCGAAGAAAAAAAAGAAAGAAAGAAAAAAAAAAAAAAAAAAAACTAACAGCTTTCTAGACTCTCTTCTCGTATTTCATACCGCAGATTCGAGATATTCCTATCTTTGGACTGGGTCTCGCCTCCAACTGGTTGTGGACGCTCAATCCGTCTCCGGCATATGTTGGTCAAGGCATCATCATGGGCCCTTCAACATGCATGCACATGCTGCTGGGGGCTATTCTAGGCTGGGGGATCTTATCTCCACTGGCAAAGGCCCGCGGCTGGGCTCCCGGCCCAGTGGACGATTGGGAGAATGGAAGCAAAGGATGGATCGTCTGGGTATCGTTGGCGATCATGCTAGCCGACTCGATCGTCAGCCTGGGCTGGCTGGTGCTGAAGCCTCTTGTCAACCGATGGCCCCAATTCAAGTCTGCCTTGCTGTCGACCCCGCTGGGGAAATGGATTGAAAAGATCCATCCCCAGCCCCATTCGCAATCGCATTCCTATATCAGCTATTCTACTCTTCACACCGTCTCTGGAGGGGAGCAACGACAACCCCACGGAGACGGCGAGGAGGAGGAGGAGGGCGACGATGATGCCCCGCCCTCCGAGCTGATCTCAACCCGGACAGTGGTGATCCTTCTCCCGCTGACGCTCATTCTGAACGTGGTGTGCATGCACGTTGTCTTTGGCGACATCATGTCCCCGCTGCTGTCCAGCCTGGCCACCCTACTCGCCGTGCTACTCTCGATCATGGGCGTCCGCGCGCTGGGCGAGACGGACCTCAACCCGGTGTCAGGGATCAGCAAGCTGACGCAGCTGCTCTTCTCGCTCGTCACGCCAGCGTCGCACTTTTCGCGCCGGACGGCGCTTGTGACCAACCTCCTCGCGGGAGCGGTCTCCGAGTCCGGCGCCCTGCAAGCAGGCGACATGATGCAGGACCTGAAAACCGGCCACCTGCTCGGCGCAAGCCCCAAGGCTCAGTTCTACGGCCAGATGATCGGCAGCCTCGTCGGCGCCGTTCTCTCCACAGCCGTGTACAAGATGTACGTCAACGTCTACGACGTGCCGGGCCCCATGTTCCAAACACCCACCGCCTACGTCTGGATCTTCACTGCTCGCCTCGTAACGGGACAGGGTCTACCCCGTATGGCATGGCAATCCTCCCTCATCGCCGGCCTGGTCTTTGTGGCCATCACCGCGCTGCGCATCTTCGCCGCCTCCCCACTCGCCAACCACGGCCGGCGCGGCGTGTCCACCCGCTGGCGCGCCTGGGTACCTGGCGGCATCGCCGTTGCGGTGGGCATCTTCAACGTCCCCTCGTTCACTCTTGCGCGCGCCATCGGCGGCCTGGTCGCCTGGTGGTGGAGCTGGAAGGATACCAGCACCTTGCGACAGGCTGTCGCGGACTTGAGCCCCTTCTCTACAACTCCTCCTACCCGTGAACCCACCGCTCAGCAAGATGCCATCACCAACCCGGACGCTGATCCGATGGAGAATACCAGTTTCGCAGGGGGTCCGCCGAGCGTGGATGGAAATCGCCAACCCTCCCAAGCAGACGCGGCGTCGTCCACTGTCGTCGTGCTTGCCTCGGGCTTGATTCTCGGCGAGGGTATCCTTAGCATTGTCAATCTTCTCCTTGCAAGTGGAGGGGTTCCTCATTTATAGGTAGTAAGTATAGTTAGTACCATTACCCTAGGTTACACTACATAGTCATAAACTCTTGTCTTGAGTAAATTCTCAACTACTTACTTACTAACAGTTAGTTATTCACATGTAGTACATACATCTTTCAGGTCAAGAAGAAAAGAAAGGGGGAGTAAAAAGGGGGGTAGGAAAACATAAGGGTTCATTGAAGAGAAGGGGGGGGGGGGGTATAATGACATTACATCACCAATACTATAAGAATTGGTGAAACATATCTTTAGATCGATGAAGAAATATGAAATGGGTAAAAAAAATAAGTGAAAAAAAGCTGTCATATTGACAGCAGAGATGATACCAGTCATAACTGACTGATGTATCATCCATGTGAGAAGGGAAGGGGAAAAGAATAGTAGAGATGAGTCTCTAGTGGTTAGAGGGGGTAAGAATTCGGTAAGAAAGACTCCGATGAAACCACAGCTAGTACTCCATGTACATGATATAGATCGAACAGACTATAAGTCAATGATCGGATCAATGACCCTGGTTGGGAACAAAAGGACCAGGCGGGCCGGCAAGAGGGCTAGGCCCCATGGGCATGGTCATGTTCATGCGCGGGCTGCCGCCGATGGCACCGCCAGCGCTGTTGCTGCGAGCGCGCTGGGCGGCAGGCATGGATGGCTTCTGGAGGCCCGGGGGCCCGTAGGGACCGGGACTCATGGAGCGAGGAGGTCCTGGTCGTGGACCGGGTCCGGGAGAAAGAGAGGGCGGGACGGCCGGGAACTGGTGGGCAGGGGACATGGGACGATTGGGCTGAGGACGGTTGGGCGGAGGGCCTGGCATGCGCGGGTGGCCGCCGGGAGACATGGGACGCGGCTCCTGTGGGTAGAACCTCGGGGGCTGGTTGTTTCCACCCGTCGGCGGAGGAGGGCCGTAAGGGCCGGGAGCCGGAGCACCAGACGGGCCTGGGCCCATGCGAGGGCCGCCGGCTGGAGACATGGGACGGCCGTTGGCTCCCATGGGCGAGGGACCGTTCGGCGGAGGGCGAGGCTTGACGGGGCGAGCAGAGAGACAGGTTCGGGGAGCGACACCTTGTTGTGATCGGTCGAGTCGGACGCACAGAGCCTGACCGTGTTAGCTGAAGTTGAACAAGAAAAAAGAAAAAAAGAGAAAAGAAAAGAGAAATGGAAGTGACATACCCATCCATCATCGTATTCATGAATCAGCTTCACCAGCTGTCCAGCGTGAAGTTCCAATTCGTCCTCCATCGAGGGAATGAAATCCATATGCACACGGTGAACATTGTTGGGCATGGCAGCCACAGGTGCAGCAGCCCCGGCAGCGCCAGCAGCAGCGACACCGGCGTCAACGTTCATGGTAGGGCTGGGCGGAGTAGGAATGGCAGCGGGTGCAGGAGACTCGGCGCGAGTTTCGGCTTCCTCCGGCTGGGCGGGCAAGTTCTTGGACTCTGCTGGATCCGAAGCCATAGCCACCGTGGCCGCCACGGCAGCCCCTGCAACCGCGGCGCCGGCGCCCGCAACTTCGAGCGCTGTTCCAGAGGGGACCACACCCGGGACGTGTCCGGCAGCGGCGGCGGCGGCGGCGGCGGCGGCAGCGGCACTGGGAGTGGCGGGGGAGGTTGGCGTAGTGGGAGTGGAAGCATAAGCCACAGGGCTAGGAGGGCCTGCTGGCGAAGAAGGGCCCTCGCCGGGAGCCTTGAAGGGGTTGACAGGATCGCTGAACGGGTTCTGGCTCGATTTGGGGGTCTGCGGGGGAGCGTGCGCGGTACCGGTATAGGGTCTCTCTTGAGGCTGGTTGCCGGTCAGATTGCGTGAGGCAGCCAGGGCGGCGGCGCCTCCCACAACAGCGCCCGTGCCCAAGGCGACGGCGCTGCTACTGGGGCTCAGATCGGGGGCAAACTGAGTGACCGGGCGAACGTTGAGTTGAGGAGGCTTTTCAGAGGTGATCGATGGCGCAAACGAGGGGGAGGATACCATGACAGAAGGGGTTGTAGGCGGCGGGAATCGGGCGCCAGAGGCGGCGGCGGTGGATGCTGCTGCTGTCAATGCTGGGGCGCCGCCAAAGGACTTTTCGTTATCCGTCGCCAACTCTTCCGCCTGGCCCTGGCTCTGTCGCTTCTTGTGAAGCCAGAGAAGGATGAGACCGGCCACCAAGCCGAGTCCCAGGATGACACCGATGGCGACACCTGCCTTGGCCCCCGTCGACATGCCCGTTGACGCAGAGGCCGCCGCGGTACTCGAGGCGGCTGCTATAGCAGTAGAAACAGACGAGGCGCTATTCGAAGCGGAAGTCGACGAGGTCGCCGCGATGGTGGCAGCAGTTGTGGTCGCAAACGACGACAGCACGGTGGTTGTTGCTGCTTGAGTGCTGGTGGAACTCGACGAAGTGGTCGTATCGATGGAGGACGTCGTCTCGGTCGAGCTGCTGGTGCTAGTGCTGGTGCTCGTCGTCGTCGTCTTCGTCGTCGTCTTCGTCTTCTCCTTATCCGTGGTGCTGGTGCTGGTGGTGCTATCGCTGGCCGTCTCCGTCACATAGCCGCCGATGGCTCCCGTGAAGGTCGCCTCAGCGGTGACATAGACGACCGAGACGACGGTGGTCTCAACGGCTCGCGCCTCAAGAAGATGCTTGCCAGCAACATGTTGGTGTCCGTGAACCATGACTGCGACGCCAGGGGAGAAGTAGAAACTCTATCCAGGACAAGGGAGCGAGAAAATGTGAGGTGAAGAAGCGACGGCTGATCGATCCCTAATGTATCGAATCGCAGAATACCGGCGCGTCAGATGTCCGTCCAATCCGTTAATTCTTCCACGAGGCGATTTTCACGATGGATAGATAGCACACGGTCGCGTCGGTTGAAAGGAATGTGGAAATAGGGTCGGTCCTACTGGAGGAGACAGCGAAAAGGAATGACGATGTGGGAGGCAGCCTGCACACACGTTGATAAAAGAGGGACAACGAGCTTCCAGGCCACGAGTCAGCGAAAGAACAGGAGGAAGAAACGAAAGGGCGAACCCGGCAGGTTAAGCCATGGAAGAGGAGGAGAAGGAAGAAGAGGAGAGAGAGAGAGAGAGAGAGAGAGAGAGAGAGTGGATGGGGAGGGGAAGAGGAGGGGGCGGGCGTAATGTATTGTAACGCCAGGGATTGGACTAGACCGGGTGCGTGGGGCAGCCACTTAAACTGGCTGTTTGCAAGTGCTGACTGGCTGGGAATAATACCGTCCCTGGTTTTATGACGGTATGAAGAACCTGTGCTGGTACCTGTAGAACAATACAATACTCAATAGACAGAACAATAACCTCCAGATTCTACTCCGTACACCATAACTACCTGGTACCTAGTTACTACCTAGTGGGTTATTCAAAGGTTTATTTAATATTGTAGAAGCGTAGCAATAGAAAATAGTCCTGCCAGTCAAGGAATGTCTTTAGTTCCTCACTACTCGAACACGAACGAATCTCCGAGCCATCCTAGCGGCACAGCCCATTGGTGTTCATTTCGCTTACACGGACTGAATCAGTGGACGAACAGGATGGGCTGAGCGCAGGACGGCAGGATGAGGCCAATTGAAGCCAAACCAGCCGACAAGGTTTTCACAGCACCGGCGGTCCTGTCAGCGATCAGCGTGCTGTTGCGTGGTCATTAGTCTGGGCAACCAGTAAGACTAAACGATTGTAGTGGTATCCCCGGCAATGATCATAAGTATTGACTAATAATGTACGGAGTACGGAGTACGGAGTATATGAAGCTCCATAGCTTACCACCTCTATTTATGGTGTCCTCCGTACTCCGTACTTGGCACTTCAGGGTGAGGCTCAGGTGGTGCCTACGGAACCATGAAATACGGGTGTTGCAGAGCCTGGAATAATTAGTCAGGGGCGAGGATTGCTCCCGGGGAACTTACAGCACTGGCAGCTAGTCTCTCGCTGCTCTCATAGCGGACCAACTGGCTCACCAGCTCGCGGCCCTTGGAGGAGGCTCCCTTGAGGATCTCGTCCCACGATCCGGTCGGGAATTCATAGAACTCGACCTTACCCCAGTCCGGTAACCTCTGTGTTTCCTAGTATAGAGGTTAGAAAGACGCTTACTCACTGATAACGAACACACAACACCGCTACTCACCGGCCAGGATTGGGCGTTGGGCGTGCCTAGTGTCTTGAAGATGGAATGGATGAGAGATAGGTCGCTACCGACAGGCCCGGCATCAAACAGCGGCGTGTGACCTGCCACGAGGGTCTCTGCCACCACGCACCCGGCCGCCCAGAGATCCAGGGCGGTTCCATACGCCTTCAACCCGAATAGAACCTCCGGAGGCCGATAACAGGTGGTTCCGACGTCGGTGATCTTCTGCGCGGGCGGTTCCGAGCCTTGCTCGCCCTCTCGCCAGGCGATTCCCAAGTCTGCCAGGTAGGCGGGTCCGTCGAGACTCTCCAGTAGGATATTCGCCGGCTTCACGTCGCGGTGGATGATCCCCAAGCCGTGGAGATGGGCTAGCGCCGTGAAAAGGTCGCGGAGATGAGACCGGCCCTGTTGTGCCGTCACCAAACCCTGTCGCAGCAGCTGTTCCAGGTCGTATCGCATAAAGGGAAACACCAGGATCAAGCGGCCGCCAGACAGGTTGAAGCTCTCGCGCAGAGCAATCACTCTTGACCCGGCTGCCTTCTGCAGCAGCCGGACTTCTCGATGTGCGTTGTGAGGAGCTGCCATCATATGGGGCACGGTGACTTTTAACGCCACCATCAGACCCCCATCGGTCTCGTCCTTGGCCTTGTAGACTGATGAATGGAGCCCGTCTCTGTGGTAGAAGCAGTGCCGATATCTCCCAATCGTTTCACCGGCGTAGCCCTCTCCATCGTCGTCATCGTCACCGTCACCGTCACCGTCATCCTGTTCCTCTCCCCCTCCTGCCGGACTACTGATTATCGGCGCCACTGAATCTGTTGTTTCGGCTTCGTCAATGGCCTGCTGGCACATCCGCTCATATTCTTCCTATCAAGCAGCATGAGCACTTGAATTGCAACAGTTGAACGGAAAAACAACGGTCTACGCACTCGAGATACCGCCTTCTCATACGCCTCCCCTTCGAACCGTCGGGCTTGTGCCTGGGCTTCGGCGAAGGCAGCCGACGAAGAGGCCCGCTGGTAGGTGCTGGTCCTACGCAACCACCACGGTGAGCCAGGATCAACAAAGAAAAGTCCCCCTCGGTCATCCCGATGAATTCACTTACAGTGTCTGGATGACCGTCAATCGATCGGTGAAGCCCAGATCCCTCTTCCAGTCCATGGTGGGTGAGTCACTTCACCAACCCACCACTGGATCAAATCAAATCGACTTTAGGTATACCTTTTGTACAATAAATAAAAGATAACAGGAGTAATAATCAGAACAATAATTATCATCAAGAACTCAGCAAATATGGTGCCATTCGGATGGCTCGGATTTTCCCCCAGAAGTGAAACTCGGACCAACAAAACAGCCTCGGCGCCCGCTTCGTCATCGCAGGTGCTTCCCCTAGTAATTACTCTAAGTACTCCTAACCAGCCCTGCCACTCCAACCTCCCACCCCCGGAAAAGACGTTCGATTCACCCAACCCCCCACCACCACCCTCCAGACAGGAGTACCAGGACTACCAGGACTACCAGGACACTGATCCCCTGTCGTGCCGTTCAGAACAGCCTGGCGGTTCGGATTATGCGTCTGCTGCGTTCTTTTGTCGCCACCTACGGTCCCTCCCCATCCTACATATTATGAGCAATGATGGAGCTCTCCCGCCAGGAGTATCCCGCGTTGCTGGTGAGTATGGCCCGGTCTGTATGGAGAGAGCAGAATTGCTGCCTCGACGATAAATTTAACGTTCTTTGTCTCTGATGTGTGTGTGTCTTGTGTGCGGTAGGCGAATCTACACCCAAACCAGGCCACCGCCGTGCTGAGCGATCGGGTCCGAATCATCAATAAGGTCAACTCGGATATTGCGGATTGGCTCCAGGTACGATCTTTTCCTACATACAGTTTATCGACGATGAGATGGAGGCGAGAGGAATGGGCGAGGAAGAGAAAACTGTAAGGCGGGAAAGGAGTTACGACGGCTTACACTGGGGTCTTGGATAGGAGCGTCGTCGCGTGGAGGAGGCATACGTACAGGGGTTGCGGAGACTTGCCAATCGGCCGCAGTTGGAGAATGGCGCAGCGCTGGGGTAAGCGGCAGACCTTTCTTGTGCAAATGAGGGGGGAAGGGTTTAATGTTCAGAGTGCTGATGGTATGTTTAGTATCTTCCAGCTGCCGTGGCAGCGGATCCTGAATGCGACCGAGATGTTGGCCTCGTCGCACGAGACCCTGGCGCAGAAGATTGAGGAAGATGTCGAGCGGCCGCTGAGAGAGTATGGTACCAAGAACCGCGATCTCGGTGCGATGAACGGCATCCAGGCCGATCTGGCGTCGTTGGCCAAGTCCCTCGACCTGTCGCAGAAGAAACTCGACAAGGCCAAGGACCGTGGCCTTCGAGGCGCCGAGAAGCTGGCGAGTGCCGTCGTCGCCGTGGAGGAAGGGAACCAACAGTGGCAGTCACGCGCGCCGTTTGTCTTCGAACAGCTACAGGCGGTCGACGAGAGCCGGGTGAACCATCTGCGCGATGTTTTGACCCAGCTCGAGACTCATGAGGTCGACCATACTGAACGCTGCCGCCAGGCCGCTGAAAGCTGTCTCAACGTGCTGCTCAACGTCGAGACGGCTGACGAGATCAAGACCTTCGCCACGAGGATTAACGGCGGACGCCCGGTAGTACCAAGGAGCCAGGAGGCCTCCGGCTCTTCGACTGCCGCCGCCGCCGCCGCCGCCGCCCCCGAACTACCACAGCAACAACAGCTACCACTGCCCTCGCCGCCGGCCCGCGCGGAATCGCCGCTGCCGCCGCCGCCGCCAGTCACCGCGGCATTTCATGACGATGCCGCCAGTCAGCGTTCAGTGACATCGGGGCCTTCTCGGACTCCTACTGGTCAGTCGTGTCTTTGATGGTGGCTGTTGTTCATCCTATGAAAAAAGAACCTCCCTACTGATGTAATTGAATGATCTTAGCTCCCGAACTTCGACCAAGGGAGACTCCTCGAACTAAGGAGCCCGCGCCGCCGCCACCGCAGCCGCGACATTCAGGTTTGAGTGGCCTCAAGCGGCTGGGCACAGTCATGAGCCGGAGGAAGAGCATTGCACAGTCTCCCGGCGGTGCATTTGGTGGCGCAGAGAAGAAGAGCCGTGGTCCATTCCCTTCATTCAAGCGAGGCGATTCCTCCGGGCAGATCCCGATCCCTGAATCTCCACCCAGGACTGCAGGTGCGGATCGGCCTCAAACTGCTCTGACGACCGCCGGATCGATCAGACGACCGAGCACGACTCTGGAAGAGGACCATCCTAGAGCAATGTCTCCCATTCCAGCAATACAGCCAGCCTCACCCACCACAAATGGTACAGGAGCTCACGATGCTCAGCATGAACTTCCTGCAAACGAGGTAGAATTCCCCCTCATGAGCTATACCATTTTCCTTGGAACCTTACTAACGGTATGGTAGCCACGTGTCGACTCTGAGGGGTATACCGAGCGGCCCCAGATCATCGATGAAATTACGCGAGCAGAAAGAGAGGCTGCTGGGTAGGAGATAATCCCCTCCCCTGTATATCCATACGCGAACTGACACCAAACAGTGTGGAAGACGCAGGGCTGAACCTGACCATCCGAGACCAACCAATTCTAGAGGATGAGGATCAGGCCAAAGAGGCCATGGATTCGATGGCCAATACCCTCCGACTGGTAGGTGTTACTGATTCGCGACTCTTTTTGTACTGTAAGATGGCTGATTACCGATAAACGCAGAGAGCTCAGCAGACCAGCGTGAGACGAAATGCCGGCACGCTGCGTGGTCGTCGTGACGTGCGCAATACCGTCTTCATTCCTAACCCCCCATCCGCGGGTGCCGGACAGGAGCCGACGGGCCTCAACTCGGCCTCTGATGTGTCAGCGCCGACGTCGCCCAGCCTGCAAACCAGACATGGTGCGTCCCCTAGCCTCGCGACGGAAGACCACACCCTATCCGACACGACGTCGATCCGCTCGTCCCACACACTACACAGCATCTCCGGGCCGGTCACGCACCCGGAGCTGCACGAACCCGGCCTGAATGCATCCATCATCGAAACCGTCAGTGCCTGGTTCTCTGAGGGCGCCGTCACAAAGTCATTTGTCGTCGGCGAGTTGGCCTTGGCATACAACACTCCTTCTTCTCCTTCTTCTTCCTCCTCTGAGGCCGGGTTGTCGCCAGACACGCGGATCCGCCTTGACAACTTCCAGGTGCTGGAAAAGGTTGCTGCCAACCCTCACTTTGTCAGCGAGGTTTCATCCCAGGAGGAGAAGCGGGGCGAGTACAATCTCGTGATGGCGAACATCGCCCGTCCCCTACCGACAGTGGCGTTCAAATACCAGATCCACATCGACCCAACCCACGCCTCGGCCTACTGCCCCGTCATCTTCCACCCGGCCTGGAACCTGGAGGCCAACCAGGCCAGCGCGATCATCCAGTACACTCTCAACCCGGAGTTTGCACCTGTGGAGTCGATCACTCTGCGCAATGTCATCCTAACCGTCAACCTGGACACCTCGACCGAAGACGAGGTCACGAAACAGCCGCGCGAGGCCGCCCATGCTATCGGCGCCGTCATGTACCCGAACGCTGGCGCCACGTTCCGCCGCAAACAGTCCGCAGTCGTGTGGCGGATCCCAGAGATAGAAGTCAAATCCACCAGCGGCGGCAGCGGCACCACCAGCACACCCGGCAAGTTCCTCGTCCGGTTCGCCACGGCGGGCGGCAAGCCGTACCAGGGTAAAGTGGATGTCAAGTTCGAGCTGCACACCGTCGATGCCAGCAGTAGGCTGGGGATCAGTGCGGCGGCATCGTCCGAGGCAGGCACAGCCCCCAGCTCTACTGACCCGTTTGCCGACGAGGGGACCCCTGTCTCCCCCGTCTCGCCTGCTATGATCTGGAAGCCGGTGCCTACGGTGCGCAAGCTGGTTGGGGGGAAGTATGTTTCTTCTTAACAGGGGACAATAATTCTTTTTTTTTATGGGTTTTATTCGTATCTTGTGGCAGGATGATGGAGATGCTGATATGCTCGGTCAGCTCATCTTTGTCTGATGGTCTTGTCATGGTTATGTTTTCTGGTTAGGTCTTGAGCGTTGGTATGGAATTGTATATCCGTAGTCTATTCCATCTCTGTACTCCCATGTACTCTATTTGAACACTCTTTTTAGTATATTTTGTACGGTTTGATTGTGCTTATATTTATTCTTATTCTTTTATCCTGCCATGATACACCAATGTGAAACGCCTCGGAAATCGAATCCCACATAGCAATTGCAAACTGTACAGCAAGATCATATGACCGGAAATTGTATATGAAAGAGAAAAAAAAAAACAGTATGAGGAAATTAAAACAGAAACCAAGAGGCAAGGAGGAGGTAGGTAGGCTTTTTTTTTTGTCTTTTTGGTTTTTTACAGAGCCACGCGCTTGAGCTCCTTCTCCGCCAACTTGGCCAGCTCCTCGTAGACCTTGGTGAACTCGGCCTCGTCGGCGGCAGCGTCCTTCTTGCCCTTGCCCGAGGACTTGGGGACAACCATGACCACGCTGGTGGGCCGTTTCGTGGCGGCCGAGGCACCGAGCTCAGCACGCGACGTGATGAAGACGTATGGGATGCCGTGGTCCTCGCACAGGACGGGGATGTGCGAGATGACGTCCATCGGGGAGATGTCGGCGGCGAGGACGACGATGCCGTTCGGGGTGCCTGGGGTTGCGTTGGCGGCGGGGATGGGAGATTTGCGGAGCGCCTTGACGACCTCCTTGACGCCGCGCTTGAGAGATTTGTTGACGGCAGCTACACAATTAGAACGAGATATACATAAAAAAAAAAAAAAAGAATTCAACCAAGTGAATAAGAATCTTACCCTTCTTAACACTCTTCAACACCTTCTTGGCGTTCTTGTCCTCAACCAGAGGGCTCGCAAACGGCACCAGAGCGCCCACCGGCCGGCCCTCGACCTCCATCACGTCCACCTCGATCTCGCCATTGACGCTGGCAACCGGCACGGCAGCAACAGCCTGCTCAAGGCCCTCCAGCACCTGCGTGGTGAGCTCCTTCTCGACCGCGTCGGCCAGCGCCGCCTTGTCCTTCTTTTCCTTCTTGTCCTTCTTGCTCTTGTGCACTCCGTCCTTCTCGGCGCGCTTCTCCTTCTTCTCGCGCTTCTCCTTCTTTTCGGCTCTATCCTTGCCCATGGTGGATTATATTAATTGCACTCGGACTGCAGGGGAAAATAAATTAAATTAAAATCGCACGGAGAAAATGCCCTTTGCACAATGAAAAGTGGTGGTTGGCGGTGGCCGGCCGAGGAATTGATTGAATTCTTCAAATTTCCGTTCCGGCAAAAAAAGTCCTGCGCTAGTCCTATCCGGGAAGGCTCTGTGTTGCTGACTCAGCGCCGCGTCCCGATCGGGCGGTTTCCTCTGACGTTCCCTCAAAACAACACCTGCTCTGTTCGACGGTGCTTTGTTCGAGGAGAAGAGAGGCAAGGGCAGTGCTCATTAGATCTTGTTTTCATTGGGCCCGGAGGGGGCTTTTCAAGGGCAATTGACGGGCTTCGAGGACGCAGTTTCAAGGCTAGGCTGCTAGGTAGAGTAGGTTGGCTTGGAATCTTTTCTTCAAAAGACCTCTGCTGATTGACTATCGCTGGAGCTTGCAGGTACGCTCAGGAATCACTGTTCATGATGTCTGGGGCCTCGAGTCCGTTGTCGACGACCGAAGCGCCGAACGTGTTTCGGCAGTCTGTCCTGTCCAGCCGGCCCGTGAAGCCTGGTTCGCCTTTCCCCTCCTACTCCTTACTCTCCCTCGCCGACTGTATTGCGAAGACCACTGACAGGATGATGATGTAGATCTCGAAAAGGAAGAACTACGCGTGCAGGTGAACACGTTGAGATATGAGCTGGAGAATATCAAGCAGGAGCGTGATTTGGCGGTCCTGCGCCATGAGAAGGAGCTCCGGGATCTGCAGTTAAAGGCAGATGCGGACTTTCGAAAAGCACAGGTCAGCTCGACAGCCATACCGAATTTCTTTACGGGTCATAAAATACTGAATGTTCTTCTTCTTCAAGGCTGCCGAAGCGTCCAGCAATCGAGCCAGTCACAAAAGTGAAACGCTCGCAAAGGAGCTCAAAGAAGTACAGGATAGCACACTTACTGAAAAAGTCAGTCTAGAGCGGAAGATCAGGACTCTACAAGACCAGAACCAGAATCTACAGGAGGAAATCAGCGACACACAGGCGCAGCTTTCCGATCAGGAACGACAGTTCAAGTATCAAATTAATGAGCTAGAAACCGTTCGGTCGTCGCTTCAGAGAACGCTCGAGGAGCTGCAGAATGAGCTCCAAGATGCGAGAACAACCCTCAATACTACACAAGAGAGGCTGGTAGAACGTGAAGCCGAGGCCGCCAATCTCGAGACTGAAAACCTACGCCTCAAAGCCGAAGGGAACGATGCGGAGACACTGGTCGTCTTGAAGAGGGAGCTCTCCGAGCAAGTCAGCCATATCAGAAACCTCGAGAGCGTGAACCGCGACCAGGGCAACGAGTTGCGGCATTTGAGAAAAATCCAGAAAAACGTCGAGGTGGTCGAGGAACAGAAGAAGTCCCTGGAGAACCAGCTCCAGCTTATGAAAGAGGTCGAGGCGGAGCTTAGCAATGTGCAGATCCAAAAGCAGATGCTAGAGGATGAACAGGCCGCGTGGACCAGTCTTCTACAGGTGGATGATCAGCAGCCACAGGAATTCGACTCTCCCGAGGCAGTGGTGAAGGCACTTCTGCAAGAACGGATTGAGAAGGCCACGCTAGTCGACAGAATTGGCACGATCGAAGCTCAGTTCTTGGAAAAGGACGAGGCTATTCATATTCTTGAGCGTGAGAAGGCCAGCCTACGTCAAGAACTGGAGAAACTCCGTGCAGCAGGACCTGTGACCGCGGGCACAGACAGTCGCGTAAAAGCCCGGCTCGAACGCCAACGAGTGTTGGCCGTCAAAGAAGTCGAGTACTTACGAGCGCAACTAAAGACGTTTGACACGGAGGAAGTCACCATGAACGCGGACGAGAACCGGTTTGACGAGCAGAAATCTGAACAGATTGCCAACCTCGAGAGGCTTATTGACGAATACCGGGGCGAACTTGAGAAGGCCCATGAGGAACTCACTAAACGCGAAGCCCCTCCGTCTGACGAGAGCCTCCCGCAGCCAGCTCGGGGGATCAAACGTCCTCTATCGCCCGCCGAAAGCGATGCCGAAAGCGAACGGCTGGCCGTGCTGGCACGCAAGAACCGATCTTTGCAGGAGTCGCTGTCCAAATCTGAGCAGGCTACCGCGCTTATCCAGCGAGAACTGGATGCCACCAAGTCCCAGCTCAAGTCACTCAAAGCCAAGTCCCGCACCCGCATCCTTGAGCTCCGAGACAATCCGACTGCCGCTGCCGAGAATCTCAAGATGTCCACCATCACCACACTCCAAGCTGAGAACCGAGACCTCCTGGCTCAGCTTCGCGGCCAGCATGCCGGGGTCAAAGTCGTCCCCTCCAGCACGCTGGAGAGCCTCAAGCTAGAAATGCAGGAGATGGAACGGACCGTGGCCGACAAGGAAAAACGCATGCGTCGTCTCAAGGAGATCTGGACGGCCAAATCTTCCGAGTTCCGGGAAGCGGTCGCCTCCCTCCTGGGCTACAAACTGGACTTCCTCCCCAACGGCCGCGTGCGGGTCACATCCATGTTTCACCTTTCAGCGGCCTATCGGCATGGCGATGGGGACACCCCCTCGGACTCGCGCGGACCGGGGAGCATGGGTAACGGGGAGGAGAATTCGATCATCTTCGACGGCGAGAACGGGACGATGAAGATCTCCGGGGGACCCAATAGCCTCTTCGCCATGGAGATCAAACATCTCATCAAATTCTGGGTCGAGGAACGGAAAGACATCCCGTGCTTCCTTGCGGCCATGACTCTCGATTTCTATGACAAGACCACGCGAGCAGCGAGGATGTAGGATTTTCTTCCTCGCGCTGGGATTGTGGTTCTTTTGGTTATGTTTATGGTGATTCCCCGGTAGTTATATTGTATTCTACATGGCTCTGCCATAACTTATGCAGGGACTTTTTGGATAATCTACTTTGAAGATCATTATATCTCTCGTCGTAGCCTCCTTGAAGCGGTGCATCGGTAGTATATTCAGGCGTACGCGGCCTGCAAAGCGACTACCACGACCACCTCCACTATACGTAGTAATATCTTCGGGAATATCAAGAATTAGATGGAGCAGTGGAACCAAGCTTAGCAGTCCTTACGAAAGAGATATTTGATGGTACACGAATTAGGTTGCCTACGACTCCATTTTGCTCTCAGTATCCACCATTATTCAACTGTGTCACCAAGTGTATGAAAATTAGAACCTCTTTAATCATACTAAAGGCACTCACTAATCAACTATTAGTTAGGTGTTAGGTTATACTTTATAATAAAGTAAATATTCTAGACAATGCGCTATTTTAAGTCCCGTCAGTGACACTCCATACGCCCATGATTGGCGATTTGTCCATCTAGGCAGCAGTAATTCCTCAAACTCCAGACCTCCCATCGCACAAGGGGGGGCGCAGGAAAGCCACAAAGCTTAACAAACCATATTCTGGACAGCCTTGCTCCATATTAAAGGAGCAGAATCGATCTCTCGTTGAAAATGCAGAGGATGTCCATGCTAAATACATGTGCGTTCCTCGCGTGGTCGGCCATGGTTCTATCATGATGCAACCAACATATTAATATCAGCTTCTTCGTTCACTTGATCCTCCGAATTCACAAGATCTTTACTTTTCTATCAACATGAACATCATCTATCTTCTCCTCTGGGCGACAGTCGTCTTGTCCACCTGGCCATCACACGGCAGGATATTGCCATTACCTTTGGCCTCAGAGACTGTTTCTGCTTCTCCTGCTTCTCTCTTGGACCAGGTATGAGGCATTTGTACTGAAGACAAATTACGGAGTGGTGATGGCGTTGATGGACACAATCTCCTTGCATGAGATATTTAGTTATCCTGCAGATCATCCTAGCTAACTTGAACCAAGAAAATCATTACGGATACAGATAATCGTATACGCGAGCCTCAAACACTTGACGAATCTCAAGAATCTGAAAATCGCAAGCCACTTCACGGCGACTTTGTCCAGAAACCAGCGACAACAACAGCACACCTTCCAACCCACACAGGGTCCTGCTCGTTCGATCGACGGCTGGGAAAGCGTCCTCGCAGTCCACCCTCGCCGTACTGGACCCTTGTTCTACACCATACGAAATGGCTGTTTCTCCCTGTTGCCATTCTGCTGGCGGGCCTGGCGGTTGGGTTGGTGGAATTGGCCGAGTGGGCGTGTAGACGGTGGAATCGGGTAGATCTGGTAGAGAGACAAGAGACTAGAGAAAAACAATATACAGACAGTCTATCACTTGTTTAAAATTTTACCTTTGAGACTTATAATAAAAAGGCAGTGACTAATCCATGTTCATTTGTGTTCATTTGTCTAAGCCCGCTGGTCCCTCTTCAAAGATCCATACAGATTGTCGCTGTCAACGCCCTTTTGCCTACCAGCTTCGGTACCGTACGGACCACTTTCCTGCGCCATCCGCTGGAACTTGGTCTCCGCCAGGCGGCCAGGATCCTGCTGCGATCCGATCTCCGAGGTGAAACTGACGTTCTTGCCCGGCTCGTCAGGGAACCCGCCCTCGGTGAGCTTGTTCCCCTTGGGCTTCGTGTTGCCCAGGTTCGAAGTCGCGGGGGTAATGTAGTTGGGCGCCGTCCCGGCATTATATTCGCTGTGGTATTGGGTGTATCCGCTACCACTGGCGGCAGCGCCGCCGTCACCGCCGGAGGTTTCAGAAGACTGCAGCTTCTGTGAAGCAGGGTACTCGCCCGCGTGGATGCCCATACCTTGTTTCGCCTGTGTCGAACCGCCTGCGTACCCGGATTCCGGGAGATGGGTGCCCGGGAATTCACCCTGCCCGCCCAGGGCTTCGGGGTATCGCTGCTTCCTGGTTGGGTCTGGGCGAGCAGTTCGGTCAGGGGCTGAAGAGAGCGTCGTCGCTCCGGAAGTATCCTGGTTGGCGAATGTGGACTGGTTTCCTGACACGCCCAAGGGCTCTGCGCCTCGGTTCTGGGAGAATGCACCACCCGATTTTGAGGACTCGGCGGCCAGAGAGTCATTGGCTACAGGGCCAGAAGACTCGACGATAGGGTTTCTGTATGCTTCGGGATCGGTGGTGTTCTACAATATTAGTCTATTCGTTTAGACTCCGTGGTAATCGTGTTCAACTCACCTTAACTCCACGAGCCCCGGAGGGAATTGGTTGTCCTTGCAGATCCATGTTCTCTCGATTGTGTATATTGCAAATATAATGTCGAATACAGAATATTCGATGAATGTCGGTTCATTTGTATTATGAACAGCGAGCTATATAGCCTTCCTTCGAATTGATACCCTGCAACCGTGATGTCATCCTTACACTGATGCTCCAGCTGCCCAGCGGCCATCTAACAAGAATCCTCTCGGTGGCGACGGGTCCGCTCTGCTCTAGATATGGAAATTTCATTTCGCCTGTCTGTGAATAATATAGGGTCGTGAAATCCTGGGTTATGGAACCGGGCAGCAGTAGCTTGACGTCAAGCATGGATTTCAAGTTTGAACAGGTTGAACGAGCGTCAGAAAAGTGGACCTTCTGGCAGTAAATGATATGGCAAGATTAAGAATCAAAATAAAATCTCAAATATTATTCAGTGTCCATATTGAAGTAATTCGGGTCAGAGTTTAAGTTGTTTGAATTGAAGTTGTACTGTAGTCGTGGTGGCCGCGTGACAAATAAGCCTGAGGCAGCAATAGACGTCCTGCATTGCTTCTTTCGCGTCCATTTCTACGTTATATCCTCTATATCCTCTAAATTCTACGTGTTCTCTATGTCTCTATGTTCAATATAAAAATACGTCCAATTTATCGTTTCATGACTTATAATACAAAACCCTATGGACTCTGTCTACCTCATCTGAGCATCCTTGGGAAGACCTTCTAGGTTATCGTGGCCCTGGCGCCCAACACGCGATGAAGGTTCGGTTTGCCTGTGCAGAACATCTCCCTCCATTCGGGCACTGCTCCCTGCCGTCGCAGGCTCACGCAGGGCACTGTTGCTGTCGCCCGAAAGGGGCCCCTCGACACCACCAGAGCCGATGTTGACGGTCCTCTGGTCGAGAGACTGCCAGTCGCTGGCTACCGGGGGCTGATCGGGCAAGGGCAGGTTTGCCTTGCGCTCTTCAATGATCTTGGCTTTGTCGACGTTTTGATCAATGTGTGACTGCGGGTTTTTGGAAAAGGTTAGTGTCAAATCTCCGATGGATCAGATTGAGAAGGAGACCACAAGACTCACTTTCAGGGCAGAAACATTCGTCTCCTTGAGGGTTCGACCATCGTGGAGCTGAGAGGAACGCGATTCCGGCTTGCGGAGGTCTTCCTTGGTCAAGTGGAATGTTTGTTCGGACATATTGATGGCTTGTGGAGGACAACAGTGCAAGAATATAAAGCCAGTCTTTTTTTTTATATATGCGTTCGACAAGGAAAAAAAAAGGTGAAACGACGTCTACAAGTGTGATTGCTAACAGTTTATAAGTATGTGATATTGACTAGTCGACTCGCCAAGGTCTAGATAGATATATTGTGCTATTATGACGACATTCCCTGGCCCCCAGTGGGAACCACTCCACCGCAGCACCGCAGACAGCATTCAAATTGCCATTCAGGAGGGTTGGACGACGAGAAAGGACCTAGGTGGCATCATGGTGCATGATCGATGCAGTTCGAGATGCTTTGATCGGCCTGCTGGTCGGTGGCAATCACCGGCCATGCTATGATATACTCGGGACCGGGAGGATTTGAGAAGCTTCTTGTCACTTTGTGCACCCGAATTGAATAAGACAGTCATTATTTCACTGGTGGCAATTGCATAGCTTCCTCTAATTATCTATAGATACCGGCTATCCCTCATTGACCTATAGAGACAAGTTGATTTCTTGTGACAGGTTAACTGAGCTGTAATAAGCTAGGGTTATACTATAGTCTTACTCTATACTCCTGATCTCACAGTATTATTGCCGCATCTTTAGGGGTATCTGTGTTTTTGTAAACTATGTGCCTGTAACCTAAAGTTCGGACAACTCACATCAATACTGTTTACTCGCCCAGCACAAGCCAGTCATCGCGACGGATTGTCCAGTTGAAATCGTTACCAAATTTGTCTACTACTGCCCCAGCCTCGAATTTCAATCCGAATCTCTCTATCAATCTCTTCATTCCGGTGTTCTTCGAGTTGGTTCCGATCCGAACCTCTGCGAGACCCAGCTCTCGGATCCCGTAGTCGATTACCATTCTCAATGCTTCGTGGCCGTACCCTTTTCTTCTTGCGGACGGGTTCACCACCACCCCGGCTGCACCGGCTTGAGGCGATGCCTGCTCTGCAGCCTGATTGACCGGGCCGATCCACCCCATGCCTGCAAGACCAATTGGTTCCAACGATGCGCCCTCTGTCATGAGCATGAGAAAATTCATATAAGACAATGGATGCGTCACTTTTGTCCATTTCCGGGAGATTTCTTCGAGTTCCTCCTTGCTGGCCGTCGCCACAGACAAATCGTCCTTGGTGTTCTCCTCATTGTTGAGAATCGACGTCAACGCAGACACATCTCCTTCCCCATGTGGAACGCGCAGAGTCAGAGGCAGGGCCAGTGAACGGATCTCAACGACTGGATGGTCGAGATCGCTCAGATCGGTGGTGTGGGTGTAGAACGGCTTCATGATGGCAGGTTGACAGCTGATCCCACGTCTCCTTGGCTGGGTGTTTCATCCCCTTCTTGACTCATTCTTGTAGATTGCAGATAACAGCCTGTGACTCATCATTTTATCAGGTCACTAGCTAGTTATCTACCAAGTGCTGGAACCAGTAATCGTGTAATATCATCGTCTAGAAGGCAACGGCTGATATAGCCAGGAATTCACCGCCTTCCTGCTCCAGTGGCAGAAATCGGCCTGTTATCTTTTAATTCAGATTTCTCAGCACGCAGACAGGAGGAAGTCTTCGCTCATTCTGCTTGTCTTGTCTGATTTGAACCCAGCGTGAACATTCAACATGCCGAGAGATCCTCTTATCGGACTGGTTGGAAAGGTCGGTAAGACCCCAAGACGGGGGGAGGAAGTGGGAATCTGCAACTGACTGAAACGTGAGGGGCATTAGCCGTCCAGCGGAAAGTCAACCACGTTAAATAGTTTGACCGATGCAAGCTCCAAAGTTGGTGAGAAGAGTTTTCTTGAAATGGTTGCGGCGATCGATTTCGGAGCCAGACTGACCGTTTGTTTCCATTGAATCGATTGCAGGAAACTTTCCGTGAGTGGAATCTTACCCCGCGACGTTTATATCTTGCTTGCCAGTAACATCTAATATAAGATATAGATTCACTACGATTGATCCCCAGCGAGCCATTGGATACCTCCAAATAGATTGCGCGTGCAAGCGATATGGCGTTTCCGATCGATGCAAACCGAACTATGGGAGCTGTCACGACGGCAAGCGCTCGGTTCCCATCGAACTCTTGGATGTTGCCGGTCTAGTACCAGGCGCACATCAGGGAAAGGGACTGGGGAACAAGTTTTTGGATGATCTACGACATGCGGATGCGTTGATTCATGTGGTGGATGTTAGCGGGACTACAGATGCCGAAGGTTAGTCAGTCATGCGACAAGACCTTCCTCGTGGTATTGTTTTAGTAACAAGGGTCTTTTCCTGACAGGAAAGGCGACTCGAGGATATGACCCTTCGGTAGATATCGAATGGCTGCGATCAGAGATTGTGCGCTGGGTGCAGGGCAACCTCATGGAGAGATGGTGAGTGGAATTTTTGAGAAAACAGCTTCTTGCGTCCGTTCAGTACTGATGATATGGAAAGGGGTTCAATCAAAAGACGACATATAGCAACAAGTATGTGAAATTCGGAGCCTTGCTTACAGTCATGTCAGTCATTGACAGTGCACAATAGAGGCAAACCCCGTCGACACGTTACAGAGTCAGTTTTCTGGATACGGAAGTACATCGGCAACCGTTGCCCGGTGCCTCGACCGAATTGGCCTAAAACAGCCACTCGAAGAGTGGTCAGACGAAACGGTTGAGCAGGTCGTCAACGCATTCGTCGATGAGAAGTTCCCCACAGTCTTTGCCTTGAATAAGATCGATCATCCAGATGCAGATAAAGTGTGTTTTTATCCTGAGACAAAGAAATTTAATTTGCTAACATCCTTGGCAGAATATCAGCAAGATTGCAAAAATGCAAGATCCCAAGTCTATTGTTCTCTGCTCAGCCATATCAGAAGTCTTCTTACGGCGACTCGCCAAGCAGGGCTATATTCGATACGTCGAGGGAAGCGAATTCCTAGATACGCGTGAAGATCTGATTGATGAGGGCGATCCCGACGGAGGTGGCCTCAAGGAGATGGACGAGAAACTGAAGACTCGGGTGGAAAATCTGAAAGATATGGTCCTTTATCGGTTTGGATCGACGGGGGTGGTCCAGTGTCTCTCTCGCGCCGCAGAAGTATTAGGCCTCGTCCCTGTGTTTCCGGTCAGAAACGTCCATACATTTGGCGCTGCAGCTGGCAGCTCGGCTGCCGCTTTCCGTGACTGCGTCTTAGTCAAAAAGTGCGTCTTGCAAAGCCATACAACCTTGCTTTTTTTTTTTTTTTTTTTTTTTTTCTTCTGACACTGAGCAACAAACAGAAACAGCACGGTGGGTGATGTTGCTCGAAAGATTATGGGTGACGTACCCATCTCCTACATCGAAGGAGCTGGTGGCACTCGAGTGGCGGAAGAAGAAATTGTGGAAGTAGGGAAACATGATGTGAGTGGGGAGCCCTTTCGGTTTTCTCCTTTCTGTTTCATTCGATGACACTCGAGGTTGACATGAATTTACCACAGGTTCTGTCGTTCAAAGTCGGTCGATAGACTCGTCGACGTGCCTATGTACAGCTTATTGGAGATATGGATACCCTGATAGTCCGACGCAGCTGTTCATCTATCGAATCCTTCCAATCCCCCCCACTTCCATCAATTGCCTCTCTACAGACAAAAAAGAAGATAAGCGAGTGATCCTTTTTAAGTCTAGAGTAGAAGTCTTCTCTCCTTTGATAGGAAAGCGATTGACTTACTTCTCCTCTTTCATCATTCATGCCAATTACTGGCTCTGGAGCCTTCGGGTGATCCTCCTTGGCCTTCCTTCCGAACTTCAAGCCTTCTCGTTCTGTCTTTGCCTGGGACTTGGTCGCATCCGCAATCCCCTCGCTTTCTTCTCTCTCCTTGATGCCCTGTCGTGCTCCCTCTGCTCCCGGATATGTAGTGTCCCCCTTTTCCTGCCGATGTATGGAATGGTCCTCATCGCCACTCCCCTTCCACTGTTTCGCCAGCCGGCTGTTCAGACGGATGTGGACGCTGCTCAGCGGCAGAAGTCTAGTCGGCTGAAGGATAGATTCCAGGGGTAATAAGCATAGTTTGGGGGGTCTCGGGATCAGCAACTGCTGCAGCTGTGTAGTCGAAGGCAGTCGATTTGTCGGCATATTGATGGACTTTGTAAAAAAAAGCTTGACTGAGGCCTCCTTTTCCAAGCACGGCCCTTTTCGGTTCAATGAGGGAGTAGATAAAAGCAGCTTCCTGATCAGATGTTCTTCAAACCATTCTTACCAACCGAGTCGTATGACGTCTACATGCTGCAATGAAGAAGCCTGCCTATTCCAGCACTTTAGGGCTTAGGGTTCTCTGCCGGAGCTTCTCTTATCGATAAGATGTGGGGGATCTCGACTGTTGCTCGAGAATCGGTGACGGTGACGTTTGAGTCAATTCTCTTTTCTATGAATGCCTTGTATCTGACAGTATGAAGTACGAGTATCTTTCTATTCAGGCTCTTCCCGCATGGGCCAGACTCAATGGCGTTTCTCTGAGCGGTGTCGCGTTCCGGCGGTTCTCAGCGGAGGAGGGGACAGATAGAGGGTCTGCAATAGTGTGCTCAGCAGACAAAGGCAGCACTATTGGACCTGTTGAAGATGACGGATCGTCATGTGTGCTTCTGACAGTTCAATCGGATCTAGTTCTCTCCCTGCAGGCGGTGGAGGATTATGCAAAGTCAGATCCGTATCTCCGGGAGGTGTTGGAAGCTGTTGGTGAGATGGGGAGAGTACGTTTCCATGATCTTATATACTACCTTTCATAATTCCAAGCTAAGATAGATCTATACAATAGACAGCTCGAGGAGCGATTCTGATCTTCCTTCTCATTCACCTGTCATACTCGAGTCCCGACTTCACGTCTGGCAGTCACAAGATTGGGGTCTCCAATGCATGGACCGAGTATTTGAAATTCATGCCCGCATCTGTGCCCCTTCCTACCTTCTATTCCGCCGAGGAGCGCGAGCTTCTGCGAGGTACATCGCTCAAGCCTGCCTTGGACGCGAAACTCGCCTCTCTCGACCGAGAGTTTGAGCACCTGCGACAATGCACGGAGGGCATAGCTTGGTGTCAGGAGTACTGGTGGGATGAGGAGAAGGGGACTCTGCGACTCGACGACTGGAAGTACGTCGATGCGCTCTACCGATCACGCTCGGTCGATCTACCGGGGAGTGGCCATTCAATGGTCCCGTGCATCGACATGGCGAATCATGCCTCGGAGGGAACGGTGAAAGCGCTCTATGAGACGGATGCTTCGGGAAAAGCGGTACTCCAGTTACGGTCTGGGAAGACTCTAAATGCCGGAGAAGAAGTAACCATCTCGTTAGTCAACATGATTGTCTCTTTGTTTTAGACTATACGCTGACTCGGTTGAAGATATGGAGCTAGCAAATCCGCAGCAGAAATGATCTTCTCGTATGGGTTTCTAGAAGATGACCGAGTGGGAGCAGGGAACATGGTCGTCCCCTTTGACATCTCGGACGACGACCCTTTAAAGCTCGCGAAGAAGATGTTTCACAGCAACACGTCTGGCATCCATGTATCCGCCGCAGATTCCACTACCACGATAGTAGACTGGAGCCGCTCGCTGGTGTGGTGGGCATCTGTAAACGAAGAAGACGGACTTGATTTCAAGGTTCTCCAAACCACAGACGGCGATAAAGAGCTCCGGGCAATCTGGAAGGGCGAAGACGTCGACACCCCCGCGAAGATTGGAGACATTCTCGCGGCCGAGTCTTTATGGGAGGTCTTCCAGCTCCGCGCCGTGGTCACTATCATCACACTCCTGGAGTCGCAGCTGGCGGAGCTGCATGGCATCGACGAAATCATTGCCGACTTCCGTCGCGATGAGGCAATGCTAAAAACCCTCTTCGATCCGGACGTGTTCCGTCTCCTCTGTCGGTTTAGGGTACTCGAGGCCGAGTTACTGAAGAGGGGAATCGATGAGCTGTTTTCCAGGGTACGTGTTTCAGTATTTCTGTTCGAAAACCTCTTCCCGTATCCAATGTGCTAATCCATTCAGAGAACCCTTCTTTTACGATCCGAAACGGTGATAGATTATTTGAAGAGCCAGCAAGAAGATGACTTTTCATAATGTCAGATCTACAAGTTCAAGGAAATGCTCCTAGTACCGAGTAATTCTGAATGAGAACCCTTAAAATTACTATAATAATGATCCAGGGTATTAGTTATCTACCTACTACATGTGTAATACGTGCGGAGTAGGATGAAACATGAAGGGCTGGTCGTTTACTACTGCGGAGTCTTATTTTGGCGATGTGGTACCTACATAACAAAAATAGACATGCAGTGAGATACCTCCCAGGTGGATAACTAGATGCTTGAAGCTAGCACTGCACTAGTTAGTCAATATTCACTAGTTGGATGATAGTAATAATAATCATAGGTCGGCTCAAGTCGTCTCCGCCCGGGTCCGATCATCGATATCGGAAGAGGTCAGATACGGGAGTATGGTGCCACCACCAGGTATGGGGTACAGAACTGGAGTATGGAGTATATCCTGTCAGACCTAAACGATCAATGCGGAGTAGGATTGTCCTGAATTTGGGGTTCCTCACTCAGACTTTCCCGGTGTCATCATAGACTTCAGAAAGCATCGAGTCATCGACGATCGCTCAATAATCGAGGAACCACTCGCCGAGTTGCCCGACGGCCATCGCTCGGGGATTGGAAATTTCTCGGCAAATCCTTATGGAGTACGAAGTACGTACCTTGGGGGGGGGGTTTTGGGCACTCCCAGCCGCACGCAATTGCCGTGGGGCACCAGGTTGAGAGAGAAAAAGAACCAATTCTTTTGACTTTGGCAGGGATGGCATCGTCATTATTCTCTCGGAATATTGCTCTCGAGGGCTTCTCGTTCTTTTCCTTCCCCCGCGATCCTCCTTAGGGAGTATACGAGAACAGTCCGGGGAACGATGGCGGCCAATAAGAGGGTCTTCCAGACTCAACCGGGGAAATCGTTCTCCGGACAGGGTATGAGAGCTTTGCGGCCATTGTTCTGCTGTCCGATATGTAGGGAAGTGCTAGGTTGTTACTTGGTACTTGGTACCTAGTAACGTTTCTCACGGCCTATAAGACCATAGTTCTCTTTTACTCCGGAAATCGCCACTTTGACCTGCATTGACTCGTTTGAGCACGCCTCCCCCCCCCCTTATTATTTAATATCATCATCAATTAGTTATTACTGCATAGTTATTATGGACGACAACCTACCTTGACCCAAAATGTTGGTTAATAAAACTTTAAACGGTCCATGGGTGCGTGATCACCGTCTCCAGAATCCAGATCCACCGGCCACTAGTAGGCAGCCATCGATTAATGCTGAACGGTAGGTGATCATTCTTGCCGAGTAACACCTAGTCAGCGAGAATCAGTCTTCCGAATCTTCGGCGACTGTCCAGTGTCTCCTTCCGAATGGCTGAAACCCCGTATTCAGAAACCCTGCACAGGTGGGTGATGGACCAGGGTGCAAACATATGCGCGTGTTCGGAGTACTCCGTATAGACTGTAACTAGTAATCTTATTCCCTACTAGAGTCAGGAGATCGACCAGCATCCCCATCCTGTTGCCATCAGCACTGCGCTCTTTTCTCTCATCCCGCCCAGGGTCATCGCGTGGTACTTGCAGGACTGCCCAATCTCCGCAGGCCAGGGAGTCTTTCCAGACCAATGCTTAACAGGCCGGTACCGTTATTAGTTGAACAGTCATCGTACGGAGTACGCATCAAATCGCGGCGCTGGGGTTGGCTAGCCCTCAGCCTGGCAGCACCCGCGAATGACGGGCCCCCCAGTGGAGTAGAGCGTGGTGGGCGTTGCGATCATTTGGCAGACCAAACGTTGGGGGAGGAAAAGAAGGTCCAGAAAATTAAATCATAATCGGTTCGCTGGTCTGCCCGTCCCCTTCGTCATCCCCGCACCTTTGGATACAAGAGAGAGAGAAAGGGAGAGAGAGAAAAGGAGGCTCGACGTTTTGCTTCCGATTGTTGGCGAAAAAGTCACCTGCCATCACCTGCCATCACCTGCCGTCACTTGCCTTCTTTCGCCTCGGTCCGCTCCAACATTCCCTCCCTTTTCCACCTCCCTCGTCGACAACAGCATCGAGTGAGATACCGAGGAGTTGGTTGAAGGAGTCACCGGAGTCATCGGGATTGTCGGAATCGTCGAAATCGTTATAATCGTTCAAGAAGGGGGGAATATCTAGCGTCGAATCGATCGTCTGCCAGCAAAACACCACCTACACGCGGGTCGCGGCCGATGCCGTAGAAACAAGACTGTCACATCCACCATGCCGGGAATTCTGCCGATGAAGGTGATCCGGGTGGGCAATGGGGCGCAGAGTCGCATTGCCCAAGCCTGCGACCGGTGCCGCAGCAAGAAAATCCGCTGCGACGGCGTTCGCCCCTGCTGTACACAGTGCGCCAACGTCGGTTTCGAGTGCAAGACGAGCGACAAGCTGAGCCGGCGAGCGTTTCCACGCGGGTATACAGAGTCTCTTGAGGAGCGGGTGCGGGCGCTGGAGGCCGAAGTACGTGACCTAAAGAATCTGTTGGATGAGAAGGACGAGAAGATCGATGTCCTGTCGCGGATTCATTCCTTTTCCTCGCCCGCCGCCCAGCGGGCTGCCTCCGCCTCCCAGTCGCCGCCCGCTGTCAGTGCAGCCTCGCGTCCGTCGGATCGGGAGGACGTCGTCTTGGTTCGACCGCTGGCGGTAAATTCGTCGGCCGAGACGCCTGGTACCGGGTTTTCCAACACCCAAAAGTTCACAGGTAGGTCGTTGTTGTCGGAAGGACTGGCGATAGAGACCCATAACCTGGGGGTACGGTGCTAACGTTCCCTAGACCTTTTCGTCCACAGGCTGGTCGAGCAAGGTAAAGTCTCGCCGAACGTCTCAACGTCGGCGCTGACGGCTGCTCCGCCGCCCGTGTCGCTTGCTTGCGTCAACCAGACGGTCAGAATCCCGCCGCGGCTGGTTTCAGACCAGCTGATCAATATCTTCTTTCAAGAATGGGCTCCCTTGTACCCCGTGGTACATCGCCCGACAATTCTCAAGGCGTACGAGCAGTATCTCAACCACTCCGACGCTTTGCACAGCAACCCCCATGTCCTAGCCCAGTTGAACCTGATTTTTGGCATTGCGGCGCTGTCGTCCACTGTGAGTCTTGCAGCCTATACTTTTTCCATTGAATATACACTAACGGGGGGGGGGTATTTCAAGTCTCGAACTAACCAAGATCCCACCGATTTTGAGGCCAACTGGTCGCCGACTTTGGAGCTCCTTTCCGGCCAAGTGTCCATCGCGAGCCTGCAGTGCCTTGTTCTGGCCGAAATTTACTGCATGGCCAAGGCTGACTACCAAAGCCTGCTGCGCTATCGCAGCATGGGTGTCAGCTTGTGTCAACAGCTGGGTCTTCACCTGAACCAGGATCGGTTTTCGCTGGATCCCCTCGCTCTGGAAACGCGGAAGAAAGTGTTCTGGTGCCAATACGTGCTGGACAGGTAGGATTCCCTCTATCGTCTCTCCGTTTTTCTCCTATACTCACTACTGCCCAGATTCTCGTCGGCTCTAACGGGCTTGCCCCTTCTCTTACGTGAAGAAGACATCCGCTCTGAATACCCCGTGGATGTGGACGACGAAAACGTCACCGAGACCGGCTTTCTTCCAACGCTTCCTGGCGAGTCGACGCGCCTTTCTAGTGCCATCGCCTTGTTTGGAGCCTCAAGGATCCTGAGCAAGGCACTGACATCACTCTACCCTGCGGAACCAGGCTACGAAATCCCCATGTCTACGATACACTCGATTTCCGGAGAGCTGGACAACTGGCTTAAAGGCCTGCCTTCTCATCTGCGGTTGGAGTTCGCGCAGGACAAGCCCAGCACCAACGTCACAAGTAGCCGATCGCCGTTACTGGTGAGTTGACATGCTCCCGTAGACATACGTTTTTTTTTTAAAAAACAAAAAAAAAGAAAAACTAACACTGTCCTCTAGTCCCTGGTCTATTATCTGATCCGAGGTTGGATCCATCGTCCTGCCGTCTGTTTCGCCGAGGAGAACATCGGCTCAGCGTCTGTGCTTTCCATTTCCGACTCGAGCAAGCATATCATCCAGATTCTGGACCTGCTGGACGAGCGACGGCTCTGCCTGTCTGTTAGTGTCAACCGCAGGGAATTGGTCTTCCTCTGCGGTCTCGGCTTGCTTTGGCAGATCACGGGCCTCAAGTCCGACAGCACACTTCTCCGTGAGAGCCAGAAGCTACTCACTACAACGATCGAGCACCTGGAGGCCGAATCGGGCCCGGCAGCAGCGGAGTTTAGCGTCCTTGCCAACATACTAGTCTCCGTTGAAGGCGGAGGCGGGAAAATAACCACCACCAAGATGACGTCCGGGGCTAGCCAAGAGATGCCCGCCCCGGTTCGCAAGATCAAATCGCCCAAGAAACAACTTCAGTCATGGAAGGCTCGCTTCTCATCCACCACACCTCCCGGTTCAACGTCACATGTGGACTCATCTTCACGCCGGAACACCATCTCCGGCGCCAGCCCCCCAGTGTCGCAGCGGGCTCTGCGATCACCCAGCCGGGCTAGCCTACATACGCCGACCACCACCACCACCACCACCTCCTCCTCCTCCTCCTCCTCCACCACCTCGACGCGACCGAACGGCATTCCGATGGATCACCAGTCGTATACAGCGGGCTACGATGGCGCTCGCATTGTGTCGAGCACCTCACTACCGGGGCCTACTGGCGGACCCGCCATTACAATGGCCGACTGGGAGTTTGTGCTGAGTGACATGGACCGGGGTTACTCCAACATCTTCACGGGCATCTACGGCGGGAAGGAATGCGGGGAGGACCACGGCCCGTTTGCGACATTGACGGCCGAGTACCAGCAGAACCCGGACGACTCGCCGCCCCCGCTGAACGGGGGCAGCGAGGTGCGCGATCTGTCGCCCAAGGCGTGGTCATCACCGAGCAGCGGTGACGCACTCTCATCGCACCCGGAGTACGCGGCGCAGAGCGTGCTGAGCTACTCCGAGGAGAGTCTGGGCAGCGCCGCGGAGGACTCTGTGGTCCTGGGGTCCGGTCTGCCCCTGCCGGACGAGTCGGAGGGCAGTCTGCTGGACCCCTTCCAGGGGATTATGATCCCGGTTGTGGACGACGAAGATGGATTCGGATTCTCTGCTGACGGGTGGGATCGACGATTAGCCGTCTAATCCGATTGTTTATATTATGATTGGTTTTCTTTTTTTTTTTTTTTTTTTCTTCATCGTACATACTTTTCCACAGTGCTTTTTGAAACCGGGTCTGATGTCCTTGATGCTACGATGCGTGTGATACCTATAACTCGTTATGATTTTAATTGACATTGAGGTATTTAAGAATTATAAAGTATTATACTTTGTAGTATATATTACTAGGTATTCCAAGTGAATCAGTGAAGATTCTACCAATGTACTACATAGACATCGGCAATTGGTTTTCGATAGCCGGAAGTACCCCATAGTTAGTTACTGCATAACTAAATTAAGTGTCTTAGTCATGGTCTTTGTCAACTTACTAAAACGACTCAGTCTATCAGTCATCAAGTCCACTGAATCAATTGAATAGAAAGAATCATATGGGTAGTATCATATCATTAGGATAGAAGACATCTTATTATCGTTACTATTACCATTACCAATTGGCTGTTTTCATCATAATTCTTCCGTGACTGTCGGGTATTTTCCTCACGGAGCAGCGTCCTCCGGATCCAGGCCGAGTTCGGGCCTGTTCTTCTAGCATCTACTACAGAATAATGCTGGGTTGAGTCTGACTGTTCGAATTGCCATGGAGATGATTATTCAATCTTCTGGTCGTATGAAGCCTAGATTCACGGTTAATAGGCTATCGAGTATTCTGGATACTGTAAATGTATGCTGTATACTGTAGGGTATACTGTAAGGTATACTCTACAGAGTATAGGAATATGATATACTATTAATTCAAAATATGATTCTTCTCTCTTCTTATTCTTCTTATTCTTCTTCTTCTCTTCTTCTCTTCTTCTCTTCTTCTCTTCTTCTCTTCTTCTTCTCATAAGTCATAAGTAGTTATGCTATGACTTCATCTTAGTCAACCCCACCATCTTCTGCCCCCACCAGAAAAGAAGCACCAACCGCCACGACGACCTCAACCCCTCCATTGCCCTTTTTCTCCCCTCCCTCCTTTCCTGTCTGGTCCCCGGTGTATTTATTGCTTCTTCCCAGGGTTTCTGCTCTGAATTTTTCTACGTCTTCCATCTTAGAGTCGAGTAAGTCTTCTTCTCTCCCTCTCCCAGACACCCCCTCCCTCACACATCCCCCTCAGACACCTCTCCTCTCCTCTCTCCTTCAGATCTCCCCTCTTCTCTCTTCCTCAACAATTCAATAGTCTAACGTCTCAGATTCTTGTCACAATGGGTTACACCGACGTGGATCAATTAGCCATCAACACGATCCGCCTGCTGGCGGTAAGCCTCCATCTCACAAACCAGACAAGCACATCCTCCTAGAATTCCGCTGACGAACTACCAAAGGTCGATGCCACGGCCAAGGCCAACTCCGGTCATCCTGGTGCCCCCATGGGCATGGCCCCCGTTGCCCATGTCCTCTTCAACAAGTTCATGACCTTCAACCCCAAGAACCCCAAATGGGTCAACCGTGACCGTTTCGTTCTCTCGTACGAAAAAAAAAAACCCCCCCTCCCTTCTCCCGCATCGTTCCCTGGTGGCCCTTACTGACCGGCTTTCACCTAGCAACGGCCACGGCTGCATGCTCCAGTATGCTCTGCTGCACCTTTTCGGCTACGCCGTCTCCCTCGACGACCTGAAGAACTTCAGAGTATGTTTTAATTATGAAGAAGTCAATTTGTTTGACACTAGAACTCACTCAGCGTAGCAACTCGACAGCATCACCCCCGGTCACCCCGAGTCCCACGACACCCCCGGTATCGAGGTCACCACTGGACCTCTCGGCCAGGGTTTTGCCAACGCCGTCGGTCTGGCCATTGCTCAGGCCCACACCGGTGCTCTCTTCAACAAGCCCGGCTTCGACCTCATCAACAACCACACCTACGTCTTCTTCGGTGATGGCTGCGCCATGGAGGGTGTTGCCAGTGAGGCCGCCTCCATGGCTGGTCACCTGAAGCTCGGTAACCTCATCTGCATCTACGACGACAACCACATTTCCATCGGTGAGCCCCCCCCCCCCCCAAAAGACCTTGAAGATCGATTCTTTCGAGCTAATGTCATTTACAAGATGGTGACACCAAGTGCGCCTTCACTGAGGATGTCATGGCCCGCTTCGAGTCCTACGGATGGCACACCGAGTGGGTCAAGGACGGCGACAACGACCTCGAGGCCATCGAGGCTGCCATCCGCCGCGCCAAGGAGGTCACCGACAAGCCCTCCGTCATCAAGCTGACCACCACCATCGGCTACGGCTCCAAGCTGCAGGGTACCGGCGGTGTTCACGGCAACCCCCTCAAGGCCGACGACATTGAGGGTGTCAAGAAGCGCTTCGGCTTCGACCCCGCCCAGTCCTTCGTCGTGCCCCAGCAGGTCTACGACATGTACAACCAGCACGCCGCCGAGGGTGCCGCCGCCGAGCAGAAGTGGAACGACCTCTTCGCCAAGTACGCCTCCGAGTACAAGGCCGAGCACGCCGATCTCGCCCGCCGTCTGGCTGGCAAGCTCCCCGAGGGCTGGGAGAAGAGCCTCCCCACCTACAAGCCGTCCGACCCGGCCATCGCCACCCGCAAGCTGTCCGAGGCTGTTCTCGAGAAGGTGCACAGCGTCGTGCCCGAGCTGCTCTCCGGTTCGGCCGACCTGACGGGCTCCAACAACACCCGCTGGAAGAACGCTGTCGACTTCCAGCCCCCGGAGTACGGCATCGGCGAGTGGTCCGGCCGCTACCTGCGCTACGGTGTGCGTGAGCACGCCATGGCCGCCGCCATGAACGGTCTGGCCGCCTACGGCACCGTCATCCCCGCCGGCGGTACCTTCCTCAACTTCGTCTCCTACGCCGCCGGTGCCGTCCGCCTGTCGGCCCTCTCGCGCGTGCGCACCATCCACGTCGCCACCCACGACTCCATCGGCCTGGGCGAGGACGGCCCGACCCACCAGCCCATCGAGACCCTCGCCCACTTCCGCGCCCTGCCCAACGTCATGGTCTGGCGTCCCGCCGACGGCAACGAGACCAGCGCCGCCTACTACTCCGCCCTTACCTCCCAGCACACCCCGAGCATCCTGGCCCTCACCCGCCAGAACCTGCCCCAGCTCGAGGAGTCCACCATCGAGCGCGCCCTGCGCGGTGGATACCCCGTCGTCGAGGCCCCCGGCGCCGCCGTCACCATCGTCTCCACCGGTTCCGAGGTCAGCATCTGTATCGATGCCGCCACCTACCTCAAGGAGAAGCACGGCATTGTCGCCCGCGTCGTCTCCATCCCTTGCTTCGAGGTCTTCGACGCCCAGGACAAGGAGTACCGCCTTTCCGTCCTTCCCGACGGTATTCCCGTCCTCTCCGTCGAGGCCCTCACCACCATGGGTTGGGAGCGCTACTCCCACGAGCAGTTCGGCCTCAACCGCTTCGGTGCCTCCGGCCCCTACAAGAAGGTCTATGAGCGCTTCGAGTTCACCCCTGAGGGTATCTCCAAGCGCGCCATCAGCACCATCGAGTTCTACAAGGGTCACTCTGTCCGCTCCCCGGTCAACCGCGCCTTCCAGCAGATCCTGTAAACAGTCTTCTCTTCCTTCCTTTTTTTTTCTCCTCTTTTCTATATTTTTTGATGAAAAATAGGACCATGTCCTATGATTAATGATCCTACTATGTTTTTTCCCCCGCCGTCTTTTTTTTTCGGTATCTTTAACGCGCACACACGCCCTTTTCTTAAATGATTAGATCTAGATGTTATGTGCAAAAAAAAAATCATACTTGTTAAAAAAGGTTTATATATAATTTAGGAGTAAGCTCTTTTTCATCTATCGTATATTTGTCTCCGAGAGGGATATCATGGTTCATTGACTAAAGAAATTACTTATAATCCCTACACATGGATGCTTGACTTTTATAGAATATTCTTTTTCCTGAATTTACTCAAGAGCCTTGCGGGCGAAGCTCGGGAGAACGAAGCTCGCGCTGTGGACCTCCTTGTTGTAGTAGCGGCACAGGCGGTCCTCCTCCTCGCGGGTCCAGGTGCGGACGGGAACACGCAGGTTGCGGGTGGCGTCCTTGCAGCAGACCATGAAGCCGATCTGGCCGGAGGGGTAGGTGGGGATGGTGGTGAAGGCGTATTCGGCGACAGGGAAGACTTCCTTGCAAGACTTCTTGAGGTTGGCAATCAGGGAGAGGTGGAGCCATTGGTTCTCAGCTGGACGAGTCAGCAGTTGAAACAAGTTTTCAGAAAGAAAAATTATAAACACTCAATAAGAAATCGGGGTCAAAAAAAGAAAAGATAGGGGGGGGGGAAGGTAGAAGCAAAAAGAAAGGCGACGGACAACCTTGGGTAGTAATGACACCTCCTTCACGGAGGGCCTCGTTGAGAAGCTCAAAGTAGGGCTTCTGGAAGAGAGATTCGGCGGGACCCTCCGGGTCAGAGCTATCGGTGATGATAACGTCGAACTCGTTCTTGTGGTGCTTAAGGAACTCGAAGCCATCGCCGACGTGGACCTTGGCGTTGGGGTGCTGGAAGCCGATGCTCATACCCGGGAGGTACTTCTTGGAAACACGAATGACGGCCTGGATGTGGCGGAAGAATCAGTGATGACTCTTTCCCGGTTTTGAATCAAGCCCTGTGAGTGAAAAATGGATAATACCTCGTCAATGTCGCAGAGGACAGCCTCCTCGACACTCTCGTGCTTGACAACCTCACGCAGGACACCACCGTCACCGCCACCGATGACAAGGACCTTCTTAGGGTTGGGGTGGGACATCATGGCCAGGTGGGTGATCATCTCCTGGTAGCTGTTGACCCAACCGATTAGCCCTTGGTTACTATTATTTTTCCACGACGGGGTCGACATACGAGAACTCGTCTCTCTCAGTGCATTGGATAACGTTGTCCAGGACCAGAACCGTGCCGTAGTCGCTGCTCTCGAAAACAAGAACATCCTGGTACTTGGACTTCTCGTGGTGGAGGATCTGGTTGACCTTGAGGTTCATGGCCTGGCCAGGCCACATGTCGGACTTCTCAGAGAACCAGCCATCTGTAAGGAAAACGAGTTTAGAATACTGAAATTGAAGTCGTTGTCTATCCCTGTGATACAAGCGCGATTACGCCAACTCCCGGGTGGTCGGTGGCCACCTGGTTTTGTTCTCTATCGCCGTTGTAGATAGAGGCGGGGTAACGCGATTTGGCGGGCACAGGGTCGGAAGGTGGACTTACCCTTGATAGTGGGGTGGACAATCTCGCTCATCTTGGAAGAAAGGTGATGGAAATAACGTGTCTGAAGGAGAGAACGAAGAAACAGCGATGGAAGAACGGAGCGAGATGAATGGGGGACGGAGAAACAAGGAAGACGCAGTGGACGGAAGCGATGCATCTGTCCGAGAGCGAGTTTTTTTTTCTCTCCCCTCCTCCTTCCACCCAAAGAGGCAGAGTGGGGGAAAGACAACTTTGGCCCCTGCCCCTCCACCGCACGTCAGTGCGTATTGACAGGTGCGCTACTTGTTTCTCTGGGATTCAAATTCTCTAATTTTATAATTAATAATAGGATCGGCATTTTGAATAGTCCATAGGGTTGTCAAGAATGCAGCGTGCCGGCTGGGCTAGGAAGATATTGATATGGTTTAACCATTAGGTAGTTAGTTAGCTTCCAATCCCCAATCAAGCCTCACCTAATCGCTATAAGATAAGTAAGGCTCCTTCATAATCACTATTGACTCTAGGGGGAAGAAGAAATAGTGATTCTCCAGCTAACTCGGTCCCCTTCATCAAGCTGGGAGGGAATAAGGACAGAAGAGGAGATTTTCTAAATTATCAAAACAATTACAAGCACACTACCATACCCTCAGTTGAGAAACACCTTATAGAGATCAAATATCCTCCTCTTTCCACGCCAATTGATGGCCAAAGGAGATCTGCCTGGGCAGGTCAATTGCCCACTAATCCCCGCATGCTGATTGGCTGATATCGACAAACTCGTACCGAAATACATCAGCTGTCTGAAGCCGGATTTTATTGCGGTCAGACAATTCTAAGCCTAGGAGTCTCGTCATTGACGGGAAATAAATATATAGATATAACTGAAAGATATAGATTGCTTTCTAGGTACTGTACAGAGCAATCACGCCCATTTCTCAAGTATAACCTCCAATCTCCGCATTTTCCACCAAACAAATTTACTCGGAGGCGCCCTCAGCGAGACGGCCAGGCTTGGAGTTGAGGTACTCGTTCCTAAAAGAACGCAGTTAGCATATGCCCACGGGTTCGGATTGACATTTATATAATTGATGGTGAGCCGTACTTCTCAATACCCCAGTTCATGATGGCGTAGGCGGCGACAAAGGGAGGGACAACGTAGAGGACCTGATGTCTGAAGCGACGGAAGCTGTTGAAGATGGCAGCGTTCAAGGTGCCGGCAAGAGGCCTCTGTCTGTTGGGGGACAGAGAGTAGGTGGCGATGCGCTGGGGGGTAGGGCAACCTGATCAAATGATAGTCAGTCACTGAAAGCTTTGTGAAAGATTTTTTTCTTCCATCTCTATATCTGGTATTATCGTGCCGATAGACGGAACGGGTTCCTTCTGCGCAAAAATATGCTCCAATTGGGCCCTGTTCGACCCGTTCCGTCGTGTCCGCACTGGCTGATATTCGGATGAATCAACGTACCCAGGTGACCCCATTCGCCAATGAAGCTGGAAAAGTTAGCATATCAAACACATCTCAATCGAATGCCAAAGCCATCATAGTACATATATACACAGATATACATGTGTGTATATATGCTACCCGAGGATTTCGCTGCGGCTGCCCTGTGAAGAAAGGGCGCAGGCGCTGGGGAGGCACGGCGACTCACTATCCGTTCTTCGGATCAAGATGACCACCCATTTTGACGAAAGCAAGAGAGATCGGCTGGAAACGAGTAAAAGGGGGACGCAGGAAAAGGCGAATGGATGCAGGAGGAAACGCAGGAGAGCAAAGTCGACGTCGGTTCGGGTGAAGTTGGAGGTTAGGCGCAGCGGCCGGCGCTAGGCCCGATCGGGGCGGCAGCGAAAAGACATCATCGTTACTAGGGAAGCTCCCACAACTCAGTCTCCAAGCTGACACTCCCCGCCCTCCCCCAAAAACCATCTCACTATGGCTGCGAATCTGTCCCGACTTGTTCTCCCGGTGTTCGCCGGTGCCGCGTTCATTAACGCCTCTCTCTACGACGTCAAGGGCGGTACCCGCGCCGTCATCTTCGACCGGCTGTCCGGAGTGCAGGAACAGGTCATCAACGAAGGGACGCATCTGCTGGTCCCCTGGCTGCAGAAGGCGATCATCTTCGATGTGCGGACGAAGCCTCGCAACATCTCGACCACGACGGGGAGTAAAGATTTGCAGATGGTCAGTCTGACCCTGCGAGTGCTGCACCGCCCGGAGGTGACGAAACTGCCCCAAATCTACCAGGTATGTTTTTCATTTCTTCCAACGACATCCCCGTTTCCGCCTTTATTTATCTTGTGCTGATTTTTCTCTAGTCCTACGGTACCGATTACGATGAACGTGTCCTCCCCTCGATCGGCAACGAAGTGCTGAAAGCCATCGTGGCCCAGTTCGACGCCGCAGAGCTGATCACGCAGCGTGAGGCAGTCTCGAACCGGATCCGTACCGACCTGATGAAGCGCGCGGGGCAGTTCAACATCGCGCTGGAGGATGTCTCGATCACACACATGACTTTCGGCAAGGAGTTCACGCGAGCCGTCGAGCAGAAGCAGATCGCCCAGCAGGACGCCGAGCGGGCGCGCTTTATCGTCGAACGCGCCGAGCAGGAACGCCAGGCCAACGTCATCCGCGCTGAGGGCGAAGCCGAGAGTGCCGACATCATCAGCAAAGCCGTCGCCAAGGCGGGCAGTGGCCTCATTGAAATCCGTCGTATCGACGCCAGCAAGGAGATCGCCGCCACCCTCGCCAACAACCCGAATGTCACCTACCTACCGGGAGGAGGCGATGGCAAGGAGGGCGGAAAGAGCACCAGTCTCCTTCTGGGCCTGAGAAACTAAAAGCAAAAAGCAAACAAAAAAATTTGTTTTACCTAAGATTGATTCGATTTGGTATCGGTTGAATTGGGCTGTATAATCTGGCGACTCTTTATGCATCATGTAGTAATACTCTACTCTTTTCTCACAGTGTCATCCGTTCATCAAAAAAAAAAAAAACAAGTAAAAATTTAGTAGAGGTTTCGTATAAAATGTCAAATCCGTCTATATATATGTATCTGAAACCGCATATCCTCCAATCCCGCGCCCTCGCCAACATCATACCCCAACCTAGCAGCATCGCGCCTCCACCACCTCGAATCCTGGGAACAGACACGGTCCCATTTCCCTTCTGCAACGGAGAGGAGGGTATGGTCCAGCAGGAACTTCATGGGATATCGTCTTTCCGAGACAGTGGAATCTTCCTGGTGCGATGGTTGCGATGGCTTCTTCATGTTCAAGGTAGAGTAACTTCCCGGACTATCGACGACGAGCAACACGGTCCCCGGGGCGAGGAGATCGGTCATGCGCAAAAGGAAGGAAGTCGTCTTGGCCATGGAAGTCGAGAAGAGCTCGTTCAGAGTGAACATCAGCGTGACGAGGGCGGTAGATTCCTCGCGGAGGAGACCCGAGAGGTCACCGTCCGAGATACGCAGGACGTCTGTTCGTTGAAACGTGACATTGAGGGATGTCGTTGTTGGGAGAAGAGGCGCCGGGTGAGTCCTGCTCCCCACGATAGAAGACGAGGTCAACGCCGTCGCGAGTCTGTTCACAACAGACGACCAATCTGCAATATCCACTGCCGTCACGGAGAGGGGTGGTGAAAGACCTCGTTCTTCATTCGAATTCTGCTCATCTATCATCTCCCTCCAGACAGCAGCTAATGCGACAATCTCCGCCCCGGCACCGCCCCCAATACAAACCACATGATTAGAAGAAGAAGCAGAACTCTGCTCCAAAACTAACCGTAACGTCGCCTTGAAAACCCCCGCATACCCCAACGCCCGGGACGCACTCCACCGCAGCGCATACGCACGAAGCAGCTCCTCGTTCGCGTCGGTAAACGCCGCGTCGAAGTCGCGGTTGTACAGGTGCGTCTTGATCGTTTGGATGAGCGTCTTGGTGTCCAGTGGCGGAGAGCCGAGCAGGGCCCCCTTGAACACGTTGAGGAGTAATTGCTGTAATGTGATGGGTATCGTCGAGGCCAGATCTACCGATCCTCTCCCTCCCTCTTCTTCTTCTTCTTCTTCTTCTTCTTTTGCTTCTTGTCTCTTTTCATCGTGTGGTTTTTGTCCCCTGCTCACTTTGCTTGTGCGATTTGGGGCTTGGCCTTGGCCTTGTCCTCGGGCCTTTTTCTTTTCTTTTTTTTTGAGAGGACCTCCTTGGACCATTATATATATGTATGTATATGTATATGTATATGTATGTATGTATGTATAATGATAAATTTAATATGTATAAATTGATGATGTGGTGGTTAATATATAAATGTCCAGGCTATTGAAGTATTTTCAGAGTGGAAAATAAATTTGCGGGCCGAAATTGATATATTTATCTCAACTCATTCGACATGTCATTCGATGGTCACCAGCACTACCACTATTCTAACTACAAACTATACATCTACAGATGCAATAGATTTACTGACCAGGATATAGAAAGACGGCTCATTGCCTGACTGCTATGGTGTAATAAAGTAAGACTCGTGTGTAGAGCCCGGAAGATAAACACAAAACGCTCATGGTAAATGAATGCGAGAATCGAAAGTGAACATCACTCGAGACTGGTTAAAGCGTGACCGAGACTGAAGGAAAGCTCAATCAGATCAGACAGCATGCAACTCAACAAGAGGGCATCAACGATGGACAAGAAAGAGAGAATCTTTCATACTCTGACGCTGGCAAAAAAAGAAATGAATAACATAAGGAGAAGAAAAGAGACTCGTAAATTATCTCGGGAGAAGCGAATAGAAGAAATGGGGGGTAAGAAAGAAACCAAGATCAGGAAAGAAACAGGAAAAAAATATTGGGTCCGATCCTGCGTTGAAATGAAAAAGAACCTCTATTGGAGGCGAGAGGAGAAGAAAAGGGCATTCATAATGCAAAAAAGGAGAAAAGAACGGAAATTATTTACAGGTATGAGGAAGTATCAGGTCGAAAAAAAAGTCTCGGAAAACGCAAGAGGGGGGCATGATGGAGAAAGAGTAGTAATATGGGCATGAAATGTGTCGCTACAATGATTAAACCCTCTCTGCAAGCAAAGAAAAAAAAAAGAGTAATATGCGCCGGTGGATACAATTAGATGGAATGAACATGGCGTGCGGAAGGTTGGGGGGAAGAAGAGAGGGAGATCATTTGGAGGGCCGTTGCTCTGGCGGAGGCTGCTGTGACTGGTACACAGTATCGACCGACCGTTCTCGCTCCTTGACCTTCCAGAAGTGCATGAGCCGGCTGATGCGGCGTCCTTTCTTCTTGCTGGTCGGGTCCGATTCGTTCACGGGCGGTTTCTCCTCGTGGCTGAGTTTGCTCCGTTCGGCGTGCGTCCCGACAACAAGCTTAGACAGGCTGGCGAGACTGGACCGCTTCGGAGTCACGTTGCCTTGGCTCGTCCGACGGTTTACGCTCGCAGAGAATGAAGCCGCCCGGTCGCTTGATAGTCGCGGTCTGCCGAAGAAGGTCGCGGAGAACCGGTGCATGGTGTTGGCCATGGTCGATGCGCTGCTGGTCAAGGACGGCACATCGTCCATGGAGTTATGGGGGAAATCTGGAGAATGGTCGGTGCTATAGGACAGATTGGAGAAGTTTCGGTCGGAGGTAGATGGGGTGGTGATGGATCGGGGAGCTTCCGAAGAGGCATAATGGAAATCCGGAGACGGGAATGAGGAGCTAGGGGAGATCGAGCCAGTTGGGGGTGGGAGATGAGGGGCGTTGCATGGGAAACTCATGGGAGAAGTGGACGGGCGCTTATCAACCGGGACAAAGCGAGGCGAAACTTCGGGACTAGGAGGACCCGGACACTTGGGGTGCCAGTCTTCCTGTTTGATGATCTCAATGGCATCCGGCCGTTTCGGGCGCGGGTCGGTGATGATCGTATCAACTGCTGGGCCAGGCTGCTGCTCGGTCTGTGTTTGCGCCTCGTCGTCCTCTTTATGGTCGAAGGGCTGGGCGATGATGGGATGGGCCGAGGGTTCATCCGCTACATCCTGTTCCTGAATTCCCAGCCCCGGATTTCGCGACGTCGAACTAGATCTGACCCTCTGTTTGGTCAGGGTATCAGAACTAGCCTGACTGCGAACGGATTCCTTGTCGGCAGCAACGCCGGCATCCGAAGGGGTGCCCTCATGATCATGGCTGTGGGAGGAAGAGCTCCCGGCATCGGCTTCACCCGACTCACTGCCTGCCGCCAAGAAGGCGTCTTCTTCCTCTTCGTAAAACACGTCGTTATCGGCTATGGAAGACATCGTCGAGCTGTTCTTCAAACGAGCACTGACCAGGAAACTCCGGTCGAAGGGGGGCATTTCGGGCGCACTCTCGGCACGGCGATGATAGCGCATCTCCGGCCCAACAAACTCTCCCCGGCGTCCCCCACTGTACATTCTCTTCGTCGCGGCGGAGAAGCCACTACCAACCACCCGATCCGAAGCCATGTCGGGGGTATTGAATGGGCCCAACGCGGCATCGAGATCGATGACAGGGCTTGTCACGTCGTTTTGGATGGTCTGCTCGTAGAAGCTCCGTGGTTTCCAGGCGCTGTCCAGCGACGGGGAGCCATCCGCATCGACATCGAGGGGACTGGGCTCGGGGACGTTGGAGCTGGTTGGCGTTCGAAGGACGATGATGTGGTCATCGTCAAAGTTGACGTCCAGGCCCGATCCTAGGTCCGAGTTGGTCCTGGTGATGATGGGCGTAGGCGTGTTTGATTGATCTGGCAGATCTGCATCGTCGTTGTCCTTCTTGTTGGAGGGATGTCGCTTCCCCTTGCCCCGTGTCAAGATGGCACCGGCCCACGAGCGAACCTTCTTTTGCTTCTTCTTCGACTTGGTCGTCTCCGTCTTGGATGATAAAGTTGCGACAGAATCTGATGACTCACGGGGAAGCTCAAAGGACACATCGGAGCACTCTTCCTCGGAAGATAGCCGGCCGAATTCCTCCGTCAGATAAGTGCCATCATGAAAGCGGGATTCCTTCAAAAGCAGCTCTGGTAGGCCGGACGTGCTCTTGTTGGCGCGGCTATGACCGGGAGTCGACAGCGGCCGGGAATTCCGAGAGCCCTGGCGTGCGTCAAAGTTCAGGGTAAAGGAAGCATCGGCAGTCTTCGGTCGGGTTTTCGGCGCCTCCGTGGCGACATTTGGCGTTGGTTTGAAGGGTAGGCCGTTCTCCTTTGGGACGGTATCCAGCTGCACCGTGGTGGCGTAGCTGCCCGAGGTCTCAGAGGAGATTGTCGACAGGGGACGTCTGTGGTGGGTGAAGGCAGGTTTGGCATGTGATGGGGAACGATTGGATGGTAATAGTAAGGGGGAGCTCGGCGGTGAGGGTCGACTCAAGCTAGTAGCCGAGTACGACAAGGGTCGAGAGATATCATCTGCGAAGCCATGTTCATGTCTCATGTCCGCAGGTGTACACGGAGCACTTCCCACGACGGGTTTGGGTTCAAAGGCCTGTCGAATGATAGACATGTCCACGTTCGACACGGCTGCGGAGCGGCGGTGGGCATGTGATCGTCTGTAGGGCGCACTGAAGCCTGGGCCTGGCGTGGGGAGTTTGACGGGTTCCTCCGCTGAGGGCTGAGCCGTGGATTCCGAGATATTTTCCCCTCCCAAGAGCTCACTGGGACGTCGACGATGGCCCATCATCGTCCGATGGCCTGCAGGGGCCGGCCCCAACGGCTGAGGCGGAAGATCGGCGCCTGGATTAAAAGAGAATGCGGGCAGAGGTAGCGGTTGTTTCCTGACCTCTGGTTCGGTCGTCGTCGTATTTGTTTCTGTTGTGTTGGTGTTGGTGGAGGAGGAGGAGGAGGAGGAGGAGGAGGTGGTGGTGGTGGTGGTGGTGGAAGAGGGAGCTCCCGTTGACGGCTCATCAGGATCTCTCGCTGGAAAAACGAATGATGGGTTGGGGAGTCGTGCTGTCATGTTGGAGCTCCTCCGTCGGCTGTGACCGTGGCCCGAGGCGCCCGTTGAGCCGGATGGCTGGTGGTGAAACGGTGCGCCATGTTGTTGCAGGGGAAGCGAAATCGACGCCATGATTGGGACCGAGAACAGTCTCCCTCCAGCAGATGTATGGATAGATGTGCGGAAGTGATCTAGACGGGACAAAGACCTCCAGACCCAAACAACCTTTCCTAGAGGCTAAAGGGAAAGTCTGGTGTTTGTCTGGAGGCCCTCAACCTCGCGATGGTTTCATTGAATTCCCGGTTCCACCGACACGATTTGACGGAAGTGCGTGTAATCCAGTCGATCGAAGAAGAGGCACGATCCAAAAATAATATTCGCACCAAGTACGGTATCTATCCTCTGGTCGTCTAGACGGGCAAGGATTGGAGTCGAGTTCAACGGTCGGGAGTGAATACTGCAGTCGGGTTCAGGAGAGTTCGGGTGTTAAGGAGCGGACGGCTACGAAGAACAAGCCACGGAAAAAAAAGGACGAGGGGAAGTGGTGGGAAAAAAGAAACGAAAGAAAAGAAGAAAAAAAAGGGCGAAACGTAAATGAGAGAATGAAGAAGAAAGACGAACAAACCGAAAGGGAAGAAGAGAGGTGAGAGGTCGGGACGGGGGATGCAAAGAAGGAAAAAAGGAAGACAACGACTTGATGACCGACCAGTCCGGAGGGAGAAGCGAAGGGGAGGCTGGATGGAGGGACGCAGCGACTGCGAGGGCGGGCGGCAGGGGATGATTGGCCCGAGGGGGGTTCGTGGTACGGTACGGTACGGGCGTAATTTCCGCAGGATCCGAGATGATATTTAGGCAGGTACCTAAGGTTAGTAATTATGGAGATGTAATCTATCCTGAGTTATAGGAGGAGCTGACTGTTCTCTTAATTATAGTAGTGGATCATGTATTTAATAGTGAATTAAAGAATAATCTCAAGTACGGAGTATACTGACTCGAATAATCTCAGGTACGAGTATCTACCTAGTACCTTACTACCTGGTACCTCATTAATGGACCAGTATTTTAAAAGTACCTTACCTATGTACTTTAAGTAGGTACCTTAGTACTAGGTAGTTACTAGGAGGTAGGTAGGTACTAGGCACGTATTGTAAGACAATTACTTGACCTAACAATGCATTATCATACACTGTATTCAGTGCCTGGATTATGATGGATACCTGCATGAAACTATTAATATTTCTCCCCTGGCACTTGGCCGTATCTCGATAGCCTCGATTCTGCCGCCTGCAAGTCATCGGCGTATTATCATACGCCGGTTACAGAATAGTTTTACTCTGCACCTCAGAATAATTAAAAATATTCCATAGGCGAGATCAATAATTTATTAGGAAAGCTTCATAGGCTGTTCTTGTTTACTCAGTAAGTCAGGTGATTGGCCTGAGGTCGACCGTCGAAGATCTCTAGCCAGAATGGATAGAAAGAGAATACATCCACTACCTCCCTAATTATTTAGAAGCACTATGTATTTTATACTTCTATAATAAAGTAGTTTATCTTGCGGATATAATGTCATCTACTCTTGGCGTTTATGACCGCCTAATAGAATAAGAAATCCTTGCTGGATTTACCTGTGTCACTATTTAACCGAATGCGTGTCGTAATCCTCCCAAGGACCGAGTGAAGGATTAGAACTACTGTACATCAATATCAGCCACGAAGGAGATCTTGATCACTAACTCCAAATCTAAGGTATTTATCTGGTACTTACCTTAGGTAGGTACCTAGGTAGGTACCTAGTTACCTCCTACCTAAACTTAACAAAGTAGGTAAGTTCAACTATACCTATTATGGTAAGTTTGCAGGATGCTATTCCAAACAGAGTGGACCATCTTGAGTGACATCCGCAGGCAGCCATTCAAGATCGACTCCTTACATTCCCACTCTCGTTTGATTCGCCAAGCTGTCAGCCAAGCTTTTGTTGCCTCCTGCAAACCAGAGGCCCACAGTCCCCAGGAGTCCCAGGAGCACCTACCAAAGTTACCCAGGTATGTAGTAGGTAGTTAACTACTAGGTAGTAACTAACTACGGAGTAACTACTTAACTACTAGGTAGCTACTAGGTATGTAGTACCTACGCATCAGAGATTATAAGTTCCAGCAGAAATCTAGTAGACAGGTGAATCTTTAATGAACTATGGGAAGACTAAAGTATACTACTACTACCTCTTTCAAATGTCCAACCTATTTATAGACTAGAAATGTGATTACCTGGAGTGCTTCTAGTACTACTGCTCTGAAATCCCGACAGAAGGAATAGTGTCATTGCAACATGTTGTACAGAGACACGATGGACTACTGTGGCTTATACCTACCTAGCATGGGAAGACGGACTAGTTCGAAGTGGCTATGCTCGCCTAGACACTAGTTTGATCACGAGAAGGGGCGTGCGGGTATTTGGATTGTAGATTGATGAATATTACTCTTAGTGTATTGAGAAGTTTATCGAGTTCTTAACATATAGTTATTTTATTAACCCATAATAGATACTACCTTAGTATACCAGGTAGGTACCTAGGTAGGTATACTTTATCTTCGGTTAACTCCTTCCAACTTTACTCCGTACCTAAGGTTCTCGTATCTCCTAACCATGCCAAGGATGACCCGGGACAGCAGCTGTGATTGGCCAGGTGCCAGTCTCCTCCGGAGTGGAAGGCGCCTGCCGTGCCAGCCAAGCCGCCAGGTGGTCGGACCTGGCCAATTGTAGCTCGCCATTGGGGCATTGTATCGTTGCCTGCAGGTGGAGTATCTGACCAGGTGATTTCGCAGGTGCTGCTTTTGGTTAGTTGTATTATTGTATTTGTGGTACATACTGTATGGTAATTTCGAAGCATTAGGAACAAGGTTTGGCTATCTTATACTAGTAACTTAGGAGTTAGACAGAATTAGTATCCTCCCTAATCCCTATACCAGGCTCCCTTGATTCTATATCCTCTTTTATACTGAGTATGCAGCGGGTGTCTGCACAGCATTGCAGCTGACAGTGGCAGAAACATACAGCATACTCTATACAGAGTACAGCAGTATGTAGGTAACTACCTACTTAGTTAATACCTAAGGTAAGTACTTATAATTTACCTATTTCTATTGTCACTCTAGGGTCTGTGAAGCTTACGGAGTACTTAGGCCTACTAAAAAGCCCCGTACTACATATCTATTATTTCGCTTAACCACGTCAGCATCCACGCAGCATCCACGCATCCACGCAGCATCAACAACATCCACAGCAACGCAGCATCCACGTCGGAGGCGATCAGTGCAAGGCCCCCCCCCACTCCAATAATGGAGTACTCCGTAAACCACCAACGAGCTACACATATCACTCTATCACTCTCGACACAAATATCTGATCCACCTGCACCCTGTTCCTGACTCGTAGGCGGACGATCAACCCTGCCCAAGGGCGGAGTTGAGTGCCTTGAGGTCTGTGAGATTCATGCCTAACCAATTCATCTATACAGAGTACCTTACTACATAGGTAGGTACCTACATAACTAGTTACCTACTAACATCTCAATACTCTGTACTGTAAGTGGTTGCAAATCGGTCTGGCCATAGATACGGAGTACCAAGCAGTAACCATATTAACTACTAGGTACCTAGGTAGAATATTATAACTCCATACCTATTACCTAGGTAGATACCTAATACTACTACTGTAATACAATACGACGAACCATGGATGTAGTATCCTTCGTCCTCTGTAGATCTTCGGTTCAGATCGCCCTTATTCGGCCGAAGAGAATCCCCCCCCAAAAAAAACTTTAATACGCTTTCCCCTCGTTTCCTTCTTCCTGTTCGATTCACTGGGAATCTTGTATTATCGAGGAGGTTACGGACTTCTCCGACGTGGTGATGTCAAAGACTTTTGTCTACGCTGTTCAGTGTCCGGGGGCGACACTTTAGCCACTGCAAGTGGCGTCCATTCAGATCGAGGTATTACTCTGAGCTACTGACAGAATACCTAAACCATCAAATGAAATAATAATACGTTCAACCTGCAGCTGGGGTGATCTGTGCCAACAATACGGCGAGGGCGCAGCTGAACCATTTCGCCACAGTACTATTGTTGTAGACAGTTAGTTAGTATGGAGAGTAGTTAACATACACCCTCTGTAATACTCCGTACTGAATTGCAGCTATAAAAGTTACAGCTTCGCACACGACTCGACCAGAACACTCCGGTTGACGTCCTGCGCGCTGATCGGTACGTCCAGCGACGGGTTCGCCGTAAAGAAGTTGACGGGCTTCAGGGAGACCGTCATCTTGTCCACCGGCATCACCGGCCAGTCCTCGACCCGCGGGTTGTGTGTCGTCCCAAAGGTATGCCAGACGACAATGTCTGCGTTGCGTACTCCCTGCGGCTTCTCACGAGCCCGGATCCACGACGCGATCCCCTCGCCGCCCAGAGACTGCATCGTGTGGTCGCCAGAGCTGAACAGCTCGCGGTCGTGATGTCTCGTCACCCACACTGCGTGCTCGCCAAACTCGGAGCGCCGAGCGTGGTACGACGACGGGTGCGCCAGCAGCATCTGTGAGTAATGCGGCACCAGCTTGTAGCCCACCGGCCCGCCGGTGACGGGGTTTCGGACCCCCTCGTTGACGATCTTGAACACTCGCGCCTTGGTCACGTCGGTATCTAGCGGGGTCTCCGTCTCGACGATCTTGCTGACCGTCGTATACCCGACTCCAAAGGGATTGTGGATGTTCGGGTTGTCGAGCGGCATTGGATGTGACTCCTCGACCATCAACGAGTTGCTGTGTCCGTCAATCGCAGGGTCGATCCGGAGGCAGAAGAGGTGCTGGTGGTATGGCGCCATGACGCCCGGACCCACGAGTGTTCCATAGGGGACTGTCTGGCCCAGATTAATCGGTGCCGTAGATACTATCCCGGTTGCGCGCACTTCGTAGTTGATCGCTGCGTCCTGTGTGAACTGAAAGGCAAAGATGTATTCGTAGTTGCCGACGGTGATGATCGTCTGCAGGACGAGGATCCGGGACCGTGTGACAATAGCGTTGTTGGTGCGGTAGTTTGTATGCTTCCACAGAATTCCATCATCGACTTCATGGCAGCAGACCACATTTGGCAGGACGATCGGATCTCCCGCCGTGGTATGGTGATGGCCATTGAAGTATTTGATATGGCCCAAACAATCGCATCCTAGATGAAACAACTTTTATTAGCACTACGGTAGAAACGCGTTCCACTCTCGTTTCGACTACCTACCGAGCTTCAAGTTGTTCGCGTTGACACCAGCCCCATTGCTGCCAAGGTCAAAGGCACCCTTTCGTGGATATGGGGTTCTACTATCCCCATACGGCACAAACATCTCAGACAGCGACAGTCTGTAGAAGACACTGCGACCATCATATGTAATGTCATGTAAAGTCAATCCTTCACGCTTGTTGTTTCATAGTTAGCCCAAAGGGGACAATTTCCGTTCTCGACAAGAGCGTACATACGTAGTTAAATCCAACTCGCATCTGCCACTTTTCCCAGGTCAACTGGTTACCTTCTACTTGAAACGAGGGGCCTTCGGGCTGGACGATCTGGAGCGGCTTGGTTGTCGTCCGCCGCTCCTCCACCAAGTCAGGATGATACTCGCTGGAGCGGTGGATCTTGTTTCGATCAAACGGTCTAACGCCAACTTCGCTCACGAGCCCAGCTCGATCATTCTCTCCGAGAGGCAGAGTCAGAATCCGTTTGACGCTCAGATCACCGGACATCTCAACACAGATATCGAGCGGATAAGCGTAGTGGTTGGCATCTCCATGGCTTTTGAGTCGCATATAAAAGAAACACTGGTGGTGCAAACGAGATCAGCCACGACCACTGATTATGAGGGTTTGGAGGAAAGCACGGTTCGTTTACCATGATAATCCGCTCAGCGATATCATTCATTCCATCTGTCCCGTATGACCAGGGTTCGATGCATACAACGGCCTCTTCTGGAAGCTCCAACATGCGGATGACTTTCTGTACTTCTCCCGCTGCCATGCATGCCTTTTCGGCAGCCTGCATTTCTGTCGAGTCCACGTAGGAATGTTTTCCAGAAAGGATCTTCTCCTTGGTGATTTTTCCAGACTCCAGTTCAATCCAGACCTCTCGGAAATCCGTCGGCTTGCCGCGATAAAACTGAATCAGGGCGCTTCGAGATGGCGTCGGGGTGCTTGGTTTTCCTGAACGCTCAGCTTCTAGAAACGGTATCATCTGGGCCTTTGCTGGCTCAAGAAGCGTGACCACCCTGAAGCTGAGGTTGTCATTGGGAAACGCATCCTTCAGGTGACGAACTGCCTGCGTAGGTAGTCAGAGGCAGTGCTCTTCCTGGTATCTCAACTTTCTCAACTTATCAAACTTACAAGGGAGATCTCTGCTGGAGAGAGCGGATCAAAGGGATGAGGGTGTGCGGATAACATTGTCCTGATCTGTAAACCAGACGCGATGGTCGTGGAAATCTAATATTTTATGATGCTGCAAGACCAACGTAGACCAGGCACCAACCTTGTTATTTATTCTTTTTCCCTCAGGACGAGCAGGGGAATTATGACCTCTCGTGGAAACTCCACCTTCCCTCGCGGAGTACCTTTCAACAAACCGAACCTCTAAAGGCAGGTGAAAGCGGGTTCCAATGTGATTGGTAACATATCCCTGATAGGCGAATGCATCCGAAGGTTCGTCTGATAGGAGAAATCGACCAGGGTGCTAGATCTCAAGAGATAGACCTATCTCTATGCCTCAATTTTGATATGGACCCCGCTGCTGAACTAGGAGTCTTGAATAGTAATCCGTATGAAAAAACATTCCCTTGATAGTTTAGATCTGTACCTAGAAGTTATGGTGATTCTTTCGAGGCAAAAAACCAAGAGAATGAAGAGTTCTCGACAGCCTATCTGACACTGACACTGCAAACAAAAATATCGACCGCATAGTGAGTTCGCGGATAGAAAGCTTGATAAACCGAAATGAAATGCAAGAATCATAATCATACATGGCTAGAATGTGATAGTCCCCGGCATTTCAGAGCTTTTCCAGGAACGCATGCAATCACAGCTAAACACAAGAGCAGAATAGAGAGAGAGACATGAAATTTAACCAAAGACTCACACCTAAAGAGGTATTTGGCATGATAAAAAAAAAGAGTGAAATAAAAGAGACCCGCAAGATCTGGGGGGAATATGTACATATGCCAGAGTAATCAATCAAAATGTCGTTAGAAACATACTAGCTGTCATGACTCATAGCTCGCTTGCGTCTGGGGAGACGGCAAGAATCACTGTCAGAGCAGTGATGATCAAAGCAGTTGCCATGAAGGCAATCAAGGTGACGCTGCCACGGCTCGCTGGGAACTTGCCCCTGACGATCCAATATTGGCTTTCGAAGTAGCGGTGGAACCCGATCAAAAGGACGATGATGGAGACCCCGATGAATGTGGCGCCTAGAGGTTTGCCGAGAGCTCGTAGACGACTCGACTTCGATGCGGCTGCCATCATCGCGGCGTCATATTCATGAGGCATAACCAAGGGAGGAAATTGGCCGGAGCCATTGAGGCTGGTCGCATTCGTGGTAGTGCTATTCAATCGGAAAAGTTGTGTCACTGCGATGCCGATAGAAGCAAAGCCCAACGAAGTTCTTAACCATGCCAGGAATGTTCTCTCTATTTGTTTAAATCAGGGGGTCAATTCCTTTTGTTTCATTCATTCATTCATTCATTCATTTCAATCAGTTGATTTGGTGGGGGGCAAGGAGAGCGCACCTAAAGCAAGATGGTCTCGAGCCACACTGCCCTTGTTGTCGAGCTCCAGAGTACCGTACTTGTCCATGAGACGGCCGAAACAGGATCGAGTAGTTTCTTCGTCTGGATCCGCCGTATTCCCACTGCGACCGGCGGCTGTCTGCGAAAAGTCTTTCCCGCGACCATTGGCGACACCCGTAGCGACACCACCTGTGGACTGGTAATCCCGTCTCAATGGATCATCGCTCCCACTGAAGATGGGGGTCTCCTCATTCTGACCAGGCCGTGACTGTCTCTGTCCTGATGTCGGCATCGATTGTGATGTTGCGAGTGGGCTTCGGTGGTTGGAAGAATGTGAAGACAGCCGGCGACCTCCGGCCGAGTCGCCATTTGAAGGCGGTGATGAGATCAGATATGCAGGGTCTGACGTCGAGCCATCGTTAGTATTCTTACTCCCCGACTCCCGGTCGAGACTCTTTCCACGGCGATATGTGGCTTCGTCGTCAAGGGTGCTCATGATGGCGTGCTCGATGGTCTTTAGCCAATCGCGACTGCCGCCCCAACCTGGGACCTTCGAGGCCTCGACAGCACTTTGTCAGGTCTTTTCTTAGCTTTGAACTCGACAGGATAATCTATGGCTAGGTCGAGATCTGTGTCTTCAGCGGTCCGGTCTCGGAGAAAGTGTGCAGACAACACGCTTTGGTTGCGGTTCCCTTCGTGTCTTTCACTGACCGCGTTCTGTCCCCTCTGGTCACATGACAGCGGCGGCCGTGTGACCCAAAACAGTATGGCGGCCAGATGACCAGCGATCATGTGGCTGGGCGCTAGGCCGGAATAGGCCAGGGGCTGGGGAAGCCGAACGCTAATCCCTATTTGACTCTTAGTGTCTCCGGCAGTCCTTTGCAAGCTTATGTCATTATTAATATTATTGCCTACGGGACATCCATCAAAATTGTTGCTTGACATACCTAGCAACTTTCACTGCGAGATGAGCTCCGGCAAGCCGTTACCAGATAAAATGGATTTATCAAAGAAATTACAGAACCTTCGATCGCACGACCGCAAAAGCTCAAGCGCCGCTTCTTCACGAGATCCTGCGCCGGCGACCCCGCCTCTCCCCTCTCCTCCAGACCTGTCAGCATCTCACCGCTACCTACGTCCAGTGCGTCGAATCCTGTCTCCAGAAGACCATGAAACGTTTCTCTCCTCACCCACATACACTCTTGTGCTTGGATTTATATTCGGTCTCTCCGACGCCGTGCGTGGTCATGCGCTGACGGACCTCAAAGAAGTTCCTGCGACGTCAAACATCCCCAAGGTCCTCTCGATAGTCGACAACCTTGACGAGCTGGTCAAGAAACACCCGTCGCTCGACCAGGGCGGGTCTCGATTTGGCAACCCGGCGTTCCGCACGTTCTTCGACGATGTCGCTGTGCAGAGCACGGGATGGCATAAAACGATACTGGGGCTGGAAGACGACAGCGCGATCGAGGAGATATCGACATATCTGATCCATTCTCTGGGATCCCGAGACCGGCTAGATTACGGATCAGGCCACGAGCTCAATTTCATGATGTGGCTGCTGTGTCTGTACCAGACGGGAATTCTTTCCGCGACGGATTTCCAGCCGATCGTCTTCCGCGTTTACGTCCGGTATATGCACCTCATGCGCGACATCCAGATGACATACTATCTCGAGCCTGCGGGCTCGCACGGCGTCTGGGGCCTGGATGACTATCACTTCCTGCCGTTCCTGTTCGGGGCCGCCCAGCTGGTGGCGCATCCGTACATCACCCCGCTGTCGATCCACAACACGGCCGTTCTAGACGAAGAAGGAGACAAGTTCCTATATCTGGACCAGGTGCGGTGGGTGGACAGCGTCAAGACGGTCAAGGGCCTACGATGGCACAGCCCGATGCTCGACGACATCTCTGGCGCGAAGAGCTGGTTCAAGGTTGAGAGCGGGATGAAGAAGATGTTCGTCAAGGAGGTTCTGGGCAAGCTGCCCATCATGCAACATTTCTTGTTTGGCAGCTTGATCCCTGCCGAGACGGCGATGGGGGAGCGCGGAGCCGGCGGGGAGGGCCATCATCACGACGAGGAAGCCGAGGCGGCCGTCCATTCGCATGCGGGTCACCAGCACACGACGGACTTCTTTGGCGATTGCTGTGGCATCAAGGTCCCGAGTACTGTGGCCGCGGGGGCAGAAATGCGAAAACGAATGGGGGGGTCTGGCTTACGGCCGATTCCATTCGACTAGTAGAACCTTCATTCACTTTGCCTGATATAATCTTCCTACTCTACCTCTTCCCTCTAAGTAGCTACCTAGTAGGTACTACCTAAGTAATCATGTAGTACTGTACCTAGAACTACCTAAACTGCCGAGGCATTAATGTCTCTGCTAACTGATCCCTGATTGGCTCGCACGGTCCACCACAACCACCAACTTCAATCTGGATCCAGGCTCGTCTACAAGCACTTTGCACATTACGGAGTCATTACACCTGATATATCCTGATATAACCTGGTATCATATCTGCCAGTATCTGGTGGTATGTATTCATGGTCCCTAGGGACTCCATGAACCAGAACCAGAACCAGAGCCATCCCGCCACAGCCACATCCAAGACGACAAACAGAAACCAAAGAACCGAAGGCTTTGACAGACTGAAAGATGCCAGACGAATATACCTCCGCTGTAGGAAGCGGCAAACTCAAACTGAAGGGGGGCAAAGTGAGCGATGGCCGCGTAGAGAAGAAGAAAAAGAGGAACAAGAGCAAGAAGGAGCCAAGCGAGGAAGAAGACCGGGAAAAAGCGAATCAATCTGTCTCTGAAAGAACCGAAGAGAGAGAGACTGGATCTCCTTCTTTCCACGAGTCAACTGGGCCGGCTAGCTTCGAGAAAACGGAGGCAGAGAAGAGACATGACGAAACCAGGAAGAAGAGGGTGAGCTTCCCCCTTCTGTTCTTCTCTTCTCGACGACAACTCTCTCATGAACGCATTGTTAATAATTTTAGCTACATGATCGTCTCCGTCGAGAAGGTGCCAAGACGCACAAGGAACGCGTGGAAGACCTAAACAAGTATCTGAGTCGGCTGAGTGAGCACCATGATATGTATGTCTGCCTTACTCTGTGCCTGATCTGTTGGCAGTGCTGACCTCTGACCTCTTAGGCCGAGAATCGGACCGGGATAACACTTCTTTCTGCCGTGTTGTACGAATATAGATACCTATTCTTCTAGTTGTATGGAAAAATATCCTACTCTACGCTCCATCACATGAAGTAATAATCTGTATATTCATCCCGCGTGCAGGAGACGGATAGCCGTCGGTCTATTCAAGAATAGGATATGAAGAAGTGGTAATCACATCACGGAACACTGACAGGAGAGCAAGCCTCCTGAGAAACCCGCTGGACAAAATGAGAAATATATAAAACATTGAACCCCCCCCCCGCGCTTGTTGTAACGCCATGCGTATGATTCCGGGAAGAGAGAAAATAAAAAAAAAGGAAAAGCTGACAGACAAAATAAAACGAGAAATCAAAAAAAAGAACAAGAGGACGATAACCCAACCCCAGATAGAAGAAGAAAAGTCGTATAATTATAGTTAAGGTTGGCAGTGTCGAAACCACGAGGCCATGAGGATTTGAATGATTGAGGGCTCTCTCATACACCCTTGATGACGGTGGTGCGCTCGCTGTTGAGCTTATCGGCGTTGCGAGCATGGGACTCTTTCTTGCAGTTCTCCAGCCCCGTGCACGAGTGTGCTTCAAGCATGCGGTGCTTTGAGCAGAAGTGGCCGCTGCAGAAGCTGCAGTCTCCGACGATGCGTTGAGCGGCTTCCTTGCACTCCTTGAAGTTGCAACGAGGCTTGCGGACAGGAGCCATGATTGTATGAACGAGCTGTAAGACCGATACGGAGACGGGAGGCAACGATAGGAGGGTACGTAGTATTCCGGCGGGGGCCAACGATAGGTCTGGTCTCGGCGACGAGGTATTTCGGAGTGGCACTAGTGTTATAGGTAGGTCTAGTTTCGAGCGCAGTGAAAGCCGGGATGAGGAGAGGGTGGTGAGGAGGAGGTGGTGGAGGAGGAGGAGGAGGAGGAGGCGGTAGATAAGGAGAACCGGTTATCGGAAGGGACGGGAGCGCAGAACGAAGGATGGGGAAGAATGAATGGCAAGAAAACGATGAAAGGAGGAGGAATTGGGAAGTCAATTTAAAGACGGATGGGCGATGGGATGGGCAGGCGACGAACTGCTGAGTCACCGAGCGACGATCCAGGAAAGCGTTTTTGTGAGGTCAGGCAGTGCTGAGGGTACTCCGTAGGTACACTGACTGTACAGTAACTACTAGTTACTCCGTATGTGACGGAAGGGGGAAGGTGGAGGCAAAATTGGGAGTGGAGCTGCTGCTGGTCCCAGAAGCTTCGAAGGCGCTTACTTCGGAATACTTTTATTATTAAGAAGTAGTATTGCCTTCTTTAAGTATAAAGTATTCAAGTTATCCATTGCCTATTATTCAGGCTTGGAGTGTATTTCTCGCTTGACTTGGAGTCCCTAATGGAACCGGTGACTGTATTGTACTGTTCCTTGTGATGAGTGAGTGCCTGAACCGATGACCGGGAGGCAAATGGCAAAACCTGCTAACTGTATCATGTAGTACTGTCTAATAGTTACTACATATAGTTATTCTGTAATTAGCTATTCTGTAATTAGTTATTCTGTAACTAGTTAGTAGTTATATGTAGGTATACCTAGTTATCTACCTACCTTGGTAGTTACTACCTAGGTAGGTACCGCTTGTCAACGTGCTGTACTCCAAACTGCAGCATACAAGACCCCACGAGTCATTCATATCCACGATTTGGTCTCGCAATCAAAGTTTTTCGAGGCAAAAGAATTGGACTGAAAGAGAGAAATGAAACAAGGTTCGCCAGCCTTTCCGGATCCCGGGACGCTGTCGCAAGGTACCACGTAGCCGTCCCAGATGATGACGGGACACGGAACTCTCCAGGTTTTCCTTTGAAGGGATGGATGGATTTTTCTTCTGCTGACTTGTCACTATCACACGTCGTCTCCTTCGCAACGGAACCAGGAAGCCAGACCCGGACACGATGGCAGATGTGATGCCTGATCCGATGCCGTACGGTAAGTCTGTATGGGAACGGTGGTAGGCCACACGTGACCGCCCTCGCATGATCCAGTCACGTTCGGACACGCTCAATCATTTATAACTAAATCATTACCCCGTACCTTGCCTAGATGCCTAATAATTAGGTACGGAGTTTGTATTATTTACTACATATTTCCCATAGTTAGTAACTGCATACGATGCCTGAAGGCAAAGCAGGCGGCTCTCGAGACGGGCTTTTGCGGACCGTCCGCTTCAACGGCCTTGAATAATACGAAGTACCTGGTAGTAGATTAGGTACCTAGAGATACTTGTATTTTATGGGCAATATTTAGTACCGTTTACTATAGTAGTAATCTGTCATTGGTTACTATCTAACTATCTATTCCCTACTAAATCTAATGGTATCATTTAGAGCTGATAGTTTCAATACAAAGTTCACTAGTAGGAGTCATGTATTAATTAATTAAGTAACATGTACACGTAGAGCTCACGCCATCGCCCCTAGCCGAGGTCTTACACGGAGCACTACATACGGAGTACTCGATTTGATAACTCACATACTACATAGTACGGAGTACTTACTGCGTACTTTGTTTTGTGTGCTCCATACTCAAACGCTTGACCAAATCATCCTTGCGTGGCATCTTGGAGTAGACACACTGGCGCACGGCCTGGGATGTTGGAACGCTGCATGAGTCCAGCTCATGTGCGTCATATGATCGTGCAATAAGATTGGCGAGTAATTCTGCTTGGGGCTGCGAAGTTGTTGACGGGGATACGACTCTCGAGTAGATAAGAGAGAGAGGGAGAGAGGGAGAGAGTTACATGGATACTAAGTACCTAGGTATGTAGTGGGTGCCATCTCCGCAGTAATTAATAACCATAACAGGGTCAGTCGGAATTATCCTGGAATGCCTTATCAAATCGTCGTGAGTTGGTACATACTACATGGTACATACCTGCTAGATAACTAACTAACTAACTAACTACCTAGTTAGTAGATACCCAGTACGTCTACCAAGTACAGAATACTCCGTACAGATTCATGATACCTGCATAGTCATTATTCTAACCATAACGCCGCCCACCGGATATGAACGTAAACTTAGAAAGAAAAAAAAGCAACAGTAGAAGCTTAAACGCCCTCCACGACCTTCCCGGCATCCGGATCGAGGTAATCCTCCCGCTCGGCGGCCTCGTACTCGCCCACGAGGTCCATCACCACGGCGCGGGCCTCGTCGAACTCACCCAGCCCATCCGCAAAGGGCGCTTCCTTCTTGTACTGCTCGAGGAAGGCATTGCGCTTGCGCAACCGGTCGTATTGCTGCACGATCCGCTTGAACAGCGTCGCAACAGAGGTGTGGTTCGCGAGCATCAGCCCGCTGACCCGGTGCGTGTTCTGCAGGTACGGTGACTTCTTCGTCAGCGCCACCTGGATGCTGGCAGGGCCCCAGGGGATGAAGGAGGCCAGGCGACGCTCCCGGATTCGCAGCAGAGACTTGTGCACGTCCGTCGGGTCCGCCTCGCCTTGGATGATGTTGAGGATGCTGATGTAGCAGCTCGATTTGCTCGGGTTGATCGACACCATCCGGTTCTTGGGTTGAAGGAGCCGTCGCATCACGTCTAGGACCGTCGTCTTTCGTACCGTCTTTGCTTCTTCGATATTGGTTCCCGTAAAGGGTGTGTACGAGGTGATCAGGAAGTGGCTGCGCGGAGTAGGAATGAGGGAGGCAATGATGCCGACGAGGTCATTGTGCATGTAACCGGGGTAGCGGAGCGTCGTGGTTGAAGCAGACATAACAGTAGATACCTGTATTTTTTTTTTCGAAAGATGAGCATATTAATATAAGAAATATTACCACCTGCAGAACGTACAAGTTGGTTGGTCTGCTGGAAGGAAGGCTCCTGGACATGGAGGCGGTCGGCAACAATCCTAGACAAAGCGCCGTTATCCAAAACAACCTAGATCACCTGTCAGAATGATACGTGCCAGTAATTCTGAAATGATTCTTACCACAGAGTCTGCGTTCTGTGTCAGCCTTCGCATGGCCAGCAAGCTGTTGTAAGGATTCACCACGACGTCTACAGACTGAGTATCCGGAAACACAGAGTATGTTTGGATGAGCTTCTTGGGGAATCGGTCGTTCATCCGCTCCAGAATAAAGCTTCCCAGGCCTGAGCCAGTCCCGCCAGCAATCGAATGTAGTAGCATGAAACCCTGGTAACGAACCATCAGCCAGATATTCCCAGACTTTCAAATCTCAGGCCATATGTCCTCTAGCCTACCTCAAGCGAGTCACTTCCATCCGCCTCTCGGTCAATCATGTCGAAGATCTCCTCCTGAACGACTTCACCCGCTGCATATCCAGCCGCCCAGTTGTTCCCCGCGCCAATCCCCTGCTGTCCGATGAAAAAGTTCTCCGGGTTGTAGATATTTCGGTAAGGGCCGGTTTGGATGCCATTGAGGACCTGGTGCAAAAAGGTTAAATCCTAGTAAAAGACGAATGAATGCCTTCTTTGAGCGCTTGCCGTACCCTAGGCTCTAAATCGAGGAGGATTGCTCGAGGGATGTACCGCGTATCGTCACTCTGTCTCCCGTATTAGCTTCGGCATATCCTGAGAAACATCATTGGTATCTCTTTGATTCTTATACCTGGTAGAAGAACACATCTTTGCGATCACCTCCTTCGGTCGCGAACTCCTCCAGATTCCCGTCCTGGCTGATCCCGTGCTCTAGACAAAGCTGCTGCCAGAACTGCGCCCCGACTGGAACAATAGCAAAGTCAATAAGAAGTACCAATATAGGCTGGCGATAAATAAACCGTTGAATCAAGGCTGGGGATGAGGACTCCGTTCGGTTGTTAGGACGCACCGTTATTGCCGCATTGGCCGGCTTGGATCGTGATGATTTCCCTAGAGAAGAGATTATGTGATCAGTTTACTGACAGAAAATAGGAAACACGAACTCAAGACTTCAACTTGTCAGCCGTGCTGGACTCACCTGGGCATTGTTCCTGGGCCGCAGAAGTGGTCGAGGTGAATTACGCGTAGCGCGTTTCCGCGGGGAAAGTTTCCATGTGGTGAAGAAGGCACCGCTCAGGGATGGCTGGAGGCGGCGATGATGCCCAACACAGTGGTTGAACCCACGAATCTTTTAATTAGAATTTTGGGTTCTTTTTGAACTTTTAAGGAGTCCGAAATGACTATATGACGAGGAGATTTATTCCTGGTGATTGAACCGTGGGTCGGAGCCGCTGTCAAGGTCGCTACGGAATACAAAGACCTACTACATACTAGTAACTAGTAGTTACTACTATAGTGACCTGCTATTCAGAGTACACCAAATGGATACTAATGAACTCGAAGGATCATTTGATGATGCTACTGTGAAAATCGACTTACAAAGGCACTTTGATCACAAAGTAAAAGCAAACGCTCAATGCAAGCGACCTACTTTTAGAAACCAGCCTTGCAAGTAGACACCAGCATACCGACGCCAGCGACAACACCATCCACGATTCTAACACTCTTCCCATATTCGCGTCCGTACACCCGGACGCACCCTGCCCTGACTGCTTCCTCCATACCGGCCATTCCGGCACAGCCCAAGCAGATCGCGCCAACCCGGCTGGGTGTATTCTGGAGTAATCTCTCGGTAGCCTCGACCATCCTCCGCTTCACCTCTTCCGGCGGGGTTTCATGAAGCTCGACAGCGGTCAGACCTGTAGTTTCGACTCCGGCGAAGCGGTTCGTCTGGCCTTGTTCCTCCGGGTTACTCGCCGGTCTGACTAACATATCAGTGACGGCTTTGCTGAGTTCTGCCTTCCAGACACTTCCCGTCGTTACAATACCGAAGGTTTCTGCTCCTTGAATCTTGGTGAATTCCTGGTCATCGAGAAGGTGGAAGCAGCTGATCAGAACAAGAGACGTTGAGATACTAGCTTCGAAGATCCCTGTCACAAATTTCCTTCGAGACGACGATGACGATAAACACTCCGCTTCGATATTCCCGATTTCCTCTTTCAAAATGCCCACCAGTGGATGGGCGGAATAACACGCCACCAGGAAGCCGTCGTACTTGGGAACGAGTGGCAGGACAAAGGGTCTGCAGTGTAACGCGGACTTGACCGAATCCTCGCCTGAATTGATACTGGGCACTCCATCGATGACAAGTCCGTCTGGCAGTGGAACGGCCTCATTTGCAGGCGCCGTGAAATAATCGAATTCGACGTCCGAATAGTTGAGTGCTCCGATGATGGGCTTCAGCGCCTCGGTCATATGAGTCGAGGTATTTGGGTTAATGATCAGGATGGAGATGCCTCGACGTCCCCCTGTCTGTGAATCCATACTGCCGAACTGCAGCAAGGATGAACCTATGCGTTTAAAATCTGAATCTGTGTATCCTATTGAGGGTGGCGTGCAGTGGGCGCGGCGCATCAACCCTGGCTGTCAAAGCGGATAGGCACCTTATGTGGTAGTACGGAGTACGGAGTATAGAGAACGAAGCCAACGGTGAACGCCTTGGTCTGTGCGTATATCGTCCTAGGATGACTCGTATCGATTTATAAAGCAGCCATTGGTATCTGTTCTATCTTATGAGTCATGTCTGAAGTGTTACCTCGTAAACTTGAGGTATGGGAAGAGGGGTCGATAAACAGAAAGCCACATTATTACTACCTCCTGTTTTGAACCGTTATGGAGACATCTCATTCAAAGGATGACTTTTCAATCCATAGAATAAGCTACAGTCTCCCAGTAGACCTCCAATAGGCAGCTAATCGTGTTCCTGACGTGATTTCAGGCAAGTTTTGGGACTTGATTAACAATCACCTCCGGGATTCGCCCCGCTCGATCTCAACTCACCCCACCTATTATTGAGAGACTTGAGAGTCAAGACATCACATAGTCCAGGAACATAGACCTACACGTCATTCTACAGCTCGCCCTGTTTCCCCGAAAAGTCTCAAGATGCCTCTTGTTGTGCAGAACGTAAAGCCGAGGGCCATCCTTGGGTTGATGACCTTTGGACCCGACGTGGCTGCCGGGGCCCGTATCACCTCCCTCGACGAGTTCAACAAGTGCCTCGACTATTTCCAGCAGCAAGGTTACAACGAGGTCGACACTGCTCGGATCTACGTCGGGGGTGCACAGGAGGCTTTCACAGCCCAGGCGGGATGGAAACAGAGGGGTCTCACACTGGCGACCAAATGGTATCCCCAAGCGCCGGGGGACCACAAGCCCAATGTGCTGCGGGAGCGTTTGGAGCTGTCGCTGAAGGAATTGGCTACCGAGCAGGTTGACATCTTCTACCTCCATGCGCCGGACCGGTCGGTACCATTCGCGGAGACCCTGGAGGCCGCCAACGAGCTACACAAGGAGGGGAAGTTTGTGCAACTGGGTCTGAGCAACTATACAGCCTTTGAAGTCGCAGAGATTGTCACCATGTGCAACGAGCGAGGGTGGGTGCGTCCGACGATCTTCCAAGCCATGTACAACGCCATCAGTGAGTTCTCCCGGCCATCCCTCTCCCTTGGAGAGAAGAAAATAAGGAATGGAGTTGCGAACTAACACCCCACCCAGCACGTTCGATTGAAACCGAGCTGGTCCATGCCTGTCGCCGCTATGGTCTCGATATTGTCGTCTATAACCCTCTGGCTGGTGGTGTCTTGGCGGGCAAGTACAAGTCGAAAGATGTCCCTGCTGAGGGCCGATACAGCGACAAAACAAACGCTGGTCCGAGGTACCGAGACCGGTACTTCAAAGATGCCACGTTCGACGCCCTTAGAGTCATAGAGCCCGCTATCGAGAAGCACGGTCTGACCATGGCCGAGACTGCCTTGCGCTGGATCCACCACCACTCCGCACTGAACATGAAAGACGGTGGCCGCGATGGCGTGCTGCTTGGAGTGAGTAGCTACACACAGTTGCAGGAGAACCTGCGAGATATTGAAAAGGGGCCATTGCCGGAGGAGATTGTTGAGGCCTTGGACCAGGCCTGGCTGATTGCAAAGCCCACAACGGCCAACTACTGGCATCTGGATTTGAAATATTCGTATGACACGCAGGAGGCACTCTTCAAGCCCAAGAAGGCTTGATCTTGTACATGATTTGTTAGATGGTAGCTAGTTGGTTAGGTATAACTAAAGAACTAACTAGGTAGTTGATAGAGTACAAATCTCTCAATAAATCATCACCCTACCTAGGAAAGACGTTTAAAACTCATCCATTGCAAATCGAGAGCAGCTCGTTCGATAAAAAATCCCCGAGAGCCGGCGGAAGCGTTCTAGAAGCTGCCTGTCTTCTTTACGAGTTTTGACCGAGAAACCGCCGGCAGTGGAAATGCACCACCAGATTCGCTTGATCAGCGACGTGCCTAATACTATTCTTTTAAAATGCTTCCGAAGAAATGGGACTCTGACTCAGACATCAATCTTCACTTGTAAAATAGCTCTTTGTTATCCAAAACTGACGTCATAACCAGCGACATTAGTATGGCTGAGTAATTTTGCTGTTGCGCCCTCTAAAGAACGGCTCTCGCTGTTTTCCCCAGGATTCAACAGTATCAAAGAGAATTCAAGTAATCTGTGATATGACTAGGCAGTAATGCTTCCTGTATTTCTATCAAGAGACCTTGAGAACAGTCTCTGTGTCCTTGTCCTGGTGTTTGTCCAAATCGCGTCATCGATAGTTGACTGTCAGTAAGATGGACCAGCTCCACCTCAGGCTGATCCGGGTCTCGACCGAAATATATCCTCACTGTTGTGAGTGCCGAATATCCTTAAGGACAAGACTTGACTATAAAAGTTCCGATTCCATACGCTGGTCAGTGATTTGAGCATCAAGGTAAACACAAGACGGAAGTTCACTGTCATCCCCAAAAACTTGAGACTCTGGACACTATTGCTCACTATGGAAGGCGAGCCTGTATCCACACCGTCAAATCCAACGCCCAACGGAGGCCTCTATCTGCAGAGTGCCGCTTCCTCGAAGACGACCTGTGCTACCGATGACAGTCAGCCGGGAGAGGATGCTGCTGGAGATAACGACGATGGCGAGACCTTTGAGATCGAGATTCCGTTGGACATGCAGCGGATAGACAAGCATGACAAGGGTTGGAGACGGTTTGTCCGGAATTTCACTCCATCGTAGGTCTCTCGTTGTAGATTCCTCCCATGTTTCGTTGCTAACAGGGTTGGGCCATCAGCTGGTTCTCTGTGACAACAGGCACGGGAATGATCTCGATGCTCCTTAATACCCTCCCATACAACGGCCGGTGGCTGTACTGGATCTCTGTGGCGGTTTTTGCACTCAACGTCTTTCTTTTCGTCATGGCGTGTCTCCTGACCTTGTTGCGGTTCGCTCTATATCCGGAAACGATCAGGGCCACCATTGCAGATCCGGTGCAGTCAATGGTTCTGGGTGGCTTTCCAATGAGTCTGGCAACGATAATCAATATGTTCTGCTTCGTCTGCGTGCCTGTTTGTGGTGAATGGGCTGTGACCTTCGTCTGGGTTCTGTGGATCATCGATGCCTTGATATCTGTGGCCACCGCGCTCACCCTTCCATTTGTAGTGTGAGTAACAAGCCGATCCTCAACAAGGCCGTTAGGTGGAGAGAGGAAAATTGGCTCATAACAAAACGATCTACAGCATGTCTCGAGGACGCATCGTCCACCTTTCGACCATGACGGCGGTCTGGCTGATGCCAGCCTCGACTTGCCCTCTCGCCGCCGGCAGCGGTTCGATCGTTGCTGGTCTCCTCCCAAACGCCGATCATGTACTTTGGACCCTCATCGCGAGCTACGTCATATGGGGCCTTGGGTTGTCTCTTGCCATGATGATCTACGTTATCTACTTTCAGCGCCTGACATTCCACAAAATCCCACCCAAGGAGGTCATCGTGAGTGTGTTTCTACCTTTGGGATCAGTAGGGTCGGGGAGCTACGCGTAAGTTGATCCCACAAAATGCAGGAACCATCAACCTTCTTTTTTCTCATGGTGTACAATACAGGATTATGAGACTGGGCTCGGTAGCTTTGGATATATTCCCGAAAACAAACTCGCTCCGCAGCGTAGATGCAGCACCAGTCTTCTATGCCATGGGCTTCATGATCGGGCTGTTAATGTGGGCCTTCGGATTGGTCTGGCTGTTCTTTGCGTCTGCATCTATTGCAAGATGTAGGCATTTCCCCTTCAATATCGGTTGGTGGGCATTTACTTTTCCCCTGGGCGCACTTGCTTTGAGTACCTGTCGGCTGGGACGCGAACTGCCTTCGGTGGTCTTTGACGTGCTGGGTACAGTAAGTGGCCGCTGTTTTTCAAATCTCTCATGCGAGGACAGTACGCTAAAGGGGCACTGCAGATTATTTCTTTGGTTGCTGTGGTCTTGTGGATGATATGCTCTCTCGGCACAGTACAGGGCATCATGTCTGGCAAACTATTCGTTGCGCCAACTCTTGTCGAGACGAAGCATAAAGAGGTTGACAAAGATTGCTTTGCATAAGCAAATAGATATGGTCTGTCTGACTGACCTATTGCCTTGCATTTGAGGGCGTTCACAGACCCTCGCATCTGGGCGAGCTGCACATACCATGATCCCTCGTTGTATTTACTGGCTACTAGTTAGCGATTTGAGCAACCGACATAATGATAATTCAATGCCTTGATGTCTCCACGGCAGAAAATTCAAAATTCCTCCTGTCGTACATGCGTGTACAGTCCAGCTTCCAGAAACTTGTTCGTGCAGCGGGCATCATCCGGACTTTATCTACCTCGGAGCTGCCCTGCACTCCTTTCCACCACCCGACAACAACGAGACACTCTTGGATTGTTATCATGATGTATACACGCGTCGATACCTGCTTCTTGAAGTGGAAAAATCCAGAAATGTCACATATCTACTATATTTAATGAAAACCTTGCAGCGTAAGATTCAAAAAGCCGTCAGTCCTCACCCAACCCCCTAACATCCACCTCGCAGCTGCAAAGTAGCATATTATGCATCCTTTGTTTCTCCTGCATTGGTATCCCCACTGACAATGGCTCCGTCCTAATAGGACTACGATAAGCCCTAGAACTCCTTCCCTACCCGCTGTGTAACCATCTCGAAATTGAAATTGCGACAGGGCAGCACAGGACGATTTACAACTGGAATGTGAGTGGAGGCCATATGAAAGGCCCAGATCTATGCCACTCAAACGCATGTCATCATGGGCACAACCCCCTTCCTTCTCCAGTACACCATCAGGATAGAGGTGTACGACGTTCGAACAGCGACCTGGCCTCATCGTTTCTGGACGAGGAGGGGGGGAAGAGGTGGCGTGGCGTCTACTACCCCAAGAAGCAGCTTGGACATGGGGAGCTATGTACTAATACAGTGTCACCATATCTTGGGGCAAGTCTAGTTCCATGGGAAAGCTGTGTTTGACCGAGAGAGTACGCGCTATCGACTATGAGGCTTTTTGGAGGTCCCGAGGGCGCCGGTATCAAGGGATTACACCTCACATTCCCGCCACGCAAAATGACGCGCCGAAGCGGGAGATGCAAGACCAATGGGTAAGATTTTGTCTCAAAGTTTATGCTTGTTCAACCTGGCGTTTTTTATACACGAAGGCTCAATATGGTGGGGGGAGGAGAGGTGGAAAAGGCCATTGTGGTCGGTCACCAGTAGATATCGCCGCCGGTCCTACATATGGCGACACACCCTGATGCTTGTCAAACCTAACTCTCTCTATAAAGAAAGCGTCAGCAAGCCTCTTTTAGGATGGGCCTCGTTAAAAAAGCCTTTGGGCACTCTCACCTTACCAATTCGAGCATCATGTCTCAGATTATAGCCTCGTCATCAAGAAGACGAGACGATCAATCTAGTCAGGTTGACTGTTCTTCCATTCAGGAAGCTGATGACGAAAAGGCTCTGAAATCCGATGTGCATGTCTCGATATGCAAAGAGATCCCCGAACTTGGTGATCCGGCCGAGGAGCAGCGGTTTTGGTTCCAACGGTCCAAGAACTACAACCCCAATGCCATAGCGACTCAACCTTCCGTCTTTGACGATCCAGATCTAGCGGAAGAGTACAAACCACATCCCAGCTGGGAAAATCTTCATCGCTTCGACCCGTCTGCTAGGTGGACATGGGCTGAGGAATATGTATGTCGAGATCCTAGCATGTCCATTTGTGAATCTTCGGCGGAATCAAGACGCTAAGATCTGCCAGAAAGTCGTTAGGAAGATTGACATGCGCATCTTGGGATTCGCCATCTTGCTGCTCATTGCCATGGAGTTCGACCGATCTAATATCCGTGGGTGTTTCGTTTCATCTGTACATGGTGATTGGTTTCCATTGCTGATGATTTCTCATTGAATGACAGAACAAGCAAATGCCGATAACTTCTTGGCTGAACTACATCTGACAAGAGATGGTCTGTACCTATAAACACTATCAAGCTCTATCTTCAAACGCTAATCCAATCGCACTTAGACTACAATCTGGGGAACACGATCTTCAAACTATGTTATCTCTCCGCTGATCTACCGTCACAGCTGTTCTGCAAGTGGCTAGGCGTCGACAGGTTCCTCCCGATGCAAATGACAGCCTGGGCAATTGTTGCATCATGCCAATTCTGGCTATCTGGCAGGACGTCGTTTCTCGCGTGTCGTGCCCTTCTCGGCATTTTTCAGGGAGGATTTACACCAGCGGTCAGCCATTAACAGGCCTTTCAATGATAGGTGGTGAAGCATATCCGTACTGATTCTGAGCAGATTATCCTATATTTCTCATACTTCTACAAACACCATGAGCTTTCAATACGATTGGGCCTCTGGTACTCGGCTATCTCAGTTGCAGATATCATTGCGGGCATTCTAGCCTTTGGGATTTTTCACCTGAATGATATGGTGCCGGGTATCAGCGGTTGGCGTTGGCTCTTCCTTTGCGAGGTACCTTTGACCTATGCTTTGGCTCTTATTTATGCATCTCTAAAGTAGTTAACAGGGCATTTTTACTTTATTGATCGGCCTCGTGGCTTTCATCCTTATACCGCCCTCGCCTACGCAGACGGCCAATTGGGCAAGAGGCAAGAAAGGCTGGTTCACAGAGCGGTAGGGTCCCAGACCGACCCCTATTGGAAAAATAAAAGCGAAGAGATAGCCTGACTTATGATATTTTCCAGAGAGGAGATTATCATGGTCAACCGTGTGATTCGGGAGGATCCGAGCAAGGGGACCATGCATAACCGAGAAGCGATAACGTTCAGCCTGCTACGAAAGAGTCTGTTTGATTTCGACCTCTGGCCGTTGTACATCATAGGCCTTGTATTCCAGATGCCTTATTGTCAGTAAACTTACAGGCAATCTTTTCTTCTCCGACGCTAACTGGTTAAACAGGGACGCTTTCCCCTTATTTCACATTGCTTATGAAGGACTTTGGATTTTCTACGTACCAAGTTATCTTACTTGCAATGCCATACAGTGTAAGTGAAGCAGGGAAGCCATATCAGTCCATCTTTCAAGACAAAAGAAAAGAAAGAAAACTAACCCCTGTCCAGGGCATCAACCTGGTTACAAGGCTGGGTATTACTTATGCATCTGAGATCTTCAACTCACTGGCCGTGATGTGCATCTTCGCCCAATTATGGACGCTGCCATTTCTCATATATATGAATGTGGTGGACTTTAGCAATGTCAATAAATGGGTCGCTTGGACGGTGCTCACCCTTGTACTCGGCTTCCCACAAAGTATGCCTGCCCTTGCTATTACATTCAACGCCCAATGGGTCACAGACTGACTCTCCCCTCGCAGCGCACCCAATCCATGCCGGTTGGACTTCTCGAAACTCCAACAGTGTTCGGTCCAGAGCAGTTGCGGCCGCTTTGTACAATATGTTTGTCCAGGGGGGTGGAATGATTGGTTCAAATGTATACCAAGATTGTACGTCTTCTCTGGGCTCAGGCTTTCATTACACTCCCCCATGCCTCCTTGCTGCCTTCATACTAATACTCACCCTAATAACCAGCGGATGCGCCACGCTACGTTGTTGGAAACCGAGTACTTCTCATTATCATCTGCGTTAATATCCTTGTCTACTCCTTGACCAAGTTGTACTATATTCTACGGAATCGTCACCGAGACAGAAAGTGGTTCACCATGACGGAGGACCAGAGAATGGAGTATGTTGCAACGACCACGACGGAGGGTAACAAACGGCTCGATTTCCGATTCTCGCATTAGGTGGTCTTCATCTGACTCTTTAAAACTACTACCTACGTTTACGCAACAACTGGTTCATAAAAACGACTAACGACAGATTGACACGCAAGGGACTAAGATTAGCTATGGTATGTTAGGATTATATACAAGTTTTCCAAATGCAACTCGAGATATTTTCATCTTACAGTGCCTCTCAACGTAAATATCAAAAAGAGAGAATAGTACTAGACTTGGTATACTTGCCCATCCAACCATCCAAAGCCTTTATGTAAGCATGGCACTAGTGGTATACACTAACCCAACCCGGCAATGCGGCATGCTGAGACACTGTCACGTGTCCTTATCCGTGTTCGGCTTATCGCATCGGGGGAATCAACCCTGAGCAGCAACGTTTCTTCACACCGTCCAGTGGTTTTCCGCAGTCACTGTTCAGGGTGCGTTCTGATTCTCTATCGATTTCCTATATTCTCTCTCTGCTTTGGTTTCAGACTCCCTACGTGCCGAAGAGACCGCTTGCTCCTTGTCAGGGCTGGGTACGCGTCGTCCCTGAGCGTGACCGCAAGTACCGTCGTCAGCTCATCCAGGACTTGATGTGCCCAGAGACCTGGTGTATAATGTTCGCCTGGAGAGTTGTATCGCATCACTTGCTTTTTGGCTTTTAACATAGAATTATCTCCCTTCCTCTCTATCTTGACAGATGAGGGCCGAAACCCCGAGTAATCTGGTCTAGAACTTCTTATCTTGCAGCGATACCACGTCACACCCTCCCTTACCCGACGCTGTTATCTCCCATACTCATTCACTCGTTCCTCGCGGGCCGTTATTCGAGCCATTATAACTCGGACCAGCAAACCCGCCTGTCTGCCTACACCGTTTAGAACCTTTGTATCACCCTTCGTTCCGCCAAGGTGGCCTCCAATACGTCGCATCCTCGCCATTCGATAGAGAGCTGGGATCGAGAGCCCAGCCTAGATGTCCAGGAAGACGGTACCGAAATGTCAAGAATACAACCACGTTTCCACCGATCACCAGAAGGGCAGATGGAAGAACCCCTGTTGAGAGACGACAGCGATCGACATGGTCGCCTGTCCGGTAGGCGGGATTCGATAGGGAATACCGAAGCTCGGCCCATGCTACACCATTCCACACGACCCACGATCAGGAGTAGAAGCCCAGAATACACGGCCGATAATGCGACACGCCAGAAATATATCATTGCATCAGGGTTCTTGCTGCTGAGCTTGGTGAGCTTTGTCGTCCAGACAGAGACCGCAGTCTATATCCAGCATGAGTTACATTGGGATAAACCGTACTGCATGTTGTGAGTTCTGTCTTCGCGCCTGCTTGTTATGAGAGATGTCTCCTAATGAATTTCTACTTTGGTTTAGGTATTTTACTCACGGGTCATGGGCCCTGCTCTGGCCTTTCCAACTTCTCATCTTGCGAATTCAGAAACGAAAACTTTCTTGGGACGCCTTCTGGCGGCGCCATGTTTATCTCCTCAGGTCCACGGCGCAGATGGTCCAAACCCAAGACCTGCACTTGGCCTCTCGCGGTGGGCACCACCGATCGCCCGTTCCGTATATGCTCAAGATGACTGCGTTTGTCACCACTGCCCTGACAATCGCTGGCAGCTCGTGGTATGTGGCCGTGAACATGACAACACCCAGCGACTTAACTGCGATCTATAACTGTTCAGCCTTCTTTGCATACGCTTTCTCTATCCCTCTGTTGAATGATAAACTGCGCTTTGACAAGGTATTTTCAGTCGTCGTTGCAATCATCGGCGTTCTTATCGTGGCGTACGGCGATAAAGAAGATAGTTCGGCGGATGGCGGCGCAAGCGGCGGCGGCAAAGTCAAGCATGAGGCCCAGAATAGGCTCATGGGTAATATCCTCGTTGGCATCGGAAGTGTCTTGTACGGTCTGTACGAGGTGTTGTACAAACGACTCGCCTGTCCTCCCGAGGGCACGAGTCCAGGTCGGAGTATGATCTTTGCGAACACCTTCGGCAGCCTGGTCGGGTGTTTCACGCTACTCGTGCTTTGGATCCCCTTGCCTATCCTGCACTTTCTCGGGATAGAAACTTTCCGCTGGCCTACGGGTGAAGCTGCACGGATGTTAATGATCTCCGTCCTCGCAAATGCTAGTACGTCACCCTCTTTTCTTCTTCATCAACCCCTTTTGATTCCTTTTTTCCCTATTGACAAAGACTGACACCTACCTCCAGCATTTTCCGGCTCCTTCCTAGTCCTCATCTCTCTGACTTCGCCCGTCCTCTCATCCGTGGCTGCCTTGCTCACCATCTTCATCGTCGCCATCGTGGACTGGATGCGCACCGGCCAGCCCCTGTCTAGCGCAGCCATCATCGGCGGCATCTTAATTATTGTTGCCTTCTTCCTGCTGAGCTGGAGCACTTATCGGGAGATGAGCGAGGAACAAAAGAAGCACCACGCCCAGGATGAAACAGAGTCGGAAATGGACGACTAGTCAGTTAGACTGCTCTACTCTCTCCGATATTTTTCCTCTTTTCTTCTCTTTTTTTTTTTCTTCTTGGATAACCTTTTTATTCTCTTCCTTTTACCTCGTGCTATATTTACTCGGATAGATTTCTTTTTATAACTTGTTCTAGGCAAGTTCGGTTGGTGGTTATCTTGCTGTTTCGACTAGAATAGTATACCCGATGGGATAGTCTGAATTCTACACACAAGATGCATTTGCATTCAATAAGAACAGGATCGCTTCTATACTAGCTAGCTACACAGATAAGGTAATTTCGAGCGCAGGCAAAAAGCATGAGGATCTTTCATATGGCCTTTCCCCCTTGCAAGTTCAACTGAACGATCCACCTATTACGATGGTACTCCGTACATTGATTGACTTGGGTGGGGGGGAGCTCAAGAAAAACAACACTCATGCAAGGGAAAAGAGATCTCCCACTTATCTGGGACCCAGCTTGTCCAAGGCACGAGCACCCTGTTCGGCCCATTCTTGCTTGCTCACCCACATGTCTTCCTTGTCGGCAATCTGATTGAAAGAAGAGAAAAAGAAAATCAGTATGACTATACGGTATCGGGGATATTGAGTTAAATTGATAAGCTTACCAGGTTGGCCAGAACGGCACCGCCCAGGAACACCATGTGCCTTCGTCGGGGAGGGTCCTCGATGCGGACCTTGAATTTCTGCAAGGATGTCAGTAGGGGGGATCGAAAGGGTATATGTATTTTTTCTGGAATAGAACTAAAGCATACGTTAAGTCTCTCCGGGTTGCCGCCCAGAACTCGTGTAAGCCACAACTGCTTCAACTCCTTCTCCAGTCGCGAAGGCAGACCAGGATACATGCTGCTGCCGCCACTGAGCACAATAGCCTTGTACAAACTGGAACGCACGTCGACGTTTGTGCCCTGAATGGTGTTGAAGAGCATTTCGGCCATGCCGGGCTGGTCAACATCGACCAGGTGCGGCTGGAACAGACACTCGGGCGCTTCGAAGCGTTCGCTGCCCACCCGGATGACTCGGCCGTCAGGGAGCGTGTATGATTCCACAAGCACGGTGGTATCCTCTGACAGTTTCTGGTCCAGCTCCAGATCGTACGAGACATAACACAGTTTCTCCTTGATCTGGCGCACTGTTTCAAAGTCGGCGGTCCGGTTCAAGGCATAGCCCCGGCGGAGGAGCAGGGCGATCAGGTTCCGAGTCACGTCGCGACCGGCAACATCCAACCGTTTGATGTGGTGGTCCAGCACCGTGGATTCGTACACGGGAATAATGTGCGTGACGCCGTCACCGGAATCTACCACCACGCCGCTGCTGAGACCTTGGGCATACAGGGCCAGCACGGCCTGGATTGCCACGTACACGCCGCCGAAGTTGTATCCTTCCAGCATCACCTCGGCCATCTTTTCCCGGTTCTTGAGAGGGTTCATGGGCGGCTCCGTCAGGAGAATCTTCCGGCCGGTAGGGTCGATCTTCATCTTGTCGTAAAAGGTGTAGTTCCATAGGTGCTGCATATCATCCCACTTCTTCACAATACCATTTTCCATCTAAGCCGCGCCCCGTCCGGGGGCGAGTTCCGTTAACTAAAACTATATCTCCCCATGTCTGCCTTGCGACAGTCCTGCAGACGGGTAACGATCCGGGGAGGGGGAGGAGGGGGGAGGGTATCCAGGTTCAGGTTTTGCCAGAAAAGAAGAAGAAGAAAAACGTACAGGATAGCTGATCTGAAGCATCGATCTAGCTGCCGCCGCTTCATCTCCGCACATGATATCCTTGACGACAATATCGCCGGCCTGTTCTTCGGTACGTAATATAGGCCGCCCCACTATGGAGGGGAATTGGTGCTCTGGGAAGTTCTAAAGGGGGATAAGGGATCAGTTCGTCGGTCTCTCGTTGATGGATGCCTGGAGCACTCACCTGCGCAGCATATCCAACCTTGAGGAATCCAGTTCCCCCGTCGAGCACTGGGGAGGGTAGTTAGTTGCCTGGGCGGGAATTCGAAAACGCGGCGAAGAGGCCAATTGAGGACTCACCAATGGGCACATCCGCCATGGCTGTTGTCTAGTTGTCGCAGATTGCAAGACCAAAGAATATACAGGGATAGAACAACACAAAAGAAGAAAAGAGGGCGGCGTTGGGTGGAATGAGGCTGAGTAGTGGGTGTATACACGAGGTGCTTTTCCCCAGGTGTCGTCGGTCCACGTTGGCGGTGACGGACAGCAATGACGAACTAGCGCTTGCCCCCCCAAACAACGTCCGTCTGTCTCACTCTCGACCATCAACATAAATTCATTCTGTCTGGACTCTACAGTCTCTCCATTATTAACTATCTTCTCGACGGAGTGTTCAAGGGCTCGCTCGAAGCTCACTGCGGTACAGCAGGAATATCAAGATTCTAGTGTCTGTGTCTGAAGACCTGAGCTGACTGTAGTAGAAACACTGTCACATACTACTGTACCATATATAATGCATCTGAGTATGGAAGGAATATCTAGCAGTAGGTCGATATACGCTGTTATTCTGCGGCAGATATGAGAATCGCCAAAGGAGTAATATTTCCAGCATCCTTTTTCTCATGAGCAGACAAAAAAAGAAATAGTAGGACAGTACCGAACAGTTTGCGCATTTACAATAGTTCCCAATATTCGGTTGGGACCAGAGCCAGAATATAATATAGAAATGCAATCGTCATCGTCTCCAAAGAGAGAGAGAGAGAGAGAGATCAGAGGGTAAAAAAAGGAGCAAGGCATGCGTGAAAGACTTGAGTCCCCCCCTTCCCGCGCTAAATCATAAGGATTTGAAACCAAAAGAAGTAGATCGGAGCCAAAAAAAAATATATAATCAAGTTGAATAGAAGAAAAAAATCCTAACGCCTGCTTCATACAAAGAACCAACGATGAATAGCTCCCGCCTTATTCGTATACGAGGGGAGGGACTGCTACTACCGAAATGGAGGATAGGGATGTGGAGAGTTGCAAGTGACGTCTGGCTTGACTCGGACGAGGTCGACCAGACTTGGAAACGCCTCGGCGAAGCTCGGACCGACCGACCAGTTGGCAAGATTGCGGAGGTGTCGTTCGAAGATGGGGTTGATCAGCAATTCGCCGGACTCGCTGGTGGACAGCAGACAGTCGGCGGCTTCGTATGGCCAGTTGATCGACAGGTCCCGGGTGAAGGGAACGGACCAGCTGTCCAAGGGGTAATCCTGATAGGAGATGATCACCCGCTCGCGGAGTCGCGGCCAGGGGAGGTAGTCCATCCAGGCGGGATGCGGGGTGAGGAGCTGGCAGGGCCGCGGAGCAAGCCATTCCGGGAGACGGTCGTAATTCTCCTGCGTTGGGTAGACCTGCCACCGCATGAGGAGAAACATGGTGTAGAGGACAGCCACCTGTTCGGGGAGGGTGGAAATCTCCGGAAACACGCGGAGGAGGTCCGTGAAGACTTTTGATAGAGGGTGAGAGGTGGCGCTTTTCTCCGGATTGAGCAGGGATAGGACGCTCGGATACGGGGGCCCAGCGAGTTTTTGCTTGGAGACCCCCTGGGCGGCTTCCTGCTGTCGGGCCTGCAAAAAGTCGCGGAGAACGGCATCGATGGCACAGGTCGGCTCGATGTTGCGTATTGGAGCGATGATGGATGGAACCGGGGAGTCAGTGGACGAGCCATTGACCGGCTGGGTATAGAGTGGAGTCAAGTTATTATTGTTCAGCTGGGAGGAAGTGGAAGAGGAGGAGGATCGGGCGATGTCTGATATACGGCGGATGCTGTCGATCCGGTGGACCTGCTGGGAACTGTCCAACAGGAAATTGAAGCCCAAGCGGTCCTCGGAGCAGCTGAAATCTAGCCCATGCGCCAAGTTCTGCCGTTGCTGATCCAAAGCCAGTCGGATGGTCGACGAGGGGTCTGCACTGGTCGCGCTACTCCGACGGCTGTCAGGCAGAGGGGGCGGGGGATGCGTGGGCGACGGGGTTTCGACACTGGGGATCGACTCGGGATACGAGCGTTCGCCCGTGGCCGAGCGATGTGTATGAGGCGTGAAGTTGTGGATGTCTGGTAAAGGGGATAGGTTAGTTGGAGGAGGAGGAGGAGGAGGAGGAGGTTGAGACACTGGCTTCGACTGGAAGCCGGGGGCAGCCAGATCTATTAAAGATTCGATCAGCATGTGCAAAACCCTCATCAATCAATCAATCCATTTCCATCACCATATTTTTTTTTCCGGCTTACATGAAATCTCGTGCCTCCCCAGCAACGGCTGCACGATATCCATAATATTCTTCAGCCCCCGTCTCATATCCTGGTTCTCGGCCACGAGGTGCTCATTCTGCCTCAATGCGGTCTGCAGGTCGAGGAATGGTTTCCGGGAGGACAGTTCGCGAACCTGCTTCTCCAGCGAATCGATATGGGCCTTGGTGCGTTCCCGGATCGCCCGCTGCGCCTGGCGGTCGTTGGCTCGCTTCTTGGCCAATTGCTCCGGCGTCAGGTTCGCAACCCCTCGCGCGGACGTGCTGTGCAGCTTGCGTTTCCGCCCAGCGGCCGCCGAGAAGTCCCCCTCGCCGCCCGTGGGGGTCTCCGCGCCCGACGCAGGCTGCGCCGTCGACAGCGGCGAGGGCTCTCGCTTCGGCAGAGGCGCCGTCGAGTCGAGCTGGGCCAACTCTGTGTGGTGCGACGACGGGTCGAGGTCGAGGTCGAGCGACGGCGGTGCACTGTCGACCGGTGCGCGGCTTGCCATGGCCTCACACGCGGGCGCTACTGGGAATGCACATACACCATCCAGAAGGGCTGGGGCGGCTCTCGTCGCTGCTGCGGTCGCTCAGGAGTCAATAGGGAAGCCAGTGGAGGGGGGGTTTCGCTGGTGGTGAGAAGGGGGGGGGGGTTTGTTGCTGGCGTTGTTCGGGGGCCGTGTCGGCTGGGTGGTGTCGCGTCCAGAGGTCTGTGTGTGGAGCTGCTGGTGGTGGGAAATACATGATTGTCGTAGAGTGACCTGGCGATGGGTGAGCAGCCCTGGCAACTGATACCAGGACTACCTGGTGCACACCCATGAATCCAGCCAATCCCAGTCTCAAGACTGGCTTCGGAAAATTTCTCCAGATTGGACCCCTTGCTCCGAAATTCATGTTCTTTCTTGCGCGGTATCAAATCGTATTGATCGTCGCGGTTGGTGCCCAAGGCATCAATCCCGCAGAACAGGCCTTACGGTATCTACAGCGTTATATAACTATTACATTACCTTGGAAAAAAAAAAAAAAAAAAAGAGGAGAGGAAAAAACTGGGTTTCTAGGGATGGGAGATCTCTCAGGTATCTAAAGAAATCATGCTTTCGTCTCGATCAGGTATTGTGTAGATATGAGTACAGCCAACTGAAGAAATTCATGATAGAAGGAGAAAATATCCGTCCAGATGCAGAGAAAACAAAATCACAATGTGTCGAGTAAATGGCAGTATCTACAAATGGTGGAAGTCCTGCTGGTGTTTTTTCGAGCAAAAACACACCACCTCGAGTATGAAAAGTACTATTAGTATGTACCAAACCAATCAATGATAAGACATAAAGAGAGGACAGCTCGCTGCTCTGGGTTATTTAATCATGTGGCCCATTTTGGCAATCTGTTTGGTATATTAGTATGGGCAGTGTCAGGCGAAATTTAGACAAGACACAAGAGCAGCCAGACGAACCTTTGTCCTGAGATAACCTTCGACTTCGGTGCTGTTGATTCCCTTCTTGCCTCCAGTTCGCCAGGCTAGAGGAACCATCGACACTCGGTCCTTGACAACGACCTCCCGGTTGGCGCCCTCAACGGCCCGGATCTTGTCCGGGTTATTTGTGAGCAGCCGGATGCCCTCGGGATTGGCATCGACCCCCAGTCCCAAATCCACCAAGATGGCCGTAGCCAGGCCGTAACTGCGAGCATCTGCCGGATGTCGCAGGAGCAGGTTCGCCTCAACGGTGTCGGAGCCCAGATCTTGCAGGTTGTAGGCCTTCAGCTTCTCACCAAGACCAATCCCTCGTCCTTCCTGCCGGAGGTATACGATGACCCCGCCTGGGGAATTCGCAGCCAGGGTCTCTGCATCTGCGTGGGCAAGGTTTTCTGGTAAAGCCTCCTCCGGTAGAGACATCAGTCTTGCAGCCTCGTCGAGCTGCTCGCCACAATCACATCGCGCAGACCAGGCCGTCTCACCGGTATAGCACTCGGAGTGGATTCTCACCAGCGGCGCCTGTGCGAATTGCGTCGGATGCGCAGATGCCGTTGTTCCTTTCTCTCCCGTTGTCTGGCTACTAGCAGCAGCAGCAGCAGCAGCAGCTTCGGCCTTCTCGTCATACCAACTGCTAATCCTCCCCGGGTGGAGTTTTCCCACGTATGCCCCGCGAATCATGCGATCCAGCTCTGTCTCCCCCGGTTTCACGCGATCTAGACTTCGGCTACGAATGGTATTCCCAAACACAATAGCCAGGTGTTCCTTGTTGTCGATATCGTTGTGGTAGAGATGGAGGAACATCTCCGTGCCGGACGTGGTGGGAATCCGTGCGCGAACAATGCATTCCACACTCGGCAGCTGGTCCAGGAGTTTGGGCGCCTTTGTTGTCGTCGCAACCCTGTGTCGCAGGCCAGACAATTGCGTCTGGTGCAGGACACTTGCCGGGTTCATGGTGCCCCCTGGTGTGCTTGGAGGGGTGAAGGCGGGGGAGAGGAAAGAGCCTGGCAACGCGGGGGTCGCTGTTCCTCTCTCATTTTCTGTGCTGCTCTCCTGACCCGATTCATAGTGTGTTTCCTCCGAGCTTTCGGCTGGATTCGATCTCGGTGCGGCGGTCGAATTGAGCGAGATCTCCCCCTCAACCTCGCCGTCAGGAGGGGACTGCGGCGAAAAGTATGGGGAGGCGTGGGACGGTAAGTCCGGCATCGCGAGGGAGGTAGAGGGGGGGAAGTACAGGGCAGGCAGTTCGGTATTCTAAATACTTCACAGTCCGGGTTCCCACGCTCAATCAAAGAAACAATATCATGGGCAGCTGCAAAGATTCGCTCCTAGTCGTTACTCCTCTCCATGACACTCTTTCGATATCCTCTTGTGCGGGGGCTGCCGGGCCGGTAATGCTGAGTCATCCCGATTTCACATGGAACAGAATTAGTCAGTGCTGACACCATCTATCCGAGGCGTTCGGCCGAGTTCTATTACTTGATTCGAATCCTTATAGGTAAAGATGAACAAATTCATTAGGCAGCCCCCCATGTAAAGCTAAACCAGACAGCCTAATGTATCGCCTGACTCCGGTGACATGACAAATTGGTAACTTCATGCAAAAAAGTATAGAAAAAAAGGGTATCATGATGCTGGGGAGTGGGTGTGGCTGCAGTCCAATCCTGCAGGTCCCGTAGATGGTACTATCTCGCGCCAGCTCTTGGTATTTCGTAGGCCAGATCCGTGGTCGAATCATTTCATTTGGAGGGAATATCCAAGACGAAGCGTCGGTCAACTTCCATCTCTTTATCGTCCTCTTCGCCTTCGAATTTCAGTCGATAGACATCCTTCTTGGTGCCCATCACCTCGGCGCGGTAAAAAGTGGTTGTGTCTGGATACCGGGCAAGAACCTGTTTCCCAACGACGAATGAAGGCAGCGTGGACCCGGCCTTCGGGATGGGTATGAGAGAGGCTGCTGTCGTCCGGAATACGGTGTCACCATTCTCATTTGGCTCGGGGTCTTGAACGTCGTATCTTCGAGAGCCATGATTAATCTCTGTGTGACGTATTTTGTTTGTTTTTTTTTTAAGGGGGGGCGCTGCCTTACCGTTTCTTGTGACCATCCCCGGAGATTGCCTTGATGATACATTGGATTCCCTCGCCTTCGACGCCCTGTTTGTTTTTGTTGTGTTTGAAGACCACTTCTGCCCCAACAACCAGGTGTCCGTTGCGCTCGGCAAGGGTGCCTTTGGTCAGTTCAGGACTGTCTTCGATCTTGACGGCAACGGTATCCCGGGTGTCTCTCTCGCGCGCCTGACTCGACACGCTGGAGCTGCGCTGAACGCTGCCTTTTACTCGGTTCAGCTTGTCTGACACGGGTGGAGCCGAGGGTCCAGGAGAGTCGGTTGCTGACCCGTCCAATTCGTTCCTCTTTTTTCGCGATTTGGGAAGCGAGGCTGACCGGTTAAGCGGCGCTTCTGCTTCGGATGCCTGACGCAGTGCCGTCAGAAGCCCCAGATTTTTGATTACATCACTTGGCTCTTCTTGTAGAATAGCTCGCTCTTCCTCGCAGAGTTTAAGCATCTGGCGAAACAAGCCATCGAGCTGATTATGCTCACTTAGAGTTGGTCCTGTAAAGTTGAGCTTGCTGTTAGTCTTGTATCCGGGAGATATAAGCTTTAGAAAAAGACTAGCTGATATCGTGTAGCATATAGAGAGCAGTTTGGAAGAAGAAAATCTGTCAGGACTGGAACATGAATATCTTGTAGAGGTGTTTCTTCCCCCCATCCTGACTGGACCGGTACAGTAGGTCAAAATCATCAATAGCAAATCAACACGGCATTGTATCTCCAACCAAATTCAATGCGGATGTGTTTTAAAGAGCCTTGTGCGCTAAAATGGGAAAAGAACTCTGGGCTCCGCAATGGATATCTGAACGCAGGCAAAGGTACTGAGTACTTACTATTGCGCTCTCGGGCAATTTTCTCATTTAACGCCATGATTTGTTCACTGAGAGCCCTTTGCTTGTCATTCTTCTCCTTGGCTTTGCGTAGATCTTGGAGGATCTTATTCCACATGTCGGTCTCCTCATTAGCGGCCAGTCCATTGTCCCGGGGCACCGGAGGCCCTCTAGGGCGATTTCGAGACATGTCGTCTAGCTGTTTCGAAGATTTAATTCTTCCTTTTCTCCTAAACAACCTTTTATAGACTCAATATCGACCTTGATCTTAATATCTGCTGAACTCTTCTTGTCCCTGTTGAGACACAGGGCCTCCGACTCGAACGCGAGACCGAGCGTACGACCGGTTCCCGCCTTTGGCGATGCGGGAAAAAGCCTCAATGTACTGACCCTTCGTTACCTACCACACAGATGGCTGCCAGAAATGGCCTTTGGCTGCGCCTCTAGCCCCTGGTATAGAGATGGACGTCTAGGGACAGCATCGCGGAGCCGTCAAGCGCGCCGGATGAGGAACCGGTCTTGGCAGTACCGGAAACAGCGCGGCTGGGCGATAAGCGCACGGCAGAGATAATATGCTTACTAATCTTGACCATGCCAACAAGAGCCGTTACCTAATAGAACGGTCACGGGATACTTCCAAATGAGGGGAGACGCTGGACAGAAAAGGAAGGAAGCGGGGCGCTGCTGCACCTGGGCAGTTCCAGAGCCAGGAACGGTGAGCGAATGTGTCGTTGCTGAAAACAAATCATACCTCATTCAAGCATCCAGCCAGGAAGACGGACAGGAGCCTTCCTCTGACTCTCCCAAGAGTTGTTTCTTGTTGACTTTACCACTATCTACTCTTAATTACACCCTGTCCTTCGCGGCGGGCTCTCCACTTTAGATCGCTCCTCTAATACTTTACCTTGAATCACTCAACATGCAGGTTCCATTGTTTCGACTGCAGTGTGGTAAGCTGCTGAAGAAGGGATATATTTGCATTGCACAGCTAACTGTTCCCAAGGTGTTAACAGCTATGACTGGGGTATGATACTGTCCAGGCTCTACTGTCTCGTTGCCCCGCACTGAACATCGTCATAGGCAAGATTGGCCACGAGTCGACCGCTGCGAAATACGCAGCCACCACTGCTGTACCGAACTTCTCGATCGAGGCAGAAAAGCCATACGCTGAAGTAGGTGGATGGCGGGCTTCTGTGCGAAAAGAATTGCTAGCTAAGAGTACTCTAGCTATGGATGGGAACACATCCTTCACTTCCTTCCAAGGACCTCGAAACCCAGAGGACGTTGCTGGATCTCGTACAAGATAATCTGGCCTTGATGTCGACGGAGATCAGCCATCGGTACGGCGGCAAGCTTCCTTTTCTGTTCAAGGTGCTTTCAATCCGGAAGGCACTCAGTATTCAAGCGCATCCGAACAAGAAGCTTGCAGAACAGCTGCATGCTCGTGATCCCAGAAACTACCCTGGTAAGCCATATCGCCGTCTCTTAAACACAGATTGGAGAGCTAGTTTTTGCTGATGATGGCGGTTGTATAGATGATAATCACAAGCCCGAGATGACGATCGCCATCACGCCCTTTGAAGGACTCTGTGGTTTCCGTCCGCTGGCCGAGATCACTCATTTCCTCCAGACTGTTAAGCCTCTCCGCGCCCTTGTTGGTGACCAGGCTGCCAGCGAATTCGAGCAGACCGTGAAGGGGTCAGAGGAGGCGGAGGATGAAAGCACGGTCCAAAAGAACAAGGAGGCACTCCGCAAACTCTTCACATCGTTGATGGAGTCTTCTCCAGAAGATATTGAGGCGGCTAGCAAGGACCTGATCGCAGCGGCGGAGTCCTCCCCAGCAAGCTTTGCTGTCTCGAGCAGCAGTCCTGACAAAACCCCCAGCAATCCAGAAGAACTCGCTGCAATTACCGTGCGACTCAATGGACAGTTCCCTAACGATATCGGTCTCTTCGTCTTCTTCTTCCTGAACTTCGTCACGCTGGAGCCGGGTGAGGCTATGTTCCTCAAGGCCGATGACATCCACGCCTACATCTCTGGCGACATCATCGAGTGCATGGCCGCCTCTGACAACGTCGTCCGGGCTGGGTTCACTCCCAAGTTCAAGGACGTGAACACTCTCACCAGTATGTTGACGTACTCTTATGCTCCAATCGAGGAGCAAAAGCTGGCGCCCACAGACTATCCGTACGTGCTCCTAAATGCACGTGCATACTCCAGCGCATCGTCCTCCGTCCTCTACGACCCGCCAATCGAGGAATTCAGCGTGGTGAAGACAGACCTGAACCGGTCAGGTGCCAAGGCCACGTTTGATGGCATCCCTGGCCCCAGTATTTTCATTTGCACCGGTGGCGAGGGAAAGATTACGGTTGCAGACAAGACTGAAGTGGTCAAGGAGGGATACGTCTTCTTCGTGGGCGCCACCGCAGAGTGTATTGTCGAAAGCACTAGCGATAACAGTGTCTTTACGACCTATAAGGCGTTTTGCGAACTTACAGGAACAGAAGACCTTGCGAATGGACAATAGCCTCGGTACGAGAAGTCGAAGTGGAATCAAGACATAATTTTAACTGGGTTATATGGCTTAAGCTCTAAATAATCAATTTATCTTATTCTCTTCAGCCTGGCTTTAGATGTATCACACTAGTAAGTATTAGAAGGCTATTCCTATCACCTATCAGTATAAACCTTGAGTAGAAAGTCAATGCTTGTCTGTGGTTTGAATTGCACTACGGACGGTAAATGATTAACACAACAATAGGGGTCTCATGATGTTCATATTAACGACTATCTCTGCTAGATCTCATATCAAGCCACCTTGGGAGCGTACTTGGCGGCTGCTGTATCAAAGAAAGCACTCTTCTCCTCCAGATCGACGAGGAGGGGGTGCGAGGGCTGAACCTGCTTCAGACGACTTGAATTGTGTTAGTGTGGTTGCAATGCAGGGGGGGGGGGGGGGGGGAAACAACTCACGCTTCCAGCTCATCAGAGGGCTTCCCTGCCAAGACATTCAAGACAATCGTATTAGCAATAATCTGAACGTCATCCGGATACTGGGCCAAAGCAGCGGAGAGAGCAGCCTCTGCCTCTGGCAAACGACCGAGATGGATCTCTGCGACGGCCTGGCCGACGATGGATAGCGGGGCGGAGGTGCTGGGGGCGGAAGCCAGTTCTTCGTAGACGTAGAATGCGGATTGATATTTCTCGCCGCCCTTCATAGTTAGAAATGGTCCAAGATAAGGGCAAAGTTATGAATGAATACCACACGCATCCCCAGCCACGAATCGGCCAGGTTGACGAGAAGCGAGTCCTGCGCCCAGCGCTTCGCGGCCTGCACCTCCTTGATGGCCAAATCGGTACGGTTCTGTTGCAGATGGATCTGGACAATCAAAGCGACACTAAAAAAAAACAGGAAGGCATGAGCTTTGAGCTTTGAGCTAAGCAAGCAGGCAAGCAGGCAAGTTCTTACGCCTCCAGATTCCCCTGATGCCTCGACAGGAGAGCCAAGGCCTCCTCACTGTTACCCAGCGCGTGTAGGACGGTGCCGCACAGGACCTGCACGGAAGCGTTGTCCGGGTAATTCTCCGCCAGGTCGTGTGCGGTGGAGAGGGCGGCGTCGTTGTCTCCCGCCGCGTGCTGCGCCAGCGCCTTGACGGCGGCAAGATCGGCTTCGCCGTCGCCCTCGCTTTCCGCATCTGTCTCGGTAACGACCTCTTCTGCTTGGCCGAGAGCGATCTGGGCGCGCAGCTTGAGGATGCGGGCGGGGAGCTGGTTTTCCGGCGAGAGGGCGGCGGTGTCGAAGTCGATCACGGAGGTGTATTGGCCTTGGTGGAAGGCATTGTGGATGTTGATGAGTTCTGATAGTTAGAAGAAGTGGTTTCTACCAATCGATGAAATGGTTGTCTTACCACCCTCTGCTGAAAACGGATCCATTTTATGTTGATGTGTGTGTACTGTTCCTGTGAGTACGGAGTAGTATAACTCGTTCATCCTAAAGTCAACGTTGCCAGACGTGGGCGGTGAGACTCTATTGACGTTAAAAGTTTACGTCCTTACCAGGTAACTACTAAGTTACCTACCTTCCTAAGTTACCTACCTACTTACTACCTAGTTACAATGTCCCCAACTGCAATAATGATAGAAGTCTAATGCAGAGCTGCTCCCAGACTCGCGCAGCTATTATCCACGGGTTTGACGGGAAATCACCCTTGCAGTTTGGCGAAGGAATTCGACGTGACCCGCGCGACGATTTACCACACAGCAACGCTTTCTACTCACACATGGTTCATCGGATGAGCTGGAAAGACGTACTTGAAAGGACTGAGGCCTTCAAGTCAGCAATCCAATGTGTTCTTCGAAGATCCGGTCTTGTCAGGGATAGATTGAAGCCTGTCTGGCCTCAGTACAACTACTGTACCTACAACTCAATCTACCTGATATATCACAGTCCTGTCATGAAGTGGAGGTTAAGGTTTGTAGATGGGGAATATAAGCGATATTATACGATTATTGAGGACTGAAGTATTGTAGTATTCTCCATAGTACTCCAACTTCTGCCAAGAGGAAGCAATTATGAGCATCCTCAAATTTCAGCAACGTCTGTGCGCAAGAAGACTAGAAGACTTCTAGAAGTAACTAATATACTACATAGATAATATGTAGTATGTATGTAATACTCTGTAGTACTCTGTAGTACGGAGTACTCTGTAGTACTGTCAGGATGAGCAGAACTATGTAGTATTATTGTCTACACTAAAGTAAATATAGAAGAATAAGCTGCGACGGAGCGGACCGACAACCTAGAATACTCCATAGTCATTATTAGGAAACTAATTAACTACGGTAGTTAACTAGGTAGTTAATAGTTACATGGGTAATACCACGAAGCCGGAACGCCTCGTGGACGCCTGAGCGCAGAGTTGGAATACGAGATCACAAGATAACCATGCTTAGCAATCACCCACTGCCTAGAAACAATAGGGATGCAGTCGGCATCTCAATCGAGGCTGAGCTGAAACAATAGCTGCATTTGCGTCAGACTCCGTACCTAGGTAAAGCGTTAGTTATTTACTACCTACTTAGGTACTTAGCGTACGTTGAGTCCTTACTACATATAGTCAGGAATGAGTCTGTAAACCGTTAGGTACGGAGTACGGAGTACTCCGTAGTCAAAGGATGAGACACCCCTGGCAAGAGGCGCAACGTTCCATCCAGCTGGGTTCCTGACTGTTCCAGCGCCCAGGTCGGACGGCTCGGACGGCTCGGACGGCTGATGGAGTATAATAAATATTAGATACGGAGTAATAAAATGAATTAGCACTGGGTTGGAATGGTTTAATCTCACGGCTGATCAATAGGAAAGAAATGGCGGGTCAAAGGAATAGAAATAAAAACGGCTTTGTGCCCAATTTGCCACCTCCTTGAGATGGAAGAGGAATAGAAGCTGGTTTTATTCCATAGAAGCAGTAATTAGTTTACCAGGTACGACTACCTAGTACCTTAGGCCGTAGGAGCACCTCCGGAATCGTACTGTACTGTTGATGTAATGTAATGACGGTCTGTTCAAGTACTATGTATGTATGTATTATGTACAGCTAATGCAACACATAATTTCACGCGTGCGGCTCATGATGATGTCATATATACCTTGAATCTCACCCAGCTCCAGTGAGGTAATTATTACTGCTGTTTAATTCAATTATTTAGAGTTTCTGGGTTTCTGTAAAGAATTAGAAGAATCAGAGAATGGATTATACTTATAGGCAGGTCTCTATGATTCATAGGTGGTACTCGTACTAGCTAGGTATTCGAAGCGGGGTTAGGTACCAGGTATGATCGTAGCAAGGAGTCTCGGATGCAAGATCCTATGAGGTAGTTAGCTGTCAGTGACGATTTATGTATTGTATTGTATGTATCCATATAGTATATTACCAGTACATCACCACTATATTACCTGGAGTCATAATTAATTACTAGGTACCTACTTACCTAGTAGTATCATTCATTACCTAGTACCCTCTGCTATTAAACCTCTATTATCACTCTAAGTCCATTCTAGTTGTCAGAGCAGAAACAGTACTATCCTTCTAAAGTAACAAGTAGTTATCTACTAGTTAGTTAGTCAACTAGTATCAAGTAGTAAAGTAGCCTCAGGCCAGGAACTGTTCTCGTGACAATCTGCATACTCCGTATAGCCTAACTTTAGAGTTCCTGTCTACCAAGTACATTAGTAGTTACCTGTGTGTACTCTGTAGTAAGCTATGGCAGACACTTGCAGCGTACATGCACCAGCTTAAAATAGGACACGAAAACAATGCTCCCGCCGCAAGCGCCGGTATGTAGTAGGTAGGTAGTTAGTGTATAGTGTATACTTATCAATTGCCTATCTACTACATACTACTCCATATAGGCGGTTAGGCAACTTACTTGGGAGTACGTGTATACTGTCAGTACATCTGACTTCCTTCCTAGAGCAGATCGACAGGGATACAACATAGGTAGTACTTGCTAGATACCTGGATAGGCACCGAGATACACAGCTACAGTCGACTCAAGAGTAATGATTATCCGATAACAAACTGGCTAGAGGTGCGGGGTCACCAATGACCAGCATAGAGAAGTGAGGCATGGCATAACCGGTAGTTTAGTAGATAGCTAGTTATTAGTTAACTAGTTGCTAGACTAGTGACTACTTATCTACTAAGTAGTATTAATAGTATTAATAGTATATTAGATCAATATTTAATAGTATTATATTATTGTTAGTATTACTTTGTCAATGACGTCGGGTTTGACCGCTACTTGGACACCAGAAAGTTGACCGCCAGGCAATGTTTGCACATTCAAACCCGAATGGAGTCCCAGTTAGCTGTTCTCTTAACTAATGATGACGCTGCTTTCGGCCGTAGACATCGACGCCAGTCTTATCGTCCAGAGTTACTGGGTACTAACAGTTCACTACTAGAATCACGGGGACAACGGCGCGTATATTATTCGAGCTTCCAAGATTCTAGCAAATATACACGCTGACACAATGCTAGCCTATGCTTACTATTATCTGCTGAAACTTGCCCTGGAGATTGACACTGCCTTGCCCGCCCCCCCCAATCATGGAGGATAGTCCGGGGGATGGGTAAATTGCGTGGATCCGATGTTGACCACTCGTGTTGCCAGTCACCATCCTTTAGGTTGTAGTAAGGTATGAAGCAGATGATTTTTTATTTTCTTTTCTTTTCCTTTCCATGGGTGATTCCATTTGATGTCCAGCGCACCCGACTGCTTCAACGATCAGGCGATTTTCGGTCTAACTTGTGCCCAGCGAGGCTGTCTGTATATTTAATACCTTATTCTTCCCTCATCCTGATCTAACATCATTTCTAATTATTACTTTACTATTCCACTAGTACAGTAGTACTATTACTACCATTACTACTAGTTAGTAGGATCTTCATCAACTAGTAGGAGTCTACGGTATCTCTCCCCTCGATATTACAACACTTACAATACACCCGCGGTATTGACACGTCATTACCAACGGCCCCTCCGTACCGTACGGCAACCGTTTGGTCCCACCATTGAAACCACCTCCCTCGACCAGGGCCGGGGGGAGGATCTTGAGCAGTGACAAACCAGGCCAACTTTTTTTTCCCTTCCCCCTCCTTCTCCTCCTTCTGTCCTTTTTCTCGCGTGCTCTCCTCCAGCATCCGGTCTGTGAACCTGTTGATCCTGTATATCTTCTTCTTCTCATTGTTCGTCCATCCATCAGCTCTCATCTTTTTTTTTTTTTTTTTTTCATTCGCCTTTTCCTCCCTTATCGATTGCGCGATCTCGTCTTCCCCCCCCCCCTTCCCTCCTCATCCTCCTCCAAACTAGTTTCACCACTACTACGGTACCACCTGCAGGTCCTCGTCTTTTTTGCTTCTCAGCATCGTGTACCCCATACCACACGTAACCGTGCAGGACCAGGGGGGACCTGACAAGGCGAGACAAACCTAGATAGCCTTGAGGGCAACAACGCTTCGAAGCAAGACGATCGCACCATTGGCATTGACAGGACAGGGCCACCCCTCCGATTGCCTCGCCGTCCCGGGTTAGACTATCTGCACCACTGTGTTGGCAGTCTGTCGTGCATTGCGGCTATACCGATTCCTCTCGTCAGCGATTTCCCTTTACGCCGCTGTGCGCTGCCTTGCAATTTAATTCCGGTTCTCCAAGAATTGACTTGACACTCGCAACCCCCCCCCCTTTGAGGTACATGCGCCGAGCGCCCTTCCTTGGCTGCTGGCAGGGCATTTTTCTCACGCGGCCTCCACATACACACATACACACAGACACACAGACACACAGACACAGACACACAGACACACCTCCCCCTCTCAAGTGACCTGCTTCCAACGGTCAATTGGATCGTCCGTGCGTCCACGTCTCTCCCTCGCGTGCAGAAAAAACGACAGCGGTTCCCCACGAACTCGGAAGATCGACAGGTGAAAAAAGAGAAATTGAAAAGAGGGGGTACTTGGTCCTGATAACAGGTTCTCCCAGAGCGGGCACGCACCGAAGAAAAAGAGAGATAGCGAGTGAGAGAAAGGGCTGACCGCATTGATCGGCGAGTAACGACGTGCAGTGTGTGTTCCAGGACCGTTTCTGTCAGCGTCAGCCTTAATCAGGTCGTCAGCCATCCCATCGGTCAGCGTGGCACGATTGTTGCACAGGGCCCGGTGGCCGTCGCAATTTGTTATCGGCGACTGCAGGTCCCTCGGCCCTCGCGAGTGCTCTCCGGCAGGGCCCTTCGCAACCGCATCGCAGGCAGGCCAAGATGCAGAGATCACTCCCAGTGGAATCCTGCTAAGGACGTGGCTTCTTCTGCATACATCATTGCATCGTCTTGAAACCACACGTTCCTTTCTCTCTCCTGCATCATTCAGCTCCGCCTGTTCCTCCTCTTCCTTATCCGGCTTTGTCACCGCCGCTGCCTCTTTTTTTTTTCCACCCCCCACCCCCAGTCCAGGTGACTCGGATATTTCCTCGGCTCGCGACTGACAGATTGATTCTGACGTCCTGCAGCTGCGGGTTCACTTCTTTGTCTATTTGAATCCCTTTCTCTCTCCCTCTCTCTCTCTCTCTCTCTCTCTGTCTCTGTTTTTTAATTGGTGTTTTCTATTTATTTGTCCTTTTTTTTTTTTTCTTATTGTTTCACCCTTCGCCGCAATGGCCCACACCTTGCCACCCTCACCCTCCTCAGTGGCCTTGAATGGCACCGACTCGCAAAACAGCTTAAGACTGACCTCGTCGCTCTCGATGAGACCTCAGTTGCACCATGTCCTCACCTCCTTATCGACCACCCCAACAACAATTCCCTCTGGTCCTCCATTGCTCCTTTCCTCGGCGCCCTCCTTTGCTTCCAGTACTACCACCACAGCTCCCACTTCGTCCATCGGCACCCCAAGCTCGCTCTACTCAACCCGTCAACCGTCCAATGCATCCAGTCCCTCAGGGACTCCGTTGCAATTGGCCTCGGACAGCTTCCGTGGTCGTGTCTACTCCTTCCCCCAGTTGCCCCCAGTGCCCTTTGAGCTCGGGGAATCCGTCATGGCTATCCCCGGTACCGCCAATGCCTCGGGCTCCGGAGACACGGTCTCAATCACCTCCGCTTCCTCCTCCTCCTCCTCTACAACCGCCAACAACAAGACTCCCGGGTTGATGCGTCGCATCTCCCGCGGCGCCGCCAACAAACTCACCCGGAGACGCTCCACTACTCAGCATGACAAGCGGGATCGCAGCTCCGGACCAGTCATCATGCGTCGTCGCAGTGACAGCAGAACTGGGCCGCCGCCGCCGCCGCCGTCGACAACAACAACAACAACAACAACAACAACAACATCAACCAATACAACTTCGGCCACCACTCCGATAATAACAGCGATGACAACGGGCCGCGAGAGCGCCCTAGAATCTGGAAACGAAGAAGAGGATCTCGAAGCTTACGATTTGCTTGGCGCGTGGTACGGGTCCGATACTCGCTCCATTGTAGCCGGCAGCGAGCCTTATACCCTTTCGACCATCCATGATCTTCAGTCCCTGGCCCCTCGTGCTGACTCGGCCATTCAACGCGGCACCATCCTGACCAAGGTGACTAAGAAACGCCGCAAGCAGGTGCGCTTCTTCCTCGATCTCGACGCCGCCAAGGTCTTCTGGGACCCGTCCAACCCGGCCAAGCGCTTCTACATCGATGATATCAAGGAGATCCGCGTCGGCGCCGACGCCCGCAACTACCGCGAGGAGCATCAGATCGCCCCGGAGGTCGAGAGTCGCTGGTTCACCATCATCATCGCCGACGCCGACCGCGCCAAGGGCCGCGCCGTCAAGACTCTGCACCTGATCGCCCCGGATGACCACCTGCTCGAGCTGTGGACGACCACCCTCGAGCATATCTCACGCTATCGCATCGGGCTCATGGCTGGCCTGGCCGGATCCGGCCAGAGCGAGACCCTCCTGAAAACCCACTGGCAGCGCGAGATGGCCCGCCTCAGTCCCGGCGAGTCCGAGTCCCTCGACTTCGCTGCCATTGAGAGCGTCTGTCGCAGCCTGCACATCAACTGCTCCCAGAATATGCTCCGCGCCCAGTTCTCCAAGGCCGACACGGCGCGCAGGGGCAAACTCGATTTTCCCGAGTTCAAGGATTTCCTCATCCGCCTCAAGGAACGCAAAGATGTCAGGGGCATCTTCAAGAGCCACGTGTCCGATCCCAACGCCGACGGCCTCACTCTCGACGAATTCCTGACCTTTCTCCGCGACGTGCAACGAGAGGACGTCGACACCGACCGCGACCGCGAATACTGGGTCTCCATCTTTGACAAGTTCGTTCGTCGCGCCAGCCGGACTCGCACGCCTACCTTGTCATCATCGGAACCCTCGTCCGCCACCACTGCCACCTCTTCTGCCTCCTTTTCGTCCCCCGTCGTCTCAGAGGCTGGCGGCAGCGGCGGCGCCGTCATTGTTCCGCGCCTGAGTCTCGATGCCTTCTCCTCCTTCCTGGCCTCGGCCTTCAATGGGGTCTATGCCTCCCATGCCCCTCAGTCCCGGTTCGACCAACCCTTGAGCGACTATTTTATCTCCAGTTCTCACAACACCTACCTCCTTGGCCGGCAGGTGGCGGGCGCGTCCAGCACCGAAGCTTACGTGACGGCCTTGCAGCAGGGGTGCCGTTGCGTCGAGATCGACTGCTGGGACGGGGCCGATGGACGGCCCATCGTCTCCCACGGCCGAACCCTGACGACCAGCGTCCTGTTCGCCGACTGCATCACTGTCATCAACCGCTATGCCTTCATCTCTACGGATTTCCCCCTCATTCTCTCGCTCGAGGTTCACTGCAATCCGGAGCAGCAGCTGGCCATGGTCAAGATCATGAAGGACACATTCCAGGACCAACTGGTCCTGGAGCCGCTCACAACCACCCCGTCCTACACCCTTCCTTCCCCGGAGGAGCTCATGCGTCGGATCCTCGTCAAAGTCAAGACTTGTGACGAGGCCTTCGGCGACCTGTTGTTCGAACTCCCGCCGCCGCATACCACCCTCGCGCCAGCCAGCACGACCCTCGCGGGACGGAAGCGCAGCTCCAGCTCCCCCTTTGTCCGTCCCACGGGATTAGAGAGCCCCATCTTCACCGGTCTGCCCCCGCTGTCCAAGCCTTCCACCCTCGGGTCGGAGGATGGCATCGGGCCCCTCCTGACGCAGGAACGGCGATCCCTCACGGCGACGAGCATGAGCAGTGCCACGGAGGACAGCGACAGCGCTCTGATCATCTCCACCAAGAAGGAGAAGCGCCGGCGGCAAAAGAGCAAGATCACCAAACCCTTGTCGGACCTGGGAGTCTACACACGCGGGTACAAGTGGCACAGCTTTGCGGCTCCCGAGAGCAAGCTCTACAACCACGTGTTCTCGTTTGCGGAGCGGCCGTTTGAGAGCATCTGCCGTGACTCGGACAGCAAGGCGCTGCTGGAGATCCACAACCGCTCCTACCTGACGCGGGTCTACCCGTCCGGCTTCCGGCTCCGGTCGTCAAATTTCGATCCCAACAAGTTCTGGCGGCGGGGCGTGCAGATGGCGGCGCTCAACTGGCAGACGTACGACATTGGAATGCAGATGAACCAGGCCATGTTCGCCGCGGGCACCGATCGCACGGGCTACGTGTTGAAGCCCGAGAGCCTGCGCCGGCGGGCCGCCGCCGCCGCCGACCCCTTTGAGACGGAGAAGGAGAAGAAACGCAAGATGGAACGCAAGCTGGTGCGGTTCGCCGTGCACATCATCTCGGCGCAGCAGCTGCCCCGTCCCCGCGGCAGCGGGCCAGACGACCCGATCAACCCGTACGTGGAGATCGAGATGTTCAGCGCCGACGACCGCGGGCAGAGCGTGGTGCTCGGCGAAGGCGGGATGGACATGACCACCACCTCGGCCCGGAACGGCATGTCCGGCATCGGTTTCCCCCATCGCCGGCGCACCAAGATCGAGCCGAGCAACGGATACAACCCCATCTTCGACGAGCAGTTCAAGCTCTCCGTCGAGACCAAGTACCCGGACCTGGTCTTTGTGCGGTGGACGGTGTGGAGCTCGCAGGATGGCCGCAGCGCCGGCACCAACAGCAGCATCCAGCTCGCCACCTTTACCGCCAAGCTCACCAGTCTCTCCCAAGGGTTTCGCTACCTCCCGCTCTACGACGGCAGCGGCGACCAGTACCTACTCTCCACCCTCTTCTGCCGCATCACCAAGGAGGAGCCCGTCTCCGTGCAGCGGCTGGACCTCGACGAGCTCCGCGCCGAGCGCATGGGCATCTTCCGCCAGATCGGCCAGACCGTCTTCAAGCGCACCGCCTCGGCCGAGCGCGGTCGTCTTGCCGTCGACCGTGGCGTCGACACTCCTCCCCTCAGTTCGGAGGACCGCGACGGTTCCCCAGCTTTGACTCCGACAACGTCGGCTACCTCTGCCACATCGTTGATTTCTTAGTTTATACCATACCATACCATCTTTCTCTTTTCTTCTTTTTTTTTTTTCTTTGCTCTTGCTTCACTTGCTCCTTTCTTTCTTTCTTTCTTTCTTTCTTTTTTCTTCCTGTGCAATATGTTTGATTACTATTGTCTTGTTCTTGTCATGTCAGCATCAGCAAGGATGGGCAGGGAAATTGACAGCTACTTCATTGAGCGGAGTTTTGCTTCTGTTTTGTTTTGAGTCTGCATTTTATAGAGTGGTGCATGAGCATAGGCGTGTCGCCTTCGTTTTTCTTCCTTTCTGTCTCCTTTTTTTTATTTTTTAGCTGATATGTTATACCCACTGGTGATACCCCACATTGTATTTCTTTTGTCCTGCGGTGCATCATTACTAGGTTAAGGTTTTCTGGGCGTCACAGGAAGTATATGCATATCAGACAGATGGGCATGATCAGCAGGTCTGAATTGAGTTGAGATAAGTTTTGAGTAGAGTAAATGTAATATATGTATGACTTGGACTTGTTTTGTAGTGGCGTAGATGGTGTACTCTGTAATTTGTAATTTGTATAGCTATAGATCACCTGATCTGTCCTACATGGTCATGAACGTCAACAAACATCGACCGACACGACCGCCACGACCGACACACTCCCATTGATACGTCACTATGCCGGTAGATGGGGCATTCACTCGGTCTCTCCCCAAAATCGAAGCAGGTCACTCCACTCCGTCTTCTCTTCACCTTCATTTGTTAACTTGCTAGACAGCTCCACGCCCACCTGAGCGGCAGCATCAGTCGAAAATGTCTGCACGAGCTCTGGACACGCAAGAAGGAGGCAGACCCAGCCTTTGAGGTTGAGGATCCGCTTGTTCTGATGCCGGAGGGGAAAGTCGACTACACATTGAAGACGTACATGACAATATATAACTGCCTCTACTATATATATGTCTAACGCTCTAGGTTTTTCTCCGTGTTCAACAAACTAATCTACCAACTCTGCAATGATCTCGAGAGCCTCGCTTACGCCACAAACTCGGTGCTCGACGATTTCTTAACGGATGGAGTGCGATACCTCGAGCTGCGGAGTATCCCGCGTGCGTTCCCCGGTGCCTCGGAGGAAGACTATGTGACTACCGTGCTGGACGTGATGGATGCGTTCCAGGAGCGAACCCAGGGTCGGATGGCAGTTTACTTGATTCTAGCTATTGATCGGGGTGTTCCGGATCCAGGCCAAGCTCAAGCTACCGTCTCACTCGCCATCCGTCATCACCACCGCGGCATCGTGGGGATCGATCTATGCGGCAACCCTACAAAATCGACAGAGATACTACTATCCATCTACGGACCGGCTTTTACGCGCGCCAAATCCCATTCCCTACGGGTGACCGTTCACTTTGCGGAACTTCGCTCCGCCACCATCTCCGAACTGGAGACGCTCCTTTCTTTCCAACCGGATCGTCTCGGGCATGTCATTCATGTGCCGGAGAGTATCAAACGCGAGATTGCCGCGCGGAAACTCGCCCTCGAACTCTGTCTGTCGTGTAACGTGCACGCCGAGATGATCGAGGGCACTTTTCCGGACCATCATTTCGGCTACTGGAGGCACATGGATTGTCCGGTCATATTGTGTGTGAGTACTTCCTACAAACCCTTACCACTTAAAAAGAAAGCTTCATTAAGGCCTAAAAAAATTCTCCAGACTGACGATGTGGGATTCTTCTGTTCTCCGCTGTCAAACGAATACTGGCTTGCTGCTAAGCACTTTGGTCTCGACGAGGTGGACCTGCTGCGTCTGGCTAGACGGGCGGTGGGGGCTATTTTCGCTGGCGAGGAAGAGAAAAGACGTTTACATGCTCTCCTGGATGAGTTTAGTACACTCTAGATAGATCATATCAACATATTTCTATGTCTTATGGATCCTAATCTAATCCTGCCTTCAACAAGGCCGGATGGTGTAGTTGGTTATCACGTATCGTTAACACCGATAAGGTCCTGGGATCGAGCCCCAGTCTGGTCATTGTTTTTGTCATATAAGAAGAATATCTTAAGAACATCTTTTTGAATCGTTTGATGAAATATCTTTTTGTTGTTCTATTTTACTTTACAAATGATGCGACATCATAATGCTAACCCTGCCACCTCAAGCGGCCCTCCTTCAAAGTCTTGACTACCCCCAAGGGCATAAACTCCCTCTCGACGGCGGCCAAACTGCCGTACCGCCGCACCATGTCGTCCTGGTACAGCTCCCCCACCCAGCGCCAGTAGGGCGACATATGATGCCAGTCGGCGGAGATGACATTGGTGGGTTTCTGGCCGCGTCTGGCTCCGGCGAGCCCCGTCATGCTTCTCTGAAGCGCGGCCGTCTGGTTGATGGCGTTCAAATCGGGCACGCTGTTCAGATCCGTGTATGCGTCGAGCAGGGCGTCGCTGCGCGACTCGGGATACCGCATGTACTCTTCCAGCGAGAAGAAATGGGCCAGATCGTCGTCGTCGGAGATGGATTCGGGCCGCACGTCGTGCTTGGACCCTTGCTTCTCGAACCGCTCCTTGGCAGCATGGTATTGAGCTTCGTCTTGCAGGAAGGCCTTCTCTAGACGCCGTTCGGGAGTTTGCTTGATATCCTCCCGCATCCCGAGCAGAGGGATCACCGGGTTCACCACTTCCAGTCCGCCCAGCTCGACGGGGAAGTAGAAGAAGCCCTCGGGCAGGTCGTCCATGTGGAATCGTTCGCGGATTACCTTGCGGAGGTATTCTGTCACCCCGGCAGTAGTGGTAGCAGTACAGCCACTGTCCGTTTCGTTTGCGTCGAAGAAGACAGCTCGCTCGACCCGGCTGAGGGTTTCAATCGCCATGTCGATATGGCGTCGGCCAAAGCACATCGCGGGCTTGGCGAAGTTGTTGGAAAAGAACCGTCCGAAATAAGTGTTCCACGCCTGGACCCAGGAGAAGACACTGTGGCAGGAAGAGAGCTGGAGCTTGAGCTCGGCGATATGGGCATCGACCTCGTCCTGGTCGATGATGAAATGACCCAGTTTAGAGTCCAGCTTCAGGAACCCCCAGCGGATGTCGCCTTTCGGGAGACGGGCGGCGACGCTTGACGCCTCGGATCCCTGATGAGGGGTTGCATCTGCATGCATGCATGCAGTCCCGGTCTTCTCTTCGTTGAATTTCAGACCCATAACCTTTGTAAACTCGCTCATCGCCGCCCAGGCGTTGACGCAAGTCTCTTCGCGGCCCCAGAACCAAAAGTCATCGTGAAGGCGGTAGAGGTAGGCCCCTTCAGTTCTCTGGTTTACGGCATAGTCCATGCAGAAGAGAACAGCCTCGCTAAAGCAATCCGAAAGCCCATGGCTCATCGGGACGCCTCTTTTGCGGACCCGCACCTCGGCACTGGATCCATCGTGGACGAATTTCATAGGGGCCTCGAGAAACATCTTGAAGAAGTCGAGCCAGGTCTGAGGCACTCCGAAGTAGGCAAGAACCGTGAGAATGGTAGTATGCGAAAGCGAGGGACCGAACCATTTGAAGTCGGATCGGATGACGGTGAATTGGCCGTTTGTTCTTTTGTAGATCAATGATTCGCTGATCAGAAGATGAAGTAGGGAGTGTTTTACGTCGAGAGGATTTTTGGAGTCGGTTTCGTCTTCGTCCCTCTCTGGATCATCGTAACTTCGCTTGCCTTCCTCCACCGAGGATGGGAGTAACGTCATGAAATAATCGGCCTTGAATGTTTCTCTCCGCAGGTCGTTCACGCTAACGGCCGCATCGTGATTATTTGAATCGCCCAGGAAATACTTGCGGCGGTCCCGTTGCCGTTTCGGGATCTCATCGTGCAGGAATTTCCAGGCCTTGGTGTTCATAAAGGCAACGAATGCATCGCGGAATTCCACAGACCAATAGGTGCCCAGGTACTGGAACATTAGCGCGTCCAGCAGGTCCTCATCCATGAACACCCGATACTTCCCATTGAGCTGGCGACGCATCTCCAAGGGCACTCCCTGGGGATCCCAGCGCCAGTCGCCTAGGGAAGCTAGCCGCATGTTCAACACATCTGCCACCTCCTGGATGACTTCCTTGTTGCGCATGAACTCCTTGAGGATACCGGTTTTCTCCTTGGAGAGAAGGTCGGATTTCAGGAGTGCATTACTGGCAAATTCCAGAGACTCAACAGTGAAGGCCTTGGATTTTGTGCTGAGCTCCATCCCAAAATTCCTGATCCGTTCTCTGAGATCTTTGAGAGCTTGCTTGGACATGGAGTTCGTCTTGAACAGCCCATCGAGGTAGCAATTGATCGAGTCGGCCTGGACTTCTTCTGACGGGGCAAACACTAGGGCTTCCCACTGCGCGCGTTGCTCATGCATCTCTGCGCGGCCCACAGAGACGAGATCGGTATTTGACGTTATAGACTCTGCTGTCGAGGCCTCGTTCAGCTCACCCAGCCATTCATTAACCAACTCGCTGTAGAAAGAGGCATGCTGATGCTTGAGGTCAATATTTTTGAGTTCCTGCTCTAGCTCGTCGATGTAATTCTTCAGCATGGAGTCCGAAACAGAGGCGTCGTATCGTCCCTGGATCAGAAACCGCCGGATATTGGCATGCCTGGCTCTCTCGGTGCAATTACTGACGAAGGTCCTCTTGTAGGCAGTTCCATCAAGCTCGTCGTCGTTATCGTCAGCATCAAACGCATCGTACGGGAACCCTTTCAGTCGACAGACACCCTCGAGGAGAACTTGTGCTTTGGCACGATTATCCGGCGCCTCGGAGACGGCCTGGAGGATTGCGTCTCGACGGGTCTCGAACAGGGCTCGCTGTTTTGATAACTCGGTGATCTTGGTGGCGGTGATGGACTTCAGAGTCTGAGGCAAGGCTCCGCTGGACGCCATATTGACGAAATTCGACTCAGTCTTGGGGGAAATGGAGGGGAAATGTCGTCTTGAGAGAAATAAAATGGATAGTCGGCAGTGTGCGGTTGTTATTGAGTAGTATTCTTTTTTCGCTCTGAACGAAGAGAATATGTCCTTCGAAAAGCAGTATACCCATCTCCATATATATATTAGCACCTACCACCCAGTGATGTCTAATGTCAGTTGATTCAAGGTCAATTTAAGCGACCTACCTTTTCTGTTGTCGTTGTTGTGAGGCTGAAGCTGCAGTCGGCGACCGAATTGGGACCCCGCTGGGTCCATCGTGGGGTTTGGAGCTGAATTTTCAGCTTAAACATTCAGTTACTTCAGTATACACACGCTTACACACATTCAATTGATTTCTCAATTGAGAAAACACCTGGCTTTAGTAAAACCGAGCTCAAGTCAGAAACTGTGTGCAGATTAGAAGGAGAATCTCCTGTGAATTGAATGTTTTTCCATGCCTCCAGAAGTTGGGCTGGGGGGTCCATCTGGATAATCCTCAGTTCCACTTCAGCTCAACAGAGCAAGCCACTACTTGGATACACGCGTCGTGGAATAATGACTCAGGAAAGGAGTATATGGAGTAGCTATAGAAGGTCAAAGCAAAACATGACGTCATATCTCGTAACTATTCTCAGACTGCTGCAGCCTGGCAGCCTTTGCAATTAGATAGGTTAGGTAGGTATCATCTCTGCCAGCGCGCCAGAGAAAGAAGCAAGAATACCTTATAATTTGAACGCCTCGTTGTCATCTGTTTTGTGGATCTCGCCTCTATCGAGCTCTCCGCTCTCCTCGTCGCTCACTTCTTGTCCATACGCAACGGAGAGATGTTCCACATCGACATTCACTTCGTTCCATTTGTCACCCATGCTAGGAATGGGGAAGATCTGAACCAGGGTCCAATACACGGCCATCGAGACAATCAGGCCCGAGAAGTAGTTGATGTTGTAGATGTATTTGGCTCCAACGGGGACGTTTCGTCCCACTTCCCCCGCAAACCCGACAATGTTGATCAGGATTCCAGAGATGTAGGCGGCATAGGCGTGCCAGGAGAACCCATACCGACCGTAATAAACTCCATGGTGGCGGGCGCTGTAAAGCTCTCTGACGTCCAAGTAGCCTTTGCGAATAAGGTAGTAGTCACTGATCATGACACCGGCAATGGAAGACAAGAAGATCGAGTAGGCGGAGAGATAAGTTGTGAATTGATTAGACGAGGCCACAAGGTTCCACTGTTTGCAAACAAAACCGTTAGCTATAGTAAATAAACTGGTTCAAGACAGCACATACGGGACACATGGCTAACCCGATGGCGGCGCAGATATAGCCACCACGTCGGATGTTGAGATACCGCGGCAACAGCGCAGTCATATCTGTACCAGCAGAGACAGAGTTGGCGGCAATATTGGTTCCCAGCTGGGCCAGAGAAAAGCCAAGAGCGATGATGAAGATTCCGAATCGCTCAGCGGAGCTGGCTCCCTCCAGAAACTTGCCCAGGAGCGTCAATGGGCTCCACACCGTGTCACCGCCGAAAATCACGCTTGATGAGGAGGAAACAATGATGCCGATGAACGAGGTGATGGCGAATCCTAGCGGGATAGTAAGAAGTTGGGACCATAAAGCGTCTTTGGGCGTGCGGGCGAATCGCGAAAAATCAGGGTCGTTGACGATCAGAGTGGCGAAATTCCCCATGCAGCTCATGATACTCTTGACGATTGCCCAGGCCAGTGTAGTTCCATAGACAGTATTGGGCTGCTTCACGATGGGGCCCAGGCCATGGGCGCGGGAAATAGCCCACGCGAAGAAAGTGATTGCCGCAATTGGCGAGTAGATCGCTTTGACGGTGAAGAGATGTCGAATCTTGTGGATGGGGAACCACAGGGCAGGCAAACTGCACAGCCAGAACAGGAAGAAACTCAGGAAGTTCTTCGTGGTAACTCCAGAACTAGCAGGGATATGATTCGGTAGGTTCTTATAGCTAGGCCAAATAGCCTCGATCATCACCGTGACACATTCACCTAGCAGGATGCAAGATTAGGAGACCGGGACTTCAAGCAATAGAAGCAATGGGGGGGGGGGGGGGAACACGAACCTCCAATGTAGCCCTGGACACCGTACCAGATCACCGCCATCGCTGCGCGGTTCAACACCGGCCAGAATGACCCCCAGATACCAAACGATGCCCGCACTGTCACAGGGAATGAAATATGGTAGACAGCGCCAATCCGGCCGGTCATACACACGAGGACAGCTGCCAGGAAGTACCCCACCCAGACACAGATCCATGCCTGCCACCAGGACAAGCCATCGACGATCATCGAGGAAGATATCATCCATGTGTTCTGTTAGGAACCGTCAGCAAGTCTCCTCCTCTCTTCACTGCAGTGTTTTGGGCAGTCAAGACGTACAATGTTCAGAGAATCGGCAATCCAAAAGGCGATGAAGTTGATCCATCTCCACTGACGACGTTCTCGTTCGACTATATGAAGAAACAGAATGTCAGTCACAGCATGGAATCACGTGGCCACCAGCGATCACATGTCCCGATTTCATCGTTGAATCCTTGATCTTTCCTCACTCACCGGGACGCAAGTCATGGTTCGTCAACATCAACTGAGCATTTGTCAAGCCAGGCTCATGCGAGACCTCCAGTTTGTGGAGTAGATATTTGATTCGAGACATTTCTGTAAGAAGAGATCTGAATATCTAATGAAACAGGGAACCAGGCTGACAGGAAGCAGGTTTAATTAAAACAACAGGAGTTTTCGTCGACAACAGCGTTCTTTGGAGGGAGACCCAACTCATGATATATAAAGGAAAACCGTTACCCCTGTCTGACAGCGACCGAGAAATACCCCAAAAAAAAAAAAAAAAACCGAAGCCATGATATCGGTCAATCAACACGGATCATTTCTCTAAAAGATAATCCTGACCACACCTAAAGTTGCATATGCTGGGGTTCGGGGTGGGGAAAAGCCGTCATGGAGAGCCAGGTAGCAGCCCATGATAAGAGCTCTCGATGATGGGAACCAGTCATGACATCTGATCGACCCGTCCCAGCACTCCCAGCAGTCGCAGAGGAAGCAAGACGCATCCCCATATGTGGGCCAGATGTGACGCTCTTATCGTCATGTTGCTTCTCGGTGTGTCTGCCTGCCATGGGAGAAGGGGATCAAAGCCATAGACCCCTGATATTTGTGCCGCTGATCTCGTAAAGTCAATGGCCACAGGTGGTACAGGGCTTGCATGTCAATAGATAACAAGTTCCGCCGTGATAAGGAGCCACTTCCCCACGCATTTGCTGACTCGATCTGATCGAGTAAAATTTAGAATGGCAGATAAGATTATGGATCCGCAGTAGTAACTACTTCCTATGTAGTGCTACTCCGTTCAGATTCGAGACTCGGAGATTTTAAGTAAGGGAATGGCCGGCCAATCTTGGCATAAAATCTGCCTAGTACTGCATATATGGTACTTGATGACTAGTTATTTAGAAGAATGAGTTGTATGAAATAGTTAATTCCGTGCCTGCAGAATCATCTGGATATCTTATACATCAAGAACGGATTTCTTGCCCACATTGACTGTCCCATCTACCCCTTGTTCCACTTGCCGAATTTCACATAATCATCGTACAATGCCTTGAACACGGCGCGTCCAGAGACGTCCAGTCCTGCATTCAGCGCCCGCATGGTATCGCGAGACATGACGTCCAGGATGGCATACAGACCGGGCATGATCGCCGCCTTGACTTCTGGCACAAGCGAGCCGCGCAGTGAACACTGCGCATACTCCATGATCAGATACTGCAGGTACTGGCCGGCGATGCGTTTGGCTTTCTTGGTCTGATCCGTCAGCCCTTCGAACCCAGCGGCGGATTGATTCGGTCGCGATACCGCCGACACGGTCGGGTCGCAGAGAGACGTCAGCAGCCGGGTAAAGTGCACCGCATGAGAGGCCTGCAGGGGGGCAAGCCAGTATGGCTGGCCGTGCGCGATTTCAGACCGCATGGACCGATGGCGTTTCTTCCCGCGCGCAAAGAGACAGTCTAACAGGCGCTGCATGGCGGGTAGAATGAGATGGAAGCGCCCACCCAACTTCTGGCGGTGGAGGCCGAAAAGGACGCCTGTTAACCGGCAAAGACGGGTATAGACCGTGGCCGCAAACTCGGGGGAGATGCGCGGACCGGATTTGGAGGCGCTGACGGTGATGGCAGCCAGCAGACCATCAATGTTCCATTGAGTCATGCAGCGGGACTGGTTGCGGAGCAACATTTCGAGACATTCGGTAGCAAAGGAGAATTGCTCCACGGATGTGCTGCCGGGGAGAGACTCGGTGATTGCGGTGCACAACAACGAGAGCTCTTTGGCTGTCGTACTTTCTTTATCTTCGATGGGAGGAAGAGACGCCACGGCGAGGCCAGCGACCAGCAGGCGATTCACGACCTTGTCGCCGAACAATTCTCCACGAATTTCTCGTATAATTTGGGTAAGATGATCGCTCGACATGGACCGGAATCTTTCAGTAGTCGTCCGGACAAACAGCTGTTGCTCCTCGCCGTACAATTGCTGTGCCGGAAGAGTCTCAGCAAAGCGCACCGTCGGCAAAGAGATATTTTCCTCTGGCCCACGAGCAGTGAGGATCCGGCGGCCAATTAATTTTCGAACAGATACCCCCGAGTCGACCGATTTCTCCACATAGCTCTCGATCTTCGCCAGGAACCTTTCAACTTCACTATTGCCCGATGTGTAGTCTTCAAAATCCTCCAACGCATCGATCATTTTGATGAGGACGACAGTCCCTTCGACTTGTTGCTTCTTGCACATATCCTTGACCCTCTTCATGTCGGACAAGACTAATTCGAAGGCTGTGCGCCGGCAAGCGTCTAGTTTTGCCTCCTCGAAACAGCCCGAAAGCTCCGATCGATGATCCCATAACTGGCGGAGAGAGATCCTTAGGAGGAAAAACTCCATCGAGTCGACATCGGCTGCCTTCATCTTGGATGTCTTTGATGAGACTCTGCGATAAAGCCTGCTGAATAATTTCTGGCGGTCATCATTAGACGATACAAGAAGTTTGCTAATGACTATCCGAAGCAAGTTTTGAAGAGACTTCATGATCTGAAGATCCATCTCTGTACCCTTCAGAGTGATCGCTCTAGAAATCGTCCACACCGGCTCCCAATCGCTCGTCAAAGTCGCTGCAGACTTTGGCAGATCAGCTAACTTTGCCATTAAGGACAGCATTCCCAACGTGGCCTCGGGAGTGCTATCCTTCTGGACGATGGTTTCCTGGAGGATATCCAAGAGGACACCTCGCTGGCGGCGAGTTATTAGCGCCCCAGGAATCCGCTGGATACTCTCGATATTGAGCGGGCGATGAGAGGGGTCTCCCTTCAACTTCTCACAGAGTACGGCGATCAAATCATTGGCAACACACGGTGCACTGAATAGGTATTCATGACAGACGATGCTCGCCCATGCCTGGAGAAACCTTGCATGGGAGGAGGCGTTATCGAGAAGCGTCAAGGATGGCTTGTGTTGAACAGTTGCTAAAAAGAGCAAGTGTTCGAATAGGAACCGTCTAGTCTGCGATTTGATTTGGGCCCAGGAGGACGGATTCCTCACGAGTGTAAGGATATAACCCAACGCAAGCGACACTGGCGAATCCAATGTTTCGATCCGGCCGTTCCATGGAGCTTTCATCGATCTTGATACGTCTTTTGCGGAAATTAGCTTGATGAATTCTGTGATGTCGGCGGTAAGGTTATCGAATTTTTCAAGCTGATCTGATTCAATAGGATCTTGGATTGAAACTAGGGCAAAGCGGTATGCTTCAAAGGCCTCTAGAAGAGCACCTGGCCTCTTTGCTAGATCTTTGTGAAGTCTCCGGATCGACTTTGTTGCAGCATCGATCAGACTTGAGGAATCACTGCCAAGAATGCTTTCAATCGATTGAGTGGTATCGATGAGAAGGCTTTGAAGGAATCTCCACAATCGCCAACGCCAGTGTAACGACTGCTTTGAAGACAGCGTGCGAGCGACAGTCTCTAAAATAGACTTTAAATCCTCGTTTCCGTCTTCAAGCGGAGCCTTTCGACTCCTGAAGGTAGCTTCCAAGGTGACGAATCGAGCGTATGCATCAGGAGACTCGGAGATCTTGTTGCTTTTACCCTTGATGTGAGTCGCAGCTATTTGGATTTGTGTAGCAACCTGCGAATCAACAAGCGACGTCTTGATTATATCACTGTAGATGTCACACAGATCGTCATCCTCCCAGACGGCGAAATGGTTCAAAGCGGCGTTCTGGGAACGAGCCTCTTCGGTAGCAGCTAGTTGGGTCTGCCATACTTGAATGAATGTCGGCAGATCTCTGGCAGTTGCGAACCCACGCAGTAGAGGGACTACGACACCATCCTTGATGGTTTGGTATTTGCCGTCGTCATAAGAGGAATGATTCTGCCACTGTAACAGAATGTTTTTGAGTAAGGAATCGAGGAGCCTGCTCGAATCGGTGAGACCAGAATTGGGCAGGAAAATATCAACACCGAGTTTGATGAGTAAAGCCGTCAAGTTCCACTGGACGTTTTTCAAATCATCCTTGAGAAGACCCGTATACGAGGCGTGTGTCAGCAATGTGTGAAGAGAAAGCTGAACTTTACGGTCGTGAGCCACACGGAAGAGTTGCTCCAACACCAGAACAAAATCAGAGATCTTGTAGGAGGCATTTTCCTCTTTCACAACCGAAAATGCCAACTCAGCAAGGGCAACAAAAAGGGTCTCAAGCCAAGGGGCTTCCTGTGTCTGCTGGCGGAATGTATCCCGGGGAACAGACCGTGCAGCAGTGCCAAACAGCTCTGGCAACAGCTCGGCTGTATTCCATGATGATTCCCTGGTTTCTCCCTGCAGAGCCAACGGTTTCTTGGACTCCTGACCCTTCGGGGCCAACGGCTCACGGAAGAGTGGCCTAAATATCTCTGACACTGGTTTCACTGAGCTCCAGTCGGGCTCGTCGGAGGAGTAGTCGATACCGGATCCACCCCGGTCAAAGAAGGCAGAGCGTGCAGGAAGCACAACATGCAAAGCAATCAAACTCTCGATTCCATGGACCACCTGAGTCCTTTCATCGGTATCTAGCTTCAGAGAGCGCATACAAAGCTGCAGCCTCAAAGCATATCGGAAGCAGTATTTCGCGAAGGAGTCGTTGCTGGACTTATTCTCGCCATCATCCTGCCGAGACGACCTCAGATCCCAGAGGTCAAAGGTCGAAGGAAGAACATAGAGCAAATGTTGCAGATCAGTCGTTTTCTGGCGGTCAGAGAGATGTGTCGCAGCCACAGTCGCCAGTCTGAATGCATTGCCCAATAGCAAGCCCAGCGAGTCAGGCTCTCCCTTCAATGCGTGTTTAAGATATGCATTCTCGGCCCTTTCAAGAGCAGACTGCTTGTTCACCAGCGCCACCAAGCCGTAGATACAGTCCAACACACGGGTCAAAACTAGGAAACAGGAGGCGGGCGGCTGCGGCTCCTCGCCAATGGCGATAGCATCATGATCATCGTCCTCCTCCTCCTCATCGCGCGTCCTTTTCCTCTTTGTCCCCTTTTTCTTATGAGAATCTCCATTATTAATCGGCGACCCAGGCAATGTGTGGCTGGACTCGGACCCCGAGTGGCCAGGCTCAGGGGCCTGTGTCCCAATCATCGCTGACACATCTTCCCATAAATCATTCAAGATATTGTTCAGAATACCCAGAAACTTCTGGTCTCTCAAGGTTGTCGCCAACGCCTTCGTAGGCACCAGGTCGATCAGCTGTCTCAACAAGAGAAACGACGTCGCATCGACGCGGTAGTTTTTCGCCGTCTTAAGCTTCTTCAGCAACCACCGCAACACCCATTCTTCCTTGGGCGCAGCGTTTCTCGGAGCATGTGCCGGGCGGTTTATCTCCGGATGACTGGTACACAGCGTTAGATCAATACCGATGATGGTAGCCGCTTCGGCGAGCTGGGTTGCCGGTGAGCCGGTGTCCTTCTCCAGCAGCAGCAGAGCCTCTTGCGACGAGCGCGGGCGCTGGCAAACAACCGTTAGCAATCAATATCCATTGAAGTGACCCGTTGATCGGGTCAGCTAGCAAAATACACTTACCTCCGCAATGGACGGCATCTTGAAGGAGAACTAGCTTGTAGCTCAGCTGGAATAGCCACAATCTAAAGCACTGGTTGGTAAAGTGGTCTCCGGTATCTTTTTTTCAGGCGGAGTACCAAAAAAAGTATTATGCGGGCCCTGACGACAGCGGCAGAATCCTCCTAGTTTTTCCGACCGCCTTTGCGGTGGCCGGCAGCAGCACGCGGCAGCAACCAACGTCGCACCACAGCCCTTGGTGAACGTCTGCGCTTACTCTACCCCGTCCAGCGTCTGGTTTATAATCCTACAAAGTAAGTGGGTATCATGAGCCGGTGCTGTGCCGACTGCTTGTCAGAGCTGACTTGTCGGTTGTCTAGAAATCCTTCACAATGGCCGACTCGAGCGAATCCCGGCCGGTCGTGCGGTCCAGCAAGCCCGTCAGCGAGGCTCTTTTGAACGAAAAGGTAATCCATTGAAGCCGCCGCGATATTCTGGAGAAATTGTTGCATGGTTGACTGATGATCCCAGTGGGACCGCGCTGTCTCGTCGATGATCATCCGTTCCGGTCTGGGCGTCGGGTTCGGTGTTGTCTTCTCGGTGCTACTGTTCAAGCGGAGGACCTGGCCTGTTTGGGTTGGACTGGGCTTTGGAGCTGGGCGTGCCTGGGAGGAGGCTGATGGTGGGTTTTAACCATATGCATGCTGCTTTTGCGCGGACCCCCCTTTGGGAATCAACCGCCCTCATATAACAGAAGAACGGATTCCGTGGCTAACAGGTTTTATCTATTCGATTAGCTTCCTTCCGCCGTGGCGACTCTCCCGTGAGAGATGCCTTGCGCAGGTAGACGTTGCAGTCTCCGATTGTGTACGATATCTGTACAGGGGGGTAGAAACCGGGGAGACAGGGAAGACAAGACTCATCAGCCTCTACGCAATAGATCCTTTTGTTGTTCTATTTATACACAATACAAAATATTCTCACGTTCCATTCCGTACCCATCCAATGCCTTAAGCATATTCAAGACTCACCTCTAACCTCGTGTCTATACGCGAGTTACACGGTTTAAGACATGGTCTTCGAATCCACTCTACAAAATAGATGCAAAGGGTTCTCAAATCAGATTTTATAGGCCATTGATTAGTGAAAAGGACCATGTGCATGTACAGTGAAAGAGTATAGGAATAGTATGGGATGGAAATGAGATGGAAATGAGATTGGAGAAATTTCTTATTTTAGTCACAGTAAACACATCAAAGGTTTGTTGCCAGGAAGTAGGTCTCATGTCTATACAAGGGTATCATATTCGTCAGTTGTGTATAGAAAAGAGGAGATCTAAGATAAAAGTGTGACTTGTTCAATGCATTCTAATGGAAGAATGAATCATCGGTTCACTTATATAGCTGTATCGCCGGAACTGTCTCAAGAATAAAGACTGATATATATCAGATGGAGGGGTCGAACTACCCCTGGATCACTTCACTGCTCCGCAGAACAGAATTCTGTCCTATAAATGGCTTAATGATGTATGACCGGGGAAGCCACCCTCCGTAGTTAAACCACTGTGGCCACTGTGGGTGAGGCAGCCGAGGCAGGTGCAGTCATTTCCGCACTGGCAGCTGCCAGTCACATCAGAGCAAGTGCTTGGAAGTCCCACGGGATATGCAATAGTGTAGTATTCCGAGGGTTCCATCATCTGCTGACCGGACGCATACTCCGCAGGAGGCGAAGGGAAGCTGGAGTTGAAACCCGATGATGGGAAATGTTCCGAATACATCGCGATGTTATCAGGTAGGGGTGTTGTATTCAAGATATGGTCGAAGTGTGGAAGAGAATTATTCAGCACAGCGGTAGAATTTTCTCCAGGGAATGGCGATGATACTGTCTGCAAGCCATTTGACCTTAGCGACCCTTCTACTTGGCCATCAAGAGTGACTATGAAGCCCATTTCCTGGACGTGCTGTCTGGTTGTGTGGTTGAATGGATGAGAGGCGCATCCCAAACACTGGCAGTCATCCCCACAACTGCAGTCATGTATTGTATCTGCATCAAGTATTGGTTGATTATCGGTACCTTGATAGTGGCCTGGTTGGACGGAATCGATATAGCCGTGGTTATGATTTCCACCGGCCTGGCGGAACTCGGAGCTGAGGGGTCCCAAGAAAGACGCAGGGGCTGGACTCAACCCGTATTCGTTCATGTACACTGGCGACTGAAACGGATTGACTTGTTGTGCGTATGAGAGATTGTGCGGTCCCTGCCCAGCAGAGCCGATACCTTGCCATAAAGAGTAATCAGTCGCGTGGGTCGAAGAAGGCGGGGCACGCGCAACGTCTATGGTAGAATTCGGTTTAGAGTGAGCCGGTATAGTGCTCTCGCTGGGTTTTATTCCCGGCTTAGCTTTGGACTGTCCACAGCATGATCCTGACTTCGGACTGAGTTTTGGCGGTTGTGGTTTGTTGGAACAGCAGCCACCGGCGGCCGAAACCTTCTCTTCAACCGGGGGGAGACTCCGTTGCAAATTGAATACCGCAGGTGGACTCCGGGGCGAACTAGTGTCGCTGTACTCTTTGGGGGAGGAATGGTTGTTCGCCGGAATATGACTCAATGACTCATTCTTGATAAGATGGCGGTCGACTTTGGGCAGGGAATTCAACGCTCTTTCAATATTCTCTGGTGCAACATGAAGATTACTCTGTCGTCGAGAAGGCTTCTGAATCCTGCCACTTGGAGCCGGTGACGACCCTGGCGCCGCAGAAGCTGACGGCGTCGAGAAGCCCGATTCGCTCATACCTGAGGGCACTTGGTACACTGGTCGACACAGGCAGGTAGAACCTTGAGCGCAAGGCTTGTCAATCGGTGGACTTTTGAAAGAATGGATATGAATATGAATTACCTACCTTTGGGAATGCGAACCATGAAGGCATACAGCTTTTGACAGCTGCAATTGCCTTTCGGGTGAGGGCATTTCGCCAGCGGTCGACCCGCCTTGGGGACTTTCATCATCATCCGGTCAAAATGTTGACATTTCGACGAACGATGACCACGAATGCATGGTTCACTGCACGGTAAACCACATCCCATCAGTGCTTACTCCTCGTGTGTATCACCAGACCATTCTAGAACCACTCACCAGGACCATTTGGCTCCTTCTTCGTCGAGTGGCATGATCGCAGATTAGAATGACTTCGAATTCCAGCGCCGTATCTCAATATGAATCACGAAATCACAGAAGGATGTGTGTGTGATAGGGAAAGGGTTTTCGCTGATCGGATAGTGGCCTAGGGATCGGCTATTGCCTCCGCGCTTCACTTCTACCCCGCCTAGAAGGGATCGGTCCGGCCGGCCGGTGGTCTTGGATGACTCTGTCGAGAGAAAAGAGGAACAGTATAGAAATCTATCACAGCTCTGAACCCTAGATACGTAACAACATGTCAGTAACCTTCACACCATCCTGGGCCTCTCGATTGATAAGCAAGGGTATGAGTCGGCATTCCAGACCTACCCGACTTCGGAGTTCCCGGTTCAGGCTGTAGCACTCCACGCCACGGACACCGAATTAGCGAAGAAGAAATAAAATCTTCACAGCCTTGTCCTACAGAGACGACTGCAAACCCCGCAATAAGCAATGAGTGAATTGTGTTGGTGGGGGGAGGGGATTGGCGGTGACTGGGAATCTGCAGAGCGTTCTGGGGCCTGATGCGTGCCTGGGCCAGGGAAGAACTGAGGCTTGGCACCGTCGGAACGGAGTTTGTTGGTCTCTTCGGAAGTATACATACAGGCAGCCTGAAGCGAGTCGGGGAAACCAACTAGCTGTTGTCGAACCACGCCCAGAGGCTCCATACTGATGTCCACCGAGAATCGCGATGGGCTCGGCCACACAGCGCCGGAGAGTCCCTCTGCGGACGAGCGTTCGACCAGCAGGACTGCCCGCGCGCGTGATTTGTTCTCCGTCCCTGCTCCGATAAAACGCATCTTCGACCGGTTCCCTCTGGTCGTATATCCTGCCAACGACCTTCCTCAGAGCCGAGACAGTGAATTCCGCGGCAATCGACTGTTTGTTTTCACCGACGCGGCGGGTTCGCGCCGTGGGAGGCCATCGTTCAACCCGCAGTGTCTCAAGTGGCAGGTTCGCGATCCTCTGTCTTGACTGATGGTGTATGCACAGACTGACGCAGTATTGAACCTCTGCAGGCGTATCTGAAATTTGTCGGCATCGAATTCGAGACGGTACCGTCCACCAACCATGCCTCCCCGACGGGTGCTCTTCCATTTCTCCTTCCTACCCTCCCCCCTGGCACCATCAACCCGATACCCTCGACGAAGCTTCAGAAGTGGGCGATCGAACAAGTTCACTGTGAGGAGGAACAGCAGTTGAACATTCGATTTGAAGTCTATGCGTCGTTATTAGACCACCGGATACGCAATGCTTGGGTACGTTGGGGTGAACCCCTCCAAAACACTGTTGCGTCCTGCCGTGCGGACCGAGGCTAACACAGCAACGTGGGATTCAGCTCTACGCACTCTATCTGGATACGGATAATTTCAACGCGGTGGCTCGAAAGCTTTACGTGAACCCGACAACGACAAATACGGCTGTGCGGATGGTATTAGCGGCCCAGCTTCAGCAGGCCGCGCGAGACGAGCTACTCAAGTCGTGTACCTACATCGATGTGAATGACCTGGAAGCGGAAGCGGCCAATGCCTTTGAAGCACTGTCGAACCTTCTAGGCGATCATACACACTTTTTCGACCGTCCGAACCCTGGTCTCTTCGACGCCAGCGTCTTTGCCTACACGCACCTGCTCTTGGACGAAGGCATGGGATGGAAACAGAACCGACTAGGGCGGGTGTTGAGGAAATACGAGAATCTTGTACAACATAGGGAACGGCTGCTAAAATGTTTTTAGACATTATTAGATAATTTTTTTACTCGATTAATTACTGACGAAGTGGTCAGAAACAAGAAGAAAAAAGCCAACATGTACATTAACCAGTCGCTAGAAACCACCTAACTATTATCATTTTGATCACTGCTTCCTACTAAAACACCCCCCAAACCACACCTTCACTCCGATCCACTTCTGGGCCCTCTTGCCCAGCACCTCCGCCAACCCGGCATCGACTTCCACTTCTCTGACGGTCTGCCCGCCCAGCCGTTCCAGCTGGAACCCACACTCCTCCGCCACCTGCAGCACATCCTGCACCGTGTATCGGTAACTCGTTGGGCGGATCTTGGTGCCCGTCTCCGGGTCTACAAACCCAGCCTGGCTGATCGACCCCATTTCCGCGTGCATGTTGGTGACGAGCAGGAACCCACCAGGACGGAGCAAGGCGGCTGCCCCCTCGAAGAACGTCCTGGCGGGGATATGCTCGAGGACCAGCGTCGAAATCACCCCGGCGGCGTGTAGGCTGGAGGGCGGCGGTGTGAGGGGCGTTTGCAGAAGATCTAGCACTTCAAAGTCGACGGTACACGATTGAAGAAGATCGCTATTGCCATCTTCTTCTGATGGGAGGGCATGCCTGATCACCGAGCGGGCCACGTTCAACATCCCCGGCGAGGCATCCAACCCGATGATATGAGCCGGTCGAGGCGCATGGGCTACGAGCTGCAGTGTATTTCGGCCTGTCCCGCAGCCTAGATCGACCAGTTTGATGGGTTGTGCTTGTTCTTGTTGGGTTCGAGCTGCTGCCAGAGCAAGGAACATAGGGAGAATCTGGCGCATCTGGAGCGTGTCGAGGGTTTGTAGGAAGTTGCCATCTGTGTCGTAGACCTGTGAATAATCAATACTTCATACTTGACTATAGGCTTTCGGATTCCAATCTTTCTTTCGTACCTCTGCCCACTTGTTATACGCGTCCACGGTGCTGATATACTGCACTGACTGGTCGCCAGACTTGGAAGCAAGTAGTCCTTGAATCGTATTTGCCATTTCGGTTGCTACACTTTGCAGAGTAGAGCAAAGAGATGCAAAGAGGAAAGAATGTATTCTAAGGAAAAAAGCCTCCTCAGCGACCTGACTGCGCCGAAATCTTGACTTCATACTGGGATAGTATCTACATGACTCATCGTGAGGCTGTTCAATTTGGGTCTCCGTATTAAATGACTCACTGGCGCAATTACAATGGCTCTGTACCTGCGAGAAGTGGATAATAATTACAAATATGGTGAACCCACAATGGTCGTCCAGGGGCAAAAAACAGGTTTCTCAGGGGCCATCCATTAGCTTCCATTTTTAGCTTCAATGACTCTGAAAGTATGCTTAAATCCTTCGTTTCCCTGTTCCTGGAGAGCTTGGGGGGATTACTACATGAAATGTACCTAGTACAGAGCAAGAGAATTCATTCATAGATCATAGAATTGATTCGTAGCGGGCATCACTCATTATTTGACACATGAGACACAGAAAAAGAGAGGAAGGTCATGAAGGGAGAAAATAGGAGAGACAATAGAACAAGAGGTTTGGGGACAGTCTAGAGTAGAGAAAAGAGAACAGAGCATCCTCATGTCACAAGTCATGACGCCATACCAGATGAACCAAGAGTGGACCAAAGTACAGATGGATAACCAAAGACGCAAAAGAGCAGGAAGAAAGAAGAAAAGAAAAAAGGAAGAGAAGAGAAAAGAAGAAAGGAAAAGAAGAAAAAGAAGAGGAAAGAAGAAGAGGGAAAAAGAAAATGAAAAAAAAGAGAAGAGAAGAGAAGAAGAAAAAAGTCGCAACGCTTAATGTACTGTCCAAATCAAATCATCGCTGGCTCGAGTCAATCAATAGACGGTTGCCCCAAACGGAGCGGTTTCCTTGAGGTCTTCCACGAGATCCTCGACGTTGTTGAGATAGCGTCCGAGTAAGGCCTGCTTTTCGTCGGTGGTTCGAGTATCTCGAGGTAGCTTGCCTCCGTTGCCGCCCGCGGGCATGTTGACGCTGCGTGAGAATGGCCCGGCCGCCAGCTTGCTGGGGCTCCGATGGGGACCGCACACAGCTGTGTTGGGGGCGCTGGCACCAGCACCAGCGGGAGGAATGGGGATTTCGGGCATGAGATAGAAGTAGAGAAACTCCACAAGTTTCAGCTTCACCTCGCGAGAAGTTGCTCGTTGTTTGAACAGCGATGTCACCGTTAGTAACCCGTCGAGCGCCTCGAATGTGCGTGTGTTGGCCGGGTTATCTAGCAGAGCTGTTACGAGAACCAGGAGCGTCGTTGATTGAACCGCCGGACAGTTGATGGGGTCGAGCAGATCGAGGAGCAGGTTCATGTAGACCTCCCGGGAAAACAGTGACCTTGATGGCGGATGGAGAAGCAAGACACCCTGTATCAGGTCGAGAGTCGAGATTATGAGCAGATCATTCGCGCCGTTACTCCCTCTCCCTAGAAGATTATCCAGACAAGTGATGAGGCGCATCGCCACTACACGATAAGATTAGTCCCCTCGTCATATCAATTCCCCGACCCATGGAGGGGGAGATGCTACTCACCATTCCATTGAAATCCTTCCTGTAGTTTAAAAAATTCCCTGAACGCGGGGTCATCCTTCAGCTCCGAGAGAGCCTTGGGCAACGGCTGCGACGACCCAAACGGAGAGAGCGATCTTTCCTGTCTATCGCCTGCTGTTTGTCTAGACCTGGATAGACATATTTGTGCCAGCAAGCCTTCGACTTGGCGCAGTCCCTTGCGAATTTTGCTTGTCTCGTAGGAGGATAGGTAATCAAACGAGTGCGCCAGTAGAGCCTCCATGGAGATCACAATTGGATAGGAATGTGTGGTGAAGGCGAAGGGAAGGGAAAAGGGAATAAATAGTAGAAATAAAACCAGAACGTCAGAAAATAAAAAGCAAGGCCAAGGAAACAAAGTAATAAAATAAACAACAAGAATAACAAAGAACAGCAATCTAGCAGCCCAGACAGAGAGGTAGCAAAGAATCTGAGGATAAAACCCACGGCACACCCGGTGGGATAGCAGAAGAATAGGTAGATCGTCGCCCTCGCCCGCTCAGGTGAACCAGCGACAAGTGTGGGCTTTATCTATAGATACGCCAGCGTAGCCACCCCCGTCAGGTTTGGGTTTGGGTTTGGGTTTTGTTTTTTTTTTTTTTTTTTTCTTTCTTTCCTGCCCAGATCGTGCTTGTGGAGAGTTCGTGCCTTGGTGGCCGATGATGAGGTCAGGACTGTCGACAATCCCCCCACACAGACACGAAAAGGAAAACAATCCGCTCGTTGCCCCGGGTGATCCACATTGCTGTCAGGATGGTTAGGTTGATGGCAGGTGACATCACAGCACCCGATTCGTTGCAGGGTTGCAAGGCTCAAAGAAATAGTTAGCTAGCGGCCACCCCTGTTGACGCAGAGGGACGATTCCAGGGGTCTGGTCAGTAGTCAGTAGTTAGTAGTTAGTCGCCAGGCTCGGCCGATACCCGTACTTGTCTCCTGCCCTGCCGCCTCACGATCACTTTCCGGCCCAGTCGGCCCAGCCCCCAATGTTTTTCTCGGATAGGCAAGGAAGCGGTAAATAGCGGTCGGTCATTGGAAAGCAGATGGCTGGGGCCTTACATGGCGGAGCTGAATCGGGCTGTCGAGCCCACTTGAAGCGACGCCTGGGAGGGAGCAAATAAATTAAATCCTCTACAGAGAGCAGAGCAATCAGTATCAACTGTTATCACTACCTCGGGGGTCAGTCATATCAATATTGCTGTTGATTGCTGTTGATGCTGCAGGTCGTTTAGGTTCATTGTTTTCCCGGCCGGCCACCACGAGCAGTTGTGTCACATGACATGCGAGCCTCATGTCATGTGACTTGGCTCAGGCACGGGATCGCTGCCTGTGAAATCTGGCGCCCACTGCGTCATCCAGCGAATTTCCCCACAGTTGCTGCTGATCAGGTGCAGATTCAGGCCCATGTGACAGATGCCGCTTTTGTGTACTCTGCATCAGAAATCGCTGATTTACCACTGGCTGCAGCCGGTCCTGCGTTTTTATATATACCAAGCTCAGGCCCGGCTGGTCTCGATATTGTTTTCTGTTGGAGGTGCCTGCCTAGTTAGGCTTAGCGCCATCCTGCATGCCTTTCTCTCTCGCCTGCGCGCATCACTACATAGCTTCATAACAAACTAACTACACATATCTCTTCCGTTTTCTCCAGGCCTTCCGTGCAAACATTTTCTCACTTAAGCGGTAACCTGTCACTGCTCCTATACAGGGTTTTATTTCTTGTTACCAGGCAGCAGCTTTGGCTCTCAAGAGGGGCAGCAGGAGGGGCAACGCTGTTCGACCACAGATGGCCCGGAATATGTCTTTCCAACCACCGACCATGATCCCTCCGAGGACCAGCTCAACGGGGGTGGCCAATGACGCCTCTGCAGCAAGGCACAGCACGAGGTCTACTATCCCCGAAGGCGATAGGCTGCATACCAACACTGAGATGGGCGCTCGACACGTGCGGAACCGATCCAGTGTAGACGGAACAAAGTACAGGGATGGGACCTGGTCCCGCAAAAATGAAAAGATTTTAATGGGACCTTACGATTACCTCTCACAACACCCGGGCAAGGATGTTCGGAGGCAGCTCATCCAGGCGTTCAATGCTTGGTTGCAAGTGCCTCCAGAAAGCTTGGAGATTATCAACAAAGTGGTGGGGATGCTACACACGGCGTCGTTACTGTGGGTTTTTGCGGGTTTTTTTTTGTCAAAACAAGTTTCTGACTATATAAACAGGATTGACGACGTGGAAGATTCATCGATTCTCCGACGCGGGATACCGGTTGCACAAAACATATTCGGAACCGCGCAAACCATCAACTCGGCGAACTACGTCTACTTCCTCGCTTTGCAAGAAGTACAGAAACTGAACAACCCCGAAGCGATTGATATCTACGTCAAAGAACTCCTCAACCTGCACCGCGGGCAGGGGATGGACCTCTTCTGGCGCGACACGCTCACGTGCCCCTCCGAAGACGAATATCTGGAGATGGTCGGCAACAAGACTGGCGGACTGTTCCGCCTGGCGGTGAAGCTGATGCAAGCAGAGAGTACGGGGGACAAGGACTGCGTTGCCCTGGTTAACGTGATGGGCCTGATCTTCCAAATCTGCGACGACTACCTCAACCTGTGGAACCCAACGTACACGAAAAACAAAGGCCTATGCGAGGATCTAACCGAGGGCAAGTTCTCGTTCCCGATCATCCACAGCATCCGCTCCGACCCGAGCAACCTGCAACTGATCAATATCCTCAAGCAAAAGACACAGGACGAGGAGGTCAAGCTCTACGCGGTGAAATACATGCAGAGCACGGGCAGCTTTGCGTACACGCGACGCGTCGTGCGCGAGCTCCGCGACAAGGCAGAATCCCTCATCGATGAGATCGGAGGCAAGCAGGCTGGGAAACAGCGCGAAGGCCACGGCGAGGCCGACATGGTGCGAACAATCCTCTACAAGATTGTCGACTCGACCCTGAACCATGACGAAAAAGACGACCCGTGATATTTATTCCCCCCCCCCTCTTCTTTTCAACTATTTGCTGATAGCTGGCTATCATATATACCCCTGTAACAGGCGCTAGACGATTTCCTATAAATTGGATAATGGGGCATTTCGGTCAAACTAGGGGATTGCTTCACACGTAGGGTATAACATGGTAGAAATGTATTAGGGTATAACTATAACCAAGACATGGCAAGTCTAGAATGTATATAAATCGATCGAAACAATCAAGCAATCTACATAACCACACAGCACGCCTTCTCCAGCTTGCTCATAATCTTGGGCAGTACCGCATTGACCACCTGCTCGAGTTCGTCCTGCTGGTTGTTCGCCTGTTGGTGCTGGGGCTGCGCCTGTGTCTGGCCCGGATACTGCTGCGATTGCTGCTGGTACCCCTGCTGGTACTGTTGCTGCGGTTGCTGCTGCTGCTGCTGCTGCTGCTGCTGCTGATGGCTGGGATAGTGATGCGCCGACGAGGGCGGGATTGTCGCCGCCCCGCCGGTGAGATTGATGTACATCCGTCCAGCGTTTTCCTCGGTTGAATACTGCAGCCCGAGTTCCTGGCAGACCTGCTCGACGCGCGGTTTGATCTTCTGGACGTGGTTGACGGAGTGGTTACCTTTACCAACAATCCTAGACAAATAAGTAGGTGTTTTTTTTTTTTTTTATGGGAAGAAAAACTTACACGTGTAGATGGGTCTGTCCATGCGCTTTGGCATATTTGATACGCTCCTCGAGGATCTCCTCGGCCTCCTCGACGAACTGGCCGTGCAGATCGATCGTGTCCGCCTCGACGCGACCATTGGCGTTGTTCTCGCGGAAGATGAACTCCGACGCCTGCTTGTTATACGCGTCCATCTTACGGCCATGCTCTTTGCCTTCTTCCGAAAGCTTCTTGGCTAATGCGCCGTCGCCATTCTCGTAGGCCTCGCGAGACTAGAGTCGGGTTGGACCTCGGTTAGAATATTGCAGATGAAGGGTAAAATGAGGGATTGCATTACTCTTTGAAAAGCAGAGTTGCGCTTGTCGGCTTCCTGACGCGCCAGGCCTCGTAGACGATCATACTCTTGTTCTGTTGTGCTGTCCTGCTCGTGGTTGAAGGCTGTGTGTTTGCGGGGAGGGGAAATAAGCGGCTGGGAAATCGGATTTGAAATTGGGGATTTCAATTGGTAAAACAAAAAAAAAACTCACCACGCGCGCCCATGTAAGACATTTCATGCGACATATTGGGCAGATTGGGGTCTGGCTTTCTGCTTTACAGTGATAATACAAGATGCTCTTGGACAGAGTTGAAAATCGTCGCGATGCGCGAGACGCAGCAGAAGAGGCTGGATCGGCTGGTGGAGCCAAGCGTCGATCTTCTATCCAGATCCCGAATCGGGAACTGTGGCGGTGTTGATTGTTCGGGGGCAATCAAGCGATCTGCCAGTTCCGTGGATGGAGAGATCCATACGGAGTATCTACGGAGTACGTGGAGTACTCTAGCCTTGGGGCTGTTCAATGTAGGTGTTTTTTCGTCTCTCAATGGGGATATTCGGGATAAGAATTCTCTACTTCGCCAATATCATTAGCACTACACTTAGCAATTAGTATCAGTGAACTAAGATTTTCATGCTCTAGGGTGGAAATTCTAGTCATTAAAGCCGACAGTAAACTTAATAGTAAATGGGTATTAGTTATGTACGGAATAGCAGTTAGGTACCTAGGTATATATTATAGGGTTAATAATTTACTTCCGTTGTCAGGACTCGCGATTATATATTAGTATCTACTCCGTAGGTAGTAGTGAATACTGATGTTATGAGATAACCCCCTTAATATACTATTATGCTATGGTCTACTACACATGAGTAGCTTTTATTACTATTACTCTGTAGTCAGGTCTATGTATGATAAGGCACGAGGTAATTATAGAAGGTGGCCTGATCTGGATCTGCCTTATATTTATGGCAACAGAGTACAAAAGTACCGGAATTAATTGTACATCCCAAAGAATTTTCTTATAACACTCAGAGAACACCGAATCCCTTACTATTTATTTATTCCTGAAGTTGAAGTGCTCCCTGGACTCTCGCAAGCTAAGTGATAGCCAACTCATGACATTAATACGTGGCAAATGCACGAGCCCTAGCTATGGAGTAGCTTGCTGGTAGTTTGCCTAGGTAGAGGTAGTTACCTACGGAATAGGTTGTGAGTATTCCAGTGTCAGAATTGGGACATCAGAGAGAAATCCTAGAGTATATATACCTACATAAGAGGCAGTGTAGATATCTACAGCATATGCACCGTCAATACGGATGCACTCTGTCCTGTTTTTCACAGACGTTCCAAATATATCACCACGGTCTGGATGTTGTACTAATCCCACGAGGCTCGACGCTCGAGCAATTTTCCTTCACGTGGCGATGAAAAGCACTAGAATCACTAGAGCAGTGGATCTCTGGGAGACTAGAAAGCCAACAAGTGCGCTGAGCAGAGACTAGTTGGTAGTTGTTGAATAACGTCTTATCCTGGATCCACGGTGTCTCCGAGAAAAACCGTTTCGGCGCCTGTTTAGTATTACTCCTGAATCAGCAGCTCGTGAACCAGCGGGCGAAGAAGGTACTTAGTACATTACCAAGGTAACTATAGGGCACGAGACATCAGTTTGGAGGACCAGAAGATCAGTCGATACTCCTGGCTTTCCGAGTCCTCACGATACCGGTGGGGTCAACCATCATGAGCACTCATCGAAGGAATTGACCACCATTGGACCATGCGATCAGCTTCTGGAACGGCGAACAAGAGAAATCGGCGGCGAGAAAAGGTCTCCACTCATTGACCACCCGTATGAAACGGTGGCCGATACAGAGCACGCCAGTCCAAGAGAACCAGGCCGGACAAAGGCCGGGGGGGGTGGCCAGAATACGGAGTATGGGGATGGGATCCTGCCAGCAATATTCAATCGTGATCGAAACCATGCTCTCTCCAGAATTCAAATCATATTCGGTAGAGGTCCGGAAGATCGTAACCGTTCCTGGTCCAAAGATTTGGCAGCTTGAAAGTTGTGCGCTGCAGATCGAGCTTAGTGCAGATGACAGATTAGGCATGGCGGCATCTCCTGAAACCAGGTACGGAAGGTTCCATCCTACCTAAGCTAACCTATCGCCAGGGCTCAGGGCTCCATCGAGCGAGAGTACGGAGTAACTACCTGGTGGCATCATTAGTAGCATGAGCCGTGGCGGAACTGAACTTGTCACAGAGTGAATCAGCCAAAGCTCTCTTCAGGACTCCGTAGTCCACTCCACTGTCTTGACTACACCTAATATTGCTTCTAGGAACGTGCGAAGGAATGTTCCTGGCCAATAAGAACCAGCTAGCCTCTGCCGTCTACCTCATTGTGTCCAGATCCTGGTTTGCGAAATTATCTGCTCTGGTCAGCTTCGGCGGCATCGTCAAACAGCGGCAGAAAAAGTCTCAGTGAAAAGGGGAGGCCGAGCTCGGCCCCTGATTGGCCTCAGGCCTTCCTCCACCCAGCCCCTTACGCGGGCAGCCAGTCCGAACTCGCCGTGCCTGCTCCACCTCGTACCAGCTTCAGCTTACCCCCTAAATGAAAATTGCTATTGTCCCCCCAGTGCCTTCGTGGTGGTAGTGGTGAATCGGAAGCATCGGCCCCCTTTACCAAAAAAGCGCCTCTTCCAAGCTGTACCTGTACAGTGCACTTACTGTACATACTGCTACGGAGTACATTATTGTACAGTATCTAGTAATCATCGCTGCGGAGTGACCTACCTAGTTATAGCTGCCTGCTTTAAACCTACGACAGGAGCAAGCTAATCGACGGGATTGAACCTGACCACTGACCACTGACCACTGTAGGTCCCTCCCCTCTTTTCCATCCCGTTCGTTCGCTTCTCTTCTTCTACTACAACCGTCTCTCCCCCCCTTACCGTTCCTTCTGCTTGATCGCTCCCTGGAGAGTTCTTCAACCGCCCAGTTCTATTGCTGTCCCTGGATTTTACGAATTTTTCTTTTCCTTTTTTTTTTAATTATCGCGATCGTTCCTTTCTCCTTCCTTTCAGGGCACGTTTGCTCGCGTCGGATTTTTAGTAATACACACCCTACCTCGAATCACTCTTTGTTGCGTCGGTTTCACAGTATCACACTTGCAACTTCAGAGGGGGTTTCAAAGTGCAAAGTGGGTGATGGTCCTTGTCTTCTCGTCTTATAGCCGTTGCTCAGTCCAGTTTTGCCTTGCCTTGATTCCCGTTCTTTCGTGCCTCACCCATTTACCTTGAACTCCTGGCGTCGATTCGCACGCTCTTTTTTTTTTGGCCCTGAAACACCTCTTTCTGTCACACCTGGCGGCTACTGGCAGATCCTCTCGATTTTGCTGGGACACCCTCGGCGCGGAGAATTCCTTGAACTGACATTCCTCCCCTCTCTTTGACAGTCCCTGCAGTCCACGGAATCGAGCTGAAAAAAAAGTTATCACAACCGCGTCACCGTCCACGTTAACCAAAAACCGCCAAAATGGGTTGCGGAATGAGTACCGAGGATAAGGAGGGGAAGGCCCGCAACGAGGAGATTGAGAATCAGTTGAAGAGGGACAAGATGTTACAGAGGAATGAGATCAAGATGCTTTTGCTCGGTACGGATGTCTCTTTTCGCGGATGCGCATGGTGTACCGGCATTGGACATGACGACTGACAATAAGTTTCATAGGTGCTGGAGAGTCGGGCAAGTCGACCATTCTGAAGCAGATGAAGCTCATCAACGAGGGAAGCTATTCGCGGGACGAGCGGGAATCCTTCAAGGAAATCATTTACAGCAATACCGTGCAATCGATGCGCGTCATCCTCGAGGCAATGGAGTCCCTTGAACTGCCCCTTGAAGATGCCCGGAACGAATACCATGTGCAGACCATCTTCATGCAGCCCGCTCAGATCGAGGGTGACAGCCTGCCCCCGGAGGTTGGCAACGCCATTGGTGCTCTCTGGCGTGACACCGGTGTGCAGGAGTGCTTCAAGCGCTCTCGTGAATACCAACTGAATGACTCTGCCAAATAGTACGTCTGAGATGGTTCCGGTGTTTTTTTCTTTTCTTTTTTTTTCTGGATCTGCAATCTGACTGGCCTTCTAGCTACTTTGATGCCATCGAGCGCATTGCTCAGCCCGACTACCTCCCTACCGACCAGGATGTTCTCCGCGCACGTGTCAAGACTACCGGTATCACCGAGACGACGTTCATCATTGGTGACCTGACGTACCGCATGTTCGACGTCGGTGGCCAGCGTTCCGAGCGTAAGAAGTGGATTCACTGCTTCGAGAACGTGACGACAATCCTTTTCCTGGTCGCCATTTCCGAGTACGACCAGCTGCTTTTCGAGGATGAGACCGTCAACCGCATGCAGGAAGCGCTGACGCTGTTTGACTCTATCTGCAACTCGAGATGGTTTGTCAAGACCTCGATCATCCTCTTCCTGAACAAGATCGATCGCTTCAAGGAGAAGCTGCCCGTCAGCCCCATGAAGAACTACTTCCCTGACTACGAAGGTGGCGCCGATTACGCTGCCGCCTGCGATTACATCCTCAACCGCTTTGTTTCCCTCAACCAGGCCGAGCAGAAGCAGATCTACACTCACTTCACATGTGCTACAGATACTACGCAGATTCGGTTCGTCATGGCTGCTGTAAATGGTAAGTGGAGAGAACCCTATCTAGCCACGAAAAAAAAAATGGGGAGCTCGGAACTAACATAACATAGATATTATCATCCAAGAGAACCTCAGACTCTGCGGTCTGATCTAATGATCCTTCTTTTGTATTTGTGATGGGGGGAAATGAGGACGTCCTGATACTCTACTTTTTCCTTTTTAGATCGTATGCTACGTGGCCCTGTATTTTTGATATCAATGTTCTTTGTGTGATTTTTTCTTTTCTTTTTTTTTTACTCGCTTCCCATGCCCGCCATACCTTGCCGCGACTTGTCTTATTTCTTTTCCTTTCGAAAAGATACTGGCGTTGAGACATTCTTTCCTTTCTCCTTCTCCTACTATTTCTAATTCCTTTCTTATACTGTCTTTTTGTTCATCTCTCTTTCACCTTCTCTGCTGAATGAATCTCAGCCTGGCTCTCTGTTCATTATTACCGGTATATTTTCTTCCCATGAACAACAACAGCAGGAGACAGAGTTGTCTGTCTGTTCTGGCTAGACCAGCAGACTTCAGACTATATTTGAATCTGATCGTCAAGATTCCTTTGATATGTTCCCACGCTTCCCGAGAAAATTTCACCTTATGTTGGGCCACTTCCTCATTTCCCCTCCATCATTTCCCCTATGTCTATGTTTCATGTGTTATTTTTTTTAAACTTTCTCTTTCTTATTTAAAGCTGGATATCCTGTCTCGGTGGCCTCGTCAAAACTTGTAACCATATACATGACTCGTTTAGTAGTCAGTAGGTTCCATTTATCCTTGGGTAATCTTTTTAAGAAGTCTATAGCTAGAAACCACATGGAGTGTAAGTAGTAATTAGTATAGAGTGTAAGAAGTAACTAGTATAATTACCATGTAGTTAGTTATATTATTATTGACAAGCAAACAAGCTGCAGCGTGTTTATAATCTTAACTTGGGCCCCACAAAAACAATCAAGATGGCAACAACCCACAGCCCGAAGATCCAGGCATACAGCATGATGCGCCCCCACCAGCCCTTTCCCTCGGTCATACGGCGGAGCATCCCCATGCGCTTCTCGGCCGCCTGCATGCCCGTGGTGGTCTTGTCCAGACCCTCGACGGCACGGCCAAGGATCGACTTCTCCGACTCGAGCGAGCTGTGGAACGCCTGCGACGAGGCCTTGAGCTGGCTGGCTAGCGAGAGTAGGGAGGTTGTCAGGTCTTCTTGTTCCTGTCGATGCGCGCTGAGGGTCGCCTCCGTCGAGGAGAGCTTGGATAGGTCCGCGGAACCTGTTGCAGTCCCTGTAGCAGTAGCAGTAGCAGTAGTTGTAGGTGGTGATGTCTGGTGTCGATGTCGTAACGAAGCTGTCGGCGTTGGTGTCAAGGTATGTGTCGTAGCGGGCACGTCCGGCGTTTGCGCCAATGATGCTGTTGAGGAAGGTGTAAGGTGCTGGTCTTCGTGAGTGGATATGCTTGATTCATCGACTTCTTCGGCCGTCTCGTGCTCCGAGGTGCTTTCGCCTTCTGGCGTGGCGAGGAGGTCCTCTCCATCATCATCCTCGTCATCATCATCATCGTCGTCATCTTCAAGTTGTATGCCTACAGCACCGGGCCGGCCAGTAATGGAACCAAGTATGTTTACTCTCCTCGCTTGGCCTTCTGCGGAAAGCTCTTCCAGTACTTCAGAAAGTGACTTTAGCGTCTGTCGCCGTTTGTTCAGGTCCAGTTGGATCTCGTGCCGTCGTTCGAGGGGTTTGATCTGCGGGAGAGACTTCTCGACTTGCACCAGTAGAGAGCGAGCATATTCTAGGTTCTGAAAAAAAAATCTTAGCATGTTCTCAGTCTGAACAGAAAAAGAGGTCGACATACCGCTCCGACTCGCATGCGCTGGTACTCGGATCGTCGTAGCGGGCTGAGATCAGCGCCGGGAGAAAGCAAGTTGTGCTCGAGCCGTGTGAATAACGCGGAGAGATTAAGCAACGCGAGGTCGGGCGAGTCCCCTGGATCTGGGGAGGGGAAGACGGTGAGTGTCATGGTGTGTTTTCGATTATTGTGTTTGATGGATGGACACTCGAGTAGACGTGGTAATCCTTATCGAGTTGATTAACTTGGGTACCTTAGCTATCATTTGGGGCATGACTAAGCTGGCTATTCTTCCCCCCCATTTCGAGAGGGCAGCAATTCAGCAGCTCACTTCTGGCCTTTCAGTTTGTCGAGTTGCTTTATGTCACTCTCTTGACCTACACGTTGATAAATCGAGGATGATAGCTGGGCTAGGTTTGGAGAAGCTCAAGTTTATTAACAAAGGTATGTCCGAAAAATCACCATACCGAGGAGCGACAGGGGATGGCCCACATGCAACTAAACAGCCAAACAACGAAACAATGAAAGGACTAAACAATAGAACTGCAGAAATCAATACATGCTTGGTCGTGAAAATCGTTAAGACTCCGCCGCCCATGTTCTGGTCTTTGGGAGACACAACAGCCACATCAGTCGAAGACGCCATAAAACAGGTCTACCTCGGGCCCTGGATATGCAATCGAGACTCGCCAACAAAGAAAAGCAACTGAAAAAACGGAAATGATTCCAAAGATCTAAAAAGAAAGTGAAGAAGCTACCCCATGCAGTTATCCTGCTGACAGCCTTAACAGCACGTTCACCGGTACTCGACCGTCAGTCGTTTCCACGTCCTCATTCCAACCGAGTCCACATCATGCATGAGTTGGGAGGTTTCACTCAGCCTCTGCACCGACTGGATAGACTGGGTATCCGCAGAGCCGGGACTGCTAGGAGAGCCAGGGCCGTGTGACTCGGAAGAAGATCCAAAACGCTGATGCTTAGGAGTGCTAGGGTGCGTGTCGATTCCTCCTTCAACCGGCTCGGGGATCTCTTTGCGCTGGGACTCGCCCGGTCTCAGGGAGGATGGTGATTGCTCTGACTGTTTCCCTGGAGAAGAATGGTACCGATAGAAGTCGTAAGGCGGTGGGAAAGTATGCTCCTCGTGTGAGAGAAGTTGGCCGTCTTCTCCGAGTGGCGCTTGTTTTCTCAAAGAAGCAATATACCCGCTGCTGGGCAAGGGTGTCATATGCGAGAGCGGTTGCAAGACGTCACACGCAGACGGCAGCGGCGGTACCGTCAATATGGACTCGTCCACTGGAAGGGCTTTTTCTTCGTCCATGACCTTTGGTCTCGTTGCGTGACTCGGCTTGTTCGAGTCTTGTGAAGATGGTAAGGGAGACTGGCGCTCACGATACTGGCGTCTGACGCGGCGGATGAGAATGACAACGCAGAGGATGCAGAAGCCGGGGTATAATAAGAGGGCAAGAGAAGCACTCTGCAGACCCTCTGCAAAAATGACGGGGGCACCATCTCCACAGCGCATGATGTAGTGGGCTGCCCTAGCTTTCCAGGCAGGATGGACAAAAACGGCACCAGAGAGGTCGTCTGGACGGCACCCAATCATCCGTCAAATCGCAGGGCAGATGATCTCTGATTCGACCAGAATCCACTTGTAGACGTTCGGTGTAACAATGTTTGAAGGAGCAGAAGAACCCAAGGATTTAAGCATGAGAAGAGAAGGGCTGATGGCACTTGCATCCGTTCTTCCGCCTACTTATCTACCTTTCCACACCTGGTAGTCTCTCTCGATGCTTGATCGAAGAGGCAAAGTGTAAGGCCGGCGAGCGAATGGAATTCTTCACCTGGTCGATCTGGCAGGATGGCTCGACGATAATAGTAACGACAGCAAACTATACTTGCTCAAACAGGAAAAAGAAAAGGAAATTGACTGGGACCGCCGAAGAAAAATAGGTGAAACACCCCGTCAAGAGGCGAACCCATCGCAGAATTATGCCCTTTTCTGGCCATCAACTACGCCTCCTCTACCCATCACAAAAGCCAGAAGGGAGAAGGCCAGCCCCTCTTTCTCTCCCTCCTCCACCATGGGATGACTTCTAGCTACGGCGCATCCTACTGCCTCGCGAGCGAAATCTGCCTAGAGAGCGGGGACCTGACAAAGGACATCCAGCTCCGCCATGATCAGCCACGAGTCGACGCGGAAGCAGGGAATGATCCAGATCTTCGTGTTCCAGTGGCGGATCGCTGCGTTGTTCAGCTGTCAGGATCTGGCGCCACCAAGGAGTCGTGGTGTCCTGGCCCTGACCTTGGCCCTAGCCCTGGCTCTTGGAGCCCTTGGCACGGCCCCGATTCCCTGGTCGCTCGCCCCCCCTCCCCTTCCAGTCAGCAGCCAGCCCTAAAAGAACTTTAGAGCTTTATCTGGATGGAAACATTGTCCGCCTAACGGTGCGTGTGATGAGGGACAGGGATCCTTCGTTCTGCACGGAGAGAGAGGAAGGGGGGGGGGAGGGGGCAAAGAGCTGACCCCCTCTCTGTTTCTCTCTCTCTCTCTCTCGCCCACTACGAAGTACGAGCTCTTTGACACTCTTGCATGGAAGGCGGTCCTCTACTATGGACTCAGCGCCCAATCGCAGAACAAACAGTATATATCTGCATGACTTGCAGCTCAGGAGAAAGACTAAGTAACACTATTAGACGACAGACATACTTTATTGACTGCCGCGTAACTTGTGTCCATCTAGTTAACTACGGAGTACTCGGTACTCGGTAACTTCTACTCGATAACTTCAACATCAATAGTAGGATTAATTTAGTCTATTGAGTTAAATAAAACCAAGTTTATGGCTTGAGGCTCAGCTCAGCCTCTCAAAGACTCGCAGTCTCATCACGCATTATTAATTGTTATCGGAAATGTGCCTCCATCCAGCATAGATTAAAACAAGGCCCCCACTAATCTCTGGCCGGATAATAGGTAGGTAGGTCACATACAGAATATACCTTGGTGAGCTATATGCGAAATTAGAGTCGATATTGGCATGGAGCTCCCCTGTCTCTTCGCCCGTCTCCTTTCAATCAGACCAGAGCATAGGTGTGTTGGTGGAGTCGAAGGGGAAGCGATTCAGCCCGCCACGATCTGGGGCGGCGAGTCTGCCGTGCCTGGGCTTGGGCTATATCCCCCGCCCACGCTGCTGGAGAAAAACCAAGGGCGAGTATAACAAGAATGGCGATCCAGAGTTATTGAGAGAAAGAGTTTGAATCCGTCCACGCTAGCATAGCGATGGAGTGAGTCTCGTGGCCACTCGTTCCAAGGTCTGGTCGGATGCGCTGCCTTCTGTCTCCATCAGTACTCCAGCTGGGGAGGAGTTCTCGTGAGCAAAATCTGTCTTCCTCGAGCTGGAAGGTTTTTCTTTTTCTTTTTTCTCTTTTTGGAAACCCCGATGCCAAACCGCAGAGCTAATCATGATGACTGATTTCGTTGTACACCGACTGCAGACTCCATAACGACAAGATCCCGAACAACGACAGCCAGTGAGGCTGGTGTTGGTGGCGGTGAAGCGCAACGGCTGTGGCGGCGTTCGTCAACCAATTTAAACATGGAAAAACCAACCAATTCTTTCTTTCGCCCGATGAAAGGGGGGGGGGGAAGACCAGAATCAAAATCTCGCATTTGCCTCCGACGCTGTCGTCTTCGCGGATTCTTTTGCTTCGAACCCCCGTCCCTGACTCGCTAGGGGACTTGTTTCCCCTTTGCCTTCACGCCGCTGGGCTGGTTCACTGATTATTATTGATCTATCTGGATTCTATGGGTCCTGTCCACGCACCGGGGCTGCCGACGAGACCAATCACCATGGCACGATGGGACGTCCTCTTGCCCTTCAGCTGAGCGCTTGTGCTTGTGCTTAGCTTGCTAAAGCGCCCAAAAAAAACACCTCCAGCCTACTACTCTCCGCTCGTTTTACGCAGGGTTTTGTTCCCCCCCCCATCAAAAAGACTCGAGTTGTGGCAAAGCAGGGAGAGCGGGCGGGGGGGGGGATATCTACGATGGGTAGTTTCTGAAAGAATGATACCTATCACATAGGGGAAGTATGAAGGACTCGTGTACGGAGGACTTTGTACCACATACCTCTCTGGTGGCGTATGGCGCGGTTCCTCGTCGGTTGTCCTGTCCTCTGTGCGACGAAAAAAGAGACGACACGAGCAAGTTCTACGGAGTAGTTAGTTACTCGGTAACTAGTGCTCTTAGCTAATAGCCACAAGCTCCCCCCGGCATAGCCCCAGTGGGCTAATTTGTGCCTCTTCCCAAATCTCACCATTCAACTCTGGTGGTACGAAGAATGGAATAATACTTTTTCTTACTGTTTTCATTGCAGATCCAACATATCACCGAGCTCAACCGGATGTGGCGCATGCAGAGATGCTATTAACAGAGCTGATCTGTTGTTCAACTAATTTGTCATTGTGTCCAAGAGGGCTCCGCCTGAAGGTTGATCCACTCGACTGCTGCTGACTCGTCTCAACGATCCCTTGAGGACTGACTCTCTTCTCCTGGGTTTTCCCTACTACTCTGTTCAGCTGGATTTCGAACGCTCAGCTCGCCTGGTTGCAAGCCATCCGGCAGTGACATGTGTGACTACGAAATGGCGGTAACCGAATTGCAATGGACCTACTCATTACATCACACAATTGTCCTACTAACAAGGTCAGATCAGTGATAGATCAAGTCTTGCTTACAGAGAGAGTGCCCAGAAACCACAATGAGGTTCAGGGTCATCCCTCAAATAGACCTCCCGATATCATATGTACGACTTTCGATCATCTAAAGGCAAAGAAGAATCCTCTCGATAAAACTGAACTAAAAAAAAGATTAGGTCTATCTTAGGACGCAAAGACATCATGTGGTGAGGAACGGGTTGAGAGACTCATAACAATTGACTAACAACCAGTTCCAGGATGTCACCAAGGATGAGATGAGAGTAGATGTCTCTGAGTGGTTATGTTAATATAGTCAAGATATGGGGTTCCTGGTCAGGGGATCCTCAATGCCGGGAGATAGAGTGAAATCAGTAAGTAGAAGTTGATAGGCACGGCATTTCATATCACTTCATTCAAGTGCCTATATAATAATGATACCATATTCTCGTTACTGAGTACTTTCCTCCCACTTGCTGTTGCTAGAATATACGTTATATGAGAGCTTTAAGTAGTGGTTATTATGCTCGAGCTTCCATTGTAAGCAGACATATATATCCACTGAATCACCTACTCCCTAAACCAGTTATCAAGATAGAAGAAATTCAAACGCTGCAGATACTAGCTAAGATGTTTCATTACTCCTCGCCGCCTGCAAGACAAGCCACCGCCGCCTTGAGCTCGGCGACGATTTTCTCCTCCAGCCGGTTCTCAGCACCAGACTCCGCGAACTGGGGCTTCTGGCGCAGCATCTCCGTCTCCTTATCACTCGTAGCCACAATGCGAGAGCGCAGCATCCCACGGCGCTCCAACAGGTCTTCGATGTCCTCCTTCACCTGCGCCTTGTTCCATTTTAGTTCCTGGATGGACTGGCTGTCGACACCTATGCTGGGACCCGCCTCGCGGAACCGGTCGAGGATCACGGTGATCAGCGCTAGCGAGTACGCTTCCGATGCCATGCTCAGACAGATATGGCGAGCCGATTTGCCCGGTGTGGCAAGCGCAATGGTACGGCTGCCGGCGAACGCGTCGGCCGCACGGCTCAGCTGGCCGTCGAATTGGTTTAGGAAGGCAGCTACCTCCGGTGCCGTCCGGATGACGTGGTAAAGCAGGTTGAGACACAGCGGAAGAAAGCCCCCGGTCCAGATGCGGTACATGCTGGGCACCGGGTCGAAGGGGCCGAAGCCCTTTGGCTGCCGCAACGCGTTGGTTAGGCGACATGTCGATAGGTTCACCAAGACCGCCTCCACAGCAAGGTGCTCTGCAAGCATTGGGATGGTAGAGAGCTTGACCAGGAATGAAATGCTGATCTCGCCGTAGACGGGCTCGCCCGCCACGATGAACTGATCCGACCAAGAAAAGAGAGTCGTGGCGTACCGGGCAGTCTCGGCATCTTCGATTTGATAAACGATGTGCTCATACAGTCGATCTACGTTTTTCACCCGCAGGCAGCTCTGCAAGACAGCAGTCAGAATAGCAAAGTCCTTGGGTGTGCATTTTTCCGGTTGTTCGTGCAAGTAGGCCGTCAAAGATCTAAATCCCTTGGCGACAATGGTCTTGACAATGTCGACCACCAGCGACAGATCCGACGATAGCTCAGCTTTCTTATTGAGTGTTTCGGGAGCGGACCGGGATGGTCCATCCAGGTGAAATTGCAAAGCAAGGAAGAGGACATTTAACAACGATCGATAGTGTTCGACGTCATCGTTCACCAGGGCATCTTCATACGTGGCTCTTCGAGCGCGCATCGCTTCCCAGACGGCGCCTAGAAGGCCGAAGACCTCGGCTCCTTTGGCTCCAGTCTCAACAAGCCGTTGCACAAGGGCCTGAGCAAAATCAACACGGGTCTGCTGGACTCTCTCGAAGATAGCTTCCTGAGGCACCCCTCTGGTGTTTGCGATCAAACAGCTCCGGGCGACAAGGGCCATCGACTTTTGTACTTCTCGGTCAACCATGAAATCCGAGCAGTGTTCCACGGCTAAGAACCTCCAGCTGTGTAAAAGACCCTAAAGAAAATTAGGTTAGTCATGGCGCAGAAAAATGGGGAAGAGGAAGGGGAAGAAGCTTACAACTTGAGCCTCCACCAGCGACAAATTGATATTTGCCCTTTCGAGCTCATTGGCAAAGCCTTGGTTCCGGGTCCCGGCCCATGCAAAATCGTATGAAAGAAGCTCTTCGCTGAGCTTCATGTCATAGTAATAATCTCGCCCCAGGGGTCGGGCTTCAAGTGAAGACCGCTTGAAGTCCTGAAGCTTGCACCCTGGGTATCTCATCTCAAAATTCTTCTTCAAATTGGCATGGAGCGAGGTATTGTAAGCCGAAACGTCGACAGCATCTTTGGAAAACCAAGAAACGAGCGGAATCAAAGTCTTGAGGAAAGATTGATCACGCGCTTCTTTTGCAAAATGCAAATATACAGCACATAGGTCTGCCGTCACAGCAGCGATGCGGGTGACAAATATTTGGCTCGTCACGGGAAGACTGGAAATCTGCAGCTTGGAGACATAGCTGATGAGATTGTTGAAGAAATTGGGATGCTTGCTCAACTCCGGAGTCGCCCATGGCCAATTCTCCTGGGAATGGGAGACAAATTCAAGCAATGAGAGAGCAACCTGAGGGTTGATTTGTTCGATATTCGATAATGTGTTGAGTGCAATCTTCAGGAAAGGGGCGCCTCTCATGGTTGGGTCCTTCTTCGTGACATCTTTTTTCAAGGACTGTCGGGGGGATGAGCCTGTAAGAATGTAAACAGCTAGCCACTGTTGGCGTTTGCTGACGATCGTTGTTAATAGATGCCAGATTGCAAGGAGGAGCGGTTTTCCATCAAGTGGCTTCTCGAACTGTGCGAGGATGTCAAGGAAGAGGCAAGCTGACTGTGCGCCCAGATGGCCGACTAGGGACGGGGGCTCGTTGGCAGAATTCGAAGCCGCACTCGTAATGAGAATGTCCAAAAGGGAAACCACGGAATGTCTGTATGTATCTTGTAAAGCATATAGCTTGACCAGAACCGGTGTTGCTTTGAATAGCTGATCTTCTAGGAGCGAAACTGGGCTCTTCGCTGCTTGTGCTGCTTGAAGAAGCTTGATCGAAAGTGTAAGAGTGGACCTAGTCTGTTTCTCCATCAAGAAAGAATACCGGAGATAAGTAGTGGATGGTGTCTCGAGGCCGGCAACTATCAATCGGAAAATAGGGTTGAAAGGGATGTCCTCGGTGGACTGTAAACGCAGAACGTCTAGGAGATAGATCGCCGACGCACTGAACATCGCCGTCACTTTTGCATCCAAATTGGTATCGTTATCCGTTGCAAATGCATAATAAAGCACACGTTCAAATGTATCTGCGAGGGTCGCATTGATTTTGAACCGTTGACCAAGGTCTTTGAATCTCCAGCCTGCGTTGCTGCTGTAGACATCAACCATGATCCGGGTGTATTTCAGGATAGCGTTTTTCATCATGTGGGAAGGTATGCCGGCACTCCAGTCGGATGCCACCGTTGATTTGATCGACGGGCTGCTAGGACTGCGTCTCATGACTGCACGAGAGGCCGCATCCTCAAGGATTGCGGCATACAGGTCGATACAGGCGAGTAAGAACGGATATTCACCGGACATTGTTTCAATCGTTGAGGTGATGACTGTCATCATGCCGCCTTTGCCATCTGACCCAAGTAAACTGCTTCTTGAAAGCAATGGCCATACTCTGCTAGGTAGAATCTTGAGTAGCATACGGATGAACTGTGTGCAAGCGATTGTGCAGTCTAGAGAGACTCCGACCCCCCCTCGGGAGCCGATCGTGTGCAGACTTCGTTCAAAGATCTCAAACACAACCGAGACAATATCGCTTTGGCGTGCTAGGCCGTCGCTGGCCATTTCCAATATCCTTTTCGCTGCAGAGCCCGATTCACTCTGAATCGACTCGTCCCTTGAAGCAGCAATGAGGTCTGTGAAGAGCCCAATTATTTCTGGAACCGCATCCTCATCACATTCAAGGGAGTAACCGCCGCTCTCATTCCACTCCTCCAACCAGCTACCCAAGAAGCTCAGACATGAATACTGGTGGTGCCATGTTATAACTGCAGGCTTAGAGTCTGAAACAACTTGACCAATAGTTGAAGAAGGCACTATAGAGGATGTGGTCACAACCAAGGCGTTATTACTAGTTGAATCGGATACCTGTCTCCTGGAGGAGGTTTCGAACATTGGCAACGGCTGAAGAAGAGAAACAAGATTGGCGTTCTCATCTTCCCGAATGGTTTCGTAGCCCTGAAAATCCGGCGATACAACCTGTGTGAACCTCTCCATAGTCTCCAGATGTGTGAGAATGGAAGGTAATCCTTCCTCATCTCGCATACTGTTGTTGATGAGAGCGCGACATAGGCTCAGAAACGGACCCGTTTCGTAAGGGAAACGCGATCGTGCGATGTGGAAAATCCTCTCCATCAACACATCGCTTTGGAAAAAGACATGTCGAGGGTCACAAACGAAAAAGGTACCATCATCTTCCAACCATCTGGATTCCGGTTTGGCGCCTTTCAGAATATGCAAGACTGATTGAAGAATCTCTGGGGAATACTCGAGAAATTGCATCGCAGCGCGCACGAGATCTAGGAGCGCGACTCGAATCCAACAGTCTGTAGCTTGGTCATCGATACCTGACGAAGAGCCAACCTTGGTAGCCAGTGTGACAAGGACATCAAAGGTACGCGTCTGCATTTCCGCAGAGGTGAAGATGGCAATAGCCTGCTCAGCATTGGCCTTCGGTGTTCGGGCACAATCAATCAACTCCTCATATAGCGAGAGGTCTGATCCACGGCTTGGTCCTGCGGTAGGCGTGTTTGAATTGAACGAGTCCACAGCGCTATGGAATTGCTCTATCTCTCGCGTCTCTTTGTCGAAAAGAGCAATCTCTTGCAAAGTATTCAGGACCAACCCAAACGCGAATCCCGCAGGGCTTACACCATAAAATGTGAAACTAGAACCCAGCAAGATCTCCGTAATTTGTCCAATATCCTTGGACAGAAAATAGGGTACATGTGTACTCTTTGACGGCGGCTGTTCTCTATTGATGATCGCAGGAATAGAGACGGACGGTTTCAGGAGCGCGAGGGTTGTTAGAGACACCAGGGCTTGGATAGGCGTCAAGATCTCATCAGGCTCGTCACATTGCTTCAAAGAAATGATCAGCGATATTTGCAAGAGTGGAATGACAAATTTACTTACCACCTGGAGCATGTCCAAGAAATCGCAATCCTGCATCAGATTGAGCCAAGAGAGCACAACCGTAGCATCTGGAGCATCGGAAGAAACCTGAACCTGCAAAAATAATATTTGCAAGATATGCAGAATATCTTCCACGGCAGTTATCTTCCACAAAACCTCGATCTCCTCTGTGTTTTCTTCTGCTGACAGCCAACCACCGGTCTTCTGCAATTCCGTCAGGCGACTCCGCGTAGCTTCAATGCATTCTTGCAGATACTTGGCCCATTCGTCGCCACGAGACCTGCCCTTATATATACTGGCTCCCAGGTCACGTAAAGTAGCCTCCTTTTCATGTTTTTGTGTGGCAGCCAACTGTCCCGGAATCTTCTCACCCAGTGATAAACTTAGCAGCTTGCGAGATGTCTTCAGAATATGGCTCTTTTCCAACATATACATATCAGACAACCTGGCTCTTCTATTCTTTTCCGATGAAAACCCATCAGCCCCATCTTCATCGACTGTCTTCTGCTGCAGGATTTCCAGAGGGTTGGGGCCTGCGACCGAGGCCCGAAAAGAACCAGGACCAACGGCGCTTTCTAAACTTGTGGCTTCTTCCTTTGAAAAGTTAGCCAGAAGGCGCGCCGCAGGACGGTTCTGCCATTCCAGGACAGCGATGCGTAGTGCTGTGATTTCGTCGATACCGGCTTTCTGGCTTAGCCACAGAGCGTCTGATTTGATCTCTTTGAGGTCATACGAGACCTGTGTCGTTGTTTCCGCATTGGTCGCGGCGGTTTTGGACTCAAACTCTGCTTTTGTTTTCGCCGATGGAGGAGGAAAAGGATTCAGGCTTCGGGATAGGACCTGCACGCTCTCCGGATGCGATAGAAACGCCAGGACACTTCCCGCGTCATCGCTGTAGATCTCGGGCCTGCACGCATAGAGAAACGCTCGTTTCCAAGAGCTAGCATATGTTAATAAAAGCGCACGATAAAGGGGAGCGGAGAGCCCTACAGAAGCTGGACGTCCCCAGAGAAGCACTTGTCCAGGGACGGGAAATAGGCCTCCGGGACGGGAGCCATTGGCGAGACAATCAGATCATTCTAGTCACGTCGGCAAGAAAGCAGATTTTGAACATAGAGGCAGCACGATTGCCGTCTATGCAAGAACACGCAACGAGACTCAGGGAGCAGAGAGGGCTTTGCGACCTGGACGCGGGAGCTCTTCAGCAACACCTTCAGGTCAACAATGAATTTGATGCCTATCTAGGTTTAGCCCCGGGCGGTGTGTGTCGAAATTTTGGGCTGCCTGGATGCCTTGATGCCTGAGGCGGAAACATAAGTAAAAAGGCAAGCTTTCCGAAAGAGGTTAGTATAGTGGGATCCAGATCTGACTCAAGTGAAGTGACGCAGAGTCGATTCAAGGTAGTTGATCTCCATCAGCAGGGCCTGGGGTTATTCAAACCCTGTCTTTCTTTTCTTTCTGTTTTGCCTCTTCGGATTTCTTCTTTCCGTACAATACGACGACAGCTGTTAGCCAGACACAATGGTGGGCTCTGATCTCGTCGACCACTCCCCCCACCATCCGACTAAGGCCGCGAAACTCGACAGTGCCTCAAACGTGATTCTGATCGATAACTACGACTCTTTTACTTGGAACGTCTACCAGTACCTTGTGCTGGAAGGCGCCACCGTCACTGTCTACCGCAACGATGAAATTACCGTCGAGGAACTAGCCGCCAAAAAGCCTACCCAGCTAGTGATCAGTCCAGGACCTGGCCATCCGGACACTGATGCTGGGGTCAGTCGCGCTGCCATCGAGCACTTCAGCGGCAAGATTCCGATCTTTGGGGTCTGCATGGGCCAGCAGTGCATCATATCGTGTTTTGGCGGCAAGGTTGACGTGACGGGCGAAATCTTGCACGGCAAGACATCTGTCTTGAAGCATGACGGTAAAGGAGTCTATGCCGGCCTGCCCGCAAATTTTACGATTACCCGCTATCATTCACTGGCTGGCACGCACTCGACTATTCCTGACTCGATCGAGATTTCGTCTTGGGCAGAACTCCAAAATGGCAACAACAGCAAGGGTGTGATCATGGGGGTTAGACACAAGAAGTTTGCCGTGGAGGGTGTCCAGTTTCACCCAGAGAGCATTCTCACCGAGTACGGCCGCGCGATGTTTAGAAATTTCTTGAACCTTCGGTTTGGCACCTGGGAAGAGAACAACAAGCTCGCTGGTCAGAAGACTGTCGTCGCCGCTAATGGCTCAGTTGTCGGGAAGACTGACAAGAAGACTTCAATTTTGGATAAAATCTACGATCACCGTAAAGCTGCCGTTTCTCTCCAAAAAACAATTCCATCCCAGAGACCAGAAGATCTTCAGGCTGCCTATGATCTCGGGATCGCGCCTCCCCAGGTTCCATTCGCCGCTCGTCTTCGCCAGTCGGCCTATCCGCTGTCGCTCATGGCAGAAATCAAGCGCGCGTCTCCATCGAAGGGGATGATCGCTTCTTCTGCCTGCGCTCCTGCTCAAGCCCGGAAATATGCCAAGGCCGGAGCCAGCGTGATTTCAGTTCTCACCGAGCCCGAATGGTTCAAGGGCAGCATCGAAGACTTGCGCGCTGTCCGCCAGAGCTTGGAAGGTCTCACGAATCGCCCCGCCGTTTTGCGCAAGGAATTTATCTTTGAAGAATATCAGATCTTGGAGGCACGACTGGCTGGTGCCGACACAGTCCTCCTCATCGTCAAGATGCTTAGCGTTGAACTACTGAGCCGCCTCTACCACTATTCTCGCAGTCTGGGAATGGAGCCGCTCGTGGAAGTCAATACCGCCGAGGAGATGAAGATTGCTGTGGATCTTGGCGCCGAAGTGATTGGAGTCAACAACAGAGACTTGACCAGTTTCGAGGTCGACCTTGGTACCACCAGCCGCCTTATGGATCTGGTTCCCGAGACGACCATCGTTTGTGCTCTTAGCGGTATCTCCGGTCCCAGTGATGTGGAGGCCTACAAGAAGGATGGTGTGAAAGCCATTCTTGTGGGTGAAGCTCTCATGCGCGCCCCCGACACTTCCGCATTTGTCGCCGAACTCCTTGGTGGCTCTACTGAACAAATCTCTGTTGGAATCAGGAACTCGCCTCTCGTCAAGGTCTGCGGGACCAGGTCCGAGGACGCCGCCCAGGCCGCCATTGAGGCTGGTGCGGACTTAATCGGTATCATTCTCGTCCACGGACGCAAGCGTCTTGTTCCTGACGATGTCGCTTTACGAATCTCCCAGACAGTCAAATCCACACCTCGTCCCGCGACTCAAGCTAGTGTGGCTTCGAATGTTGGAACTTCCGTGGATTACTTCGACCATTCCGCCAAGACTTTACGACACCCTACCCGTGCCCTGCTGGTGGGCGTCTTCCAAGACCAACCCTTGTCTTACGTTTTGGCTCAGCAGCAGAAACTGGGTCTGGATGTCGTGCAGCTTCACGGCTCCGAGCCCCTGGAATGGGCGCGCCTGATCCCCGTCCCGGTCATCCGCAAGTTCGCCTTGGGAGAAATTGGCATCGCGCGCCGCGCCTACCACACCCTCCCTCTGCTGGACTCTGGAGCCGGTGGCTCTGGTGAGCAGCTTGACGAGGCCAAGGTTCAAAAGACTCTTAGTGGTGACGACGGTCTGAGAGTGATTTTTGCCGGCGGCCTTAACCCCGAGAATGTCACTGCCAAAATCAAGGCGTTGGGCGATCTCGGACACAAGGTTGTTGGCGTAGACGTCAGCTCGGGAGTTGAGACCAACGGCTCTCAGGACCTCGAAAAGATAAAAGCATTTGTGCAGGCGGCTAAAAGCATTCAGCAGTAGTTAAACATGCAGACTTTGAAGACTTGACGAGTTCGGTTTTATTCTACTTTATATAAAGTTAATGATGATGAATTTTCTCATTCAATTCTTACTCCAGTCTACACCCGTAGCTCTGGATCTCTCACATGCCTCTTACTTCCCATATACTGTTTTGTTCAACAGTGAGAGGCTCAACTGAGGCATTTGATACTAGCCTACTAATGAGATCATATAAAACGCTTCCCATTCTCAACCATGGCCCTCTTTTGAACTCTTCTCTCTCTCTACTACTGACACCGGTGACGCACGATATATAATCATCCTGGGGACTGTCCGCCCTGTCAGACGCATTCGAGATGGGAAAACCATTCTCCCAGATCACTGCATCTTCTGTGGGCAGCTTCGGAGACAATGGGGACAAGATCCCCCAGTGGATTCGGGCAAACGGGGGATTCTACTCGAGAGATATCAGCGAAGGGACTACACATCTCATCGCAACTAAGGAGGCTTTTAAACGGAACGTGGAAGCCGGTTAGTCCCTTTTTCCTCATATATATATATTGTTCAGACGCTGTCGCTGACGTTTCTACAGTGCAGCAGGCAAAGCAGCACAAAGTCAAGATTGTCTCATACGAATGGCTAGAGGACTCACTCTTGTCCAAGTCTCGCAGGCCCAAGCGTGAAGGACCGTATCTGCTTGAGAAAATCTTGAAGATGACAGAGAAGAAAAAGAGAGCCGGGAAGGTGGCCAAGGCTAAGAAGGCGAAGAGAGCAGCGATGAAGAGACAAGGCGCTATGGCGAACGCTGGTAAAGATCCCCCTATATCAACACGGGATTCCCTTTTTATGTACTCAATGATTTCTACAGATGACCTAGAAAGTTTCGTTGAGGAGTGTCTGGGAGTGAAAGCAAGGACAGAAGCACGTATGATTGACCAGCTTGAAGCAATTCAATTGAGATGCTCTTGCTTATTACTCTTCTTCTCTTGAAATAGGAAACTATCATCTATACGCCGATCAGCAGACGGGTTTGGCCTTCTCTGCGACTGTAGTACGGCCGACGATCAAAGCGAAGAGCCGAGAGAAGTTCCAGATGCAGGTAAGAAGAGAGCCGTTTACCTTTAACAGACCTTGTATTCATCTGCTTCAGATCTTCGAATCCAATACCGAACCACATGTCTATGCCGCGTATGCAAGATACAGTCGCGTCGGCAAGTCGTCTGCAGAACTCCTAGCTCCCCCAGGGAGCAGTCTTGATTTCACCCTGACGGTCTTCACGAAGTTCTTCACCTTAAAGACAGGCAAGACATGGGATAAAAGGTTTGATGGAAAATATCCACCCCGCAAGACCGATGAGGAGGGTAACATCCTGCCGGCCCATGAGGGCTGGTATGAGTACGAGCCACGGATGGGACTCCTGGCGAGCTTCCTGAGACAGACGTGCGTGGGGGGTCAAGGCAATGCTTCTTGTCTAGAGCCAGATATGGAGCAGCAGGATGAAACCAGACCAGACGACTCTCAAGCCTCGGGGCTTGGAGATGTTCTCGACGACGACGCCGACGCCGACGACGACATAGTTGACCGAGGACATTAAGGGGACGTTTAGACCGGGTGAGGCTACACCTCCTCATGAGGCTGTTGAATTTTCAGCCAGCAGATTTATCTATCGTGCCATTGCTATATTTTCGTTTGATCTTCCAGGTCACCGTTACAGCTTACATGCGAACTGGTTCAAGATATTGGATTACCTTTTCTTCTTGGGTCTATCTTTTATCATTTATATTACTCTGAATATATGACTGGTCTCTAGGAGGAGGAACTTAATCTTACAACCAGAAGTTCCTTTACATTGAGTTGAATACCATAGAAGAACCAGAGATACGGGTAATAATACTCAGAGAGTCATGCATTTCCTGGGTATGTGCATAAACAATAGTTCAAACAAGATCGCCAAACCGAATATTGTATCAGGCCCTTCAACACCGTATGCGCCAGACCAACTTTTTTTCATGATGTGCAGGTAAGTATACAGACCAAAGGTGGCCGTAACCATTACAGGTAGTCCTTCTTTTTGCTGGTTCGCGTGTACTGAGTGAGAGCCCACTCGACATCGCCAGTCGAGTTTTTATCGAGGGAGCCGCCTCTGATTTCAAACAATCTCATCGTCATCCGTGGACCAACCTCTGCTAATTCCACGTCCCGGTACCCCGTTTTGACGAACACGTGGTGTCGCACCTCGATACTGTCCTCTTTGTTTACGAAGGTGACGACTCGGTTGCCGACCTTACCGCCCTCGCGTGGCGGGAAGATGTGCTTCAGGATCTGCACCACCCGTGCGCCAAGTTTGGTCTTGAACCCTTCGAAAACCAGATGCGGGTAGCTCTCCGACACAGTCCCCCGGGCCGCGTTGGGAATGTCAGCGCGGAGAACGACATTGTGCAGAGAAAAGCTGGCCGTCGGCCCGTGTGGAAGATGCGAGATGGTCATGGCAGTCGGTGTTCCGCGATGTTCGTGCAACAGGATCATATCCGTCAAGGAAGCGGCGTTCGCACTAGAGACCAGGTCCGGTAGAACCAGGTTGCCGCGGTTCAGGCGGATAGATGTAGGTAGCAGCAAGCGAATCTCCTTCGCAAACGCACTCAGCCGGGCGGAAGGCGACCGTGAGGTTGTAACTAATGGGCGAGGGTCCATGAGTCCGGACGTCAGGGCATATTCGTCGTCAATGTTCACGAGGTCTGCGTCCTTGCTGTCCTTGCCGTCCTTGCCCCCGTCTTGCAACGATTCATCGTATTTAAAGTCTTCCCGAAGATTCTTGTCGTTTGCGATAGATGGATCTAGCGGTTTCCCCGAGGCCAGCGAGGCTTTCAGCTGTGCCCTCTTTTCCGCAATGGAGGCATCGCGGAGGAGCAAAGCCTTGCGATAGAGGTAATCTCGGCGCTCGCGGGCTTGACGGCGCTGTTAGACAGTTAGCTTTTCAAAGCGGAACATAGAGCTTTGTTTTAAACTGATGGGGCTGGGCTCACAAGCATCTTGTGTAATGTATTCACTGGTTCTCCTCTGTAGCTGCTTTGTTGTATCTTAACTGCGGACAACTTTTTTTTTTGCGGCGGAAACTACGGTAATGGCACATACCGCCCGCCGGATTGTGGGATTTGGAGGCAAAACGGGCCTGGATCGGTTGATTGCAGCGTGCGATCTCTCACACGGAGCCTTGCAACAGCTAGGATCCTTCCATTGCTCGCCTGGAGGTGTCGTTGGTGACGGGGACCCTTGCTGGACTTTCAATACGCTCTCTTTTTAGTGCGCGGTCTATTCCAGTGTGCTCGCATCGCGAACCCTTCGCTTCTAGACGAGATTTAGAATCTCCTGCCTTCGGACCGCCCCCGCCGCAACACGTTCGTCGCCTTGGACTCTTGCGTCCTACAGACAACATATCTTCGGGTTCAAAGAGAGGAGACAGGACGGCTGGATTGTCCTGGATAGCCTTTCATATTCTTTTTTCAAAAGAAAAACGCTGACCTGTTGATCTTCCACGTCTTTTATACCCACTCGCCTTCCTTTGTGGACGGGATTCAGAAATACGGCTACAGAAGCTCAGGATCGCTTTTCCCCTTGCCCCTAATAGATCAACTGCTCATTTGAAAGTTGCTCGATTCCAGATATTGATACCTTGCTGGACGCTGGTCACGATATGTCTGCACTCGAGACCGAAGACAGCGTGCTCAGCATGGCTGGACGCCCGAGAAGGCATGACGATGAAGATGATGCTTCTGATATCCTTGAAGACGACGATGCCGAAAGCACTACAAGCGCTCCTGCTGATGGCGCCATGAAGGGACAGGGTAAAGTTGAAGAGGAGAGGGAGCTGCCTCCGCATGCTTGCGCGTGAGTTCATTCCCATGTTCATATCGTTGCTAAGAGAAAAAGCCACCAGGAGCTGTACTGACGGTATTTATAATATAGATATTGCGGTATCCATAACCCAAGCAGCGTTGTCAAATGTCTGGCTTGTAGCAAATGGTTCTGCAGTGCTCGTGGCAATACTTCTTCGTCGCACATCGTCAACCATCTTGTCCGGGCTCGGCATAAGGAAGTTCAACTCCACCCTGGCTCGTCACTAGGCGACACTATTCTCGAATGCTACAACTGCGGTACAAAGAATGTCTTCCTTCTAGGATTCATTCCAGCCAAGTCAGATACGGTTGTTGTCCTCCTTTGCCGACAGCCTTGTGCGGCTATGCCGTCTTCGAAGGATATGAATTGGGACACCTCTCGTTGGCAGCCGCTGATCGAAGATCGTTCTTTCTTACCATGGCTCGTTGCATCGCCTTCTGACCAAGAACAGCTCCGCGCACGCCACTTGAGTCCCCAACTCATCGCCAAACTCGAAGAAATGTGGAAAGAAAACTCGCAGGCAACCGTTAGCGATTTGGAAAAGGCCACAGCGGTGGATGACGAACCGGCTGCTGTCTTGCTACGATATGATGACGCTTTTCAATACCAGAATATCTTCGGTCCTTTGGTCAAGATCGAGGCTGACTACGATCGCAAGCTCAAAGAGTCTCAATCGCAGGACGGGCTCATCGTGCGATGGGACCTTGGTCTCAACAACAAGCACCTGGCAAGCTTCATACTTCCAAAGCTCGAGCTCGGAGACGTCAAGCTTGCTGTTGGAGATGAGATGCGTCTTAAATATACCGGCGAATTGCGTCCGAAATGGGAAGGAGTAGGATATGTCATCAAGATCCCAAACAATCAGTCCGACGAAGTCACCATCGAATTACGCTCGAAGGGTGACCACAAATCGGTTCCGACCGAATGCACACATAACTTCACTGCCGACTATGTCTGGAAGTCCACTTCATTTGACCGTATGCAACTTGCCATGAAGACGTTCGCCGTCGATGAGATGAGTGTATCTGGTTATATTTTCCACCGCCTTCTCGGTCACGAAGTTGCTGCGGCGCCGATGAAGACCCAAATGCCTAAGAAGTTCAGCGTGCCCGGCCTTCCTGAACTCAATGGTAGCCAGATAAATGCAGTCAAAAGCGTTCTTCAAAGGCCCTTAAGTCTAATCCAGGGGCCCCCGGGTACAGGAAAGACGGTCACTTCTGCTACCATTATCTACCACCTGGCGAAGATTAATGGTGGCCAAGTTCTCGTTTGTGCTCCGTCCAACGTCGCAGTTGACCAACTTTGCGAACGTATCCACAGGACTGGCCTCAAGACCGTGCGTGTCACCGCCAAATCTCGTGAGGATGTGGAGTCTCCCGTTGGCTTTCTCTCTCTACATGAGCAGGTTCGCATGAATGACAGCAATGTCGAACTCTTGAAGCTCAATCAATTGAAGGGAGAGTTGGGCGAATTGTCTAGTCAGGATGAGAAACGCTTGAAGCAGTTGACCCGTGCTGCCGAGCGAGAAATTCTGACGAATGCGGACGTCATCTGTTGCACCTGTGTTGGTGCAGGTGACCCTCGTCTTGCCAAGTTCAAGTTCAGGACTGTTCTGATCGACGAGTCAACCCAGTCAGCCGAGCCTGAATGTATGATTCCCTTGGTATTGGGTTGCAAACAAGCCGTTCTAGTAGGTGATCACCAGCAACTTGGTCCTGTCATCATGAACAAGAAAGCGGCCAAGGCAGGCCTCAACCAGTCTCTCTTTGAACGTCTCGTCATCTTGGGCTGCTCTCCCATCCGCCTGAATGTCCAGTACCGTATGCATCCTTGCCTCTCGGAGTTTCCATCGAACATGTTCTACGAAGGATCTCTGCAGAACGGCGTGTCTATGGCGCAGCGTCTTCGCCGTGATGTCGATTTTCCTTGGCCTGTCGGTGACAACCCCATGATGTTCTGGTCCAATCTTGGCAACGAGGAGATTTCGGCTTCTGGAACGTCTTATCTCAATCGTACCGAAGCAGCCAACGTGGAAAAGATTGTTACGCGTTTCTTCAAGGCGGGCGTTCAGCCACAGGATATTGGTATCATCACCCCTTACGAAGGTCAGCGTAGCTATGTCGTTAGTTCGATGCAGGCCAGCGGAACTTTCAAGAAGGAGCATTACAAGGAGATCGAGGTTGCTTCGGTCGATGCCTTCCAGGGAAGAGAAAAGGACTTTATCATCTTGTCCTGTGTTCGATCCAACGACCACCAAGGAATTGGCTTCCTAAGCGACCCGCGTCGTCTGAACGTCGCGCTCACTCGAGCCAAGTACGGTCTGGTCATCCTTGGTAACCCAAAGGTCCTGTCCAAGCATCCTCTGTGGAACGGTCTCTTGCAACATTTCAAAGAGCGTCACTGCCTCGTCGAGGGACCCTTGTCTAACTTGCAGGAGTCGCTTATCCAATTCAGCCGTCCCAAACAGGCATACAGAGGCCCCCAACGCTTCCAGATGTCCTTCAACAATGCCTCAGGAGTTGCAGCTAGCATGACAAATGGCAGAAACGGCCATCGGAATGAATACCACGACTCGGGATCTGTTGTTGGCTATATCCCAGATGATGTTTCCTCCGTGCACTCCTCCGCTCTTGGTGGGGTTGGTATTCCCTCTGGATACCCACCGATGTTCCAGAACTTCACAGATTCATGGCCGACACTTCCTGGCGGCGCCCGGCGTGCTAATGGAAACCGAGCAAAGGGAGCCCCAAGTGTAGCTGGTGAATCCGTCGCTGCCACAGAATCGGATATCACGAGCAGCATCATTGATGGCAAGAGCGTCGACCAAGGAGGCGTGAGTTTGGCTGGGTTGAGCATCCACGATATGACCAAGCAGCCCAGTCTCAGTCAGTCTGATAGACTGAAGCGCTATGTCGAGTCTGGTGGTCGGGAGACTTTTAAAACTGGGTTGAATGATAACGGTAGCATCTTTGGTGGAAGCTCTGCGAGCATTCGCGTGACTCGAGGCATACCAGGGCATGTTCAAGATGATGATGACGCACGTAGTGTCTCAACGGCTTTCGCAAGCCAGGTGGGTGGGAATTATGACTGAGAACACCTTTTCCCAGGCCCGTTACCTTCCCCTGCCTTGGATGCACTCCTGGAACAGTCTCCCAAAAGATTGATTTCATTAGCCTTGGCAAAGTTGCAGTCCACAGAGTCTTGAGGCATTTCACCCCACGGGTTGATGTATGAATGCTCTCTCCTCTCCTTCGATTGTCTCATTGGGCATTCGTCACGTCCTTACGTGCTGATGGCAAGACCACAATGCCCGAGAAAAAATATAAAAAAAAAGCCAGAGCCCTCGGTTTTCTTTGGAAGCAGAGCCTTCCTACTGATCTCTGATAGCCCATTTCAAATTGAGCAGTGTGTCAATAGAAGCCCCCCCGCTACTGCCCCAGATGTCTACAGCCGACGATGTCTTTGTCCATATAAGTTATCGACGATGATATTAGCTAGCGATAGTGGAATATTTGCGAAACGATATCGACAACCCATCCGCTGTCTGTTCCACTTGTGTTTCAGTGGCGATTGAGATGTACCGGACTGGCTAATGGCATTTCTGCATTGGACTGAAGAGTGAGTGCATGTGAGAATATGAGGACACTCTTTTCTAAAGCACCCCGGCTCATACTCTGGTTCTGCGACTCGGGGGGTGGTGCTGACACCTCGTCAATCATTGTCTGCATGCAACCCCGTCACGAAGGTTTCTCTGATCCATTTCCCAACCGCATTGCGTTTTCGTTTTTTTTTTTCCCTTTTCTTCACGTGGATTTATGCCTTTGGTTTCTAGTTTTGTGCCCGGTTTTGCCTATGTAATGAGCTCTATGATATTCGGTTTCGATTTCCCAGATTCCACTTCGAGTATTACTAGCTGTTCAAGCAAATTACAGCGGGTTGACCATGTTTTGCTCTGTTTAATAAGAAATTAGAAAGAAAAAAACAACAACATATCCTATATCAAGTGCTCTTTAAGGAGATAAGGTAGCGTATCATTAACGTTTCATGTTTCATTAAATCATAGCCCGATCCCTCACGATGTTCGATTGAGCATTTAGGAATCCCAAGGGTATTTCGGCAACTCCGGCTCAACAGGAAGCATCTTATAATACAGCAGATCATCGATCGAGACCCATCCACACCGTTTCCCCAGGATGGCTAGTCGAAGGACCTCCCTCCAGTCTCTCCACCAGGCCTCCTCCGCCTGTACAGCACAGACACGCCCGGCCTCTTTGGCTTCCATGCCCGGCGGGAGGGAAGCGTACGGCCAGACAGCGCGAACGACCTCGTACCGTTTCTTATCCATCAGACCGCCGAAGAGGGTGGTGAAGAAGCCCTCGCCGCCGGTACGGGGCGGCTGAATCACGATCTTGGAATAATGCACGGGGAATGTTACCGAAACATGTCGTGTGTAGCCCGTGGCTGCGATCAGGCTGCGGATTTGGCCTTCGATGTTGTTCGTGTCCCAATTAGTCACTTGTCGGTCAAGAACGAAGCTGATCAGAGAGTCAGAAATCACACGGGTATCAATGAGAATCCTTTTTTTTTCTTCTTTTCTTTCGTTTTCAAAATACTGACGTCTTGACAGATGACTTTTCATTGCAAAACTTCCAGGCCCATTGCTCCAGACTCTTTACGGTTGGTGTGGTGGTCTGCGTGCTTTTCCCTCGAAAGGCCAGCTCGTTTTCGCCCACGAGCCTGACATAGTTCCAGTTGCTGGTACTGTTCGTTGTACTGGAATTAGTTTGTTGTCTGGGGAGAAAATAGCGCAGCATGTTCAGCTTGATATCAAAGTCTGGTCTCGACTGCCCTGGCGGCGGGGTGCCTACGATCCGAATGTAGGGCAGTGGGGGTAGCGACGCTTGATCCTGGATGAATCGGAGGAGGGCTTTCGAATCGTGGCTGAGGACAGGGGATGTGGTGACAATCGTCGTCCCATCCTTGGATACTGTTGCGTCTGCAATGGAATATCTGGAAAAGTCCAAATCAGGAAGCCACGGCGTGGGGATCGTCGACGCAGCCAGTGGCCGCCGTGACGACGACGACGCAGCTGAGGGGCCACCTGGAGAGACTACCGGGCTGGAATATGGCGGTGGTTCATTGCTACTGCCTGCAAGAACGTAATCCTCCTCTTCCTCAGCTTCGTCGACAAGCTGTGGAGACGACTGTGGCGGCCGGAACGAGGGTCCTGCTTTCATCGACATGGCCGCGACGTAAGTTGCCGCAGCAAATATACCGCAAATAGATCAGTCTGAGATACCAGCTGGGCTCCCTCTGTCGCAAGTTCCACGACAGCTAAGCAGGGAATTGAACTCAGGTGCATCCAAAGTAATGCTGTTACCTTGAAGTCCACCGGTCTTGGCGCTGGAATGGGGTGAGTGACGTTTTCCCAGCACAGCCACAGCACTATTTTCTAGCGACAGGCTCTGCTGATAAAAAGGGTTGTGTCAAGAGGGAAACTACTAATTATGCACAACTGGAGTCGCCGAAAGAGCCTTGATAGGCTGGCTGGTCGAACGATTGGCGATTCGAAGAACTGCCCGTCGCTGTGGAAAGCGATGCGCCACAGATCGTGGCGATCGGCGTATCGGCGCCACAGTTCGCTCTATATGTTGTGTACACTGTACACAGTACTCTGTAGTAGTACACTTACAGTAATGTGGATGTCACTTTTCTAAGAAAATATTGCGCAGACCACCGGTCCGGCCTGGAGAGACTGCGGCAAAAGGTATACACAGCGCGCTGAGGCACCCACCATACATGGCTACTAACTAGTTACCTCCCTAGACAGACAGCACCTCTAGTCGCTAGCTGAAAGCGCAGGAATTGTCGGGCACCGAAGCAGCCAGCATGCAGACGTGGAAGAGGTTGTACCGGATCACTGAGTTGATCTTGAGCTGCCTCGATAGAGCTGTCATGGAGGATCAGGCACTGGCAGGCAGCATCGAAACGAACCTGGATGGCTGGACGAACGTCGTCTATCCCTCGGGCGTTTCGATTTGGTGACCCCCGAAATCTGCATTTTCCAGGCTTTCCTTACCGTTGCGTTCAGGCCTATAGTTTTACCGCCAACTCGTTTTGATCGTTTGTTTCATCATCAACAGCCATGGGCGACAAAACCAGGGTGATCGTAGTCTTGGGGAGGGTTCTGGCAGCAATGCCAGCAGATCAGGCGGCAATTGTCATCGGGAGCAGCTTAGCGAGTGGATAGCTGCGTTGATCGGTGATGCCGACGGTGTCAGGCACTTATTCCAAACCGTTCAACGGCGTCACAGGCGGTCTTAGCGGTGCGCAAGAACCAGGCGTAGCGACTTCCTCTGGTAGTTACAAGGTTGTGCCTCGACGGTCTTTGAGCGCTGAGTAGTGAGCGGTGAGCAGACGGCACGTGATTGGGCCGGGCAGGGCCCCAGGGGAAAAGCATTTGCCTCCCGGTCCCGTGACGACCCGTTTTATTGCCTGAAAACCTGTCTTTCTGAGTCACTCGTTGGAGCCTGATTTTTTGCCATCCTCCAGGTCAAGACCTACAAGGCGTAATAATTAGCCAGGTGTAATAATAATAGTACAAGTAGTTACCTAGGTACTAGGCAGTTAACTAGTCAACTACTCCGTAACTACAGAGCACCTGGATCGACTCTCGAGTGGCTCAGGCTGCGAAACCATCCTACGTCGACACTCATCATTCCAGGCTACGCTAAGGGCCGTGTCGTCTTGTTCGTTGAGCAGACCACTTCCACGTGTCGAATTGCATTTTGTGAAAACCAGGACGTGTCTATTTAGGCAGGCTAAAACCCCTGCTCCCTTCGTTGGCTTGTACTACCTAGTACCTACCCAGGTTCGGAGCACGGAAAACGGAGCTCGGAGTAACTACTACTGCGCCTCAGAGGGTGGCGGTTTTGGTTTTGGATGCGGCCTTAAGGCTTTTAAATTGCTGCCTTACCCTGCCTGCCTGCCTGATTCCTCAGTCTCACAACACTCGGTATCTATCAGACTATCTATACGAAATACATGCTCGCCACGACTGTTGCATAGTCGGACAGAACTCGAATTATTACTTCCCCGCGCCTACGATCCCCCGGCGATTTGCTGTCTGTTTGCGCGCGACCGCTGCAGAGTTTTTCACTGCCTCTATCCTCGACCGTCCTGTCTTCAAATACAACTCCCCACCTCTCTTCCACTGGCGGGGGACAGGAGAGCACGATAGTTATGGGCGACGGGACCGATTACCCAAGTCCACGAAGCGAAGATACAGGCGGACCTACCACGATTCTTGTTCCTCCCCCTTCTCGAAACATCCTCCCTACCTCTCCCAAGATGACCGACCAGATGGCCTCTGGGTTTGTGGACGCGGCGCGTCCTCGCCTGTCGCTCAGGAGAGCGCGCGACCCTCCCAAAAATGCCACCGGCCAGATCTTCTGCGATCATGCTGACTGCCAGCCCTCGCCTCCAACCTTTCGTCGCCCATGTGAATGGAAGTAAGTGCAGTTCACCATTCCCTCCCCCCGTCCCCGGGTCTCCCCGTACTACGATGCGCGTCGATCGACGCTACAACACAACAGATGCTAACTCGATCTCTGTTCCATAGTAAACACATGGATAAACATGATCGACCCTACAAATGCATGGAACCCGGCTGCGACAAGGTGCAAGGCTTTACCTACTCCGGCGGTCTTCTGAGACACCAGCGCGAAGTCCACAAGAAAAACGTCAGTGCAAAGAAACCTCTCATGTGCCCGTATGCCGATTGCAACCGCAGCACCGGACACGGCTTCACGCGTCAGGAAAACCTGAAGGAGCATCTTCGGCGTCGCCATATGCACAGTGAGAATGGCGCCTCGCCCGAACTCCCCGTCGTTCCCACCGCCGAGTTGGAAATCCTTACCTCGTCCTCGTCACTGCCCAGACCTGCGCCGCCCCTGAAACGCAAACGTGATTCCACCGACGAAACGTCGAACGGATCGATACTAGACGAAGAGGAAGCCGGTGTCGATCTGCGCAGCGAGGTCAAGCGGCTCCGCAATGAAGTCAAGGAGAAGGACCGCCGGCTCGAGGAACTAGAGAAGACCGTTGCTGGTCTGCAGCAGGCGCTTTCACAACCGACTCCTGCCGCTTGAGGCTGAATTACGAAAGATGGGAGAGGGAGAAACAAAAAAAAAAAGGGTTGCTACTATTGCCTCTCTACGCATGTAGTGGTGCCTCATTTTTTTTTCTCCCTTTTTTCCTTTTCTCTTGATCTTCTCTCATTCTCATCTGCATCTGACGGCGTTTCCGTAGCACACACGAGTTCAGATTTCGCGATCCTGAAACATCTTGCATGATCTGTGAAGGACTCTGTTTTTGTTTTACCGTTTTTTCGTTTGTTTTTTCGGTGGGACTGGGTTGAGAATGCATTGCTTTTGGAACAGGCCGGCTGGGGGCGATTTTCCTCTGGGCTTTTCTCTATTCATTTTTCTCCCTCCTGTTTCTTTTCTTTATCTGTTTCTCTTTGTTTTGTTTATTTGAAGTGCAAGGCGTTCAGTTACTTCTTTTTCTGTCCAATGAATACAGGTGAGGTAGGCTCTATTGTTTTTTTTTCTCCAAATTTTGTTTTCAAATGAAACTTTCGTACTCCTGTTTCTCTTCTCCCTCATCTTTTGAATTGAGATATACCCACATGTTTTAATATCATATTTCTCTCTCTCACCTCTCTCTCTTCTTTACTGTTGAGATAGTCTCGACTTCTTCCTATCTTTCCCCCTTTCCTAGTCTTGGATTCATGCTCAGTAGATGATGAAACATGTCTATAGCTGGACAGTCAGGTACATTAGGTAGGTTTGTTACTAGGTAGACCTGCAGTATTACCAGTCTGTAGTAAAGTAAGGCATTCAATATTCCATCGTCACCGAATACGAATACGCGTGCCGGATTTTCACCTCTAACCAATGAAGTATTAGTTGTCTTCTTGGGGGGGGGGGGGGATGTCGGTGCCTTTTGATTAGGTAGCAATTGGTATATCTAATTTTACTCAGGCTCTGTTCTTGTCCAACCAAGCGTCCTGGGCGACAATCTACTTCCCCCGCCTGCCTGTCATTACGCAGTGTATAATTTCTTAACAGGGCTAAGATACAGGACACCTACATACCTATCTACCCAGGTGGATATTCATATCATCCCATCTCGCAACATACACTGGTTGGATGTAACAGGACTGTCGGCTGCGAGTCATACCTTCAAGACTGGGAGGGAGGGAGGGGGGCATCAGGCAATCATTCATGTCGCTGACTCTAACAGCACACCGTCTCCGAATGTCTGAGAAAGGTGCGGGCGAAATATGACGGATTAACCAACCCAAGGCAGAAGCGCAGTCCGGGGCTAAGCAAACGGATGTCCATTCTGTCGAAAAAGCCGAGATACTCATGAATTGCCGCAAACGGGGATAGAGTAAGAAGGTCCTTTGGCAAATCGAGTCCCCGAGCGAGATATCCATATTGCCACCTCCAGGCAGGCAAAAAATAAGGATTCCTAAGCAGAGGGGAGTCACGATAACTCTAAACCTGAAAGCTCCTCTCGTGAGTCATACTATCATCGTGACACCATAGGAGGTGACCATAGTCTTGCTTGAAGGCCAAGGAAATGGAAAACATGGGCCCTGGTGTAACAGGGAGGGTTTCCAGCAGACGGAAGAACGGAAGACAGGGAGCTTCTTTCACATGTGTTTTGCAAAGAGACAGCCAATATCCATTCTATCCAAGATATTCAGGGCGTTCGAAGGAGTAGCCTATGGCATGAACAGTTATGGGGTGACCAGTGAGGCATCACGCCACGGCGTCTCGCTTCTTTCTGCCTGGGATAGTCGCCATGCTCCCGAGTCGTCGGCCAGGTAGTTGGTACCTCGAAGACTCTAGGTTCACGCTTCCGATCTGCTGACCTGAGCAATTGATTCATAGGGGACTGGGATGTTCGGGTGTGGGTGTTCTGTACAAACTAGAGCTCCGTATACGGAGTATGGACATGGATAAGAAGTACTATGCGTGATTCCATACGCCACGCGACGTGGCGATCACCTGCAGGGATCTGATTCATCAGAAAACACGCTCTCACGTGACGTGGTTGGAGGACTCGGGACGAATAGCGTTGGATTAGGTAGCTACCTCTTACCTGATATCTACTAGATAGGTACGGAGCACCTAGTTCTTGGTTGGTTTCGATGCTGTGCGAGTTGGTTCAATCCCACCATTCATGTTCCCTTAAAACGAATTCAGATGTAAGGGACACTGTTTGAGAATTCGGCTGCCTAAGTTCTTGGGCTAGTGAGCGACTCCCATACTCCGTAGCGACCCATATAGAACAGATATACTGCAACGTCAGCTCTTGGGGCAGTGCTTCTGTGCGATAATGCCTTGGACTCTGTACGGTAAACCTATAGAACATGGTTGTGTTGAGAAATAGTTCCCACCAAGACCTATGTCGGCTTCGAGAACAGTCTGGCTGCTGATCAATCTTTATTTAGACCTCGCCGTCACGAAAATCTTGGAGAAGATCCTGTAGCGAATAAAAGGCTGTAGATTGTATAGGCCCCGATGATGAGTTGCAGATGCAGTAGTTTGACGAGGTTGTAAAGAATCGAATGCCGCAATGAACTGCCTCGTCCGATATCGAGATATGCCCGATGGCCTGTGTATTTGTTGTCACTGACTCGATAAAATCGACATGCCATTAAATGGAAGTGAAAAGGAGAAATAAAGAAGACATGGCAGTCCTAGTTATCGTTAGTCATCGAGTAATCAACTGGGTACACAATGACAACTTAGTAACTGTCTACCGCGAACTGACCTGTAGCTATCCCGTCCCTCAACAACCATTGATCCCATTCTCCAATTCGGTCATCACAACTTACCGAGTCTACCGAAGCGACAAGCCTGTGCAGGGCTGTGGTTGAGATGATTGAAGACGAGGGAACTGTAGTCTTGGCGCCTCACAGGTCACCGTCGGCGCCCACAGCCATATTTAGTACTTATCAGGGACGTGCTTTCCTATTCCGAAGGAACACACCTGTCATATTTTGGGCAACCTCAGGATCTCCCCAAACCGAAAACAAAACCTCTTCTACTCTTCCCACCACTTCATTTCATGTCTCACCTTGCAGGTAATCCCGTGAGAGACTGTCAAAGATTTCCTTCGATCTTGCCTGGCCATCGACCCTGATCAATTCCTGTTTCTCACGGCCACATGGTCTCGATCTACTAGACTGGGAGGCCGGATGCGCCATTGCGCTTGTGCCCTTAACAAGGCAGTTTGAGGCACCTTCAGACACATTTAGCGACCGTCTTCGACACATCATATAGTACGCGAGCGGTTTTCTCCGGAACAAGCGGGTCGACGACGACATGGATACGCCTGCTCGTCATTATGTGCCGACTCAGGAGTACACAAAGAGAGCCCCCTCACAACCTCGCATCCCAGTCGCTCTTCAACCGCCTTCGAGCAGTGGACCAGGGGATTTTCAGTCTCACGATTACAGTGAGGGCGATTTCATCCCCCCCGGTTTCTTTGAAAGGGTCGACTCGCACAATTTCACACAGCGACCCGATCCACCCGAATGGGTGTATGAAATGCGCAGATACGCTCAACCGATTCTGTCGTTCCTTTACCTTGGACCCCATTCGTGTGTGAAAGACCTAGATTACCTAAAAAATGAAGGATTTACCCTTCTCCTTGGGATTCGAAATCGAGTCTCAGCGCAGCGCCACTTGCTCTCGGGAGCGAATGCCGCTGCTGAACTAGATATTGAAGCAGATTGCATCGATGTCGGTGATAATCAAGAGCTGATATCTGCCTTTCCCCGGGCAATCCGCCGTATCAACGACCATCTTGCCTCGTTCAATAATACGAGCGGCACGGAATTATCAATGGTCCCGAAGAGGAAAATTCTGGTGTTCTGTGAGTCCGGCAATGAGCGTTCGGCAACCGTCGTCATTGTGTACCTCATGGTAATGTTGAACCTGAATATGTCGGAAGCGATTAGCATGGTTCAACATTGTCGTTTTTGTACAAGTATCGAGGATCCCATCAGACAGATCCTCGCGAGTTTTGAGTCTATCCTGCAAGCGAAACGAGACGTGGAGAGGACCAGGCGTACCTCCGGGACCCTGGCATCAAATGCCCTTTCGCCAACAACCTCCAAGAAGAGGAACCTTTTCGATCGATCTCACAATACAATGCAGAGAGGAGATGATGATGGTGATGATGATGACAGTATGGATGAGGCGGACGCCTTTATGATTGATAGAATGGCCATGGCCCCCTTTCAAGATCGTTAATTTAGTTTTACCTATATAGAAGCACAACGCCTCAATATCATTATACTAACTTCGGCAGTAGATGCCTCTAATTGCCACCAATTACCTTTCATATTTAATTTCCTTTAAAGAAAAAGGAAGCTTCCATTAAAGCCAAGGCATCAAGACATTGACAGGCCATTCATAGGGACACCACCCCATACTAGATACCAACACACCTCCCAATGCACTTCTTCATCGAGACAGTGATGGAGATGGCATATTTCCCCCCTATAGCTAGAAGAGCTATTAAGAATTGCTTCACTGCAATTTCTAACCCTCTTCTCTCACTTGATGCCCCTTCCCCCCCCCCGTGAATTTCCTGTCATCACCCTCTCTTTTTGTTTCTGCTTTAGAGTAGCACCTCACTGGCGCTCTTCATCAATACCTCATCTTGCCACAGCACTGCGCGAAGGCCCGGCGCCCCCTCTGATTTATCTCCCTAGCTTCAAGAAACACGTTCCATCAACCCTCGGCCTGTTGCCATCTGACCCAGTCTTGACAGCTTCCACGTTCTGCTCGCGCCCTGCGTGCTCGACTGCGAGCATGCGGCTGCGCCAGGAAATCCGACCCCCTCAGCGCCTGGAAGACGAGCTGGCCTCTTCCTCGCCCATTTCAAATCGTTCTTATCGTTTTCATCACGCGCTTCGCCCCAGACACCAACCTCTTCCAATCTCTTACGTAGATTTCAATCCAAATCTGCCTCCTGCTGTGTTTCCCACTTTGGAGCTGCCCCAGGCGTTGACCCCGGTCAACCAGGAAAACGGGGATGCCCAGGATAGAACTCCAGTGATGACTTCTCAAGGCATCCAGAGGGGAGACCAGGAGCTTGACGATATTCTGGAGAGCGACTGGATGGGCTTCGATTCGGAAGTTCCAAATGACGTGGATCCCAGTCTGGCTTCGAGTCCTGAAGACTGTGACAGCAGCGTTGATTGGTCTGACTCGGTGAGTATCCTCTTGTTATATCTTTTTCTCATTTGTTTGCAATGCACCTCTTTGACAGGTTCTGGATAGGATTCGGAATGGGATACAACCGCCGAGTGTAATCCCATCGACGATCCTAGATGGAGCGACCTTTCCGTGCGGCTTCAGGTCGAGATCTTCGAGAATCTCCTTCAAGTGTACACCGAGAAGGCGGTCTTCAAGAAGCTTGGCCTCAACGGCGACGCTATGAGAGAGATCCATGAACATAGATCTCTTCGCAACAAACAGATCCGGCATGAGAATAAGATGCTGGGTAAAATGCGTACCAAGCAGCTCAATGCACTCCTGCAGCTTGACAACAGCGAGCGGAAGCTGCATAGGGTGCCCCCCCAGCTTGTATTTCGCAAGATCTCCAGACAGCAGACGCGCAAGATCAAAGATTTGACGGAGTTCGACTGGCAGCTGTGTCAGGCAGGAGAATTATACACGGCGAGACGGTATCTTGAGCTTCGAGAGATAGACCCAAAGCATGTTGGCACTTGGACCAACAACGTGGTCAACATGCAGACTCCTCGGGAAAATAACAAGTTCGACGCCCTTTTCGAGTGGAAAGAGTTTGTCCTGGACGAGTCGCTGGATCCAATCTTCGAAGAAACTCCAAGAGCACAAGAGCCAACAGTTTTCGATTATGAGATCGATTCTCAGCGCACTATTTCTGAATCCCCTAATACCCAAAATGGCGATAGTGCGTCATGCAGTCCGAACGTAAGTAATCCCAACCCACAGGAGAATTCCAGGCCCATCTTGGACACCCTCGGAGGAAGAGGATATACAGAAAACTATGTCGCTGGCCGTCCCCTTTCCATAATGGGGATCCCCAGAAAGTCGACCCTGAGAGCGGATCCGAACTATGAAGCAGGGCTCGGCCTGGACTTCAAGATCCAAGGAGATAATTTGTATTCCCCAACGACAGGTTTGCTCCGTCTCCAGATCGGACCTCAGGGTGAAGCATTTCTCAACACCGTGGACGGAGGCGAGCAGCCCAGTTCAGGATTAGCCCCCGATGGCAGTACAGACACTATTCATGATCATGGCCTAGAACCAGTCCTTGATGACAGCCCTGGAACAATCTCCGCTGGGTTTAGATGGATTTCATTGAGCCCGTCGCCTTTGGACAAAATGAGATTGAATAGATCACCCAGCCCACTAACCGTGGATACCCATCTTTTGACTATACACCCAGAGCCAGTTATACGGTCCAGTTCTTTGCTCGGATGGCCTAACCAGTCACTGGCACGGACTAGTCGGCAGTCTGCAAGGTCTAGACAGTCAAGGGTGCGGACTAGTCAGTCGACGACAAAGCCCAGCCAGTCAACTGGACAATCCGGCCGATTAGAACATGCAATTGGCCAGGTCATAGACAAACCGATCATCAGGAAGCTTCCCCCCCTTGGAATATTTCACCCACCCCGTCGACTTGACATAAAAAGCTTGGCTGATCTGGCAGCTAAATCAAGGCTCAACCCTGACAGAAGAGCGAGAGACAGCTCCGATACTTCCCTGTCTTTTCGGGAGGCCACTTCTTCCATGAGGTACCGACAAAAGATTGAAGAGGCGAGGATCCAGAGTGAGAGAGAAAGGATGGAAAAGAGGGAAAGAGAAGAGGGCGTTGCCCCTACAGTTCTTCCACGTCTGGTTGACAACGAAGACTGGAAGCCTGGTAGACCTCTCACTCGTATTAGCTGGACGCCGTCACCCCAAAGGGGAAGCCAGTCCTCCCTTAAGACTTCAGAGTTGTTTTCGGGCAAACGAAAGGAGAGGCCCGGTTTCTTCGTCCCTCCGGGTTCCAATTTGACCTGGGGCAGCCCGCTTGAGCCCGTGATACTCCGCCCTCAGGTCTCCGGTGTCCAGGTCCCCAATGCCCCCGTCTTAGCTGCCCAGCTCCCCCATACCCTGGCCCCTTCTGCCACGGTACCCAGTGCTGATGACCTTCCAGTGAACGAGATGAATATTCGAGAGCCAGTTGCAGAGTGGAATGAGATACCTACCCTGTTTGATGAGGACCCCTTTTCTCAGTTCCAGTTTCACGGGGACGAGGTGATGTTTGAGGATGAGGCAGCAGTGGAAAAGGAGATTTTGGAGCAAGACGACAGAGAGTGGATGAGTTGGATTAATCGACCCGCTTCCTGGTCCCCGGATGAGACCTCTGGCGACCATTCTCAGCAGTGGTGAGTTCATAGTAGCCCGACAGAATCATCTTGGTTTGGATAAAGTTGTTGACCCAGTCCTAGAGACTAGATACCACCGAATTCTTGCCCGATACTCCTTCGAATCATTGGACATGGCGCCTTGTCACTGCGTCTGCTTTGGCTGCAGGAAATCACCGGTTATGGGAGACAGCCCGTTCCGACCTCTGGTTTCTATCGGAAACTTCACATGAGTGACATGGTCCAGTTGGCGACAACACTGGTTTGCTTCGTTGCGTTCGTTTTCCTTTCTCCAACCACATCATAGCCCCGAATACTCCATTAATCCATGCCCTTGGGTAACAGCCCGTTGGTGTTGGTGATTCGTCTGAATTGGCCGCCGACGCTGGACAGATTAATCTGGAAGCTTGCACTTTATGTTTAATAGTTAAAAAAATGCCCCTGCCCCTTCCCTGCCCCTTCCCTGCCCCCCCAGAAAAGATAAAAGTAAAAAAAAGAGAAATAACAAGACTGTTTGTGTAAGACTGTCGTCAGCTGTAGAGAAGGAATCATTATGCAGTCAATCTAAAACTGGCCCGTGCTCAGACGCGAAAATCCGCGTGCTGGAAATAATAGAGCGCGTTCTATAATCAGTAAGAACAGCACGATTATCTACTCTATACCTAGAGATTATGGTCTATACCAATTCCCTGACAGGGTGCGGTTATTTCTGGATTTCTTTGTGTGGTTAGAAATAGGGGCGTTTTCTTTCTCTCCCTGATTCTGGTTCCCAGATAAAGATCCGCCCTCGTTTTCTCTCTCCTCACTCTCCCCCCATTACTCCCTGAAATCAGACGAGCATCGCCAGTGGTATCCTGCTATTGATATTTCGCGCAGAAGGGGGAACGAGATATGTCTGTGTTAACAACCCCGTCCACTCCTACGGATTCGGTAGCGGGGAGTGTCCTACAGCCGACCTCCACGCGCGCGTCATCACTCATGGCGGACTCGGTGGACCAGGACACGAAGGTGACCCCAGAGATGGAAACTGATGGTACCGGCACGAATGAAGATCCAATGGATGATTTGGTTGGTATGGATGGCAAGGCTAAGGCCTTGATGCATCTGCTGAAGACCAGTTCGGTAGGTAAAAGCCCGTCATTGGTTTTGAACAGCTGGACGAATGCTTACTGGGACCCGGGATTGATTATATAGGTCTTCGTGGCTATCATGGCGGATAAGATGAAGAAGCAACAAGAGGAAGCGAGGTTGGAAGCTGCTAAACAACAGTCATTGCTGCCGCAGTCTCAGCAAACAGTACAGGGAAAGAAGAAGCCCGCGGCCGCAGAACCGATCGGAAAGCGAACCACGCGTGCAAATGCGAATAAGCCAGTGGTGCCGGAAGAAATACCTGAAGAAAATATTCAAACAGGGAAATCAAGGCGAGGACGACAGAAGAAAGCTGCTGCAGCTGGGAATAGCATATCTAGCTACTTCAAGAAGGCTGATGTGGACCTGACAACAGACAAACCCACTGTGCAGGAAGCTCTAGAGCATGCGGCAGATGAGCTCGAAGCCAATCCCACGGCTATTGGCGAGCAGGAACTTGTTGCAACACAGCAGCCCGAGCTGGTAACCGGCGGAAAGATGAGGAAATACCAGCTTGAGGGTCTCGAATGGCTCAAATCATTATACATGAACGGGCTGTGTGGTATTCTCGCAGATGAGATGGGCCTTGGGAAAACCGTGCAGACTATCTCCTTGATTGCTTTCTTCAAACAGAACGGGATATCCGGGCCCTTCCTCATAGCTGCACCTCTTAGTACCGTCAGCAATTGGGTGGATGAATTCGCTAGATGGACTCCCAGTATCAAGACTGTTTTGTACCACGGTTCCAAGGAGAACCGTGCGGAGATCAGGAAAAACCATATGAAGCTGAGCCAGCAGGGCGACAAGGATTTCCCGGTGATCTGTACCTCCTATGAGATTTGTATGAACGACCGGAAATTCCTCTCACAGTACCGGTGGTCATATATCGTTGTTGTACGTTGCATTCCTCTGGGAGATACAAATCTGGAACTTGCTGATTCAGAAATAGGACGAGGGACACCGCTTGAAGAATATGAATTGCCGACTTATCAAGGAACTCATGAGTTATAGTTCTGCAAATAGACTCCTCATCACCGGGACTCCTTTGCAGAACAATATAACCGAGCTCTGGTCTCTCTTGCATTTCTTACTACCGCAAATCTTCAACGACCTCAGAAGCTTTGAGAGCTGGTTCGATTTCTCTTCGGTGCTTGACAATAGTGGCGAGGTCGACATTATCGAACGTCGGAAGCGCAACCTAGTCACTGCGATGCATTCCATCCTGAAACCATTCCTTTTGAGACGCTTGAAGACAGATGTGGAGACCTCTTTACCCAAAAAGCGAGAGTACATTCTCTACGCACCGCTCACCACCGAGCAGAAGGATCTCTATCGGGAGATTCTCAACGGAACAGGCCGCAAATATCTCGAGGAGAAAGCGACGGCAAGACTCATCGCCAAGAATGAACGACTCTCCCGTTCAGCCAGTTTGAAACGTGGCGCTGAAGAGAGCGAAGCCCCTACACCTAACAAGAGTCTGAGATCAAGTCGTACATCCACGCCTTCCAGCAGTGCTAGCTCTAGAAGGCGTAGAGCCACCCAGAGTTATAGGGAAATCAGCGATCGCGAGTTTAATGCGAAGCTTCGGAAGCTTGAGGATGGTATTGAAGATGAGGAATCCGAGATACTGGAGCCAGGTGAAACAGAACAGGAGGAAATCGAAAGAGCAAAGACCATCAAACTTGCCAGTATGTTCTTGAACATTGTCATTTAAATCCCCGATTTCATACACTAATACACCATAACAGAGAAAGAGATTGCGAACAAAAAAATGCAGAACCCAGTCATGCAAGCCCGTCTAGCCTGCAATTCCCCCCACAATTTCTACTGGCCATGGGGAGACGAGACTACGACGGTTGACGAGACTCTGGTTACTGCATCTGGGAAAATGTTGCTTCTCGATCGCCTTGTTCCTTGTCTTTTATCCAAGGGTCACAAGATCCTGATATTCTCACAGTTCAAGACACAACTAGACATCATCCAAGACTGGGCAACACACCTACGCTCATGGTACTGTTGCCGTATTGACGGTGCAATCAGTCAGACCGACCGCCACGCTCAGATCAAAGCCTTCAACACCGACCCGAACCACAAGATCTTCCTTCTCAGCACCCGTGCAGGAGGCCAAGGCATCAACCTTGTCGCTGCCGACACGGTCATTCTCTTCGACTCGGACTGGAATCCGCAGCAGGATCTCCAGGCACAGGATCGTGCTCACCGCATCGGCCAGACCAAGCCTGTGGTTGTGTACCGGCTCGCGACGAAGGGTACAGTGGAGCAGACGCTCCTGGAGAAAGCCGATTCGAAACGCCGCCTGGAACGACTGGTCATCCAGAAGGGCAAATTCAAGAGCCTTCTCGACTCTGGCCCTCTAAACGAGGTTGAAGAGCTCCGCAAGGCCCTCGGCGAAGATGAGTTTGAACGCTTCGAGGCCGGCGCCGATCCCAGTGCTATCCTCTCCGATCGTGATCTGGAGATCTTGACCGATCGAAGCGAAGAGGCCTACGTTCGCGCCGAGAAGGGTCTGGACAAGAGCGGGCCCGCGTTCATGGCGGTGGAGACCAGGCCAGTCCAAGACGGTATCATGGATGGTATTACTCGGAAATGATAACGCATTATACGGCTCGAATCGGGCTAGGTCAAGAGGGATATGTGATTGTGAGCGCTGGCGTTTTGTGTGTGGTGATTGATAGAAAAAAAAATCCCCTACGCGGCTTGGGGTTTGTACGGCGTACTGTTATGTTGAGCGTGTACTCTTCTTAGCTTATATCCTTTGCTTCCTACCAGCGTAACATCAATAGAGGCTCTATTGGGAGTAGTTAAGTTGTCATGATTGTTCCATCGTGCTTTAGGTATCCCTTATTAATTACAGACGGTGTAGATACACGTGTGGCTTACAGAAAAAGTAAGTGAGCAGTCATAACTATGCCAGCCGGTAAAGCTGGGTGAAGAGAAATCGTACACGCTACCTAGGTATATACCGAGCGAAGACAACATATGAACAGTTGGAAAAGAGAAAGGTGAGGGTGGGGGGAAGGGGAAAAGCAAAAAAGATGAAGAAATAGTGGTTTGTGTTGAATGCAATTATACTCATCGGCGCGACTTCTCGTCTTCGATTTGACTGCGCAGATCGTCTAGGATCTCTCTACGTTGACTCAGATGTTTCTTGAGCCCTTCGACCTGATCCCCCACCGTCTTGACGTCGTCGCGCAGGCGAGCCATGTCCTGCCCGTCCTTGGACCGACCAGTGCCTTCGCGCAGTTCCCGCAGCTCCCGCTCCTTGTATTCCAGTAGCTGCAGCGCCTCTTTCTTGATGAGAACCCAGTTCGGCCGGCCATCCAGCCGGGGCTTGTCCCGCCGCTGCTCCGAGGCCTTGTTCGCCGCCTCGAGCTTCGACTCCAACTCCACGAGCTCCCGCCTCAGCCGGACCTTTTCCCACTCCTCGTCCTGTATCGTGTCACTGAAATCGGTGCCCTTGGGGCGGTAGGTCGTCTTGCCGCCCACTCCGAGGCGACTCAGGTACGTATCTCCAAACTTGGCCTTGCGGCTAGACCGTGTCTCCTCGCCATCGGCCCCCCATTTCTGGGCAGGCGCAACGTTGTCAACCTGGTAGTCAATCTTGTTGGACTCAAATGATGATCTTAGCGAAGGGGGGATCGTGCGAGGAATGCGGAAACCCTCATGGCGGTAGTTGAGCATGTGCAAGAAGGCGAGGGTGGCGTCCTTATTGATTGAGCGTGATGCCGAGGGGTTGACAAGATTCCATGCAGAGCGGACATCGGTATCTGGAACATCCAGGGAATCGTACAGCCCCTGAAGAGATTCGACTGCACAGCACCAAAGGAGAATGTTTGTCAGCGTCGAGTTCAGCCAGTCATACCCGGCAGAGTAGAGGGAGCATACATGTAATTTCGCCACGGGGATTCCGGTTCGCAGTGTAGATCTCTTCATATTTAGATTTATCGGACGGATTCATGTACCAGTCAAACCCATCTTTCAGGCCAGGCGTTTCATCTTCGTCTTCTATTCGCTCGAATTGGACCTGGCGACCGCTCAGGGCGTGGGTGGCTTGGACGAGGTGAGCTTTGGACTCTGGCACGAGCCATTCCGGCAGGGATAGAGGAACTTCTTGGTATTCCTGAGCCGGTGATTAGCAACTTCATCGGACCGAGCCCACAATTGCGAATATCCGGAGCTCTGCTATGCACTCAGGGGATGATGACATACCCCATTGACCAGGTCAAACACTAATCGCATGGCAACACAAAACTCTTCAAAGTCCAGCTCTCCATCACCATCCACGTCCGCCAGGTCCCAAATCTTCTCTAACTGGTCATCGCGAAGTCGACTGTTCCGGAGCACCGACGCGGCCTGGGAGTTGTTCAGGCGCGGTTGGCCGTTTGCAAGCGACGTGAATATTTCCCAGTACCGCTCAATTTCCCATTGCTCGATTTTCTTATTATTTGACATGATCAATGTGTTGCAATGCACTGGTGCAAAACTGGCAGGTGACTTGGTATAACAGCTAGGGAGAAATGCAGAGCGTACAGCTGCTCGTGGGGGACTGATTGCGGCGGTTGCGGATGGTGTCATGCCAAGCGTGTTCCGGAGTCGGACTAATACTTGAGATGCTAGTGGCTTGGCAGTGGTTCTGTTGGAATAAAATACAGTAATATATACCTCTTACGGTTAGTGATTAGGTATTGAGATTCAAATTGTGAATCTGTCCAATACCGATACTTGATCTTGTATTAGTGCTTTGAGTTTTAAAGTGGTCTATTCCTAGTGGTGGTAAGTACAATTAGATGTTTCATATATCTTTCTTTTCGGTTTGCCCCTCCTCTGCTGCTTTGTTTTCAGCCTGCAGCTTCTCTCGGACTTGGACAATGGCGCGTTCAGCCTCCAAGGCGAGCTCTGGCGCATCGAGGATTGTGGCCAGTTTTCTAGCGTCCGACATCTCCAGGAGTAGTCGGTCTTCGCCCTGTTCTATTTCATCTGCTATCTGCGCATGCGACTTTTCGGTATCTGTGATTATCGAAGCGCTGGATAGCCGCTTGGCGTATAAGTTTTCGAGCTCTGGGGCAGAGACCGGGTTGAGCAGGTTCCGCTCGACAAGGAATTCAAGGTGTTTGGAGCCATTCAGCGCTTTTCCAGGGTCAGCGTGTAGTAGGGACAAGAGCGAAACTAAACTAACTCACCTCGCCAGTGTGACCAGCCTCGGTAGATCAGATAGAAGAACGGAATGTTGGGGATCCTATAAACTGTAATCAGATTTGATGATACACATGGACGCTTTGCATAATATCTTGTGTAGACCACCTACAGTGGAATCAATGCAACAGGTGCTGTCAACGGCGAAGCAAGAAAGCTCCACCACATTTTCCTGCGATGTAGATCCTGCCGCGCCGTTGCAATTGTCCTTAGAATCGACTGAAGCTTCTCGGTCCGGATCGCGTTCCCAGGATACAGCACGTCCACCTTGGTGTGCTCATGATCCGGATTGACTCTCTTCTGAGCATTCAATGAAGGAATGCTCTTGAGGCCCCATTCTTCAAATGGGATGCGTTGCTGCACCCGATTGCCCCAGGAGACAATGTGTTTTTTCCATCCTTTGTCGGCCTCCTCCCATTGAGCCCATGTCGTCGCTGCCTTGTTGGTAATCTTGTCAGTCAGAGACAACTGCTTCGAAATCTCTCTCTTCAGGGGCCGCGCGTATATTAAAGCTCGGCGAGTCGAGATGGGGATCAGAAAGAGGCGCATAGCAGCTGCAGAGGAAACGTTTGCCTGGTGAGATCAAGGGTGACCGGAAGGGTGACAATTCTCAGTAATTTGTAGCGACGAATCGATACTCATCCTTTTGAATAATCTTCCCAGGACAATCGCTGGCCACAGGCGAACAAACACCTCGGATATTTCGTTGGGCGACGGTTTGTTCTGCCGTCGAATCCGTCGTTCCCTGTTGTCGAAACGGACCAGTGGTTTCCAAGACGTCATTCCCGTGCTGGGGCTGAGCAGCCAAAAAGCTCACTCCCACGCTGTGCTCCCTTGCTGCCCAGGATCGACGCTCGTCAAGCCCACCCTAGCCACCACCTGCCTTACTGTACGTTGAACAGGGACTCTGATCTGTTTCTTCATGCATTTTTCTCTCAACATTTAGAAGCTGATCAAGCTGTGGCAGGGAATATGGGCGATGCCGACTAGATCGTTAGTCCCCTCTTGCCGCGACCTCCCGAGAGCCTCAGAGTAACGACCTCTCTGGAGGCAATGGCACAAGATGCGCGCGATTTGCTTTCTCGGCTCAGAGACCGTGAAAATTCCGGTCAGGACCCTCCGTTAAGCCAGCCTCCTTCGATGCCAGACGAGGTTTCTGCGCACTCCGCCGATTCCGGATCCAACAGCGACAACAAATCCCCTGGGCATGGTACGTCAGACTCCTCGACAGTGCTCTCACGCCCTGCGGAGTTTCTCATCACTGCAAATGGCAATCGCCATCCAAACTCGCCGTTCTATGTTCGCACGCTCCCAGGTAAACTACATCTTACTCCCTTATTCGAGAGGACCGTCTAACCGCTGACTTGGAACGTATAGCGTGGATCCGGCCGGTCGAGCATGGTGTAGATGATGAAAACGAATCGACGGCTACAGACCGCTTGTTACCTTCTCAACCCAATGGTGCTGTCGTTGCTCATCATAACCATTCACCTTCCGCGATATTGAACCCGCAATATGAGCACCTACGAGGAGAAAGTATCGATACCACACCGTTCAAATCACGCGCTGAATCGCGATGGAAGACGTTCTCCCGATCGATTGCTTATCCCCGTCAGGACGGCATGGAAGAGAAGATCGTGACTCCGGAATGGATGAATGAAAATCACGGTGACTATAGACAACCCTGGCGGGGACAGCTTCCGGGAGGAGCAGACGATGAAGACCCGCTGAAAGCCAAGCGACGGCGAGAGCTCTGGTTTAAGCGACTCCACACATCGTTGCTGCGGAGCCCCGTGGTGCCTCTGATCCTGCGTCTCACCGTATGGTTCTTTTCTCTCATGGCCCTGGCTCTTGGTGCATCGATCCAGCATCTTTCACATGATGTTAAGCATATGCAGGGTGGCTCTGCGCTGATGGCAATCATTGTCGATGCAGTCGCCTTGGTCTATCTTATTTATATCACATGGGATGAATACACGTCCAAACCATTAGGTTTACGCTCCCCCAGAGCTAAAGCGCGACTCGTCCTTTTGGATATTTTCTTCATTGTCTTCGACTCTGCGAACCTCAGTCTTGCCTTTGACTCTCTTACTGCCGTGGAGGGCTCATGCACGTCCACAGAGATCAACTCCAAAATTGACCCTAGGAACGATGCCATTTGCAACCGACAAAAGGCCCTCGCCTCAGTCCTACTCATCGCACTGCTGGCTTGGCTAATGACGTTCTCAATTAGTATTCTCAGGTCTGTTCCTGCGTCTTCTTCCCTTGAGTTTCTTATCTGCAGCCTTCTGACTATTTTAATAACGAACAGACTCGTCGAGAGAGTCTCATCATAATATTTGGACTTCTTCTCGAGCTATTTAGTCGCATCTGACCCGTCATACGCTTCTTGGATTCCTTTAATATCATATGCATATATACACAGCGGCTTTTTGGGATCTAACTATTCTTGGGTCGAGTCTCTCTATATACAGTGATCAGTTTCCACCTTCATTTTTGTCAGTGGTTGCTTGGATCATTGATATCTGTGATATTGACAGATCAATCCCCCCCCCTCTTTTTTTTTTTTAAAAAAAAAAAGAGAAAAGAAGAGAAAGAATTACTCAAGACCTGCAAATAGCATATATCCAATGTATAATAAACAAAGACTGCCTATTACTTGCAAAACATATACGACCACTGAAACGATCTAAAGGAAACGCTCATCTTTCAAGGCATCGATGATTTGGATGGTCTTTATTTTTATTATTATTATTTTTTTTTTTCAAATTCTCACTCTACCTATTCAAGCTATTCTTTTTCTTTTAGAAATCTATATTGAAGAAAAGGGCATTTAGGACCTAGAGTACCTCTATGATTGCCCTATAATATTCATCATATGACGTCATTCAATATCAAGAGGTTCCATCGCAGCCATATTTCGACTGGGAATACAGCTAGCTACCTTCAGCATTGATACCAGGTAGGTACCCATTCTGTATGGTTCTCGAGTTATTCTATTACTATACTTCCTCCTCTAGCATGTAAATGATAAGAAAAAATAGATAGTGTGTAGATGAAACAGTGACAATCGTAAGTTGTGGCTAAAATTTTGTTGAGCCCCTCAAGCCTGTCAGATTACAGGCTGAAGTAAACGGTCAGCATGTCGAACTTCGATACAAAACAAATATACCAGAAGTTGTAAGCGTATGAAATGCTTTGCTCTGTATTTGCTTATTGTTCCATCTGCTACACCAGCAATGCTGTACTTGTATTTGGGGATGCCCGATGTGGCTTAGTTGACCCCCCCACTACTCTTTCCAAAACGAGCAGCCGCGGGACGCCTCAGGCGTGATCGGCTTCTCACCGCCTTCCAGATCCAACCAGTGCCACTGACACCCTCTCCGCTCCTCCTGCTGCCACACGCCTGGGGCAGGGCAGCAGCACATCTTGTGTTGTTCTTGATTCGTGTTTTCCCTCCTCGTATCTCCTGTTCCAAGCCTTTTTCTTTCGTCTGGATCCGGTATTTCTGCTCTTCTCCAGGGTAAGAGTCTACTTTGAGCGCGTCGGCTCTGATCGTGGTCTGGCCCGCCGCCTTTTCCTGCGTTTGTCGTTGCCGCCTATACCCAACCAACATATGATAGCAAAGAAGGTTTTTTGGGAACATCCTTGTTGTCATACATCCCGCGCTAGGAGAGGTTTTACGCGTTGTGCTTGTGGCCATAGTTTCTTTTTGGGCTATTCACCATCGGCTGCAGTCTTGGGTTGGCGTTGATCCGTGACGGCCTGTTGACGTCTGCTTTCTCTTCTCTACAGGCTCCCTGCGGTTCTCATACTCAATCTGGTGACAATATGCCGGCTCTGAACATGCCTCAGCCCCCTCCCAAGGATGACCTTGACGCAACGTGAGTGCGCAGTTTGGCAAACGGATGGCGGCTGAGACCGAATAACGGGTACCCGTACTGACGCGCGCCGATACAGATGGACATTCTTGGAGAAGGGTATCAACAGCGTCATGCTGAAGTTGGAGGATGGTATTGATATGCAGACTGTAAGTTCATTGTCGAAGATCTGGTTCGTGTTCTTCTAAGTGTATGAACTAACACCCTTGGGTTGCATGTTTAGTACATGGTCTTGTACACGTTCGTCAATCCCTAACCTACTTGTATTCCTTCCTCCGGCAGAGTCAAGCTAATAAACAAAACAAGGACTGTACACAACTTCTGCACATCGCAAAAGGCAGTGGGAAATGGACAACAACACTTACATACTCATCGTGGCGGTTTGTCTCCTCGCTTGTCCCGAGAGATGCCCCCCCTCGCTGATTCTTCTCGCAGCACATCTTCAAGGTGAAGAACTCTACAAGCTACTAGGCTTATACCTCTCTCGCCATCTCCACGACGTCTCCCGTGAATCTCAGAAACACACTGAAGAAGGATTGCTGGCATTCTATATCCGAGAGTGGATTCGCTACACGACTGCCGCCAAATACGTCAACCACCTTTTCCGCTACCTCAACCGCCACTGGGTTAAGCGGGAGATTGATGAGGGAAAAAAGAATGTTTACGACGTCTACACACTGCACCTCGTCAAGTGGAAGGAAGATTTCTTCGCCAACGTCCATGAGAAGGTCATGGAAGCTGTGCTCAACCTGATCGAGAAACAGCGCAACGGAGAGACGATTGAGCAATCCCAGATAAAGAGCATCGTTGATTCTTTTGTGTCTCTTGGTCTGGATGAGAATGACATCACCAAGAGCACTCTTGAAGTTTATCGATTCTATTTCGAGAAGCCTTTCATCCAGGCGACAAGAGTCTACTATGAGAACGAGTCGCGGCAATTTGTTGCTGAGAACAGCGTCGTGGAATACATGAAGAAGGCGGAGGCCCGTTTGGAAGAAGAAAAGGCTCGCGTGGGCTTATATTTACATCCCGATATCACCAAGTATCTTACAGATACTTGTTTAGATGTGCTCGTCACAGCCCATTCCGCTTTGCTCCGCGATGAATTCCAAGTTCTGTTAGACAACGAGCGACAAGAAGACCTGGCTCGGATGTACCGACTTCTGTCGCGTATCAAAGACGGTTTGGACCCTCTTCGAGCCAAGTTCGAAACCCACGTGCGCAAGGCAGGTCTGGCCGCGGTGGAAAAGGTTGCCACAGAGGGCGAGACTTTCGAACCGAAGATGTACGTCGACGCTTTGCTGCAGGTTCACACACGATACCAGTCTCTTGTCAACGACGCGTTCAACGGAGAGTCAGAGTTTGTGCGGTCGCTGGATAACGCCTGCCGGGAATTTGTCAACCGCAACACTATCTGCAAATCTAGTTCCACCAAGTCTCCAGAGCTGCTAGCTCGATACACTGACTCCTTACTGAAGAAGGGTGCAAAGGCGGCGGAAGAGTCGGAGCTGGAAGAGATGTTGGTGCAGATCATGACCGTCTTCAAATATATCGAGGACAAGGATGTGTTTCAGAAGTTCTACTCGAAGATGCTCGCGAAACGTTTGGTGCATGTGAACTCGGTCTCGGACGACGCCGAGACGAGCATGATCAGCAAACTTAAGGAGGCCTGTGGTTTCGAATACACAAACAAGCTGCAGCGCATGTTCCAAGATATCCAGATCTCCAAGGATCTCAATGCCAACTACCGGGATTGGCAGGAGAAGGTGCTCGACGACGAGGACCGCAAGAAGTTGCTTGATTCGCACTTCCAGGTTCTGGGCACGGGCTTCTGGCCTCTGAACCCGCCCACGACCGACTTCCTAGCGCCGCCCGAGATTGTTCGGACTGCCGAGCGGTTCCAGACTTTCTACTTTGACAAGCACAATGGCCGTAAACTCACCTGGCTCTGGCAGCTCTGTAAGGGTGAAGTGAAGACCAATTACATCAAGAGCACCAAGGTGCCGTACACATTCCAAGTGTCCACGTTTCAAATGGGGATACTCTTGCTCTTCAACGAAACCGACAGCCTGGAATACTCGGACATTCAAAAAGCTACCTCGCTAGCGCCAGAGATCCTTGAGCCCAACCTCAGCATCTTTCTCAAGGCCAAGGTGCTCACCGCCACCCCCGAGGGGTCCAAACCTGGGCCCGGTGTGGTGTTTAATCTGAACTACAACTTCAAAAACAAGAAGATCAAGGTCAATCTTAACATCCAAATTAAATCCGAGCAAAAGGTCGAGTCGGACGATACACACAAGACTATTGAAGAGGACCGAAAGCTACTTCTTCAGGTAATTTCCCTTCCCCAGTTGCATATTCATATCGAGCCGCAGATTATACCTCTATCTTCAAGTTCATGCTAATGCCAGTTAGTCCGCTATTGTGCGTATCATGAAATCACGCAAGAAGATGAAACATGTGCAGCTGGTGCAAGAGGTCATCCAGCAGGTCAAGTCGCGATTCCCGCCCAAGGTGCCGGACATTAAGAAAAACATCGAGGCCCTGATGGAGAAAGACTATATTGAGCGCCTGGACGGTGACGAGATTGCATACATTGCTTGAATTTCCTACCTGCATGTTCTTATGAGCGCTAGTTAGCATCTTTCTCTCTGCCTCTCCTCCTTCCCGTCATCGAACAATCATATTGGATGATAGGGATACCGTATCATTGCTTATTTTTGCTCTCTCTCTCTCTCTCTCTCTCTCTCCATCTCCATTTGCCCATGACAGCGCCGACATGAACAATGATAATGCATTACTCTCCTGAATGTGGACAGTATAGGATACGATAGATTTAGGTTTACTTTTACTCAATATCTTTGCAGGTTGTCCAATAGAAAAAAGAAAAAAGAAAAAAGAATGAAAGATGATATTATTATACATCGGATGAAGCCATTAGGTTCGATTTATATGCGGATTATATATGTAGTATGTGCAGTAGCAAGGATATAGCCAGGTATAGTATAATGCATGCATGTTGCCTTGGGTATAATCAGGTTAATATGTCAAGTGATTTTGCCAGGCCTGACAAGGACCTAGCAACAATGTAGAGAATAGACAGACGTCTTGTATATGGCTATGTGTAAGGCTGCCTCCTCAACCATTCATTATTTCAGGCGTGGTCTCATCTGATGTGCGTTTTTCTAGACTCGCGTCTTCTCGCGGCGGTGTGGACTCGGTTTCTATCTTGACGGGGGGGTGCTTTGCATCACAGTCTTCTGTATCGAGATCAGCGTTGATGGATGGGCCACCACCCGGCGCTGCTCGATTGGCTTCGTTGTGCGGCTCGGAGGTGTCGTTGCTCGCGGGGAAAAAGATCTCCGATTTAGACAAGGGGGATTTCGGAAAAGGAGGGTCGGCATCGTCCCCTATTGCCCGATAGGAGGCTCCAAAGTCTTCGCTCTCGCGTCGGCGAAGGAGGCTGCTCCATCTCTTCCGCCTGCTTTGGCTTCGGGAGATGCCGAGAGAACCCTCGCGCCGGTGCTGCATGGACTGCCGGCGTCCACGGTCAGGATGGTCAGTAGTAGTAGTAGTAGTAGTAGTAGTAGTAGTCAACTCCGTCACGATGGGCAGTGGGCTGTTGACCGAAAGAGACGGTGTCGACGATGCATCCGCCGGGACAGATGAGGCAGCAGACGACGGTTGTTGTTTCTTGTTATCCTTTTCCTGCTGCCATTCCTTGCGCTTGTCGCTTGCCCATGAGCTCCACGAGCTGAAATATGCGCCAGCCTTCTGGCCAACCGCGTTGACGGATGCTTGTGCCTGTGTCATGTCTACAGAGGGGGCCTTGCGGTTTGCAAACCAGGATGGTGCCGTCGAGCCGGAGATGCCGGCTGACGTGGAAGTTGCAGGTTCAGCGGAGGAGGGTGGTAGACCCGGCGCGCTTGTGGTCGAAGGTTGTTGGGAGTGGAGGGCCTTTTCCTCGTTGCGTTTCCGTTGGGCTTCGCGCATCGCTTCTATGTCCGACCAGAAGCTGTTGAACGCGGCAGACACTTTCTTCTGGCCTATGGCCAAGTGTTTGTTGAGAGCTTCACGACCTTCCCGGACGCGGTCATCGAGGTGCAGCTCCGCGACTTGCTGCGACAGCCGCCGTTGGATATCGTCGATTGTCAACCCTCCTGCGCAGGGGTGACGGGGCTCAACGATCGAGAAGAGCAGCGAGTCGGTCGTCAGGCTTTTGAAGAGCGCATAATTGGATGTAGTTTGCCATAATGCCAGAAATTCCGGGTTGAACTCCAATGCGGGGTCGCCCTCGATGTTAAACGTCTGTAATTGTGTTCTGCTCCTGGTGTTGGAAGAGTTGAGTTCCTCGTGGTACTTCATAGACGAGAGCAAGGCCAGCAGGTACTCTTCGAACTGAAGTCTGATAAACTCCTCTGATCCCATATATCCATGCGTCTTGGGCTGTTCTGGGTGGGCGTCATCCCACGTCTCGTTGATGATCTGCGTCAGAAAGTCGATCCAGCGCCGATCTGCAGGTGACAGCGTCAGAGCAGTTCGCAAGGAGGGGGAGCTGATCACAACAGAGTCTTCGTCAAGCTGCGAAAAAATTAGTTGATAGGAAAATAGCAATGTCTGGGGTTGAAATAGCGCACATTAATGAGGATGTCGCTGTACCGATCCTTTTGCTGAAGGAGGAGCGAATTCGTGGATCCCACCACGTACGACTTGGTTCCATAGTCTGCCAGCAAATCCAACTGCTGGAGGGGAGTGTAGGGGCCAAACATGCTGCCCTACTCCAGTTAGATTGAATGTTCTCTGCATATGCCTAATGCCTACTAGTAAAGAGAGATAATAATACCTTGCCGAAGATTTGTAAAGGTAGGCCCATGTATGCAAGCACTAGTGAAGTCAGCGAAGATCAGCTAGACGAGTCATAGAATGGAGTCATACAGGAACTCCGTTCACTCGTTTTCAGCGAAGTAGGTCTTTCAACGGTCTGCGCATAGCTATCAAATGCGGGATCTGCGCAGTCTTGCATATTATTGATGAGACCGGGGATCAACGAGATCAACGAGAATTGGATCAGGCATAGACGTTCGCAACGAGAGCCGAAAAAGAGCATCTACACCGTCAACGAAGACCTCCGGATGAAGAAATGGAAAAGATGAGCCTACCTTTGGCTGCAACAGCAGACTTTTGAACAATACCAGCGTCTGATATTTGTACTCATGGATCATCTCCCGGAGCGAAAGGCCTGGCCATGCATTAGGTTCCGCAGAATCGCGCTTTCACTCGGTGTCTAGAATTCATACCGAGCCGGCTATCGGTCAACCTGTCCGTTTCGTTCAAGAAGTTGATGACAAGACCCTCGCGGAATTTCTCCCCCACAATCAGCGCATATTCATTGTCCCAGCCTAGACGGCACACACCTTGAGAATATCAAAATCGGAGAAGTCACTACGGACACCAAAAAGGTTAGTAGCCTATCCGTAATCCCGCAAACTCTTGAACAGTAGGTAGCGTACCGCTGCGCAAACCAAGCCGACGTGACGACAGACAGCTTCTCACGCAGCTGTCCCAAACTCGTCGGATTATCCGTCACAACAACCACAGCCTTCTGCACCGTCGAGCGGGTCACATCCGGCGGGCGATAGAGTAATCGGCTTGAATCGATCTGGCGCGAGCACGAGATGCCGAAGAGGGAGGTAGCGGGCGAGGCGGAGGTTTCCGTTCGGCAGAGCGTGAAGTAGGAGAAATCTTCCGTCGATCTAGAACCGCATTTTTTTTTTCAAGAATCAGTCCATCGCTCTACACGAATCAGGTCTACCCAGGGGGAAGAATGAGCCCTCACGCATGCGCTCCATCCGACAACGCCATGAAGGGAAGAAGAGACCAGTCATTCCCCGCAGTAGGATCGACACCATCGTCCGCGATGCAGAATTCGATTTCGGGCCCTCTAGAGACTATTCATCAGAGATATGAAAACACTAAGCTTATAGAGAAAGAAAAAACAAGTCAATCCAAAGCCTCTCTCTCTCTCTCTCACCTGGCATGGTGGAAATCAATCACCAGCACAATCGGCCGCTCTCTGTTTTGTGGTGTGGTCATCCTGTCGCGTCATGCAGGAAACAATTAACGCGTCGACACCTCTCCTTGAAGAGTTTCTCTGCTCCTCTCCTCTGTTCCTCTTGAAATAAAAAAAAAAGGTTACTCTTATATCTGGTTGGATAAATGTATGTTTCTTCGGGATTGTTCTTCAAGATAAGCGGTGACAAGGAGAAAAGGCCCGGGGAATTTAAAGTACTCCGTAGTTCGTTCCCCCCGCGGCGGTTATCATATCAGCCAAGCTTATGCACTTGATATGCACGAGTTGTAGAGTACAAACAGGCGTACCTTATTTCTACTGTGGGGATCTACATATTCTACTTATATTTTTTTGTTAAAATTCTAAAATTTCTGTTATTCAAGCATCGATGTATCGACATCCGTGTACCGCCCTCGATCAGAAGGCTTATCGTGACAGGAAGCTTGAATGTCACAGTATCCTTCCCAAGACAAGCGTCTGCTATAACTAGCACCAACAAGGTCCACAGTCAATGGTAGATCATGCTTCCACTCCACAGCTCTAGCCATCCAGATATCAAGAAAAAACAAAGTCGAAAAAAGGCGGGGGGGTAGGATAAAAGGATAACGCTTTAAAAAGGCCGTACCACGTCATCAGGGGGGCCGAATATAGTCATGGCCTCATAGGTGTAATCGGCTTATGCGATGGGTTGTGTGGCTTCCACCGCTCCCACAGCAGGATGGGCAGCATCTGTCCCTTGATCAATGTTGTGGAAATCGAGAATCTCGGAGTACCTGAAGGTAGTTAGTATAGAATACTCACGGGTCTTGAGAAAAAAAGAAAAAAAAAACAGAGGGAGAGGAGAGGCGTCTCGAAAAAAACGGGGGGAAGCGTACATCATGATTTTCCAGGTGTCTACCGGTAGATCTGCATCGTTGAAAGACCAGTCGAACTTCTCTTCGGCTACCGGCTCGTCTGTAGGGTCGTGGTAGGGGGCGAGGTATGCGTGGGCTAGAGCTTCACCAGCACGGATCCGCTTCTTCGGGTCAAAGACGAGCATACGCTCAATTAGGTCAACCGCTAGACATGTCAGCAATCTCATCTATTGAACGAAAAAAAGAAAGTGGAAATCTCGAGCTTACCCTCCGGGTCGGCGTTTTTGAACTTGGTAGATAGCGGCTGGCGCTCCCGCTTGGGAAGCGATTTGACGAAGCGTAGCGTCTAGGGAGATAGTCAGCAAAGACCTGGAAGTTTACATGATGCCGTGGAGAATCCTGACATTCTCGCTGCCGATTGTTTCGATGACATCGTCGGGCGGAGTCCCCAGAAGCTCGGTGATAATGGAAAACTGGTTGACGTGGTCCTTGCCCGGGAAGAGCGGCTTGCCCTCGAGCATCTCGGCGAAAATACATCCTGCGCTCCAGATGTCCACCTCGACGTCGTACTTCTGCCATGTAAGCATGATCTCGGGGGCGCGGTAGTATCGTGTCGAGACGTAGCCGGTCATCTGTGGGTCTTGTATGCGAGCGAGACCAAAATCGCAGATCTTCAGGTCGCAATTCTCATTGATGAGGATATTGCTGGGTTTCAGGTCGCGGTGGACAACGCCAGCCGAGTGAACGTATTTCAAGCCCCGCTAGCAGACGATAGTCAGTCAATATTCTGGCCTATTTCGCTGCAACACGAGGGGGGAGGGGTTGAGGTCGCAATTGGTGCATACAAGAATCTGATATAAGAAGTACTGAATAAACTGCTTCTCAAGAGGTCGCGAGGTCAACAGCCGGTGGAGATCGGTTCCCAGGAGCTCCGTCACAAAATAGCTGTCCCGTTAGCCAACCAGAAGGGAGAGAGGAAGAGGTAAAGTCATGACCTACATATCTTCCAGGGGGGAGATGAAGATGTCACTCAAACTGATAACCTGTAGACATGGGAAGTATATGGTCAGCTCCGTTCCGCTCCGCCAAGTCCGCCCAGTCGGCGCGAAAAACCACCTACATTCTCATGGCGCAGGTGTTTCAGTAGCTTCAGCTCACGGTATGTTCTCTTAGACAGGACCGGTGTGCTGAACGGCTTCATAATCTTCTTGACTGCAACCGGCTGCCCCGTTAATTGATCCTTGGCCGAACTGGGCGCAACACGTCAGATTTATTCTTCTCTTTGGGATCCGGTAAGGTTGTTCGACGACCTACCACACGAGACCAAATGCACCCATCCCCACCGGCTGCAACTCGGTGTATCTGTCACGTAGAGAGATTAGCATACACACGTGCGCGCACACGATCCCCCAACCTATACTGAGGGAACGCCCCCCCCTATACATGTCGGGGGAAAGACGCTCGTCTTCCCCCCCCCACCAAATCAAGTATGTGTAGACAAGAGAACGAACCTGCTGGTGATCTCAAAGGTGGTGCCAAAGATCTGGGCGCGCACGAATTCCGCCATGGTGAAAGTTCTTTTCAATCTCAACAGCAAAACAGACACGCCGCGGGCTCAGAGTGTAAGGAGGGGTAAAGTCGATAACGCGAACAGGGCGGGAGTGGACTCCGGAGGGGACCGCGTTTCTTGGGTGTGAGAGAGACAAGAGAGGGGCACACACACACACAGACACACAGACACACACACAGAGGGGAGAGAGGGAGGGGATGAGAGCTTTCTTCTCACACACAACAGAGGATACACATATAATGCCTTGTTGTTTTTTCTCTTTAGACTTCGAGTCAACTCAACGGGAAAATGGTGAAGAGGTTCGTCGTGGTCAGCAAGTGGCGTGTGTGGGGAAACAGAGGGTGGGAACAGCACACAGCAACGACAATGACGTCCGCGACCAGCTCTGCAAGGCCGGACGACTCCATCCAGACTGGCTGGAATTCGGTTCCAAGTCAAGGCACAGAACGAGGGACGTAATCCCTTGCATGGTTTTTCGATTTTCTTATACTACCATAATTCAATCAATCAATCAATTATTGTTAATTATTTACTACATTCTCTATATACTACTCTCTGACCATTTTGATTAGGTGGTGTCCATATAACTAGTAATAATTATTATGTAGTTGGTAGTCTAGGTAGTCTCCTACGAAGTATGACATAATTCACCTGTTATTATTATCGACTATTGACGGTAGTTACGGAGTAGTAATAATAGTAATAGTAGTCGAGACTGACTTAGTACGGAGCACGGTTCCAAGAATCGCCATCCGATCAACTCACCGAATCTTGCCAAGCTCTCTGTACGCCATAAAAGGACTCACTCATTCTCTCTGTTGGCCCCTGCCCCTCGGCGCCTAGCTAGTAGCTACTACAGTGCGCAATTTCCACTTTCCTAGTAGTGCACTACTGGGTAGTGAGTTTGAGTGTTACGATTATATTCATCAATTATTTATTCGATCATCTATGATCGGGATAGAATCAGTGCTTATTCAGACCAATTGAATAAGTTTAATGTAATGAAGCTATGTAGTACTACATATAGGTATGCCGAGGATTAGGTATACTAATAATCAACTAGTTAACTACCTACTAACTAGGTACCTAGGTAGTTGACTATTGTAAGGGACCTACTCCGTAGGTAACTAGTCATAAGTTGGAACTTGGTAGGCAGCTACAGAGTAAATACGGAGTAGTTAATAGAGACAGCGTGGGTCTTTAGTCAGTGTGTCACTCAGCCGGGACACGTGAACATACAGAGTAGAACGGCGAGCCTAGAGGCTAAGACTGGAGGCTTAGAGCGCGACAGGCGCACCGTGAGCCGTCAAATCCGAAGAGCTGAGAATAATAATAAGAGGAATGAATCAGCCAACAGTTGCTCGGCGAGTGACTGAGTGTCTGGCTCTCGCTGCTCCAATGGCCCGGAAGGGTTAAGGGCGCCATGGCCCCTGCTGCGACCGGTAACGTGACTAAGGATTACGGTATTTATGTAATTTATATAACTACCTAGTTAGTTAGTACCTAGTAAGTTATATACCTAGGTACCTGTAGCAGATCAATTGGTATACTATAATAGATATATATATATTATATATCTATATTATATCACTGTTTTATAAAATCTAGATTAATATTAAATACTCAATATACATGTATTTATTCTCTGAGAATATATGGCTAGTGCCTACTAAGGTACCTAACTGTAGTACTCCGTACCTGTATGTAATCATGTTTAATTACGTACCGTTTTACCCACTTCCGATCGGCTGCTAACTCAATGAGTAGTCCCAAAGAATCCTCTCTCTGGCATCTCCACCTCCACGGCCTACCTAACTAACGTACATGACGATTTGGGGACAGCTCCCTCCCAGCACCGTGAGACTAGCATCCTGATCCGTCCCGAGAATCCGTGTCAGTGACAAGACTACAGCAGTCCGGAGTACGCTCTACCTATCTAGACTGCTCCCTGGGGCCCTTACCAACCGCCTTGTCGATATTTCACTGCCCACCCACCCACTCAGCATCTCTGCTGCGTCGAGAGAGAGAGATCCGCATCCGCATCCTGGCGGATCATTCATTCTTCAACGACCCCCAAGTCTTTTTTAGTGCGCCCTTCACCTCGTTTCGCCTCTTGAGAGAAACGCACCTCCTCTCCCATCCACTTCCCCTCCACCGACCTGCCTACCCCATCTACCTCCTCCGTCTCCGACCACCCTCGCTCGCCCTTCGCCCCTCCTTCCCATCGACGCCCTCGCCGACTGCCTTGTCGCTGACCGCCGGATCTCATCTCCAGCCACCACCACCACCACCACCACCCCTCCGGCCCTCGTCTCCGCCCTCCCCCCCCTCATCCTCCTCTCTGTTGTGAAATTGTTCCCTTTTCCTCCTTCACCTCGCTGTCGCCGGATTTCTCCTGGATTATCTAGTCGCTTTCCTCACCCTGCGCTTGCTTGCTGTCGACTCGGGTTTTCGCTCGCCGCCAAACCCACCTCCCCCAGGATACTTGCTTGACTGGAGCGCTTGAACAGCACATGGTCCAGCCTTCGGGCCTGTTCAATATCTGCTCGGAGCAGTTTGTCACACGATGGGTCTCTGCACAAGTAAAGAGGCCTCTGGGGATGCGGAACAACGGAAGAAAAGCCAGATGATCGACCGGCGGTTAGAGGAAGACTCCAGGAGGTTACGGAGAGAATGCAAGATCCTTTTGCTCGGTGCGTTGCGGTTTTTCTTTTCTTTTTCTTTTCTTCTTATACCATCATCTCCTTTCTCTGCGCCTTTCCCCCCTCTCTCCTCCGATAAAGTGGCCAGATGCGGCGCGGCGCAAGCTAAACATGTGATCATAGGCTCCGGCGAGAGCGGCAAGTCGACCATCGTTAAGCAGATGAAGATCATCCATCAGAATGGGTATTCTGTCGAAGAGTTGGCCTTATATCGTCTCACCGTTTACAAAAACCTTCTTGACTGCACTAAAGCTCTCATCGGCGCCTACCGCCAGTTCTCCCTGGAACCCTCGAGCCAAAAGGTCCAGGACTATATCCAATTCCTCACAGAATACAGCGTCGACCCGGACCCAAACACCCCGCTTGATGCGAAGATCGGAGACGCCGTCACATATCTATGGAATGATCCGTGTACTTCCACCGTGTTGGAGCATCAGAATGAGTTCTACCTCATGGACTCGGCGCCATAGTAGGATGCACTCCCTTGACCCAGAGGAAAATCGTCATTGCTAAACCTTCCCCCCCCCCCCCCCCCCCTAGCTTTTTTGAGGAAGCAAAGCGAATAGCATCCCCGGACTATATCCCCAACGTTTCCGATGTGCTGCGGGCCAGAACCAAGACCACTGGTATCTACGAGACGCGGTTTACAATGGGTCAACTGAGCATTCAGTACGTGCCTAGCCCTTTTTTCCTTGGGATGTGAGAGGGGAGAGTTGGCGGGTAGATGACTGACTGGTCTCAACAGCATGTTCGATGTCGGTGGCCAGCGAAGCGAACGCAAGAAATGGATCCATTGCTTCGAAAACGTTACCTCTATCATCTTCTGCGTCGCCCTGAGCGAGTATGATCAAGTATTATTAGAAGAAAGCAATCAGGTAAGCTCTGTACCGTGTCATCATCTGCTGGGCCTTGTGCTAAATTTCACAACAGAATCGGATGATGGAGAGTCTCGTGCTTTTTGACTCAGTAGTCAATTCACGGTGGTTTATGCGCACCAGTATCATCCTCTTTCTGAACAAAGTGGATCTCTTCCGACAGAAACTTCCCCGGTCCCCCCTGAGCAATTACTTCCCAGATTACTCCGGCGGCAACGATGTCAACCGCGCAGCCAAGTACCTTCTCTGGAGGTTCAACCAAGTCAATCGTGCACATTTGAACCTCTACCCACAGTAAGTGACATAGAATGATCATTCTGAAGATATCCGCATGAAAACTGACTCTGAGCTCCTATCAAGCCTCACGCAAGCCACCGATACCACAAATATCCGTTTGGTCTTCGCCGCCGTGAAGGAGACAATCCTGCAGAACGCCCTAAAAGACTCGGGGATTCTATGACCTTGAAATGATTCTTACAGTGCTCTGATTACACAGAGCACATCTTACCTTTTTTTTTCCACAACTTCATTCCCAGGCATTTTCCTTTTTTATCTGCTTTGCGACAATTTGCATTGGCGTCCTGGTGCTATTTTTTTTTTTTTTTTTTTTTTTTTTTTTTCCTCACTATTCCTTTTGCTCCTTACTCTGTGAATCTATATACCCAAGTGCTGGGTGAGGTCACATGGATGGTGTTGATCCTTGATTCTTCTGGGTTGGATTGTTTTTTTCTCTGGTTGCATTGGATGACTGTCGAATCTGATCTATGCTGTCTCTTGGATGCAGGCTAAGTGCTACGGTGTGTTCTAAAAAGTTTCTAGCCTTTGCATTTGACTGTGCAGGAGGATTTCCTTTTCTCTTTATCTTTGATATCCACAATTATGTCTGAATAGTCGTCGGTTCTGTCTCATACCTTCTCTGCTTTTTTTTCTTGTTGCATTTCATTCTGCATCTTCCATTCCCGCGATTGATTTGAGTCCTTCTCCCTGTTGTTGCCTTCCATGACTCTGTACTTTGCGACGCCATTTTATCTTGTCATCTTGTCTGTTGCACTTCTTCTTCTTCCTCTTCTTTTTCTCCTCCTATATTTATTCTGATATCCCTCCACGCTGGTCTGGGAAGCTGAACTCATGCATGTGATATGTCGCATTCGTACACGAGCTCTTTGTTGATCTCATGGCATGTTTTGAATCCCTTCCTTGTTGATACGCGCGGTCTCTTTTTTTATTTTTTATTTTTTATTTTTTGAAATTTGTAAATATCATACGCACTATTAATAATCATGACTACGAAGTACTCTGAACCTTTTCAAGCTAATTACTCTGGAGAAAAAACGGCCAGAACAGGGTACGGAGTAGGCAGATGGACATCCATCAATGGACCCCACTACTTGCGTCATTGACCGTGCCAGGTGAGACACGGCGCAGGCAAGTATCTACCGGTAGTAGTATCTACTACTAGTTACTCCGTACCTACCAACCACCAAGGTGGATATCATCTATTTCCCGGCGTGATTGATTGATAGGTCTGTCCATCTTGGCTCCGATATCTCGAAACGCGAGGCACCAATTGCCAGCTCCGTCCAGCAAGACCGCAGCTGCAGCACGCAGACGATTTTCCTTGATTGACATCCCTCCATCTCGTGCGTGCAGCCAACGAGACGCGGGAACTCGGATGGTCTAACGTCGACACCTGGGTGGGGAAAGTGACCATCTCATCCGTGGTCTAGACGTTCACTACTGAGTAGAGGTCCTACCTGGTAAAGGTAGGTAAGGTACCTCGATGCATTATTACGTGCCCCGCTAATGATGTCCTCTACCTTCGTGTTGACAGTCAGCTCGGGTCAGGCCACGGGCTCGACACGAAAGAATTCCCCTTCCAGCTTATCCGTGACCCCTCCTTCCTTTCTTTTATAAACGGCTACTACTCCAAGGCACTTAATTACGGATCTACGCGGATTTCTCCCACTTGATTGCAGATTTACCCACACCATGACCGACCGGCACGAACGCAGACCCTCTGTCGGAACCCCCATCTCTGAGCTCCAGGGCCCCGTGGGACCAGGCTTTAGCCGCCCAAAGCACAAGCGCACCTTCACCGGGTTTGGACCGGCAGAGATCAAGAGCGTCGAGGCCAGTCTGCCGGAGAATCTGAGAGAGGCGTACGTGATCGGATCGAGAGCTTGAGAGAGCAAGCAGTGTGCTAATCATGATCAACTAGATGGCGGAAATACGTATGTTGGCATTTGCTATAGAATAGTAGTACTTGAACGCCGCGAATGCTCATTTCATTGTACAGTCTGCTGCTGGTTTCACGACCAAAGATGAGTTTGAGGTAACTATTCGAATCGAGCGTTGGGGGAAAGAAAACAAGATGGAAAAAAGCGACTAACGGACACAGAAAGAGCTCGTCCGTCATATTGAAACCACTCTCGCTCGATCGCTGTACAACTGCGACGACCTGGCGGCCTACTCGGGAACAGCTCTTGCCTTTCGAGACCGTCTGATCATCGACTGGAACAAGACCCAGCAGCGGCAGACCTTTGCCGATCAGAAGAGAGTCTATTGTATCTTCCCCTATCCCCTTCCGTTGACTTTGAGGTATTTTATCTCATTCAATTTTTCTCCTTCTAGATCTCTCGCTCGAGTTCCTTATGGGTAGAGCCCTGGACAATGCCATGCTGAATGTGGGAATGAAGGATGCTGCTAAAGGTGCTCTACCCATCTAAACATATATCCTTCGGTTGATTTGACTGGAAATAATACACGAGACTAAGACACTGTGAACTGCAGACGGCCTGAAAGACCTGGGCTTCCGCGTCGAAGACGTGATCAGTCAGGAGCATGACGCTGCGCTCGGAAACGGAGGGCTGGGCCGTCTGGCGGCCTGTCTGCTGGACAGTTTGGCCACCTTGAACTACCCAGCCTGGGGCTACGGATTACGATACCGGTACGGAATCTTCAAGCAGGAGATTGTCGATGGCTACCAAGTGGAAATCCCGGATTACTGGTTGGACTTCAATCCCTGGGAATTCCCTCGACACGAGATCACCGTCGATATCCAGTTCTACGGAACGGTCCGCAGGTATCAGGATGAGGACGGCAAGACCGTCAACTCCTGGGAGGACGGCGAGACCGTCCAGGCTGTGGCATACGATGTCCCGATCCCAGGGTACGGGACGCAGACAACCAACAACCTCCGTCTTTGGTCCAGCAAGGCAACCAGTGGAGAGTTTGATTTTCAAAAGTTCAATGCCGGGGACTACGAGAGTGCCGTTGCCGACCAGCAGCGGGCCGAAACCATCTCCGCCGTGCTGTATCCCAACGACAATCTTGAGCGAGGCAAAGAACTCCGGCTGAAGCAGCAGTACTTTTGGTGCGCAGCCTCGCTCTACGACATTGTCCGCCGTTTCAAGAAGACGAGGCGAGCCTGGAGTGAGTTCCCGGATCAGGTTGCCATCCAACTGAACGACACCCACCCCACGCTGGCGATCGTGGAGCTGCAGCGCATCTTGATCGACAAAGAAGGTCTTGAGTGGGACGAGGCCTGGAACATCGTTACCCACACGTTTGGGTATACCAACCATACGGTCCTGCCGGAGGCGCTGGAAAAATGGTCAGTCCCCTTGGTCCAGAACTTGCTGCCGCGTCACCTCCAAATCATCTACGACATCAACCTCTACTTCCTACAGTCCGTGGAGAAACGCTTTCCTCGCGACCGGGAGATGCTGTCCCGTGTCTCCATCATTGAGGAGTCGCATCCCAAGATGGTCCGGATGGCTCACCTGGCGGTCATCGGCTCTCATAAAGTCAACGGCGTGGCCGAATTGCACTCGGATCTCATCAAGACCACTATCTTCAAAGACTTTGTCGAGATCTACGGGCCCGACAAGTTCACCAACGTCACCAACGGCATCACCCCGCGCCGGTGGCTGCACCAGGCGAACCCACGCCTGTCGGCCCTAATCGCCTCGAAACTCGGCGGATACCATTTCCTCACGGATCTGACTCTCCTGGACAAGCTGGAGGCCTTTATCGACGACCCAAAGTTCAAGAAGGAATGGGTAGAGATCAAGACAGAAAACAAGCTGCGGCTCGCGAAGCATATCAAGGACACGACGGGCTACACCGTCAACCCCAAGGCCCTCTTCGACGTCCAGGTGAAACGTATTCACGAGTACAAACGGCAGCAGCTCAACATCTTTGGCGTCATCCATCGATACCTCCGGATCAAGAGCTTGTCGCCTGAGGAGCGCAAGAAGTTGGTGCCCCGCGTCTCCATTTTCGGCGGCAAGGCAGCCCCCGGATACTGGATGGCCAAGATGATCATCCATCTGATCAACAACGTTGCGGCAGTGGTCAACAAGGACCCTGACGTGGGTGACTTGCTCAAGGTCATCTTCATCGAGGACTACAATGTCAGCAAGGCTGAAATCATCTGTCCGGCCTCCGATATCAGCGAGCACATTTCCACGGCGGGCACTGAAGCCAGCGGAACCAGCAACATGAAGTTTGTCTTGAATGGAGGGTTGATCATCGGAACTTGTGATGGCGCTAATGTATTTTATCCTTTTTTTTTCTCCTCTTCTTTCATGATATGGTACTGATTGTATAAAGATCGAAATCACCAGGGAAATCGGCGAGCAGAACATCTTCTTGTTCGGGACGCTGGCCGAGGACGTCGAGGAGCTGCGCCACAGGCACTTCTACGGCGACTTCCAGATTGACGGGGACCTGGCCAAGGTGTTTGACGCGATAAAGCAAGGCACTTTCGGTGATGCAGGCAACTTTGCCGCGTTGGTGGCCGCCATCGTTGACCACGGCGACTACTACTTGGTATCGGACGATTTCAACTCGTACATCAAGACACAAGACATTGTCGACGAGGCGTTCCAGAACCAGGACGAGTGGCTCACCCGGTCGATCACGAGCGTCGCGCGCATGGGCTTCTTCTCGGCAGACCGAGTGATTAACGAGTATGCGGATAGTATCTGGAACGTGGAGCCTTTGACGGAGTCGTAGTAGTAGTAGTAAGCTGCTACACAGTACATCCACCGAGTTATTAGTAGCAATAGTATAGTCAATCCATTATCTACTATTTATCTGATATATATTGTCATTCACTGAACCTAAGTGGTCGGTCTATGTAGCCGTCAACTCAGCAATCCGCCGCTGCAACTCCGGCACAGCACGGAGCTGCAGATCGAGATCCTCCTTTTCACTAGAAAGAATTAGCCGGGGGGTTTATTATAAATAGGAGAAAAGCAGAAAAGAGGGGGGATTAATACTCTTCCAATTTCAGTCTTCTCTCCCAATCGAGCGCGGTGAAGATGTAGCCGCCCTGGCCGTCGAATTGGAGGATTTTCCTATGATACTTCCATAGACTGCGGCGGTGGGAGACGGTCATGAGGGTGATGCCTAGACGTTTTGCGGTTTCGTACATGACGCGTTCGATCTCCAGGGTGACGGAGGAGGTGCATTCGTCTAGGATGGCGAATTTGGGGCGGTGGTAGAAGAGGCGGGCCATGGCGATACGCTGCTGCTGGCCTCCGGAAAGAACATCGCGCCATTCCTCCTCTGCGTCCCAGCCTGCAGGGCGATCGACGACCCCCGCGATCTCGACGGTGGCAAGGATCTCGTACAGGTCTGCGTCTGTGATGTTGCGGGTGTGCATGTCGCGCAGGGTATCCGGGTAGATGACTTGTTGGCGGAGGGTGCCGCGCGACAGGTACGGGCGCTGGGGGATGTAGAAGATGTCCGAGGGCGGGGGTTTGGCGACGTGGCCGCCGTAGACGGGCCACAGGCCGCCTAGGATGCGGAAGAGTGAAGATTTGCCGCACCCGTTGGGGCCCACGATGAGCAGGTGGTCGCCGCGCTGGACGCGGAAGGAGAGCCGGCGGACGAGCACGTCGCCGTTGGGCGAGACGATGGGCACCTCGCGAAACTCGATCGAGTCGCTGCTTGTCGTCACGGTGCCTCGCCCGGAGAGCACGGCCGCGTTCTCCTCTGTCGACGCGCTGGACACGAGCTTCTTCTCGAACCGCCCCGCGGCCAGGTCGTCCATCACCTCCAACAGTGACGACACGCGCGCCGTGTGCCCGGCTAGCTCGGAGATCTCCTTGTACGAGAACATTAGTCGGCCGAACGCGTCGGACGAGGAGAGCAGCATCCGGCGATTGGTTACGAAGCCTAGCCAGTTAGAAAAATGTCTTTTTCTCCAAGAAACAAAAAAAAAGGTAACATACTTTCCGTCCGATCACCCATGGTCTGGGTAACTTGACCCGGGATACGGAAAAACACAGGCACGCTACAGAGGATGAGTCCCAAAGCGCCCCAGAAGTACTTGATGACAAAGTCCTCCATGAAGCCGTGGTAGAGCCTGCGGCGCAGGATACGGTTGACGTGTTTGATGAGAGTGAAGTAGCCCTTGTCGAGGGTATCCTTCTCGGCGTTGTGGCCGTGGTACAGGGCGACCTCCTCGCTGTAGTCGATGAGACGCGAGTGAAGGAAGCGGAACTCACCCTCCAGCCGGGCCTCGTCCGCGACATACTTGCCGAACGGCGGGGTCAGCATGCGCATCACGTTGGCGGACAGCTGGACGAGCAGACCCATGATGAACAGGCCCTCGCCCCCCACGCTGCGTGACAGCGAGTAATTGTAGATGGCCATGTCGAGCACCGGTTTGGCCAGGTTGGAATACAGCTCTGCCAGGCTGTCGGCGAACCGCGACGTGTCCACCGTGATGAGCTGGTCGGGGTTCTTGATCCGGTCGTCCAGCGCCGAGATGGCATAGAACGTCATGTTGGACAGATACTTGTCGTGGATATAATCCGTCAGTCGTTTCCGGTAGCTCAACGAAAGCCTACATTGGTGATAAGAGAGCTTTCATGACATTTATCAGCCTTGGAACACACATACACCAATACTTTTTTTTTTTTGACTAACCATGGAATTCGTAAACGTCGCAGGGATAGCAACAATCATCCACCAAACAATCCCCAGGAGGAAATCCCTCCCCTTCCCACGCACCAAACTGCTGACCAGCTTGCCATCCAGTTCTGCGACGTACAGACTGAGCAGCGTCCGCAGCACCAAGAACACACTGTGGCTGACCAGCAGGCGCAGTTCCTTGCTCCGCCAGCCCGGGATGACAATCCGAAGCAGACGGAGCAGGTTCTTGACAAACTCACGGTTAATCTCGACCTTTTTCTTCTTCGTGTTGTTGTTGTTATTATTTTTCCCGTTGTCATCCCCGCCTAGACTGCTCGTTCCGGGCCGGTCGCGTAGGTCCGCCGCCCGTTGTGACGCAGCCTTTTGTTCGACGACAGCATCGTGGATGCGCTTGACTAGCGTGGCAAACAGGGCGAGATACACGCCGCGAGAAATATGTGTGCGGTGTTGAAGGTACGTCCTTGCTAGGCTGGAGAGGATCCGGCGGATCGGCCGCTCGGGGGGGAGGAGGTACAGTTTCGACTGGGCGGCCATATCTCTTTCTCTTTATTGTTTTTTTTTTTTCCTTATGGCTGGATTTGAAAGTGAATACGAGAATAGGCCCTAGCCAGCTCCCGAGACAGACATTCCGGGCTCCCTGGGGGGAATATCAAGATGAAGCTATGTTCATGTGAAGCTGTCGTCGTCAACCCTGGCATGTGACTACCCCGGAATTTGGAGACCCCAGCCGAGGGATGACATAATCGGTGCCTGATCTATGAGGCCTACAATACATACTATAACTACTCCGTACTCCGTACCAAGAGCTAGGTGAGTGAGATTGAAGAGTTGGTCAAATTCCAAGATGATGGAAAAATAAATACAGTCAGTCTTCAGAAATACACATGCAATATTAATATTGACCATAATGCAAAAAAACCATTAATACACGGGAGAAAAAAGACACATCAACACCGGCGCTGGTATAAAAGAGAGAGAAGAGCACAACTTCCTCCTTAGTATGAGACAAGAAGTAGCGGGGTAGAAGAGTTGAAGAGCCGTGGATGATATGGATATATATACAGACCAAAGCTGGGCTCTCCGGCCAAAGGCTCATGTGTGAATGGGCATCAAAATGCTGTCAAATGAGTATATACAGCCAGGAATACTGTAGAGGGACAGCTGGCGATGATGGTTGGGAGATTTACGAGGTATTGGTGAGGTATTGTGACTTGTTGGTTTTCATTTCGGTTCATTTAAATGTGTTTCATCCTTAGGGCCAACGTCGTCGTTGCCGAGATTCGGCTTTCGCATACCACTGTTGATCTGCGCGGCGATCTGGCTTTCTTTGAACTTGGCAAAGGCTTCGGCGTCCTGTTTCTGGGTCATCCACAGATCCTCGACGGTGGACCCGACTTTCTCCATGGCCTTTCCCACGCCCGCCCCCTCGGAGAGAGTGCGTGCCTGCTCGTCCTGGAGCCGTTCTAGCTTCTCCTGGAGGGCGTCGTAGGACGGTTTGGCGAAAGATGGCGACGAGAAGCCGTCATCATCCTCATCCTGCGGATCCATGGATGACTTGAGGAAATCCCGCCGCAGGTTCTGGCCCAGGCGGTGGACGTGGCCTTCCTCAGAGGTCATTGCCCGCGAATGTAGCGAGGTCATGGAGCTGGATCGCGACAGTCTAATCAGATAGTGGTCCGTATCCTCGTCATCAATTGCCGTGTCGCCATCGGCCGGGTTGCCGTTCAATCCAAGATCCCCTCCGCTCATGGCGGTGGGGCATTCATCGGAATTCTGTGAGCTCACGTCGTTGGGAATCAAAGGGGTGGGGGGCGCAATGATGCGAGTCTCGGGGTATTCATCTTCGAATCGCTGGATCATCCTGCTCAAGGTAAAATCAAGGAACTGAAGACGTCCTGTTCATGAAAGAATTAGCAAACAGCAGACAAGGTGGGGGGGGGGGGGAACGGATGTCAAAAGACAGGGGGATACTAACTATAGTTCAGATCATTGCCAGCTCTATCCTCGCGAACAAGAGCCGATTGGATACGAGTCCGAATGGTGCGAGCCGAAGCGAGGAGATTCTTTGACATGTCTAGCGGTTTCTTGGAAGTGATCGGTTTCGCCTTGCGGTGACGGGGCGTCGAGGTTCCGCTGGGCGGAGCCGAGTGGTCCCCGTAACTTTCGCTGCGGTGATGGTCCAGGGCACCGAGGCAGACACCCAGAGCCTTGACCACACCGGTGCCGCCAAGGACGTAGTCTTCGTCTGGTGCCGGCTCGTCGTCATCGTCCCCGGCGTCTTCATAGTCGTTATGCCCGACGATATGCTGCAGAATTTCGGGAACAGGCACGTGAGGCCGCGCGGCGGGTGCTGCCGGACCGACAAGACTCACCACTTCTTCGCCCATCGCATTCTGCTCCAGGTTGCGAAGGGAGTACGCAACGATTTGCGATGCGAGCGCCTTGACCACTTCGTTGCTCTCGGCACTGGGAACTTCAATGTCCACGGCGATGATTGACCGGGAGACCCGAACGGCCGCCATCAACGAGGCATAGACCGCGCACGCCTCCTCCTGGGTTTTGGGATCCGCAGTTGATGCGGTCTTGACGATCGCGGGGTTCTCCAAGACATTCAGATGGCACAGGCTCGGGCATTCAGGAAGGATCTCGGCCAGGGCGATCGCATGATCGGGCGACAGGTTGACATCGGCAAGGTGGATGCGTTTCAGCGAGAGCATCTTGGGGAGAAATCGTCGGAACGTCGCCAGGGCATCTGGCTGGCTAGAGAATAGATCCGGATTGTGAGAAAAGTCGACAAATCGAAAGTCGGGCAGCTGGGTAAAGCTCTGGAGTAAAGGGGCCATGACCGAGGGGGTTAACGAGCAATCTGCCAGGCTCAGAGCGTAGAGGGGCTGGCTTGCGTCGATGGCGGCGATGAGAAGGTCCAGGTGGTCGCTCAGCTGATTACCACCGAGATCGAGGCCCTCGCACTTGCCAGCCGCTAGGTACCGCACCACATGCTCCAGACCCTGCCTGTCGAGATTGTTGTTTGCGAATCCAAGCCGCCGGAGTCCGACCGCAATCGCAGCATCACATATCTTCTGGACGTCATCGGTCGTGGGGTTGCATTCACTCAGCAACAACTCCTCGAGGTGGTCGCCTCCAAACCGCTCGGCAAGTGAGTTGGCAAAGACAGTGGGCACATCTACTGCCGGCTTCTGGGGTCGCGCCATGGATCCCAGGCCACCGTTATGCAGGACCTGGGCCCTGGGGAGCGGAATGCCAGACAGATCGATGGCTTTCAGCGACTTGGACAGATGCACGAACAGGCTGATATGGCGCCAACCTTCCGGTCCGATCTTGGGGTTGTCTTTGAAAGACAGTTTCTCCACGACACCAAAACTCTCCTTTTCCGGTGCAGCAGTAGTTCCCTTGGACTTTTTTAACCGTTTCCGTCTTAGTCTCATCTGTTCGACAGTTTTCGTAGACAACAGGCCGGCGAGGATGACTCGCACGGATTCATCCGTCAAGGCACAGTTTTCGAGTATCAGCTTGCGCACGGGAACGATCGCCAGCCAGTCGCCGAATGTCGCAATGTCTTGCGAGTTCATGGGGAAGTTGGAGAGATCCAGCACGGCAACCGTGCCCGGCGCCTCTGCCAAGGTAGATGACGGGGCGGAGATCTGATCGACAACCCCTTTCAGAACCGGCGTTTCCCGCAGCTGACAGCATCGGCGATAGATTCGAACCGGGTCTGTAGTAGGGTGACTTTGAGACTTGGAGCGAGTGGTGGAAGGTGTTGGCCCGGATGATGATGGTTCGTCATCTTCATCGTCATCGACACGCAGTTGAAGCGGGATCGTGCCGTTTACCTCGGCCAGTCGCCTTTTGCGCTCCTTGCGTTCTCGTCGTTCTTCCTCCGATCGCTTCTTCTTCTCCTGTTTTCTGGTGGGCTCTTTGGTAGGCTCTTTGACCTCGGTAGTAGGTTTGGCTTCGCTCTCTGTTACGACCTGGGGGTTCGCCATGCCATTGGCAGCGCCGCCGTTGGCATCTTTCTTGCCCTTGGATTTAGAGTCCGCCTTTTTGTTTTTCTGCGTGGTTGTGTCTGACAGTTGAGGCTGAGGCTGAGGCTGGGGCTGGGGCTGAAGCTGGCCATTGCTCGCTTGGGCGACACTGTCGGCAGCCTCCCGCCGGGAGACACCTGCGATCTCGACATCGACACAGAATGCGACACGACGCAGTTTGGCTTGATCCAGCTCGGCGATTTTACAGCGGTCTCGTTGCTGATCGACATTCATGACCCGCCGTTGGCAGAGCCCGCCGTTGGGCACGAGCTTCCCCGGCCCGCTCGATCCGGAGGAAGAGAGTTTACGGAAGGCATTCTGGAAAAAAGACGGCCCCTTGGGAGAAGTCGAAGCCAGCGGGGCGGGATCCTCCTTGTGTTCGTCATCCTTCTCCCACGGAGAATAGGCCGCCCCAAACGGGTTATGGGTGTCAAGTTTCGAAATCGGACTGGCGTTCTTAGGACTTGAAGAGTTTGGTTTGAAAGTCGAGAGCGACGGAGGCGTTGATCCAGAGGAGAATTTCGAGCTGAGGTTGGAAATCCATGAGTTCCTTCGGCCAGAGATCGGCCGCGGCGAACTCTGCTTGGGAGCGGTTTTCTGAGCCCCGGCCGATTTGTCAGCCGCCTTTCCTTCTGAGTCGGGCGTTGCGGTGTCCTTGTGACTGGGATCCACGCTGTTCTCCGCGGTAGGGGATGTCAGAGGTCCTGGAGTGGAAGCTATGCCGTTGGGGGAGGATGTAGATGTAGCATCGAGCGTCGTCGACTGCTGAGCGGCTGTCGCATCAGAGTCGGCAGCGGACTTGTCACTCACAGCCGATGATGCTGACCGACATCGGGAGAGATGATCTAAGAGGTAGATCAGTATCCTAGGTAGGTACTCAAATGTGAAAACCGCAAGGGACCCGTTTTTACCTTTGTGCGAGTGATGTAGCCAACTGACGTCCACGGTTTCAACGGCCTCCATCTTGGGCGAATATCACACCAGAGCGAGTACCAGGGCTGGGTTGAAAAAGAGAAAAGAGACAGAAGTCAGAGCTCTTGGGGAAGCACGCGTTGTAAACGATGGGTAGGCGTAATTCGGTCACACAAAGTCGTGCATCCTGTGTGTTGGTAGGGAAGGCAGTCGGTCGGTCGGTCGGTGGGGTGGTCGGGAGGTGAGGTGAGGTGAAGTGCAGTTAGGAGGAGGAGGAGGCGTCTGTGTCAATGACGGAAGTCTGGGGTTGCAGAGCAGTCTCCTCCACAGATGAAATTCTTGAACGATCTTTCAGGTTTTCCCAGGTGCTCGATTCATTCTCGACAGGAGTTGTGGAATGTCGCTGCGGTCACGACGCCGGGCGACGCAGGCGAGCAGACATGGTGAGGTGAGGAGAGAGAGCGTGTGTGAGTGGGTGAGGGGAGTATGGAGAAGCAAGGCTCACGAGACCAAGTGAGAGAATTTCTCGAGACCAGTCAGGGGCGAAAAAAAGAAGACGATGGAAGAAAAGTATCAGTCTTTAAAAGGGGATAAGCGGTGGATGACGAAGTGATGGTTATCGCCAGCAGCGGTGGGAAAGGTAGAGTTACTAGAAGATCCCTCCACGATGGACCCGTTGCTTATAGGCTGGGAGGGGCGGTGGGGGAGATGGAATTTTGGGTAACGTTAGAATAGTAATGATTCCAGTCTTGAGGGAGAAGTAGATAGTGATCCTATTGAACTGACTAGTTAACTACTAAACAATACTATACCTATACCTATCTATACCTATATCTATATCTATACCTATATCTACACCTATACTCTCTGGCGGTGGGTGACCAACACATGATGAACTTTAACTCTCACACGACGTCTTGCCAAGAGAATTCCCAGTCGTACAAGACAGAAGTCACTGTCAGTCTACAGACCTGATGGATTGACTTGCAGATCTTATTATTGGCCAGGCTGATGATTGGCCTCGTCATGTTCCCGTTGGCCCTGATCTTGTCTTCCTCTGCTCCGTACCTCTTAACTAACTACTATCTTGCCACTTTGGACGGATGGTCTCTACGGTCGACGGGCAATATGCTATGATAGATAGAACTTGCTTATATTTCCTACTGAGAGAGACACACATACCTTGAAGTACACAGGAACTTGAATAAACTACTAATTAGTCTGCTCGTCATCATGTTAACCGGAGAAATAACGCCAGATGCGTCGCCGGAGCCACAGTCGGAATGTCTCCCGGAGACTCAGCACAGCCTGTGGGTACCTTATGTAGTATGCTACCCTGATTATTCTACAGTAACAGTACCTAAGTACTAAATAATTACTATGCAGTAGAACTATTGATAGAGTAATTATTGGTGGGTTAAAGGAACGTTTCGATTCTTAATTTAAGATAATTCTCCAGTCCCAAGGATTTAGAGGTCACTATGGGTTTGCCATCGCACAATACGGAGTAATATTTAGAGATGGAACCCCCGAAATCGGCGAGGAAAACTTGTCGGAGAATATAGGTCAACATCGTATACAATTAATATCGAGTGTACATACACAGTACGCAGTAGATTATAATAGTAATCTCTACGGGGAAAATAGTGTAGACGAGGATCTGATTACCGAAGCTTAGAACAGTAGCAAAGAAATTTCCATGGGTAACACCGACTAATCGCTCCGAATAAATCATCAAGCCGTAACAAAATCCATCAATCTACAAAAAAAAAAAAAAGAGGTATCATTCAACGCCATGGCGAGTAGCCACTCCTTCCTTGGTATTGCGCATGATGAAGATGGAAAAAAAAGAACAAAGACTTTTTGTGGTTGGCTATCACACTCAGGTATTTGTTTCCTTTTTTTTTTAGAAATAAAACTCGTCAAGCACCAAGTGTGTCATAACCATCCCCCCCGTCAACCCGTGGAAGTTCGGGAATAATCCTATTTAAGCGGCAAGCTCGCGGATCTTGGCCTCGACACGGGCCTTCTTCTCCTCGCGGGTGAGTTTGGCGGTCTTGTGCTTCAGGCTCTCGGCCTTCCACTCAGCCTTGGACTTCTTCTCGCCAGCATCCTCATCCTTCTTGAAGGGGTCCTCGCGGATGGCCTTGTGGGCCTCGGCGTAGATGTCCTCGAGATCGGCGGCGTCAACCTCGGCCTCGGTGTACTTGTGGAACTGGCCGCGGTAGCGCTCCTCGTCATCGTCGGCAAGAGTCTCCATGTACTCGGCAACGTGGCCGGCGAAGATGTACTTGCGGAGAGTCTCGGCATCGAGCTCCTCGGACTCGATGTCGAAGCCGGGGAAGCGGTTCTCGGAGTGGGGGACGAAGATACCACCGTCGGAGGCACCCTTCATGGCACCGAAGACACGGGCACCGGTCGAGGTGCGGGTCAGACCAACGTCAAGGAAGGCCTTGAAGGGGCGGCGGGTGCCATCCTCGGTCTCGACGGCCTCGGTGAGGGTGAACTCACCGTCAGCCTCCTCGACACCGGTGAATTCGCCGTCGAGCTCGAGCTTCTTGAGCACACGGCGGGCCAGCAGGAGACCAGTGGCGTAGGCGGCAGACCAGTTGGTCAGACCCTGGGTGATGCCATAGCGCTTGAGCTCGTGGGAGTAGGCGCTGGCCAGGACCTTGTCACCGGAGATCTCGGAGTAGACGATCTGGGTGATGATGTCGCGGTTGGTGAAGCGGACCACCATGCGGTACTTGGGGGCGTTGTACTTGTTCTTCGCCTGGGAGATCAAGCGCTTGCGGGCATAGTAGTCGGTCTTACCCTCACGACGACGCTTGTACTTGGTCTGGTAGCGGCTGAAAAAAATCAGAATTATTTTTCAAAACAGAAAAATGGTGAAAAAGGGCCTTCTGGAAATTTCTTTACTCACCTGTAGTAAGCGCTGTTCTTGACGAGCTTGGTGAAAGGCTGCAAAAAACCGTGCGAGTCAGCAATTTGCGCTTCAGAAATATCGTCCGAAGCATCTTGCGGGGACCCGTCTACAGGAGGAGAAAAATAATCCTAGACGGTGCAGGTGCAGTCCGTCATCCTCCTGTAAAGACAATGAGACTCACCATCTTGTCGGTTGTCGAGGATTGAGGCCCGAAGTGTTGACGTGGTTGCAAGAAGAAAGAGTCGCAAAGATTTTGTGCGTCGGTCTTTGTGGGGGATTTCGCTTAGGGCGTGGCTGCATCCCGACGCAACAACGAGGTTGGCGACGGACGGCAGCGCGGTGGGCGACGACTAGAACCATGAAATGAAATAATAATGAAACATCAATCCTACTCGGGTTTTTTTTCTATTTCTAAGAGAAGATTTGGAGTTTCCATTCTTTGGATACTCAGAAATCTCTCGTCGAATGTATTATCAGTCTAGTTCACTCACAGATGACTACTAACTACTGCTCATAGTCGAGCTTTGTCAGTCTCCAACAAGTCCAAGCCTGTGATTTTCTCCAACTCTTTGACCGCATCATATGTCTTGCCCAGCGTGACTTTGATGGTTTCCATACCAGCCTTCTTTGCAGCCTTGAGGTTTTCCCCAATATCGTCGAGGAAAACGATATCGGATGCCTCGACAGCATCGATCCCCTTGGTTTTTGCTATTTGGTTCATCTCTTTTATCGCAGCTTCGTATATCCTTGGGTCTGGTTTCCGTAGGCCCGTGTGCGCTGAAGAGAGAAAGAAATCAAACCGCGCCACCAATTTATCACGGTCCTCATTGTAGGGGTGTCCATCAGGGAAGATCACCGTGTTGGACAAGGCACCGATGATGAACTTGTTTGATTCCTTCAGCTTCTTCAGAGCTGGAAACATATACGGGTCCGGGGCTCGAGAAACGCGCATCATCTCCCAGAACAGATATTCTGCGTCGATCTCTGGCAACGGAGGCACCGTAGTAGACAATCCACGTGCCTGGTTCCTCTGCAATCGCTCTTGAAACTCCCGCCAGAGTGCTGGTCTTTGTAGGTCTTTGTTGAACGCCGAGAAGAACTCTTTGTCGAGATGAATTTCACCTCGCTCGAGCCTGTGCCAGCTCCCTTCTGGCGACGTACGCGAAATGCTGAAGTTGATCCACCCTGGTGGAATGCCCTGGGAAATCTCATAGTCTAGAATAGCTTGAAACGGGGAAACGACCTGTTATTGCCTAGTCAACGCTTCTGACCAGACAAATGAAGCATCGGACTATGCCTTGTCTTACACAAACACCCCCAATGTCAAAAAGAAGGCCCACGGGCCGTTGGCTCTGCGACATGGCAGTAGACACTCGGTTGATGAAACGACACCCTCTATGAATGTCAAGACTCGAGGTCGACGTATCACTTTGTCAGATTCTCAGAGCTTAGATGGTTGTCTATCGATCCATCGTTCTTATCTGCGATAGTGCCTTCGAATTGGTTTGCCGAGGTACATGGCCTTGATTTCTACCAGCCGAGGATGACTTTGATTGACGAGATATTGATTTTCGTCAATTCCCCTGTATAATACGGGACTAATATTGTCCCTCCAGGCTAATTTAGATTGGAATCGGCCTGAGTGCTCTTTGAGAAAGCGTCGAGTTCGTCCTTCTGTGTAGGTATTCCATACGTAGCCCTGTTGCGGGGAACATCGATGCACGTGACCGCGTGAAATCCACCACGTCGTCGCGCCACGCGCGATTTGTTCTGGCAGCACGAGACGGTCGATATGGCGAGATGGAATCCGCTCGCACCATTTCGGAGCTGAAATCGGCTTTCATCAGAGGGCAGGTGCGGATTTTATCGGAAGGCCTTGAACCCCCCGAGGGCTGGAGAAATTATGCCTCAGAATCGAACGAAGGGGACCTGAGCGATAAGGCAGTGGACGATGCGTTGCAGAAACGTAGGTTGTCTCTTGTTTCCTTCCTGCGCTCGGTTTTCTTCTAGTTCAGGGGACTGACTGAGAGCATTCTAAAGTGAATGCTGCTGTGAAACAACATAATCGCGTCGTTTACTCTTCGCAAGCGGTACATCATGTTGCGCAACAGATTTCCAGTCTCTACTGGGCGTCAGCCACACAAGAGAACCAGAGCCTGAGTTCTAACATGGGTGTCGAGAAGACCATGGATTTGACCAACCACTTGTGGGTCTTTCTCATCAGTTGGTGAAATGGTGTGTGGCTAACAGGTTCCAGAAATATCCGAAAATTACCCTTGGAGCTGGAAGACCCGGCGGCCACCGAAGAAGAGAGGTCAAGGTTTGTTCACCACAGGGTTATGATAGCCGCTAGATTCTCTTAATGGTTTTAACGGTAGACTCAGATACCAGCAAGCCCGCGAGCGCCTGATGGAATTAGACGAGCGGCGACAGGAGCGACAGCGACGCCTGTCTCAGCTACAGCAATTGAAGCATCTAGTCGAACCGTTCCGGAGCCCACAAGAAAACATTCAACCAAATCTTGTCACGAGGGATGGTGAGCTGGCCCGGGAGCTCGACAAGATGAGAATGCTTGTCGCCCGGGCCGCAGGTCGGATCGGCCAGCAGCCGCCAAAGAAGCATGGACAGCCTGATAGCGTTTCACGTATCCTCAGCTCGGAACAGAAGATCACAGCTGTGCTTGATCTGATGGAGTGAGCTGGAGCATCGCTCTGAAGAGCAAGTGCCTTCTGCACATGACTTGATAATACCTTTCTTTGCAGCATCATCAGCGAACTCACTGTAGTACAAGATGAAGATATTATTTGGAATCCGATCCAGCCTAATACGGGAGATATTGTACAAGGTGCGAAACAAAGGCACCAACTATCACTCGACTCCATTGCCTAGTGTACGGGAGTACTGCGTTGTTGGCTGGTGTTTGCAAGGGGGAGTCGACTGCAGCAGCTGCGTACACAAATTACTGAATCGGGTCTTCTGTTAAAAGTTTCATCCATCCATCCTTCCTTATAGAGGGCCTACAAGCAGCCATGCCTTCTCTACTACATTTCCTAGACTACCTCCTCGTTTCCCACCCCCCATGGCTCTTTAATTCTGCCTCAATGCTTTTGTACCTGTCATTTCAGCTCTTTCACCCTCACAATGGATGAGGATCAGTCCCGTACAGACCATATTGAGTTTAGCGGCCGGAGCAGCCCAGCTTCCGAAAGTCCGAGCCTTGACCCTTTCGGTCATGGTGTCGCAACACTTCCGGGCAACATCAGCAGCACCGGCCAGCTCCACGATCAGGGCGAGAACTCGGTGCAGCAAACCGCCATCATTGAGGGCCTTCAGGAGGTTCCTTCGTCTCCCAAACCTTCCTTTGTCCGTGGTCACCGGCGTCGTTCGACCCACGTCTCCCCACGTGACCTCGAGAGTTTCCGAAAGGAGGTGCTGGGGCTGCAAGAACCGTGCCGAGACTACGACTTCGACTCACCGGACACGCTCAGACTAAATCCCTCCCACGACCCGCAGCTGCAGGATCTGAACTCGGCCTTTGAACGTGCAGCGATGTCGCTCAACAACGGCGGCGGGATGCCAAGCAACGGTCCCGGCGCGGGAATGTTTTCTGGCTTCATGGACAACGCCAACAACCCGAATATGGTCAACATGCCCCGGCCGAATATGTCTCCTATCATGCCTCATTCTCCTAGTCAGGCCAATGGTGGTGGAATGGCAGGTGTCAATGTTTCCGGGATGCCGATGAATGCAGGCCACCAGATGGACCTCAATCACCTCTATGAAATGGTTTTGGATCTCAGCGAAGTACTGAAGAATAACCGAGAGGTTACCAAAAGCATTGTCTCTAGTGCAGAGGATATCATGGTCCGTTGTCCTTAAGTCTCACTATATGAAAAATTCCTATCTCCCTACTAACAATGTTAGAAACGTGCAAACTCAGAAGGCGCGAGTCCCACTCTTCAACAAGTCAACGGCGAGATTAATGGTGGGCATTCCTCCCTACCAATTTCTGTACCTTAGTCTGATCGATATAGGTGCCCGGATTAGCGAACTGGAACGTGCCGTGGCGAAGGAGAAGCGACTCGTGGAAACCCTCAAACGCGAACAGGCCGAGAACACAAAGCTGATTGGTGAATACGAGGCTGCCGTTGGTGTCATGGTCGAGCAGATCCGCAACTACTGCCACAACAACAACATGCATTTTCTTTCCCAGAAACGCCACTATAACAATCTGTTGCAGGCCGAGCGAGACGCTCACCTGTCCAGTCGCCTTGATCGGGATTACTGGCACGAACAGACCATGAAATGTGCCGAGATGATTCGCACAGCGTACCGTCTCCGTTGCGAAGAAGAAGAGCCGTACATCCGGGTCATCTCTGGCCTCCAGAACGAAGTTCGTGCCTACCGCAACGCGCTTGGCATGGAACCCGAGAAGCCTGAAGAAGAGTACGGCTGGGAGATTCTTAAGGACACTCCGCCTAGCGTGGAGTGAAGAAACCTTTTTGAATATTAATGAGCTACGATTGGATTTGCTTTGGCGGGATTTTGCAGGCGTTTTTTGGTTTTTTTTTTTTTTTTTTTTGCTGGGTTCGGTGCTTGGCTGAAAGATACCCATGACTGAAACAGGTGAAGTCGTGTCTGCTTGGTTTTCTTCATGGATAATACTTTTTGAGTCTAGAATTTATTTTGGTTTTTGGTATTCGTCTATCATCCAGGCTGGGGTACGATGGTCTGGTGAAGGGGAAAAAATGCCATTCTCACTCCGTATGAAACACCTCCTCCAGGGGCTTCCACCACCCCGGCCCTTCTGCACTACCGATTGCCCCAGGAATCGGACTCTCCTGATGAATCACTCTGTCAATATCACAACTACAGACGTGCATATATCTGGCTTGGTGTATAGTAGTTTACCTGCATCCCATCCGTCATGACCCACCACTCCCTCACTTTCGGATTTGCTTGCATTCGCGCCATATCGGCCTCGAAATCGTCGCCAACGTATTTGAATGTCGCGAAGAGGGTGCGCTCATTATCGAAGAAGATGGAGTCTATACACACACACACACATATATATATGTCAATAGTGTTCCCTTTGAATATAGGCAGTGTCAAGAGAATTCTCTACAGTCTGTGATATTGCAATCCTTGATCTGCTGCAATACTTCTGGCCATACGTTTGCATGACATTCCTTATACGCTTCCACGGCGGAGGGTTTAAGGTGGACGATCTGTGCGAAGCGTTTCATTCTTCTTCTTCTTCTTCTTCTTCTTCTTTTCTTTCGAAATGATATTTTTCTGAAGTAGATGTTATTACTTTTTTTTCTTTTTGAAGATGAGATAAATTAATTAGGCGGATATATAGTACCCCCCTCCCCCGCGCCGGACTGTTTTCCCCCGAGGTTACTATATACTGTGGGGTGAAATATAGTGGTCTGAAACCAATCCTTTAGATGAGGCTATGTACTGACATGAATAATCTGTCTCCTCTAATTCTTGCAGAGTGTATGGGGGTTATGCTATGAAATACCTAATTAAGCAGTACCTACTTTACAAAAGAGATTGGGAAAGTAAAATATAAATCAGACAAATTTGGTATCATATCCGTGAAATATCCAACCCGAAGTTACGCCACGCTAATGCACACATAATCTTGATATATAGGTACTTTGTGTATAAATGTTAAGGCATTTCGCTGCGAGGCATGGGGCGAACCCAGCTCATGGAAAGATTGACGCCCAGCGAGATCACACCGATGATCCACATGCCGCGAGCATAGTTGGTGCCATTGTAGCGGAAGACAATGGCGAAGATGATTCCCCCAAAGTTGCCCATGCCACCGACAGCACCGGAAACGATTCCTGGACCTTTTTAGTATTTTTCTTTCTGGAAGGTGGAGATGGATATCGTTTGCTTACCATTAGCGAATGGGTGGACGTGAGGGACGACGGCGAAATTGGCACCGTTGGCTGCCTCGGTGAAGAAGGCGAGCCCGGCAGCCAACCCGAACATGGTGGATTGAGATTTAGGGTCTGTGAGCCCGATTGCCAGAAGGAAGGCGCCCATGATGATGCTCAGGGAGACGAGCCAGATCTTCTTCGCCCAGATGGAGTTGGTACGCTTGTAGAGGAAATCGGCAACGAGACCGCCGGCGGGACGGAACACCACATTGAGCAGACCGAACATGGCGGCCCACTGGCCGGAGCGGGTCTGGCCCAGATTGGGGAAGTTGTCAGTGTAGTAAGAGCCCAGGATAGAGTCGAGGGCAAGCTCGGTGCCGAAAGAGCAGGCGTAGGGAAGGGCGACAGCCATCGTCGACAGGCTGAATATCACTCCCAGGGCTTCCTTGAACGTAGGAGCGACGACAACTTCCCGGTTGTAGAAGTCAACCTGGCCTGTTTGAGCCTCCCGGTCGATGGTCACTGGCGTCTGGGCCCCCTTTTTCTCGATATCGGTAGGGACGTTCATGACAGATGGCGAACCAGATGGACCATCGGGGGACTGTGTATCAAGGTCGATCACGTTTTCGGAGCCCGTCGTATGTTCCTCCTTCATCCAAATCTGGCGTTCAGACCACTTGCCCGTTGGGGTGTCTTCGCAAGTGAAGAGCATGGCCAGTGCAATAACGTTGATGAGGACAAATGGGACAATGTACGCCACACGCCAGGCCTTGTGCGCACTTAGACCTTGAGAGTGGACAAGGGAATCGAAGATAGCAGGCATCACGAAGCTGCAAGTAAGTGTTAGTGAAATGTACAACGCTGTTCCGACCCCCTTTTTTTTTTTTTTTTTTTTTTTTTTCAATTTCACTATGTGATGCCTCCTCCAGCATTCCCCCAGCCAGCAGCCAAAGCATTCGCTGTGCCTACAATATTCTTGTCGAAGAAGCCAGTACACCACACCTGGCACGGCACGAAAGTGGCACCCAGGATGCCAACGAAGAAGCGTAGGGCAATCAAGCCGGAAGGAGTAGTGACCAGTCCAGCCATGGCTGTGGGAATCGAACCCCCGATCAATAATCCCACAAACACCAAGCGTGGACCAAAACGATCACATAATGGACCGGCAACGAATCGTACTAGGAACCTATAGATCTATCAGCAGCTAGTAATACGAAGTGTTGAGTTTCCAAGGACAAACACTTACGTAGCTAGAAGCGCAACGATGTTGGAATTTGCGATATCAACTTGTGTCATTTTCAAATCTTGTTTGATTGTGTCGGTCAACTAGTATCAATGCATCGTTAGAAGGCCACGCACTCTCTCTTCAGGATGCTGAGATAGGGAGTACCTACCAAAGGCGGAAACGCATACCATGACAGGAATGCTACCATGAACCCAAGCCATGAGAAAAAGTAGACCCTGCCATACTTATCGAAGGGATTGAAGAATGGAATGGATTTGGCCTTTCTGTTGTTCGGATTGATCTCTGGAGAGACGAAGGCCAACCGAAGAACCTCCATTACGCGTGATAGTGGAACCGACGTTCACAGTGACAATCAGTTGTGCAGCAAGTATAGAGTAAGCCAATAAATAGAAGGAGAAGTATAATATATCAAAAAACTGTGGTGATGAGCTGCTTGCAGTGGGTATCGAACGGGGCAAAAGAATATCTATATACAACTAAAAACAAAACTAGATGATATCATGCTTCGCGGTAATCACTAAGAAGCATTGATCACACACACTATCTTGATATCCTCTTGTACACGTGGGAAGACAAAAAAAATGGTCAGTTATCTCCTAGGAGATACTCCTCAGAGCATCAACCCAGACACAATTGACATGAATGAAACATCAAAACTTAGAGATTAGCCAGCGTAAGAGCGAATAAGGTAATCGAATGGAAAAAGAGGCAACGCAAAAAACAACATCAGCAAGTCCAATCAACTTGTTTAGCGTACAAGGATGGCGCTGGCCCGGAACAATCCTCACCAGGGGCCCCCCGAGACGTCCGCCTTGGCCCTTCACTGGGAATGGCCATTATTGGTGAGGAAACATCAGTTAGAGGATCTAGGAGGGTTTAGGAGTCAGCATAGATCCACGATAACGGCCAGAATAATGGCACATGAACAGATAAGATCAAGCGTCCCCAGAGTTACCTACTGACTAACTCCGCGGCATTACAGCTGGAACGAAGCTGAGCCAGCAGAAAGAGAGTTGATAACCATTATGCCTCTCATTGGACCCAGGCACGAACCCCTTGAATGCCCATAGAGCATGGAGACCTATGCGGTTGGGGCGGGTTTGACGCCAGCTGTGGATTCCAACCCGTAGATCCTGCGAAGATTCGATCTCCGCGGAGATCTTTTGACAGCAGAGACAGTCGAGACAGTCGAGACAGTCGAGGCCTCGTTGAACAGGCCACAGCGTCGAAGAGCCGTGAGAGCGTGTTGGTGGTGGCCAACGGGGAGAGTTTAGGAGGCGAAGGAGAGATAAGAAACTCGCGGCTGCTGATTGGGTCGGCTTATCCACGTGAGAGTAGCAGCCCTAAGCTTGGGGCCTTCCTCTTTCGGACACGATTTAGGTCTTGGAACCTCTTTGGGAAGTTGTAGGGCTTACAGGGCAAAGCTTAGTACCAGAAGAAAGCCTACAGAATACTGCATATTTGTATCCAGGGAGGAATTCAACTTCATATGGGTATATTCAATGAGTTCACTCGATAACTAGTAAGAGAAACGCCCGCTAAACCATCGCATCTGTCGATGCCAGAATACTATCCGGAAGACCACCGGTACTGCTACTCTTCTCTATCGTGAACCGTAAATCATCACCAATCAATCACGTTGCTGGTTGACGAGCATTGTATCTGGGGGTGCCCGGTGGCTCCTTGGACTCTCTTGCCCCTCTTGCCTCGCATGTTCTTGTACTTCTTGTCGACCTTCTCAAAAGGATCCGGGGCTTCTCCCTTTTTGACCTTCCATTTCTCAGTTCCCAGCACGGCGTCTAGTTCCTCCACCGGAGGAAGCTTCATGTACACCCAGCCATCGCTGCGTTCCTCGACGGGGAATGTTGCGATGTTCATGCTCTCATCGTTGGTGCAGCGACCAGCTTGCTCGCCGTTGAGCTCAAAGTTGCGCTTATGGTAAGGACATGATACCCAGTACTTCCCGGCATCGTCGTCCCCGATCATTCCGTCGGAAAGGACAAAGGCGCGTTTATGGGGGCACATTTGTTGAGTCGCGTAGTATTTGCCCTTGACCTTGAAGATGGCCAGCTGTGTGTCGCCCCGTTTGATGTTGGCCGACGACATCTGTGGTTGCTCGTCAGAGAAGTGGTCGGCCTGAACCACCGGTTGCCACGCCAAGCTGGACCACTGGTGGCCCTTGAAGTCTTCCGTGGCTTCCGAGTCCTTCGGCCAGTACGTAGGACGCTGCTGGTCACGCTCCTGAATCACCTCCACATTTTCTACAGTTTCTTCAGTGTTGACGAACTGCTGGAAAAACTTACGTCGTTTTGGGTTTCTGACGGTTTCCGTCCATTCGCAGAAATAGCTGGACACAAGGTCTTGCATTTGCTGCTCAAGTTCGGCGCAGATCCCAAGCTTGTCGTCGATGATTACCTCCCGGAGGTAGCCGATACCTCCCGGAAGATTTTCAATCCAGCGTGCAGTCCGTTGGAGTTTGTCTGCTGTACGGATGTAGAAGATCAGGTACCTGTCAATGATTGGAATCACCATCTCCGGCGGTACATCCTTTGCAAGTAGTTCAGAGTGGCGTGGCTTCGCTCCTCCGTTACCACCCACGAAAATGTTGAACCCATTCTCAGTGGCAATAAGACCGAAGCTAAGAGACCTTGTCAGCGCTTCAAACATATCAAAATTGATTGGAAATCTTACTCCTTGTTCTGCGCTTCGGCGCACTCTCTCACGCAGCCAGAAACTGCACCTTTGAGCTTGTGTGGAGATCGAATGCTCTTGTACCGTTCTTCCAGACGAATAGCCATGCCGACACTGTCACCAATCCCGAAGCGACACCAAGTAGTTCCAACACAACTCTTGATCGTTCGTAGTGACTTGGCGTAAGCATGACCGCTTTCCATTCCACCATCCACAAGTTCGGTCCAGATGTCAAGAAGATCCTGCTTCTTGGCTCCGAACATGTCGATTCGCTGGCCACCGGTGATTTTGCAGTATAGACCATACTTCTTAGCCACCTGGCCGATGGTGATCAATTTATCAGCGGTGATCTCTCCACCTGGAACTCGGGGAACGACCGAGAAGGTGCCATTTCGTTGGATATTGGCGAGAAACCTGTCATTTGTATCCTGTAGATCGTGGACGTCCTTTTCAACGACGTGCTGATTCCACAAGCTAGCAAGAATAGATCCAATCGCAGGCTTGCATAATTCACATCCTAGCGAGTCTGGTTTTTTCCCAGCAGCTTTCATAACATCGATGAAGGTCTTTAACTGCTTGACCGCAATTATATTGTAGAGATCGACACGGGAAAAGGGGATGTGCTGACACAAATGGTTGGAAACCTCCTGGCCCATATCTAACATGGCCTTGTTGAAGATCGACTGGACCAGAGGCATACAGCCACCGCAGCCTGTTCCGGCTTTTGTGCATGATTTGACTTCCGCGATTGTCTTGCATGTGCCATTTTTGACATTTTCGACAATGTCACTCTTGGTGACGTTGTGACAGGAGCAAATTTGGGCGCTATCATCAAGATCATCGGCATTCTCCTCACCCTCCTTCTGAGAACCGAGAATAAACTGGCTAGGTGGGACATACAGCTTCGTTTGGGTTTTGACCATTTGATTTAACTTGATGTAGTCCTTGGTGTCTCCAATCATCATTCCACCCAGGAGATAATTTCCATCCATGGTGAAAAGATATTTCTTGTATACCCCACCGAATGGATCTTTGTACGTCAGTGCCTTGACTGGAGGCTCTGTCTCCTTTTCTTTCAGAGCAGCTGGTGGGATTGAAGGCCTTCTCCCTGGAAGGAACTTTGGTCCATCTCTGTCGGCGAAGAAATCACCAAAGCTGGCCACATCAACTCCGAGAAGTTTCAACTTTGTACTCAAGTCTGGCCGTGTGAAACGTTTGGGCTCCTTATCCAAGTTCGTGAGATTGAATGACAAAACATCGGCCATTTCGATACCAGGAGCGATGATACCAAAGGTCTGGTTGTCCCAACTGGCACATTCACCGATCGCGTAGATATTAGGAATCGAAGTTTGCAAACTGAAGCGCATAATTAGCAAGGAGCTGATGGAGGAGCTTGAAGCGAATCATATAATAGTACCTTTCGTTGATGATGAAACCACCCCGATTCGCGCATTTGATACCAGCCTGTACACCAAGTTCGTCTCGAGGCCTCACACCAATCTGAGCGTGGAAGTTAATATATATAAAAAGAATGAGTGATGCCAGTACTTACCGCAAAGCAGATACAGCAACATTCCAGCTTTTCGGAATCCTCAAACGTGATACCAACGACGTTATTGTCCTCATCCGTATCGACACTCTTTATCCGCTTCTCGTGTAGCACATCAAGTCCAAGCTCGCGGATTTTGCGAGTCACCAGACTCCCTGCGTCAGCATCCAATTGTCTGGCTAACACCCACTTGTTTCGGTCGACCAACGAGACGCGACCAAAATCTTCCAGATCGGTCATTGCCTTGGCCGCCTCCAACCCCAGCAGACCCCCACCAACTGTTACCGCTGTCTGGCCTTTGTGCTTTGAAGCGAAGTTGATGAGACGCTCGAGGTCGGAAATGGTTCGATACACAAACACGCCCTTGGCACCATAGCCAGGCGTATGTGTGGGAAGCACCGCATCAGATCCCGTCGCAAGAACTAAGATATCGTATTCAATCGTATCTCCGGTAGACGTCTTCACAACCTTTTTATCGGGGATAACCTCCGTCACTTGGGTATTGAGGTGATAGCTGAGGCCTCTGTCGGCGTTGGAACCGTACTATTATCCACGGCAGTTAGCAAAGATAGGAACGCCAATCCCATTCCACTTGCCCACAAAACACTCACCCATTCTTTGGGATTCAGATACAGGTCTTCTATCTTGCGATGCTCGAAGAACGTAGAGAGCCCGACGCGGTTGTACGCAACGTGCGGTTCCTCTCCAATCACGACAATCTCGAAGCGTTTCTCAGAGTCCAACTTGATCACTTTCTCGCTATACACCAGATCCCGTCAGTTAATGAATTCTCCGATAGACACGCGTGGCACAGCCAACAAAAAACCTACATGAAGGAGATGGCAACCATGCCCAAACCGACAATCACGATTTTCTCGCGTTGAGCAGCCGCCTGCCCGTTTTGGACATGTGACCCAGTCACGGGACTCTCGTCTCGAACCTCCTGAGGTTGATCGTGGAAGTTGTCGCTGCTGCTGTTGTCGTTACTGCCGTAGTGAACCACATCGCTGGTGGGCAGCAGCCCATGAAGCAAGGGCATCTTGCCGTTGGAAAGAGAGAGTACGAGGGGTCTGCAGAAGACGCGATCAGGTTTAATTATGTACGGGGGACTACAGGCGCGTGTGCTTTTACTAATATACGTTTTCTCCCAGACCAAAAATGGACGACCATCGGCTCGCTGGCCTGGCTTGTCGGGAATGACGAGTCTCCGATCTTTTCCTATTATTATACAAAATATTATATTGCATGACACAATGACACATATGCAGGGGTGGAAGGTTCCGCGGGCGCTGGCCAGAATCCAGTCCCCTACCGGTTGTCTGACCACGCTGACGGAGTATCCGATCTCCAGATGTCGTCGAGACAATCTGCATCTACCCAACTCCGCGGAGATTCATGAGGGTGTTTATCGACGCAGCGCCTGCGGGTCCAAGATGTGATGTTCGCCAGAGATAAGGATTGGTGCGGTATCCAATGGGTGATAGTTAGCCCTTGTCGGCCCTATCAGGATATGGCAATTTGTGTTCTCTCCCTCGAACGCACTGTCTGAATAACGAGAAATAATAATGTCTGTGGCGATTGATATAGTTTACAGGAGGGATCTAGAGGAATTGGCCAGTATGGTGCTGTATACTGCGTCGTCTGGTATCTCTTACGTTTTGCGCTGACGTTCCACAGATCAGCAATAAGGATGGCCTGTAGCGAGGCAAGTATCGGGGCCTTTGCTTGCCTCCATTTTCAACGTCACAGGGGCCATCCAAGCCCGGGATTCGGCGGATATGAGATAGTCCATGCTGTCTGAGAACTCTTAGGTCCCGCGGAGATAGATTCTCAATAAGAGTCTGTCCTGTAGTCTTGGGAGATGCTCTTTACTTCTTTCTCCGAGGTAGACACCCGGGGCTTGGACACCACAGAGTAGGCTACTAGATCTGTAGCAGCCGCAGGGGGAAGTTCTACCAAAAGAAAAGCCTTTAGTCCATAGTCGTGGAGTGCGCATGAGCTGCTAAGACAAACAGAAATTGTGCAAATTCTCCATTCCGGACCGCCTATCGAGCCACATTCTTCTCTCCAACGCCACATCTGTCTGCACTGTGTCGAGGAGCTGATGTTCGAGTTGCGATAAAGCATATATTGCTTTCTCCAGCTAGTTGTGAATATCATCTGGCTTTGAATTGGATTTCCTTCTCCCGATAATGGCGACTATCACTCAGGTTCAGACGGTGAACAAGACCTTCCCACTCAAGACAGGACAGGTGAAGGTGGAAGAAAAGGTCTCGATACCATCGGAGATACCAGATTTGGCAGATATCCCGTTACCACCGTCATCGAAGAATCCTACTGAGGTTCTCGCAATTGACAAAGATACCCCGGATCACCATGTCCCCCGTGATCCACGTCTGATCAGACTGACGGGCGTCCATCCATTCAATGTCGAACCTCCATTGACTACGCTGTACAAGCAAGGTATGGAGGGTCTTTCTCAGCCATTATGGTATCCAATTTCTCTTTTCGCTCACCTATAGTTAGGTTTTCTCACCCCACAGGAACTTTTCTATGTCAGAAACCATGGGCCTGTTCCCCAAGTGCGCGAGGAGGACATTCCAACGTGGGAGATCAGCATCGAAGGGTCAGTAGTTCAATTACAGTCCTCTTTTGATGTCTTTCCGTCCTATTGCCTCGCGGCTATAGCTGATTGAGATGTGCACAGACTGGTTGAGAACCCTCTCGTCCTGAATTTCAACCAGATCATGCAAGAATTCGACCAAATAACCGCACCAATCACCCTTGTATGCGCAGGTAATCGTCGAAAAGAACAAAACACTGTCAGAAAATCAAAGGGCTTCTCTTGGGGCCCTGCCGGCCTGTCGACTGCACTCTTCACCGGCCCGCTGATGGGCGACATCTTGCGCAGGGCAAAACCTCTCCGTCGAGCAAAATATGTGTGTATGGAAGGAGCAGACAAACTCGTGAGTTACTAGTGACATCTTTGACGAACTTGGGCTCAATAATAATCCAAATTTAGCCTAACGGATATTATGGAACATCAGTTAAACTGAACTGGGCCATGGATCCGAACAGGCTGATCATGCTGGCCTACAAGATGAATGGCGATCCGCTCCAACCAGACCATGGCCGTCCTCTGAGAGCCGTTGTACCCGGACAGATTGGAGGAAGGAGTGTGAAATGGCTGAAGAAGTTGATCGTGACAGATGCACCAAGCGATAACTGGTACCACATTTATGACAATCGAGTGCTACCGTGAGTTCCTGCACCACCCTTGTTGGTTCAAGTGGAACCAAAGCTGAGCTTGTCCAAGAACAATGGTTACACCAGACATGTCTGCCAAAGATCCAATGTGGTGGCGCGATGAGCGATACGCAATCTATGACCTGAACGTGAACTCCGCCATTGCGCACCCTGAACATAACGAAGAGCTAGACCTCGCCACTGCTGGTCCTACATACAATGCTCGAGGATACGCATACGCTGGGGGCGGGCGTAGGATCACCAGGGTAGAGATTTCACTGGACAAAGGAAAATGTATGTGATAGATCATCGCATGAAGCGAAAGACTCGACTGACAGCGTGCTAGCATGGCGTCTAGCAAATATCGAATACGGAGAAGATAAGTATCGGGACTTTGAAGGCAATCTCTTCGGCGGCAAAGTCGACATGTATTCCCGAGAAACGTGTTTCTGCTGGAGTCTCTGGTCCCTGGACCTCCCTGTATCTGAATTGGAGAGTAGTGACGACATTCTCCTCCGGGCGATGGATGAAGCCATGAGTGTCCAGCCGCGCGATATGTACTGGTCGGTGCTTGGAATGATGAATAATCCATGGTTCCGAGTCCTCATTACCAAAGAGGATGGGAGGTTGAAATTCGAACATCCGACCCATCCTGCGATGACTGGCGGTTGGATGGAGCGTGTCAAGAAAGCAGGGGGGGACCTTTTGAATGGTAATTGGGGGGAACGGCATGAGGGCGAGGAACCTGTTGAACCTGAGCCCGTTGTTGAGATCAACATGAAGAAGGACGGGGTCAACACAATGATCAACATCGAACAATTGAAGAGCAACATCAAGAACAATTGGTTTGTTGTCAACGGGGAAGTCTATGACGGCACGGGTTTCCTCGAGGGTCACCCAGGAGGCGCTCAGAGCATCATCTCCTCTGCCGGTCTTGACATCTCGGAGGAATTTCTAGCAATTCGTAAGTAGGATCTGTCCACGTGTAACGGTGGGGACAACATGGCTAATTTTCGAAACTGCAGACAGCGAGACAGCAAAAGGGATGATGCCCGGTTATCATATCGGAACGCTAGACAAGGCGTCCCTGGAAGCATTGAAGAACGCACCTGCTGAAGAAGAATCCTCGGAGCCCCGTCCCACGTTCCTTAACTCACGGGCGTGGACGAAATCAAAACTGATCGAGAAGAAGATCGTCTCGTGGGATACGAGGATCTTCAAGTTCAAGCTTGAACATGAAAAGCAGACACTAGGCTTGCCTATTGGACAGCATTTGATGCTCAAGGTTCCAGATCCTGCTGGCAATTCCTCCATCATCAGGTCTTATACGCCGGTCTCGGACACTAACCAGGAAGGGTCAATGGACCTACTGGTGAAGATATACTTCAAGACCGACACTATCCCTGGGGGTAAGATGACGATGGCACTTGAGGAATTGCCTCTGGATGCCGAGGTTGAGATCAAGGGCCCTACAGGCAAGTTCGAGTACTGCGGAAATGGCAAGGTGATCGTTGGCGGCAAGGAACGCCATGTGCGTTCGTTCAAGATGATCTGCGGTGGCACCGGCATCACACCCGTCTTCCAGGTCCTACGTGCTGTCATGGAAGACTCGGCAGATCCCACTTCATGTGTTCTTCTGGATGGAAACCGGCTCGAAGAAGATATTCTGTGTCGAGAAGAGCTGGAACAATACGAGGCCATGGACCCAGGTAAGACCAAGTGCACCATTGTGCACACCTTGTCTCAGGCCTCTGAGGCATGGACGGGTCGTAGGGGACGTATTGGCGCAGATCTTCTACGCGAATTTGCGCCTCCGGGCGAAGAGAGCATGGTCCTCGTCTGTGGACCGGAGCCTATGGAGAAATCGGCTCGCAAAATCCTACTTGAGCAGGGGTGGGCCGCGTCAGACCTGCATTTCTTTTGATTTGTATATATAGCATGTCATCTTTGATGGATGGGGTTGGGGTTGGGTGTGATTCAAGGGGTTTGGGTGGGTTGGTGTGGCGTTGCACATTGAACTAGGGTTTAGGCATAAGGAAGGGATATCATTTATTTCATGGAGATTATACTTGGATAAGGAATGCAATACATGCTTAATAGTACTGTTTCACATCTAGCCGAGCCAGCAAATGCTCAAAGATACTCGTCGGCGCCACACTCGCAGCGAACGCCGATCCCGATCGAACGTACGACTTGGAGGAGGCAGCCTTGCCGCCGTCCAATGTGCGCAGGTAACCCACAAAGGCTGCAACTTGTTTCCGGAATAGAATATACAGTTGCGCGGCACTGGCCTCATTTTCGTGGCGGATACCACTCGATCCCTCGAGACGCGACAGCGGCGCAAAGGCCAGCACAGTGCCGAAGATCTCCTCGAGCAGCTTCGCGGCCTGGATATGCCGCCGGCTAAGAAACAAGGCAAAGAGGATTTGGTCGAGTACATCTTCGTGGTAGTCGCGCAGGCGGGGCACAGACTGCGCTGCCTCGATGGTGCCGTCGATGTCGCCGCAGTCGAGGCACGCCTCGATCCGGGTGAGGATGTCCTGGAACCGCTGCCAGTTGGAGCCGACGCCGACATGGAAGGAATAGTCGCTAAAAGCGAGCACAAAGTGCTGTGCATCGATGCGGAATTTCTGGAATAGGTTGCGTGTGGTTCCGGATAGGGAACCTCGCGCCGTCGAGTCGCGGACAAGACCCTTGACCACGGAGACCATCCGCAGCAGGCGCAGGAGGTGCTTGAAGAGTCGGTCGTATCTGTTCAAGGACCGCGGAGTGATCACTGCATCCAAGGCATCAGGCGGTTTGTATTGCAGGCGGAGGAAGTCGAGAGCTTCAATGGCGTTGGGGTTTTTGACCTTGATGATCTCCTCGGCGGTCAGTTCGCGAATCGCGAAGCTGAGACCGCCGGGCAGCTGTTTTTCTCTCTTCAAATGCATACTGTCTAAGATTTCGACGTCGCCGGTTCCCTCTGCGTGACATTCGTTTAAAAGTCCAATGAGAACTAGTCGGAGCTCAGAGCTAGCGGGAGGCCATGTATCCCGACTTCCCAGCCGCAAACCCGTATGCACACTGCTGCGTACCACTCCGGCCTTGCGCTCGCCGCTCTCCATCTCGGGATCAAACAGCGAATGCGAAAGAAGCGATGCAAATGAGCCATCTCCTAACAGGTGGAACCGCCATTGGACGGTCAGGTGGATTCGCAGCTTATGTTCTTTGAAGAGGAGGTGGAGGCATGAGAAATCGATGAGAAGGGCTTGAGAGGAGAGAACGGGAGCAAGTGATAGATACAGTGCAGAGGGCAACTCGGGTCCAAATCTGGTATTATGTCTCTCCAGTTGCTGAGAAGTTGTTTCCTCTTCGCTATCAACCAGTTTGCTGAGCGAATCTTTTTCCACGGAGGAGGGCCTCGCGAGTGCGTCAGTTATTTGTTGTTCATCATCAATTTCAAACATCTCAAACGTATTGTGAACGATTGCTTTTTTCTGTTCCTCGAACGAATCATGAACCATAGGTTCAAGTTCTTCACCATCTGCAGCTGGGTCGCCTCGGTTGAACCTCTGGATTTCAGCGCGTAGCTTTCTTTCGTAGTCAAGGGCTCGGCTCTGGATTCTTTCGATGTCAATCCAGGTCATCGCACAGTGCAGTTTTGGAGGCAAAGCATTCTTGAGCACACGAGGGTTCGCAATTGGATGGTCTGGATGAGACCATTTCAATAGACGCAAGCTCCTCCCGCTCTCAAACATCTGCAGAGCCTGTTCGGCGGGAATAAACGACGGTATCATGTCCGGTCGAAAGTTGTAGACAGCATTTTTAGGCACCGCTTTCGACTTTGCAAGATCCTGCTGTTCTTCCACCTCGACAAAGCTAGCTCTGTCCGTGATCACCTCTGCCATGGCAGACGTTCCCTCACACAGCCCAATCCAAGCTTCCACGATACTCAGCCACGGTGCTATGACTCTTGCGACCAGCTCATAAAGCAGCGCGGCTGCCCAGGGTAGAACCTGTGAGAAATGATCGACCTTTTTCAGAATGATCGAGATCACATGTGCTTCTTGTAGTGACTTGTCGGCCGCTCCTACCATGTCCGCCAGAGCACCCACAAGCTCGGCAGGGCGCTGGAAGAGCCCCATAATCTGCAGGAGGGAGACGGTCTGCGCAGAGCGGCTGGAGAGCTGTCTTTCGAGCGTGTAAAGCACCACGGCTATTGCACTAGCAAGGGTCGACATGACGGATGGCTTTTTCGGTGTGATCGGGTTGAGGCGCACAAAGTCCCGCAGTCTATGCATATGGCCCCCGCACCGCAGTAACGGTTGGATCACTCCATCCAGCAGTGGTAAACTGACTCCCGTAATACGGATATCCCTGAGTTGCTTTTCGAACGTCCGTTGTTGTCCGTTGTACCGGAAAAACATCGACTCCCAGCCCAGCCCGGCTTGGAAGAGAGCCCTAAGAAATACATCTGTCCGCACCAGGCGTCCAGAATCCTCCAGTCCACTCTTTGTAGCCTGATGAGCCAACGCAGCATCGAATCCACGAGCTCCGGACTCGCTGAAATATGCGGAGATTGGTTCCCGGAAGGACGGGTCTCGACAGGTCTCCCATGATCTTAAAGTCACGTTCGAACCAGAGATCTCTCCGATCTGGGCAAGGGACCAAAGGTCTTCCGTTGTGTCTGGACTATCACTATCGCACACACTCGCCTCGGTTGTCTGGTCTTCGCTCGACGTGTCGGTGGTTTCGGAGGGCGGATTCAGCACAAACCCATCGTTCGCGAACAAATCCAACGGGAATGCCGTAGAATCATCCTTTTCAAACAGCTTGAGCGGGTTCTGAAAGGGACCTTCTACAGGGTCTAGAAGATCACAGACAGGTCAGCATTATCATATCCTCCTCTGCAAGGCTGTAGAACCCACCGGACAAATCGCTGGCCCATGGGAGAGGCTCCAACGGCTGCAGCGACTGTAACGTGAACCTGGACAGTTGCCAGAGACTCTCGCTACTGAACGGATCGATCGCATCCTCCTCCATCCCGATTCCTCGCCTATATCATGCCGGTATATCGTTTTCCGACGCGTCGCCGCATTCACTGAGAGCAACTCCGCAGCCAACGCTCGGACCACCGCTTGTTGTGGGACGTTTCTGGTTGCTGGGCAGAGCTCTTTCTTAAGCACCCTCGCAGTCCATCTGCTGGCCCGGAGTCCTACCGATAAGATCACATTCAACAAGGAGACACCGTTTTGCAATGCCTCCCAAGAAAAAAGCCAAGATTGCCTCCTCTCGCGCGCCGTCGACCGCGCCCCCCCTCGACACCGCGGCCCGCTCGGCCAATACGCCCAGCTCCAGCGAAGAAGCGGCAAAGCCAGTGCCTGAGTACGATCTGGTTGCAGATCCGTGGACAGACGAGCAGGAGACGGCACTGTTGAAAGGGATCGTGAAGTGGAAGCCTGTCGGTGCGTTCTGATAAAATATCACATCGTTTGCGCGGTGGGGAGGGGTTTGGAGCTTTGGTGGTCAAGGTGGAAGCTGACGTCAGGCGCCTTTTCTTTTTCGATTTGCCATTTAGGAGTGCACAAACATTTCAGGATGATTGCCATTTCGGAATATATGAAGAGTCAAGGGTACGCGCCGTCGCATGCGGAACACACGCGGATCCCGGGGATTTGGAAGAAGCTGGGCACGCTCTACAATCTCCCGGCACTGGACGAACGGGTGAGCCGGAAATATTACCCCGTGAAAAGAAGAATCAAAGTTATGATGAGATTGTGTCTAACAGCTAGGTTGGGTTGTGCAGGAAGATTCGCTCATCATGGATGGCTCCGATGATGCAGACTCGTCCAGGGAGCACTACTGTCCGTTTGAATTGCCGCAGGACGAATATGGTCATTTAATGTTTGAGCGGCGGCTGGCCATGGAAGGCTCAGCATCGCCGGCAGCCAGCGATCGCTACCGGATGGAATCACGGAGGGGAAGCACTGTCGCTGATACGGATGGTGAGTTCGGATTCTTTATGAAAAGCACATCCCTGCCGTAATGATTGTCATGGCTGATCAAAGATAAGAACCCCGTTCTTCGCCTGCACCGCAACGAGGACGCAAGAAGCGCGGCCGCCCCGCCCGAAGCACCCGGACCAGCAAGCTGCACATCGAGATGGAGCCGCCCAAGAAAGCCGCCGAAGAAGACGAGGAAGGGGAGGAGGAAGCCGAGTCGGAAAACGGCGAGGAATACAGCACGGACGATGACAAGGACGACAGTGACGAGGATGACGACGAGGAGGAAGAAGAGGATGGCGACGTGGATGGCGAGGGGGGAGGGTCTCCGACAACAAGGCATACCCGGGCAAAGACGTCACGAACGCGCCAGAAGGAGAAAAAGGGCGGTACGATGGGGACAAGACGTGGTGGTCGACGTCGCTGAAAGAGGATCTTCTAGGATGGGTCTGTGGGATAACTAACTCGTGCTTTTCTTCTATGATACCTTTTGTCCGGATAGGCGTTGTCTGCAATTTACATGCGTGTACATTAAAAAACTACTTGTTATGACTATGGTTGCAATCATGGAATTGAGAATACATCTAAATGCAAAAGATCCCAGAAACTTTGTGAATGGTTCTACTTGGTGAGGCAAAAAAAAAATAACGTCTAATGAGATTGAATCTATACCAGGACGATAGGACTACAGACGTAGGTATAACAGATCGAGAAGATGGTCATTTCAGGGGATAGTAGTAAATGGGTAGACGGTAAGGAACATGGTACAGTGTATATCCATTTACAGGCGCTTCATGATGGCTTCGGCATACTCGTGGGTCTTGGCCTTGCCGCCCAAGTCACCGGTGAGGGTCTAGATCGCGTTAGTAAGTGAAATCAATACCAAGGGGGAAGATGGGACGGGTTCTATTCTTACCTTGCCCTCGGAGAGGGTGTCGAAAATGGCCTTCTGGATGTTGCCGGCGTGTTGGTTCAGGCCCATGTGCTGCAGCATCATGATACTGCTGAGCAGCAGAGCAGTGGGGTTGGCAAGACCCTTACCAGCAATGTCGGGGGCGGAACCGTGGACGGCCTCGAAGATGGAGCACTCGTCACCGATGTTTCCGGAGGGGGTCAGGCCGAGACCGCCGATCAGACCGGCGCACATGTCGGAAAGAATGTCACCGTACAGGTTGGGCATGACCAGGACCTTGTCGTTGTAGGGGGTGGGGTCGGTGACGATCTTGAGGCAGGAGTTGTCCAGCAGCTCGGCGTCAAACTCGATATCGGGGAACTCCTTGGCGATCTCACGAGCGGTGTTCAGGAAGAGACCGTCGGACATCTTCATGATGGTCGCCTTGTGGACAACACGGACCTTCTTCTTGTTGATGGAACGAGCGTACTGGAAGGCGAAACGCAGCACACGCTCCGACGCCTCGCGCGTGATCAGCTTGATGCTCTGCACAACACCGTCCACCACGACGTGCTCGATGCCCGAGTATTCGCCCTCGGTGTTCTCACGGATCAGGACCGTGTCGACACCATCGTAGGGGGTCTTGTAGCCCGCAATCGAGCGGCAGGGACGCAGGTTAGCGAACAGGTTGAATGTGCGACGCAGAGTCAGGTTCAGCGAAACGTGGCCCTTGCCAACGGGGGTCTAGAACATTTCCATCAGCATCACATCCAACCTATTCGACTAGGTTAGAAATCATACAGCAAGAGGACCCTTCAGGGCGACGTAGTTGCGCTTCACACTCTCAATCGCCTCGTCCGGGATGGCGGTCTTGCCGTCCTTCAGAATTGGCGTGACATCAACGGACTCCCACTTGATCGGGGCCTATCCATAGTCAGCGGTGTTGTCTTTCCTCCGGTTGCTATTCAAATCCTTACCTTGGCAGCCTCGAAGATATCCTTCACCGACTGCGAAATCTCAGGACCGATACCGTCGCCCTCGATGAGCGTGACGGTGTATTTTCCCTATCAATAGCGCGTTGCAATCAGTTTTTATGTCCGAACGTGGTACTGCGCAGCTGCCGGTGCAGCTGGGGGGGGGGGGGAGGAAAGCCGGCGAGACGTACATCAGATCCCTTCTGTCCCTTGAACTTGGCCACACGGTCATCGGTGGTAGCGTATCCGCGAATCTAAACCCAATCGGTTGTCAGATTTGTGGAAAAAAAAACCTTTTTTATGAAGAGACAGCGCGATGCTAGCTTACCTGCGAAAACGGAGAAACAGCGCTCTGGGCGACACGCGCCGTCCGCAGGCATTGGCGGGCGGGGGTCACAAAAGTCCTGGCAGCAATCATAGTGTAGATGGCTGGTGAGGTCCGCGCGATATGAAGAATCACCGGTGATGAAGAGAAAGCAGGAGTAGAGAGGTAGGGGTGGCGGGCCGTGTGAAGTTCTTCGGCGGTGGTTGTTGCGTGTGCGGAAGAGTTGGACCGCGCCGTGCGTTCCGGCCGAGAATGTCTGATTGGGCGGCCCGGTGTGCTCAGCAACGACTCCTCCGCTTGTCGCTGATCCGGTTATCAGATCGGAGGATTCCCAGCCCTCGTATCCACCAGGACGAAACCCCCGACCGCAAGATGGGATCCTGCCAGCTAAGCTGGACGCTGTGGATAGACCGGTTTCGCTTTACCTTTGCGGGTGCGTTCTGGTTCGAGAATGATGCCGTTCGGATGTCTTCGACGAGAAAGGCGAGGGGATAAAGCGGATGAGACTGCGATGGCTACAGAGTACTGATAGAGCACGATCGGAAGGCGTCATATTCTTCAACCTGCTGAACGAATATCAGGCTATGTGCTGTTATGATCACTCCTGTCCTGATAGTCGGTTCTAACAGACTCTCTGTGATGACCTAGGATGTGACGAAGATATTGCTCGACAGCGTCCGCTAGACAGACGAAATATCGCCGTACACTCTAGATTTTATACATCTAATGATGAAAGTGCTTCTGATATTGAATGATAGGCATACACAAGGCATTACTGTCATCAAAGACTGGTCGTCTGCGATAGCATTTATGTAGTAGCCACGAGTAGGCCCCATGCCTCCCATCTGTCTTCTAGCTACTATTTACACCTCAATCTACGGTGCAAAGCCTGGAATATATTAGATCGAACAGCATATAGATTGAACAGCATAGAGGCCTCTTAATGAAGCTGACTGCCCGTGTAGAAGATACTTAAGGAAATATATGCACGAATTGTAGTACTACATATATACGGAGTAGTATTTCTGACCCTTCCAGCACATGCAATATTGAAGCTCCCTGGTCCTGGCACTTGGTCCTAACTATAACTGGTTAGTAAGGAGCACTACCTACCAAACCCAAACTAGCCTTAACAGGGAAAGGCTCAAGAGATAGGCGGTGAGCGTATTATAGTACTCTAATTGGATGATAACTATTGTACAATACCTGACAAGACAAGCACCTAAATTGAATGAAGACCCATACTTTTGGGCGTTGAAACTCGTACGATACATGTATTCACGACCTCTCATGGGCAGCTATCGTCGAAACGTCAGACTGCCGCTGGTAGATTATTAGATAGTTATCGAGCCTTCTACCGGCCGCTTGCTCCGTAAACACCTGCTGCCGTATGGCGAGAGCCTTGACTGCAGTTCTGTGTTCCGGACTCTTAATTTCAGCGAGACAGCTTTCAATCGGTCCTCAGCGTTGACCGAATTACCTGAGGTACGCCCACACCACCTGGTCTCAGCCATGGCCGGGCTCGAAGTGACGACTCACTACAACCTGCCGTCAGAGTTCCCCGAGGAATGGCCAGCGGAGCTAGACGATAGCGATGTTTCGGAGGACGAATCGATACAGAAGAGCGGTGCCCCGGCACGGAGGTCGCGGTACTTTGCGCTGGAGCGGGGGGCTGGCGACCGCAAGAGCTTCTCCGTAGGCCTTGGGCCGCAGAAAGGGGGTGACGGACGAGATAACCCAGTGTCCAAGGATGAACCCGATCCTTTGGGGTCGGGAGACAGCGTGGTGAGGATTCTCAAACAGCGAGGACTGCCCGTCGAAGAAGATGGCCGTCTACGGAACCGATTCCTGCTCTCGTCGACTACCTTCTCGCCGGCACTCTTCCTCTCGCAGACGCACTCTTCGGCATCGATTGACTCGCTTCTCGAGGGACTGGACTTTCTGTCGCGATCAATTGATAAGAAATCGGCATCGTTGAAGGTGCTTGTTGAGGCCAACTTTGAACGCTTCGTCCGCGCAAAGGCCACCATCGACAGTGTGTACACGGAGATGAGAAACCAGGGCTCAGAGCAGGAGCAGGCGGCGGCCCCTTTGGCTCACCGCAGGTCGGCGAGCCATTTCAGAAACTACTCGGGGGGTAGGCCCAGCACGGCGACGACCACTGCTACGGCTTCCAGCACCGGCGCGAAGAAGAATGCGCTCACCAAGGAAAGCGAATACGGTATGAAGGGTATCCGCACACCACTCGTCGAGGCATCAATCAAAGCAGAAGAGCTATGGGGCCCTGCATTGGGAGGCCGCGAGCGAGAACAGGTCCTCAAGTCCGTCATTCTGACGATGGAGAAGTACCGGGAGGTATACGAGATCGGCGGGCAACTTTCAAAATCTATCAAGCAAAGCGACTATGATTCGGTGGTCGAGCAGTACTCCAAGGCACGCTCGCTAGCAAACGAGGCCAAGAACATCGCGGACAAGGCGACGAGCAGCCGGCGACCGCTGACCGAGAAGGAGACGCATATCATCCTAGCAACGGGTAGGATGTGGATTGATGTCGACCAACAGATACGGGCCTTCAAGCGCGATCTCTGGAAACGGCTCAGCGATGCGCCCACAACGTCGACGGCCGGTCCCGTGTCTGGGCCGGTGGAAGAGCATATGGAGCTTATCTGTGCTCTACTAGAGCTCGGCGTCGATGACAATCCAATCTGGGTTTGGCTTCTCGGTCGGTATGAGTTTCTCAAGACCAAAATCACTCTGTTCTGCGAGCGTGCAATGGTCGAGATTGAGATTTTACGACGCAGACTCGCTGCAGGGGAGAAGCCAACCCTGCAGACAGTGGCCTCGTTTCTTCGGCTAGCACCTCGCGATGGACGTACGGAATCAAATGTGCGGCTGGACACCGATCCAGTCCTAGAGCTCTGGGAGTGTGTTCACACCTTTCTCAAACGGCTGCTCTCTCTGCAAGGAGGCCTCTTGGGGGAAGTTGTCGACTTTGGGGAGGTGGCAGAGTCCTTCATGGATGGAAGCAAGCAGAAGCTTCTCCCCGCTGGCTTCGAAGGGGAAAGTCGTAAGCATCACCGCCTGTCGTCCGACCGTATTCGGGAATTGCAGAAGGGAGTTGTCGATCTCGCGAATCTGATCCGCGAGAGTGTGGTCTCCTTGTTTGCTGATCCGCCGCTGGAGGACATCTCCCTTCTCGCCTCGCCCATCCCGCCACCGAGCCCCGGCAGCCCTGCCAGTCGAGGAGTGACGCCGACGGAATCACGCTTCAAGCTTGATCCAAAGAATTTGCCAGCTCCGACCCCCAAGCGAGGCGAGGCATGGGAAGACTATGCGTTCTGGCCGCCATATTCCAATTCACTCAGTGGCGTCTACTACCTCAGTAAATTCATGATGATCATTGGCACGGCTGCTAGCGAAATGGCAGCTCTGCGACCTGTCGCAAGCGGCGGGAACACGCTCGACCTGCTGAAGTCATTGGTGAGCACGACCCGCGACCGCTCCGCGCGGATTGCCTGTGCTGCGTGGAATAAGGACGCAGAGAACTGCAAAGCCCTGGAGGACTGGACGCGGGATCCCGAGAGCCGCGACCAAACCAAGATGCCCGGGTTCATTCTGGCGTTTGAGAGCGCCATCCTCGGCAGCATGCAGAAGATCCTCTACGTCTCCGAGGCCAAGGTCAAATCCGGCCCGGTCGATGTTGTCACGCAGCCACCCACCAAACTCCTGCAGACGGTGCGCTCGCAGTTTGTGTCCAGCTTGTACAAAGCTCTCAGCGGGTTAGTGGAAAATGCCGAGCGCTCAGCGACCCCGGACGGTGACGATGAATGGGTGCTTGTTGGACCAGCGCCAGTTGCTGGTACGACTGACGCTGCGCCCACTGTCATCGCGGTGGACTCTGTCGATTCACAGAATAAGGTAAGCCAGAATGTACTACGATGGAAAAGGAACTTCCTTCCCAAGAAGACTGACGAAACGACAGAACGTGCGGTTACTGCTCACCCTTTCAAACATCAAGGCGCTGCAAAGCGAGTTTGTTCCGCAACTAATCGCCAACTTCGAGACGGCATTTGCGGTGAAGCTGACCGAGGAGGCAAAGACGATCCGCGACGTGCTCGGCCAGATCGATACACGCCTCTTCCAGTCGTATACCAAGCCGTACACCAGTCAGCTGGACTCTATCATTGCGAGCGGCATTTCCGCCCCGGACTGGACGCCGACCACCAGCCGTCCAGACCAAGTCCGCCCGTACGTGTACAGCACGCTGCTAGCGCTGGTCCTAGTGCACACAGAGATCTCGACGACCATCCCGTCGAGCCTGTCGCCATCGGCGTCGGCATCCTCGTCGTCATCGAGCCGCCCAGTCCCGCCCTCTTCACTGCTCAGCGTGATTCTCTCTCACCTGCTCACCCAGGCCTCTTCCTCACTGTTGGCCGCGTTTTCCTCGCGGCCCATGTACTCCCTCGCAGACCTGATGCAAGCCACGCTGGACACGGAGTTCATCACGCAGACCATGTCGCAGTACGGGACCGACGAGGCGTCGACGACGCAGAGCAAGATCTACGTCGAGCTGGACCGGCGCACGACACATGAGGCCCGCACGCGGCTGCAGGACGAGCTGGGGGAGATGCGCGGGGTGCTCAAGCGGCTGCGCGAGCGCACCAAGGGCGAGTTCGCCTGTTTTCGAAAGTCGAGGAGTGGGACGATCAAGTCGCCTTAAGTATATAGTTAGCTGGTATTCTATAGCGTATTCATTCTCTTCTTTTCTCTTAAATAATTCTTCAATTCTTGTTGGATCTGTGTAGCAGTAAATACTTTTGTACTGGGTATCTCGAAAGCACTTTTTTCTTCTTCCTTCCTTACTTCCTTCCTTCCTTCACTTCCTATTTCGCCATCATATGTTGAACGCGGCTCAGCAGCACCTTGCTCTCCCTCCCCAGTCTCCGTTTCCCATTCTGATCCGGCCGGCGAGCGCGGGCCATGGCTTCGCGGTCGTTCTGCCGGAACTCGCGCTCTTTCTGCCTCACCTCGGCCTCCTGCTTGCGCTTCTCCACGAGTTGCATCTCCTTGGCAAACGCGGACTGGCGCGGTTGACGTGGGCGACGCTCTCTCGCCTTCCCCCCCTCGGGGTGGTGCCGCCGTCTTCTCTCCGCCGGTTCGGGGACGGGCTCGGGCTCCGGGGCATCCAACATCGCCTGTCGGTCTGGATGGAGCTCTAGACTCGCCGGTTCCGGTTGATCCTGCAATCTCCCTTCATCCTGCTCCTCTGTCTGGGTATCGTAGATGGACTTGGTTGGGCCGGCGGCAAGTTCCTGGGCTCTGATCTTGGCGTAAGCTTTCCTCACTTTGGCTTTCTGGATGAGATCGTTTTTGATTTTTTGCGCTAGACAGACACAAAGATATTAGCTTCGTTCTCTTCTTCTCTTTTTTGCTTCGAAATTGCCCAACAGCTGGCAGAGTAAGGTACCTTTGCGGCGATAGGTCCCGTCGGGCAGGTTTGCAGGGCCAACCTGGAACCCCTTCCTCTTCTTCGCCGGGGCGTCTGCAGAATCTGCATCATGTGGTCGTTTGGCAGCCATCTTTAGAAGAAAGGAGATATGTAGTAATAGCTAATCGAACAAGTAGGCGATTGTCTGGGGGGGGGGGGATATCTGAAGATTTCGCAGTGGCGATCAAGAAAAAAAAAAAAAAAGGCCGAGCGTGTAAAATTGCCAGTGAAACAAGGTAAACCGACTAACGCCTGAGAGAAAGAAAACCACAAATCACACAACTGTGCAACCGCAAGATTATCGTATGAGTCAATCAGATGACGCTGGGACTCGCAAGAGCGAAATTTAGGCAGTTCCAGATGCTCCCTTTTGCAGGTCGCGATGATCCGCTTGGCCCGCTTAACTCTAAGTATGACTCGGTCATTGACAGGCGACAGCGCTTTTCTTCTTCCCAACTCCCTCGGTCTGACCTGTTCACTGCTTGTCACTGCGTTGGCTTTTCCCTCGTCGGCCTAATATTTCCGTCTCCCCAGTCTACGGGCTAGGAACCTCGGTGTGTGAGGTTTGATTCTCGTCTGTCTCTGACGGCGTCATTGTCCATTCAGCGTACGGAGGACATTCCAGACGGCAACCCCGCCACGAACAGCCCGCATCTCGATTCCGGTTTTTTTTGTCGGCTGGAGAGCTTGCCACCGCCGTGGACTCTTTGCTGAGATGTGTGGGCTCTGTTTATAACCTATTTTGTCTGATCTGCTTCGATCATCATGCCGATATTCCACGATCCCGATCGGCAGCAGTACGATCTGTGGTCGACGGAGGGGGGGCGGGATGATAAGCATATCAGACGCTCTCGAGAGATCTCGTCGACCAGACGGCGATTCGATGAGGCTACGGACTGGGAGCTGGGCGATACAGAGATGAGCGGTACGTCTGCGGCGGCCGCAGATCGCACGACGTATCTCGACATGGCGAGGTTGTGTCCGGACGATAGAGACGAGGTGATATTCTCGATCAAGCGCAGCCAGCGGTTCGCTTGGATGCACGATCTCGCTGTATGTGACCAGTGTTTTTTTTTTTTTTGCTCTATTGCATTTTCTATTGTTCTATAGAACAAGAGAGTCTTGTAAGGCCTTTTCCAAAGTACTAATTGTAAATCAGTCGGACAGAGTTATTTCCAACGAAAACTGGGTTCCCGAACCGAGTCCGAAACCAAAACCCCTCGGTGATGTGACAGGTGAAACGACCGGTAGCGATGAGAGTCTACGGGGACCACCAGAGATCGAGCGTCCCAAATCGGCCATGCACTCGGGGGATTTCAGAGAGGGCGACCTGCAGTCGCTACATCTCCAAGACCAGTCACAGCGGATTGTACTCCCCCGCCATGCAGATGTGTCTCCATTTGACCGTCTGGGTTCTTCTCCAACTACTCCATGGTACACCCCATCGTTTTCATCCGCGTTGCTGCGCAGCCAAGCTCCGTCGGATCATCCATTTGAACCGGCTCATATCACTCCTATCGGCCGCTCGCGAGCGCCATCGCTGGGCTCATTCTCATCTAGCTACGTCCTGAAGGCTCCAACCAGCCCTCTCGTACACCAGGCGAACAATACAGACCTGGATTTCTCGCCGATGCCGGATTTCATGGACATGTCGGCCGATCGGTCGTCGTCCCCTACCACGGAGAAGGCGACCCGTCGGCGAACATTACCCCCAGAGACGTTCCGGAAGCTCCAGGCCTCGCCTTCTGCTCCGCCTGGGTCATTGAATTTTCATGCTACGGCGCCGTCCGTCAAGCGGGGTCAATCGTTCAACCACCAATCTCATCATCCTCGACGATCGTTGACCTCGGCGTACAGCCTCCAACTTGCATCATCCATTCAACCCCCCTGGCTGCGTGCAAGAAGGCCGTCTTTTGCATCGGATGCGTCCCCAAAACACCATGCTCCCATGGTCGGATCCTATGAGGAGTCGATCCTGCGGGGGCGAATGTCCATGAATCCATCAAAACCGCTAGATTTCACCGCGCAGATCGGCGTGTTGGGCAAGGGGAAATGCAAAGCAAACCTCAAGTGCCCACCGCACGTCAGCGTTCCGTTTCCTGCCGTCTTCTACAGCTATCCTACCTCCGGTAGTGGGCGCTCTATTTCAGACGACAGTCCAAGCCCATATGTGGGGATGATCGATCTGGAAAATTCTCTACCAAAGGATGATTCCAAGAGCAACAAATCCCGTAGGAATTATCATCATTATCATCCCCATCCCACCGCTGGGGAGGAGATATGGGCTGATTCGCTCGTGGATTCTGTCCCTACCTCTACTACCGACAAAGATGCTCGACGCAGACGCGAGAAAAGAAGCAGACGGGCGGAATCGCCCCGGTGTCCACCTGGAGGCTGCTACAGGATCCCTCAGCAGGGTCAGCTACAGATCATGATCAAGAATCCGAACAAGACGGCTGTCAAGTTGTTTCTCGTGCCCTATGACCTAAGCGATATGGAACCAGGCACCAAAACCTTTATCCGGCAGCGAAGCTATTCCGCAGGCCCCGTTATCGACATGCCCCTGACGGCTCGCAAGAATTTGGGCACGGATCGTCCCGAGGCATCTTTGAACGCAACCGAGGACCCCCATGATAAACCGATCTTGCGATACCTGGTTCACCTGAACATCTGCTGTCCCTCGCGTGGTCGTTTCTATCTCTACTCCACCATCCGAGTTGTTTTTGCCAACCGCGTGCCCGATGGCAAGGAAAGGTTGCGCAACGAAATTCAACTCCCCGATCCCCGGTACAGTCCCTACAAGGTTGTCCGCGAGCCTGTTCTGAACGCAAGTGCCAAACTGGCTGCACAACCCGCTCACAGGAGACGCAGTGTTTGCCAGCAGAACCTGGTTATGAACGGGCCAGGATGGGGTCTACCTTCACAGAAAACACCGTCGCCTTTGACCGAATCATCTCCGCCGTGGCGAGGCGCTGAGCACAGCTCTGGGCCTGGAACCGGAATCGAGGCTGTAACGTATTACAAACTCAGCAAAGGCGACTCCAGGTACGGTGGTGTGTCCGGCAGCTCCGACGCAGGCGAAAGCCTGCTTGCTAAACGGCTTGGAAGACTGGACGTACAGAAGTCCTGTGATCAGTAGTTTATATATATAGGGTCAATTGTTTGACTCACGTCTGGCCCAGAAACAGGCCGGGGGCCGTCATGCGAATACCCTTCCTTACTATACACCTCTCACTAACAGCAGATTCAACCGATTTTTTTCTCCCTCTCATTGCTTATCTTTCGACAAGGTAGGCCGTCACGGCACATGATACCCGACATTGAGTATAATCACTTTGTTTTATCGTTTTTTTTCTCTCTCTCTTCTTGACATGCAGGTCAAGTCAAGCGGTATCATATCTTGGCGTTCATCTGGCCTACAGGTTTATAGGAATAGGTGATCATTGAATATACTATCAAATCAACCCTAAGAAAATAATACATAAGTTGCGATGAATTCTATCTCATTTAGACTTAGTAGCTATGCTGTATTATTTGTAAACAAGTGAATTGATTACCTTACTATCTACAAGGTCTAGATACAAGCAGTAGACCTGCTCAGAACTGTTTACCAACCATCATAACCAAAAGAACGGTGATGGGTACAGACAGCCCCGGGCAGGCAGTTTTCAGCCCGCATGCTCTACGATCTCGTTGACCAACACACCATCCTTGATGTAGCTCTTGATCTGTTCGGGGACAGGACACTCCTTGGTGTCGTCGTCTGTGTTCTCCTTCGGGGGCAAGAGGACGTTGATAGCAGTGCACTTGCTGGAGAAGAACTCGGTCTGCAGGCTCTGGGGGCCAAGGTAGACGGTGGCGCCGTCGACCTGGTCGAGAAGGACGGTGGGAACGGAGCCGTCGATCTGGACGGCGAACTTGAGGCACTTGACGACGTCGAGGCTGCTGACGAGCGAGTCGACGATGATGGAGAGCTCCGTGCAGTTATCGATGGCGATGGCGTTGGCCTTGTTGTTCACCTTGATGATCGTCTTGTTGCACCGGCTGATCAGGATCGACTGGTTCTGCTGCGCTGCCACCTCGATGATCCCGGCGTTGTCAAAGTTCTCCAGGATCCACTTGTTGCCTTCCAGCTCCTTGCGCGCCGGCTTGCGCGCCCGCATGCTCTCGGGCTTGGGCTTCTTGCTTGGCGCAGGGGACTTGCCCCGCACCGCGCTGCTGCCGCTGCCGCCGCCGCCCGAATGATCCGGTACCGTCGAGCTAACGCGGAGGTTGGGGTTCTTGTGTGTCATCTCCGACTTGTCAACCTTGCGCAGACCGGACGTCACTGCATCGCCTTTATTCAACTGCTCAAACACAGCAGACATGGCACCTGGGCCACCTGCAGCGGCGGGCGCAGGCGGGATGCCCGGTGGGGGGGGTGGCGGAGGCGGGGGCGGAGGAGCGCCCCCGGGCACAGAGAGGCTTGGAACCGGCGGAGGGGGAGGGGGCGGCGGAACAGAACCAGCAGCGGTGGCCGATCCGGGGCCTTCCTTGATCTCCCTGAGGGCTGCCTGGGCATCGATCCCGCTCTTGTCATTCCAGGTCAAGCCTTTGGGGTAGTGCTTCTTAAGGTATTGCGCCAGAGATTTGAAGATCTTGTAGTAGGCCTGTATGTACTGCACATGGGTGGTGTCCCTGGGTTTGTCAGCATCACCGCCCTGTTACGAATATTCATTCATCAAATAAGGTGTGACGTACTTCTCCTTGTACTCCTTCAGCACCTTGTTTCCGTAGTATTGGACGCCGCCCAACGTTTCACTGACAAAATCGGCGGGCTCAGTGACCAGCACCCACCCTAAGGCCAGAACACCTTCGGCAATAGCACTCAGGTGGTCAAAAACGGGAGACTGGCGGTTGGACTCGCGCAAGTTGTTGATCGTATCAGATGCCTTGTGCAGATCGGTCATAAGCTCCGGGGGTTGCGGTTCGGGCTTTTTCGCCTTGGTGGACACGTAGATATAGGTACGCTCGGCTTCGAATGCTTGCAGGACCGCTTTAGACTAGTTGCCATACCATCAGCATGATTATCACCACCACCATCATCATCATCATCACTTCGTCGCGACTTTCACGGGGGTTTTACCTGCTCCTCAACCAACCCTCCGATCTTCTCGCCGAGGTCGACAAAGTTCTGAACATCACCCTTGATGAACGCATCAAAGTCTTCTATCTGGGGAGGGAGCGGTTCCGCAACGGGTACAATAGGTGAAACAGCCTTGGGCTGCTCAGGCGTAACAATATCCGACGCAACCACGACGTTCATCGAATCTCGCGCATCGGGGACGCCGGGGCCATCGAGCGACATGGCCATATCCTCCAGGCGGGAGGTTGCGGCCTCAAGCCTAGTATTGTCAGTCACTATTAGAACAACGAACGAAAACAATGTTAGATTCAAGATCCAAACACCTACCGCTTGATCAAGGTGGTCAAATTATGCATATGGTTGGGATTCGCCATAGTTATCGATGCTGGTCCGAGGACACGTTCAAAGGGCTATATAGCACCAAGACACCGCTATACTAGGCACAAGAATCTCTCTGCACCCAACAGACACAGGAGGAGCAATTTCAAAGAGACGCACGGTCAGCCCCTGTCCCACGCAGCTGGATAGGGTCAACAACAACAGCAGCGAAACGGTTGCCTGACTGCTGAACACTTGTTGCTCCTGATGATTCCTGGGCGGGAGCTCCTTAGTGGGTCGTTACCATACCGTACCACAATACGCTGCTCGTGCGTGTCAAAGCATGACGTTTCGGGGTATCATCCCGTATATCGTGGGCTGTCCGTTATCGTCCCACTCATCAAGGCCGCTATCTCGATCATACATGATTAGGCACTATTCACAAAAAAACAGAGCGAGAAGCATTTGGAGAGTCTATATAGGCCCGGGATGGCAGATGAGGGTCGTTCTGCGGCAGATAGGGGCAGCGATGTCGATTTCTGCTCTCTAGCCATGTTCATCCTGGGTATGGAAAGACCGTCCTGTCCGTCTGCAACAGCGTCGCGCTCTAGAATACTGATCCATCTCTGGCGTATGCAGACGAGATTGAATTTGGAGACTCGCGACCGGCTGTGAAGAATGTTATTGGGGGTGCGGCGTCGTTTGCTGCCGTCGGTGCACGGCTGGTGGCAGGAGACGAGCATGCGCAGGCTGTAAGCTGGATTGTTGATACCGGCTCGGACTTTCCTCACGAAGCGTTAGACGTGATTAATTCGTGGGGGACGAGCTGCGTGATCCGAGAGGACAGGAAGAGACTAACTACTCGAGCGTGGAATGGCTATGGAGTCAACGAGAAACGCGGTAAGATCTGGGTATCCTGTTACGGGACTAGACTGGAGCTCATATTGACAAATGTAGATTTCAAATACCTGACGCCCAAGCTGAGGATGGAGGCATCAAGTCTGTCAGAGGCTCAGGTGCTTTCCAGGACCTTCCATATGGTTTGCTCCGCGTCTCGTTGCATTTCTCTAGTCGAGGCAATTCTGGAGAGACGAGAGGAGCTCCGGCGGAGGAACAAGGCCCCGTCGGCAGCTCATGCCGCGCAGCGACCGATTTTCGTGTGGGAACCAAACCCAGACCTCTGCACACTTGAGGAACAGGAACAGTTCTTAGTGGCGAGCCAGTACGTGGACGTGGTAAGCCCGAACGAACTGGAGCTAGGCACGCTGTTTGGCCGTAGCGGGTGGAGCGAGGACAACGCCGATGATCGAGAACTGGTACGGAGAATCCTCGACTCGGGTATCGGTCCCCAGGGGGAGGGCTTTCTGGTCATCCGGTCGGGGAAACAGGGGAGTTACTCGTACTCGAGGACACATCAGATCTGGCTGCCTGCCTATCATCAACCGGGGGAGAATGTCGCGGCGGCTACGTCACCCGTGGTCGATCCTACAGGCGCGGGCAATTCTTTCCTAGGCGCCTTGGCTCAGGGACTGGTGAGTACAGGCAGGGCTCCCGACCGAGTCGTCGACTCCGTCCTCTCGGGTTCTACTACCTGGAACCGGGTGGTAACTTCCTGGGGCAGACAAAGGCATGTCATCACGGCCCTAATTTGCGCCACCGTTGCAGCCGGTTTCGTGGTAGAACAAATCGGTGTGCCACGAATCTCGTGGTCGAAAGAAGGAAAAGAACGCTGGAACGAAACTGAATTCACGGAACGAGTCCGTCTGTACACGCAGCGGTTATATAGAACAGTTGAAGAGTCCCCCAGCGACATCTGCTGATGGATTGATCTCGACCGTTTTGAGAGAGAAACACCTTCTATTTGTCGTACAGCCCATAGTAATAGACATAGAATATTGGAAATTGTCCGCTGTCCCAGAAATCATTCCACAAATCACTTTGAAGCACCACCTATACCCACACCGATATCTATGACTCGTTCTTGGCGGCCTGTGCTTTTTCGTGTTCACGGATCTCCCTGCTCCAGCTAAAGCAAAGGGGGGGATAGATTAGACCATATCATCGTCGATTGAGCAGAAGGAGACTCACTATCGGCTAGGGAAGAACCGGCCAGGCTCCGGGAACCGGTCGCGGTGTTCGCGGTCCGCACTGATGCTCCAGGTAACCGCCGCAATTCCAATCACCATAGCACCCATGATGGCCGTGTTGGCTTTCCAGTTCGCCGGCTGAGCGTACCAGCCTCCAGCAGGAGACCAGACTTCCTTGGGGTAGCTAACTGCATTAGCAAAACTCGTCATAGTATTCGAAGACCACGCAAAGAAAACGCAGTCTGCAGCAAGGACTGGCACTAACTAGATCTTTCCGCCGCCGCCCATTGTGAGAGATTGATCAATTGGTGGACAAGATAGCAGTCGCTGGACTCGTAGCAGCAGAGGAAGACGTCGACCCTGAGAGAGGTTGTGTGCTAGTCCGTATATAGACTAGCGTGTCATCAAGTCACGAGTTGCCGGTCCCGTGATTCCCGTCGACATTTTTCGCTCAATCGAGAATCCCGTCCGGGAAAGCACCAGCTCAACAGCCACAGTGTGAAGACGTCGGTGGATCGGTGATTTGTCTGTGTTTGTCTTCCTCGTCGCCCTTTGAGATCCAGTTTCCCAGATGAAAAGGCTGCAGCTCCAGCAATGGAGCGGCTCAGCCCTTTCGCCGCGGGCCCGACCTGCCTGTGGTCGTCTGCTGTACGCTGGTCTCCGGAGGCAAACCACCGTGTCATCTACGACAACTGATGCTGCTCCGGCGGCAGATGCGGGTGTTGCTACTTCCAGACAGCTTGCTCAGGCGCCCGTCTTGGCTGCCAGTTCCCAAATGTCCCGACGCCTACTTCCCTCTCCGCCCGTCGAGGCGGCACGCGAGTCTGCCAAACTGGCCGCTCTGCACGCCCGACTCTACCTTCCCTCGAGATTTCCGTTAGAAACGTTGGCCCGGACGCTGGTACATGCGTCTGCCGACCCGAACGCGGACTTTAACAATCAATCCCTGGCCACCCTGGGTGACGACCTCCTAGCCTACTACGCAACAGAACACCTGCTGTGCACATACCCCCGGCTGCCACTGACGGTCGTCTTCGCAGCCATGTATGCCTATGTGGGGAAGAAGACGCTGGCTGCCATGGCCAGAGAATGGGGCGTGGAACTGGCCGCCGCGCCCGGGGGGGAGGTCGATCCGGGCCTGTTGCAGTTCCACCGGATCACACCCGGTACCAGCCTGAATACCGGGCCGATCACAGGCACCACACGGCCGAACGATGACCGCACATCGTGGCGGAGGGGGATGACGTCTCGGGTTGTATATGACGACCACTTCGGTGAGCCGACCATGGCGCCGGGGGCTACCCAGCAGAGCACCAGCAACATCACCCCTACCGTTACTGCCGAAGAGGCCAGCGCGACCTTCGTGCGGGCCATCATGGGTGCCATCTACCTACATGCGGGCCGGCCGGCGGCCAAACGATTCTTCTCGCAGCACTTCCTGTCGCGACACCTTAACATCTCGGAGCTGTTTAATTTCTCGCAGCCGGCACGGGACCTTAGCCGCCTATGCGCCAGGGAAGGGTTCGAGTCGCCAGTGGCCAAGATCATCAGCGAGACCGGTCGCAAGAGTCGTCACCCCGTTTTCGTCGTGGGGATCTTTTCTGGCAAGGATAAACTGGGCGAAGGAGCCGGCTCCAGCCTTCTCGAGGCGCGGTCTCGGGCAGCGGTTGCAGCCCTTAAGGGCTGGTACCTGTACAGCCCGCTGGACGTGCGAGTCCCCAGCTCCATGGAGGAGGATGGTGCGGCGCCCTGGAAGCCCGTGTACATCGATCCCGGTGAGGTGGTTGTATAAGAAGAACAAGGTTGTACACTTGTGGTCAGGCGCTGATTCTCTTTTTTTTTTCTCACTTACTGCCCCGATGGGGAGGACCTCATAAGATCAACTATATTCTTTTTTTTATGCAAGAATATCATCCTGTACATTACGGAAAACTGCTATTTTATTTTATTTCCTTCAAAATCACTGTCTTCTCTTGTCTCCTGCTTGTTCAGCGAGGTGTCTGGAATCATAGACTCAACAAATCTCCGATCTACATGTACTTCTGACTTGAGTAAAATAATAGTATACTTAACATTATAATAGACAGGCGATACCTTGGTATATATTCTTGACTACCCAAGGTACCTTCTAAGTCAGTTGCGGACTACTTTATATAATTGCAAGGTCGCGACAAAGGTAGTAGACAATTTGACAATAATTATTTCATCTTCTTAATAGTCTAAAAGACAAAATATACTACGTGGTGAACCACCGCAGACGTATTGAAGCCTTAGGCTGTCTTAGTCCCAGACGTTGCCATGCAACTGAGCAGATCTCGATACGGAGTACCACCACCACACCACTACCACTCCTACCTAGTTGATCTGTCTAGCTGCAGGACGGAGACAATAAACAACGCCGGTCTGTATGCTGTACGACTTGACCTCTACTGTCAGATATCTATCAAATTACCGGGAAACCCCTAATGGAAATCATTTAAAAAGAAAGGTCTTTGAAAAACTAGCGGGCTGGTACGTTGTTTACTGCATGACCACGGAATACCATTGCATCGGCTCGAAGAAAATCTAACACAGAAACCGAGTACAGTTATTAATATTAGACCTCGAAAGCTATTCGACCATAATAAAAAAAAAAAAGAAAGGAAAAGAAAAGAATATCTGAAGGTATTTATACTGCAGTCACTGGCTGGCGCAAACCATGGTTCGTGCTGATTGTAAACAAACGACAGAAAGAAGAAGAATAATAATAATAAATCCCTCGCTACGCGATTCTACAACACAACACAACCACAACCATCAATTATTCCCTCTACGTCCCATATAGGTACCTGTTACTGCGTACTTGCCTCCTGCATACCTTCTTCCTGTCTGTCTGTCAGCTGCAGAAAAGTGGCAGCGCTTATCGGCGTCTATTTTCGCTTATCACCCCGTGGCTGTTCTTTCCTGAGAGGGGGATTCCTCCTTCTCCGCCCTTCTTGCGCTCCTTCCTCCGCTGCGAATAACCTCAACGCATCCTCCTTCTGGCTGTTTCTGGTCGCTCGCTCCTCCTCAGGTGAGTGCCCTCTTCCTTCCCTGCGAGCAGGACTCGCTGTGGTATTTCTTTCGCTCGTCCTGCCCCCCCATTCTCTTCCTCTCTCTCTCTCTCTCTCTCTTCCTCCTCCCAACACAGTGATAGACCGGCTCTCCTGTAAGATCTGCTTCGCGTTGATCGCTTACGCCTCTTTTTCTTTTCGCTTCTCTACCTGTGTTACTACTTGTTCTTGCTTCGCCTTTTCCATTCCCCTGCTTCTCTTCTTGTCTCGTCTCTTTTGACTTCTGCAATTCGGTTTCCTTGTCCGTCTTAATAAATTGCTGCTAATCGCAATGGATACCGACAGGTCTGACGTCCGCTTGACTCGGGCGTTGCTCGCAGTCGTCCTCACCTTCCTCTTCAGCCTCAACCCTCTCAAAGTCATCTTCTACCTCGCCATCTTCTGCCTCCTCTATGTGCTCCTTCTGCTGAACCCCTCGGAGATTGGCCTCTTGATCGCCAACATGGAGCAAAAGGCCGCAGAGGTCCTGGCGGTCCTCAAGAACCACAACCTTGCCATCGACACCAAGGTCGCCCATGTTACCAGCATCAAATCGGACATCAAACAGAAGAATGTCCCCGAAGGCGCCGTGGCGCCCATCTTTGAGGGCCTGCGCCTCGCCATGGCCTCGCAGCATTCGTCCCTTCTCGGAGCCGGTTTCTCCACCCTCGGCCATCTTCTTAAGCGCCTGTTTATTCAGGACCAGCACCATATAGTCGCTCACCAATGCCGCATCCTCTTCCCTTTGCTCTTGGAACGTCTTGGCGACCACAAGGATCGTGTGCGCCAGCACGCCGCCCAGGCCTTTACCGATCTATGGTCCGCCACCAGTGCGGAAGTCGAGCATCATGTGTTGGAAGTTGCCCTGGTGGGAAAGAACCCACGGGCTAAGGAGATGAGCATGATTTGGCTCTGCAATGTCAGTTTCCCAACGCACCTTCCTAAATTTGAACCCCCCCCCCCTCCTAACCACTTTCCTCAGATGACCAAGAACCACGGTCTGCTCTTTCGTTCTCATGTACCCAGCCTCGTGGTGTGTCTGGAAGATGCCGATAGTGGCGTACGTGAGACGGCCAAAAATACGGTCATTGACCTTTTCCAGTGAGCTTTTCTCTACTATCTCCTGCTTTCCCTTTTCTTCTTCTCACACCAGCTACCCAAAAGGAACGCTCCTGCTCGAGCAAAATCTGATTTGAAAAAACAACTTGCCACTCATAACGTGCGCAAATCGATTGCCAATGCGATCCTTACCAATATTGGACTCGGATCGGCAGACCATGACAATGCGCCTCCGACACGCCCTGTCTCGCGTGCCGAAGGACTTCATCGCCCGGCCTCTCGTGCCGACGGCCTCCATCAGCGTCCCATCTCTCGGGCCGAAGGCCTTCATCGCCCGGCTTCTCGTGCCGAGGCTCTGCACCAGCGTCCTGTTTCTCGTGCCGAAGCACTACATCAGCGTCCGGTGTCTGTCATGTCATCTCATTCGCTCCACCCCGATGACCTCTCGAACGAAGGTAGGAAGTTGTGCCCCTCCCCCCATTCACAGTATCGGTATATGGCTAACTTTTTTTTTTTTTTTTGTCTCTTAATATATAGAGCTGGATATCCCCAAATCTCGTCCTATTGCGCTCAAACCGGAGCGCCCCCGGTCCACTGTCGTCCCTCATAGTGACAGCATTGACTCTCTTGCCTCATCTGCCGCTGGTCATGCCATACAGGACAGTGACAACATTGAGCCATTGAACATTGCATCTACCAGAGATATTGACGACCTTGTCCGCGAGATGATGCCTTACTTTGAAGGGAGAGAATCGGAGGATAACTGGCTCTACCGTGAGAGGCATGCTCTCACTCTCCGTCGACTCACCCGCGGGAATGCACCGCACCATTTTTCCACCCAATATATTGCCGCCATCAAGACGCTTCTTGATGGAATCTTCAAGGTGGTCAACTCATTGAGAACAACCTTGTCTACGACTGGATGTCTGCTCATCCAAGACATTGCCGTTACGTGCGGTCCCAAACTCGACCCTATGGTGGAGATTATCGTTCAGAATCTCATCAAGCTCTGCGCGGGAATGAAGAAGATCAGCGCCCAGAACGGCAATGACTCGTTTGTCGCCATAATTGAGAATGTCACGTACAACTCGCGCATCTTGCAACACGTCTCCAGCGCTGCCCAGGACAAGAACGTCCAACTGCGCCTCCATGCGACAGGCTGGATCAAGACATTGATTAACCGGCAAGCGCGTCACCAGATCTCGATCGATCATGCCGGCGGACTGGACGTGGTTGAAAAGTGCATCCGAAAGAGCCTCGCTGACGCTAATCCGGGCGTGAGAGAAGCGATGCGTAGCACCTTTTGGGCCTTTTACAAGGTTTGGCCGGACCGGGCCAACGAGTAAGTCTTGTCTTAAACCCCCCCCTATACTTGTATTTTGCCGACTGACGGCTCTCTAGAATTCTTTCTTCTCTGGACACCAAATCGCGGTCCTTGTTGGAGAAGGATGCATCGAATCCCAATGCCAACGCATCATCCTCGCTTAAAGGATCGACCGCGTCACGATCTGCCCCGTCGAAGAACACTTCTGCCATTGCCAGTAGGTCGGCATTGAAAGATGCTATTGCTGCACGAAAGAAGGCACACCTGAAACCCGCCGACAACTTGCCCCCGCGTCCCGAGTCTGCTCAATCTACATTTTCCGAAGTCAAGACTTCCGACCCTGCTCCCAAATCGTCTACTGTCCGCACCGTCCCCACGGGGGCTCACGTCTCCTCTTTGTCTTCGGCACCCATGAGACCGGCAATGAAGCCCCGTCGGCCCGAGTTGAACCGCCCTGCGACGGCGGACCCGTATGCGTCTCGTAAGACGACCGGCACCGACTCATCATCATCCAAGCCCAAGACGTCTACCACCATCGTTTCCGGCTCTCCACGTACCACTACTAGAGCTAAAACACCCTCGAAACCATCCAGCGCTTCCCGCCCAAGGGCGGCCAAGGCGGATGCGATGCACCTCAGCTCGACCAAGGCCAAGCCAAAGAAATTAGACATCTCAAGTTTCCGATCCCAGGATGTCCATGCTGTCGGGTCTCGCTCCCGCACCCACTCCAATGCGTCTGACGACGATCTGGCTCACGCAAATTTGCTCGATAGTGACGACACTCCTGGCTCGCCAGCCTCTATCGCATTGGAGAGTCCCACACGATCGGTCACGCAGCGACGGATCGCTGCTCCCCAAGTCGAGCCTATCCCAGCTGTGGATCTTCTGGCTGCCACTACCCAACCTCTAGATTATCCAGTCATTGAATCTTCGCCAATGATAGATTCCCCCCATCCTGTGTCTGATAATGACCTTTCTTCTTTTACCCCTGCATTCGCGGTCGTGGCCGAGCCGGAGGTCGCCCCGAAACCCGACCCTGTACAGATCTACGAAGACCCGGCAGTCCCCGCATCACCTGAAGTTGAGAATGACCTGATCTCCACTGGGCCCGACCAAAGTATTTCTTCTCCTGAACTCTCCGCTGTTGTTGCTGTTGTTCCCGATGAACAGAAATCGGAAAATTGGGTCAATGCAGACACTCTCGCACACGACCAGCCAGTGACCTCCGCTGATGAATCCTTGCTGGTTCCATCATCCACCTCCTCATCTTCGCCACCGTCCCGCAAAAGCGGCGCAAATGTTACCCAAACGTTGCCCTCTGTGCAGACACCTGCCAACTCGTCGAACAGCATCGGCAACAATCCGATTCCACTGTCTAGCAACGTTTCTCCCTTTGACCCCTTCAAAAGCCTATATGACCCAGCATTGTCGCTGACAAACACCCCCGCGACAACCAATAACAATGAGAACAAAATGCCCCCGATGGGCAAGACTCCTTTGGCCCACCGCTCGTTGGACTCGAAATCCAATGCCCTGGAAGAGATCCCGACCAACGAGCCTGCTTACAGAGACAACAAGCTACCCCACCCTTTTGAATTCAAACCACAAGTAGACATTGAAAACCCCACTGCAGGCACTGAACAATCCCACCGCCGCTGGAGAAAGATCGAGATCTCCGAGCGACGAAGGAGCATCAGCCCTCGATCCAAGGATCCCGAGCAGGCGCGCCAGATGCTGACCAAGGGCGTCCATCGGATCCGCAGTCAGAATATGGATATTCTTGGCTACCGCAAAATGCAAGGTCTGGTTCAGTACCATGACAAAATGTTTAAAGACGAGGGAAGATACGACGACCTGCTGTTGGCTCTCTTGGATGAACTGGAGAGCGTTCCCGATGAGAAGCGAAAGCCGTTAGGGCGGCCACTGGACCTCAAGACCCAGGTTCTGGTGACGATCCGGCTCATGTTCAAGTACAACAATATGTACTTTGCGGCCTACTACCCCAAGGCGATGGTGGCGCTGGTGAACGCCCGCAAGGGATATGAGTCCAGCTGCCATGTGGTGAGTGGGTTGGATGAAACCGCGGAGGATATTGTTGCAAGGTGTAAGCCGATGGATGTGATCACTGCTGTTCTGGATCTGTGCGAGACCGAAGAGAGGTCCACGGAAGGATACCGGGCGATTACGATGGGCATTTTGGTGCTGAAGAAGATCATCTGCCGCCTGAACAATGCGAACACCCGCCTGCCCCCCGAAGGCATCGACCGTATTGGCAAATTCGCCGCAATGTTCCTGGCTAACGACCAGCCTGAAGTTCGACGCCAGATGATTTACATGTGCGTGGAATTCCACACGATGCTGAAGGGCGATGAGCCCTTGTACTGGAAGGTTATCGGGCAACCCCGGGACACCACTCGGAACCTCCTCACATACTACCTCAACAAACCATAAAAAGTTCCACTGTTCCACTGTTCCACTGTTCCCGGGGGCCCGCGGGCTCATCGCCCTTTTGTTTTTATGTACATAGTTTTGGATTCATTCAGCTAGTATTCTTATAATCAATGACTTTTGATCCATTCTAGTGCATAGTAGATGGTATGTAGATAAGGCACTGTCGGGTATATACAACTCCCACTAAAGTGGACTTGATTCCGATTATCGGCAAGCCAATGGCCGGGGTCGGTGCATCTGATTAGATTGATAAGAATAAGATGGTGATGGGATCGACAGTCTCGTTCTATCCCTGTCAAGAAAGACTCCAGACTCACCGTCAACAGAATCAAGGATCGACTGGAACTGAAAGCAATATAGAATACCTATTATTTATCCTGCTACTGCTATTGTCACTGCCACTGCCACTGCCACAGCTACAGTTGTTGCTATGTTACCATTGTACAAGTCTGATGTCATTCGATCTGACCAGATCTTTTGCAGAAACTGCTTGGCGGGCGCCCCTCCGTGTCCACCTGCAGCTCACCGGGATGGAGACGCATGAAGTTTAACCAACTCTGTACTAGTAGTATCTAGTAACCAGGATGATACCAGGTACCTAAGGTACGGAGTAGTTAACTATGTAGTAACTAACTAGTTAACTACCTGGTAGTATTTGTAAAGTACTCTGCAGAGATAAATGACACTACTGGAGTACACTGTCCACTCTACCTGGTCGAGGGTATTATTAGTGTTGCAGAGGATAGTAATGCTGACGTTCTTTTTATCCCATTTGTCTGTCACTATCACATGAGTAATAGATATGGAGTATAAGAAATAGAGCAATCAGGTGTATACTGTACAGTACACTGAGTACTGAGTACTCAGTACACTGGTACAGTAATAGGGATCATGTGACACCCAAATCACCTGATATCATGTGACGATCGAGCAAGATGACTAATTCCCCAATATCCTGCTCTCTACTCCATACTGTGGTCATGGCATGGCATGATACTCGAATGACCACTAACCACTCATCACCCAGGTAAGTACCTCTATCATATGAATCTAGACGCTCCCCCTAGGTACCTCTATCGCATGAATCCAGACGCTACTCCACAGGCTAGCTGCCAGAAGCACGGTGCCATGGAGCCTGGGCCCAGGTGGAGTACTAAGTACTACTACTATGTAGACTTCTATATAATAACTACATATTCACTAACTATGAGGTAACTAGTGGGTAGAAGGTACATATGGATCCAATGACCAATTGTCTGTTATCTAGTAAAATATGTAGGGGGTCTCTCCGGTAGATCTACAGAGGATAATCTAACCATACCCAGGGACACCTGAATCATAATTCTAATTCTTGACGATCGTAATAAATAGCTCGCCCACATGAGTAGAGTAGAGCATAGATATAATTCGTTATAAGAGTAAAGCACAAACAGTACTATAATATATAGTAATATGAGAGTACTTGTAGGTACTCTACAAGTAACTACCTAGGTAGTTAATACTAGGAAATTAGTAGGACCTCTTCCCACTCTACCAGGTACTTTATTAATTCTTCAGTAATGAGTCTAGAAAAGTCTACTAAATAAGAGAATAGTAATTCCTCCTGTCTAGTAACTACTGCCATGTCCACGTCTATTCCACTCCTCATCTCCACCCCTCCGACATGGCCAGAACCGCCCGCCGCGCCGTGTCGATCTGAAACACTTCCATCCTCCTCGAGTTGTCTCCCTGAGCTGGCAATCAAGCATAGCGGACAGAGGAACATAAAGACAGGGACAGAAAGAGAGAGATATATGTATCCTTTTTTTTTCTTTTAAAAAAATTAAATCCATCCCCTTCAGTCGATTATTCAGTGAGTCTTGCCGTCTCCTGTCTCCTGTCTCCTATATTGGCCTATCCCCTGTCTCTGGTCTACTTGTCTTTAGTAACTAACCAAACTCCTATCCACAGACCTGAAACGCTCCTCGACAACCTCAATCAACCCCAAAACATCTCGATTGACCGCCTTGATCCTCCTCCTTCTGCTTCTTTCGATACTCTCCCTCCTCTTCCTCTCTTTTTCCTTCTCTTCCCCCCTCTC